AGGTTAATATTCGCGAAAGGCTTCTAATCTAAATTTATATATTATCTGTAAATTAAGCAGGAGTTAAGTACCGCGTATCACCCTTAAATAAATAACTAGACAGAATAATTAAATAGTATATTAAAGTAATACTTGCGGGCGTATATTAATTTTAATTAAAATAATTAAATTAATTATCTTCCCCTCGCAGAGTTCGTGTATAATAATATTTAATAAAGCTTGACCCAGGTATCACCCTTTTATATATTAATTAGAGAATATCTTAGGATAATTATCCTAGACTCGCGAGAAAGTCCAGAGATAAAAAATTAGTATAAAAATAAGTTTTATGAATTAAGAAAATTTGTAAAATAATTAAAAAATTATTAAAATATACTCGCGAGTACCAGATCTAATACTATAACCGGAAGAAACAAGCAAAGATATTTACTAAAAATTAATTAGTTTAATTATTTTTAAAAAATTAGTAGAGCCTGCGGCTAAATAAAAAGTTTAATTAACTAAGTATAAAACTACTATATATAATAAAAAAAATTAAAAAATAAGTTTATTAATTAAAACTCCCCGCAGGGGTCAAAGTATATAATATATTTTATATATTCTTATTATGTGAGTATTAGGAGATATTAAGAGTAAAATCTATAAAATAATTTTTTATAGTTTACTAGGATAAAAAACCCTAGGAGTATTATATAAAAAGGCTTTAAACAGAAAAGACCCGGAATAAAATAAAGAAATTTTTAATTTAATAAAAGAAATATTCTCGCGAGAAGGATATAATCTAAGAACTTATTATAAACTTATATTATTTAGACCTGTATAAACAGTTTATAAATAGAGAAAAACTACTTTTATATTAAAAAATAAAAAAAACTTTTTTCTAAAAATAAAATAGCAAAAATCTTAGTAATATAGATTTATTTTATTAATATTAAGGCTTTAACTGTCTCGCGTGTCTAAGGAGCAGAATACTACTAAAAATATAATAATATATTATAGCAGAATAACTACTGTCTAGTAATATCTATCTACTTATAAATAAGCAGGTGATATTATAGTATAAATAGTTATTATATTTTTGCCTAATCCCGCCGGAAATATAAAGATCTTAAAATATAATATCCTAGGAGAGAGTATATTATCTGTAGTTATATCTAATAGGGGGTTACACCCTAGTATAAGTTATAAAATAGCTCTCGCGGTATTAAGTATATAAGATAAGCTAGGTAAATAGAGCTTCTTTCTAGTATAAGGGGAGTTTTTGTATTAGCTGCTAAATTTATTATTATTTATAGATAGTTAGGTTCTCCGGGCCTAATTAGGAAGAAAAACTAAGAATAGAAATAAGTACCTACAGGGGATATAATCCCTGTATAGATAATTTAATTATACAGGCTGTATTTTATATAGTATAATCTATTAATAGCACTAGAGCTTTATCTTAAGCCTCTCTGCTAACTAGACCTTAAAAAGGCGCGGGTCTAGTTATGTAAAGTTAGTAAGAAAATTAGATTATAGGTAGTCTGATTAGATTAATTAGCTAGACTAGCTAATTTAGATTAGAAATAATCTAGCAGGACAGCAGGTAATAGATAGCTATTAGAGGATTATAATAAAAGATATATTTATTTACAGCCAGTATAATATACACAAGATAAAAACTATTATGCCGGAGGGACTAGTTAATATAGGAAATATAGTTAAAAGGGCCTTATAAATTACTTATATAGTTAAACTAAAAACTGACCTAGCTAATATACACTATTTATAAAAGATTATAAATACTAGTGCGGAAATTAGGGTTTCCCGGACTTACTTTTAAGGCAGAGGGGGGAGAGTAGTAACCTGTAAGAAAAGAGTTTTTTAGAAGAAAAATATTTTTTTAAAAAATAGGGAAAAAAATATAATAATAATATTAATATTTTTAAGGAACCTTAATAGCAAGTACAGTATTATAATTTATTACACGCGGGAAGCCTATAAATAAGTCTAAAAATTAGTAATCTGACCTAAAATAAAAAATCTCGTAATATAAAAAGTAAAATAAGAGTAAAGTCTTATAATATAAGAAATAAAATAGAAAATAAATTCCTGTAGTATAAAAAGTAAGATAAAATTAAAATAAAATAAATCTTATATATTATATCTTATAAAATATACTTAACTCCTAAGGGTTAACTTACTGAGAATAGTGGTTATTAAAAAAGAGAAAGAAAAAAAAAAGAGAAACTATAAAAAAGATTTTTTTATAATATAGAATTAAGGGTTCAGCAGTAAATGTGGAAGGTATAATATAATAATATTTAATTTAGAAAAGGCCTCGCGAGACTAGATAGTAAAGGCAGCTATAGTAAAGTATGATAGATTTTATAATAATAGACTTAGATCTAATGGGTTCGCGAGCTGCTGATACTATATAGACTATAAAAAAAAATTAAAATAATCTTTTTTTTTTATAACTATTTTTTTTTAAAGGGAGTTTTTTTAATAGTAAAAAGTTTTTATAAATATTTCGCGGAAGTACTTCGCAAGATTTACTAGGGGCAGATTAAACTAATTATAATAGATTTCGCAAATAGGGCATCCCAGGTAGATACCGAGCTCGCGAATAAATTAGGATAATTATACTAGTTAAATCTCTGTGGTAAAGGGGCCAGCTTCGCGAGAAGGCTAGGAAGCTGATTATAATAGATTTTATAAATAGAGTATCTTAGGCAGAGGAGTAATCTCACGAGACAGGTCTATAATATATATAAGATATATTCGCGAAGAACTATAAAACTGACTGTAATAGATTTTGTAAATAGAGTATTTTAAGTAAAATATACCTTCATGAGAATTATTTATATTATACCGCACTAGGGATTCGCGAGGCAGTTAATACTCGCGAACCTAGGAAAAAATAACTTGTGAGACAGTGTTTTTCACAAGATTATAAGAAAAAGTAAACTAAGTATTAATATTTAAGGATTATCAGGCAGAGGGTCCTAACGGGATAAAGAGGATTAGTTAATAGTTATATTTGCGAAGGGAGTCCACACGACATAATAATCTTATAAAATAGCAGCTTTCGCGAGAAAAGTAATCTTGTGAAGCTTAATAGTATTAACTAGTTAATTTTATAAGGTATTTTAGGGACCAAGGCCTTTAAAGAGGGGGGGATAATTATAAAGATTTATATAAGATCTTTTTAAGGATGCTTAGTCAGAACAGGTGCTTAGTTATAGCCTAGTAAATACATGATGAAACCATGTTCTCGTGGGGGTTCCCCTGAATCCCAGTGACAACACCTTAAGCAAGATATACCATATGTTTGATATCCCTAGCTAATTGCTTTCACGCTGCCTTACCCTTAAGGCACCAAGGTATTCAACCTTATAACAAAGCCACTGACTGCAGTGGTTGAAATAAACTTTTAATTTTCTAAATAGGAAATTTATTGAATTATGTTTTCTGACTTCTATAGGATTCTAGCAACTAGTGATTTCCTAATTAGGAAGGTAAGCTAGTCCAAAATAGGAAATTCTTCAGAAATTTTTTTTTTCATTTTCCGCTCACATTGAGCTCAGTTTCACCTCAATTTTCCCATACAATTTGGTGGTGGAAGTGAGAGTTCAATAAAGTGAAAGTAAAGTTGTAGTGAATTTTGAATAATTTTGGTTGTGGGGCTAAATCAGGTGATTCTGATGAATCAGATGATGTCAGGTGACCCCATTTGACACTTCTTAATATATTTATTTATATTTTTGTATTACAGATAAGTTATTATTATTGCTAATTAAAGTACTTTAAAGGATTAAATATTATATATAACTTTATACTTTCTGGATAGGGCCTTCACGAGATCTATAGCAGTATAAAAATAAATAAACTTATGGTAGATAGCTTTAGATAATAAGATAAAAATAATATTTATTACTTTAATATTATTATTCTTTTATTTAAGAAGCTTATTCTAAGTTTTCTGGGCTATATTAAATAATACTAGTTTTTTTAGGGTTGATATTAGGGCCTTAGGGCGAGGAAACTTATTACTAACCACGCGAAATATATTTTTAATTTATAGTTTTATATTAAGACCTTTAATCTAATCTTAGTAGTTTTCTACTAATATAAGTTAAAGTATAATATACTTTCTAGATATTATAACTGCTTTATTAAAGTATTTTATTTATTTTAAAAATAATTAATTACTTTAAGATTTGTTCTAAGGGCCTTAAACAAGGATTCTGGGGATCTGGGTAAAAGACTTAGTTAATTAAGTTTCCGGGCTTATAACTTGTAGGAATTACAAGGTAAAATACTATATTTATTTTAAATAAAATATTTAATTTCTGATAATCAAGATAATAATAAAGGGAAGGTCTAAATACACAAAAGAACCTTATTTTATATTTTATAATCTTACTAGGGGTTCTTATTTAATTTAGGAGGTCTCTGGTAAATCACTGCGGATAACCTTATCTTGGCGGGAACGTTCCGGTATGCCTACCTAGGATACCGGGAGTTCCCACAGTTAGTGTGGTCGGACGAAAACAACATAGACCTCTTATGGAACTATATTCCTGACCGCGGGATTTGATCGTTTTGCGCTTCAGGATCATTATTTTCATAGTGCCCTTACCTTAATTCCGGCCTTGAAAAAAGACATTACGTTGTTTATACGAATAGCCTACATATCGGGATCTATCATCTTTGAGAGCTAATTTTCGTACGTCTTAGGACTGGAGTTACTTCTATATTTATAAAGCTTGCACGTCCCTATACCCCTCGGAACCTCCTAGTAAGTAGAGGTAGATTAGGGCGGTACATTACGCTACACCTCCGCTTGCTCTGGATGTCAATCAAATGTCGTCATTCAAAAGGCTTGGAATTCACCGAATCATCTAATTTGGATTGAAGCAGTCTACTGTTGTAAAATGAATATTGGACATCTTTCTAGCTGGCGAGACCGCAGTTTTTAATTAAAGCTTTTCTAAGGTCAATATTCACAGAAAAGTCCGAGCTGAGTCATTGAAGCTAACATAAGGATTAAGGGCTGCTTCATTGGTGCTAAATCTCCTGAGTAGATACAGACACCATCTACATGAAGTGAGGTGTTGACATTGAGCTACATACATACATGAGATGCCAGAGAACATGAAAATAGACAACAAAGGGGTAGGAGTATCACAGGAAATCAAAAATGCAAAAAGATAAATCCACAGAACAATCGTAACATGAATCCAGCATAGCCAATCAATCAATCAATCCGTCAATCGAGCATTACATCAAATCAAATCGTAAATCTTCAAAACTGGCCCGTAAAGTTTTCCATCATTTCAAGAAAAAAGAAAAACCAATGTCAATCAAAGACCTGCAAACCGAGCCCATCCGGCAGCTCGAGGCGAAGCCTCATTGTTGCTGTTGGTAGGCTGGGCAACACCGCCTCGGCCTTCCTCGGCAACTTTTCCGCTGACATCGCGTCTTCGACCGACGCCTAGACCCGCGATGTAGTTGCCATAGGACAACGAGGCACCCTGGCCGACGCGACGACCGAAATCGGCTCCCGAGTTGCTGACGACTCGGCCTTTGCGGTCGCCGTCGGTGGTGGCAGGAGGAACGGCAAGGGGTTCACCGGTGACAGGGTCGGTTTCGTCGTCGTGCTGCTTGAGAGCGCCGTACGCGTTGGCCTTTGGGGATTTAGGCGTGCTCTTCGGGGTCTTTGCTTTCTTGCCCCATATACCAGCCCCGGAGGAGGGGGGTTCCTTGTGGCCGCTGATGTTGCGGGGGATATTCAGCCCGAAGGTGTTGTCCTCGCCGAGCTCGCCGTAGAATCGGCTGTTCTTCTCTGGGCTCACGGTGTCGGTGGCCGGAGCGGAGACGGGGGGTGTAGGAGATAGATTGGGGATGTCGGCGAGAGCCATGCGAGCTGAGACATTGTGCGGGTGGTCGGGTGTTTCATCGAGGATGGGCTGTGGGGTGGGTGGATTGAGGGCGAGCGGGTTGACTCGCAGGTCAGAGTTTTGATGGTCGTCATCGTAGAGGTCGTCGTGGTCGGCGTGGTCTTGGAAGATTTGGATGTTGTGGTCGCCGATGTCTTGTTCGGCGTTGTCGTAGAATCGGGTTGGCTGTCGCATGTCATCGTTGTAGTCGTCGGTACCGTAATATTCGTGGACAGGGAGGGACTCGTATTCGCCATGAGCGTCTTCCTGGATTGTCTCACCAACGTTCCATCCATGCTGCTGGCCGGGGTTTATCCAGCCCGTGGCTCCGCCGTTCGATCCACCGGAGGCAGTTCCTCTGCTATAAACGGAAGATGGGTCTCGAGGGGCGTGGGCATGAGGCTCGTTCTCAGCGACGTCGACTGGCGAGGGAGACCGGTCCGAATAGGCGACCCAGTTGTCTGAAGCAGGGCTCACACATTGAGATCTGTTAGGAAAGGCGGGCGAGGGCTCGCGCACCGGAGTGCCATGCCGCACCGTGGACGTGGGCCGTGCGTATTCCTCGAGATTATGCTCCGGGCCCCGGTCCGCCATATAGTCCGTGGTATCTGCGTGGTGTTCGAAAGGCATCGGTGGGAGAGGCGATTCCATACGCGACAATCGATTCGAATGCTGGGACACCTGGGAGTGCCTTTTCTCCGCGACATCCGAGAACCGACTGGAACCGCCTTCAGACGACTGACCTCTCGTGTGCATGAACGCCATCTTCCGGGGAGGACCCATCAGAGGGTCTTCGGACATCGCAGAATCCAAGGTAGACTGGCTAGCATGCTTTTCAGCAAGTTCGGACTTGGTGCGCTTATGCGGACGGGCCGTCAGATTGTCTTCCATGGGATTCATGTCCGGAGGTAGCTTGGTGATTTTTCGGAAGATTACACCTAGGTAAATCGAGATACCTAAGGAGATAAGATGGAAGCCACCGTTGACAACGCTGAGAATGAATGTGACTTGGGAGATTGTCGTCGTGACATCGAAATCCGAGCTAAGCATGGTGGTCCAGTGGTATTCATTCTCGGTGTATTGCTTGTACGCCAGGAATGCGGTGAAAACGTAGAACGGGACAAGTCCGAGATCCAAAGTCGAGGCGAACACCATGTAGCTCGCCTGGGAGCCGGGGGGTCTGGAGACAGCGGAGTGACATAGATGGTAGATGGCGTAGAGGGTGTGCAGGATTGCGACGGCAGGCTTCATGGAGTTAGCGATTGCTTATGCACAAGAATTTCCAAACTTACCCCGACCCGGACGATCCATATGACGCTGACAGCTGCATTCTTGATGACAATCGCGCAGAACAGAGACCCGAGCGCTCCAAGCAACGTCAACACGCGCAGTCCAAGTTGTACCTTCCGTGTAACGATCACTCTCGGCTTTGTCTTGCGACTCATAGGAGTCCATCTAGACTTTCCATCGGGGATATTGTTATACTTTCGGAGGAAAAAATGTTAGCATAGATTATTTCCGACGCAGCCGACATACGCACCGAATCAGGATGTCTGTTGAAATTGACCAACGGCCCCGTAGGCTGCGGCTTTGGCTTTGGACGAGTCCAGCTCGCCTGGGTCACAGCTTTCGGATTGAAAGGATTGTCTGTCGCGCCATGGAAGCTGTAGGCGGAGGGCGCGCCGTAAAGGAATGGAGGCGAAGATCCCCCCATGATGGTGGTGAATGAGCTTCAATTGAGCTTGAGCTTATCGAAGCAGAAGCATCCACCCCACGCCAGAAGCGGGGAGATCAAATCTCGATATTAAGAAAGGAATGCTGGGGGAGGAGGGCAAAAATGTGGATGAAGCACGAACCATGGAACGAGGGAATGTCAGAGGAATCATGCAGGAGGAGAAACGAGGCTCCATACATGCGTCAACAGTCCGATTGTCGGCGCGGCAACGGATCCGATAAGGTCACGTGCCCACCCGCCATCGTCATCCCGCCGTCTCCGATTCCTTCCCCGACGTATTATCCTCGGAATTGCTCTTGTGTACACGATGAATGTCCAGCGTGCGCCGTATGTCTGTGCTAAATGCTCAGTGCAGGCGTTGCGTGCTCCTCTCCGTCGCCCGTTCCGTCGAACCCTCCCGCTGAACTGGCAGCGACGTCATAACAGCCATGCCGTGCAGACCGATCGGCCATTTCGCGTTGCCATTGTGGGGTCTGGGCCGGCTGGATTCTACGCTGCATACAGGCTCCTGGGCAAGGTGGACAATGCGGTAGTCGATATGTACGAGAAACTACCGGTCCCCTTTGGTCTGGTGAGATACGGAGTTGCACCGGATCATCCGGAGGTCAAGGTATGCGACGTTCACTGGCCATTTTGCGCTGCTTTGACTCACACTCTCTGGTTTATAGAACTGCGAAGAAAAGTTCACCGAAGTCGCAGAGTCGCCACGATTCAATTTCGTCGGAAACATCGAACTGGGCGATAACCTTCCTCTCCAGACCCTCAAACCGCACTACGACGCCATCCTGTTCTCGTACGGAGCTCCCAAGGACAAGGACCTCGGGATCCCGGGAGAGAAAGCGATCAAGAACGTTTACTCGGCTCGAGAGTTTGTCGGATGGTACAACGGACTGCCGGAGCATCGAGACCTTGCGCCCGATCTCACCGCCGGAGAAAACGCCGTGATTGTGGGACAGGGTAACGTGGCGCTGGATGTCGCGAGAATCCTGCTCTCGGACGTCGACGCTCTACGCAAGACTGATATCGCGGACTATGCGCTGGATGCGCTCTCTAAGAGCAAGATTAACCGGGTGCGAGTGGTCGGTCGGCGAGGGCCCTTGCAGGTATGTCGGACTTAATTCTTTCCCATTGAGACATAGCCAACTGACATTGACTAGGCCGCCTTCACCATTAAAGAGCTGCGGGAACTACTGCAGCTCCCTGGGGTCGCCTTTGACCAGATCCCACGGGACCTGTTCCCGCCGGAAGATGTTATGGCGGCTCTCCCACGAGCCCAGAAACGGCTCGTCCAGCTTCTTGCGAAGGGATCGGCCAATGACCCCGCTAGTAGCAGCAAGTCGTGGTCTTTGGACTTCCTACTCTCCCCGGAATGTCTCAACTGGTCCCCAGTCTATCCCTACCGCATGTCCCACGTCAAATTCTCTCGCAACGAACTCGACCCGTCAGACCCCCACTCACCCAGCGCGAAAGTAACCCCCAAATACCTGTCCAGCGGCAACCGCGCGCAGGTGAACATCCTCGCGAGTACCTTTTTCCGCAGCGTCGGCTACAAATCGCTGCCGTTGACCGGGCTCGACGATCTCGGGATCCAATTCGACACAAACCGGGGCGTGATTCCGAACGACGGATTCGGACGAGTCACCAGCCCGAAGAACACCGGCACCAACGAAGAACTCCCCGACGGATCGCTCATCTCGCATCTCCCGGGCCTGTACTGCGCCGGGTGGGTGAAGCGCGGCCCGACAGGGGTCATTGCCACGACGATGACGGACGCGTTTAGCACCGCTGACGCCATCGCGGCGGATCTGACGAGCCAGAGCCAAGCGTCCCTGCTGAATGCTCCGGGCCAGAGCACCGGTCTTGGCTGGGAAGGCGTCCGCCCCGAGGTCCAGAAGCGCGGGCTGCAGGCTACGTCGTGGCAGGACTGGCAGCGCATCGACGCGGCGGAGCGCGATCGCGGAAAGGCCCAGGGGAAGACCCGGTCGAAGTTCGGTCGGGTGGCTGAGATGTTGGATGTGGTGGGTTGATTGGACCCTTTACATGAATGCATTAGCATCAAATAGACTGTATAATAAAGACTAGATACCATCTCCGCTTGCAAGTAGAGTTTGTTATGTAATTATGATACTCAATTACTATTCTCATGAAAGATTAAATCTAAGGAATGGCGCTGAAAATAGACATGAAGCGAAACCGAAACAAAAACGAGCCATATCTCGTGAACCATCATCCACATCCACCGTCTCAGATGCAATCATCTCAAACATCCCCCCCACTGATCACAATGCGACAAGTTAGATTCTAACTTAGAATCCACACTTCGACGGATCCGCCAGGGCATAAGTAGCCGTGACGCGACCCAGCTGCTGGGCCTGGTTGTTGGTCAACTGGTTCATGGCGCGCAGACCGAGGTTGAAGCCACCGGGGGCGGCGTCGATGGCGGTGACGTAGATGGTCTTGTCGACCTTGCCGGCCTTGTAGTGGATGCTGTAGCAGTTTCCGCAGTTGGGCGAGTTCCAGCCGGGGATGGTCGGGGCGCCGCCGATGAGCGGGAACTTGGGCAAAGAGCCGAAGGTCGAGTAGCCCTGGGTGATGAGGCCGTTGGCGCCGTCGGAGCACGACACGGTGGTCAGCGAGGCGCCGGCGTTGTCGTAGCTGGTGTCGTAGGACACAGAGACGGAGACAGCGGCGGTGCTGGCATCAGTGGCGGGCTCGGGAGCAGCAGCAGGAGCGGCCAGGGCCGGGGTGAGGCAGAGGGAGATGAGGGCGACGGTGGAGGTGAGGAACTTCATTTTGAGGTTGGTTGGGAGGGTTGGTTTGGATGGATGGAGATTGAGGTTGAGATGGAGGATTGTTTGTTTGGATGGTTGGGAACTGAGAGGATGTTGTAAACTTGTAATGGATTGTTCGATTGAGCTGGATGATGAGAGAGATTCTGGCGGAGGTCAAGGAGGTTTATATAGCCATTGTCCACGAGTCAAGTCAAGCGGTGACGATGAGGAGAAAGGCTGGCCAGGAAAAAAAGCCTCATCGTAATGAATCGCATGCCACATTGTAACCACAGATAGAGCGGTACAGGAGGGACAGATCGGGATAGTCCGGTATAGAGGCGGAGGACTATACAGAAGATTCTTGGAATAGCAACGGGATCGGCAGCGGCTACCCCACGAGGATGAAACCCGGGCAATGGCAGCGCAGACAGGCACGGCAAGTCGGACGGGAGGTGAGACAAGCGTGAGGTCGCTCATCGGGTGATGCGCTGCGGGGCGGAGATGCCTTTGCGGGGAGCCTCCGGGCCAGTCACGGGGTGTCCTCTTTGAGACACGCAGCCTTAGGCCTGCCCATTCGGCCTGAGGCGGCTGGCCTGGAGAGACATTCCTTCGTATTCCATCCCCCGTCGTTACTGCGTCCTTCCGAACTTCCCTGGTCTATTCATAGCCCACCACATGTTGGTCAAGCCATGCGCCAAGTTCCCCGATCCACCCGTCGCCCGGACATCATGATATTGGTCAATTTCGATCGAACCTGTCGTCCGTCGGGCGGTGTAACCTCCAGCCTCTTGTCCAGCACTTGTGGCAACTCGAGAATGGCCCTACCGGTTCAGACCGACCGTGATGTTGATAGAGGATGATCATCCTAGTAATGATCGACATCCAAGCCTCTAGGATTCGGAACTATTGCTAGGGCATGATCATGAAGTCAGACTTTCATCACAGACAATACAACAACATCATAGTACTTTACGAAACCCTGTTGACTAGCTGTCAACCAGACTGGAGCCCACGGGACAAGTTCTTCCGTTTAGCCTGTCCGACTTGACTTGTTTTCCAATCGGACATTTCGGCCAGTATTGTATGGATAGCTGCATACACCGACATCAGAGACACTTTGGGCTCCGCTTACAGCTGTACAATCGGATGAGACCTTCTATTTTTATCGCTTCCTTCCCTCTGTTCCGAGTGTCTCATTTCCATCCTGCCAGACCCATTGTCTTTCCCCTCATCCTACGTGGTACTGTACATTGGCCATCGGACGTGGGGACAATACCTCCAAGCCAAGCCTAGAATCAATAATCCAGAACCTGCATAAGACATGCATATACAAGTCCACCAGCCGTACTTCGTCCGTACTTTCGCCACCTCCACGTCTGACATCACATTTCGTGCCTCTCTAATTCCTCGTCAAAAGCAGAGGTTCCTGAAGCGACCCGAATGTGACACAGACAGCGTCGTAGCTGTCCGGAACTTCTCGGCCCAGAGGTTCACCGCAGCGGAAGCTTGCAGTCTGACCTGCGTTGTGTGCTTATTTCCTGAATAGGATTAGATCGGTCTTATGTACAGTAGGTATATTTTTAGAGATGATGATAAATACAGCATTATATTGATTCATTCTGTAAACAGCGGACCTGTGAGTTCCTGTATCCGGCTATTTTTGCCTTTGGGGGATTCGTACCCTAATATACCATCACGTAACCTCTCCTCCATTGCCTAAATATCTTTCAACCTTTTTTATTCTCCCCCTTTTCTAACTCCTCTATCCTATACTTCTTACTGCCTCTTTTTGTCTTCCCTGCCACCACCGACCACTACATATTAGCCTTTAGATTAGTAGATTCCGATGGATTCTTTATATATTTAAAGTACCAGTATACCCTCGGCATTATGTCCTCCTAAACCCTCCCCCCCATGCAGGGGTATGTTATACAGTCCTGTTGATATGGACTGGCTCCCGGTCCCCTAGTCACGAATACCGTGGTGTGTAGCTCTTGTTATTATCGGTCTCCTCGGTTTTTCTCCATCTAGTCGATGAAATATCTGACAGTGCAGCTCGGTTGTACGGGCTAATAGCAAAAATGCCGTATACGCCCAAAATGTTGGCCTGGGGAGGAACTGCTATCCTCGAACAGTTACCATCTGGTGCTGTTATGAAGACTCCAATTCCAAATCCCTATTGTCGAGTGGAAGAGGAGGATCACCGGCGAAACATGCGCCTCGAGGCCCAAATTTACTCAATGATTGGGGAACATCCACGTGTACCCAAGTTAATCCACTGGGACCCAAAAACATGCTGTCTGGAGATCGAACATTTAGAGAATGGGAACCTCAAAGAGCTTATTCTACAAAACCACCAGAATATAACTCCTCAACATCGACTCCAATGGAGTAAACAGGCTGCTGAAGCGTTAACTGTTCTTCACAGGTTTGAAGTTATACACTGCGATCTGTCACCAAGGAATTTCCTTCTCGACTCACAGCTCAATGTGAAGATTGCTGATATCGGCGGCGCGTCCCTGTGCGGTTCAGATCCATCAGCTACTCCGGCAACACGGTTTCGACACCCTGATTACGATTGGAATGTTTTCCCGGTATTCGGTGATGATATATTCAGTCTGGGGTCACTAATTTATTTTATAATGACCGGCTCCTACCCATATGAAGAAATCTCTAGTGACGAGGTTGAGAAGCTCTATGATGCTCAACGATTTCCTGATGTGTCCTTCGTCGTTTGTGGAAGTATCGTTATGCAATGTTGGCGTCGACAAGTAGATTCGGCTCAAGTTGTACATGACTGTCTCATAGCTATCGAAAGGGGGCATGCTATATAGCATTATCCGTTAAACCTTTTGCCGTAGACGTATCTGTAAGTCTAGATGAACCTGTTGATTGAGAGACAATGTCCTGCCAAGCATGTTCGTATACGTCGTGACCGCGGGATCACCTGACTGCGCACATCTTTCGCCCTTGGCGCCCTTTTGGCGACCAAAACAACTTTAGAACCCTCAACTATACTCCAGATACCCCAGAAGACATCCAAGTTCCCCTCTATGTTCCAACTACAATAGAATAAACACTCCTCTTCTTCCCGCCCATGCTCTCGTCGCTTCTGCGATCTCTCCCCCTTTGGCGGAGATGGAAACCTCTCACTTTCGCTAACCCGAACTTCGTCCGGATTATGTCGCTTCGCAGTACTATCCAACTCGGATTGGGGAGGTCATTAAGGAGCGGTATCAAGTCATCGGTAAGCTAGGATTTGGGTTCACCTCAACGGTATGGCTGGCACGGGATCTAGAGTACGCTTCTTTACAATATCACAACTCCGCTTCTAAGAGATACTTATCTAATAATCCCATAGTAACCGGCACCATGTCATGCTCAAAATCTTCATCCAGACCTCGTCCATGGGCCAACAAGTGGACAACGAGCTTAATATATACGAACATATAAAGCAATCCAAAACCGCCCATCCAGGTCGCGACGTGATAAGAACCCTATTAGATACATTTTACATCAACGGTCCCCAGGACAAGCATCGGTGTCTTGTTCATCCCCCATTATGGGAGAGTGTTCTAGCCTTCTTACGCCGGAACCCAGTAGAAAGACTCCCCTCACCTGTCATTGCAGTCGTTCTTCATCGCCTGTTTCTAGCATTAGATTTTCTTCATACGGAGTGCCAGATTGCGCATACTGGTTTGTGGATCCTACCTCCTCCACCCTGTATAACCTCCCGCTTATTCTCCTAGATATCAAAGCCGATAACATCATGTTCGGAATCAACGATAACTCCGTCTTCACTGACTTTGAAGCCTACGAACTCCAAAGGCCCGTTCCCAGGAAAGAGGTTGACTTGGACGGAAGAACAATCTACATGTCCCAAGAGCTCAAGATCCCTAAAAGAATAAGCTCCCCGATCCTGTGCGATTTCGGTTCCGCCGTTCACGGTGCCCAGCACCACTCGGTGTTCATTCAACCTCAGATCTACCGAGCACCGGAGGTGATCTTGGGTATTCCATGGACGTTTAGCGCTGATATATGGAATGTAGGATGCATGGTAAGACTAACCCTAACCGCTAAGTCACGATCTGAGAATGGCTAATATCCTCGGATTCTAGATCTGGGATATCTACGAAGGCGGGTCCCTATTTACAGGCTACGACCCTGAATTTCAACGATACCGCAGCCGAGCGCATATCGCTGAGATGATCAATCTTCTTGGACCGCCGCCTTCTAGTCTCCTTACCCGAGCCAGTCAAGGGGAGCTGAGCGGGAAGTTCTTTTCGAGTGATGGCCAGTTCTTGAACCCCGATTTCCTGACGGACTTAGTCCCGCTTGAACAAAGGGAGACGACTCTCGAGGGAAAAGCGGAGCGAGACGCCTTTCTACGCTTTATGCGTAAAATGCTACAATGGGATCCTGGGAACCGGAGCTCGGCTAAGGAGCTGGCGGACGATGAATGGATCCATAGTCATATGTAAATATTACATCTTGGATAGAGAAACTATGTATACTAGAAACCCAGAAGATATCACGGGAGGTAAAGAAGGAGAAGAGGTAGAATGCCTGAATCCATTCTTATCGGGGTCCGGGAGTAAAGGACGGTTGAGTATAAGTCACGAACTGTTGAGAATGAGCAATAGCTCACACAGACTAGTAGCAATGCAGTCAATGACGATCGTGACTTCTTCATTTCAATGCTTTTGTAGTTCAGGGCCCTTCTGGTAGCCCTTGAACAATTGGTGTATCATCTGCATATAATACAGTGAACAAGACTTTTGGTCGTAAGAATAAGCTAGAAATAAACCAGTCGTAAAAATAATCACCCTCCCAATCATAACGCATAACACGTGCCCATAAAGAAAGCCCCCAAAAGAAAGCCTTCAACATAAACCCCCAAAAAGCAACCAACCCACTCAAAGAAAAAGCCATCACGACTTCAAAACCATACTAGCAATAACCACCGAACTCATATGACTCCCGGTAGCAACATACCCAGCTCCCTGACCACCAGGCAAGTCCTCCTCCCCATGCTGCCTGGGCTCCAGATCCAGACTCCGCTCGTACATGTCGTGTACGTCGCCTGCGGCCTGGATGCCCTGGACTAGGTAGTCCTGGAGCTCCGGGACGGGCTGGAACGGGTACGGCGTGGTCTGGTGCTGCTGGAGGTCGTGAAGCACTTCGGCTGTTTTCTGGCGCTTCGTGAAGTTTATCTGGCCGGTGGAGGTGTGGTTGGGTATGCCGTCGTCGAGGAAGGTTAGGTCTGTTAGGTAGATTCCTGTGGTGGGTTTAGTTAGGGATTGGGCTTATAGGGTTGGAGAAGAGGGGAGTACCGAGGAAAGGAACGCAGGGAGGGGCACTGCTTCGTAGGGTCTCGCGATATTGGACGAAGTTTCGTGTGCTTCCCATTAGATGGCGCAGCTCGTCTAGATTCGCTAGTGTGCGGCGGCTGACTTGGCTCCAGGTGAAGCGGAGTCGGTAGACGGGGGTCAAGCCCAGCCCGGAGATTATAGACATTAAGGTAGCGAAGTTGTTGAAGGCACGGCATTGCTGGAATAACGTCAGATGAAGACCTAGCATAACCCGGCACGGCCAACGAACCGATAGAGTCGCGATGGGAGAGGATAAAGGGGGATCCGTACATCAGCCACGCTCACGAAGTATTTCATCACCGCCACGCGTTTCTTCATATTGCTTTGATTGAGGATCGTTTCGGCGACCCAGTTAGCCAGTTTGTTAGAATGAAGAATCATGGCGTTCACGGCCGTCGAGGGATCGGAGTCATCGGGGCCTCGCTTCTGCCATCCCTTGTTCAGACACTCGGAGAGCTTTATTCGGCCGTGGAAGCCGGATTCGATGATTGTGAGTTGGCGCGCACACTCCACTGGGTCGACGTCGAGGAGCTTCATCTTCTTCATGTTTTTAGGGACGACAGGAGCTGGCGCAGATGATGTAGGCGTACGGATGAGTCGTCGCATAGTTTGATGACCTTGCAAGCGCTGGTCGATGATAGTGAGAAGATGAGACGATGTCGGCGTGGCCATCATCTCCGGCGAGTCCTTAACGATCGTCTGAGCATGTCGCAGGAAACCCCTCGTATCTTCATTATCCGGCTCTATCCAAAACCGCTCCAACCAATTCCTCAAGACATTAACAACCCTCAATCGAATAGCATGCTGTTTATGCTCCACCCACTGCTGCAATTCCACCTCATCCAACTCATCCGGCGGCTTGATAAAAAACCTCTCCACCAGCATCTCAAACAGCACCGATGCACTCGTGAACGTATTAAACGTCATCAGAAACGTCTCGTTGAACGCGGCATCCAACCGATCATGACGCGTCAATTGCTCGACCAACCCAGCCAACGTCCCCGATTTGACGACCACCTGCCCATCGACCACATCACACACGACCTCATCTTCATGATCGAGGTGCAGAAACCACGGTAAATCAATCGACCCGGAGCTGGACGAGTACCGGAAATGATGTCGCGGGTCGGACGCGGGACGCGATGAATCCTCCATCGCGGTCGGAGGAAGGAACTGTTTGTCACAGCTCATGCGACAGTCTCATTCTCGATGGCGCGATCAATGGCTCGACCTGACTCGACACAGCAGTGCAGGACAAGACACAAGGCTGAGTGCTTCCTGCAACGGGGATAGGATCAACAAGTTCGGACTGGACTGGCGTCGCTCCCCACCTTTTTCGGGTGTTTTATCAATCTTATCACACGGCCGATTCCTACCGAGAGAATCGGGCATCCACCGCACTACGAGGCCATTTTGTGGCGCTAGTGCTGGATAGCGCGCCCTCGCTTGTCCGCGGTGGAGATTTGGTTTATGACGCGTCAAAAACCGGCTCGGGCGTGGCTGCCACGAGGTTGACTATTTCTTTCACGAGTGAATATTAGTTGACGATTGGGTCGGGTGGAGCTTGGTGGGACAGTCAAGCCTCAAGCCTGTTCTTTGCAGGCCGTCATCGGAAGAGGTGGTTGTTCGTGGGAGGAGGAGTTGGATGGTGGATGGTGGATGGTGGGCCCACGAGCGTAGACGACGCTGTCGCACGAGCCTTTTCCCAATGCGACCCTGGACTTTCTTCGGTCTAGACCAGCAGGTAATCTCATGCAGGGGAAATGAAGGCAAGACAATTAATTATCTATCTGTAACTAGTCCCTGACCAGGCCACTGGATGTTCCCAGCATCCTCTAGTAAATCATATCATACCATAACCAAACAAGACGCCGGAGTTGGGTATCACTCGTTTTTATTCCTGCATCGTCACATCATCTCCCCTTTATTCTGCTCCTTATCGACGCGATAATTCCTCCAAACCGCAATCGCAGGGAACCCCAGCGCCATGATCGCGACCGCCGCAATGCATCCGTACTTCATGTAGGACGCGTACGCCGTGATAATAGCATCCCGTACATCCGAGCCAACAGGATACTGCAACTGCTTGACGTATCCGCCCTGGTAGATACTCAGATACTCCTTCTTATGGCTGTCCGGAAGAGCCCGGTGCAAGACCTGAGGAAACGTATTCGTGTAAATCGCCGCTGAGACCGCTGACCCAACGGCACCACCCAGACTCGAAGACAGCCCGATCAGCGATAACATCATGGGGACACCTTCGCGATCCGAAGCCGCCATGACAGCCATGTCCTGGCCGATGACGAGCGTGCCGCCCCCGAAGGCGATGAAAATCTGACACATGACAAGGTATCCGACGTTACTTTCCGGCGTGCGGAAATGAATCATAAGTCCTGCCCCGAGCAGGATAAGCGGCAATCCGAAGCCCAAACACGAGTACTTAAACTGCTTGGTAACGTAGACGACGATGCCGAACACCGCAGACCAGAAGCACGACCCTACGTTGTAGATCTGCCCGATATACCCGGCCATGCTGATGCTGAGGTCGAAGACGACCATGCAGAAGTTGTAGAAGTAGAGTTCCCAGGCGTAGTAGCTGAAGAAGAGAACGGCGGCGAGGGCGCACGCGCCGAGGATGGTGCGGTCCTTGAGCAGCGGGTAGTAGATGAAGTGGTAGGGGGCGAAGAATCGTTCCCACGCGGCGAAGACGAAGAAGAGACACACTCCGAGGATGATCATGGTGATGAAGGTGGCGCTTTTGTATTCGGTTTTGCCGTTGGTGGTGAGGCTGAAGGGGAGGAGGAGGAGGATGAAGGCGGCCATCAGAAGCAATGCCCCGATTACTGGGCTTGAGTTAGTATGTGGCTTTAGGAGGCGAGGGCAAACGTACCGTCGAATTCCTTGATGTAATGAACAATCGACTGCATTGTCGTGCGACCGCTGGGCTGCCGTCTGTAAATATGCATCCTCTGCGCCTTGCGCTGGTAGAACTTGAACGTCCCGGCCAACGGAAGAAAGACGAACGGGGCAACGATGGCAAAAGTGCCATACGCCCAACGCCAAGAGGCCGTTTGGATGAACGATTGCGCCGCAATGGGGCCGGTAAAGGCGGTGCAAATAAACGGGGTACTGGCGAACCCAAATGCAAAGGCTCGGTTGCGAAGACCCGACGTATCCGCCATGAAGACATCCAGGATCAAGAAGATCGCATCGTATCCGACCCAGTAGATCACGTAGCCCGCTGCGTAGGCACTGGGGTTGTTGCACGAGGCCAAAATAATCAGACCGAGGAGGTAGACGCCGATGAAAACGAGGAAGCCTTCGCTGCGACCCCAGATGTTCAAGAGACGCGCCACCGGGAGTTTGATGACGCCGCTGATCACGCTGGCCAGGATGTTGGCCGTGCTGATGTCGGGGGCGGCTTCGAAGGATGCGTAAGCGTTGTGGATGACATTGGTGCTGATGGAGGATTGCAGGGCGAGGAGGAAGAAACTGAGCCAGATCCTGAGAAATGAAAATAGCACATCAGTACCCAGCGAAGTGCATTCAATTGATCATACTCACAATGCATAAGTCCCGTAGGCCGTCTTCTTGCTCCAGGCCAGCGCTGCAGCCTCGGCCTTCTGTATGCCCAAACGAGCGCCCTGGGTCACTTCTTTGTGGCTCTGGGTCTGCGGGTCCTTGCGACTGTTCAGAGTGACCATGCTATTCTGGCTGCCGGCATTGTTGGGCGACGAGACTCGAACCTCGTAGTTGAGACCGTGGAACTTGGAGCCGGCGACGCTCTGGGCCAACTGCGTATTGTTGCGGCCGCGGATCAAATCGGAGACACCCATGAGGGCGAAGACACTGTGGAAATCAAAACAATAACAATACCCTCGGAATCCAAACAATCAAACAATAGATGTCCTGTGAGTAAGAATAAAGCCACAACCTCGACCGGAAAATAAAACAAAGAAAGAAAAGAAAGACAACAGCGAGAGAAAAATCAAAGGAGGGGGACACGGCACACACAGGCAGTGAATGCACGCCACCCGCCCATGGACCAGGATGGGAAATTAAGTGGGCAGCAGTCAGCACGAACATCCCAGTCGCCGTGGTCCGTCATGGCCAGTGAAAAAGCGTCTCATCTCCGGCGCTCGTGCCGATCTCATCTGTGTGACACACGCTGCAGCGCCCATGAAACCCGTGCGCGGGCCCCGACCCGAAGCTTATTTGGGTCGGCTCGGATCTGATAAGATGGAAGTGGCCTTTCTACCCTTTGTATGTTGACGTTAGACATCGACTAGGTAGTTAGTAGGTATAGACTTTCTATTTCCCACTAAAAGTTCATGGTTGTGTGGCCCCTCTAATGTCTCCCGTCAGTCCCGCACCAACACCAAAAGCACCAAATGGACCCCCACCCAACGAACATCACAAACCGACGTCGGGATTTGGCCGATGATCGGTTCGCTGCCCTACGCTGGCTAACCCGAGGCATGAATCTTAGTCTAAGAAAAGGCTCCATAACTTGAGCTTGTCCACTTGGTTTCGTCCCGCTTTACCACATCCAGCAGTCTGGACCGAGCGTTAACCAGATGGAGTTCGTCGGGATTGTCACTTGACGGGAGCCAAATGAACTCAATGTCAGTCCACTATCTGTCAATAGTCCCGAGATGGGCTCTGGTAGACGGGACGATCTTCTGCAGAAATGTCTACTCGGGATGTTCGCGGTCGGAAAGGGGGAAAAACAATCGGTAGAATCGAAAATATATCGATTTCAAACTAACGGCAAGCCAACAGATATGAAACTACTTTACATACAATCCTATTCATAAACCGTATCACTCCCCTCCGTTTCTTCATACGCATCGTCAAACATGTCAATCTGTTCATCCTCACCACTGTCATAAAACTCGTCTCCTTGGGTATCCACGCTGTCGGCAGTGGGACTATGTGGTCGATTTCCTGCGTCGGCCATGACCTGCGTCGCTCTTCTAGCCTCAAAGAACGGATGATCGCTGCGAAGAGGCCATTCCTGACACACGTACCCCATCGGAGTATGCGACACGTCTTGACCTTGGCGTCGAAGCGCCAGCCACTCCTGCAGAAAGCTTAGATGCCGTTTGGTGCGCGCCTGAATCGACTGCGATGTAGACTCGTCATAGGGCGACAGGCTTTCTGGCGTCAGATAGAGTGCATGTAGCAGGGTCTGGTAACCAGCATAATCGAAATATAGCCGTCCCGCAAGGATTCCCAGTTCAAGCGGAAGCCAATCGGGAGGTGTCCAGTCGGGAGGGAGACTTGGAATCGCGTAGTAATCTAGCCGATCGAATTCCAACATGCGCTTTGTGTATGGCGGCGCGTACAGAATTAGGTGCACGGAAGGGGCTTCCATGCTTCGTAGGATAGGGATGAGCGCTTCGGACTCTTCTGGGATGATAACAACAGCCGTTTGCGTCTTAGTGTGAAAGAGAACCCAGTTCACCGACCGCTATTTCAAAACGTTAGCCCAAATTCTCCCATAACATAATCGAGCATTCCAGGAGAAGCTACCGTAAAATTGTCATTTCTCTTCCCCATCTTCAACTTGATGGTCCTGGTGAATTCAACAGACACATACAGCCGGGGCAGAAGGGAAAAGGCTTCGATCGAATATTTTTCTCCCAACTCCGTATGCTGTAAGATCCGAGACGCCTTCGCAAACCCTTCATCGTCAATCAACCCCGTCGAAATAAACCGCTTGAGCGACTCGCTAAGCCCGGGGAACTCGAGTGCCGTCATCCGGGGAGGTCGTTGGATTTCTCGTTCCTCTTCGATTTCGAAGGCGACTTCGCGCTCCTGTTCGACTTCTTCCAACGCCGAGCTCGTTAGCTGCCCCGAAATGTCCTTTAACTCGCCTTTTCTGGCTCGCAGCTCCTGGATGAAGTTGGCCACCTTGCCACTGAGTATAAGACCTCTCTTCTCAGATCCGACCTGGTCACCCGCCTGCTTCTTGGTCCTTGGCTTGTACAGCTGTTCTAGGGTCTGTTGTTCAGGTTGGCGTAGCACCTTCAAGTACTCCTGTCGTGCCGCGAAATATGTGAGGAAGCTTGGGTTGTTCGCGGCGGCATCGGTGCGCCGACAGAAGTCGACGCCCTGGGCAAGGTAAAGGTATTGCAGTTCGGCATTCGTGGTGCATGTCTGATCCAGAAGCCAAGTTACCACGTCGGCGGAGTCAATGAGGTCATTCGGACTTTTATTGCAAACATCAAGAATACTCCGGTGCACTTCAGGAGGAGCGAAAAACGTGATCGATTGTGTCGTACCAAGTTGGCGTAGTCTCATCGCAGCTGGAAGAGGTCCGTCAGAAATACTCAAGGAAATATACTGGGTCGGAAAGCCTACCTTGTACCGTTTGATCCTTTGTCTGCTTCAAGCCCAGCGTCAAAGCCCCTCTGGCGAAAGGTGGCAGCTTTAAATCAGTTCCTCTTGTGTGGGCCTCGTCCAGGTAAACAAGACAGTCATTCAGGTTGTCTGCGAAAGGGGTTGCGAGCAGTGGAATGGTATTCCCTTCGCGAAACTCAACCCAAGCTTTGTTATCTGGACCGAAGTAAACAGCTGCCTGCGCTTGTATGTCCGCCTGTAGCCATGCCTTTGCTAGGGCCCGATTCCCCATCTCCAGAATGTATGCACCCGCATCGATGAGAACCCGGATTTCTCTTCCCTTGAGATATCCCAAAAGACCGACCTCGGACAGTCGTTTCCCATCTGGAGCGATGGCAACTTCGTAAAATCTGTTGCGCGGCTGGAGAAGGTAGGTCAAAACCTCGGCATTTGTGTGCGAAAGACCAGGCAGATCGTGCTGCTGGATAGTAAGTGGAAGAAGCCTGCGGTTGTCGTTGGTACCACTGAAACCAGTCGTGATTCCTGGACGATTGCCACACTTATCCTTTGACGCGACATTGGTGTTACTAAATAATGGGACATCCCAGCCTGACGCCTGCAGCTTGATCGCAAATTGCTTGGCATGAATCGGAAAGACGAAGTTGTTGAGAAAATGGTTGATGGCAACCACGGTGAAGCGTAAATGTCGCCAGATCTCCATAAGCTGGGAACTGTCATCGAGATTGATGATGTTCCAGTGCTTCAGTTGCTCGGGTAAAGTGACCGACGCGTGCGTCCATCTGTCATACTCCAAAGATGGATCGTCGGATCGTAGAACCGCCCGCAAACTTTGCTGAAACTGCTTCTCATCAAGGCCTTGATGATAGAATGAGAGACATGTGAAAATTATGGCGACGTCTGGATGTCCCCATTCTGCCTGATCAGAAGGAACTCCCTTCGCATGGAATGGTACAGCCATTGGATCACGCCGTGGATGGAGGCCATACTGAACATTCCACCTTTTCTTCAAGCACAAGAGCAGAATCCCATGCACGAGTAGCCCACGAAGCAAGTAAAGGCTCTTCCGAGCGCCAGGTGAGTCGGGAAAGAGCGCCGAAATGCATTCCAGAATCTCAGAGGCAACTGTTTCTTCAGAAATGAAAGTTCGGATCGCGTTCTGCTCTTCCAGCGTGCAATTCCTCAGCGGCAGTATCCACGTGCGAGAACAACAGACGTCATATACTATCCTTCGCATCAGGGCGTCCTCCACATCCCTCCTCAGGAAATAGGCGACGGGAAACTCCGTGGCTGTTCTTTCCAGAATGTCAATGCTGTCAGGATATTCATGCGCCAGGTCGGGCAGATGCTGCGAAACGAGACTTAGCACCGTGATAATAACTTCCCACCTATTTGGATGGCCATCAACCGTGAGCTGGGAGCCACTAGGATAGATCAATTGTGTCTTTACCGCCAGAGTGAAATCACACTCATCCAAAATGTCACGGCAGGCTTTGCCCATCCAATTTTGGATCGCAACCATCTCGGCAGCTTCGTCGATCTTCATGTCAGACACTCGTTGTAGTCCACTCAGCTTAAAAGATAGGATATGCTCGGGCACAGCTAAAATGATTCCGCATTTGCGCAACATCTGATAGTGGAGCTCCCTATATTCCCGTGTATGACTAGGTGTTGTCGGTGTCTGTCTGGAGAAGGGGACATGGGTAACTTCTCGGCCTACAAGCCCCCCAAGGCGAGACTGAAGGGTCTGTGCAGTTTGCGACAGGAGCGACTTCGGAACAATTAGTCTCGTGAGCCTTTTACCATCAGCAAGTAGACATGCGACCATTGGCATGATGACAGATGTTTTGCCCTGCCCCATATTCATTTGCAAGACAGAATTCGAACCCGAGGTTGGAGCCACAATTTCACGCGCCACGGTGACCTGATCCTCACGGATTTGAATGTTTGCATCTAGCTCTAGCAACAGCCAATCCGGGTATTGAGCGGGATGCCAATTAGTATGACCGGGGTTGCGATACTCTTGCCAAAGCTTTGCTTCATCCCTCTTCTGCAATGCTTCTTGCATACGAAGCAGCTGTTGTAATTTTGCGATTGCCATACCGTACGATATCAGCACTGGTCTCATATTGGACCCAAATTCACAGGAAGACGTTGACCGAAGATGTTCAAGGATGGCTGTCGGCGACAGACAAGGCCAAAGATTGGCTTTCTGTAACCAGAAAGCTCCCGGATAGTCACATGAGAGAGCAACGGATATTCGTGTATGTATTTGACTGACGATCCGGCGAGCTGACAAGATTTCATTTTTGAGGCCGAGAATCCTTGTTTTGAAATCGCTTTTCACTCTCATTCGCTGTTCTCGAGCCCGGTCGGGTGATTTAAGAGTCGCAATGCTTTTTTGCAGATCTTGGGCGTAGTTGCATCTCACGGAGCAGTCGGATCGCATCAGATTTTGTACAATGTTCTCGAGTTCCGTGGTATCTGGTATATCCTGCTGTTCGACTTCAACACCAGCTGCATTGCAAAACGCGACCCACCAATCCTGAGCAAGACCCTTGACGCGGCCAACTGATGCTTCCAGTGATTTTGATTTGGGCCCAGGTCTTTGGAGAAGCTCTTTGCCGAGAGACGGAATGGTAAACGGATACCAATTCGGGCCAAATACTTCACTGCGGTGCGAGTCATGGATGATCTCAAAGTCCATTTGATAATCAGAATGCCGATCCAGAACCTTTTGAACATCTTCCAAATGTTTCGCAAACAGACTGTTGTTGTATAAACGCAGCCACTCAGGAGCAATGGCGTCGATCGATTTCTCAATGTCAAGGTAAACTGTCTGGAATCCAGCAGAAGTTGGTCGATCACAAGGCCACTGACGGATGAGGAAAGCAATAAGCTTTTCGTGGTCCATCTCACATTTCATCTCATGATCCTCTTTGGCAGCTTCGCGGCGACGCTTGTCACGACCCACATGCTTCCCATTCTTCTTTGCCTCCCATACATCTTCGAATCGAGTCCAAAATGGCCTTGTGAGACTTAGTAAGACGCGGGATGTGGGCTGTGCATTTAACTCGAATTTCTCAAAGGATGTGCACTGAGGGTATTGGAGTTCTTTCAGACCCTGAACAAAGAAAAACGCAAGAAGGACACGGATGATCGCCATGTCGACGTTATTTCTGAAGGCTATGGCCCCTATATGAAAGATGAGATCACAGACATCCTCTGGATGGCAGTCTTTGCACTTGTTGACCAGGCCGCCCCATTCCACAGCAAGATTGGTGTTCAGGGTCTCCTGTAAGACATGCGGTGTGAAGCTATTTGCATAACCGCCAATCATCAACTGGCCCCGAAAGACAGCTGTTATATCGGGGGTGGTATGAATTGACACCGGGCGGTGCAGTAATAAATCCACAATTTCGCGAACATTCTGGTTTCGCTAGGAATTCGACCAACCGTCGCGAGAATTGTAGGAAAGGTCAAGTGCTGTGACCGACTGTGTGAATATGGTATCCGGACGTTCATATATGGAGCGTCGCCACTGGGCCCGCTTACGCAATTCGATTGATGTCCATGGCTCATCCGTACGTGGAGTCGAGTTTTGTTTGTCGAATAAAGACAACCGTTCGGACTTTCCCAGAATTGAAGCAACCAAAGGCCCATAAGCATCGTGTTGAATTGTCGTTGTCAAATGAGGATTCCACTCAACCTTCTGCTGCGCCCTCTTATCCTTCGGATAGAATTCCCGTCGTGGCGTGAGATTCGACAGATCTTCCAATACTTCACGTGACGCAGCCTTGGGTGTCCAAGGTTGAAAACATCCTGATTGAAGACAGAGCAATGCTTCTTCGGTTCCTGTTCGCTTAGTAAGGGGGTCCGGCACCATGCACGAGGTAAAGGCGTGTAGCGTTGCTTTTATGCACAGAAGCTGTGGCACTGGGGGACAATGCAACCGTCCGAGTTCTTTCTCAATTATGTATCGTGCATATCTTCCATCATTCTCCATGCGAACAAGAGTATGCATGCCCTGCCGCTCATAGTGAATCCTACCCATGGTGGTAATGATGAATCGCTGCGATGGATTTCGAAGAACAAGCATGCTTTGCAATCCAAACAAAGTCCCAGCGTCCTGGTTGAGATCCATTTCAGCATGTAGCTGTTTGCAATGCAAAAGCTGTCTGTTATTGACGTGAAAACTCAGATCCATTCGCTTTATCTCAATTGAGAGCGATTGCTTTCTCGGCTGAAACACTGTCAGGTAGGGAGGGCACTCGAAGTTGCTGAACACTCTAGCGACCTGGCGAAAGATATCGCTGTGTGGATCAACAAGAGAAACGGACCTGCGAGATGCTGTCCTTGTTCTGAGATCGATATTCCAATTCCCGGGCCGGTGGTACCATATTGCCGGTTTTCTCCTGACCTCGATTGTTCCCAGTCTCAAGTTGAGCCAGTGGACACAATCTAAAGTCATTGATACTGGCAGGTCTGGGGTCAGAGTGGTGCCAAAGACGGACCTAGGAACCAGTTCTAGAATATCTCCCTGGTAGACCGCCCTCACTATCAAAGTATTCTTTCGATATCCAATGTGGATCTGGTGGTTCTTGATAATTATGCCGAGCGTGAAGTCCATTCCAGGCATGTTGGATGGAAGAGCAAAGAGTCTTTGGTTGCCGAAAAGGTCTCTGAGAACTTGGGAGTCACTGATGTCAGGTGGCAACTTTCCAAGGGCCCGTCCATTGATGAGGAAATGGCCCTCAAGAAGATGATGGTGAAATTCTTGCAACTCGACGCTCTCGGTGGCTTGCACCGTTGACATGACCCAGCCTTCGTAAGGTTCGGGGAGTATTTGCCAATCCGTATAATTGCGCGGAATGCTGCTTGCCTCGGGCCATGCAGCATCAATTGCAGCTCCTAGGCTTGTGGGGTTGATTCTGGCTGATGATAAAAGAACGGCCTTCATCCTGGCGACCATTTTGATGTCACGGATTAAGAGATTTTTTGTGGTTGTTGAAAACCTTTTGAGGTCGACTACCAGGCTTTCTTGCATCGCAAGTGTAGCCTCAACGAAACACCGAAAGTCTTCCCCGCTCATCGGAATACCGTTGTAAGCGTGGGGATAGAATGTCCTCCGGCACAGAAGTGCAGACAGAAAGCAATAGCGGGCCAGTCTTTCCGCGGTGTCTATCTGCCATGCATTTCGGGTTTCCTTGCGTAATACACAGACCCAGGAAAGCGTGACACGACGGATCCGTAACAAAAGCGCCTGTATATCTGGAAACAACTCCCGATGACCGAGAGCATGGAGTTGGATTGCAATTGTCAACATAGTCTCCATGTAGATTGTTTCCCGCCAATTTGCTGAAATAGCTTCAATGTGCTGGTGAACCTTTTCGATGAGTTTCCGACAAAAGGCCAAGTCTTTAAAAACAACATGAACGACTCGCAGAACTCCCTCGTAGTCTGTGGAAATAGGGCCGGCCTGGAGTACGAGGCGGTGCATGAGATCACATGTAGTCTGTACACTGAAGTTCACATTTGAAGAGCCCAGCTCACCCAGGATATCTAGCCAGCGCCTAGACCTGCCTGCCACGAGACTCTGGTGTGCAATAAACTCATGGGTCGTCAGCTCAGGCGGACACTCGCTGATACTTGCAATGGCCTCGTAAGAAGAAGGACCTGGTCCATCTGCTGCAAATCCGCCAGATTCGAAGAGGTTCGTGAGAGGAAAATTGGCAGGCAACGCAATCGAAAAGTGATGGGCGAATGTCAATGGGGCAGGGAGGTCCCTCATCCAAATATTCCGCTTTGTGTCGAAGTAGGAGAATTGCAGTCCCATGGGCATCAGTACCATTTTGGCACTCGCTGGCAGCCTCTTCCAGCTATAGTGTGTCCCCAAATAAGACTTTGTATGAGAAGCGAGGGAGGGTCCCTTCACACTATTGTACTTGTTGTAGGGGATGAGCTGTGCATAGTCCCCGAGTAGGCATTCTGGACTTTCTTTGAGTGCTTGTTCTCCGTGAGGACAGAGCGTGTTCAAAATCTCCCACGTTGTGCGACGGTATGCAGCGACGATCTTGGGCATTCCCAGTTCCAACACAACGGCTCTACGTTCAGCCACCTTACTTTCAGATGGAAGAAAATCTTCGTGGATGCTGATCCTCAATCGCTTCCGTCTCCGCAAATAGTAGCAGTAGGTGCAGCCTCTGATGTCGTGAGTCCCATCCTCATTTTGCCGTTCTGTGCAGATGCTTGTTGCTCTTCTCTCGGTCAGATCGTGAAATTCAGAATTAATCTTCTCTAATTCATCCTCCTTGTCCTTTCTAGAAGCTAGAGAGGCGGCTTCTATCTGCGTCTCGAGCAACTTCAGAAAAGGACCCCTTTCTTCCTCAAAGAATCTATCCGCAAAGCAACCCGGCGCTGGGTCTGAGAAGATCGTCATATCAGTTGTTGCATGGGTACAACGATCGTGAAGATAAGATTGGATTCTTCGAAGCCTTTCCAGGTCTATGAATCTTGAAAGAAGAAGGATATCGAGCAGACATGGGTTAAAGGCTGGGTGGAATTCTCTGAAAACCGGATAGGCAACTGTCGCACATTTGTCCATGTGGACCCATAGCTCGAACAACGTAAGAGTGAATACGCTCATCTGTTCCGGGTTGGATCCATATGCATCTCCGACCATCTCCATGTACTCATCGATTTGACTAGCGTATTCCAAGCAAAGCTTCACAGCGTCGCCCTTAGAAGCCGGGGTAGTACGACTCTTTGCTTCGATCGCAAGCTCCGTCTGGGCGAGCAAGGAATAACGAGCGGTTAAGTCGCGGAACTGTTGTGTGCCTTTTGTTTGATCGAGCGCTTTCCTGTCAGTGGTACGGTGTCCTGACCTCCGGGACTGGGTCTCGTTGATGATTTCCTGAAGGTAAACTCCGCTGTTTGGTAGCGACAGCCGAAGGTCTTCGCTGCCGGCTCGTTTTGGCAGCCGTGGTATCTTGCGGGAAACTGAGTTCTTGAAGGCGTTCCAACTTGATTTAGTCACTTGGGTCATGTTATCGATGGACCTTTGGTATATGGGACCCAGTGCTTTGAACATCTGAGCATAATGAGTCTTCAGTAATGGGTCAGATCTCTCTTTTACCGTGTCCAGTTTCGCTAGACGGCGACAGAGTTTGGCTTGGAGAAAGCTGCCCTGTTCAGGAAGTAGTACATCTGACACATCTTCCAGCAGATTTGAAAGAACCGAGCACATCAAAAACTTGTACATCATACGCCCCATGCTGGCGCCATGACGAAGGTAAAGGAGACGTTGGGTGCAGACTCGAAGGAGAAGCCAGAATGGGCTTCTGCGCCACGGCATCTCAGAATCATCCCAGATCACGTCGTCCTTGACGCGCTTCCGAAGGAGCTTGGGTTGTACACGGCTTCCCTTCGTTTCAACGAGTGTCATGAAGAACTGGGTAATGATTGCAGGGTCCACGGTATCTCGTGTCTCGGTGACATCTACCCCAGCCTTTCTTGACTTGGGTGCAAACTCTTCGAGCAGCTCAAGGCTTGCTTTCTCAAAGAACGAAGCCATGTTCTCCTGGAAACTGGGGTTTTGAAACTCATCCAGAGGCAAAGAGGCTGCTACTCCCGGGAAATCCCACTGCAGGGCGCCGCGAGCTGCTAGGGTCTGCTCGGCCATAGCGGACGTCTCGAAGGCTTCAAAAATCACAGTTTTATCGTCACTTCTAAGGTTCCTATGTTAGCCTTGTATGGTTGGAGATGGCAAGTACAAAGCTCACTCTGACTGCCGAATCATGACGCCAGCATTCTGCTCGACGATGTGCAAGATGACGGCGTGATCAGGTTGAATGTTCTTGAAGGCTTTGAGCAGGCGCGCCTTGTTGATATGACCATTCTCGTTCACCAGAGTGCAAAGAGCTAATGACTTCTCAATGGTATTCCAGGTTGGCGAGGCTTCACTCTGGCCATGTTCTCTAAGAGCCTTGACGGCATCAAGCAAGCGACGCGTCAGATCCCCATTCACGTCTTCATCACGAGGGTCCTGCTTTCCAGGAAGCTGAGGAGGAAAAGCAACGTGGTTGAAGGTGAGATTCAAGAGGGAGTGCTGGGGGGGCATTTTGATATGTGATATATCAGGGTGAGGGATAATAAACGAATGACTAGAAGAGGTGAGAGGGGAGTTCGAGAGCAAATGGCAAAGTCAGAGATAAACAAAAAGAGAGTGGAGGAAGGAGGTGGGTTGTAAGGAGGAAGGGGTGAGAAAGAAAGTGAGAGGGTGTAGAAGAAGAGAAGTGGGAGAAGTGAGAGATGGAGGGAGAAAAGAGAAAGACAGGTGGGACGAGGGGGGAACAGGTAGGCTGCCGCGCTAGACAAGGCCATTCACTTGTTTACTCACTTCACTCACCTCACTGGTCCTTGTGCACAACGAACATGGTGAGTCTGATGAAATCCTTTATGCACGTTCGTTCAATCAAAACAATCATTTCTGGTGAGGAATCCTTCCTAAATTAGATACAATTCGCGGACATGTACATCGGCTAGTCTCCATTTTTTCTGTCAGCCTGGCCAGCATTTGCCTGATTTCCAGGACTTCAAAACACCTCGATGACACGATGGCGGGGGTCTCGCAGCACTGAAACAAGCATGATCAAAGTGCACATTTTGCTCACTGAGCGTCCGTGGCAGGATATTATACTGGAGAAGGCTGAAAACATTATCCAGAACGCAAAAAGGCGGCTTTCCCCACATTGTGGAGCCTGGAAATGGAATGTGATGGCCTCAGGTGTCTGCGTGTCCAATGTAGCTTAGTGCTTATCTGACCCACAGTGGGTTTAATCGGTCAGCAAATAATAAATATAAACAAAGATGTTCCTAGAATATATTCTTAGTATTCGTCACACTCACCAGAATAAGTCAGAGACTCTCTTCCCTAGAAGGTAGACTCCTACCTTCATCAATAAGTGTCACCGCTGCAGTTGAATCTGGAAGCGCCCTGGTAGGCTAGTACAAGCCAATTATGTGTTCAACTATATATCTTCGAATATATTTGTTGACATTTAAGATATTGCAAGGACTACCCATTGCCCAGCTGGGGTTTTTGGTCTAGTGGTAATATCAGGAACATGCTTAAAATATCTTCGAATTCCGTATGAATTCCACTTTGCCTTTTTGTTCTTTTTTTTTTGGCTCATGCTTACTGAACACTAATTTTTATACAATCTCTAGACTGCGTATAGTCGAGTAAAGCCTACGTCGGTTACAAAACAACCCTTGAGGAGATTATCCATATAGCTCATGAAATCTTACGACATAGGTTTACTTTATTGTTGAAACTCGAAAGGTTTCTGCCCAGTTTGTAATAACTAGCAAGAGAACACTCAAACGAACAGTTGTCAGACCCCGCAGGAGGAACTCCAGGCCATTGACCTCCTAATAATCTGGAACCTTCTTGTCCTTCCTTAGATCTTGCCTGGGAGGAAATACATCACTGTCCAGAATGTTCTCCTAAGTAGACTCCATCATCAATGCACTGGTTTAATGGATACCCATGGACACCAGTAATTCCAGGGAAGCTCACTTATGGCCTCTTATCCAACTATCTTCATTTCCCTCCATCCTCTCCGCATCTCTTCCACATCCATCGTTCTTATCCAGAGATATCAAAAAGATCGCAGATACTTGCCGAAAGACAGAAGGCTGCTGTCGCCTCCACGATGATAGCGTGGCAATCAAGCGAGAAGCAAGAACTGAGAAACAGATCTTGTCCCCTTATGAAAACATGCAGATTTTTGCAATAGCCCAAGAGTGTGGGCCTATATCTCCCAAGACTGTCGCAGACAAAAGAAAGGACTTAATTGCGCGCTCGAATTTAGCTCTGCACAACCAGCGAATATCGAATCACACTCGCATATGCTTTGCAACCAGGATGGGACCAGAACAGGATATCGCAAGCTTTGTTTCCGCCCAATGACATGGGATATCTTTCTTTATCGGCAAAGGAATAGTTAGCTGTTCTGGCTTAGTCAAAGTTGTACATGCCTCGGCTCGGCGAAACTGATGAGAACAACAACAGCGCGCCTACTTCCTTATTTTACGGCACGTGTTAGGGTTTCACTATCTAAGAGGCATTTATCATGATCCTAAGAGAGCCAACGAGCAGACGAAGGCTGCGGCAAACACATCAGCTAAAACAACAAAAGCGATTCAATATCACCATGGTCAAAGCTTCTCACAGAACGTCTCTATCTGTTTTTTCCTTCCGTGTTCTTTGCTTTTGTTGATTTGAATTCACCATCCACTATTTTTGCCGTGGGAAAGGAAACAAGACAATGTTTTGCAGAAAAGACAGGCAGGCGGGTAGCAATAAGGTTGGCCACTAACCCCTGAGGCATCCATTCATACCTAAGGACCGCCCCGCCCCGTGACCGTCGCATTCCGTAGGATTGACGTAGTCTGCAGGAACAAACCGAGATCAAGACTCAGGCCTGACTCAACCCTTGACATCTCTTCGCACCCACCGCGATAATGACCAACGATCGCGAACTCACGGCTTTGACCGAGCTTCCGCTGGAATTATTACTCACGATATCAGATCATTTATCAATTGCCGATATTACTTGTCTCGCTTTATGCAACCGCCACTTCATGCAATCCTTCCAGAACATGAACCGTGGATTCCACGCATTCTCGAATCATCGCACACCCCTCAACCGAATGATCATTTTCGAATCGACTTTCTGACTCGGCTTGCCCGCGACCTACCACCATATTATCCCTGCTTTGCTTGTCTGCGGCTTCATCCCTGGCGGAATATTGCGCCACCACATCCCTTGTTCCGCCTTCCCGAGTGCTTCAAATCCGTGAACAAAAGATACGCGTATCGATCACGGCCGATGGATCTGAATCAACATCCCTCCTATGTCGTGTCTAAGCCGTATTTCGTTCACCTTCAGCTTGCGATGCGAAGATTCTACTCGGGGCCTCAGTTTGGGATCCCAGTCGAGTCTCTCTTCACCACAGAAGTCGCAGTCTATGCGCTTGAAAATTCGCCCTTGTACTCGGGACTAGTCTCTTCTAGCACAATGTCCGACGAAGAGTTAGACAACAACGTTCTCAAAACACTCACATCCGTTGACGCTCGCATATGTCCCAGCCCACCGAGCATCTGCTTACGAACTCAGGAATTGGCAGTGGTAACACGTCAGAATGTACGACAAGCATTCCCGAAGCCTGATGGCGATTATATGAGGGTCTGCCATCACATCGACACTTATAAATCGAACTTTTGGGATATCATCAATCCTCTTATTGAGTCCTGCTCCAATTCGGCGACCTTGGGGCAATCGCGGGGTCAAGGGCGCTGTGAAAAATGTAACACCTCATGGAAGTTGGAGATGCGAGACATAGGACAGAGGGATGTTTGTCTTGTCTTCACTCGGTGGTTTGATTTAGGACCTGGGCTGAGCCCAGAGGACGCTCAGTGGAAGTGTCATGTTGATTATCTCCCCAGTGTTGACCTTAATTATGTACCTGGCATGGTGTTGGCCGGTGATGAATTGGTTTCTGATCCCCAAGCGCGGTTCGAAAAGGATTCTATTCAGGCCAACTACTCAAATGCAATGTCAGATGAGGAACTGTTCCATCGGAATATCTCAATCTTCCACCAAAACAAATTCCGGACTACCATGACTCGAGTAGGCTTCTCGAGATGGTTTTTGAATGGCGAAGTCCAGACATCGCACCAAACTAAGAACCGTGGCATTTCTCGCTGTGTTATTATCTAGGATAATCTATTGATATTCCGATCAAACACAGGGTATCTTTTTTTTTAAACACGAACGAGATTTCTTCGCATTCAATATTTGAAACCAAAGCAGTTCAATGACTTTCCGTTCTTTCCATTGTGCCTCGTGCCTTCCCTAAACGTCCATGTATGAACTCCCCTCCCCTCCTTTAATTCACTTTCCCGCTCCCTCTGCTTCCTCTTTCTTTTTCTCTCCTCGCCCCTATTGTTACCCATCCTTTTTGAGCTCATCCGTGCAAAGAAGGCTTACAATGACAGGCATTGGTCACTCCACTGCGGAATTGATTATCTCGCTAATTGCTGCCGTTGGAAGCTACGTCGGTCCTGTGGGAGGTGCGAATTGTGCCTCCTCGTCAGGCTTTGAAGTTGATGGTCCTCTACACGCGGATTTGTCCGAATGACATCGATCAAAGTCATTCATTTTATGGCTGGCTTGAACGACACAATTCTCTAGAGATCCCGGGTCGACGCTTTCCACTCTTACGGGGATGTTTGTCTTTCCGAATGACGGTGTAGGCAGTGTTGATGGCGTTTCTATACTCCAAGATTGGGCTAACTAGCCGCTTTGGGGTTAGCCGGTCCTCTTGCCCTGACCCGTCAACCCAGTCACGCAGAGTTAAAATACCCCAAACGAACATCCACAATCAACAACAGTGCGAATAGTGATATGAGAGAATGTAAGTGTTGTAAACCCACCAAGCCCACTTCAGCTGGCATTTCAATCCATCTGGTAATTAGCGGTTTCTCAGCAGTTAATAACTTTATACTGTTCATAAACCTTATCAGCTTTTATTTCCCCTGTTTTTAATACATCAGCCGCCTGGCGTGTATCAATCAGCAACAAGCGCCTTGGGACTCCGGAATGACATCCCCATCTCGTAGTGTTGACGTATGATTCCACTGATCGGTCTAGGATAAAAGGTTCCAGGGTCCTGGCCCTTGTGGAATTCTCTTCCCCAGTTAATCCTTCGACATCTTTCTGCTCTCATCAAGTCAGTTACCAGCTCGAAGCCGACTTTGCTTATCCGTCCTTCACGATGAATCCCCCCAAGAGACCAAAGCCTAGATACTGCGGCTCCTCGGCAAGAAAGCGCCCAATGTCCTGGGCCACATACCACCTCCTTTATTTTGCCCTTTACGCCATTTCTCTTTACCCCTCGGCCATATTGATCGTTACGTTTGTGGAATTATTGAAGCTGAGAAAATTCATAATAGTCGACATCAACAACCCTCTCATGGTTCCTGCAATCATCAGTGTTTCAGCCGGTTTTCTCGGCGATCTCCTGACTCGTTACACCCTTCTTCTTGAGCGATCGCAACGGTCCACCCACCTTTGTGACTCCATGTCTATCGCTAATATTGCTCGAATCAATGAGCTTTTCGACGACAGTCTCGCTGGGATTAAGGATCAGAAGGAGACTATTCAGGAGTTCGAGAAGCTCCTGCAATCTCTTCAAGCTCCTCGAGCTCAATAAACCCATTCATGGCACGAAAACCAGAATCCCAGCTCTTCTATACGAACTTACCTCTGCGATCCAATCAAGAAGGACTCTGGGTTCCTTGGGAGGATATCCGTTCATGCGCTTGACTTTCGCCGATTCGACCTTTCCTTTCCTTCGCACTAATTCCTCGGTTCCGTCGATTTCCCATTAAACCTTTGGGCGAGCGTTTCAGTGGCCGACACTTTGGTGCCTGCTCGTTCGTGAAATCTCATATGGTTTGTGTCTATTTCGGGATTCGAGAGGGTTGGCGTTGGCGAAAAAAGCGTGAGGACGAGGATGTGGAATATGATGAGGTAGTTGCTCGTGGCAGATTCCTTGGCTATGTTGTTGGTGTTGTTGGTATGCTCTCAACCATTCAGTTCTTTAGGCGTAGTTGACCATGAAATTCGATCTTTGCCGTTTGCTTCAATTGCAGGTATACAGGAACTCTCGCTATGCTGGTGCTGCTCCTTCTCAAGCTGTCAGGGCTGTTGATTGTCGAATACTCAGCCTAGTAACTCCATCGCGAGTCCCCAAACAAACCCGTCCAAACTCTCCCAATTCAATACCGGAGCCCAACGGTACACGCCATTACAAAAACGGAGCGCTCCGGGCGTCGTCAGACGCATGATGATCGTTGGAGTAGTTGGCCGTTCCGGACCATCAGCGATTCTACAAAGTAATAGTTTAATCTAAATTATATTAACGCTAGGCCTGTTCCGGCAGTGAGGTGTCCCGATTTGTCCAGTGCTCGGAGAGCCCTCCTGTTGGCGGGTTGGGCTTAACCGCTTCTGGATTTAGTGTCTTCGCTTAGGGTTGAGGACGGGGAACGGTGGGTTCTTTCCGCTGGCCCCCTTGTTTCAGGGCTGGATGGTTTGTCGGTTGAGACGTCAGCGTGGTTCTACGGTGATTGTGGTTTTTTGTTTTGTTGTTTTTTATTTCGTGCTTGACCTTGCTGGATAAGGCAGTGGTTTTGTTTTGTGTTGGGCGTTAATTTGTATTATGATTAAGATTATTGTGAAGTGACTACATATAATGAGCGGTTTTGGTTCGGTTTTGATCTAACGAGTGACTAGAGCTGGAGTTGTGTGCAACAGGGAAAGGAAACATATATAGAAGGCTACCCGAATGCCGCGTAGCCGGATCATCCCTGAGGATTAGAGCCGTGTCGGTGAGCTATCCAGGAAACCGGCCGAGGAACCGGATTTAGAAACCGTGCGCGCGGCGACGAGCCAAGTGCTTTCTCATCGAGGAGGTCGAAACGGACGATCTCTTGCTCATACCCATCAACTTGACACTCTCCCAGTAATCGCTGGTCCCGTGGGTCGGGTCACTGTCCGTGGCGTTCCCGGCGCCGCAGAGAGAGCCCTCGTCGCCCTTTCCGTTGGGGCCAGAGACGGGAAAGTAGTCGCGGTCGTTAGAGGACGCGTCCTTGGCCATGTACTCGGCCGCCTCGGGGAGCCATCCGTTGATGAAGTCGCCGTGGAAGCAGTAGGAAGAACCGCAGGCAAATTCAAGCGGAGGAGTGCCGGACCAGCCGTCAGGGAGGATCTGGCGCAGGTCATACCGGATGGAGTAGCGGAGACGGGGCATACGATACATCCCGATCGGGCAGCGGTTGTCCCCGTAGTTCTCCCTGTAAGCTGGGTTGAACGAGTAGGCGTACTCGAGCGTGGTGTTGGAAGAGCAGTCGGGGAAAAGCAATAAGACTTGAAGGTGGTTCTTGCAGGTCTTGCTCGGGAAAGCCACGGCATCCTTGTCCTTCTCCAAGGGCTCGCCGTCGCAGAACACTTGGACTCCCGCGTCGCTAGGCACACCCTCCAGGGATGTAGCGGTGGCATTGCCAGCAAGGAGCTTTATGTCCTGAGGTATAGGGATCTCGGCGCTGTCGAGCTCCTGGTAGTAGGCACTGAATCGGAACGGTTTTATCGCGGTGTAGTTCGATCCGTCGACGTGGTAGAGAGTAGGGACCCCTTTGGTTGCCATTTGGTTAGTAACGGCGGGAATGAACGACCAGCGAGAGAACTTACAGTAGGCAGAGAAGTCATTGGGGTTCCGGGCAGTAGAGCAGCCCTTCTGTAGCTCGGCGGAGGTGTTGGTATGCGCAGTAATCGCATCAGAGCCGAAGAAGCTGTGCATATGGCTGGTGTATTCGCCAGGAACCACCAGCGGGTCAATGTTCTTGAGCATGAACATGTCGACATTTGTCACGGTGTAGGCCTGCGCGAGGCCAGCTGCCAGAGCAGAGGACAAGAAGAAAGAACGCATAGCGAACGGAAACGAGAAAAAAAAAAGAGTGTGGAAGAAAACAGACAATTAGCAGAAGGAATGTATGGAAGAGAACGAAAGAGAGGAATAAAAGACTGATTGCACACAGTCTCTACCAACAGACGAGATATCCATCTTATAAGCGATCCAGCCCGCCCGTTGATCGCCCTATCAATAACCCGTTTGAAGCTGTTGGCGGGTAGGGTTATGGGGTGATTGGTGGGGACGGCGTAGCGCGGGGGCCGGGCATTTTCCGCCGGATCTAAAGTGAAGCCAAACAATGCCACGAGGCATGAAGTCCCTGCACTGTGGCCCCATCTGGAAGGGATCTCCGTCTCGCAGTGACGCGTTCTGGGTATCGAGATTGATAGTCACGGTGACGGCTGTCAGGATGGAGCTATGCCGCCGGGTTTAGCGTTTCACCTGCGCGTACCATCGAACAAGCTGTCTTGCCTGACTCAGGGTTCATTTTCGAATCCGATGGTTGAGAGATGGCACCAGTCCCTCAACCAGGGATGCTTAGTGGCCGCTAGCCTCTCATTCCCATTAGGAACTATTCTGTCACTCCGTGTGGCATCGGGACCGCAAGTTACCGTGTGCGCTAGTCCGGTTGGCCGTTGCAAGATATTAATTTGTTCAAATTCGGCCAAACGTACGTCGACGCCGAAGGAGTCAACAATATCTGGGCATTTCTCTGCCGTCCTCCTGATTCCCCGTCTACCGAAAAGCGATGCCCCTTTTGCCCCTTTCTATCGATACCTTTGTCTTTGTTGGGGATTTTGTTTTGTTGATTTCAAGGCTGTTACAAGCTAGGCTTAGGGTGGTAGTACCTGAATCATGCTAGCATCTAGTAGCGATACTGTAGAAGCACCTCACACGAGGACAAAAAGTTCTTTCTAGCTCCAAAGCAAGTTCAAGGAGACCATTCCTTTGTGCCATTCGAGGTTGGAAAACCAAGGCGGTGTTGGATATTGTAATCCGACAGCGCACAAATTCAATCGACGTAGCTCACCCGTGCCAAAATCCTTTCTGGGAAATCCTCACCCACATAATATAGCTTTGGCCTATGAGAACCACTTTCCCTGAGGTATTGAATGGATCTCTCTTTGGAAGTTGTACCCAGATGGCATACAAGAGCAAGTATCTAAAACGAAGCGTCGATTGAGGGGTCGATTCGATTTCTGACTCCTGCTTCCTTCATGATCACCCCCAAGGCGACCATGCCGTCAAGGCTCGGTGGTCTAGAAGAACTGGTCTTTCTCGGCTCCTGGGGCTTATTTCAGGGGCTGTAGAGGTTATGAGTCGGGAGATTGGTGTTGCACAGTCTGTCATTCACTCCATCCCAATCTCTATGCTCTTCATGATCCAGCATTAGTCGAATCATATTGCTAATACATTCTGCCGGCACATCACAGACATTTATCATCAGAATCAATCGCGCCTATGGCTCCTTAGAATAATAGGGCCATACCGCAACTTTTGCCTGTCACCTCAGATCCGGAGCCTCAATAAATGTCCTTCCCGATATCGCACCGAATAAATACCTCTTAACGACAAAGTCTGCTGAGCGAGTATCTCCTTGAACATGCGGATTTAGATATAGAACCTAGCAGCCATCGAATTCACGACGTTTGAAAAAGCTTTGGGGCACAGCTGAGGCAGCATTGGCAGCAGAGTGCGCGGTCGTCGGGCGCACAAGCGACCACAACATTGCAGTCGCTATGTATCCACGGTAATGCCGTTATTATCAGCTTCCATGGGGCTACTGTTGCAGACAAGGGGTTTGAACAGCCAATTGCTTCGGGGGGGCAGGAAGCCTTTTTTTCCTATATTGCTTAATGGTCGGCGGTTTCTGGTTGACACCTTAAGACCTTGGGGCACTTCCTCTAAGGAATACACTAAGGTTGAGGGTTGGTACTCGATGTTTGCACACCGTGGAAGCATCACCCCAGTGGGTTGTGGTTTTATGTTTTGGTTATACAGTATGGGGATTCACCGCTGGTACTAGAATATCATCAGCTTGGTCTGGTCTGTCGGGCGGTGCTTCTTACCATCCATGAGACATGAAATTCCTTTGCAGCTTTGCCAATCCTTGGGCGCTATCCTATTCTTGGTTCCAATGCACTATGGCATGATGTAAGTTCACGATCGCATTGTCTTCCTCGACAATATAGGATCACGAGACCACGCCGTTGTCGCAAGGGGTTGAGAAAATGTAAGGCAATCCATATAGCCTTTCGAGTCCCACTTTACCTGGTAACCGTGGTCAGGGCAAGTTCGTGATTTCGTTTTATCTTTCTCTACCAGCTCTAACTTTTAGAACACTGGTGCGTCTTTTATTTGTCCTACCTGCTTTGCTAGTCCCAGAGTCGGTCGACACAGTTCTGGCTGAGCCACTATCACCGCGGTTTTTTGCATGGTCAATGTTAAGTTGTGCCTGCGGGGTCTGGACATGAGAGATCCCAGAAGGATAGGGTAATACCTTGATGACTGCCATGCTCACTGTACAATATTTCTCACAGACCCTTTCTCCCTACTAAAGGTGACGATCAGGTAACGTGATCCTATTTATTCGAGTTGGGTATACCAACCATGAGATGGCCGATTGAAGTGATTCAACTTGAGCAGTAGGTGATGCTCTTCAGCAAAAGCCTTTTTTCATCAGCTTTCCTCTCTCGTAGAGGCCATTTTCATCCCCCCGACCATATGCGTATCCCGATGTCTCGGTATTCGAGCCTCCTCAGCCACTGTCAATGCAACCTACGCCTTCATTCGACTCCAATAGTTGCCATTGCACGCAGTCATAACTAAGTCCATTGATCGGTCATTGGCATATCAGTTCTTCTCTTGTTCGATGATGTTCACATATCTATCGAGAAAGGTTGAAGGAGGGTCATGGGGGGAGTGATTTGGGCTTCGTGGGGGACCATATTGAAATTCATCCAAAATCCGCTGATCGACGGCCGTTTTCCGGGTTGACCACGTATCTATGTTCCCGTGTATTCCTTCTCACATTCAGATCTCGGGACAAAGACTTTGGAATGGGGCTTTTCTTTAGTCAGGCGCGGGGTAGGATACAATTTGTCTGTGCGAATGAACAAGTCACTTACCAAATAAGTCAAGGATAAATCTATGCCCATGAAACCTAAGACATTCGGGCACAGTATAATGATTGGGTTCAAACGGGATAAATCACATGGGCAAGTTGTTTCTTTTCCCCCGACACAATTCCTCGACTAGTTATGAGCATTTAGTTCACAATTCCAATGCCCCCTTTCTATGTACACTTCAAAACCTTCACCCTATTTTCTATAAACATGGAACAGATACTGAGTTTCCATGTCCTTGCTAGTGGACAGAATGAATATGTGCCATAAGAAGATATTGCTCTGAATCTTGAGATATTTTCATAGATCCATCAGACACTACGTATCCCCAAACCTCATTATTTTGGCATAAACCTAGAATGTATCATGTGTAGTGAGCGGTCTATATCTTACGGGGAAATACACATTCACATCAGATTGATTTAAGCATAACCGGATCATCAATGAGATGAGGTTGGTCACTTGTGGCGACTGACTGAGAAACAGGCTTGTAGTTGTCATTCCAAGTGATTCAAGCCTGCCATGCGTTTTTCCCTTCACGCCTTTGAGGTAACCTCCCTTTCTTTCATCATCGATATTAACCGAAACATCCGACGGGATGTAGACTTCCCTGGTGCAAGACTTGGGGTTACGGTTTATCACTCGTTTCTAGCCGTCTTCGAGCCTTGTGAATAGCCGACTCATATCACATCATCTGGCACGGAGACCAAGGACTCCTTGTCACTCTCTCAAAGGTGACTGTAATATTCTCCGAATCTAGTTGTTGATCAGGCCCAGGGTAGTAATGCATGACGGAGAGGACGATCACATGTGACGGTTGGCGGGATTTCTGCAGTGGCGTTGCGCAAATGATGAACCTCGATGGTCTAAGACACTCGAGAATGTAGTGCAGATCATAGTTCCGCTGCTTATACACCTGATTCTTCATATCATCGAGACCAGATCTCTATCAATGAGACGCTTCAATCTTTTGTCAAGTACGTAGCAGGAAGACATGACGGGGTTGGGGCCGTGGATCCTGGTGGATATCCTTGAATTTGAGAATTCGACCCGACGTGTCGGTGCTCCCGATCAAACGACTGATTGGCATGCACTTGACCTTAGTGGCGACTGGCGAGCATCAAGGTTTGCCCAGATGGGGATCATCGTGATCCGTGGAACTAGCGAGTCGGGCCTATCCAGATTGCCTGATTGGGAAAGGAGTTAGAGAACGCTTGTACATGCACTATTGACCAGCTTCAACCTTAATATTCATGAATCATCGACAGGTATCTCGCCATAGGACGGTTGAGATTACTCGTTTAAACCCATAGCGAACTAGTTTTCCCCAAAGGTCAGTGCCCCTGATGATCCCCGTGCTTTGCGCCGTAGCCCCAGAGCCAAGGGGATGGCGTAGAGTGTCAAACTGTCAGTACGGGCTGATGGAAGTATAAAGGCGATTAGGTGTCATGGCCAAGAACGAGAAATCGGCGATGGCAGACAGAAGATGGCACCTACGAAAGGAGAGTTGCCAGAAAAGGTAAACAAACGTCGGAGGCAGTGGCCTGAGGCTCAGACCAACCCTGTTAGTCATCGGCATTCCATGGATTCTTCCTCGTGTTGCGGCTGCTTCTTCCTTCCGCTTCTCCATCCTCCGCTTGAGCTCGCCATTGGGCGGACTGTACCATGGATGGCGCAGGTACGTAACAACTGCCTACTGCAGGTGTTCTTGGGGCTCGACTCGCATTACGATGGCGCTAATTGACACTAACCATTAGCTCAACTTAACAACCACCCTGCATTTCCGCGCCGTGTCTCCGGCCACTGAACGATCACGGTTTGTAAGATCGTCGAAGGACCAACAAACGGTGTTTGGGGGTCGATCCAGGCCTGAATAACGTACACCTCGTCCAGGGGCTTAGGGGTAAACCAAGTCTCGCCTGTTGGCGCTAAGGTGTGCTAATATGAAATCCAAATTAGAGTGGCGAAACTGTCTAGCCGCAGTATTTACGTTCTGACGCCCTAGACTTGCAAAAGCAATTAAGTCCCCACCCACACTTATAAACTATCCACATATGTGGATTACGATGATGTCCAAAATGTCCGATCATAGCGCAGAAAACACCACTCTCAGATCGCCGTTGGTTGTACATGGAAGAAAAATCAGCCCGTGGCGGACTCATGATTCAGTGACGCACGAGTTCTCCCCAGGATCCAAACCATTGGAAGATCGGCATTTGTATACCGAAGCTGGAACCTTGACCAGAGGTGTGGGCATTTTAGTTGGCGCACGGCGTCGGAACGAATCCTGCCTGGGCCTGGTGTGGAGAATGATCGAGGATCTCGTGTGGAATGTCGTACCAAGCCACGCACTATGTACGGAGTGCGAGTCCGTCGCCTTCGCATCCCACCACAAAATGGATCGTCGCTCTATAAACTTTGGAAAGCCCCATACATCAACCAGCATGTGCTCCCTTTCCTGGTGGGTGTATGAAAAAAAAAGCTTTCTGGCAAGGCTCTTGGCAGGGACGACACAGATTTTAATTATGGTTGACACCCTTGGCGATGGACTCTTTACCTTTTAACTATTCCAGTGTTCCCTCGTTACTCTCTGTTCAGTGCTGGCCCCTAGTCTCGGCAAACTCCCATATACTCACACTCATTAAGAAATGAGCAATGGTCGGCCTGACGCGAATTTTACACATGCTCTCCAGCGAGGATGCTCGTGCTTCACATCTGGTGTCTCGGGACCCTAGTTCCGCCCATGAACCGCTGAGTAGCAGTGATAGGGCAGGCTTCATTTCGATGGGAGTTATTGCCTCTCTCTCCTTTGTTTCAACTTTCGTTCTTTTATGTTTCCTTTCCTACCGCTTCATATTCTGGCGGAAATACTACAAGCGACCCCTTTCGGAGAACCAGTACGTCGTGCTTATTTACAACCTGCTTCTGGTCGATATCCAACAAGCCACGGCATTCTTGATATGTCTTCATTGGGTTTCGAAGGGGGCTGTTTATTATCCAAGCGCTGCCTGTGTCCTTCAAGGGTGGTGGATTCAGGTCGGTGACCCTGGGAGTGGGTTGTTCGTCATGGCAATTGCAATGCATACTGGTGCGGTCGTCTGGCGAGGTCGCCAACTACCATATGGGATCTTTGTGGCCTGTGTTGTCGGACTCTGGGCCTTCATCATCTTACTGGGATTGATTCCTGTTGGAAAGTTCACTTCCAATACATTTGTCATCTCCGAAGCTGGATGGGTAAGTGCAAACATGCGAACCAACTTGTCAAAAGCTCCATCCTAACTGCGTTGATTTCTAGTGCTGGATTAGTCGCGATCATGAGACGGCGCGACTTTGGGTCCATTATCTTTGGATTTTCCTCGCCGAATTCGGAACTATCGTTCTATACGGGATCCTATTCTTCTACCTCCAGCGCCGTATGAGACAGGCTGCGATGCTTAGACAAAACCACCAGGAAAACCTGAAACGTCTCAATCGAGTGGTCATTTACATGGTTATCTATCCCTTGGTGTACCTTGTTCTGTCGCTTCCATTGGCGGCCGGTCGGATGTCCACTGCCCGGCATATCATCCAGAGCCGAGCATACTTCGCTGTTGCTGGGTCTCTGATGGCTATTTCTGGTTTGGTCGATGTACTAGTCTATACCCTGACCCGTCGTCACCTCCTGCTCGAGACCGAACTCAGCACTTCGGACAAGATGTATGCCTACTCGAACTCGAACGCGTACCAAACGCATATTACTACTACAAGGGACAACAAAAAGTTCCGTGTCGGGTCTCGCCTGCGTCGTGGGCTGCAGAGCGTCAACGATACGGTAAATGACGACCGGGGCGATTCTACCGAAGACATTGTCCGCAAGGGCGACATGGAGCTAGTTGACATGGGTCAAGGTGTGTACCAGGAGACGACGATTGAGATTTCGCACGAGCCAGCGGATCCCGAGGAATACCAGAGAGAGAGCGGACGAGTGAGTGAGTGACGTGGGACGACATGGTACCGATACAATCTTTTTACTTTCTCTTCTGCCTCTGTTATACCTTTCTACACTCTTTTCATTTCCTTCTTTTTCCCTCTTTAATTTTTCCTTATGAGAAATCCTTCCTGATGATACCTGATACCTACACTAGTCTAATACACATAATATGATACGATACAACTGACCAGACTTCTCCCCTTTTCTTCCCTTGAATTAAAATAGGAGCACTACGCAGTACGTACAATCGCACTCAATCAACATGACAAAATGAAATGCCCCTCCGTCGGCCACCAAGCCAGTTCCACACGGACGCAATCCGATTGTCGTTCCGGCATAACGATCTGCATTGGCTCCACTCCACCAAAGCTTGTCCAGACACACCAGGAAATCACATCCAATCATGCGCGCATCACTGGAGCCCGAAATCGCCTTTGCTGGCGAGACCCATCGCATCGGGTCAAGGCGTGTCCAATTCCAATCGTCGGGGAGGACTGGGCCTGCCCGTGCCCGCGACTATTGACCTTCCTCAAGGGGTAATTCCGCTCTCCAGTCCTCGCGTCGAGCATTCGCCTTTCCATTGGTTCAGTGAAACTTACTTAACCCCGTCCGTCCACTTTATACGAGGGACGGTCAAATATAGATTTGGCCCCCTTGGACTTTTCCTATTCGAGTTGCTTTACTTCTACATACGGAGTAGTACGTCGAAGTAAGGGGCTCGGGTTTTCTGCACGTCAATCGCCCGGCGTTTAATTTAATCTGGGTTGATATTAACTCGTCATGGACATGGACGATGTCAGGTTTCAAATTCACCCCTTCAGCACTTTCCAGTTTCCACTCCGGAGCATACTTTTATCCTTCGTCCCGTGTCCGTCCTCGGAACCAAAGTATCTCTTCCACAGGACCTGCCTACCACGCCGTAACTCTTTCTTACATTCGCACTTGATCCAGACTTTCCGACCCAATGGTTGCAATCTCCTCGTCTCGATGTCCGTGTCGTTGGTGTCGGCCCGAACTCAACCAGTCCGCGGGTTGGAATACTGCTTATCCCAGTGCCGGACCCATTCCGTGAGGTCCCGGTGCCATGGACGGGAGTGTTTCAGGATTTGTAGGTTTTTATTCCTTTGGTTGCCGCGTTGGGAGGGGCATTACTATCTATGCTTGCGGTTTACACTATCTAGATTCTATGGGATCAAGGTTTGACTGTATAGTGTGTAAACTATATAGAGAAGATCGCATCTATGCTGGAGCGGAGACTGAATACTAACACTATCCCGTACGAATAGGGACAGTGATATTCATTCGCTGATCGCTCGTGCGTTAACGCATGACGATGATAATGATGATCTGGCGTGCAGATTATGGACCTTTTTTTTACAGAAGTACGTACTCCTTACGAGGTTTAACTTGCCATAATATTGAAGGTTCTACGAAGCTCTTGAACGATGACCATAGGAGTAATCGCCCTTAGCATGTATACTTGTAGGGTCGAGGATATCTGTACTTCCCTCGTAACTCATTGACCCTTTGCGCAGAAGGGTTTCTTTCAGAATTTCCTTTCTAAAGAGAGGATGAAACGTACTTTAGCAATTACACATACTCGTATACTAGGTTAATTAATTGATCAATTTTTAAATTCATCAGTCAAGCTTTCCATCCCATCTGCCCAACGGACGCCAGATATCGGTATGCTCTGCGAAATCTCCGACACGAGCTAACTATAAAGCCACCAGATAGTTTTCTATCCACTTCGCACGCAGTACTTGGTAATTCGGTGTCTTCAAGTGGTCAATGCGATCTTGTCTCACTCATAAGGGTCGGAATCCCGGCCCGGAAACTAGCTGCCACCGGGTCGAGATAGTGTATATTAGTTTTTCTCCGCGCAGGACTTAGTTAGCTAGTGGACGTTGTCCCTTTTATAGTTCGTTTGACTGTGTTCCGAGGGCGAGGAGAAAGTTTGATTCGTATTGGAGAGTTGGGAATGGCTTTGTAGGTGTTGTACTCAAATATATTCTGTGTGTATGGACGGGTGGATAAGATATATATCGAGTCTAGTACTGTGAACAGAGTACTGTACACAAAGCCTTTGGTAACAGAAGAACACTATATGAACAAGAAGGGACACAAAGAAAAAAATAAAAAGAACAGTTTTTGTGAAAACGAAGGATGGAACACTCGAGCAGAACCCATTGTTGACAGCTCCTGACGGTGACAGCTAGGATCAAGGGATAAAACAGCAAGCCAAGTAACGCTTAAACCTCGGGAATATCCTAGCTGTGCGATGTCTGTGCTACTTCGGTGGGTCTGGTACTATTTTATTTTCCGAAAAGGGGCTGTAGTGTCACAGTGGAGCTCCGTACTCCGTACTGTCTGTCTATGATCATAGCTAGCACGGAGGCGCTGACTTACAAGAACATTATGAAAGGGGTAAATCAGTTTAATTGATCTAAATGCATTATCCATCCCACAACCATCCATTCCAGACATCCCCTGAATCGTGTTGCACGTTGAAACACTCGTGGCAGGACAAACAAATCTAGAGCCCTCCCTGCGCGCTGTCCGGGACAGGGCGTCGCGGAATATTAGGACGCAGGGGGAGCTTAGGCCGCTCCTCCTCCTCCAGGTTGGTAGGACGACGCGGCAACCGAGGAGGCAATTGATCATTAGTCCTGGCTTGGATCTGTCTCTGAAGCCGTGCGTCCTCTTCTGCACCTTGGTCGGTTTCCAACACCCGGCGAGCCGAGTCCTCGTCTGGGTTTTCGTCAATGCCCGCGCGACGCTTGTTCCGGATGCGCTCTTGCTCCTGTTTCCGGTCTTTGGCTTCCAGTGCGACTTCCTCGCGTATGACCTCGCGTCTGTCGATGCTCTCTAGTCCGACGCGGGTCAGGATGTGTCCGACCAGGAACTGGTAGCGAAGATGACCGCTGATGATGTCGCTGACGTCGAGATTTTCGACGCCGGGGACACCTTGGACAGGCTGCAGACCTGCGACGCCCATTTGGAAGCTGCTGGTTCGGTAGAGGAGCGCGAGGACGGTGTCGTTGTCAGAGTAGACGTTCACGATGCGGCCGCTCACAACGCTGCGCATGCGACGCCAATACTCGGTGTCAGATGGAGTGGCGGATCCCATGAGGACGACGGATTCCACCAAGCCATATGCGCGTCTTTTGGCTAGACTCTGAAGGCAGGAAAAAATTACCCGAGAGCCCAGAGAATATCCAATGAGAGTGACTGAGCGTTCGCCTTGCACTTTGCTGATCAATGCATCCGCAAGAACTTCACCAGCCTTGTCAGAACGTGCCTTGGCAACGCTGAAAGGGTTGTCGGCCACTCTGGTGACTTTCAGCAGACCAAGAGGTAACACCACAGCACTAAGAAGGGAGGCGAAAACGGTCTTCTTCAAGACCTGTTCGCCAGCAGCATATGCAGCACTGGTGACTAAGAGATCCATGGCATTTCCGAGGTTCATCAAAGGTTCCATCTCCCATCGTAGGCCGAATACTTCGGAGTCGGCACCAATGACACGCCACGGAACCACGAAATTGTCTTCTTCAGTGACCCATCCCGTAACGCCAATAGTGACTCTGAGCCGGTGGTCCTCTTGAGCAGCCTCTTTCTCATCTTCCGATCGGTGTCGCGATCCTCGAATCGGTAAAAATGCAAAGTCGTCCACCTCACGTGCATACTTGTCCACCATGCGTCCAGTCATCCGACCGCCATAGGCACCGAAGAGACCACCGACAATGACACCGCTACCAGCAAGAGCTCCAAGGTATCCCGCGGCTGCTGTAGCCCCGAGTCCGAGCCCTCCGAGAACAGTACCGAGACCTGCGGCAACCAAAGGCGCAGCAAGTCCACCGGTGACTCCAATCAACACAGCCCCGGTGACGGATGCGATGCCAACCTTCCACTTTCTTGAGGAATCGCTCTTCTCCCTTTGACCTTGTCCATCACCGCTGCCGGAGAGTTGAAGAGCCGTGTCAAGCAAGCCCCGCGCGACTGTTACCTCGTCGCCGTTCAGAACCTTGACATCCAAGTTCAAGCTTGATGAGACGTATAGCATCAAGACACGCGACCGAGCATTGTAATGCTCTAAGCTGAGCAGTAAGAGCAGTAGTGAATGGAGAATCAGCAGCTTCTTCGCTTTATCAAGCCGTGCAAGAGGCGTCTGCACCGGAGGATAGACCTCATGTAACTTCTGGATGGATCTCTCGTCCTGGTCAAGCTGCGGCTGGGATTCTGGCGGCACTTCCGAGCGTTCAGGGCTTTCTTCTCCCTCGTGATCTTCCTCCTCCCGATTGACCACTTCACCGATACGGAGAAGCACCGTCTCTCTCCAATCATCGAAATTGCTCAATGTACTGGCCTCGTCCCTCAGGTCATTGGCGGAGAGTTTCACGAATGTGGGTTTGTTTTCGCTAGCTGAGTCTTCTTCCTGACTATCGATCGAGGAACGCAGCTTATCTTCCGTTTCTTTCTCCGGAGGGAACCGATCGGGCTCGGATGTGTGGTTATGATAATTCTGTTCAATGACCTGGCGCATGGACTCTGTGATCTCAGCGACCAGCACGGTTAGGTCGGCGCGTTGCGAGCGATCCAAAATCGTGGTCAGGTCCTGGTCACTTTTTTGTGACGCCGAAGACGAGTCGCCCCCAAATTTGCTGACATGTTTATCTTTAAAATCCTTAATGTTTTTCCACATGAGGGCGAGGAAAGGAGCGATTGCAATTGCAATAGCAGGTCAAGGGGTAAAGCGACTCGAGCCTGTTGCAGTCGAATGGGGGTTTGCGGAATGTTTGCGGAGAAGAACCAACGTTGTCGCCTTCTTAAGGCGATGAGATCATCCGATGACTCAGCCAGGAGGTTCTGCCAAGTGTTTTGGTCTTGGAAGTGCTTTTATCACAAGGCTGATTTCGTATTGCGTATCACAATTGGGGGCTCTTCCTGTGTTACTGGCCCCAGAGCAATCACTCATTGCTCAGTTGCTATTGCCGGTCTCAACCACGAAGAATTTGCCCTTGGTTTTCGACGCATAGCGCAGAGCATCTCCATCCCACGCATCCCCGTCCGGGCGCTCATTCCTCTCTCCCTCAATCCGTTGGATTCTCTTGTTTCTACCGACGACTCGTTCTTCGGAAAAGGCTTCTCGGAGCTGATCCAGTCCAATGGTGTTCTCTTGGACTGCCTCGGGGCTCTCGTCTCGGATGCTCTGGAGAGGTTCAACGCCCGACGCGTCCACGCTCTGGATCTCCTTGACGAAGTGGATTTGAGATTCGAGAGTCTCCAGCATCTTGGTCTCCTCTTCCTTGCTGGCTGGCTGAGGGAGGGCCGAGAGCCGCAACAGATGTCGCAGCTGCGCTGGGGTGACGGATGGGGAGGACGGTTTAGCGGTTTCGTCGGGGAGTAGCGAGCGGACCGACCAGGACGGTTTCGCGAGGATCGAGTTGATGTCGGTCTCTTCAGGTTTAGAGGAGTAGAATCGACCAGCGTAATTCAAGTGTCGCAAAACTCGCGGCTGGAAGGGTCTTGAAAGGCGTGACGGCGTGGTGCGTAGAAATGACATTCTGGCAGTAGACAGGCGAATGGCTCGGAGGATGGCACGGAGAGATAATTAGAGCAGAAACAAAAATTATTGAAGTTAAAGATAACCTGAAAGCTGCAACAAAGCGAGAGCGAGCGACAGCAAATCCGGAGAAGCTGTCAAGAAGCCGCGGCGGAAGACGATGATGGAAAAATGGCGCCCACCGCCTTCGACAACAGGCGGCCATCCTCCGACATCTACTCTCTCCACAGCTCTCTGTTCATCCCTCCTTCCTCGCCTTCAGTCTACATTCGTCCTCCTTTTGTCCCAAGTTGACATCTAGTGCCGTTATCTTACTAGCCTGCTGTGGTCGACACCGTCTATCCACCATGGCTCAAGACCCTCGAGTTCTCCTGCAGCGCGTGAGTAATCGGATATGATGCTATTCTCCCCGCCCCGCTATAAAAAGCAGCGACGATCGCTAACGGAGCATCACACACTCTCTAGGCCGATAAAGCATTGGCCGGCGCATCTGGCGGATTCAGCTTTTTCGGTGGCCGCGCGGAGAAGTACGAAAATGCAGCAGATCTCTACACCCAGGCTGCGAATGCCTTTCGGGTGCAAAAGCAGAGTAAGCCCCCCTCATTCTGTTCTCCGCTCTTCGTTGAGGGAAATCTTGGTCGCTAACTCTCTCGTGCCTTTGTTGTTATGTGTTAGACAAGGAAGCCGGCCTTGCCTTCGAAAAGGCCGCCTCCATCCAAAGCCAGAACCTGAACGAACCTGACGACGCCGCCAACTCGCTGACCGAAGCCTTCAAGGTATACCGGAAGTCCGACCCCGAAGATGCCACGCGGGTGCTGTCATCCGCGATCCAGCACTACGTATTAAAGGGCAACCTGCGGCGCGCGGCCACACAGCAGCAGTACCTGGCGGAGGTGTATGAAGTGGAACTCGGAGATACCAAGAAGGCTCAGGAAGCCTACGAGAAGACGGCGGAGTGGTTTGAGAGTGATAATGCCGAGGCGTATGTTACCCGGCATCTCCAGCGCGGTGTCGCATGCTGATAGTTCTCGTCATAGTCTGGCGAACAAGCATTTCCTCAAGGCAGCTGATCTGGCCGCCCTCGAGGGCGACTACTACAAGGCCATCGAGCACTACGAGCGCATCGGCCGCTCATCCATCAGCAACAACCTGATGAAATGGTCCGTTAAGGACTACTTCCTCAAGGCGGGTATCTGCCACCTGGCCTCGAATGTATGCTCCCCCGTATGTCTTCCAATCAAGCACCAAACTAACCATCAAATCCAGGACCTTGTCGCCACGAACCGTGCCCTCGAAAACTACCGCGACATCGACAACACATTCGCCTCGACGAGAGAGCACCAGCTACTGCTGGACCTGGCGCAGGCCGTCGAAGCCGGCGACCAAGAAGGATTCGCCGACAAGCTATTCCAATTCGACCAGCTCAGCAAGCTGGACAAGTGGAAGACTACGCTTCTGTTGCGAATCAAGAACAGCATCGAGGAAGCAGGCGAGGATTTCTCTTAGATTTGTTGATTGACGTTGTTCCCGTTTCTCTCTTTTTGCATGGTATTCGCTTTTCGTGTCTTGGTGTCGTTTGTGTCCATTGATGAACTCGAAATGCCTCTGCTTATTCTGAATGCGCGTCTATTTTCCAGCCACGAAGTCACAACCGACATAAACTTGTCTTTCAACGTCTATTCAACGAAAGCGTAATTAACTACGAGGTCATGCACAAGGCGTGTAGTTCAGAGGCGCTGAATACCCCTGTCACGTGACGTCATCGCCTGGCGGACTTTCCAAATTGCAGGGATTCATTCTTGCCAAACTATCAGACATTGGCTTCTTGTGTCGATCGATCACGCCGAGTGATATTTCCGGGTGATGTGCGAAGAAAACCTTGAACTCTCTATATCGGAGTACCCCCAGAGCGTCCAAGCAATCACACCGTCTGTCGTAGTTCCTTAAAGCCAGATCAAACTCAAAAGCCATGGAGCAGTCTTACTATAGGGTCATCTCGCTACTAGAGCATCTATAATCTAGCCTTTTTGCTCGCGCATGATATTGGATGCCGTCATAATCATCAGTCTTAGATGCGCCGAGCTGTGTCTATATAGCCATCTGCTAGGTAGTGTCAGATTGGTTGCCCATTTGCCCAGTCTCCTGTATTCCTTGTTCATTCGACCTCTAGTCCATATGTACTGGTTTTCACTGGGGAATATTCAGACGTTTTCCCTGGTTTTTATTGCGAATCCGTGCGAGATATATTTCTGACCCGGGGTGATTGGAGGAAGTGTTTGCGGCATATTGGGCGCAGCATACGGACAGCTGTTAGATGGTGTTGGATTCTGTTGTGCGTGGTTTTTTTAATAGAATTTTGGAATGTGGGTGAAGGTTTGTGCTATTTGTAGCCATTGAAAGGTAGGAAATTAGCTCTCAAATAGTAGGATCTGCTCCTAAGAGCCTGGGACACTGCGGATATTGGAGAATGAAGTGGACTTCGTAAGTAGGAGGCAAGGAAGGAATATTCTACGATGTTGCATGCAAGAGCGCCAGGGAGAGTGAGCAAACAGCTTCACCCCATGTTCTACATACGTCAGGACAGGTAGAGAGTAATGTACAAATTGATGATATTGACTCAGATCTAACTTTTAGCTGTATCCCAGTCCGAAATCCCGACGAACGCCGTAAATGCAGGTGTTTTGAGTCATAAAAAGGAGTGATGATGAGGATCGGGTATCGAAAGGCTCCTCCGATCGTCTTCTAGACCGAAGAAGCGCACGAAAAAGCGAATAGCAAAGGAAAGCAGCACACCAAGAGGAGATAATCTACATCTCCTTCTTGGCGAACCGTCCCAACGCAGGCCCCAACTCCTCTCGCTCGTTCTGCAGCCGGTTCTTCGCGCGCGCCGCATGCTCCTTGCGCAGCGTCTCGGCCTTGAGGCGCTTCTCGTCGATAACGTTGCCCTTGCCCTTGCCCTTCTTGCGGAGGTACCGGCGCAGGGCGCTGTTGCGGCCGCGGCCGCGGTTCTTGAGCTTCTCGATGGGGTCCTCGGGCCGGCGGTCGAGGTCGCGCTCCTCGCGGTTCTTCTGGTCGCTGATGGTGTCCAGTTTTCCGACGAAGTTCGGGTCCAGAGAGATCATGTCGGGCTGCAGCTTGTGCAGCAGACCCTGCACTTCGGCCTCCTGGCGCTGGCGCGTGTTCTCGTACGGGTTGGCCTCGAGCGCGTCGAAGTTGGGTTCTCCGGCGCCGGGGACCAGGATGCTGGCGAATCCCTTGTCGTGCGTCACGCCGAGCACATCCTCGTAGGGGCACCAGCGCATGTTCTCGATGCGTTGGCCGTCCCCACCCCATGCCATGTACGGGCTCTGCACCTTGCCTTGGTCGGCCATCGCGGCGTCGAAGAGTCCGCGCCACACGCTGACCTGCGTGCCCCAGCCGACAGCCGTCAGGTTGCGGTCACTGATGGCGACCGATGCACCGGGCTGGTAGCACGAGTAGGAGTGCACTTCGCGGAACATCCGAATATCCCACACGTTCATCTTGAGATCCTGACCCGTCGACACCATGTATCGGCCTTGTCGGTCGATGGCCATCGAGCGCACCGGCCCGCGGTGGACCAGCGCCTTCACCAGTGCTGTCTGCGAGTTCGGAGACCATAGTGTCACGCTGCCGTTCTGGTGGCCGACGTGCAAGATGGCGTTCCAGGGGTTCTGGGCGAGAGAGGTGGGAGCCCCCATGCGGGTGGGCAATTCGGCGACCATCTGGCCAGTCGAGGTATCGGTGTACTTGAGGTGACCACTCATTTGCTGCATCAAAATCAGTTAGACCGTCGTTGTAACTTCATCGCCCAGAGGGGACTTCTTACCGTGCTCGCCAGCAGAAAGTGATACGGCAGGAATTCCAGGTTAATCGGCTCCAGGTGCCTGCTCAGACAGTGCAGTTCCGCTCCGGTGTGGTCATAGATGTAGAGGTACTTCTTCTGCGCCACCGCAAAATACTGATTGTTATGCAACCAGCGAGCATCACGAACGGTCTCGTTCAGCTGCAGCTCACACCCCAGTCTCCCGGTCCGCCAGTCCATCGTCGCAACATGGCCCTTGCGACCCGCCAGCAGCAACTCTCGACCGTTCCTCGTGTAATCCGCGCGGTACGGGCCCAGATCCTCCAGCTTCAACTCGAATCCCTTCTTGGCCGTCTCGATGCCCACACTCTCGCGGATATCGTCCTGACGCACCTTGTACGTCCGCTCCAGCTCGCCCTCGGGCTCGAGGAACCCGGCTTCGTGCTCCAGCAGGATCTCGGCATCTTTCGATCGCAGCGCGGCGGCTTTGTACTTGGCCTCGACGGATTTAAGCTTGTCGCGCAGCTTCTTGTCCCTGATATTGTGCGTTTGGATAGCTTTGCCTCGTCCGTAGGTCTTTCGTGCTTCGGCCAGTCGCTTGCTCTCTTTGCGCTGGGCGGTCGGCGCGACGGCCTTGGAGGGATTGTCGGCCATGAGCGAGTAGGTTTAGGTAGGTCGTAGAGATTCAATCGAAGGAAATGGAAAGTATGCGCAAGACACAGAAACAAGAAAAGAAAAAACCGTGTAGCTTGACCGACGGCACAGAAGGAAGTCGATCCGGAGATGTTTTTCGGCTCCAGAAAATTCGTGCCAAGACCTTTTTTTTTTTTTTTTCTGCCGCTTTTTCCATGGATTTTCGCTTGGACAATCAAAGACACAGCGCTTTTTTTCTTCCTCCGCCTCCAAGGTTGCTGTCCACGATCTCGACGTTGGCCTTTGATTTTATTTTCCTTTGGGCTCAATTTTATTCTCACTTCTAATCCCAGATAAATCACCCTGGCCTCTCTTCCCTTTCGCTTTAAAGGGTCCGACGGTGCCAATATGGCGCCCACCCAGACAATGCACCACCACCGCTCCACCACCAAAAAAGCCAACAAATCCTACAAGACTCGCCATGCCTCCAAAAGTTCCCTGAAGGAGCAGGACAAGGGTGCGTGCCCGATGAATACCCCCGCGCCTAAATTCTCGCGCTCAGCGTCCCGAATCATTGCTAAACCTCCCCAGGCAAAGTCGAGCGGGGCACGCGAAAGACCCCTCACCAACAACTCATGTCGAAACTCGATCGCAGAAACCAGGCCCGTCAGAAGCAGCAGATGAAGCACCAGGAGAAGGCCCAGGCGACGAGCATCTTCTCCGGTCAGCACGGTGCCCCCCGTCATGTCGCCGTCGTTCCGCTCACCGTCGATATTGATGTCGCGGCGATCATCCGGTCTTTGAATGAGAGTGTGGATGTCGAGAGCGAGTTCTCTGCCGATGCGCCATCTCGAGTCCGTGTTGATCGCTTCAAGCAGACGCTGCAGTATGTTCCGGCGAAGTACGATCTCATGAATGCGCTGGATGTGTGTCGCATGGCGGATTTCGTGGTCTTGGCGGTCTCGGCGCACAGAGAGGTCGAGGAGGAGGGCGAGTTGCTGCTCCGGTCCATTGAAGGCCAGGGTATTTCGAATGTTATCTCCATGGTTCAGGTAGGTTTGCCATTGGGTGGGACCCTCTCATGGGCTATCGCTAATTGATCTGTAGGGCCTCGATCAAATCAACCCGCCCAAGAAACGTCCCCAGGTTGCCGCGTCGCTGAAGTCCTTCATGAACCACTTCTTCCCCTCCGTCGATAAGGTCCTCTCCGTCGATTCTAGACAGGAATGCTCCAACGCCATCCGATCGCTGTGCACTGCGACGCCGAAGGGTATCCGCTGGCGTGACGAGCGCAGCTGGATGCTGGTTGAGAATGTCGCCTGGCCCGAGGCCACCTCCGAGACGGTGGACGATGTGGTGGTGACGGGTGTTGTGCGAGGCAAGGGCCTCAAGGCGGACCGACTGGTCCATCTGCCCGGCTGGGGTGATTTCCAGATCGACTCCATCACCGCGGCGCCGCTGGCTACCGGCCGCGGAAAGCGCGACGATGCCATGAATGTCGACGAGAACGATTCCACACAGGTCCTGGAGACTCCTACGGGTGAGCAGGACGATTTGAACGTCGTGGCGCCGGAGGAGATCGAAATGGAGGATGATGATATGTCCATGGCCGAGACGGAGCGCAAGGGTGTTCTGCTCGATGATCACCACTACTTCTCGGACGACGAGTCGCACATCCCCGCGAAGCCGAAGAAGCTACCGAAGGGAACGTCCGAGTACCAGTCCGCCTGGTACCTGGACGACGTCGACTACTCCGGATCCGACATTGAGGACGACGAAGAGGATGAGAACATGGAAATGGACACCGCCGGTGCCCCCGAGGATGGCGTTTTTCCCGACAAGGAGGATGCCATGACCGAAGCCGGAGCTACCGAGTATCCCCAATCCGAGATGTTCGTTGACCGGCCATTGGAGGACGAAGAACAGCAGCTGGAAGAATACCGACAGAGCCGCCGGAAGGAGGCCAGCGACGATCTCGAATTCCCCGACGAAATCGAACTGCACCCCAACGTGCTGGCCAGAGAGCGAATGGCCCGTTTCCGAGGATTGAAGAACTTCAAGACGAGTCTCTGGGAGACGTCCGAAGACCGCCCCCACGAGCCCGAAGACTGGCGCCGTCTCCTCCAGATCCAGGACTACAAGGGCTCCAAGAACCGCACCATCGCCGAGGCCCTTGTCGGCGGCGTCAACCCCGGCACCCGCGTGGATGTCCACCTGCGCGCTGTCCCCGCTGCGCTCCGCTCCAAGGCCCAGCCCCTGTCCCTGTTCTCGCTGCTGCGTCACGAGCACAAGCACACCGTTGTCAACGTCAACATGAACCTGAACACCAGCGTCGAGGAGCCCTTGAAGGCCAAGGAAGAGCTGATCGTCCAGTGCGGCCCGCGTCGGATGGTCGTGAACCCCATCTTCTCCTCCAACGACAACACCCCGAACAACGTGCACAAGTTCGACCGCTACCTGCACCCAGGCCGCAGCGCCATCGCCAGCTGGATCGGCCCTCTCACCTGGGGTGCCGTGCCGGTGCTCGTCTTCAAGAACAAGACCGTGCAAGACCCCGAGGTCCTCGACGCCTCCGACTCCCAGCCCGACGTCACCCGTCTGGAGCTCATCGGCTCCGGCACCGTCGTCGCCCCCGATCAATCCCGCGTCGTCGCCAAGCGCGCCATCCTCACCGGCCACCCCTTCAAGATCCACAAGAAGGTCGTCACTGTCCGCTACATGTTCTTCAACTCGGAGGACATCGCCTGGTTCAAGGCCCTCCAGCTCTGGACCAAGCGCGGCCGCAGCGGTTTCGTCAAGGAAAGTCTCGGTACCCACGGCTACTTCAAGGCGACCTTCGACGCCAAGATCAACCCCCAGGATACCATCGGTATCAGTCTCTACAAGCGGGTGTTCCCTCGCAAGGCTCGTGCGTTGGAGGACGTCATCAACTAGTCAATCCTTCTTTGTTTGTTGCTTTTCTGTTTTTCTGGCGATTCTATCTGGACTGGACAAAATGGGACATTGTGATGGGGTTCGTTTCGCGGAGGGATAGAAAGAGGAGATGATAGGAGAAAGAGGAGGGATGAGATGATATGATACCACCAAAAATATCTTCTGCATGACTTGATGAGCTCTCACTGTCTTGGAAGCATGCGTGACTAGTGAGTGCATGGCTTTCGGACGATATCCCCAAAAGCATTTGATTGGTTATATAGACATCAATGAGTAGATCAAGTTATTTAATGAGTTACGATCTTATTTCGGTTCTTCTTTTGTTCCTACGCTGTAGTCGGGATGGGATTTCTTTCAAACCGAATGCAGTCCATTAAGTCTTTCGATCCTGCTTTTAATATTTTTTACATCACCGCGATGGCCCTCGGCTTCCTATCCCCTTCCAACGTAATCTCAGCCTGCCGCGGTGTAATGGTAGAACGTCACGAGGTAGGGCCCTGTGTGCGCTTACTCTTAGTCTCTCTTTATCGACACTTTCCATATCCCCGCCATGAGATGCAGCTTGATCTGTTCCACTGGTACACTGCTCTCGTCGATGCTCCTCCCCCGACACCAGCACCGATCGCCCACATTCGGACACCGATTCCACGGATTATGTCTGACACCAGCCAGATCCAACTTGACGTCCCCCATCGACACTGTACGAGTAAGCGCCTGCAACAGCGAATAAGGACGCACATAGGAAATGATCCAGGGACAGTCCACCCGTCGTAGTCTCGGCGCTGGGTCTTCGGGGCCGTCTCCGAGCCGGTCATTCCCTTGGAACGGGAGACATTCGAAGTGGGCGAAGATCGTGAGAGCTTGCAGGGCCGGCAGATTCTGGGCGTAGAACACATCCCTGATGTCTCTAGATCAATGGTGGAATTGTGCCATGTGCTGGTTGTATTCATTATCCTTTTCCGCTCGCTCGGTGTGATTCGAATAGAGTGCATTGAGGAAGCCGTCTTTTAAATCCGACTCCACATCCATCTTCATGCAGAAGCTCATGGACCGGACCTGCGAGAGAGGTAGCGAGGGCGTCCGACCGTCCACCGCGGCCACGAAGGTGAATATGTCGCACACGTGCAGGGATATGTCTTTGTCTTTTGGGAGCGGCTTGGCTTCGGTGTAGATGAGTCGGCAGGTACGCAGCCAGCTCAGTGCGCCATGGGGCGAGGGATGTGCGGACTCAATGGCGTCGAGGCTGGGATCGTCACTGTGGGCGGGCGCCTGGTGAAAGCTGTAGCAGGTGGTCTCGAGATAGCTCCGTGGCCCGGCGGTGGCTCGCGTGGTGATGAGACGGTCTGCTTTTTCCCAGTCGTAAGGGACGATGTGCAGGAAGAAGGGCTCCTCGAACATGGCTTTCCAGATCATGTTGCGGAGCTCTCAGGGGAGGCAGAGGAGGCGTGAGTCTGGTGGGGGAGTCGACATTTTGATGGGATGGTGGAGATGAAGAGAAGGTAGCGGATTGGAGGCAAGGCAAGGTCACGAATTTAAAGAATTTGCAGTGAAGTTTAGGCCGTGAGGCTGTCGTCATTCACTTTACGATGAGTATCATCATGCTTACCCAGGGATCTTCCAGAGCAACTCTTGAATTCTCATCAGACAGATCTCATGGCAAGACGCCAATCAAGAAGATGGGGATGATGCAGTTGTTGATGGAAGAAGGAGGAATGAGCAACACAGAGGGTCCGCATAGAGGAAGTGCCTTAATCCTATCCTCATATTTTATATCTGCATAATAATTAATGTATCCAGTTTAAGATACTTATACAGTTAGCTTCTTGCGTAGCCTTTAAACCATCTTCCGAAGTTTCTTATACTTCGTTGGTTATAGAATTAGCAAAGAAAACGAACCGGCAGCCAGACCTCTCATACATTGACAAGACATGCCATATAGAACTAGCTAGCTTCTTGAGCATCATGTCACAGGACTACGGGTTCTCCTTATTCTGCGAAGCTGTCATGACCATGTGGGCTTAGTAGCTTGTTTACCTATTACCTATTACGGTGAATGCTTTTAATAGTAATGATACATTGAGCATCAAGACCCCCCCTGTTCCAGGGAATCAGGCCATACTTTTCTTTTCACTCTTCATATCACCAAGTAGAACAGTACATTAGCCCCTCCAACAACCAACGCGCTTGGTTCTCGACCTCAGCCTGTCATAGAAGCAACCTTCTAGAGCTCAAAGATACAGAAGACAAAACATAGCCATGAGCGTCACATAAACCGGAATCAGCAACAAATGACCACAATATCCAAGGGGTGGCATCCTTTGACGCACGTTGTACTTTCGCACGCTCTTGGACGGAAACACAGCACGAGCATCACTCGGATGAGTGTCCATGACCTCCTCGCGAGAAGGATAATGAGGCCGCCATATCACGCATAGAACCGGGATGATATGGCAGGAAAGCGAAATATAGCACATCAGGATAACAGGGGGACACAGCAAGGTGGTCATTGCGTGGATGTGCCAGCCGGAGGTGCTCTCGATAGAGCCCATGATGGAGTATATCAATCCGGCCAGAGTTCCGAGTACGAAAAGCACATTGTAGAAAACTCCAGCGTCCCAGAGATCGCGTTTCAGCTGCACAACTCGAGTGGAGACCTTATTGGGATCGTTCCAGCTGTTCTGGGCGCTGCCAGTCACTAGGGCTCTGCCGGCTTGGGATCCGAAAAAGTGGAATCGAACGAGGGTGTATAGTCGGTCTGTTGAGGGCTTGGTTAGTAAATGGGAAAATGTTCATTTCAGAGCCCAAACGTACCAGCACACATCCAGAGACCAGTTGCTTGAAGAGCAAACACAGACTGTCGAAACCCCACTGCCGCCGCCTTAATCCATTCGTACAGCCAAACGAGCGCAAAGTTGGCCAAAGACAAGGCAAGTTGGAGCCTCAGCATCCCGCTCGGTACCAGCGGTCGCTGCGATATCAACGCCAGAGAGATTGTAACACATCCCACAACGTGGTTCACAGGTGACAGGAGATATGTGAGGCCCAGCGCTACCATACTAGACCTCGAGGCATACGGAGCGGACTCCCTGTGCGCTGCCCAGGGGGTGGCAATCATATGGGTCATGCTGGTGATCCATCGTCGCCTCTGTCTGATGTGGCCTTCCAGCGAGGGTGGCACTTGTCCGAGCTGCAGGGTTTCTTCGAGGGCCAGCACGCGCTTCCCGATGGAGGGCAGGATCAGCGAGAGCGTAATATCTTCGGCTTCGTTGAGCGTCGGGAACCCTCCCACGTCGAGCGCCAGCTGGCGGCGCATCAGAAACCCCGACCCCGAAGCGATGCTCGAACCCTGCTCGTTCAGCTCGGGGAGGATGGTCTCCCTGAATACGCCCATGCTTTGGCTGAGCGGATCACCCCGTGGTAAATTGTAATAGTCCTGCATTGGGCCCACTAGACCGACACTTGGGTCTTCCAGGATATGGGGAAGCGTGGCTCGCAGGAAGTTAGGCGCGGGCAGAAAATCGGCATCGAAGCCAGCAATGAAGTCGGGTGGCTGCTTCATCTTGCCCTGAATGTTAAATATAGCGTGGTTCAGGTTCCCAGCTTTGGCGAAGACTTTTCGGCTGGGCTTGATTCCTCTGCTGTAGTAGCGCAGGTTGGGCCAGGTCTGGCGGAGTTCCTCGACTGCGTGCTGTAGCTCGGTGGAATTTCCATCGTCGAGGACCAGCACTCGAAATGCGGATTGAGGGTAGTCAAGGACGCAAGCAGCGCGGATGGTGTCGAGAATGATATCCAGGGGCTCTCCGCAACACGGTAGAATGACGTCCACTGAGGGCAGCCCGCTATCCGCGGTTAAATGAAGTCGTTTTGTTGTGTTCCCGGGGTTTCGAGGGAGCTGCATGGAGAAAGATTGGTCTATATCGGTTAGATGACCAACGCACTGATGTTGGGTACTCTAATGGGACTAGAACCTACATGACCAAAGACCTTCAAATATGAATATCATCCACATCCAACAATTGGTCTCCGCTGCGGATACCAGACATGATAGGCGAGTTACCAGAGAGATAGCGAGAAAGAGCAATCCTGCGAGCCGAATTCGGCCTGCAATCGACTGGGCGAGCTGCGCAATATCTGTCTTCATTGTGAATCCCTCATGAATACTATGCCGTAAACCAGACTGAAGAAGGGAGACGATGTAGTGACTTTTTCTAGGGTTCGGAGGAACAGCCCCAGAATAAACCACAGCACGTCCGGGGAGAACGTAAGGAAGAGGAAGAAAAAAGAAAAGAAAAGAAAAGAGAAAAAGAAAATTGGAAGTGGCATTCGGACTAGTAGAAAAGATACGCCATATTTATGTTCGGCGTGATCACTTACTTCTCTGGAAATCTTCATCTGGGGGCGTGGGGGAGATTTACGCTTTCCATCTCAATATCTGCAAGTTCCATTGGAGGCGTCACATTCCCGGCGGCAGGAGTAGCCCCTTGCATATCTGGCAGGAAAGATTGATTTCAAAATCATACAGGATGATCTCTCACAACAGGAACCCGCCAGTAGAGAAGTGGAAATCGGAAGAATGACTAGGGAGTCCCTGCTGCTACTGTTCTGATGTATGCAATATTCTGTCTGGAAACGCAGGTCAATTAATCATGCACGATGAAGTGGCCTCCCACACTAGGGCAGACCGACAAAATAGAGGCTGACATCGCATACACCGCTGAAAGTGGAGTTTTCTGATAAAAAGCATTGAACGCGTCGGGCCAGCTCGGATTCAAGGTTTATGATTTTGTTGACCGCATGAAGTTCGGACATCTGCCGCGTTGAATAAAGACTCTGCGCTGAAAGCTCTTGTGAAAGGGCCCGGCCTGTTCTGTGAGCAATAGGGCCAGCTTATGTATAGTTTTGATGCAAGTTGCTGTGATAGCTCAAATTATCAATAAGCTGGCCCGCCCTTTCATGCTGTCTTGGACATTATCTCTTCGTCAACGGATTGGTGGCTGCTTATCCAGAAGCAAGGCTATAATCGCGATGTGAAAGAATCACATCAGTCTAGGATGGTCACGATCTGCAGCGTTTTCGAAAGGCCCTCGTGGAGGATTCTCTAGTATACAGACGCGCAGGCAGCGGAGGTCTGGCGATTCGGAATAACCTCTTGGGACTGCATTTGCAACGGGGAGAAGAGCCAAAAGGCCAGGAAAGCCTTTCTTGATCATCACAGTTACGTCCGCAAAGTGGTGCCGCCAGAGAGGTTGCTGGAGTTACATCCCCAGGATGGGTGGAAACCCCTCTGTCGTTTTTCGAACCCTTCTGAGCTGAGGAGCTCTTACCCCGTGACAAATGACACGTGGACATGACACATGTTATGAGAGAGGTTTTGAATACTTTTTCTCCTAATACTAAGACGGGAGAGCAGTCCATTTCGAACCAGGCATATAAAAGCAGCTAGACATCCACTTATGATCAACATAATTCTACTCGGAATGCCAAGGCAGATCTACGCAACTATGCCACCAAGGTCAATTCGTTGCAAAGCTACATATAAACGTCATAGTACGTCTTCTGGGTATCGCTCAGACTTTTTCATGGCTTACCAGTCCTGTCAACTTTTACGCTTGCCTTGTCGTTCTCGTTCAACCACTATCTCAATGAGTTAGTCAATAATCACTCAAGATTCTAATTCGCGAAAAGCATATCTATTGAAAAAGCATTCTATGCAGGCGCTTGGCTTATTGAAGCAGAACTTTGCTCCTGTACGCCAGAACTCCAAATGCAGTGACAATCTAAAAGCAACACCACCAAATCAGCAGCTTCCACACGTCTACCGCACAAACGCCAAACCAATAACTCTAACAACCAGTAGTATATATGCTACGAAGTATACCCAAGTACCCATTGAAATACTCGGCTTTGCCCTTTGTCGCAGATCTCAGGTCTTCAATCAAGGAATGGTGCTATTAGACAGCCTTTCCCTCTCGATCGATATGCTTCGTAGTCACAACATATCCGTTATACAAGTATACGACTGTGACATGCAGCGGAGAGTCAGGGTTGGTACCACCGGTATGCCAGGTCTTCTGTCCACTGTTCAAATTTTAGCAAAAAGGAATATCTTAACTAGAGGGGAGAAGGGTAGAAAAAGGGAGTACAAACTCATGTTCCGGTGTACACTTCACCGTCGCCCCGTTAATTTCCCTCGTGTCTTTCTCACTGTATACTGTCACTGCACGGTCCACAGAGGGGCTTCGTCTCTGTGGATTCGTGTAGCCAATATCCTTGGGTTCTGTGAGAGGCATGATGGAGACGAATGTCTGCATGTATGTACAGCTAAATGTTAATGGGGGAGATAGGGTGTCTTGTCGAATCGGTGTACGTAACTTCCTGCAGGGATGGGGTATATAGAGTTGGTTTATATACATTTTTTATCTTATGACTTTGTACATGAGTGTTCTGATCTCTCCGTCATTTTTCTGGCCTCATAAAAGACTATTTGCATCTCGAGTGGATTAAGCTGGACATCGTGGCATGAGGATCTTTGCGGTGGACAAAGTACCCAGATATCTCCGGTAAGGCAAAAAGAGGAGAAAATGAGGACTGAGCTATAAAGAGCGTGGAAATAGAAAGAGCTTTCCTTGTCTAGAAACATTAGATCCGTAAGTCTGTCGGGTTTATTGTTCGGTGGGCGTTCTTCATGGGAACTACAAAGGGCTCACTCCCATCTCATTGGCTATTGGTTGAGACAAACCATCTGGCAGAGTCTTTGGCCGTGAGGAATCTCCCGCTTCATCAGGGGCCTTCCAGTCCCTGGATCTAAGACTGTGATGGGGTATTTAGGCCCTCCATGTCGCTGTGGTCGATGGCATATCCGCTGAGGCAAATCCTACACTCTCAACACACGCTTTCACCACATACCTTGCAAAACACGAATCGTCCCACAAAATGTCCAGCGACACGAAGAGAGACATTGAAGAAGGCACGCAGGTGTACGCCCCAAGAGGCTTCCATCCAGTGTACATCGGCGATGTGTTCAACGACCGCTACCAAGTCCTCAACAAGATCGGATACGGCGTCTATTCGACCGTCTGGCTGGTGCGAGACCTTAAACCCGAGCAGTAAGTCGATACTCCAGAACCCCAGCCCCCAAACCAAAGCTAACACACATCCACAGACCAGGCCCTGAGCATGAATTCCGAGCCCTCAAAGTGCTCAGCGCCGAATGCTACGACAGCGAACGTCGCTTCTTTGAGCGAGAGATCTTGACGCATTTCCGAACCGCAGGCGGCGCTCTGCTCGGGTCCAGGCACGTCTGTCAGCTGCTGGATGACTTCGAGCACCACGGACCAAATGGAATGCACGTCTGCCTGGTTTTCGAGCTGATGGGTGAGACGCTGCGCACTTTCGGCGCGTGGTTCCCGGAATGCGAGATTCCGAACTACTTGATGCGCCGCTTCACCATCCAGCTCCTGCTGGCTCTTGACTGTTCTCACACTCTCAATATCGTCCATACCGGTAAGCAACCCCTGCCTATCCTATCCCTTTCTGCCCCCGCCACGTACATCCTACTAACAGCGCTGCCTTGCCAGATATCAAACCCGACAACATCTTCGTCAAATTCAAAGACCACTCCCGGATCGAATCCTACCTGAAGGAAGTCCCAATTCCCCAGCAAGACCGATCAGAAACCCAGTACACCGTCGTGCCCTCCACACCCCTCCGCTATTACTACTTCACCGAAGCCTCCGAATTCGACATCGCGCTCGGAGACTGGGGCGTCGCCAGCTGGACAGACCGACACCTCTCCAGCCTCATCCAACCCGTTGTTCTCCGATCCCCCGAAGTCCTAATCGAAGCGCCGTGGGACACACGCACCGACTTCTGGAACCTAGGCGCCGTCGTGCTCGAGTTGTTTCGCGCGGTTCGCATGTTCAGCGGATCGGCGGGGCGGGGCGGCCCCTACGAGCTGAAGGAGCATCTGAGGGAGATTGTGGATTTGTTTGGGCCGTTCCCGAGGGCACTTCTGGAGAGAGGGAATCAGGACCTGGTGCGGGAGTTGTTCGATGATGATGGCACGATCAAGGATGCGCCGCCGATGGTTCGCCCGGCGCTGGCGTCGAATGCGTTCATGCCGAATCTCCATCCGGAGGTGAGGGAGGAGTTTGCATCGTTCCTGCGCACGGCGATGATGATTGATCCTGAGGAGAGGGTTTCGGCGGAAGATCTCTTGCGTCATCCTTGGTTGAACGCGCTCCAATAGATATTTTGGAGATAAGTTTGGCGAGACGGAGGGAAGATTCCCGTGAAGTTCAGTATTACTACTATAGATCAATTGGCACAAGCTCTCCTCACAGTATCACATCGCTATAGACAGGACGAGCTCTGCAGACTTGGGGTTGGATTGAGTCTGTGTTACATATGTGCACTATTTCTTATTATAGAGTTCCTGGTCCTTTAAATACTGAGGCAATTCATTACCCGGCTCCCCTATATTGACCTTACCTTCTTTTATACACCCTGTAAGCTACTCCATGTCAATAAAATATTTCTCTCGGTAATAAACACTTGTAGGATGAGAACCCTTGATATTAGCAACATGACCTTGTTTTACTTCAATCAGGAAGACGTATCAACTACAGCCCTTGAGCTATTTTAGAAAGCAACATTAGTATGTATACTACGCTTTATCTATAGCTTCTCTTTAAACTAGGAATATCTATAGCTGTGTAATTATCGTGGTGCTGCTTTTTATTCAGGCTGCGGGATTCGGTCTTTGAGGATTTTGTATAGATATAAAATCAATTCGCAAACTATCGCAAGGAGTACCTAAAGCGACATTTAATAGGTGGTTTCGAAATGTCCCCAGTCAATCACTCGGTTAGAATGGAAGGACCCACGTCCACGCTGGCCGATGCCGCTATGGCGATCCTTGTCATTCGACTCAGTATTCCCAGAAACAAAGGGCCACGGTTCCCCGACAAACAGCATTCCATCTCCTCAGGTTCTCCGGACGCAGGATCGGCCTTCTTATTAATCCGTGACCGAGACCCTTCACCGCTCGATCTCCTCGGTTTCAGGGGGGCGCAACTTACTTGCCTTCTCATCATTCAGACAAGATGAACCTTCCTCCCACCAGAGTAATCATCTATGCGTGCGAAACCGATATCACCGGCTGCCCCCAGAGGCGTCATGTCCAAATTGGGGAGGATTTCTGCGAAACCGTCTTAAGTCGTGCATTCAACCCTACACTTCATCCGGCGGGGTACGACCACATCCATATTCCGGCGGATTTCGACTCGCTGAAGCCTCTGAAGCGATGGTTCATTCTGGATTTAGATGTCACTCAACCGCTCAGCCAGGAAGATCTTTTGCAGCTTCCCCATCACGTATACCTTGCCAGTCAGCAGGGTCAGGGTGGCACATTGTGAGATGTCCAGAGAAGGTTTTGGATATCGACTCGACCACCCTTTCTGACTACACAGATCCTTTATCCCCCGCAGTCGGTGGGCTGACAAGGCAAAGGAACGGGCTCTTTCGTACGCCTGGGGAGGGAAAGAGGAGCAAAGGATTGTGGAAGATCTACGGAAGGAGATGCATTATGAGGAAGAAACAATGCCCTAACACCCTCGCTCGTTACATTCTAAGGCGTCTCTGGTGGTGTGTCCCCCTTAGACCCCTGTCTAAGGCTGTCTGGAGTGGACTGACCTGGGAAAGACGCTAAACTAGCCCCAGGAATCAAAGGAAAGCTCCCAGCATAGATTCAGCTACTCACAGCCATCTGAGCAGTCAGGTCTATTGTTGCTAGAAACCCATACACAGGCCGTGCACTAACTTCCTTTGCTATGTAACCTATAGTCCGCGCTATCTATAAACTAAGCATATATGGCTACGGCATCTATGGTTCTGTTGGATATCGTCCCATGAATATAAAGTAGACTTCTCAGCTATCTAGATATCGCTTCCAACTGTTACCCTAGTGGGCAACTACTAGAGTGTAGTGTCGATAGCATCTAATATCAAACAGTTTTAAGTAAAGACCGCAAACCAATTCATTCAAAAAAAATCCTCCAATATTCGTATATACAATTTCACACCCCCTTCCCTACCAAACCATCCCCATCTCCAACCCCTACCCAATACCCAAAATCAAAATAAATCTACTCCTCAACACTCCCCGACCCCCTAACCGCCCCATTCTTCCACCTCACCAGACTCTCCTCATACGCCCCACTCCCCTTCCACGCACTAATAATCAAATCCACAATACTCCTCATACCCTTCCCATTCTTGACCTCCGCGAACACCGTCGGCCCGCCCTCCCTCATCTTCGCCGCATCGCGCTCCATCACCGACAAATCCGCCCCGATCAGCTGAGCCAGATCACACTTATTCACGACCAGCAGGTCCGAGCCCGTGATGCCGGGCCCGCCCTTGCGCGGGACCTTGTCCCCGCCCGCCACGTCGATCACGTAGATGATGAAGTCGGCGAGTTCGCGCGAGTAGTTCGCTGCGAGGTTATCGCCGCCGCTCTCGATGAGGAGGAGGTCCGTGGAGAATTGCTTCTGCAGGGTTTGCAGGGCCAGCAGGTTGGCGCTGATGTCTTCGCGGACGGCGGCGTGCGGGCAGCCGCCGGTTTCGATGGCGCGGATCCGAGACGGAGAGAGGGCTTTATGGCGGGTCAGGAATTCGGCGTCTTCGCTGTGAAAGGGATTCGTGTTAGTGCATTGGTTGTGGTACTAGGGAAGGAGAATGGGGGGGAGACGTACCGGGTGAAAATGTCGTTCGTCACGGCCGCAATGTTATACTCTTCGCGCAGGGCGTGGCACAGCGCCAGCATGAGGGCGGTCTTGCCGGATCCGACGGGACTATATATAGTGCCGTTGATTAGTATATGTAAACGATTCATACGCTCGGAAGGTGGATGCCCACCCGCCAATGCCGATGGTGAAGGCACGGTCCTTCCAGTCGCGGCCCTCGATGAGGGGCATCTCGCGGTTCAGATACGAGCCGGGCCCGTCGAGGATCTCGTGCGAGTGGCCGTGGCCGCCGAAGTCATCGTGCGAGTGGCTGATGCCGTCGTCGTGGGAGTGCGAGTGGGCCATTTTCTCGCGATGTGGTGTGCGGTGCATGTAGATGAAGGAAGAAGATGGAGGGGAATGAGGGGCCAGTTACACTTATACCGAAAGGCTAAGGAACTACGCACCGGCAAACTCTCCGCCGAGCCCACGGAGACTGCCGACGGGGGCCTCTGATTGGCGTGGGGCAGATCCACGTTGACATGATCCGATATGTCACGATAAGACGATCTACAGAGCATACCCAGTAGACTATCTGGCATCTACTATACAGTATATACTCTACTATAGTACCACTCAATTATCAATCTTCCCATTCGGCATGACATACAACATAATAATATATTTCCACAGAAACAAAACCCAACGCCAAAAACGTAGCAGTCGCCAATGGTAGAACATGGATATCAATAAAATAAACAGCGCACCAGAGTCGGCAAAGAAAAACCGGTATCGCTATTGGGAATCGAGCTCAACGACTCAACAAGACATCAGCCCCCGACGGGCGTAAAGGGAAAACCGTACGATCAGGACTCCGAAGAAAGCCAATTGCAACGCGACAATGACGGTGTGACTGTGATCGACCATGCCTGAGGACACCCGGGAGCCTTGCTTTTCCACGTTCAACAGGGCCTCAAGCTTCATGTGGTCGAATCCGGCCGGTACCACCCAACCAACGCAACGGACACCATGAACCAGCAAGAAAAGGGACACAAAATGCTAGGGCAACGAGCAAAAACAAAGAAAGGAAAAGAAAGAAAAATCCCAGCAATCCCGCAGTGAAATCGAGAACACGAGATCCAATTGGAAAGAGAAGCGATCAAAAGCGAATAAAGAAAACCCTCGCACGATCTTCCAAAGATACGCCAGTTCCCCGCCTCTTAAGACTGAAAAATAAATCGAGAACAATGCATCGTGGTAAAGAAATTAAAGAATAAAAACGGGTGCGCAAATTAGCTGGACCCCTTTTGTCTCTTCCCCCCAACTCGAGGACTGGCCTTGACCGTTTTGGGGCCGGGACCGGGGGCTCCGTTGACATCGCCCGCTCCGCCGTCGTCCTCCATCTTCACGGTGCTGGCACGTCGCCGTTTGTTGCTGACGTTGGGGCTGGCGCTAGCGCTGTTCCCCTGAGCAACGTTGGGCTGCACCTGGCCGGGAGGCACCATCCCGGGAGGGCCAGCCAGATGGCTTTGGGCCGGGCTGGGCTGAGCCGAGCCACTCAGGTGCGGGGATCCCTGATTGCCCGGCAGACCCAGGTGAGCCATGGCCGGCGATGCGAACTGATTGGGCCCGCCGATGCTAGGAGCCCGCGGGTTTTGCACCTGCTGCATGGCGGGGTTCATGGGGCTGGGCATGAAGCCGGGGTTCGGATTCTGCATCTGCAGCGTGTTGACCAGATTGCGCAGCGCATCGGGCGGAGATAGTTGCGGGTTTTGCTGCGAGAACTGGAAAAGCATTTGCATTTGCGAAATCGTCTCGGCCACCTGGGATTGTGAGAACATATTACAAAATAATCATGCGACAGATAAAGACGTACCTCGAGGAAGCTCATCACAGCGGTGGGAACGCCATTCGGCGTTACCATCGACTCGGGCAACTGGATTTGAGGTTGCGGGGGCTGCTTTGCCTGACCACGCTTGCCCATGTTCTTGGAAACCTTGGGGCTCTGCTTGAGGTCGGGCGATCCCAACGCCTGCAATTGACTTCGCGGAAGATACTCGGTGTGATTCATGACCACAATGTCAAGCATTTCGATCTTGTTGCTCATATCGAAGTGGGCCCTTAGTGTCCCGTTGGTGAAGAGCTATAACGGGTTAATCGACTACGCAGCAATTTGCAGGAAAACTGTGGACAAACCTGAGTGTCATTTGCGAACCAATAGATGAACGACGTTTTGGTGCTCTCAACGATGTGGCCACCGTTAGGCGAATCCCTCTCCCGCGCGGCTTCGACAACCATTTGAATATGACGAATGCCGCTGGTAAATTGCGTCAAATAGTAGCGCGCGAGAGCTGGCGTCGCGATCTCGAACTGCTTCGAACCGGACTGCGGGTTGTACACGCCTTGTCGCAGGACACCGTTGGGCGAATAAAATCGTTCCACGAAAGAATTCCAATACGGCAAATCAAGGGCCTCGCCACGGCTCTGCGATCAGTTAGCATGCAACCTTTCCAACTGTCCATCCCTCCCCAATTATCGCGGTGACATACGGTGAAATTACTCAAGTGTTCGGCGAAGTTACTGAGACATAAGATAGTGGCGCCCTTCATTCCCATGCGCTGCTGCATCATCATGGCGGCATTGTTCTGCTGTTGTTGCTGCTGAGCCTTGAGTTGGGCCTCCTGGGCCGTCATTGGCTGCTGCGGCTGTTGACCCGGCTGCTGGCCCTGCTGACCCGGTTGACCTGGCTGCGGCTGCGGCTGCAATTGGGGGGGCTGCGGCTGCTGCGGCTGTGGGCCGGGTTGCTGGGCCTGCGGCAATTGCTGAGGTGGCGGATTCGGGGTGGGCTGAGGCTGAGGAGCGACAGGTTGTTGAGGGGGCGGCTGGGAGGCCGGCGGCTGTGGCGGATTGGACTGCGGTGTGCTACTGCCCTGGTGAGGTGGCGGTCCGGGTTGGGGCTGGGGGGTGACGCTTTGCGCATCGTGCACGGGTTGGGGTTGAGCCGACGCCCGCTGCTGAGGTGTCTGCTGTCCCGGCTGTCCCGCTGGATTGGGCTGCTGAACCTGCTGCGCTTGATGCGCTTGCTGCTGGGCCTGCTGGGCCTGTTGCGCCTGCTGCATCGCGAATATGTGTTGCTGAGGAATGTTCTGGGGTTGCCCATGAGGCATCTGCTGCAGCTGCATCTGCAAATTCACCGGTCGCATCCCCGGGGCCTGCATGGCAGCGAGTTGGGCGGGATTGATGCTCTGAGTGCCATTTGGTAACGTTACCGGAAGTCCGCCATGCTGCTGCTGCTGTTGCTGTTGCTGCTGTTGTTGTTGTTGCTGGTGTTGCTGTTGATACATCATTCGCTGTCTAATGAGTTGTTGCTGATGCTGATGCTGCTGCAAAAGTTGAGGGTTGTTCGCAACTACAGACACAAGGCGTTAGTTAATTGGTGTGACGGGCGGACGGTGACCGCTGTTTTGGGATGGCGGGGAGAGACGACCCGGCATCGGGAAACTCACAATTCTGAGCAAAATGCGGTTGTTGGAACAGATGGGCCTGAGCCGGTCCCAGATGAGAAAGAGCATGGGCCTGTACGGGACCTCCAGGGGCAGTTGTTCCTGCGCCAGGAGGCATTCCGCCCATCATCGGTCCACCCTGAGTGACTTGAGGTCCGCCCGACGCCGACACCCCAGGGTGGACTTGTTGAACCATTCCCGCCCCGGGATGGGCATTCGGGTGTTGACCGGCGGCCAGCGGGTGACCCGGAGGAAGACCATGGTGCTGAGGAATGCCTTGATGGGCAGGAAACGGCTGCGCCATCATCATCGCTGTACAACGAAGTCGCCGATGACGGGACTCCTAACGGTCGGGATCAGGGGGGCTGGAGAGGAGGCGCGACCGGGACGAGGTGAAAAAAATGCACGCGAAGACAGGATAGAGATCAAAGGTATATAAAAGAGATCGGAAATTAATATAATACGAAATAAAAACGGATGGACGGCGATGACAGAGGGTATTTAAAGATTGTCGACCGTCGACAGCACAGGATGAGGGCGAACGTCGGGACTCGAAAAGCGCGCTTGACGTGGAGGCACAACAGGGCCGCTTTTAGTGTCGGAGCGGAGGCCAAGACGTGGTGGACGGGCGACTGAGCCTGCGTCGGTATCGTCCAGAACCACACGGGCGCAGGAGCATGGATCGAATCGGGCTGAATCGCGGGCTGCCCTAGAGACTCAATGAGGGTAAGTTGACGGTCGGGGAGGCTGGCCGGAGGGGAGGAAAAAAAGAAAAGAAAAAGAAAAAACAGAAAAAAAAGGATGAGGTTGATTGAGTAAGATTGGGTGGGAGTAGGGAAGACACGGAGGCCGGGCAGATAGTGGGAATTGAGAACGGGTTTAGGGGAGGACGGAGGTGTGGAGGGGCTTAGGGGCCAACGAAAAAAGAGACGGCGCACCTCTTGCGATCGCCAGTTCAATCGCTCGGTCGAAGAGCGAAGAAAGCTGGCAGTCCCGATGGGAGTACAAGCACACCGCCCAACGATGTGAAGCGACTTAGCACTTAGGGCAGAGGCCGTGGGGAAAGGGAAATGGAGAGGGAGGGGGGGAGGAGTCGGAGGGGACCAGGGGGGAGGGAGAAAGAGAGAGGGAAGAATGGGCGGGAAAAGGGCACAAGATTAGAGATTACAAGAGAACCGAAGACGATCGGAGTCAGAAGAAGATCATGGCAAGAGATCAGCCGGTCCTGAGGCTTTTCTTCGCTTTGCAGCCGGGCCTGCGCGAATCATGCGAGCCGCTAGTCCGCGTTCGGTAATCCTCACGTGAGTCTGCCTCGGCCCCGGAGGAACGTCGCCCCGTGGCCGGCGGCTATTTTTTTCGGTGCCCGCCTCGCGTTTTTCTTTTTTCTTCCCATCTTGCATCTTGCTTCTCACCAGACTCTTCCGGTTTCTTTTGGAAGTGGCAGACAGCGTTCAACCGTTTGAATGCTGCAGAAGAACTCGCAATGCCATGACACCAGTCCAGTAGAACCTGGCCACAGATCAAAATGATGATCAGACCACGCCAACTAACCGATCAGCTCACCTGCAGAGCTCCATGACAAGGTTCGTTCTGACTTTTCTCCCTTTTTTGCCTTTTTGCCTCCCATTCCCCCTTCATGTTCGAAGATGATAAACCCTTCTTACTTCTTCATCACCTCTGAATCGACCCTGACGAGGTATTTCGGACCTTCCATTCCCGGTCGGTCTGCTACTTGCCAGTATATTGTGTCTGAGAACATGCCTTGAATCTTGACAAGTTTTACTCCACCATGCACATGGACCATGGGCTAACTCTGTGTCAAATAGGTCAATCACGGTTTCGTGCCACCGAGTGTCGGACCATACGGGACTGCGCGGAGGATCAGCATTAGCTATAATTATCGAGTTATTATCTTTTCTACTTGTGTGTTGATGGGCGGGTTCAGCTTGCACGGTGGTGTGGTGTGTCTGCCCTGCGCTTGTACTGTGCTTGTAATGTAGTTGTAGCTTCATACGGCTCGGAGGCTCCTTCATGGGCGAGACCCAGTCTTGTAAAGATTTAAAAAGGGTCAGACTTTAATCTCAAGGGAGAAACTTTTTCAAGAGCTTATGCAGTAAAGCTTGCCTGTGTGTGTGGATCCCTCAAACATAAGCGTTGCGTGTCTCAGTGAGTTGCACTGTTTCGAGGTCGCTGAGCACAGTACTATATATATTCATTCCTTGGTTGTAAAATCTTCATCGAAGACATAAACCTGAGCACTTCGAGTTGTTTAGGGTCGAAAGCACTCGAAAGTTCCAACTTCTTGCGAGAGTGTGTTGTGCCGTAAGCCATAACAGCCAAATATATATCTCAATTCAGACACAATGCTCAACCCCAAGACCAATGGCTGCATTCAACCAACACAAACACTCGCAATTATAAACGTCAGATAAAGAGAATATATTCTAAAAATGGTATTGAGCTTACCCACAAAGAATGATCCAACTCTACCAATCATCAAAATCATAAACATAAAGACAAAAACCAAGATGCCACACCATACAGTGTATATAAACCGCCCAGCGATATTACACCAACCGCAGCATGCGCACAGAAAGACCAAGAAAAACAACCAAAAATAACAACCAAGAAAAGTCCAGCTTTTTCAACCATTTCGTTGTGGTGGTCTGGGTAGAGATATTTGTACCTAGGTCTCCCCCTTGACATGGACAGGCATGGCGAGGCTTAGACTGAAGGACAAGATGTGAACAAAGCGAGTGTACCACGCACGATTGGCTATGTTGATGAGATCCGTATGCCTTGATGTTCGTGTCATTTGAAACATAATTTGAGTAACCGTGGTCCCTCAAGCCATTAATCGTAACTTCCGTAAAAAACATAAAATCCTGAAAAACCAAACAAAAAACAGAAGGGCGCATGTCATAGCTCCTACTGGTGGGTGCATTGGCCGTATTCGTTGGGCGAAATTCGTCGGGTCGATGCACTTCACCTGAAATCAAGCTGGAATGATTTCCATTTGCCGCCCACCGTTCGGCATCGCGGGCATCCTCGAGGGCCGGGGTAGCTCGTGGGACCGTGAGACATGGCGCTGCCCGGGCTCGACGTCACATTTCGGAATGACGTTGGAGGGCTGCCGATGAAGGTCACCACACATTCGCGGCAGACTCCGCAGATGCACTCGGTGCAAGCGAAGCACTCGTTCAGCGGCCAGGACCGCTTGCAGCTGGCACAGTAGATCTGTATTTCTTTGCTCCGGAAGGATGCCGGCGTCGGGTTTGAAAAGCGATGATGCTGGCGTTGCGATGCCGAGGCTGGGAACATGTTCAACACCGGGCTGGAATCCGAATTCACCGAGGGGGGCATATGAGCCGAAAACCCAAAGTTTCTGCCGGACGTGGTTGACGCCGAATCCAAGGATGACTCAATGGATGGGAAGGGCTCGAGATCACTGTCGCGGTTGCGCGAGGTGTCGTAGGGCGGTGGCGTCAGGGACTTGTGCAACGGAGAGGCCGCGTAGGAGTGTGGTGGGAAAGGCCGATGCGATGTTGGGGGTGGAAGTCCTTGGAATGCCGGCGGCAACGATGAGCGATGCTTGGAGTTTAGATGACCGGATGTGATGTGAGATATCAACGGCGGAATGGTAGGAGAACGGCCAACCTGAAAACCCATAAGTTAGTGAAACAAAATCCTCCCGATGGATTGCAAAATTTTGAGACATACCTCGGAAGTCCGTTCATCATCTGCCTCGGTAGCGGAGGTGGCCGCTTCGATCAGGTCCTCCCAGCGTTTGCCCTGAGCCCACGCTGCGGTCTGCGGCTCGGCCGATAACGCCTTCCGATCTCCCAGGCTGGGGCGCCGTGGGTATTCCTTCGACTTGTTCCGTTCGTGTTTGGGCTTCCTGGCTCCGGTGATTGACGACTTGCGAGGACGCGGCAATTTGTCCCTTCTCTGGATAGGAGGCAGTGTCGAGGAGCGACCAGGCGGGGAATGGTTCAGGATCGACGGAAGGAGTTCTCTCGGGCGGGGGGACGCGAACGGAGGCAGGGATTCCTGTTTGAGGTGATCCCTGAGCGACGGGAGTTCGATTGAAGTTCTCATGCGGTCTCGACCAATATCATTGTCGGAATGGGTCTCCTGAAGCGACTGGTTAGTCTATCTGCTCCCATACCCATTCCCCCTTCGGGCCTCTCTGTTGGTGATATTTTTTGAACGAGGCGTAAAACCCTGGATGTACCCGACGTAGCCAAACATACCATATCTGTATCCCAGTCAGATGCTAAACGGTTATGGTGCAGCTGGGCGAGGGCGACGGCCGCCGTAGCAGCCGCGGGGTGGGTTTCATCAATACCGCGCGGGGTGGCGGGGGAGCAGCTGGCGTCCGCCACATAGATGTCTCTGTCTGCCACGTCTGTGAACCGTCAGTCGTGGTCAAAAAAATAAAACAAAAAAGTCAACTAGGAGATCAGAATACAGACCATTGCGTCGTCGCGAGGGCGTGGAATTGGGAGGCGATAGGTGAGCTCGTTGGTCCGGCGGGGTAGTGACCATCAAGATAAAGCTCTCCTCCGTAGCCGGGAGCTTCGGAATATAGTGGTTCGGATGGGCCCGACGGATGTGCTCCTGCATGGAGCGGTAGCGCTTCTCCTGAATGGCAGCATGGTTGTTAGATGCGAACATCGAAACAATGGAACTGGCAAAGAAAAGAGGCCTCCTGGTCCGGTGTCCCCCTCGTGTTCGAGCAATTGCTGGTCTTTCGCCGACTGCTGCAACGAGAGGCCAACCTTGCATGAAGTGGGGCGCCCGAAGGAGACCTAGTGGTCGAGGCCACGGCAAGGCAGGAGAGAAAGAGAGTCATGACACTCACACCCAGACATCTTTTCCGACAATTGGAACCGTCGTTATTCTTCAGGGGACAGACGACTTCATTGTTGGCGTCGGTGACAGAGAAAGAGCTGGTCAGAGATGCCCGGGGCGGCATGGTCTGCATGAATCCGTTCTGGCGGCGGGGTTGATCCGGAGGGGCCAAGTCAGCCAGCAAGCACACAGACACGGTGCGTGAGGAGCGAAACGACAGCCTTCGAAGCGGAGATCAATTCAACAATCCAAGGCCGAGCTCGCGATTCATGCTCCGAGGACGGAATCAACAGAAGATTGAATGGAAGGCACAATAGTAAGCAAATCAATGGAGGGGCACCGATAAAGAGGGAGAGAGGGGTGAGAAAGGAGAAAGAGGATCAGATTGAGTTAATAGCAGGTATGGAAGTAGGTTGAGTAGTAAGAAAAAAAAAAAGCAAAAAAGAAAAAAAAAAAAGTCCAGATAGGTAGATAGGCCCGTGATAGTATTTAAGAATGAGTAATAGAGAGAAAGAAAAAAAATGCTGCCACTACTGCAACCACCTAGAAAGTCAGAGGAACTAGCTCGGAGTCCATCAGAGGGCAGAAGAGGTAGGGGGAGGAGAAAAGGGTCGGGAGCTCTGCGATTGAATGTACTGGTGGGTGAGCCAAGCTAACGCAGCCGGGTTTAGGGTGCAGTGGGAAACGAAAATGACAGGCCGCGGATTGGAGCTCTGGATTTACATGAAAAGAAAAGAAGAAAAAAAAATTAAAAAAAGAGGAGACTAAGGGGGAGAAAATGGAAGGCGAGCGGCGGGAAAAAAGGTGGAGGGCGAAATGGAGGGTGGAAATCCACGGGGAATGGAGTCGTACTGCAGTTGTATGGAACGCAGTCAGAGATTCGGACAACTTAAAACCACTCTGCGCCTCTGTTCAGCTCCGGAGAACCCCGACCGCGTGGCCTTGCTGTTCTTTTTCTCTGTCTTTTCCTTTCCTTCCTTTTTTCTTTTTTTGTTCTTTTTTTCTGGTCCGAGGCATGCAGGCCGGCAGGTCACAATCCGCGATCTTCATGAGCCAGAAAGCTCTCCCCGGTCAGTTGATAAATCGAGTCTTTGTTCGGCCTGAAAGAAGGCAGCTCCTCGGCACAGCTGCTGTATTATTGAGGGTCGGCTCAATAGCACCGGTGTCACTGGTAAGGATACCACCTCCGTACGCAGGTAGAACCAAGGAATCCCCGATAACCTACCAGATAGGTTACTGACTAGTAGAGAACTAAGCAGCTGCAGCTATTCAAGTCCAGTAATGTGGCAGGACGCTGGAAGGATGTGCGGTAAGGTAATTTATTCTTACGATTTTCTTTCTTTTTTTTCTTTTCTTTTCCTTTTCGTTTCTTTTTCTGCCACCAGATTCACGGAGCTGTGCAGGCTGCATGGTACCTAAGAGCTACCGTAGCAGCTGTGAGTAAGAATAAGCATATCCCTTGAAGTTATCGCCCGAATTCTCCCTACAAGGTATGCCTCCTGATGCTAGTGGCACAGCATGCGACCTTCGCTTCTGCCGATAAAGGCGCCTATCGATAACCCAAAACGTGGGACAGTGCGTGCCCGTACGGAGTAGATTTTTTTTGTTTTACTTCTATTTCCATTCACCAGTACCTATGTCCTATTCATATTAACGACCCGAAATCTTCAGATTCAAAGATTCGAGACCAGTTTAAGACTCGACCTGTCCATTGATATGCATTACTATTCTAGTCTTCACGGAATGCCGCACACAGTAAGCATGACTGGGTATTGAGTCGTACCGGTTTCTGACACTTCTCGAGTGGGGGGGACAGGCCCGTACCGTAAAGAAATGAGGGGTGTACGCAACTCACCGGCGTAATAAACCAAGAAAAAAAAAGGCTCAGATTTGAATAAACCCTTGCTCACCTGGTGTCTTTCGATCGGCCGCACTCGACGCGAAAAGGAGGGTATAGCAGAGTGTTAAGGTTTCCTAATTGATATCTAGCGGTGATAATAACCCGATGACCATGTGCTGGTGCTCACGAGCAAATTTCCACGATTCCACGAACCGAGAAAATCATCTTATCTGGAAATACGGGACGATACGAGACGGTAACGGCGACCAGCACTTCGGGAATCTCGGTGGAACTGCTTCCCCTCTTTGGGAGGTTTGCGAGTCTGCGACAGCTTGCAGCACGCAGCAAATAATAATCCTCACTGAACTTCTTAACCAGCTCAGGTACTCCGAGGACGGGAAGGACTCGAGGGGAGGGTTTTGCCTTTTTTTTTTTTTTTTTTCTTTTTCTTTTTCTCTTTACTACTCGGTAGGTTACCTCACAGCACGCGATAAACGAGCTCCGTCCTCAAGCAACAACGGAACTGCTGGAAGTTGATATAATCGATGATATTTCTATTTCTTCGATGGAAAGGAAATCTTGGTTGTGAAACCTTACCCACCACAAACACAGACCATGACCACCACCTGACCATGTGCACTTTTTGCCCGGCCCCTCCCACACCAGCTCTCCCCAGCTCCGAAGTCGAGAGCTCCTGCAACAGGATTTGAGCTCCAGCTCGAGCTTTTTTTTTTTTCTTTTTCTTTTTTTTTCTTTTCACTCTCGTTTTTCATTTTTCTCCTGCTTTCTGACTTTTCACTCCCTGCCTAGAACCGATTAGGCTAAGGTTAGTGGCGAAAAAACCCGCTTAGCTCGACGCCACTCCAGTTCCTTATTCCCGTCTGAGTGGGGCCCCCCGAAACAAGGAGTCCCGTAAGGCCCTTGTATGTATGTATGTGCCTATTTTTTTTCCAGCCAGAAGCGACAGAGACTCGGCATAAGATTGAGCAGAGTTTTTTTACGGGGGTTTCTAGAACGGTGGCAACGGCGATGTGCCGGGCTAGAACTGCAAAAAAGGGGGAGCTGTGTCCATGGATGAGGGTGAGAAAAAGGAGAAGAGCCGAGGAGAAGAGCGGGGAGAGGGGAAATCAGAAATCTACTCCGTACGCAGTAGGTAACTTGCTTGCAAAGGAGGGGAAGCTGGTAACGGAGTATTCGGGGGGTAATGATTTCACAATACCTACGGCGGATGTTGGACCTGGAAGTGTAGTAGGATTCAGGAAGAACGTACAACCCTGGCGGTGCTGGAATCACACCCTCAGTGCACGGAGTGGAGGGGTCGATGCCCAATTTGTCTACAGGCGAGGATAGTTGCCGTTTATTCCCGTCTTTTGGAGTCAGTTGGTCGAACGGTACCTGAGAGGCTGGGGATGGGGACTGCGCTTTGACGGTCGAATCCTGCTCCATCCTAGGGGTTCACCTTTTAGTCCTTGAGTTTACTGCGTATTCACTCCTACTCCTAGAGCTAGCTACCTCCGTATTCCATTCCAGGACGGTGTAGACAGACAGAACAGTCAGCTTACTATCGATATGGCGTGGTTGCAAATAAATCCTAGGAAAGATATAACTCAGCCCGGCGTGCCACAATGTTGTTTGTGTGTATTGTAAACGAGCCCGTTACGCGGCGCAAACGGGCCATACGCCCTAGTCGATGCAAATGCTTTGACGGGCTTGTTCTAGAAAAAATGCAAGAACAATAATGCCTGCCATCCACCGCCTCCGGTGTCGAGTCAGCCGTTCGAGGTTTTGAATTTTTCATCCCAGCCTTCCATGTGGGGAATGGGAGGTTTTGGTGTTATTATTAGAGACGGACGTTTGCCTTCGTGTACGTAGTAGGTAGATTGTAGACTGGCAGAAAGAGCACACTGTCTCGTAGAAATACGCTGAAGCCTAGAAAGTACCCAGATCAGCGCAGAATCACTTGAAGTCCTCATCCGGTTTACTGGACATCCAGCTAGTCCTCCTTACAGCCGGGACGTATGGACATGTACCTACGGCATACTCCAAGGATTCATCGCATACTAGCATCCAACATTCCCAGGGTCATAAGCTGCATAAATACGCGGGTCGAGAACCTCTCCACCTTGCTCCGTCGAGATACTTACGGACTACGGAGGAGGAGCATGTATGCACGTCCATCTGCGTCTTTTTTCCCCCCTGCCCTGCTCTGCCTTTCGAGCGGATGGAACGGCCACAGTTGCTTGCCGATTCGGGCGCATTGCATGAATCAAAGCATCGTGATTGGTGGACTGAGGGTCTTTCGGTCACGCACGGTACCCAATGGGATCAGCCGCTTTGGCAAGAATTTCCCCCCACTCGCGTTGCGGGACGTTTTTTTGCTCGGCAGTTGCAGTTCAGCAGTCTTTTTAACTGCCTGCTGAGGGAGGTCGTACGGCGTAGGGAGTATGTAGCCCTTACTGAGGAATGGCGTTGGGGTAGCGAGGTATTTATTGTGTGTATGTGGCAGATTATAGCATTTTGGTATGTTATCTACCTACTCCGTAGGTCTAATGGATTTACGGGTAAGCTTGCCGATGCCGAGGATCCGCATATCCGCAGAACACAGTGTAGGCACAGCAGAGAATCCCAGAGACCTGCAAGAAAGCATGTTGTGAGCTAGAAACTGCCTGTTAGCCGGGCCTCGTGTCAATGTTCTTAGAGCCTACAGCTTCCAACTCTCTGCCTCGGACTCGCTTGCTCTAACCCCTAACCAACCCCAGTGTATGTACCCCATAGCTCCATCGGATCTGGAACCCCCCAAAACGGAAACTAGCTACACCACCCGTGGACCACAGCTCCGTAAGCAACATCGGAACCCGATGATGAGAGAAGCGGGACACCCCAAAGCTTGATACGGCTACTACTCACCAGAGATCCGCGCTTCGCCGTACAAAATATCGGTTCGCTTGTCGACCGGCCAAGAAAACCGCTCTCCCAGGTCCCGATGCCCCACGGGGAGACGGGGCTGCTTGCCTTCCGATGGACCTCTACCCCGGAACCGTCCTCCCCAACCTGGATCCGAAGGTATACGCCACCCATTCGGGGTGGTGATTGGAAGAGCGAGAGGCCGCGAGCCGTGTGAGATTCAAAAGGCCGCGGTGCCCCTATCAGAGGATGCTCATTTCCAAGACTGATGTCTACATTTCCCTTCTCTTATTGTTCTTGATTCACCCACACCCACAACGTTCGTTATAATCAATGTCTCCGCCCAAGAAACCCTTCCAAGTCGCCGTCGTCGGCGGCGGCATTGCCGGCCTCACGCTGGCCATCACATTACATCATCGCGGCATTCCCGTGACGATCTACGAGCAGGCCTCTGCGTTCGGGGAAGTCGGCGCCGGCGTCTCCTTCGGACCCAATGCCGTCGAAGCCATGAAAGTCTGCCACGGCGGCATCCACGCGGCGTTCGAGAAAGTGTGCACGCGCAATCTGTGGCCCTCCAAGCAGAAGGTCTGGTTCGACTACCTCGACGGACACAGCAAGGGGGAGTCATTGCGCGCCCACAACGCCAGTCGCCAGGACATCGCGTTCACCATCTCCAACTGCATCGGCCAGACGGGCGTCCATAGAGCGCATTTCCTCGACGAGCTGATCAAGTTGATCCCTGGGGATATTGCGCGGTTTAATAAGCGGCTGGAGCAGATTGGGGAGCGGGGTGATGGGAAGCTGGTGATGAAGTTCGCGGATGGGTCTGAGGATGAGACGGATTTGGTTATTGGGTGTGATGGGATTAAGTCGCGCGTAAGGCAGATCCTCGTCGGTGAGGATCATCCGTCGGCGAATCCGTCGTATACGCATAAGTATGCCTACCGCGGGCTGGTCCCGATGGATAAGGCGATCGAGGCGATTGGGGAGGAGTTGGCTTCGAATGCGTGCATGCATGTGAGTGATTCTGGGGTTTCGAGCTGGGTGTGGGTTAATGCTGAACGATATCGCAGATGGGTCCTGGCGGCCACATGTTGACGTTCCCCGTCAACCAAGGCAAGACGCTGAACATCGTGGCCTTCCACACGAGTCCCGAGCCCTGGGCCGAGTACCCCCGGTTGACGCGCGACGGCAGCCGGGAAGAAGTGCTGCGGGATTTCGCGGGCTACGGGCCCAACGTGATTAATCTGTTGAAGTTGACAGATCCCAAGCTCAGCGTGGTATGTTTTAAGCACCCTGTTTGCGAGGAAGGAGATCTAATTCGGTTCTAGTGGGCGATCTTCGACCTCGGCGAGAACCCTGTTTCCACCTTCTACAAAGGCCGGGTGTGTATTTCCGGCGACGCTGCGCATGCCACGTCACCGCACCATGGTGCTGGAGCGGGTTTCTGCATCGAAGACACGGCTGTTCTGGCGGCTATGCTGGAAGACGATCGGGTGAGCTCGGTGCAGGATCTCGAGGCGGTGCTGGCCACGTTTGATAGCAGCCGACGAGAACGCACGCAATGGCTGGTCCAGAGTAGCCGGTTTATCGGCGACTGCTATGAATGGCGGGCCGAGGGGGTGGGAAGTGATTTCAAGAAGATCGAGGAAGCTATCAATTATCGCAACGGCATTATTGCAAATGTGGATGTTAATCAGCTGTGCGCTGAGGCTGTGAAGGATCTAAGGGACAGGTTGGATAGACCGGTCAAGGGGTCTCTATAGACTGAGATTTAGATTATTTAGATTATCTGTATATAGGGGGTATGATTTGAATGCAGCATAGAACTGTATATATCATGTTCATATTTCAGAGTCTCCCTAGTTTTGTAATAGCCATTCTCGCAAGTTAAATGCATCGAATCGAGCGCATGAAATAGCCAATCTATATTTTAGGCAAATCCTCACCTGCCAACAACACGTATGCTGATCTTCCCAATAAACTCTTCCACAAAAGCCACAAGAAACATGAACAACCAACAACACCTAAACACCAAGTCCTATATATGCAAGTTTAACTTTACCCAAGCCTTCCATGATCCTCCTGACCCCTCTCCCTTCCTTCGTATCTTCACTTCTACACCGTAAACAAGACCAACAGCAAACCGAACCAAGCCATAATCCATAAGCCACGCAACCAGCCGTCCACCCGTTTAGCTTATTTGGCCACGGCACTCAAGTCCGGAAACGCACTGCGGCGTATCGGAACAAGGTCCAGGAGTCGCTTCCGATGACGACACTTCGTCTTCCGATATGGAGAGGACCCACATCGATCTCCAGTTCTCCACAATCCTCCCCTCATTCTGCTGGAGGATTTGCGCTTGGCGTGGGTTGGACTTGGCGAGTTGTGTTTATAATATAATGTGAAGTGTTGGAAGGATTGGTTATTTAGAGTCAAGAGGATGCTCTGGGTGTAGATGGTGAGGTGGCTGTTGTATACTTTGTGGTTACTTTGGTGGTGGGTGGATGAGTCCAGAGGTATAGGCCAATTACACTGCCCTGTGATATGTGCCAGTAGTCATTGAAAGTCTCTCGGATGTAAGCTATTCCACCACCAGAAGACGTCATGCATTAAGACAATTCCATCATCCAATAGAACTTGCTAGGCATCGAAATCGCTTTGACTAGTAATCCAAAGCACCAAACAAACAATCCCAGGATTATTCACAGCTTATTCACAGCTTTCCCGCCGCCTGAGCCTTCTTAAACTCCTCCACCACAGCCAGATAACTTCCTGATTGAATCTCCGACAACAGGCTCGGTCCGACCGGCTCCCAACCCAACTGCTCAACCGCCTTCTTGTTCGACGCGCGATTCACAAGCCCATAGAACGCAGCCAAGAACGGTCCCCAACGACCCGCCGCCTCCTCCGCGGTCATCGACTTCACCGGCACCTGCGCCGCCTCGCCAATGGCAGTCGCCATCGCCTTGTACGTGGTATCGGTATTGGCCGTGCCATTGAAGATCTCCCCGGCCTTTGCCTTCGCCGCCGCCGCAAAGTAGAGCCGTGCCGCATCGTCCACATACACATTCGAGGCACAATATTCGCCATCACCCAGATAGACCGACTCGCCCGACTGCACGGCCAATTTGATCAGCAGCGCCGTGAACCCGGTCGTGGTGCCGCGCCCATACACGTACTGCGGGAGACGGAGCGCGATGGACCGCACGCCCTTCTGCGCCCAGGACAGCGCGTTCGCCTCCGCCAGATGGCGCGGGATCATCGGGTTCTCGGGCAGGGGGCTCGATTCGTCGGTTTCGCCGCCGCTGGGGTCGGGTGCGACCATGGCGGTGCCGCCGGTCGTGATGAGCGGTTTGTCGGTGCCGGCGAGCGGCAGGGCGAGGGCGTTCACGGCTGCGGTGTCGAGGGCCAGGATCTGCTCGTAGGGCTTGCTGAAGTCGTGGTCGAAGGCCAGGTGGAAGATGATGTCGGCGGCGGCGCTTTCCTGCGAGAGCATGTCCAGGCTAGTCAGGTCGCCGCGGACGGGCGTCGCGCCGAGAGAGGTCAGCAGAGCGTCGCCTTTTTCGTTGCGAGAGAGACCTCGAACGTTGTAGCCATCGCGGATGGCGAACTCGGTGACAACGCGGCCGATGAAGCCTGTGGCGCCAGTGATGAAGATTTTCTGCTGCGCCATGATGAATGGTTTGGGTGGGGGATTCTGGAGATTGGCAAGGAGGATAAGATGATGGTAATCAATTTGAGAGATGGTTTGAGAGAGACTTGAGATGGTTAAGTAGGAAAGTAAAGGGAAGTGAGATTGCGGAGTTTGGGCGGGCGTCGGATTTAATGCTGTCAAAGCACCGTCCGCTCTCCAATCACGTCGACTCCGAGGTCAAATTCCCTGGAAATCATCCGGTCTTTGTTGAAATCCAAGTGAATCACCTCGGGGATTTCTAAATTGCTGCCTGACCCAATGGTGTAGTGAATGGTGGCTTTGATTTACCCTAAACAAGGTAAGCTTCGAATAGTGTCTCGATGAGCAGCTACTTTGAACCAGATGGATGCCAATCGGGAACATAGAAACTGATTTCTTAGAGTCATAAGTACAATTTCCCATGGAAGACGAGGGTTGCTGTACGGCTCCAGCCTTGCGCAAAGTCACCGGCATCTCGTGGCTTCGCATTGACCTGATCTATACGAGAAGCCAGTTCGTGTTCTGGTCATAGTACTTTATCTTTTTATCCTAACCAATGACTTCATCGAACACGGTCTATATTCGTGGCTGCATTTCTAGTATCTCTACATTGAACCGAACTGCCGTTTACTGCTCTAATAAGTTGTACTATACGTCAGTATGGGTCTTTAGCAAGTGAGCAAGCATACCATCCCAAATTTAATTAGCTTTGCAATTCTCTACGCTGTTATTAGTGATTTGAACACGGACCATGTCTTACTACGATGCAGCTGGAATGCAACTATTTGTCTAGATACTATTGCTTGGTATGTATCTGAAATGCGTCATGTACGACCAGTCGCATTGGTTACGGAACTAATTGAGATTCGGAGATTATCGGTGGATTATGAGAGCAACTCCGAAAATGTCACGAAGATCCAAAACATTCCATTCTCAGCAGAGAGAAAGAGAGATCCTATTACATTCCGCTTCTTCGAGACCCCCTTTATCTGCCGTGTGCTTGGGTTTGGGAGATACAATATCGTTCCCTCTACTTTCCCCAACCGGGATTCTTGAAATTTGCTACCTTCTGGAGATGCTCGCTCATAAATTACGTTTTACTTGAATCAGAGCCTTCTTAATGGATCTTTATACGGAAACGAGATGACAGAAAGGTCTCTTTACCGCCAGCGTCGAACAAATCATCCTGATCATCGGTCCACATTCCAAGCACGATTGGTGATATCCCTCCATGATGGTGACAGATACCTTTGCATCAAGGGATCTTACACTCACCATGAGGTATTCGTTACGTAGACTCGATCGACCTTCCAGCCTTCTTGATCTCTGTTGATTTCGTGAGTATAAATACCTCCATGTCTCGGGGTACAGGTTCTGTTCACACATTCGAGCTTAACTCGGTTAATCTCTTTGGATCTGCCTCATCGCTGTGCTTCAGAAGCACAATTTCGGTCTTCCGCTTTCCTTTCGTCGAAAAAGCCCTTCGATATGAAGACCTCTGCCTTTTGCTCTGCGCTTTTCGTGGCCATTGCTGCAAGTGCACCTATGAACCAAATAAGAATCTTCTCATATTCTGAAATATGTACCCGTTTTCCTAGAGCTAACCAACACCAATGCTTCCAGGCCCGCGGCCACGATGCCACGATGAACAAGGACATGGCTATGTCTAACATGGAGAACGAGAACATGGCGCCTTCCATGGACAAAATGGACAACATGAACATGAAGAATATGAATGGCATGAACGACATGCATAACATGGAGCACATGGACAACATGAACGAGACGATGAACATGAAGCGCGATAACCAAGAGGCTGGAGCCATGGATAAAACCATGGATGAAAGCATGACTGGTGGAATGAACATGGACATGGATATGCCTGTGTGAATAAGATTCTAGAGCTCTTCTGTGGTCTTGCCTTTGAAACTCGAGAGCTATAAATTGAGAAAGGGAAATGAATTTCTCTGTTATCAGATGAAGCACGGTTTTTGACTTACCGAGACGTAGTGCTTGTTACCATTTAGTTCGGATCGGTTCCATGCAGCAGTAGCGCTGCGCCTCAGCGTGGGAGTGCTATGAAATAGACAGAGTACCTGCCAATGGTGGAGAGTGAATGCATGGCGCTATTTGAAATTCGTATACTATAAGCGAGCAAACCATGTTGTAAAGCGCGTCAGATATTAGTACCACTTTTTAGCTGGCCCAGCTCCCCACCATTCTTACTCGCATAATGCGACGTGTCGCTCATTATATAGCAACCTAAAAGTCCATTTGGTCTTTGAGAGTTATCGACCCTTTGACTTTTTCTTTTTTGTTGACTCATTCATTGACTGTAGAACAGATGACTGCGTATCACGAACACAGCATGTCAGATGCTGTTGACGTTCGCAGCTATCTCGACAGCATCGAGTCACGTTCCCAGAAATGCCCTCGCTATCAATGGCTACTAGATTACCTACGGCGAGACCCCAATTTCCTGGCCGAAAGGATACATCCCATTGTGCCCGGAAAGACCCGTACCATGGTGGCAGACTTTCTCTCAGACTCAACTACATCACCGGTGATAGAATATGCCAGTAACACCAAAGATATCGAGAAAGCCCTCGCGAATCGGCCAGCTTCAGCTGTGGTGCGATTGGTTTGTGTGGTCAGCACTAGCGGAGTTGGTGAACGAATTCGAAAGCAGGTAGGTAACTGCAGTTACGGGTCAATACTGTGTCAGTTGGTTATGATATATCTATATCCAAATTCAGCACTGACAAAAACGGTTGAAGCAAATCTCGAGGAGGTTCCAGACTCGCATCTCGCGTCGAAAAATCAAACCTGACCTTCGTGCACCTGTTGTGACGAGGGCACGCACCGCGGGCGTGTTCGGCAGTCACCCAATATGGGGACATACTTCTTGCCTACCAGACCCTGCGGTCGTAGGCTGTGTGGCAGCAGCGATTCGTCTCGACGCAGGAATATTGCTCCAGCACTTGGATCAGCAGGAGCACTTGGTCTATCAAATGATTTCGCGCAAAAAGCAACACGCAAGTCCCACTGGAAGCCAGGTAGCCTGGCTTGATCCTATTAGTCTCGGTGTGAATCAGGAAAACTATATCACGGCAACAGTCCTCACCGAATATGTACCAGAACCAGCCGAAAATAATCCGACGAAAAACGAGCAACCTCAATATACTAGTGAGTACACACAGAGGCACATCAAAGAAATAAACCGAGGTTCTGACTATCGAGGTAGTCTTTTTGCTGGTCAACGAGGATAATTGTCTTGGTATTGACTTCAATACCTACTCAACAACACTTGACCAGCTCGTTCATGCTTATGAAGGCACGCCTCATGAGTCATTCGAGGCAAGACTCCGGTCAAAAAACGAAGAGGAGCGAAGAGATGTCCTCAAGGATCCTATCATCTTGATTTGGGACTACATTGCTGCCCTGTCTAGTTCGTTTTCTTGTCAACTAGAGCTCTATCGCCGCAGATGGAATATCCTGTATGAGCCGTACGCAAACACCTCAGTTGTGTACGGAGACGCAGGGGACCGAGACCACGTCCGAGAAGAAGCAAGGCAACTGTCGATTCATCTTCAGTACATTCAGCGGTGTCTGCAGACTCTCAATCAGGCTGTCTCCAGACAACAAACCAGAAACCCCACAGCTAACGAGTCCGGTCTGGATGAATTGATCCAAGACTTTGAGCAGATGCTCACTCAACTCGAGTCTTTAAAACTAGCATATGACACGTTCATTGAGCAACAGGTCAGTAAAATATCCCTGTCGGAAGCACGGAAATCCATGACCGAGGCTCGCGATCTCCAACGTTTGTCGTATCTCGGCTTCGTCTTCGCACCCTTGAGCCTGGCTAGTTCTTTCTTCTCCATTAATATTCGGCCTCTGGGAGGCCATGCTCCTCTCTGGTTATTCATTGTCACCGCGATGTCCATCCTAATTCTTTCCATTCTGATCTTGTTGTCGTTCACACCTCGAGTTCACAGGGCGTTGAAACGAGCCCGCGAACGTATGGTCACTTTTCTGTCGACATCTGATCCACGAGACCTGGAGCCCAGCCTTCCACAGTTTGAAGACGACGGGAGACTTTCAAAGTTGGGTGATCGAATTGTTGAGATCGGCCATGTCGCTCCTGAAAATCTACAGCATGCGTCCCGACCGGAACGCTTTTCTCGGCCAAGTCCCCCGAGACCACAGAGACCAGGCACAGCGCAGAAAGTTCTGGCATCTATATTCCATGCCAAAGACGTTAATGGTGATAGAAAAAACCGCAGCGAAAGTCCGGGTAGAGTGACACGACGCGGTCAGCCACCTGTTCGCGAAGAGTTCGCCGACTTACCGAGAAAACGCGCCGGATCTTCTGGGACTAACGTAAGGTCTACAGAGGATGAAAGAGCAGGAGGCAGTGGAGAGGTGTGGGTTATTGAGGAGGTCTATAGGAGCACTTCGAATCGCAAAAGAGATAGCGAGGAGCAGTCCGATCAGGAAGCTACGGGCAAGAAAAGTGAAGACGAAGCGAATGAACGAAGGCGAAAGAGAAGAAGAAGAGGAAGGGGAAGAAAAGGGAGAAGATAATGAATACCCTCCAGTGTTTCTCCCCAGCGGTACGGCTACGTAATTTACTATCTAGTATGTCCTGATCTTTTCGATCTGAAGTCAAATGTTGAGGTGATAGAGAGATTACTGGGAAGAGCATAATTATAATAAGCCTACTTCTGACACTGCCTACTGTCATACATCTACGTGAATAGGGATGTATGAAACTATCAGATTTGAACGGGCACCCAGCTGGGATGAAAAGGAAAAATTTCTTGTCTATGTACAGTCAATTGAAATGATTCATGAACCTGATGAACTTATCACAGAGCCACCTTGCTGAGTGATGCAGCATTGATTGCGGCATGGATTTCCTCCTCCGCTCCAGACTCGAGGGGCAAAAGAGGCGGACGAACAGTGGCGTGGTTTAGAATTCCCCGAGCAACAAGGGCATGCTTGAGCGCCACAGTGCCTTCCATATGAGACCCACGATGATAAACGCTCTTGGTAACGGGCAAGAGCTGATCGTGGATAGCTCGCGCCTTTTTGTAGTCCTTGGCCTTGCCAGCCTTGATCAGCTCGATCAAGGGCTCGGGCGCAATGTTGCCGTAGCCGACGAGGAAGCCATCGATGTCGAATGCGGTGTGCAGGAGGTATTCGTCGTGGCAGCTGAGGATCTGGAGATCAGGGCGTTGAGCCCGAATAACGGGGATCTCGGTGTCCCATCGACGCATGTTGCGCACGCCGTTCTTCATAGCGAAACAGCCAGGCTGGGCAGCGATATCAAGCATCGTCTGAAGGTTGTAGTTGGCTTTCGTGTTGTCGGGATATTGGAAGAGAATCAATGGCAGACCGGAAACTTCGTAAACACGGCGGTATCGATCTTGAGGAGCACCGGGTTGATATCCAAACCGCAGCCAGCCGTGGGAAGGATAGAGAAGGCCAGCAGATGCACCAGCTTCTTTCGCACGCTTGGCCTCAAGCGCTGCAACTTCCGTGCCCTCGCCGGTAATGCCGGCGATAATAGGCACCTTGTTGTCGACTGACTTGACAAAAGCCTTGATGACAGACAATTGCTCATCGATAGTGAGGAAGGTACCCTCGCCGGCGTGACCGAGAACTACGAGACCTTTGACGCCATCGATACTGCCGAGCCAGGATCCAAGACGCTGGATGGCCTCATAGTCCACCGCGCCGTCCTCGGTGAAGGGGGTGACCGGAGCCGGGGTCAAACCGCGCATATCAAAGCCGACCATTTTGATTGAAGTGAAGATGGAGTGGTTGTTGAGAATGCTCTTTTGTGATGTGGACTTTCATCTTCGCGATTTGGTCTCTTTTATCTGTCTCTATCAGAGAAACAGAGTTGTCTTGTCCTGTATAGAGGTTAGGCGAGGGTAGGACGGACTTTCGGATTCCTCGGGACATGAACGCATTGCTGATGCTTGATCCGCCGATCCTCCGACGGCGCAGCCGGATTTCTCGGGGGAAATAAATCGATGGACGACAGGAGCCGTCAGGGGGTCGCTTATCGTTCCTATAGCGGACTAGTCAGGATACTCTAGTAATCTCCGCATCCCCCGTAATCCTCCTTCTCCACCAAACAAACCGATTGATTGATCCACCTTAGTCCGATGTTTCCGTCCATCCTCCGACCCTTTCTTCCTTTCCAGCTTTGCATGTAATGCGCACAAAGAATAATGGCCTCCGAATCCATCTCACAGGAGTCTTCTCCGGCGTCTAGACCAGCTAGAGCACCGGGAAAGCGTCCTCGAGCCACAAACAAGGATGCGGACGATGAGAATCGACGGAAAGATCCGAAGATCAGTCGGGCTTGCGACACCTGCAAGAGAAAGAAAGTCCGATGTGACGGCACGCTGCCATGCAGCAATTGCACTAGGAGAAAGACCAATTGCGCATATGACGCCAAATATGGCCGAGGGCGACCGCCGACTCCACCTTCAGCGACAGCCGAGCAATGGCAGGAAGGATTGAGAAGAGATCATTCGAATGACCTCGGTGTCTCGCAACAGCGACATTATTCAGCCACGACCGATCAACGCCATGAAGAATCCTTGAACAGGGATCATTCGAACACCCTTTGTGTCTGGCAACCACCACCACCTATCGTTCGTGAAGCCTCAGGGTCGCATATTCACTCTTGTGCCTCGCCTGAACAAGAGGCCGAAGGTCAATATTTTGATCCTACCTCAGGCTTGAACTTTTTGCACCGCGCGTGGAAAAAATTGTTAATGCAGAAAGATGGCTCTTCATCTCATGACTCGAATGATGCAGAGCGAAATCAGCTCCTCACATCGGCCGGAGATAGGCCACTTCACATCGATGATGACGCGCCAGAGAATTTCATGCCAGATGCTCTGACGGCGAGAAAGCTGCAGGAATTCTATTTCGAAACTTGTGTTGTAACCTACCGCATGTTTCATCGACAGACGGTTGAAGGATGGATGGAGATATTTCTGAAGGATCAACGAGATAAAATGCCGTTTGGTCGGTCGCTAGGCAATTCCAGGACTGCTATCCTTCTTACCATCATGGCAATTGCAACCCTGCGCCTTGAAAAAGTGAACAAAGCAGTTTCCACGGAAGATGAGTCACTGGTCTTGCAACGTAGCGATCGGCTGTTCTGTGCCGGTATGACGTTGGTTGATAGAGAAATGGGATTCCCGCGTCTCGAGTCGGCACAGGCACGTCTTATCCAAGTTCTTTATCTTCTTCAGACAGGCCGCATGAACAAGGGCTGGTATACATTCGGAAATGCATTTCATATCACTCTCTCCTTGGGTATGCACAGAAGGCGGGATCTAAAGCGGGATTTCCCTTTCACTAGCAGGAGGCAAAACTATATCAACTCAGAATGCTATAAGCGCACATTCTGGGCTGCATACATTATCGACAAATATCTCAGTGTTGTATTTGGACGGCCTCGACTTTACCAGGATGAAGACATTGACCAGACCTTTCCAGATAGTGTGAATGATGAAGATATGACACCGCAAGGATCTACAGCCTCAGACGACCCTGCAGATTGTCATATCGATGCTCTCATATTCCATGCAAAGTACATATCCCGTTGGAAACCAAGACTCAATCTGCTAATTCAGCGGTAGAATTGCACGTATAATCGGGAAGATATCACGAGAAGTATACTCGGTCAACCAGCTGTCTAACCAAGACCGCTTGAATGCTGCCCATCGTTTGGTCCACGAATTACATGAATGGCGTGGCAGTCTGCCACCACATCTGGGTACCGTGAAACCATCCACACTGATACCCAGTTTTAGGCGCCAGGCTCTTGCTCTACAACTTGCGTATGCCCATGCCCTTATACATGCCAATCGACCCTTCATTATGAATGAAGTAACATCTGAAAGTATTACCCAATGCATATCTGCCACCAAGACTAGTCTAGAACTCGTCAACAGAATGGCGGGCGATACTACGCTGTTTCATTCATTTTGGTGGACACATTATGTGATTTTCTGTGCGCTAGCAGTTGTCTATGTTTGGGAGATTCAACGGACTACGCGGTCGTCCTACGAAATTGATGATCAGATGTTTGACCTTGCAGAGAAATGTCGTGGTCATCTCAGGCGAGCATCCACTGGCCTATCTCAAAATCAACGCTACAGCGTAATTCTCGACGAGCTGAGATCTGAAGCCCAGAAGTGTCGGATTTCGCGGGCAAATCCGCAAAGTCTACACCAGGGCAGCCTCCAGGGTGGTGAAGCCAGCACCAACACGGATTTTGGCTTTCCATTTATGCATGGTGCGGATATCTTCGGGTCTGGCCTCGAACCTTTGCCCCAAGAAGGGGTTATGCCGAATGTATTGGATAGTTTTCTGTTCAGCGACTGGCAAACTCTTGACTCGTCGGTACGTACTGTAGCTCTGGGCCGCGTCTCCGCGATTGAGACTGACCATTTGCACAGGCTTTCTTTCCATTGCCCGATCCTAACTCCGTCTCTCCAACATGTTACCCCACAATTCCATAAGCCGGTTCTTATTCGGTAGTTGATAGGGCACTACGAAGTAGTGTTCCACTTTTTCGAAAGCTACTAATTCCGGAATCGGATTTCACGGAAAAGAAGGATAATCCCAGGTGAAATTCTGTTGTGGTCTATGTTTACAGCTTTCATTCCCGGACAACAAGAGTCCGGGATGGTCCCGGGTTCCCCAGAGATCGCTAGTGCACTCGTCTTTCCAATTCCTATATCTACCCCATGGGGTTGCCAAGGAATTCCAAAGAGCCTGGGAATCTACAAGACTATCTATGACCTCGTCTTTGAAGTTTCTTCTCATCTTCAAGTTCACACAGCTGTCAATATGTCTGACAAAGACGCTGCGGTGATGCATCTGGAGAACCAACCAGGCTATGGAATCTCTGCCGATGATGCCGAATTCCTAGCGAACTTCCCGGATGAAGCGAAGAAGAAAGTCATTAAGAAGGTTATTATGATCCTACATTCTGTTCGGTCTGGAATTTGCTAACAGAATGTGTATAGGTCGACGTACGTATCCATCCCGAACTCGCTCCATTGACTACCAACAGGCCCACTGAGTGGTATCTAGATGAGACTTGTTCCCATGTTTGTTCTCTTGTATTTGGTGGCATACATTGATAAGACAAATATCGGTATACCAACTCGCAAGTGTCATACATTGCATCTTCTCACTTTCCACAGGCAACGCGAAGATTGAGGGCCTTCTTCCCAGTCTAAATATGAGCGATATACAGTATAATATCGCTTTGTCTATATTTTTCATACCCTATGTTCTTGCTGGTCAGTCGGGCATGTATAAAACCTATGAACAAGCTGACAGGAGCAGAGGTGCCGAGCAATATATTGTTGAATCGTCTCAAGAGACCGTCGCAATACCTGGGGTTCCTTATCTTCTGTTGGGGTGTCATTATGCTATGTACCGGCTTCGTTCAAAGCTTTGCTAGCCTAGTCGTTATTCGCTTTTTATTGGGTCTTTTTGAGTAATCAGCCCATCAGGTCGCACGATATTCCAAGCTAACAGTGCCTAGGGCTGGTTTTCTACCAGGTGCCGTGCTCGTGATTTCGAAGTGGTATCTGCCAAATGAGACACAAACTCGAATTGCCATTCTCTATACCTCTGCAGCTTCTGGTGGTGCTTTCTCCGGTCTATTGGCATTCGCCATCGCGAAGATGGATGGTACAGCAGGTTACGAGGGCTGGCGCTGGGTTCGTCTTGCTTCTATATTTCCTTGGGATCCAAAAACTTACATCCGAGTTAGATTTTCATTATAGAGGGTCTTGCAACAATTTCCATGGCCGTCGCCTGCTATTTACTTCTCTTAGACTCCCCATCCCTTTCTCCGGGCTGGCTCACTCCCGACGAAATCCGATACCTTGAGGTACGCCAACTAGCCTCCAACACTCACAGTGGCCATCACGAAAGCTTCGACAAGCGGATATTATTAAGTGTCCTGACCGACTGGAAGATCTATCTTCTCATTCTTGCCAACTGGTCTAATGCCGTCCCCAACTACGCTCTTAAATTCAGCATGCCCGAGATCATCAAATCCATGGGCTACGAATCAGCCAACGCCCAGCTGCTGACCATTCCCCCGTATGCCGTCGGCGCTGCCTCAGCTTTTAGCTTCTCCGTATTTGCCGATCGTTATTCCTGGAGAATGCCTTTTATCCTGATCCCTCAGTGCGCACTTGTTGTTGCCTTCGGAATACTATTCTCCAAAGCGACCGACATCGACAATAACATTGCACTCTGCTATTTCGGAATCTGTCTCGCCTGCTTTGGAATGTATCCCATCCTTCCCGGCGTCAACGCTTGGAATGTTTGCAACATTCCGAACCCTCACAAGCGCGCTGTGGCTATTGGTTATCTTATTTGTGTTGGTAATGCTGGTGGAATTATTGGGAGTTACATCTACAAAGCTGATGAGAAACCGCGATATCCTACTGGCTATGGTACTTCGCTGGCGTTCACGGCTGCTGGGATTGCAGCTGCGTTGACCTTGGAGTTCTGTCTCTGGAACGCGAACCAGACGAATGCTAAGATGACAGAATCTGAGATCGAAGAGAAGTATACGGAGGATCAGCTTCGTGATATGGGCGAGAAGAGCCCACTTTTCAAGTATACTTTATAAGATAGTGCTTTTATATGGAATGTATTGACGGCGCAGTTTACTTTACTAGTACAACGGAGTATCTGTTTATTTGCGTGCATACGATCGGACTTTTCTAATTTCTTCTCAAGCACTTCCAAAATATCTTCATTTCAGGGCTTATGTAATCAAGACCACAAGGACTCCTTTCCACCGCGATCTGCTACTCAACTTCAACAAACACTCTGCCATCATCAGGTACATCAGCATCAACAGCAACCCAGGGGATTATTTATCTATGCCACCAAATACTTCGATATCTCTTCAGGACTCTAGTGAACTAGGGGTGAAGCGAACAAGAGTCGCCTGCGATGGATGCGCAAAGCGAAAGGTAGGTCGGATATCTCGGTCTAGACATCCCTCGTTGAGCCACTGAACCTCGGTAGATCAAGTGTGACAGAGCAGTTCCCCAATGCGATTGGTGCAGAAACCAGGGTCTGGAATGCACGGTCAATCGCAGACACCGATCCCGCAAGAAGAGCAAGATAGATCCGCAGCGGTAAGAGGAATCGAACCGTTCTATTCACCTCTTGCACTGACGTTGGAATCCCAGCGACTCAGATGGACTGCAGACTAGTTCTATCGCAAACGCAAATTTAGGATATCATCTCCCGGGGATATCCTATGAGATCCCACGTAAGCGTTTCAACCTTTCGTCCCATCTTCCAGTCTGACATCATATTAGAAACTGAGCCATTGCAACTGGTGGGCTTCAATCTGGGCAATCTTCGGGCCTTCAACGGCATGCCCTTTTTCTCCCCTGGTGGTCGAGAGTGGGTGCAGGCACGCACAGGGACGGATATCGTCTTCCCTGGCAGTCTGTCCAAGATGCCTCGCTTGAACTACCTCGTTGACAAAAGCCCCATCACCATGCCAGATCGTGCCGTGCTAGACAATCGTTTGACAATGTTCAAGTCGTCCATGTTCAGGCAATTATTTCCGTTATTAGAGGCAGAAATATTTCGGACGACGATATACATGGCATACAGCCAATCACATTCACCAATGCCATTGAATATTATGAGTGCCAAGATGTCTGTTTTTGCTTTTATGGCTTATACATCGTCTTTGTTTCCGGGGGCAAAGGAAGCTGAAAACGGTGACTTCTATGCCCTTGAAGCACAGAGGCTTCTTTCAGACCTTGTGCATCATCCGGCAACCATAGATGGATTGCAGACTGCGTTGCTTCTGGTAGGTGATAACACTTACTATTCAGAATCATGGCGATCCATATACAGGGTGTAGGTATCTGGCCGATGATGCTTGATACTTAGCCAATATCGTCTGATGCCTCGATCGTCGTCCCGAGTTTCGCGCAAGTGGCAAACGATATTGGCTTGCTACTTATCCAGCCATCTCACATTAGTCACTTTCAACCATGGATTGGATATTCATCAGCTAACATTGTGAAACTAGATATTGTACAGACAATCCACGTTCGGTGATCTTCCCTCCGTCGACGCACTAATATCCACTGCGTCTCGATTTGTGTATAGCTTAGGGGGTCATATATCGCCTGGATCACTGCATAATCCCCCTTCTAGACATGAATGGCACTGTCGGAACCTTTTCTGGATTTGCCATAATATTGACAGAAAATTGTGTTTGCGAACTGGTCGACCACCATGTATCAACGACAGCTGCTGCGACCTTAGCCTGCCAGAACATTACATCGATTCGATAAAGAGAGAATTGCCCCCTTCGCCAGGCTATAGTGAGCCTATATTTCTGATTGACATTCGTTTAAGTTTGATCGAGTCGCATATCTTCGTGGAGCTCTATGCTCCCCCTGCCCGTGGCAAGTCGGACGCAGAGCTGTTAAGAACTATTCGCAATCTCGACACTATGGTTGAAGAATGGAAAGTGCTAGCTCTGAAGGACGATCGGGAAACCTTACCTTTTGAGCAAAAGCAAGCTCATGATTCGCCCGACTTGCAAACAGCAGTCCTGAACATGCAATATCTGTACTCCGTTGCAACTATCCACCAGGCTACCACTGGATGTCGCGCTTGGATAGAGGATCAAGGATGCACTATGGAAGGCGTGAATTCCAGTCTTCTGATATCCGTCGAAGCAAGTCGCCAGTTACTGCGCCTGATAAACACATTACCTGCTTCCTCACTGGAGGGTGGATTCTGGTAGGACTGCATACTTTATCTCGAACTTAGGCGCTTATCCACGTGCTCACATTCTGATAGGTTCTCTCTGTTTTTCTTTCTCTCCGCAGGGGTGGTGCTTTTCTGCAACATACTAAACAGCCCAGATTCTCCGAATACACAAGGTGATATTTTGATTCTCGATGCACTTGCCGCGCACATTCAAGAGGGCTCAGGACGACGCGCGTCCCCGCAGGCTCAGCCCAAGATAGACAATGCGGGACAATTTGCAGCAGAGCTTGGGAAGCTGGCGAGATGTGCTGTTCGCAAAGCTCAGATGTACCGACAATCTTATTAATTGACGTCTATAAATTAGAAAGAAATAACTTATCGCTAGTATATACACTTTATCTACAATTTGCTACTCTCAAAATCCCACCCGAGGAACAAAGATCCCGCCCTCAACTACCCCTACAACCGTCCACTCAACGTCCAAATCACTTTCTCCTTCGCGCATCCTGCAGTGCCCATTCACGCTTTGCCCAAACACCCATCAAAGCACCAGCCGGTCCAACCAGCACCATCCCAGTCACAACCCCAAAGATACCTATAGAAAGACGCGTCCTAATGACATTCGTCCTATGCAAGTCCCAGACCGTGAAAATACACCAGAACACAATCCCAATACTGAGGAAAATACTGCCCAACACGTCTTGCTGCAACGAAGTCACTACTTCGCCGAACCCATGCTGCATAACCTGCTGGAACGCCCCCTGACATAGCACCATACGCACGACACTAGCGAGTACGGTGAGCATGACGTAGCACCAATATAAGTACGGCATATCCCGCGTCCCGTAAAGATACAACGCGACGTTCGAGCTTGGATGGGGTTTCTTGGAGACGTTCTGGCCCAGGAACACGATCATTGGGAAAGCGATGTGCGCAGCGCTAAGTAGTTGACTGGCTAGCGAAGACTCTGTAGATGTGAGTGCAAGCATAACTGGCGCAAAGTATGTCACAGCTAGCGCTGTCGGGAGGTATTCTGCAACTCGGAGGTCGATTGCGCGCGGGCTGGGGTAGTAGAAGGAGCTGTTGCGGCTGGCGTAGATGAAGATAGAGGCGTAGATGGGGAAGGTGAGTTCCCAGCCCAGGAATGTGGCGATACAGGAGTAGAGCAAGGCGCTGGGTGGGTTAGTGTGGGCTGGGTTGAATAGGAAGGGGGAAAAGTGCTTACCTGAAGAGTGGTCCTCCGAGCATTACGGAGCGGTAGGATTCTATGGTCCACATTGTGTTGATGGTGATGGTTATGGAGAGGGTGGAAAGGTTCGATGTAACCTCCAGCCCGGTGGTTAGAGGCTGGAAGCATCGATATCCAATAACAAACAAAGCAGCCATGGCGATCATAAATCCACTCCAGAGTTTAGTTGCAGTTGGTGATCGATCCTTCGGTCGTGCGATTACATCCTGGTCCAGCGCAACGACACCGCGTCGTGATGGCGGAGGTAGATATCGTAAGGCGTGACTAGGAGAGCATATTTCCACAAAATTGGTAATGAATTTATCAACCCCAAGTTTGCTCATGACATGGAGGTTCAGGAACTCGAGGAACGGGTTCTCAAGGGCATCAAATTTCTGAAGAAAACGAGCCCCATCCATCAGCTTCTCAGCCCTGGGCCGTCGCTCTCGCTCGAAATGCGAGAATGCAGAATTAAGCTGGTCATTCGTCGGTTTGGAGCCTTTCATTAGCATTTTCTTTACTAGATCCGCGAGTAATGCTGCGTCTTCGATGGCGGAGTTTCCGCCCTGGCCGGTCAGAGGGTTGAACTATATCTGATGAGCTCGGGCATCTTCCGGTACTTTGCGAAAGATATCCCACCTTGTGAAAAGCATCGCCGATCAAGATCGCTCGTTTGTGAAAGCACCTCTGTAGCACATATTCCTGCAAGGGTGTCAAGACGGCGATGCGGCGCTTTTCATAGACATCGGCAAAAGTAACCCCCGGCAGGAGGACATCGTTGGCGGCCTCAGTAACCGCATCTTTCTCGTCCTGAGCCGTATATTTCGGAATCGATTGATGTTTGGTGACCTGGGGGTTCTTGAAAAATGCGAAAAAGTACAACTTTCCTCCGCGTCCAGACTGGTAGATGTAGGAGCGATTCCTCACGTATTTCTTGTACCCGACGTGTTCGGTCGTGCCCTCAGGTTGGTCTGCAATGCCGAACAAGCACCGGTATGTGCAGGTCATTTCTGTACGAGTATGAGTTGTTGAAACGCCAGAATGGGCGGTTAATACGTACTATTGGCCATGGATTGGGCGCCGTACGTAGGGTTTTCGGATTCGGCGATTCGCCAGATTTCATCTCTGGTGCGACTGTGGACGCCATCTGCTCCTACTAAGATGGAGCCGGTATATTCATGGCCGTTTTTTGTAGTGACCGTCACTGAATCTTGCAAGTGCTCGATCTTCAAAAGTTCCTGGGACGCGACAACCTTGGATTTATCCTCCAGGTTGTCATAGAGTGCCTGGATGATTTGTTGCCGATCCAGAAACTCGAACTGATAGCCTGTTCTACAGCAGACACACATTAGCATCATACAGGAAGCAGTGAGAACCACAAGGTGCAAAGATACTCACAATTCCTCCAATACCACCCCAAATGTATCCTGACCGCCCACTTTTTCACCATCAGGCCCAAACGATTGTAGTCTATCCACCGACATACTCATCTCCCTGACCCGGTCGAGGACACCGATTTGATCAAGAACTTGGCAGCCATACGGTAGGATGCCGATACTCGCCCCTAGCTGCGGAGCAATGGTGGGATATTTTTCAAGAACGATGTAATCGATGCCATAGCGCTGTAGGATATTGGCCAGCGTTAGTCCCGCGACGCTGCCACCGACGATAATGACCCGGAAGGCAGTCATAATGCGAAAGGGTATGGTGAGCTGAGCTGCACTCCAGTATTGGGGTAGTCCAAGTAAGAATCATGCAGGGGATTGAGCCGGGGTTTATATAGTGCCAGACTAGCGGTCAGATCTCGATATCTCCGGGGCCAGTTTGCACTTCGCCCGCGAATAGAGCCTCCCTGGTTGAAGTTGGAGGTGTATTGCCCCGCTTACTGTGTTTTGTAGCCTTTCAAAAGGGCTCTCATTCGTCTGACTGGTTATCAGAAGCAAGGTGTGTCCGCTAGTTAGGGCACCGGTGGAAAATAAGCGCTGACAGCCGCTTAGTAAGCGCTTAAGTTCATTAAAAATAAGAATAACATCATTACCAGTGGCTGCTATTGGCTGACGGATAGATAAACTAAGCAACTACCCTGTAGGGCCAGCTGAGCCATGTTAAACAATGTCTAATCTTCTGCGATGGCGTTCTGACAAGGTCATAAGGCTCGGCTGCTGGTATGCCCGACTCCCGGCTCTGCCACCTACAACGCTCGGGATTCAACGATTCATCGATTAAAAAGATCGATGGTCTAGATTTCTCCTGGGATCTATATTTTTCTGGTTTTAGTTCAGATAGTCGACACAATCAACGTTGGTATGGCTCAACATCTATCTATGGTCAATCTCTGTTCTCATGAGAATCATTCATCTAGCCAAAAATGAGTGAGTGGTTGAGAAGGTCAACGATCGACTTTCGCATTTCTGAAAGTTCCTGCAACATTTAACAAAGAAACTGTGCAAAGCGTTCGGTATTTTTGGCACCAGTAGCCCGAGAGATGAAAGCGCTTCCTGGGTTGTTTGGGATTTAGTTTGCTTTGGGTAATTTGGTGCATGAATTGCGTCTTTGGCGTCTTATTTGGGCCACAGCGATGGAAATGGTTATTTGGCATAGTAAGAACCGTCATGGACTATTCTAGATGGAAAAAAGAGAGCTCTTAGGTAAAAAGTAGATAGAATGAAAATAAACAGAGTGAATGAAGAAACAAAGAAAAAGCATCAGGTCAATTATACTTCAGTCACCAATCTGTTTGCCCTTCCCGCATCATCCAGAACATATCGTATTTCTAGAATTGGCTTACAAAGACTGCTTTATCTGTTTTGACAAACATATTTCCAGTATAGCCTGATCCTGTTATTTGTGGATTGGTTTCTGGGTCTCTTTATCCCGGACGTTGTTCCCGACTGCTTTGTTTGGCCATTCCCAGCCTAGGATACAAAGGCTGAGGGTCTACCTCCTGCAGCTTGCCTCTAGACAACATTCTTCTTAGACTTTGGAGGCTCTGCTAAAATCTACTTCAACCCAAAGGCCACTCTATATGGCGTCCAAAAAGCGCGATGGAGAACGTCTTCTCTACCAAGGGCCAGCTTTCTGGGACAACCTCTCCGAGATCTTCTTGACCAAAGGAGCGTTGAAAGAATTCGACCACAGAAACGTTCGCCCAAAACTGACCCCGAGGTACGATATGTTCTACGCTACTCAGTGATTCCACGAGATAGGCTAATGGATATCATAGACCCTGTGTTCTGGTAGCGGACGTTATCAACACCTGTACACCAACTCAGCTGAAAGAACTCAAACGCTCATCTCGACACGGCGGTCCGGACAACTCTGACCTGCGCGATGTAAGTTGATTCCAGAAAAGAAAAGTGCTTCCGAATTCTCTAATCGAGTTTGGTCCCTAGTATCCCTTTCCGGACATAGTCGACGTATACTCAGTGGACCCAACAACAACAATGCAGTCGACCAACTCAAGGGGCACGGAAAAGTCTCCGCCGACCAAAAAGAAAAGACTCACTACGGCCTACTGCGCGAATTTCGAGCAGCATCTTATTGATTATTACGTTTACCCTCCCAAGTTTCAACGCCCGGACGGCTCTTGGCCGGCAGCGCCACGGAATCTAGATGTTATAACCGACCGATTAGCTCAACGTCGACCGTCTCTTACAGCGGATACTTTCACCGACGAGGCCTTCGACAAGTTCCAGATTGCAGACATGGGCACAAGGAAAGAAAACCAGGTCAAAAATGCCGTCATCCCCACTATAGAGGGTGATTCAAGATGCGTTGCAGGATACATGTTTACAAACCTGGATCCGCTGACCGACAGCAGCCTCGTCTATGCCAACCCGGATTACCTGTCCGGCACACGTCCTGATAAACTCGATCAGCAGGTCCGCATTGACCTCAACAAACAGATCATTATGTCGAAGGAAAGTGATCTGCCCATTCTTGCCAACTTTTTCCTGGAAGTCAAACGTCCCGGAGGAGATGCTTTGGTCGCACGTCGACAAGCTTGTTACGACGGTGCTCTAGGAGCCAGGGCCATGAATGCCCTTCGTGTCTACCAGCCGGATAGAAAAGATGAGGAGGAGCAGATAGCGGTGTATGACCACAACGCCTCCACCATCACCGCTACTTACGTGGATGGGGCCCTTAAGCTGTACGCTCACCATATTGCCGAGCCTCAAACTCCCGGCGGTCGACCTGAATATGTCATGACCCCCCTGAGAAGTTTCTTGATGACGGATTGTGCAGATGGTTTTAGACAAGGAGCTACAGCCTACCGAAACGCTCGGGATTGGGCGCAGGAACAACGGGACGATTTCATATCGCGGGCAAATGAGAGACAACGGAAGAATCGACCAACTGGAAGTGATGACGAGATTCCAAACAATCATGCAGTCCCAAAATACCTCGAGGGGGAGCAAGAGGTTTAGGGCTTGAGGGCTTGGGCCAAGGGTCGTTTGGCTCCGCCCATTCTTGATGGACGTTAATCAATCTACTACTGCTGCTGCTGCTGCTACTACAACATATTGAGCTCCATAGATTCATCTTCGAAAGCATTGGGTCTACCCTCATCACTTGCGGGTTCACATTCCTCAATACCTTATTACCTGAAATGGGAAAGATTATCTTATCCTCTTCATCGCACAGCGCGAATTCTGAACAAATTCGATGTCTGGCCCGTAACAACACCGGCAGTATTCAATACTCGGGGTCTGTAGAAGCATGCAAGCCCATGACGCATGTCTGCCGTTCCGATTTGAAGCTGCTCAAGTATTTCCACCACAGCTGAGTAGAGGATTCCAATGTTGCCGTCTTCAATTTTGACGGCGATTCCAATGGCACCCTCCACGCCCAGCCGTCTAGTTGATTCTGAAGCCTGTATACCTATTCCATAGCAACCATCTGCACCGAGCTTGCCAATAAGACCACCTTGGAATGCTTCCATGAGCTTGGTGCAGAATCGCCCCTCGCCACCGACCAGGTCTGGATGACCCGCCATCGCCCGGAATATCTGCGCTAGAGCCTTCGTTCTCACAGACGTCGCGTCCGTCGCTGCCGCAATCGTAGCATAGATCCTGGCCAGGTTATGCAGAGGAAGCGCTGGCGCAGGGAGGTTACATCCATCAATACTCCATTTCACTTCGTTTTCGTCCAGCCCACTCAGCTCCTGAACCACACGCTTAACCCGCACCTGCATCGGATGAGTCGGCAGATGATACCCCTCGAAGCCAGCACCGATGGCCTTGGCACCAGCCAGCATCCCAGCATGCTTCCCCGAGCAGTTATTACACACGCCTGTCGGTGTATAATCCCGCTTAATCCATTCCCTATTCACCGCCTCCGACACCGCAGGGTGGCCGCCACATCGCAGGTCCGTCTCGGCAGCGGGGATCTTGGCTAGCATGGCCAGGGCCCGGGAGATGTGTTTGTCCTCGCTGCTGTGTGACGCACACACCAATGCTAGATCGGCGTCGTTAAAGCCGCATTGCTCGAGTCCGCCGGTCTCGAGCACCGCGAGCGCTTGGGCGGGTTTTGCGGCTGATCGCGCCAGCGTTAGGCGTGTGGGATCACCGACGGCGTAGAGGAGCCTGCCGGTGGCGTCTGTAATTGCGGCGTGGACTTGGTGTCTGTTTTCGACGACTTCTCCGCGGTATGTGACGACGTGGTCTGTGGGTTCTTGCATTTTGGTTGGAAGTTGCATCCTTCGGATAGCCCTAATTGTACTGTATAGAGGATCTCGGGATGATGGAGATTGGGGTGGACAATGGTGCAGCTTTCAATTGAAAGGTTTGGGAGCTTGAATGCTTGCAGTTGAGTAGGAAGTGAGACTATTTATCATCTCGTCAAAGTCCAACGACAGATTTTTCCACATCTTATACCTCCTGAGACTGGCATGCCCGAAGAGCCTGGCGATGCTCGGGATGCCGCTATTCCCTTTCGGGTGAACATTTGCGATGCCAAAATCTGATGGGCACTTTTCGTACCCACTGCGTCGCTGGATGTATGGATTGACTGAAGAATTTTTCACTTTTACACTAGTTAAACGTTCCTGGTTTTTTTCTGCTTATCTGGTGAGTCAAGTGGTGGGATAGACACGGGAAGTGTGAAATCAACAAGGCAACATGGCAGAACCTATCCCAATAAGGTTAGCCCATTTCCATATTAGGAAAGTAGTTGTTATTGGAAGCCTGAGGCTCCAACGCGTGTTTGCGATACACACACTGCTCCCAACTAGGAAGAAAATGATTGAATGATAATCGGAGGGTGAAGCAGTAAGGGATCAAATGAATCACTTTCCCAACCTGGGATGGCAACATAAATCCAAGGCCCTCGGTTCGGGATCTAGGCAGTGTCCCATAGCTATGTAGAACAAAAAATAGTCGCACAAAGTGCTACCTCGTGATAAATAAAAAGTCTTTGACAATCTCTCCCTATTAAAATTGAGTACCGTGCCAGGAATCCCTACGCAGGGTCTCTACGTGTCAGCATTTGTTGTCCCGACCATACGGCCTCGGCCTAGGAAGTATATATCTTCGCCAACCAGACCTAGACCTCCAACCCGGCGGTTTCACAGGAATTGTAACAGATCACCTTCAGGGCAGCCAATAGCATGGGCAGTCCAGCCCATCCAGGCGTCATCAACAACCGCAGTTCGTCAGAGTTGGCCACCGTCCAGCCGGGATCAAGCAAGTGCCTGACGTTAGCGCCCGACGGATCATCCTGAGGCCGCCCACAGCGGAACAAACAAGTTAAACATGATCGGCTTTCTCCGCTTCCTTACGTATGACTGCTTGCCCGCCTCCGCCTTTCTCTCCTTGATTCTCCTCCCAGCACCTTATCGATTTCTTCCTGAGCATGGTCCGAGACATTGGGTCGATGTTTCAGCCATCCATGATTTCTTGATTTTAGCCTAATCTTTTGTTTTACTGACTCCATTTCTCGAGTGAGCGGCGTCGGCTCCGATATCACGCGCTTCTGCCAAGCTCGGCTGCTATCTGAGAGCTCCTAGCATTGTTGCGTGACGCCACCGTCATCCCATTCTCGCCTTCGCGACGTCAGCTTTGCCTCCTTGACTCGGTTTTCAACTTCGGATGATCTTGATTGTCTTCGATATCGCTGCATCTTGCTGGTTCCATCATTATAGACCCCCCATTTGACGATGCGGGGACTCCGCTCAATCCCCGTCGTTGCTTGCCTCGGCTCGCTCCTCCCCCAGGTCTTCGCTCAGGGCGAGACGAAGATTCACGAGACGGGTCGCTGTGCTATTCGAGGACATTGCGGAAAGCAGTCATTCTTTGGAGGAGAGCTGCCTTGCCCCGACAATGGACTTGCGGAGGAGCCGGAAGCGGCGGTGAGGAAGAAGCTGGTAGACTTGTGCGGGAGCAAGTGGGAGGAAGGGCCGGTGTGCTGTAAAGATGAACAAGTGAGTATTCCAGACAGCGAGGGCTCGCGAAAAATCCTGATCAACCCGCCGGCCTGTGCTGTGCTCATGCGCTAACGAGATCGCAATCCTAGGTCGACGCGCTGGCTAAGAACCTGAAACTCGCCGAGGGTATCATCGCATCCTGTCCGGCATGCAAGGAGAACTTCTTCAACACCTTTTGCACATTCACCTGCTCTCCGGACCAGTCTCTGTTCGTCAACGTCACAAAGACCGAGGAGAAAAACGGGAAATTTCTGGTGACCGAGTTGGACAACATCTGGTCGGAAGAGTACCAAAGCGGATTCTACGACAGCTGCAAAAATGTGAAAAACGGCGCGTCGGGTGGAAAAGCGATCGATTTCATCGGTGGCGGGGCGAAGAACTACAGTCAATTTGTGAAGTTTCTGGGAGACAAGAAGCTGCTGGGCAGCCCATTCCAGATAAACTATAAGACAGAGCCAGGTTCGGATCCCCAGGGTATGAAGGCCTTGCCCATCACGCCGAAAGCGTGCAATGACGCAGATGAGGCGTTCCGCTGCTCTTGCGTGGACTGTCCGGCCGTTTGCCCCGAATTACCGGCGGTGGAAACCGACGATCATTGCTATGTGGGACTTCTGCCTTGTCTATCGTTTTCCGTCATCCTTATTTACTCGGTGTTTTTGTTGTTTGTTGTCGCCCTCTCCGGCTATTTCACGTACAGAGAGCGACGCTACCGCAAGCCCGAACGGGTTCGACTCCTCCAAGATCCGACTCCAAGCGACGATGAAGACGAAGCTGATATCGTCCACGCCGGAGGCTACCTCGAACAACCCCACGGTGAATACAAAGTAAATACCGCTTTGGACATCTTGTTCAATCGCATTGGTGGCGCGTGCGCTCGGTTTCCTGCAATCACCATTATTTCCACCATTGTGGTAGTTGTTTTGCTGAGCGTCGGTTGGCTGAGATTTTCCGTCGAAACCGACCCCGTACGACTCTGGGTCAGCCCCAGCTCAGCTGCTTACCAGGAAAAGGAGTACTTCGATACCAATTTCGGTCCGTTTTACCGGGCCGAACAGGCTTTCGTGGTGAACAGCACTGCGGACGGAGATGGCCGCGTTCTCAACTATGACACCTTAAGTTGGTGGTTTGATGTCGAATCTCGCGTTCGTCGGATGATTTCGCTAGAACGCGAGCTTATCCTAGATGATGTATGTTTTAAGCCGACGGGCGACGCCTGTGTGATCCAGAGTTTGACAGGCTACTTTGGCGGATCGGTATCGAATCTGGACCCTGACACTTGGGAGGATCGGCTCAAACATTGCGCGGAGTCTCCGGGCGACGTGAGCTGCCTTCCGGATTTTAGCCAACCCCTCAGGCCTGAGATGCTTCTGGGTGGCTATGAAGAGTCGGGAAATGTGCTCGACGCACAGGCCATTGTTACCACCTGGGTTGTTAACAACCATGCCCAAGGAACCGAAGGGGAAGCTAATGCCATCGATTGGGAGGACAGCTTCAAGCGTATCTTTGATGTGGTGCAAGAAGAAGCCAAAGAACGTGGTCTTCGCGTCTCCTTCAACACCGAAATTAGCGTTGAGCAGGAACTCAACAAGTCGACCAATACCGATGCGAAGATTATCGTCATCAGCTACATCATTATGTTTATATATGCCTCGTTGGCCTTGGGCTCGGTTACTGTGAGCTTGAAGTCACTGCTCATGCACCCTGCCAATGCTCTGGTCCAGTCGAAGTTCACCTTGGGCATCGTCGGGATTCTCATCGTCTTGATGTCCGTGTCTGCTTCGGTCGGCCTATTCTCTGCCGCAGGGGTTAAAGTGACCTTAATCATCGCGGAGGTCATCCCCTTCCTTGTTCTGGCTGTGGGAGTGGACAACATTTTCTTGATTGTTCATGAATTTGAACGGATCAACATCAGCCATCCCGACGAGGAGATCGATGAGCGAATTGCTCGAGCGGCGGGCCGGATTGGCCCTAGCATTTTCCTCTCGGCCATTACGGAAACCTTTGCCTTCGCGCTGGGCGCCTTCGTCGGAATGCCTGCTGTGAAGAACTTCGCCGTTTATGCTGCGGGGGCCGTCTTCATCAATGCCCTTCTCCAAATCACCATGTTTATATCTGTACTTGCCTTGAACCAGAGACGGGTTGAGAGTCTTCGCGCAGATTGTATTCCGTGCCTGACCGTGCGCAAAGCCCACTCTGGATTAGCCGACGATCAACTCTTCGACGATCAAGATGGGGAGAGCATGCTGCAGAGGTTTATCCGGAAAGCCTACGCCCCGCGCATTCTCGGTCGCAGGATCAAGGTGTTGATCGTGATTGTATTCTTGGGCCTCCTGACAGCTGGCTTGGCGCTGATTCCCGAAGTTGCCCTCGGGTTGGATCAACGCATCGCTCTTCCAAGCGACTCCTATTTGATCCAATACTTCAATGATCTTGATGTCTACTTCGGAAGCGGTCCGCCAGTTTACTTTGTGACGCGCGATGTGAATGTGACCGAACGAAGCCATCAGCAACAGCTCTGCGGGCGGTTCACCACTTGTGAGGAGTTTTCCCTCCCCTTCGTCTTGGAGCAAGAATCCAAGCGGCCCGAAGTTTCTTATATCTCTGGGTCCACTGCCAGCTGGATTGATGACTTTTTCTACTGGCTCAACCCCCAGCAGGACTGTTGCAAGGAGGGCGACAAGCTTTGTTTCGAAGACAGAACTCAACCATGGAATATCTCTCTTTACGGAATGCCTGAGGGAGCCGAGTTTGTCTATTATGTGGAGAAATGGCTTGACTCCCCCACAGATGCCTCGTGTCCCTTGGGAGGAAAAGCGCCCTACAGCGATGCCCTTGTCGTCGATTCCAAGCGGTTGATGACCAATGCGAGCCACTTTAGAACTTCTCACACCCCTCTAAGAAGCCAAGAAGATTTCATCAATTCCTACAAAGCTGCTCGTCGCATTGCAGACGGCATTTCCAAGGAGCATGGCATCGACGTGTTCCCTTATTCGAAGGCCTACATTTTCTTCGACCAGTATGTCTCTATTGTGCAACTAACCGGAACGCTACTTGGGTTCGCGGTTGCTATTATCTTCGCCATCACTTCTGCCGTTCTGGGATCCGTGGCCACGGGAGCGGTAGTCACGACCACTGTTGTGATGATAGTGGTGGATGTCATCGGTTCCATGGCTATCTCTGGCGTATCGTTGAACGCCGTGTCCCTGGTGAATTTGATCATCTGCGTCGGCATCGGCGTGGAATTTTGCGCACATATTGCTCGCGCCTTCATGTTCCCTTCCAAAGCCATTCTGGAGAAGGCACCCACCAAGTTCCGGGGCAAAGATGCGCGAGCATGGACCGCTCTGGTCAATGTCGGTGGCAGCGTCTTCAGTGGTATCACCGTCACCAAGCTCTTGGGTGTGTGCGTTCTGGCTTTTACGCGAAGTAAAATCTTCGAGATCTATTACTTCCGTGTCTGGCTAGCGCTCATCGTGTTTGCGGCGACTCATGCGCTCATCTTTTTACCTGTAGCGCTCAGCTACTTTGGCGGAGAGGGTAAGTCTTTGTCTTATACAATCTGTCGACAATATAACGCATCATACTGATTACTCTAGGATATTCTGACCCTGGATCCGATGGCGGTCTGGAAGAGAACCTTGCGTCCCGGGGCTATCGTTCCCTGCTGGTTGACGACGGTTATGATTCCGAGGAATACTAGACATGGACCTTCACTAGAGACCATCTTGTTTACATCTAGACATGTTCTGGTCATTTTCACGCTTCATGGATAAATCAACTAGTAACGACACTATTCTGCGCGTTCATCCTCGGAAGAGTCCAACAGACCCACCTCTTGGCTAGCAGGACGGAGTATGTTTGGGACTCACGAATCAGAGCCGGAGTTTATGGATTGAAACGGCGTTTGGTAATCATGGCAACCATCTAGCGGGTTGCTTCCATTTGTTTCCAATATGAAATTGAATTTTCTTACCGCCCCTCCTGCTTTGTATACCTCTTCACTAGTCAAACGGTCGGCAGGGACGGCAGGCAATAGTAGACTTTTGGGTTTTGCAGACTTTTCTGTTTGTAGACAAGTAGCGTCGTCTTCTAGTCTCTACGGGTAAATCATCATATTCTTTCCCAGGGAAACCCTCAGATCCGGTAAATTCTATATCGGCATGAGGGATTTTCTCGGGCTTGGGTCAAATTAATAGTTCCAATTAAACCCACTAGACGAGATACAGGAGTACTACAGCGTACAAGTCACTTTAGCTCTGCCAACTCGGATCTCACCGTTTACCGAGATCATATGAATGGATGAAAGATATTGAGAGAGATCAATTGAATACTGTACCCAGAAGGGCATAGAGCAGCCCTAACATGCCACCTGCAACGTTACGCCGTGCATTATTCAGTGTGCGCGACTGTTGACTGTGGATACAAGGGAGAGAATCGCGGAGTCGCGGTTGGGCAGCGACCGCACGTGATGGTCTGCCGCGCTAACTCCAGAAGAAAAAAAAAAAAAAAAAAAAGCGGATTCTCGAAGACAAAAAAAACCCCTAAATTTTTTTTTTCTCTCCCCCTCCACTTCTTCTTCCTTTTCTTCCTCCCTCCCCCCTCCTCCTCTTCCTCTCCTTCTCATCCTTCCTTCCTTTTTTCTTTCCTGTTTTATCTCTTTCTTTTGTTTTTTGATACCCTTGGGCTGCCTGTCTTGGTGCAGACAGCTCATTCAATCGAGTACAGGAGCCTCTGTTTATTCAGTGAGGGCCTGGGAACAACCCCACGTTGCAGAATTTTCTTTCTGCCTTTTTAATCATTTGGGGATTGGATTCATAGAATTCTTGCAATCATGGATCAGCAGAAGTTTTTGACGCAGCTTCAGATCGTCCTGAATCGTGAGTTTCCTGAGTTTCCTGGGTGAGGAATACACTTGCCTATCAATGATGGCTGGGGTCTTGTGCTAACGTCGAATGTCTCAGCCGCCCAGGGAAACGTTAAGGAAGCCACCGGTGTCCTTCAGCGCGAGTTTTACAACAAGGCTGAATCCCTCGTTTTCTTGATCCAGATCGCGACCAGCCATGAGGACCCCAACCTGCGACAGCTCGCCGCTGTCGAGGGTCGTTCGTTGGTGAACAAGCACTGGGTGTCGATCCCCGCCGCCCAGAAGCCTCAGATCCGTGAGCAGCTGCTTCGTTCCACCATGGGCGAGGGTTCTTCCCTTGTCCGCCACTCGATCGCTCGCGTCATCTCGGCCGTCGCCCGCGTTGACCTGAACGACGGCGAGTGGGCTGACCTGCCCAACTTCCTGGTGCAGGCTGGCAACAGCGGTAACAAGGACGAGCGTGCCGTCGCCATCTACATTCTGTTCACTATTCTCGAGACGCTCGGAGAGGGCTTCGAGGAGAAGTTCCAGGATCTGTTCAACCTGTTCAGCAAGACCATTCGCGACGCTGAGAGCGAGGAAGTCCGCACCAACACCCTGCTTGCCCTGAGCAAGCTTGCCATGCACCTTGACTCCGAGGAGGACATGGGCCCCGTGCGGGCTTTCCAGGAGATCCTGCCTTCTATGGTTGCCGTGCTCAAGGAGGCTATCGACCAGAGCCAGGAGGACCGTGTCATGCAGGGTTTCGAGGTCTTCCAGACCCTTCTGGGATGTGACCCCGCCCTCATGACCGTCCACCTCAAGGACCTGGTCGTCTTCATGAACGAAATCGCTGCCAACACCCAGGCCGATGAGGACACCCGTACCCAGGCCATCAGCTTCCTGATGCAGTGTGTGCAGTACCGCAAGCTCAAGGTTCAGGGCATGCGTATCGGTGAGCAGCTCACCCGTACTGCTCTGCACATCGTCACCGAGCTGGGCGACGTTTCCGCCAGTGATGATGACATCACCCCTGCCCGGTCCGCTCTGGGTCTGCTCGATATGCTCGCCCAGAGTCTGCCTCCCAGCCAGGTTGTCGTCCCCCTTCTCCACTCCTTGGGCCAGTACTTCAACAACAACGACCCCGACTACCGTCGGGCCGGTATCATGGCCCTTGGAATGTGTGTCGAGGGCGCTCCCGACTTCATCAGCACCCAGATGCGGGAGATCTTCCCCATGGTTCTGCAGCTGCTCGCTGATCCCGAGCCCAAGGTCCGCCAGGCATCTCTGCATGCCGTGGCTCGCTTGGCCGAGGATCTCGCTGAGGACCTGAGCCAGGAGCACGAAAAGCTCATGCCTTTGCTCTTCAAGAACTTGGCCAGCGCCATGCAGGAGTACAAGGGTGAGGAGGACGGTCCGACCGTCGACATCATGAAGGCCGGCATCAGCGCCATTGATTCCGTCGTTGACGGTCTCGATGAGAAGGATGTCGCTCCCTACCAAGGTGAATTGGTTCCTATCCTGCACAAGCTCTTCCAGCACCCCGACTTCAGAATCAAGGGTCTGGCTGCCGGTGCTCTCGGCTCCGTTGCCGCCTCCGCCGGTGACTCTTTCCTGCCCTTCTTTGACGACTCAATGCACCTGCTGCAGGAGTTCGCCACTGTTAAGGACAGCGAGGAGGAGCTGGACCTGCGCGCCAGCGTCACCGACGCTATGGGCGAGATGGCCAGTGCTGCTGGACCTGAGCGCTACCAGCCCTACGTTGAGCCTCTCATGCGTGCTACCGAAGAGGCTCTGCACCTTGGTCACTCCCGTCTGAAGGAGAGCACCTACATCTTCTGGGGTGCTATGGCCAAGGTGTATGCCGAGCACTTCGGCCCCTTCCTCAGCGGTGTTGTCAAGGGTCTCTTCGACTGCCTTGAGCAGGATGAGGACGACCTTGACGTCTCCCTGGGTGAGGCTGCTAAGGACCTTGTCGGTCAGGAGGTGACCATCGCCGGCCGCAAGGTTAAGGTCGCAAGTGCTGACGACGACGAGCCCGTCGGCGAGGACGGCGGCATCGAGGACGTCGATGTCGACGAGGAGGATGAGGACGCCTGGGATGACATCACCGCCACGACCCCCTTGTCCCTCGAGAAGGAGATTGCCGTGGAGGTCATTGGTGACTTGGTCACCCACACCAAGTCTGTCTACCTGCCCTACTTCGAGAAGACCGTCGAGGCGGTTCTGCCCCTCGCCGAGCACCCTTACGAGGGTGTGCGCAAGAGCACCATCAGCACTCTGCACCGCTCCTACGCCATGCTGTACGCCTACGCTGAGGAGAACGGCCAGATGGGCAAGTGGCAGCCCGGTCTGCCTCTCCAGGTCGAGCCTGCTAAGGAGGTCAAGAAGTTTGGTGAAATCCTCATGACTGCCACCGTCAAGATGTGGACCGAGGAAGATGATCGGTACGTATTTGATATTTTTCTGTTTGATTTTGCTAGACAAGCCTTGGAGAACTCAAAATTCCTCAATGCGGGTCCATTTCCAATGATGAACACACTCGTTTTACCCAGCTCACTCAGACACGTAAAAAACGTGGTTGATGCGAACGACGATCTATCTATACCTGAGAAAATTCTTCATGCCTTCGTGTTTTTGATTGTTTTGATCCTCCGGATTACTAACCAGATGAACACCTAGGGCTACTGTGGCCGACATCAACCGCAACATGGCTGAGAACCTCCGCTACTGCGGCCCCTCTCTCATCGCCAACGAGACCACTCTGCACAACGTCATCCAGATGATCACCGATATCATCACCAAGCAGCACCCTTGCCAGGTTGAGTTCGCTCCCGAGGAGGAGACCCTCGAGGCCGGTGAGGAGACTTCCGAGTTCGACTGGGTTGTCGTCGACACCGGTCTCGATGTTGTCTCCGGCATGGCTGCCGCCCTCGGCCAGAGCTTCGCCGAGCTGTGGAAGGTCTTCGAGAAGACCATCCTCCGCTACGCTGGCAGCTCCGAGTCCCTTGAGCGTGCCACCGCCGTCGGTGTTCTCGCCGAGTGCATCAACGGTATGGGTGCTGCTTCGACTCAGTTCACCCCTGGCTTCCTCAAGCTTCTGGTCCACCGCCTGGGTGATGAGGATCCCCAGACCAAGTCCAACGCTGCCTACGCCGTTGGTCGTCTCGTCGAGCACTCCAACGCTGACGCCGAGATTGTGCGGGAGTACCCCACCATCCTCAGCCGCCTTGAGTCGTGTCTCAACCAGAACGTCTCCCGTCTCCAGGACAATGCCACTGGCTGTATCAGCCGCATGATCTTGCGTCACCGTGAGAGCATCCCTCTCAAGGAGGTCCTCCCCGCTCTTCTGGCTCTCCTGCCCCTCAAGAACGACTACGAGGAGAACGACCCCTTGTACCACATGATCTGCCAGCTGTACAAGGCCGAGGACCCCACCGTCCGGGAGCTTACTCCCCAGTTCCTGCCCATCTTCCAGTCCGTGCTCTGCGGCGATCAGGACCAGCTTGAGGACGAGCGCCGTGCTGAGCTCACCGAGCTCGTCAAGTGGCTGAACCAGATGCAGCCCGGCGCTGCTCCCTGGGCTGAGCAGCTGTAAATTGCAGCTTACCCGCGGGTAAATAATGGCTTGACGACACAAAAGTAAAATGATAATGCACGGATAGATTGGATTGTTTTCAAAAACAGGAAGGAATTACGGATAACTCTTAGACGATACCCCGGCGCGCATGGAAGGTCCAGCTCCCTTGCGAAGTGCGCGATATGATAGAAAAGGGATGTATGGGATGATTTATGAACAGAACAAAAGTTGTACATAGTTTCTACTGTGCACATTTGATTTATGATTTCAGTTATTTGATCCATGATATGCGTATGTTGTAAATCATTCAAGACGGCCTTAAATCGGACCCGACGCTGCAGGTTGAGCCACGACACCGCCGTGGCTGAGATCTCCACCTGCCGTTATTTTTAGTGCCTGAGTGCCTTGACCCGCGGCCTCTGACGTCGTCTGGCTTTCCGCTTTCTCTTCCCCAGACCGACTTCTTCGGAACCTTTCTGCCTCACTTTCCATCAGCCTAACGGTTCCTGTATTTATTCATTCCTCCCTCGTGTCCGCCCTCTTCCTTCTTCCTGCGCCTGGATCTGTCATACATACTCAACCGTGACCTCATCCTTTTCCGACCGGCTACCTCTGCCTCCTACCTACTTTTCCATCCGCAACGCTAGCAACCTATCTATTTTCTTTCCCGCGAAGAAGACTCAACCATCCAACCAAATCCCCCAGCGAGATCCCCATCGAAAGAAGCATTCATTAAAATCCAAAATGGGCTCCTCCTCGTTCTCCTCCCCCGTCAACTTCACCCTCCCGTCGTCCGCCTCCGGCTCGTCCATCAAGAAGCCGATCAAGAGCGTTCAGAAGCCGTGCTTCGGGTGCGATTGCGGTGATGAGGAGTGCGATTGTTGTATTTGTACGGTGATGTGAGGGATAGATGGGTTGGGGTAGATGGGATGGGATGGGATGCTGAGGGTGAGATTCCTATTCCTACTCCTATTCGTATTCGTTGGTTGTGATAAGTAATAGGATGTGTGAAACATATGCTAATGAGGTTTCGATGGTAGCAGGCGGGTATACCTGTCCTTGATTGATGGGCACAGTTACGATCTGGATGCGTCGCGGCTGGTTGGGATTTGTTTGGGCTGGGTATACTAGCGAGCGGCAATACATGTGATGCGGGCGTGCATGGCATAGCGTCGTGTCTTTGGGTGTGTTGGAGTTGGAAGTGGAGGGAGATGGGGACGAGGTTGGTTATGTGTAATGGGTGTGCTGCGTTATTGATATCCATTTGCGGTTTGGAGTCCATTCTTCCAGGCCTTCCTTTTCGTGATGCTTTTGTTGAACTTCGTATTGGGAGTAGAGTGTCGGGCGGGTATTGTACCTCCGTAAATATGTTTCAGGGATGGATAGCTCAGCCGTGGAATGCGACGGGCGGAATAAACAAAAGAACAAGTCCAGACAGACTTAGAGTGACGGACAAAAACAAAAAGAAATGGTCCCAACGAGGGTCGAACTCGCGACCTTGGCGTTATTAGCACCACGCTCTAACCGACTGAGCTATAGGACCTTCTTGTATGAAAACAGGGTCCGGCTTTTAATTTATAATCCTTGTCCATAGTAAAGTAGTTTTGATTTCTTGTCTCTTCTCTCCGTTCTCCCCTCTCTATTTCTCTTCTATCTTCTGCATCCTCGACCCTGCTTTAACCTGGAAATTCCATCAATATTTAGCTCTATATATTGATGTATACGTATCTACAAACATTCAATGCAATCGGTGCTTCTACAATACCAGCAATTATTACTGGCACACATACCCCTGTCCAAGATATATAATCAGTCAATCATCCGACCCTAATCAGATTGCCGCAGTCATCTCGCATGCATAGCGCTTACTTTCCCCTCCTAACTCACCACTATACTGCCTCGCAGATAGGCAGCAAAACACCTGGTGCCTGAGGTGCAACCCAGTGAGCAGCTTGCATTTGCTCATTTCTCTGTGCAATACATGGGGTCTTGTCCTCCCTGCATACTACCTGGCAATCTCCTCTAACCATCCACTCAAAGGGACAAATCATTCTTATGATACTGACCATCAATATGCTGATCACTGCAGCTATTGCGCCAACGCCTCTCGCACTGCACAGCCTGTGACAGATAATTGTCCGCGCCGCACTAGCGCTGCAAACCATGTCCATCCAACAAACTGTGTGTCAGGTGCAATTCAGAACTCCCCCTTCTCCAATTCATCGTACTTTACACCGAGCCAGCCACCCATTTCCCCTCTTACTAGCGAACCTTCCCTTTCCTCTTGGCAGGAGGAACAGAAGACATCTGCACAATTATAAACGCCCACCATGCAGATAGGTGTGCTGAACACAACAACGCCCTTGTCTCCTATGACCACGACCGATGCAACGTTCCTGGAACCACTGCAGGCTTCGACGCAGGGCAGTCCAGCTCGACCTATGAAAGATACAGCCCCGAGTTCAGCAGATTAACGGTCGGGATAATCATTCGCTACGAATTCCTCCTTATCCCGTGGTTCTACAGCGTCTGTTTCGCGAGGCTGTGCAGCGGCTGAACTGGCAGGCGCTTTTGCAGGGGTCTGCAAAGATTACAGGCCTCGAGGAAGGCTGCTACATAATACCCTGGTCTAGGTGGGTGGTAGTCTGGAGGACATGGGTCGTACTAGACGGTGGACCTGGTATATATATGTGGTCGGGACTGGCGTTCTTGGGGGTTGATTCTTCGTTCAGTAAGTTTTTCGCCTATCGACTGGCCTGTTGGTTTGAACGGGCTTTTTTCTCATTTGAGTAGTTCTTTTCGTGTGTGTCAACTGTTTATATACCTTTTCTTTTCTTATTTTTCTTTTCTTCCCTTTGTTTTTTGTATTGTCTCTTTTTGTCCTGCATTTCCTACTGCAATTTGTTGTTCGACTACTAAGATGGGGAGAGTTCGGTCCGCGAAGCACACCCCAAAACGACATTTCGGAAAGGATGTCCCAAAGTCTCACCAGACCCCATCTTCGATGACGGAGGCTCAGAACAAAGTCTCCCATGATCCGACACATGGTGAGCCGGTGTATGACGATTCTGTGGATGATGAACTCGGCGACCATGGGTCCAGCGAACATTCTCTCCCCATAGAGATCGACCTCAGAAGGGCTGAGACCGTTGGAACGGTCGAGACCAGCCCTTCTCCGTCGGGGAGGAAAGCAAAAAGGCGAACTGCCTTCCAGGAAACAGAAACCAGGTCGGACATGGCACGCCAATTAAGCCGCGTGATAGAACAAGAATTGACCCCGGTGGACGAAGACTCGCAAGATGAGCACTATTCACCATTACGAGACCATTTCCAGCAGACCCATACCGAACAGTTCACCGGAACTCCAACTCAAGCCGAACCCGATGAACTGGCTTTCATTCAACAATCTTTGGCCGACCCAGAAACACCGCACCAAACTCCCAGGGTCAAGAAAAACAAAAAGTCGCCATTGCCCCCGAAAAATACCTACGACGCGATCGAGAGGATGAGTAGTGTCCTCAAGCAAGGGTTCGATAAAACCGAAAAACACAATATCGGACATGCATACTTGCTTGAAGACACCAGCAGTGGTACAATCTCCCCATTCAAAATCGGGAGTGCACAAAAAGGCGGGGTGAAGCAACGTGAGAAGCAGCAGATCAAAAAGTGCGGTCTTCAAGGGGAATGGCACAGCAAACCGTTCCCACAACGTCCACTCCGTGGTTATATACGCCTCGAGCTGATCACCCATGAGCAGTTATACTACATGAGACACCAACATGAGTGTCAATGCAAGACGGACCACCGGGAATGGTTCCGCGGTGACAAGAACAAGGCCCGTGAGATTCTTGAATTCTGGGCCAAGTGGCTTAGGAGTTGCGAGCCATATGATAGCGATGGCAAGCTTCTGCCGTTTTGGACCGCCAGACTCGCCACTTTCGAGCAGAGGATGGACCATTACTTCAAGTGTCTCGATATTCACTGTACGAGAGATAACAATGAACCCATCACCTGTCAGAAGTGCCTTCAAGTGGGGTGGAAAACCTGGACGGAACCGACCTCATGGGACCATTTTCGGTACAACATGCTGACTCCTCCCGATTTTCCGAGTATTTATTTTCATCTGATCTTTTTCCTGACTGTCACATCTTTCCTAACGTCATTCATTCCGGTACCTCGAATAATCTTCTTGGCGAGCATCCTCAGAATCTTGGAGCTGATAACAGTTGGTTCCACTTATTTCTGGACCTACAGCAAGCCCATATCTATGATTGTCGATGATCTTCTCACCGAACCGAGCCAGGCCTCCCAAGATGAAATAGTCAAGACGCCGAAGAAGAGACTTCCAGCAGCACAAACCCCCAAGAGTGCGCCGCCAATCCTGGAGAATGATTTCTTGATTGTTGAGGAGTCAGTTACCACACCAACGGGAAACTTACCACCGGGGCAAATTCCAGGCACTGAGCCCCTTCTGCGCACAAGGCGTGAAATGGAGAGATATTCTGTGCTGGATGAGTCACCGTCGAAAGGGGTGCAGAAACGTAGGAGGGCCAAGAATTCATCGAAGCCGCTGGGTACAAGGGATCTGAATGAGGCGCTCGGGAGGACGTTCAAGTCGCCGTTGATGCCGGAGTGAGGATTTGTTACTTCCTAGCTTGGATTATTATACTGTGATATAGTCAACTGAAGTGATTTGCTCAAGTAGTTTGGAGTCGGTAATGCATTTTGATCAGTATTATAACTTTCAACTCTTGAAGATAGTCGCTATAGTATAAATATAAAGCATACTATTCACGCCTTTCATACCCCCATCATTTGATCCAGTTAGATCACTAGTATACGAACTACAAATTTCTCCTACAAACAAGGGCCGAATCCTTTTGGCATAATGGGAAGTTCACAATACCTGGTCTGGTATCTATTGAATTAAGCAGTCGTTACTAAGAGATCCACCCATCAAAGTCTGACACCGGCCGAGGCTTTCTGACATTCGACGAGCTCCTACCAGATGAGCGTGTCAGAACTTGAATATGCATCAGTGACTGACCGCGACTCGCCAGGATGCATGTTGTATGTGATTGGATTATGCACTCCAAGCGCCCAGTTCAGCCGCACCCCGCCCAGGGGCGGTGCATTTATTTCGGTTCGGTTTCCTCCCCTTCACATTCCGTACATGCGCTTGTGAACGAAAACAGTTGCGACATTTACTACTGTGCAAAGGACTACACCATGGAAAGCGAATTCTGGAGAAGAGAATCCTTGAGAAGAAGAGTTAGAGCCCTGATACTGGCAGGACGAGCAAAACAGCGTCAAATCCCTTCTGGGGAGGGAAATGAGCAGGAGTCAGATCCAACGTGTGTCGGTCCAATTATCATGTCATTTATTGACCACGACTAATCTTCGAAGAGCTTCGTATGTTATGAGCGATCATGACCGCCAGTGTCTGGAGAGCCTACGTGCAATCGATCCCGAATTGCAGAAACATGACATCCAGGCTGCTCAAGGGGATCTCTTGAAACATTCACCTCGCCGTTTCCTTGAAGATCCGGCCGTTAGGCAATGGAAAGATAGCCAAAAAGCCCATATTCTTTGGATTCGAGGAGACCCCGGCATGGGCAAGACACCGCTGGTCTGTGGAATTATCGATGAACTAAAGGCGACCATGAATAACACCAACATTTCGTTCTTTTTCTGTCAAGCGTTGGAAACTCGCGCTAATAATGCGACGGCAGTTCTGCGAGGGCTTACATATATGCTGGTTCAAAAGCATCCTTCCCTCATCACCCATATCGGCAACAGTTCCTTTGAGAGGGAGAATGCGTGGTTCGCATTACTCAGAGCTTTCACCGATATACTCAAGGACCTGCGAAGCACTTATTTGATCATTGATGCACTTGACGAATGCACCAAAGACCTGCCCCGACTGCTTCACCTCATCCAAAAGTCATCAGCTTATCCGCACGTTAAATGGATTGTCTCTAGCCGCAACCATCTCAGCATTATGGATGACCTCGATGACACGACAAAGATAATTTCCATTGAATTGAAAAGCGACACTCCATCAGCTGATATCTCCTCGTACATTGAACAGAAAACAGACGTTTTGGCAAAAAAGAATAACTACAGCCCCCAACTAAAGGATACTGTCCAGGATTACTTGATGTCAAATGCAAATAAAACCTTCCTTTGGGTAGCTATGACTTGTAAAATGCTCACTAGTGTCCCAGAACCGCTTGTTGAGAAGACTTTGGACGGGTTTGCGCAAAGCCTTGAAGCGATTTATGCGCAGATATTGGAACAAATCATTGAATCCGACGATTCCGAGCTCTGCAAGTCTATCCTAAGAATCACAACCATCGCTTCCCATCATATCACACTGGAGGAGTTAGCGTCTTGTATCAACTTATCTGAAGACGTCGTAGTCGATGAGAAGGCTTTGACAGAGGCTTTGGGGCGTTGTGACCCTTTTGTGACGCTCCAAGGCCGCACCATAAATTTTGGCCACCTGTCGGCCAAGGACTTTCTCGATGAAGCATATCATATGATCTGTCCTGATGGAGTAGAAAAGGTACAGTTTTCCATCTACTCAAAAATTGGAACAGCTTGTCTGATTTTAATTCCCAGGTCGCTTCCCAGACAGCTACGATACAGGCTTTAGACGCAGTTACTGGTTTGGTGCAGAATGAGAACTCAGGCAATCGCAGCGAAAAGGAAGCCCTACTAGGAATTGGCGATCAACCGCAAATAGAAGATTCTCGGCATCAGATCACTGCGGATGCAAGTGACCATAGCTCGGCCATTTCACAAGCTCAAAAGCAATTCATGCCCACGGAAAGATCTTCTAAAGAACACCAACTTGAAGCAACAATAACAACCGAGTCACGATATGTGTCCGATCGAGTTTTTTCTACGCAGCAAGACTCGATTTTGAACACTCAAACATCTCCATTCTCGGATATAGAGGATCTAAATACCGTTTATTCTGATAATTTCACCGTGAAGGGCTTAAGCAAAAACGTTTATATCGATGAGCTCGTTCGTGAGATCCTCGAAAAAACTTCATCCTTTCGAATTGACTCGTCATGTATGAGACGTGTTGCAGTGGCCATGCCTGATTGCCTGAAAACATTTTCATTGAGGCTTTCGTCGGCGGAGTCGTCCCAACAGGTCCATCGAAACGTGACTGCGTTTATTAGGAAGTATAGACAGTGAGTAAATGGCTTAGCCCTTTTGAAACACAACTGTGCGGTGTTGCTGACAATAGATAAAAAAAGAGACATTGCCGATGCGTTCATGACCGAGTCACTGGATGATTCATCCACAGCCCCAGAGTCTAGGGCGGGGGACAATATGGCTTTAGAAGATAAAATGGAACTCTGGAATAAGCATGATGATGACGAAGCATGGAGTGAGCCAATTGAAGAGTCCAATATATTTCCCGATAGTGGAGATGAATCCCCGAAGCATCCAGAGATAGAGACCGATGAGACTCTCAATGCTGCGATGCCCGGATTGCAAAAATACCGCGAGTGCATTATCGGAAATCCCGCTTACGAGTGGCTTCTGAGTGATCTTCAAAGGCACTCTCTTCTCGCACCATCCAGCCCAGATGTCATGACAGAAATTGGTAGCGCGATTACGCAAAGCCTACTTTCGCGGCCTCACTTCAGCAGACGAGAGTCGGCTCTACCCTATAAGATGACATACACTATGAACTGGGACTTGAAGACATTCCTTGAAGATCAGGAATACAATGAAGAGCATTTCAAAGCACTCCCATTGGCCATCACACTCACAGGCTCCCGCGAAGCAGCTCAGGCATTGACTTGCTCACAATATCTGCATCAGACATGGCCATCGTCGGCTGGAGAGGTTCTAAAACTCCTCCAAGCCCTGCTCAAGTTTGAAGCAAAGAACAGAGAAACATGTACGCTATCTCAGGCCAATTTTGAAGATTATATTCCATTGTGCTGACCGCTACTTGGGACTCCAGGTACTCTACCAGATGGCACAAGACTTGTTGCCTGGTTTCAGTCGTCTATGACGAGCAAAATTATAGTCAAAGTCAAGGGTCCTGTTTGCTCAGTTGCCGAGATCGGAGAGCAGCTCTCCTGGCTTGGTTCTGCTCTTCGCTCCTCGCCGAATCCCGATCAGCTTGTATACTGTCAGCCTCGGGTAGGAAACTTCCAGTTGATCCATGATAAATCCCAGAACAAAAAGCGAAAATACGCCGCAGAGGCCAGTGCAGAGATTTCATTCGCAATGAAAGAACAAGCAGTTTCTCCGAAAGCCAATGGGGATTGTTGGCACGATCTCTTCCGGAACTGCGTTGTGGTTGAAGGTTACCCAATACCCCGGCGACCTGAAGTCGGCGCTGCAAATGGCCTTGAGATCCCCCTTCCAATGATGGCTAGTCTGGTGCAAGCGAATTACGTCAACACATTTCTGGGAGGCCTATTCATCAAAGGCTTCTCTGCCATGCTTGTTCCCACTGAGAAACACAATGGGGTCATTGTGTGGCATTTGGTGCACAACAAAAATGGTGATCGAATATCATACCTCGATAGCACTGTCACCCCTGTGGAAGGCCTGATAGCGGGACGGTTATCACAGGAACGTCACATTCTTGGATGGTGCTCAGATGCAAAGTATCTTGCTGGTATGTTTTATGCACTAAGAACTTTCGTCAACTGACCCTTTCTCCCAGGAACACGAGATGCAGAGTATAAAGTATCAAGCTCTCGGCTCCCCAGGCCACGCGAAAATGGTATTCTTAACCGGGCATCTATCTCCAGCGGGCAGATGATTACAGGCGGCGAGCCCTTCTTGGTCGGGTACAAGGACACCCCTTTTCATGTTTCTCGAGCTGGATACGTGAAGAAACTCAAATGGATCATCCAGAAGTCCGTGGTTCTCTGGGACGAAGAGGCAAAACGAGGATGGCTGATAAATGGAGGAAGCGCCCTTCTGCATCTTGTGCGTGCCTCCATAGTGCATGATAGTACAGGTCCATTTAGCTCAGAGTGCCTTTTCCGATGGGAGAGCCTGAAAGAGGGGCCAGCGCATTCCACGCGCAGTCCTGAATCCGCCATTGCAGTGCTTTTGGACCGCACTAACCGGGCCCTGACAATATATGAGGATGAAGATGAGCACGTTACGTTTGAAGACCGAGTCAAGCATTTTTCGAACATTCTTGAGCAGATCTTTGATCATCAGATACATGCTATCGGGCCAGATTGCAGTGGATATATCTCCAAGTCCATTCCTCGAGCGCATCTTGAAGGCTGGGATTTCCATGACCTTGCCACTGAATCAGATCCACTACGCCCCCGACTAGCGAGCATTGCCCCAAAAGGAAAGGCATGGGTTGACTTTACGCGGTCAATACATGCAATTAATCTTCTAGGCCGTGGGTTTGGTGAGATGCTGGAACCATCAAATGTTTCCTGTCCTTACTGGGCCTCGCTTCCTAGGGATCAATACTATCTGGCTACCGGGATACCAGATTTGCAGATGGCTCTAGAATATACTGGTGATTTGGGAACGAATCCGATTCGGCTCAGCGAAAACCTAGTGTGGCACAAACCGGAAATGGCTTTTGAGTCCTGCGGATGCACAGGGGCAAACCCAGAGCATACCGACATGGTACAAGTGATCCTGCCTGTCACACTGTCAGGTACCCAGGAGAAAGGTAATGACCCCATTGACTTGGCTCAGAACGGAGCGGTTGTCTTCGGATATAATCGAAATTTCCGGTGGCGATGGAGGGATACAGGAGACCCCGAGAGAGACGATATCGAGGTCAATGAGGAAGACTACCTTTCCTCGAGTTATGACGGTCGACCTGAAACGAGAAACACGCTGTATGTTACGTCTGAGAGTGATTACACCAAACTGTCAAGCACACCGGCCTCTTCGATAGGCACCACTGCCACCTCATCTGTCCAAACCGAGTCTGCACGACCAAAACCCCTTGTCAGATCGTACACCAAGTGGAAGTTGGAATCTCTCAGGAGTGAACATTACGCTGTCGGCATTGTCTGCGCACTGCCCTTGGAGCTCTTCGCTGTTCGCGCTTTATTCGATCAAACCCATCCTGACCTTCCTCTGTCTGCTGCCGATTCGAACCACTACGCGCTCGGAAGTATAGGACGCCACAACGTCGTTGCTGCGTGTCTACCAGATGGTGAATACGGCACTAACTCTGCAGCGGATGTTGCATCAAATTTGAAGAGAAGCTTTCCGTTGGTGAAGTTCTGTCTGCTGGTGGGTATTGGTGGTGGTGTGCCGTCATCCAGAAACGATATTCGTCTCGGTGACGTCGTGGTGAGCAGGCCCATTGGTATAAGTCCCGGTGTTATCCAATACGACATGGGCAAGGCGCTTGAAAGTGGCGTCTTCGAACAGAATGGGTTTCTCCAGCCTCCTCCGCGACTAGTCAGGACTGCACTCAGCAATTTGAAGTCCGATCCCCATCTCCCCAAGGCTCCGCTACAGGAATACATCGAAGATATTGCGGCACTCCGAAAGGAGTATCAACACCCGGGGCCAGAAAATGATCGTTTATTTTTTAGCCTGTACGTACACAATTCTGAACACACCACATGTGATTCTTGCAGCGCTGCCTATGTTATTTCGCGAACAAGCCGGTCAGATCACCACCCGCGAATACACTACGGACTCATTGCATCGGGGAACAGCGTCATGAAAGACGCAAAATTGCGTGATAAATGGAGCTCAGAGAAGGACGTTCTTTGCTTCGAGATGGAAGCCGCCGGTGTCGTGAACACTCTACCTTGTCTGGTCATCAGAGGCATATGCGATTACGCGGACAGCCACAAGAACAAGCGGTTTCAGAAATATGCGGCAGCAACAGCTGCCTCGTATGCGAAGCTGCTGCTTTCTTACATTAAGGATAGCAGTGACGTCAATGGAACGGCTTTACGGTCCACCAAGGATGACCTGAGTCTGCTGGGTGTTCTTCGGAGGGCTTTTTCTTATTTACATCCGCAGCAGGAAGTTTGATCAGACCTTGATATCTAGCCTTTGGCCATATCGTTACGCGAATGCTCCATCTCCCTCTCTAGATTTCTATTTCGCGCCTCTAGTGCCTCAAGTCTGTCCACAGATGTTCCTCGACTTGCAATTTCCGGATTTAACCTTTGCCCTTCCTTCTGTAAGGAACGCCTCTGGGAACTACTCGCGTGCGTAATTTCACTTTGGTCCGCTGGCCTTTCTTTCGGAGGATGAAATTGGGTATCCTTATATCTATACTGGGACTAAGTCGACTCTCTAATCTTCACAAAGAGCTCCATGAAATCCTCGATATCCTGCGCCCCATCCACACGGTGCTCCTTCCCCTGGATCAAAAAAACTGGCACTCCTGAGCTCACCTGCTCGCGATTCCGCTGTGCCTCATAGTCCACCCTCCTGCCATTATCCTCATCATTCAACCACGCATCCACCTCCGCTGCCTGCAACCCTAGCACATCCCGACCAATCTCTCTCAACACCTCCCGATCTGAGATATCCTTCGCCTGCTCATGATACGCCTGGAAGAGCTTCTCTGCCATGGCATCTTGCAGCTCACCACTATGACTCTGGTCCCTCTTCTTGTCCTCAATCTGACTGAGTAGAATTAAGCGATGCGCATCCCTGGTGCTCCCAATCTTGCCGTGATGGTTGAGTCGAATTCCAACCGCGCGTCCGATCTGGTCCATTCGATTCATGAGCCCTGTTCGCTCCTCGGGCGTCATGTGCGCGAGATTTTTATCCGCGAGGACTCTCTTCTCCACGCTGTGTGGCGATGGGTTGTGTTGTAGGTAGTATGGGTGCCAGGTAATCACGACTTTATCGGCACTACCGCCGGGGTAGGTCTTTTTGTGGAGATGGATGGCTTTGTCAAGGCGGCGTTTGCCGATGAAGCACCACTATTTGGTCAGCTTGTCTGTGGAGAGCGTAAGGGGTAGGAGACAGACCATGCACACAATGTCGGAGATGATATCGATGGTTATGATGGCCATTATGAATATGTACGAGGAGTTCGAGGTTGAATGGGTAGTGCTGAGGATGAGATACAGTCGCCGTCCGGAATTGACTAGATTTATATTCCGCAGGATGCTTTTCAAGGCAACAATTTTGCTGACCGCTGCCCACGTATTCTAGATAGATAGTTGGCGATGTTGACTCCGCCGGGCGGAACTCCGCCAGTGCCAAGCATCAGGATGCCCATCCTTACCAATCTTTGTTCAACCACCCAAGTCGTTCTGTGGAATCTTACCAGATGGGTCAACAGGGTCAATATTGTTTGACGTGTCTCTAATTTCAGGAGAATGCCTTTCTTTCCTCTTCAAGTCTTCACTCTCTTCTATAAACCTTGGACCTCGTGCCGTGTATTGTTGTAGGATCCCCGTGGAATGTATACTTCCAAACATTTCGTAAATTAGCTATGTAGACATTTGATATGAACATAGGGACTTTCCATCCCCTGTAAACGGATCAATTGGGCATCGATTTTAGCTTGTTTTCCGTACTATGGAAAGAAAGGTGAATAATTAGTCATCAAATTAACCTTCGGCGGCCCATCGTTAATCTCCGCTTAGTCACCGCCACGATCGCCTTCATTTTCGGCTCTCGGGATTCATCCTCCGATTCTTCATCATCCCCAAGTTGCTGTCTGTCATCGACCGAGACGTTTTGATCTCTTAACTATAGCTTGTTTGCACCCCATGATTACCTGAGCTACAGTGGAGAGAGCTTCCTCATGTATCCGTCTCCAACCTCGGCCGATCGGTCGGAGGATGACGCAACGCCGTTCAAGAAGCGCACCGCGAGAGCTTGCGACTCATGCTACAAGCGAAAGGTATCGTCGCCCCTTCAAAGGGTCCCGACCGGTGCAGCTAATTCTCAACTAGATCAAATGTGATGCTGCGGTCCCGCAATGTAACTGGTGCAGCCACCATAGTATCCCATGTACTTTTGATCGGGTCATCCGGAGAAAACGAAAAGATAGGAGTAATGCAATCAAGTATGAGAGATTCCGCATCAAACCGATTATCAAAACTGATCTGTCATTTTCAGTCCGCAAAAGTCGGACCTCTTGGCGGAGCGCATCGAGAGGATAGAGAAGCTATTAACAGACAGCTTCTTGCGAGAAAATAGTACGTGGCAAATGCATCACCTATGATGCAAGGCAACTAACCTTGCATAGGCCCTCGTGAAACAGGCCCTCGTGAGCCGCCAGTCAGCTCTGGTCCTAGCGCTTCCCCATTATCTTTGTCTACTAGTACACCCTCCCCCGGCAACCCCTCAGTCTCCTCCTCTGTACCTCTTCATTTCGCTGGACGAGAGTTCGGTGTTGTCAGTCTTATCACTGGTATTCCGTTCTTGCTTCCAGAAGGACGACAGTGGGTTGAATCGCGGACTGGGCAAAAGATCTCCTTTGATAAGCTCAGTCCCACCAAGCCACCCTGGGAAAAGCAGCGAGCCCTGAGCTCCAATGCGCTGCTGACGAACCCCCAATCCCGCAATGTCTTCGAGCTGCCGGATCGCCAGACAGTCGAAGAACGTTTCGACGCATACCGATCGTCTCTAATGCAGCGGGTATTCCCGGTGCTGCACTGCACATTGTTCATCGACACTATTAATGCTGCGTATCAGAGTGCTTACTCGAGTGGTCACTTTGCACCGGCAAGCGTACGGGCCTGTGTGTTCGCTTTTCTTGCTTTCTCGGCCCACATACAGAATCCTTGTTTCAATCCGTCGGGCAAGGATTTACCATCTGTTGATGGAGAGGAGAACATTATGAAGGTGCAGCATCTGTTACCGCAGATCTTGCAGGAAACGACCTCCAGAGAGGGATTGGAGGCGATGACTATGATTGTAAGCTCCCGTGTCATGCAGTTGATATTTCGTCATGTCCTTTGTGGAGGGACTTGAAATATTCTACGTATCCATACGTGATGCTAACTAACAACCTATTCTAGGCACTCTGTGAGCTAGTAGCCGGAAATCTGCAATCGGCTAACTATTACGGCGCCGTGGCAGCTCGGATGATCTTCACACTCGGCTCTCATGCCATTCCGTGCCCGCAAACCGGCCTCGAGCAACTGACCGACTACCAAGCTCGCGTACAATACCAACTGCGAAATCTATTCTGGGTGTGCTACACGATCGAAAAAGACGTCTGCCTCAGGACCGGCCAACCGCAAATATTCACCGAGGAGAGCTGCGACCTCACACTACCATACGGCTACGTTGAAAGGCTCTACAGCAGCATGGAATACCATCATCGCTCCATGAAAATACCCGACAGTCCAGTCTTCCCCGTCGACCTCCGCCTCAGCATCATCAAATCCCGCGCCCACAGCGCCCTCTACTCGTTCCGTTCCCTCAAAAAGACCGACGCCGAGCTCCTCAAGGAAATCCGCGAGCTGGACGACGAGCTCGAACGCTGGCGCATGTCCGTCCCGCAAGAGTGGCGACCCACGCTGTCTTTCTCACACGAGACCCCCGACCCAAACGTCAGCATGCACTCCGTCATGCTCCGTCTCAACTACCACCTCTGCATGACCATCATCCACCAGGCCAGCAGCCGCTGCAAAGCCTGGGGCAATCGACAAAGCGGCATGATGGACGGCGTTAGTTCTAGTCTGGCATTGTCCGTCGAAGCGAGTCGGTCGACGCTGCTATATCTCGAGGCAGCGGAGCATGTCCTCGTGGACGGAATCTTCTGGTAACTCCCATCCCATTCCCATCCCCTTCCCAACACTTCCTTCCAACTACCCAGAACAGGCAATTGACTCTGACTATCTAGGACTCTAATCTTCTACCCTATGTCTGCCGTGCTTGCTATCTTCTGCAACATCCTACAAAACCCGTCCGATCCCCAGGCAACCAAAGATCTAGGCCTGCTCAAAACCACAACGAGCATGATGGAGCGCATGATTCTGAAACAGCCGTATTCGATCACTGAGATCGTGCATGTCAAGCTGGTGGCTGATTTCGTGATCGAGCTTTATCGACTTGCGAATTGTGCGATTGAGAAGGCGTGGAATGAGCGGTCTGCTTAGGCTTTTTTCCTTTTCTTGACTTGGGTTGTTTATTTGACTTCGGTATATACTAGATGGATTGATAGATTAGATCAGGCCGTGTATATGGTGTGGTATGGCATGTGCTGTTACTGGCTACTGGCTAGATACTTCGGGTTCGGTGTATAAAGGGTGTTATGGAAGGGTCTCGGGTTCTATGTTTATGGCTTTTTGTATTTACTCGAGCTGGGTGGATCGGTATATATCCTTTATATGACATAGTTCTACTAGTAACTACAGCAAGGAGCCAACACATCCATAAATTCTTCCCCCGAGGAAAGCTCGGTCAATCCAAAATTACCAAATATAAACCCCAGCCAAGCCTTGGCACCAAATAAACTTCCATAGCGCATGCAGACACCGGAACCCTATTCCAGATATTCAACTAGAAAAACCCACCCTTTCTCTCTCTCAATCTCACGTAGCCAGAAAACACCAATCTAATTCCAACACCCCCCTCGAACACCAAATGCCCCAAGTTAACCTCTACCCCCTCACTTCACCCCTCCTAACCGCCACAACAAGCGGCAACGTCGCAAACATAAAATCCGAACTCAGCGCAGGCAAAAGCGCCGACGCCCGCGATCTACAACACGGAAGAACTCTACTCTCCTGGGCCGCTGGGCACGGCCACTAGGACGCCGCGAAGCTTCTCCTGGATCGAGGCGCGAGCGTGAATGCTGTTGATTTGGCGGGGAGGACGGCGTTAATGCAGGCTGCGAGCGGGGGGTATGATTCTGTGTGTGGATTGTTGCTTGAGGCTGGGGCAGGTGTTGAGAAGAGGGATTGTGCGGGGCAGACGGCTTTGATATTTGCTGTCAAGGCAAAGGTGAAGGAGGAGGGGCTAGGGGATGAGTCAGGGGCAGAGGCAGCGGTTGGGTTGTTATGCTCGGCAGGGGCTGATCTGGACGTTCAGGATTGGACGGACGGGAGGACGGCGATGTCTTGGGCTGCTGGGGAGGGGGACGAAAGGAGCGTTGAGGTTTTATTGAAAGGTGGAGCGGCGGTGGATTTGGAGGATAAGTGTCGACGGACGCCGATGATGTGGGCGGCGATGAATGGTCATGTCGGTGTGGTGAGGCTTTGTTTAAGCTGGGAGGCGAGCACGGAGATCAAGGATTGTGAGTATGATCGGACGCCGTTTCTGTGGGCGATTAAGAATGGTCATGAGGCTGTTATCGAGGTGTTGGAAGAGGTTTCGCCGCCTGAGATTGGATATGGGTTGGTTTTGAAGCCGGAGCCAGTGCCGTCTGCGAGGATGGAGGAGTTGCAGGGGGTGTTTAGGACGGTGAAGCCGGATTTCGATTGGAGGAGGGATCAGGGTGGGGAGATCTTGTCGTGGGCTGTTGAGAGTGACAGAGAAGATGATGCCAGGTTCTTGATTGAGCAGGGCGCGGATGTGAATGCGCAGAACGAAGAGATGACGGTGCTTTCTAATGCAGCGTATAGGGGGATGGTGGATGTCGTGAAGATGCTGCTGGAGAGAGAGGTTGATCTGGACCATGTGGATAAGTCCGGTCGAAATTCTCTCTCGTGGGCTGCGGAGGGAGGACATGTCGAAGTGGCCAGACTTCTTATTGACAAAAAGGTGGACTTAGTACTCGAAGACGAAGAGCAGATGACGCCTCTATTATGGGCGTCTGCGCTGGGACACGAACCGATGGTGTCTCTGTTCTTAGACGCGGGGGCAGATCCTAATTGTCAGGACGAGAACTCACGCACACCACTCTCATATGCTGCTGAAAACAACCAGGAATCATTAATTTCTCTTCTCCTGGAAAAGGGCGCCTTGCCGGACGAAGGCGAGGAGGAATCACCATTGATGTATGCTGTGGGTGAGGATAACAGAGCTCTGGTTGAGATGCTGCTTGAGAAAGGCGCGGACCCGTACTCTGATTCATATGGAATCGTGGAGCGGCCACCTTTAGTCCTCGCAGCATCACATGGGAAGGAGGCGATGGTGAAGCAATTCCTGGAAAGGGATGCCGAGTCGGAGGAAGTCAAGAAAGATCATGTCTGGAGGGCGTTGGTTGCGGCTTCAGAGGAGGGAAAGACTGGTGTGGTGAAGTTGTTACTCGACCAGCATCCTTTCGAGGGCATGGAAAGACATGATGTGGATGATGCGCCTCTGTGGTTTGCTAGAAATTGGGGCCACGATGATATTGTCGAGCTGTTGCGGCCTTATTATGCTGACCACAAGTCATAAGGTGTTGAGGAGTCCGCTGGTTCTTGATAGGCGGGTGTTCGAGATACATCGAGAGCCTTTAAGCTAAGGTGATGCAAGTATAGGCCAGTGTGTATCATCATCATTGGGAAGATGAAATGAACAAAGCATGTGCACAGTTATAGCAAGTGCCTGAGAAGCGGTGGTTAAGACTCAGGAGCACTTGGAAAGTGGATTTCGAACTGGCCTGGCAGATACTCATTCTTGAGAACTAATTAAAAAAGTCGATCACATTCATCCATGCAAAACAGAGCATGCGAGTTCTTCAAAGAGAATACACAAGCAGACAACATCGCAAGTGCAATTGGAGGCCGAGGAATTTTGCGAATTGTCTCCAAGGTGAAGAACTGGCTTCTTGAAACGCTAGACTTCGAGTTTCATTCTGTTTACGATTACGGGATAGAAGAGTGATTTGAAAGGCTCGACAAAATTTGATATTTCCATTATAGCTAGCATAAAAGTTGAGACCTAAACCAGCAGGTGGTTAGCAACAATCCACAAATCGTCACGGCAGAAAATCAAATGCATAGAAGCTCTCATTTCAGATAGAACCTATAAACATGCGCATTTCTAATCAAAGGCACTTTTGTGTGCTCTCAGATGGGGTTGAAACAAAGAATAAAACGCAAATCATCATTTGAGAGATGGGAAAGCGACAAAGTCGGACTTACCAAGTCTATGTGAGATGAAATTCAATGGCGAAAGGCAAATCACCTGAGCGACCAATGTAGACCTTGGGACAGCATTAAGTCCTGCAAGACCAACGAGATCGTTGAGGTGAAGGGATGTCAACAAGGAAATTTTCCGCGGCAGAAATTTGGGAGGAATTTAAAGCGCCCGGCGTTAGTGCGGCACGTGACGCGGAGGCAGGATGTTCCGGGCGCTGGAGAGCTCGGACTGCCGCAACGGATCGCAGCAATCTCAAATGTTCGGAGTAAATTTAATCTCACGAGCATTCAGCTGTTGTGAACGGGCCACCGAGCTCGAAGACATTTGTTGCTCGAATTCTCTGTGAGCGAGCTGCGACCATACCGACTCGATGTGTCGGTTTCTGGAGATCGAGTGCAAGGGAGCCTCGACTAAGTGTAGAAGCAACAGCCTGCTAGAAGGCTGAGAAGGTCGGTGATGTTCAATTGAGCTCAATTTTGTTCGTCCAGAAGCTTCCAAACCAAGGCTGAATCGTCCGGGCTTTGTTTGGTTGGCTCGGGTTTCTCATCATTCTTGGCGGCCTCGGTCGCGCCAACATTGGCACCCTCTTTCTCCAGCTGGTCCAAGGCATCCGTAATCTCAGCCTTCAGCTTGTCCATTTGCTGGATCTCCTCTCTTGAGCGACTCAGTTGTTCCTCCATCATCAGAATCAGAGACTCCCGGGCTTGATGTGGGCGGTATAAGTTCAGAAGATGATGCGCATTGATGAACAGGTTGCGCAAATCTTCCACCTTGGGCTGGAATTGTTCCGGGTCGACCGACAGGATACCGACAAATTCGAGGAAGTTCAAGAGGAGAGACTTGCTGATTCTGAGGAGGTAGTGGGCGTGATTCAACGGCCGAGGCTGTGATCCCTGGCGATCGTCGGCGGATGAGGGTTCGGGGTAGAGTTGCTCAATGCCTTGGTCTTTCAGAGGAGGGAGCGTTGTAGAGAGCTGTAATCCATCTGTAAGCAGCCGTTCTATCCTCGACAGTCCATGGACTCACTCACGTTCTGTAGTTCTCCAAAAACACTGTATTGACCGGTGGTGGGTATCTCCGGGGGTGCGAGGAAATGGAGCTCTCCCGGTAGATCGAGAGATCGCAATTCGGTAGGCGACCATTTCTTCTTTTTCGGCTTTCCATCAACGTCTTTCGAGGCTTCCTTCTTGATCTCCTCGAATTTCTTGACGTTGTCAGGCGTGAAATGTTTCCACAAAGGAGGCGGCGGGGCAAAAGCCGTGGTGAGAGCGCGTTGTTGCCCAGCCTCAGCCATGTTCGCGTGATGAGTTGGATGCAGATGACCAACAGACCGGGATGTGTTGGAGAAAGAGAAAGGCCCGAAGGAAGGCTGGTGTGAGGTGAACGAAGTGAAAGAAGCGCCGGTCCGCGTCATGCGGAGCTTCGGGCGGGTGGCTCGTGCGGCTCTTCCCTTCTCGCCGACTGTTCAATGCTGATCCTCTCCTCCGCTCAGCCCCAACCCTTCTCACTCTCGCTTCTTCCTGCATCGCACCCCTATGGAGAGTTGATCTCTCCTTTGATTATTACTGTCTGAACATACAGTGGAAATGTCGCGCAATGGATTGGCTGCTGGGTCGGCCGTTCCTCGCCCCAGTCAGCCCGGAGCCCCCGGCGCTTTTTCGCGTTTCTACCAGCGGTATTTCCCAGCAATTGACTACTTTGCCCTGACCTTCATTATCTTATGTTGGGTTCTTGTTGGTCTTTCTCTTCTCCGTTAGATTGTAGCGCCGCTAACATATGATGTACAGATCCAGCTTTTTGTGACCCCATTTCACCGGCTGTTTTCGCTCGATAATAAATCCATTCAATATCCCTTTGCTGTGGTGGAACGAGTCTCTGTGGGTGAGTAGTTGTTGCCGGGTGATAGGAGGTCTATACTGACGACTGCAGTCTGGTCAATTGTGTATGCTGGCCTTATTCCGTTCCTAATTCTCATGCTTTGGGCTTCCATGTTCCGCCCGAATCGCCATAAGGTCCAGGTGACCATGCTTGGCTTTTTTGTCGCCGTGATGCTCACTTCGCTTCTCACCGATATCGTCAAGAACGCCGCTGGAAGACCTCGTCCCGACTTGATCTCGCGCTGCATCCCTAGAAAGGGGACCCCCGCGGACGAGCTGATCAATTGGACAGCATGCACACAACCGAATCAACATATTCTCCAGGAGGGATGGCGGAGTTTCCCAAGTGGACACAGTAGCTTTTCGTTTGCTGGGCTGGGGTATCTTTCCTTGTAAGATGCCTTTTTATCTGAGTGCTGCCTACTTCTAACCGGTTGCGCAGTTTCATCTCCGGTCAGATGCACGTCTTCAGACCACGAACCGACCTTTGCCGTTGTCTGATAGCCCTAACTCCTCTCCTCTGCGCACTCATGGTTGCCATTTCCCGACTTGATGATTACAGACATGATGTTTACGACGTTACTGCCGGAACAATCCTAGGCATTTCTGTTGCCTACTTTTCATACCGTCATTATTACCCCGAGCTGCAATCCCCGATTTGCGATATTCCTCACGATAAAGAAGATCTTGTCCTCGCAGATGGCTTTGCCAAGCTTCCAGGTGATGAGGAACAACAGCTGCAGGGATCTGGACTTGCACGCCGTTGGGAGTCGGAGGAGACCTACCAACTTGGCGAGTCTGCGTCCCTTGGGAGCGATAGATAGGTAGATACATTGGTTTATTTTGCTTTCTCATCCTTTGATACCCGATCATATATTTTGACTTTGTCTTTCGTGCTGTTGACACATTATGCTTTGCGCGCATTGAATCCCGTTATTCGTGTCTATATACTGTCATATTTACAACTTGGAAATATCTCTTTGTTTTACATTGGTCCATTCCTTGACATCGTGGAAATCCATGACTTTGTTAGGTCCTCCGAACCTCCCTAAGGTGTCCCTCCAGTTTCGCTTTGACGCGAGCTCAGGATTCCACCTAATCAAACCATGAATCTTTTCAGGGATCTTGTCTTCCAAGGCGTCGACAATAATATCTCCAATAGAAGGAAGGTATTTGAAACCTACAAGTCGAGTCAGTATGTGCAACCAATAGGTCTGGATTTGCATACCTCGTCCAGAAGCTCCACAGCCAAGAATCAAAGATGGGTGCTCAGGGTGACGGTCGATTAAAAACTCGCGGTTGGCTGTGTCTGCACACCAGCAAATTCTCGCAAAACTGAACGGACGGTCGGCCAGTTGGGGAAGTGTTTCTGAAAGAAGAGCTCTGACTCGTGCCTCAGATTCCAGAGGTACCTGGGTTTTCTCAAAGGGAATATTCCTCACATCACCATCGGATAATTCAGTTATATTGGTGTATCCGGGATGCTCATCGCATATTTTGATCTCTCCACGCTCCTCGTCGGGCTCGAAGAAAAACCCTTTCTCAATGTTGAAAATGACCGGAATATTCTTGTAGAGAGCCCGTTCTTCGGGCTCCAGTTGGATATGAACAAGCGTCCACGCCGTCGGTCGCAGCTGTTTCTTGAAGTCTAAGAACTGTCCAGAGGTGGCGCCCGCACAGAGGATAGTCTGCTCTGCTCGCCAGATCTTGCCATCAGCGGTTACAGCTCCCTTGACATCGTTGTTCTCGAAAATCAACGTGATGACCTTTCCCTCTGGGGACCCGGTCACGAACTTCACGCCCAGTCGCTGCGCCTCGCGAACAGCTGCGACAAGAGCGTTTCGTGCATGGGCCCAGCCCGCGCCAGAGCGAATATGATACCCTTTCCAGCCCGGAAAGTCGCCTTTCAGGACTTGCGGCGCTAATTGCCGGAATTGCTCTGGTTCAGAGATCTCGACTACGTCCGGCTCTTCATCCGGCCGGACACGTACGCCTAGACGGTCTAATCCTGCCGGGGTACTGGCGGACATCAAGAGTCCGGTGTCATGATAGTAAGGTTTGAAGATCGGGTCGTTCTTCCAGCCGTGAAACGCCTTTTCGGCCAGAATCTCGTTGATCTCAATCTCATCTTTCCGGTTGCTGTACTGTCCGGACGAAATGATTTTGTTGACATCGTTTCCGGCCGATATAGCAGATGGAACGGGATAGGGATCAAGTACGGTGACATTGGTGTATCCTCTGCGAGCCAAATGGAGGGCCGTCGAGGCGCCCCATGTCCCTGCGCCGATGACCAAGATCGATGATGATTTGGTGACTGCCATGGTGGCGACGATGGACTTATAGTGAGAACAATGACGCGGAGATAATTTCGCAAAGAACAATCAATAATTTAGTGGCGATGAATGCTCCCGATCGTTGCAAAAAGCGTGTCGAGACAGTTGGTTCACATTCTTATATGACACCGAAGAATCGGCAGTCGGAGAGCAGGGAAGGTCCACGCGATGGGCCGAATGAGGTGCTACTGAGCTACTGTCATGTCATTAGCCTGCTCAGTTCCGACTGGCTTGTCTACCTTTATCGTTCAAGCCACCGTGGTCATCTGCTCTGGGCCTTCCCGTGTTTTCTATCTATCGTCCTCGTCGCGTGCTGCTTTCTAGTTTCTACTCAACATGGTTCGCCGACGTCGGACTCGACCCGAGATACACCCCGCGAATTTAGCACGGCACTAGTGCTATCTACCATATCGACTATGCCCGATAAATCAGTTGTTCCCCCAATCGCATCTACTCAAATGACAAGATAATCCTAGCCTAGCCTTCTTGTGTTGGGCAGATCTCGCTAGCATGCCAAGGCAATGGCTTGCCGCTTGGACCTTACTCTGTTTCTTGATTTAACCAGAGCTTTGCTTGATTTGATTTTATACGGTAAACTGGGTAACTTTTAAAGCTGATCCCGGTCAATCTTTGCTATTTTCATTGACATTAACCAGCTAGGACCCCTTTCTCTCTCCGTCTTGACGCGAAAGGATACAAAATATACAATGGCCCTCACAAAACAAGAGTATACGAAGTGATAAAATCAACATATCTTGGTGCGCATTACCTTGGATTCAACTACTAACCCTGCTATCTAATACCAGTAAGAGCCATTCTTGATTGAGTGTAGTGACTCACCTTTCTCTGTCTAGTGAGAGAAGTACTAGACCTGCGCCTCTCCTCATGAACCGAGGCTAGCGTGCTTGTTCGGACAAGATTTCACCGGTGCATGCGACGGACCGCAGCCGTCGCTTGGACCTTACCCAACTCCCCTGGTCTGGGGATTTCTCCACACTCGGTCTTATCGGCCGTGATCGACATGCTGTCCTGATCGTTTATCACTTATCTGGGGAGGCGAGATGTCAGAGGCAAGTTCTCTATCTTCCCCTCTTCAGTTAGATGGGATTGGTATGCCGCTCGGGTAATAATGGCCGGTGGTACGTTTTATAAAACGGACAGAGGGCCTTCGTAACCGTGGGTGGTTTGAATTTTACAGTCTCTCGTTCTTTTCATCATCCACTCAACTACATATTGCAACCGGTGATTGTGTAAGTGCACTTATGAGTCGACTTCATTCCCAGGGGCTGCAAAATGCAGACGTGGAGGAGTGTCCTGGCGACCCTTCCCTCCAACATGATGATGCTTCCAAGAAACCCATGAGTGCGGAAGATGCCTTGGAAATAGCCATCGGAGAAAGCCAGAATGTCGAATACACGATTGAATCAGACAACTCGCCTTATCTGGAAGTCCGTGCCAATGTGCCCAATACGGACGATCCGACACTCCCCATTAACACCATTCGAATGTGGTTTTTGGGAGTGGTGTTTACATTGGTATGTTTCAAGATGAATCATATTAATTGATTTAGCGATTAACGCAGCTAGGTTGGCACTGGTGTGAACCAATTCTTTTCCATGCGGTACCCCAGTGTGACTATCACGTCGTTGGTAGCGCAGCTTATCAGTTATCCTGTTGGCTGCTTCTTCGCCAAAGCACTGCCTATCATGTCGATTCGGGTCTTTGGATACAATATCTCCATCAACCCAGACCATCACTTTAATGTCAAGGAGCATGCTGTGATTACAATCATGTCTAACCTGAGCTTTAATCAATCTTGGGTAGGTCAGCTGAAACGATTGATCTAACAATCAGTATTGCTAACAATTCGAAGGCTAGTGCCATCATCCAAGCGCAAAAGGTTTATCTGAAGATGGAAACACCAGTAGGCTATCAGATTCTTCTGTCATTATCTATGCAGATGTTTGGTCTGGGTCTTGCTGGTCTGGCATATCGATACATCATCGAGCCACCGCAAATGGTAAGGTTGCACGCATACTTCTAGCACGCCAGTCACCTAACACCTGTTAGATCTGGCCGTCCACCCTGGCCAACGCTGCCTTGTTTCAAACACTGCATAGTGGCGCGAACCCTATTGCAGACGGCTGGAGAGTATCTCGATATCGATTCTTCTTGTATATTTTCATTGGAAGCTTCTGCTGGTACTGGCTTCCAGGTTATATTTTCACTGGTCTGAGTACATTTGCGTTCATTTGCTGGGCAGCGCCAGGTATGAGAGCCCACTTCATCAACGCACCAGTTCTAACAAGCCATAGACAACAAAGTTCTGAATAACCTGTTTGGAATGACCACTGGCCTCGGATACCTTCCCACCACGTTCGACTGGAGCCAAATAGCATATAACACATCGCCCCTCGTCATCCCCTTCTGGGCACAGGCCAATGTCTTTGCCGGTTGGTTCTGCGTGTATGCCGTGGTGGCCCCTATACTGTACTACACCAACACCTGGTTCACAGCGTATCTCCCACTGACGGGGTCAGACGCTTATGACAACACAGGCGGTATTTATGACTCGAGTCGTATCTTAGACGATACCGGTGCAATTCACGAGGCGAAGTATCGTGAATACAGCCCGATATTTCTGCCCATCACCTTTGCGCTTAGCTATGGCTTGGGATTTGCGGTGCTGAGCTGCTTGTTGACCCATGTTGTTTTGAATCACAGCAAGGATATTTATAACACGTTCAGGGGCCAGAATAAGAAGGATATTCATGCTCGGTTGATTTCTCTTTACCCCGACGTGCCTTGGTGGTGGTATGGTATTTTGACGGTATGGGTGGATTCTGGACAACGAGACACTCTGCTGATCTTCTGTGCAGATTATCATCGTTGCTGTGTCGATCTTGACGCAGTATGTCTGGCATACGGAGCTCCCTTTCTGGGGCGTTTTCATCACCCTAGCGTTGGCTGCTCTTTATGTCATTCCTGTTGGCACTGTGTATGCTGTTGCGAACTTGAACAGTAATGTTTTGACCGTGCTTGGAGAGATTGTGTCGGGATACCTAATTAAAGGGCGACCGCTTGTGCTTTTGATTTTCAAAGTATGTTTAAACCAGTACTCGAGTGACCATTGCTGACTGTGCCAGTTCTACGCCTATACTGGGCTGAGTCAAGCCATGTTTTATGGTGCCGACATGAAGGTAAGAAATCGCGAATCCTTTTCCACGCTCACTGCTGATATCTGTTCGTGCATTAGCTCGGACTGTACATGAAGATCCCGCGCCGCACATTGTTTGTCGCCCAAATAGTTGCCTGTATACTTGGAACCTTGACGCAAAGTATGCTTGCACTCTGTCCCTTGATGAGAGTTTATATTGAACCTCTAGATGGTGTTCTCCTTTGGATGCTCGGAAACGTCGAAGACGTATGCGCTAGCGACCAATCGAACAACTTTACTTGCCCTCAAGGTCGAGTGAACTACAACAGCGCCGTTTTCTGGGGAGGTAAGTTGGACCTTACAAGAATCTATACAGCTTATGGCTGATGATGTCTAGCCATTGGCCCTGCTCGTCTGTATAATATTGGAAAAAGATATTCCGGTCTCCTGCACATGTTCTGGATCGGAGCATCGCTTCCAATCATCACGTTTTTCCTGCGAAAGAAATTTCCCAAGAATCGCTTCCTTGATGCGGTCCACTGGCCGATTTTCTTTGCTGGGACGGGAAATCTACCACCGGCAGTAAGTAGTGCCACATGCAGCATCCGTGTTGTGACTGACGCATCCAGACTGGAATCAACTATACAACTGCCTTCGTGGTCAGCTTCATCTTCAATAAGGTAAGTCGATAAGAGTAAGTTGCAGAGAAGTGCTAATGATTGCAGCTCATCAAAGGCCGCAAACCCAACTGGTGGGCCAAATACAACTATGTCCTTTCGGCAGCCCTGGACTCTGGCGTGGCGGTGTCTGCAATTGTCATCTTCTTCGCCCTAGTATTCCCCCAGGTGTCACTGAGCTGGTGGGGGAACAATGTCAACAGCGGGACTGTCGACAGCAAGGGAACGCCCTGGTTGACATTGGGAAAGAATCAGACCTTCGGCGAGAAAACATGGGCCTGAGGCCAGATTGTATACCTCAGGCCACAAGACGCTGTCCAATCAGCGGCCGCTTCCCCGCGGGGTGCCGGACGGGCTCCGATTGGCGGAGACGCGAGTGTCCGCCTCCGCCTTTGCGGCTTATCAACTCCAACGTTTTTGACTCGTCTTGATGTCGATAAGCATCTCTTTCGTGTCTGCTAAAATTAGTCGATTTCTTATCTCATCTCATCATATCCCCTCATCAACTTTCTTATCGGGTGGTCTTCGTCGATCAGCGCCTCAAACTCATTGCCTCAAGAATCATCTGGCCACATTTGCCACTCAACGCGCCGCCTTCTGGCAGGCCTCAAAGTGCAGTGCTACACATCTCAACGATGCTAGCACCATAATTCTACCTCTTCCACTGCAATGTAAAGATCACCTATGGGATGCCGCGTAAAAAGGCTGCAGACCGCGTGGGTCCGGTCAAGACCCGAAGCCGTAGCGGTTGTAAAGAATGCCGCACGAGCCGAGTCCGCTGCGATACGCAGAAACCGAAATGTTCCCGGTGTCGCGAAAAGGGACTGGCGTGCTCGACGCAGTTGGTGTTGAAGTGGGAGTCGGAATTTGTGAGCCGTGGTCTGGCCTTCGGTAGGGCTGGCGTTTGGAGTAAATCGAAGCCCGCGGGTACGCGGTCTAAGTCGGAGGCCAGTTCTCTGTTTGATGATGATCGGGAATGGTGTCCTTTTCCGATGGTTGAGCCGTGGGGGTTTGTTAATAGTGGGGTTTCGACTTTTGAGCAGCCTGACCAGGTCAATGTGGCGTGTGACGAACTGAATGCTGTTGTGCTTGGGGGTGAGAGGTATGATTTCGCTCATGGGGTAATGGGAGAAAATCCTGTTTGGCCGGTTGAGATCAATTTACCGGGCTCTGCATCTGCAATGCGAGGACTATCAGACCCCATGGCATCACTGTCGATGTTCCCTCATCTATCGCAGAGTCAAGGACATCTGTTCGACTATTACCTCCAGCAGGTTTGTCCTCGAACAACAGCTAGCTCGAGACTCTCGTCGCCGTTCGCATCCATAATCCTTCCTTTCTGTCTCTCTGCCTCCCCTATCTTATTCAAAGCCATCCAGGCTTTAGGCGCATGCCACTGGTCTCGGTTCGACTCGACCTACAGCGTCATCGGGCTCCGGATGAAATCCGAGGCTTTAAGAGGTCTCAGCAATCGCCTCGCCACTGAAGGGTCACTGAGTTGCTCCGCAGATCCCGAGGTCCTAGCGATCATGATGATGCTATGTCTCTACGAGATCGTGGACAACTGCGACCAACGCTGGACCATCCACCTCAAGGGTGCAAAGGACTTGATCCGCCTGCGAAGACAGCAGCAGACGACCGTTTCCACAGCCAGCAGCACCAGAGACCCGGTGTCTGGGTTTGCCGAGCTCTTTTTCGCTTTCCAAGATGTGATGGGGCGCACCGCTTGCGGCGAGGAGGTCCTATTCGGCAGCGACTACTGGCACGAGGACGACCGCACCATCGATCTCTGGATGGGCTGCAGCCCGGAGCTCGTCTCTATCATATCCTCCATCACCGAACTTAGTCGCACCAGACGACAACTTACCTCAGAATCCGCACGCTCGGCGTTCTCATCCCGCGCAGCCTCCCTCGGCAAAAAGCTCGAGAATCTCGTCCAAGAGATCGACGACGAGGAGGACACCATCCTCCGCTCTGCGGCCGAACTCAAACGCCTAGCTGCCGTGCTCTATCTCCACTGTGCCCTGTACGGCACGTCGCCTACCACACCTTTCGTCGCCAGCTATGTTCGCCGCATCCTGCGTCTGGTTTCAGACCTCCTGGACGCCGGATCCCTCGTGAGCATGACCTGGCCTGTCTTCGTGGCAGCTGTGGAACTGAACCCGCTCCACGACGAGGTGTGGTCCGGTTCGACCGATACGGCAGTCTATGGACGTCCACTAGTGCTGCGTGCGTTGGCGACGATGGCAGAATCGAGCGTTTCGAATATTGCCCGCACCCGAGCCGTCATTGTCAAGGTGTGGCAGGCCCGCGATGGCGATATGCTGAAGGGGTCGCCTGTGGATGCGTCAGATTGGAATGATTGGGAGTGGTATGTTGCGCCGGTTAGTAGTGCGATGAGCCTGGCTTGATGGGATGATGCCTTGGTGTCTGTTCATTTTGATATTTGTTATTTAACAGCATTGTTGTCTTTGTTCAGCTGTTTTGGCTTCTTCTTGTAGATAAGAAACGATTTCACATTGGTCGCACAAGGTGCCGAGAAATATCAGCATGGTCCGACATAATCGCCGTGGACTGGGGGCCGCATTCTTAACTTGCCGGAGCCGTGATAAATTGATGATCAAGGAGGAGGTGAAGTAACGGTCACCTGACTACCTCTTCCGGCTTTAAAACGGAAGGTCTGTCAAACATAAACTTAAGTAGACACAAGCATCTCTCATTGAAATTTCTAAATGTCTGCTTACCATCGCCCTGCTGCAAATATAGCGCGGACTATTCTATCAAGTCCTTGTTGCCGGTTGGTTTCTCGAGCCACGTCATCATCCATCATTCGAGAAGAGAATCAAAACCCGAATTATGATCCTAGGAAATATTATCCTGCTTATATCGGAGAGACCATATCCAGGCGATACCGTATCCTCTCAAAGCTCGGCTGGGGAGCAAATTCTACTGTTTGGCTAGCAAAAGACATCGGTCGGTCAGTTCCCCCATCCCTTTATGCTTGCCTGAATAACACCGTAAAGTTGGGCGTGGCAGTCAAACCGATATGTGACTTTAAAAATCACGAACTGTGGCAAAGAAGAACAAAGGTCTGCGAGTGAAGAAGTAGAAATGTCGCGATATATGTCTCAGCTGCAGTCGAATCATGAAGGTCGGGCATATGTTCGGCTTGTGCGTGAGTCTTTTTGCAACCAAGGCGCGCAGGGAGAGCACTTATGCTTGGTATTTGAACCGTTACGGGAACCGCTCTGGCTTCTGGGGAAACACCTTGGAAGCAACGGTGTGCCTCCCGCCGTCCTGAAGCCATTTTTGAGACTATTGCTCCAGGGTCTTGATTTTCTCCATTCTGAGTGCCAGATTATACATACAGGTAGGCTGCTCAATGATTCCCTACTCAATCGTCCTCTCTGATCATAGCGAAGATCTCAAGGCAGATAACTTTCTCTTGGGATTCGAAGACTCTAGTGTTCTTGAGAGCTATGCTCGCCAACAAGAAAGCAATCCTGCTCCGTTTTGGGACGGTGATGGCCATCCAGTATTTCAGTCTTGTCCAGATTTCGGGCATCTGAGGAAAGGAGTGGGACTGGTTCAGATCAGCGACTTCAGTGCTGCTGTTTTTGGCAACGTTCCTGAGCCTCATAACCATGATATTCAACCTCAGCCCTTTTGCGCGCCAGAGGCCCTATTAAAGGCGACATGGACATATAGTGCAGATATATGGAACTTGGGCACCATGGTATGGCCCTGAGGAAGATGCTTGTACAGATCACTGACATCTCGCCCCGGTATAGTTATGGGAGCTTCTTGCAGACCATGTTCTTTTTGATGGGCTGGACCCCGGCAGCAGCACGTATTCGCGAGGGAAACACCTAGCCCAAATGATACGGCTGCTTGGTCCACCTCCACTGCAGTTACTGGAAAGAGCGGATCAAGGCATTTGCTCCGAACTCTTTTCCAGCCATGGTATGTCTGCCTCTTCTATATATTAGGTGATAGCTGAGCCTTTCTTTAGGAGAGTTTAAATTGCCGGGTTTGATCCCGTCTGAGGAATTCAATCTTTTAAACCTTACACCATTTGTCCATGGGGAAGATAAAAGACTTTTTTAAAAAATAACAATCTCAACGCCAATCGAATTTTTGAAATTTCTCAACCACTACCATGCCGAAAGGCTTCAGAATCTGCCAGTTTGCTATTAACTCCAGCCGCTATTGATTAATCCTACTTTTGAGGGGTTTTTCGAGATAGCTAGAGCAAAAGTATTATGGCTGGCCCTTTTGGGGTCTTCCGACACGGCAAACTTATATAATGAAAATTTTTTCAACAGCATCTTGAACCTCAGAATCAACGCGATCGCCTATCTAGAGCACCACAGAATAGTCAGAAAACCGCTTCTTAAGCCTGTTGTCAAGTTTATACAGCAGGTACTTCTCACATGTAATCTCTGGGTTGACCAGACCCGTGATATTATTTAAAGGGCCTGCTAGGTTAACCAGGAACTCTCTGCGATTAAACAGATCCTTAATAATATCTATAAGAATACTTATATTACTAAATTAATAATAAGGACCCAGAAGCACCAGACCTGGGCCTTTATTATTTGTAAAGTATTTCTTCTAGTTTATACGGTCTCCTCCCACGGCTTTTCTAGCACTGCGCCTGTGATCCCGTCCGAGCTCAGTAGGGACCGCGAGGTAATTATTAAACTACGGGACACAGGGGTAATAAAGACTTTTAGATATTAGGACTTCTCTGAGATCAAAAAAAAGACTAAAAAAGTAAGGATTTAAGCTACATAGGCCGCTCTTGCCCTAACTCTGGCGTCTGCGCGGTTTATAGCCGCGCGGTAGCTCCGGTCAGGTGACTTGAGCCTTATTCTCCGGACTGCCGCGGAGGCCGAAATCACTCGCACCTATGACCAGTGGGTGCCTACTATAGCCACGGGGGCCACCCTGCAGCATCTTATATGGGGTGTCGTGGTCTATAAGATCCCCGTTAAGTCGTTCGGGGACCTTACTGACCCCCAGGAGAGAGAATAAGTGGTAATAATATTACTTAATGAGAATACCGAGGTATAGAGGCTACCTAGCCCGAAGATTAGCTATATTACATGGCTTATCTATCCCTCCAGCTATAAAAACCAGAAATATTCAGCTTTAATTATTAAATTTACAGACTCCCGGCACGCTAATAAGACAATTAAAAAGAGGACTATTTAAGATAGTAATATTTAGACTATTGTGCTATATAATTAATCTGCGCGTATCTGCCGCTGTTTTAACTGCTAATAATACAGCCATATAAGAATTATCTGTTTAAATAAACTTACATACAGCCTCTGCTCTGGGGATTATAAAACCCATGGCTACCCAGAGTAGGCTAACTATAGCCAGGGGCACAGATACGCGGGCTGCAGAGACACACATACTATTTAACACTAGAGATATCCAAGGTATATAGCAGAGGCGGAGCGAGTACAGGCTACAATAATTTATTAATAGTTTTTTTACTAAATCCCCCCCTATCTGCAGGACTTCAAGTCCACCACAAGTAGTAATATAGTGACCTCTAGCTTATCTAATAGCAGGAGATCAAGTACTGTATCTTCTTAATCTACAGGGGCCTCTAGGGCCCTATCTAGCAATCAGAGGGATCAGTCTACCAGTAGACCTGCCGCACGTGACTACTTTATAGTGAGGTTCCAAAAGGGCTCTACACCGCCTCGCCAGAGTACCCAGGCCCTAGTGCCTATCAGCAGCCTTGTGGATAGTAATATAGATACTAGCGCGGATGTTCCTGACCCCGAACAAGGCACTCTTAACCCCGAACAGGAGCTAGAGAAGCCTAAGACCCCTGCCCCCGAGACCCCTGCCCCGAGAGGCCGGTCGACAGAGCCGCGGCAGTCTTAATTAGCTATCTTATCTAAAATAACTCGCAAGAGTGCCTGACAGCAGCTATTATTAGCTAAATAGGTGTCTATAATATTTACTACAGGAGATACCCCCCCTGCGAAATACAACCAGAGCTAATCCCTTATATACCACAAATGTTCGACCTCCGAGGCCACCAGCAATATAGCTATACCCGAGACCCCTAAACCGATCCCCCTGGCAATAACCCCTGCACCGGCGGAAGATAACTGGTAAACAGTACTGTTAAGGACTTGCTCCCGCTTATAATCCCAGAAACACACTAGGGACTAACTATCGAAATAATAGAATCCTTACAGATCCTCTAATATAATATAAATTAATTAAAGAATATAGTTATGGCCTAATTCCTGCGGGATCCCGAGGTTCTAAAGGCTGACCTAATCTGCGTGCAAGAACCCTGGGAGAACTCCTATTAAAATATCATATATTATCCTGTTAAGCAGACATACCAGCTTCTCTACCCTAATTTAGCTGAACTCGGGGGCCAGAAAGCCCGCGTTTATATATTTATATCCCGGAAAATTAACCCGAATACCTGAAAACACACTATCTACTCCCAAGATATTTAAGAACTCACCCTTACTAACGCGGATGGCCGGCTAGTCCGTATTTTTAATATATATAATCGCCCTACTAAGGTCGGAACCGCTACGCTTGATCTTCTCAATACTATTACTAACCCCGACACTCTTACCAACCCCGGCACCGATACTAACCCCCATCTCCTCCTCCTCAGGGACTTCAACCTTCACCACCTGGCCTAGGGTGGCGAGAAGGCCTCCCGGGACCCTGGGGCAAACTATCTTCTCTAGCTCACTGACGCCCGCTACCTAGACCCCTGGCTTAAGCCAGGGACCACTATATAGCAGCGGGACAACAGTTACACCACTATTAATCTTATTTTTAGCACGCAGGGCCTTTCCACTTGCCTAATAACCTGCCTAGTCAATAACTCTATACACGCTAATTCCGACCACCTCCCTATACGCACCCTTCTTAACATCTCCACGGCCACCCCCAAGGCCCAAAGATACCGTAATTAAAAAAAATATAATATTAAGAAGTTACAGGCCTTTATAGACTTAAATCTGTGCTCTAAAGATTTTATTCTAGAGATAAAGTAATAGATTAAACTCGTTACAGACTTCTTTATTAAAATAGTCTACTAAGGAATTACAGTATCTATCTTATAGGCTAAGCCTAGCCAGTAGGCAAACCTCTTTTTCACCTTCTAATGCCGGGAAATAGTTAAACTAACCCGGAAATTTTGCCGTGAATACTCTAAACTCGCCTGATAAGGCTCTACCACTCCCGTAGTAAAGACCGCCTGGTTTAACTATACTAAAGTCAGGAACCGTAAAAAAAAAATATTAATATAGGTCTTCTGACAGGGCCACTACTCCTAGATCTGTAAGGCCACCAGCTCAGACCCCTAAAATATATAGTAGGTGGCCAAGTGGGCAAGAGACCGGGAGGCCTAAGGAGGCCTTATACTAATCTTAAATACCCTAAATGGCCCTATAAAAACTACAAAGCAAAAAATAAAGGTCTTTCAGGAGATCTTCTTCCCCCAGCCGCCTTTAGCAGATCTCTTTAATATTAATTCGATCCTTTTACCCCCCCAGCTTGACTTTCCTAATCTTTAGTAATATAAGATCCGCAAGTATATCTACCGGATATCCCCGGATAAGGCCCCCGGGCCCGATAGTATCCCTAATAAGATGTGGCACTAGCTCACGGAGATATCTGCCTTCCTAAGGGTGCTCACAGCCATCTTTGATACTTGTCTAAAAATAGGCTATAATCTCTAGTATTTTCAGCAATTAACTACGGTCGTCCTCTGTAAAGTGGGCCCGAGGGACTACCGAGTCTCTAAATTATACCGCCCTATCGCCCTCCTAAATACCCTAGATAAGATCCTAGAGGCGGTAATAACAGTATAGATTATTTATGCTTTAAAGAAATATAATCTGCTCCCGAAGGGCTATCTGGGGGGCTAAAAAGATATCTTAGTTAACCACCTTATTCAGCTACTACTTGATAATATATTTAATATATAAAAGAGCCGCCTAAAGGTGAGTATATTACTTTTAAATATAGTAGGCGCCTTTAATAATATCTCCCACGCTCACCTGCTTTATAATCTGTGTATAATATAGCTCAGTCACTTCACCGGCTGGCTCGAGTCATTTCTTTTAAACTAATAGACCCGGATTTAGCTCCCCAGGTATTTTAGTAATCCCTTACCTATATCAACTAGGATCCCACAGGGGTCTCTAATCTTCCCTATTCTTTTTCTGATCTTTAATATCTCCCTAATTAACGCACTCCGGGTGGCGGGGATCGAGGTAATAAGAATACGGTCCCCCGTGGGGGGCAGCAGTAGAACAGTCCCGTTCGGGTGGATTGATAATGCGTGCACCCTGGCTATCTTATATAGTTACACAGTTAACTAGCGCCTGCTAGAGAGGGCCTTAAATAAAGTAGTAGTCTGGTCTAGACGCCACTCATTGAAGTTCACCTCTGATAAATTTAAACTTATTTATTTTCAGAACCCCCTAAACCCTAACCCCGGGACTGAGTGTAATGAACTGATAGAGTATATGGCCCTTATAGGAAAGAAAGACTTAAAAAGCTAGAAGATCTAAGCAGAGCCCCTGGGCCATAACTAGTTACCTATAAAAGATTATATAACCAGCTATATTATCCGGCTAGTCAAACAAGTAAAATATTTAGGAATCTGGCTGGACAGGACTTTCTTTTTTAGCACCTACCGCTTTAAGGCAGTGGCCAAGGTAAATGGGAGTCTGGCTGCCCTCCGGAGCATCTCTAGCTCTACTTGGGGGACTTCCCTACTAGTAATAAAACAGATATATCTAGTAGTAGTAGTCCCCCAGATGCTCTACAGGGTGACTGTGTGGTATAGCCCTTATAGCAGAAGGACTAAAATAAAAGAATTAAGCCGCCTGGTTAATAAATTTAAGTAAATCTAGACACGCGCCGCAGTACTTATTAGTAGTGCCTTCTGAAACACCGCAGGTACAGCTCTGGGGGTAGAGCTCTATCTCCCCCCAGTGCATATCCAGATGTAGTAAATTATCTAAGAAACAGCTATAAGGATTTAGATTAGGCTGAGAGGGACCCTCCCTAAGGGACTCCTCTACCAGAGGGATAAGGCGGCAGTTAAGTTGTCTGGCTACACCCCTTTAGAGGCGCTCAAGTGGAAGACAACTGGTCCCCTTTACTCGAAGGACCCGGGGCAACAGTGGGAAAACAGAGTGGCCCATGTACTTACCCCGTGGGAGGCGCCCCTCCGGTATACTATTGGGGGCGCTAAGGAGGCAATTGAGGCCCATAAGGAGGTCTGCCGGAATCATGCAAGGCAGGTATAATACTCAGACGGGAGCGGCTACTGCGGGCAAATTGGGGCTGTAGCAGTCTCAATCCGGGCCGGCAGAACTGTTAAGAAGCACCTAGGGACCGAGCAGGACTCTATAATGTATGTGGGCGAGCTAGAGGGGGCCCGGATGGCCCTAGAAAAATGCACTACGGCTGCTCTAATTATGATCTTCGCGGACAGCCAGGCAGCGATCTTGGCTGTGAGGAACCCTGGCCGCCCCTCGGGGTAGTACGCCCTGCGGGCTATCTATGAGAGGGTTTGAGCTCTACGCCAGGGTCTCCCGGAGGCAGATTTGGAGCTAAGATGGATTCCCGCGCATATTAGGGTTGAGGGGAATGAGAGGGCAGACGTCGCTGCCAAGGATACGGCAGTTAAATTAAGCTCTGTGGGTCCCGCGGGGGTACTAGCGCGTGGACTAATTATATATCTCGTGGCTGCGGCAAAGCGGGGCGTTAGGTAGAGCCTCCGCGAGCAGTGGGCGAAGTAGTGGGGGAGGCAGAAAGTGGGCAAACCCACGAGACGGCTACTGCCAGCCCCTGATAAAAAGAGTCTAAGATAATATGAGTACTTTAGTAAGCCGCACATGTCAATTATTATGCAAATGCGTATTATGAGGATCGGATTAAGGCACTTCCTCTATAAAATCAAGCAGGTTAACTCGGATAGGTGCCAGTGTGATCTAGGGTCCCAGACCCCTGAACACGTCCTTCTGGAGTGCCCGCTGCACACCACCTACCATAGGAAGCTTATAGGAAGCCTCAACTCGATTAAAAGACTGCGTGGGCGTACGCAAGACTATAACGCAGTTATAAACCACCCGCAGGCGACCCGCTACGTCACTAAATATATATAATAAACTGGCCTCCTCCAGTAATTCCGATTCGCCCAGCTCGGGGATAAGAAAGAAGAGGAGGCCCCGGAACCCAGCAGTCTTTTGAAAGGTCTCGAACTAGATGACGAAGATAATAGTTACATGGAACTTTAGGGGGGGGGGGGCGCGGAGGTCTCGCACCACCCCCGGGGACGCACCTAGAGATGGAATAAGTAGATAGGGGAAAGCAGAGGGAGCGAGAGGCGCCATGGAGGCGCGGTAGGCCCGCAGCGGGCGTGTGGCAGCTGCTTTTTAGTTGTGTTTTGTTTTACTTTTTAATTGTCTACTGCGCTTGAGGGATTTATATATAAAAGGCGTACGGTTCGCGGAATTCTGCTTCACCGGAGAAGCGCCCGCATAGCCTGTTGCTTCAATAGATAGGCTCTATCGGGTTAATAGAATTTTGATTGATTGATTGATTGATTGATTGATAAAAGACTTTTTCTTGAATTTGTGGCCAAAATGCTGCGCTGGGAGCCGAAAGATCGGGCAACGGCTAAAGAGCTGTACAATGACCCCTGGCTGAACTTCAAGCCTTAATTTGGACGATATGAATTAGCTTGATTTGTTTTTCTTGCATTCGACTTTTTCGTGGAATGACAATTTGCCCTGGACAAAGACCTTGTTTCTGTGTTTTGTGGTTCGAAGGATGAGCGACGTTTTGGCTGATTATTTTCATAATCCAGTCGCGCGTGAGCAGATGCTCATACCGGCTTCTCATCCACTCGCCCAACAAAATCATCTCAAATGCCCCAAGCAGGTGATTTCGCTTGCTGACTGCCAGGCTTCCTCCGCAGAAACGCGGACGCCAATTAGCACCAAGAATCTCCAGATGCAGCCTGCCTTCGAACAGGGCACTAAATTCTACTTCACTACTCAGATTGATAGAGGTGATTGTATGGTATTACAAGTATAAGACAGACTTGCGACAGCAGATAAAGTTGAGTATACCTGGGCAGCTTGCCACCTGTTCTTTGACATCAGTAAAGGCTAAACTGCCGGGAGCCCGCGCCGGGATTATAACTGTTTTAATGGCTTTTAATGAGAGGGTAGCTGAAACCCACTCGAATAAACTAGAATAAAGAATAGGCGGTATTAGGGTACATGCTCACGAACAATAATGAATTCATAGATGAGGTGTAGTCTACGCTAAATACTACAAGGTCTACCTAGATCTGAGGAGAACTATAGGCCCGGGGCTAGTAAATAACACAGCAAATTGCCAGATTGTGCTCACTTACATGCAAGCCAAAGAAGTAGGTGCTGGTTAAAATACTAGTGGTTAAAATAATAGTAGATAATATAATAGGAGCGCTTGCTATATTTCACTAGTCTTTAGATAAAAACCAAAAAAATAACTAAATATCATTATTTCTAAACAGTATTAACCTGGTTTTTACTCAGGCCCGCATAACAAAAGCTTTGTATCACATTTCAGTTTCCCCATAGATACTACTTTAAGAGTACTTACTACCTCTGAATAGAATACAAGGTGCTGAGAATCAGGCCCTGGCTTTGGGGCAGATCATGTGACGGTACCTACAGCAGATCCCATCACTTCGCTCCAACATCCACATTCACCTCTCAGCAAAAGAGGCGTCCCGTCTTGGTCGCTTAGCAACCTTCCTCACCACGCTTCGCGTCATGGCCTCAATATTCAGCCTGCCATCCCGACTGTCCAGGAGATTCCTCCCTTGGCGTCCCTTGTTTCAACGCCCTGCATCACCAGTACGCGATTTCTCCCTAAACTATCCTCTCATCGATTCAACCGAGAAGCTCGAGGAGGAGACGCTGTCATGGTATTCCCCAAGTGACTTCTATTCCGTGACAATCGGCGAGGTATTTCAATCGAGGTATCAGGTGATTGGTAAATTGGGCTACGGCGGATATTCAACTGTTTGGCTGGGCCGGGACCTCCAGTCAGCTTACCTCCCAATCAGCCAGTGATGCCAAAAGACTCACTATCTAGCAGGCAGCATGATTACGTCACACTCAAGGTCTTTGAACGTAATTCAGCGGAGGGCCGAAGAGAGATAGAGACCTATCACCACTTGAACTCCATCGGAATGGTAGATCATGCCGGTGCGAAGCTTATCCGCCAAGCGTTGGATAGCTTCCAGATTACCTCTGAAGGGGGTAGTTTTGGATTTCTTGTCCATCCCACCTTAGGTATGAGTCTTTATGACTTCCGCACGCAGCTCAGAGCCAAAGTCCTTCCCGAAAGAATAGTCAAGTTGACCCTGATACATCTCCTTCTTGCTCTTGATTACCTGCACACAGAAGCTGGAATCATCCATACGGGTATGCTCTCTCACTATCGGTCTCCTGAAAAGTTTTCTAACCTAGTGGTCCCAGATATCCAAGAAAAAAACATCATGATGGCGATTGAAGACACTTCGATCCTAGCCGATTTTGAAGACGAGGAGAAGTCTAGCCCTAGCCCGCGGAAAATAATCGATGATCGAATCATCTACGCTTCTCGAAACCTTAAGAAGACTAAACAACATGGCCGTCCTACACTGTGTGATTTTGGCCAGGCACGCCGTGGATCAAATACTTACTATGGGGATATCCAACCATATATTTACCGAGCTCCCGAGGTGGTATTGCGCATGGCTTGGAATGAAAAGGTTGATATCTGGAATGTGGGATTACTGGTATGTGTTCAACTACGCCTCGCCAATGCGCTCTTGGAATGAGTAGTGGATCTTTCCTTCTGCTAACAACTGGTATAGACATGGGATCTCTTTGAACAAGGACATCTGTTCTACGGGCGGGATTCGGACAGGGGGATTTCTGATGCCCACCATATCGCTGAAATGATTGCTATTATGGGACCACCCCCGAAAGATATGGTGCAGGACAGTGTCTATGCGAACGAGTTCTTCGATGATGAAGGTATACATGAATTATGATCTTCCAGGAGCCTTTGGCTGATACTGAAGTAGGGAACTGGAAAGGAGCCGTTGAAATCCCTCCTGTGTCGTTGGAGACTCTTGAAGGAAATTTGGAGCGTGAATCGCGGCTATTTTTCCTCCAATTCCTGCGCAAGATGCTCGAATGGAAGCCCGAGGAAAGACTGTCAGCAAGAGAGCTATTGGAAGATCCTTGGCTATGGTCACAATAACGACTCTGATTGCCAGGCGGCCAAACAACACTGGGAACAATAGCTCAGGCTGTAAATTGAAAAGTAGTTTCCACTCTAGAAGCGCAAAAATAGATCAACCGAAATATCCATTGTAACCAAGATGACCACACCGGCTGTTGATGTACCAGTGTGATCTGAACTGGGAAGTCTAGTTTCCACCAAGCAACCTCTAAACTTCAACCCTGTTGACTGAGCCATCCTGGTGTATGTGTAGCCTCCGGAAGGTTTTCAGTTCGCCATCCTTGATACGAACAGATATCACGTCCTGCTTGTCATCCGGGTCATCGCGAAAGGGATGCGGTTTGGATCCTCTGTAATCCGTAGTTAGTCGAACATCGCATCATTCAATAGGACCCAAGGTCTAACGGTACCGGATCTCGACGTTCTTGAAGCTCGGATCCTGTTGCAGAATCATAAGTAATGAATAAGGTCAGCGTCATAAATGAATCACTCACAGCCTTCTCCTCGTTCTCAAGAACATCACTCACAGGGGCTCGCCACTCTGGAGGGAGATCACTCAATTTGGTATTTCCAATTACCTGATAAAGACGACGTGAAGTTCCTTGGAACATCGCGAAGATTCAGGCCTGTGGGGAAGGGTTCTGAATAACAATGAGGAGCAAGAAGGACGGGTATTCCTTTTGATTGATGGTCTTGAAGGTGCAGATTGAGATCCATGTGTTAAGAATAGCGCCTTCAAGCTTTGTGCAGGCGCAGCGATTCATTCATCGCGATGTGCTGCTGTGATTAGACCAGTCATGCGTGAAGACAGGAAAGCACTGCATCCCCCCCCAAAAAAAACCGATAACCTACTTAGGTACGCATGCTCCAAACATTCCATCGTATTTTAGACGAGGATTGCTTTAGCCTAGCCAGCTCGAGACCGAGGCTTAATCAAGTACGAATGCCCACAATCGAGCCTATGGTCATGGATAGAAGGCCAGGCAGGTTTCGGTAGGCTTCAGGCCTTACTAGTCATGCGCGCCATAGAATCGATGTCTCCGCTATCCATGCCCCAGCTCTAAGATAGAGCTCTCATCCCCAAATCCAGGGTGGAACATGATTTTGACGGGAACTCGACGTCGGATCTTGGACATGATGTGACCTTGGACTGTATGCGCATGGGGCGCTGCAGTCAATCGCATTCTCCGCGCGGGCAGGAAGCCTGTAGCCGAGATCGGTCCCCATACGTGCGTTTTGTTCTATGAATCTATTCAATCATAGCTTCGACCACAATGGTTATTGACATGAATTCTAGGTATAGAGACGTCTAGAGTGCTTTGTCAAAGGCCTGAGGCAGAAACACCTGACATAAGCAGAGGGATTGGACCAGCCAATCAGATCCGTCCTCCCGACAGGCGGGGCAAACGCGTGATTCGCCGAGAGCAGCGAGACGTCAGTGCCGATCGACCGTCTCGATGTTATTCGCCTGTACTCCTCCTGAGCTCGTTCAACACGACACGGTTTTACTATATTGTCCATACGATTGGGTCACTTTGACATCGCATCTCTTCTTTGATACATTTGTATCCGGATCTCACCGGTTGATTGAATCTCGTCATCGATAACCTTCCATTCGCGTCCCTCCAGCATAACGCCTCCACCGTTGCGTTGGCATAAGGCTTCATTATGCTCTAATTTGGCCCGACTGTCTAGATTGACACGTGTAGAGGAAACACTCGTCTGATTAGCATCAATATGACCTCCTCAACCACCTCCTCGACCCTGTCGCACAGCCTGCCCGCCCTGCCCTTTGCTAGCAAGCTGAGTGAGCAGCTCTCGCAGCGGCAGGAGCAGACTGACTCTGGCGCCGAGACAGAGACTGCAGGTGACAAGAACAATTCACTCGGGCCTCCATTGCGGCCGTCGCCGAAGTCACGCTCTCTGTCCGACGCCGCCAAACCCGTTTCCTCGCCGCGGTCCAACGCCTCGGACGATAACCGCCCCTCCAGCAAAGATGATACCTCCCTCTCCTCGACTCCGGAAACGCCCCAGCGCTTATCCATGTATCCGGGGCTTCCCTTGAATCCGACGACGAGCCACACGAAACCCTCCGCTCCTTCTCCTCTGTCGTCGAATCGAACGCCGCTCTCGCCGAAGCTCGACTCGTCTCAGATCTACGGATCGCCCGGATCGGTACTCCCTCGGCGGTCGAGGGGTCTGGATTTCTCCAGGGCCTGCACCAACCTTCACCATTCGACGCTTGCTGAGTCCTCGCCCGACTCGTCCCCAACGATAGGCGGTCGGGGGATGAACATTCCACCCCGCCGCGGCTCGATCGGATCGACGTCTGCGCCGTTCTCGACGTCCGGACCAGCGGATAAGACGACCATTTCGAGCTCGGTGTCGAGTGTGAATATGATGGAATCGGATACCAGCAGCAGCGAGGAGGACGACGAGTCGATGGAAAAGGATGATCTCATGATCACCAGTACCCCGCAGGCCAACAAGTTCGCCGGAGGTCCGAGTCCTTTTGCGGGTGGCAACGTTCCCAGTCCTGGGAATGACTGGATGGGCGGATATTCGCAGGCGGCTGCTAGTTTGATGAGTTTCCAGAGGGCTCGATTCAGGAAAGGTCGCAGCCGACATAGTTCGAGCAGTGCTAGTGGGAACAGCTCCAAGCCGAGTCCTAGCCCGCACTCGCCGCCTGTCATGAAAAGCATCGAGAATCAGAACACCGGAGGGTACTTTGCATCGAAGGCTGGGATCGGCCCACGCCGCGAGAGTTTGAGTCTGGGAACCCGTGACCTGCGGTTGTCCGATCTCAGCGATGACGAAAGTCGCACCCGGGGACATAGTCCGAGTACGCCGAGCTCGGAGGGTGGGCCTCTGGGCGTGATCCGACGAGCCGTGACGCGCCGGGGTAGTTTACTGGTATGTTTACGGTTGGTATTGTGATTGACTTGACTAACGCTGTATAGCCTAAAACCAAGACGTTTGCTCGCATCCGAGCTGCTCTGATGGAAGAAACCGCCCCTATCGATAGCGAGGCGAAGCGCGAGTCAGAGGTGATCCGACAAGTTCGCGAGAGCGAGCCCGAAATTCCCCAGAAATCGCCCGGTCTGGATGCTTTTGCGTCCGGTAATCCTTTCCAGCCGGCCGAACCATTCAAACACGGCGGAGACACTGTCAGGTTGGGGACCTCTGCTCCGGATGAACCCAGCTTTAGTGAGGAGGCTCATCGAAACTCGGCCGGTCAAGAGTTTTGGGAATCCTTCGATGAACGATACCGGACACCCCCACCGCCGCTACGCCGGCCGGGCACGTCCATCTCGGAAGACGATCAGGCCATGGACATCACGCCCTCGACCGCCGTGCGGTCCTCCGGTGCCGAGTTTGCGAAGCCCGGCGAGCGGCCCAGCTCACGGTCCTCGACACCTTTTGTGGGCCACTCCGGCACCATCACCGAGTTCAAGCGAAAACGGCAGCGTGAGGATGACTTTGAAGCCAATCTGTTCAAACGACGGGCCGTGTCTCCCAGCATGAGCGTCCAAAGTAGCCCGGTCATGCCCAATTCCCCGGTCGTGAAGGAGACCGGACCGAATATCTGGGGGCCGCCGCCGAAGTCGAATCTCGGCGCGCTCTTCCCAGACCGTCCCCCGGAGACTCCTAGTCGCGGAAATTCCAGCCATGCGGGCCATGCGGGGCATACGGGGACGCTGAAGCGGGTCGGATTGCAGGGGATGACAGAGACCAACGACGGACTCATGAACATGAGTATCGAGTAGGCCATGCGAGCCGGACTCGCCGTGCTGGTAGATTGTTAATACATATTTAGCGTGGGTGGGCTGGTTGCAGGCGTTGTTGATTGGACTGTTTATTTATAGTGAACTACCGTACTTAATATAATAAATACAATTACATCTCTCAGGCATAACATAACTACTTCGCACACTGGAGCCATTACATAGACGCTTTACAGACAAACCCTCCGCCATAATGGCAATACGAATCCAAATCCATGTCACTGGAGCCATTTGACGGATAAGGCGGTGGGATATGTAGGTGGGTGTACACGATTAGGATGATGGTATGCTGGACGACGGGTTAACTGGGATTGGCCGCGGGATTTGGAAGTAGAAGGGGGTTGTATGTTTTGGGGCATCTGAGCTATTTGGAGGATGTGTATGGGGTAGGATACTAGCATTTAGTGGCATGAATACTACATGGTCAAGATGATCTGGTCGTTATCGGTAAGAGTGGAAACTAGAAAATGATAAATAAATGAATGGTAGAGAGGACATTATTAAGACCACAAAAACCGCAACCATACTATACTCATTTTTTACTTGAAAACAAATACCTAGAATGGATAATTTTCCTCTATAACATTATTTGGTAAATTGTTATCAAGGTCGTGTAATGCCCCTAAATGCCTGTAATAAATACTACATTAGTCCAGATGCACGTGCCGCGCTTACGGCGCTAAAGCTCCGACTGTCGATGTTGACGGGGACTCGACAGCTCCAACTTGTAACTTGCCAATCCTCTCGCCTACTTGCTCTTGCCCGTTCTCCCTTCTGTTATTTCATTTTCTGCCATAACATTCATCCCTTGCATCGCTGAATTCCCCATGGCATCCACCGCTGACATCGCATCCTCGTTCATCGAGGGTGCCCCGCCCGGCGAGGTACGCTGCATCTCCCCGACCTGATTCAAACCACTGACTTGCTGATTATGCGATCTAGCTCGCCGACGTCGTTGCCGGTACGATTCCACCTGTCCTGTTTCTGTTCCGTTCCTATCCTCGTCTGCCCCGCTGTGTTCGCACTCCGATGCCGCCCGCCCGCCCGCACCCCCTATCGACCTCCGATTCCCTTATTATCACCACAAGACCTGATGGCTGACGCTAATGCTGACGCGGACCCTGGATAGATGTCAAGACTCTCACCGCCGACGGCGACGAGCTTATTTCCTCCCTTGCGCCCGCCTTCGAACGATATAATGAGAAGCAGCTGGCGACGGTCAAGTTGCCCGGGGCGAGTCAGGAGGTGTGTTTTCTCTCGCTGGGCTATGTCTGGCTGGAAATACATGAATGTGGAGGGTGCTGACCGACATAGGTCCTTGTCAGCGAGTTCAATAAACTAGACGGAAACCGGTACTTTGACGTCGAGAGCTCGACGTCGTTTGAGGTGGATCACGTTACACAGGTGGGTTTGAGCTTGGCTGGCTGGCTGGGATGGCAGTGGAGTGGGCAGGCTGACAGGAACGACAGGAAGCGTCCGCGGCGCAATCGTACGTCCTGGAATCGCAGAATGCCGATCTGATGTACGTTTCTACCTCCCATCCCCAGGTATGAACAGAGCTGACAGACTACAGTAAATCCCTCCTCAAGTCGCTGGCCGCCCACGCTGTCGAGCACTACCCGCGCAGCTCGTACGGCGTGTATCCGATCGAGAACGACACCGCGGTGGCGATCGTGCTGGTTGCGAATCGCTACTCGCCGAACAACTTCTGGTGCGGCCCAGTCCCTCTCCAAGGTTACAATGACAACAACATACTGACAACCGCAGGAACGGCCGCTTCCGCGCCATCTACACCCTCCCCGTCGCCAAATCGACCACCGTCAGCGGCACCATCCACGTCGACGTGCACTACTACGAGGACGGCAACGTCGCGCTGGACACCACCAAGCCGATCAACGTGTCGGTGTCGGCGCTGTCGGCCGAGAGCGTCGTCTCGCGCATCGCGGCCGCCGAGCGCGACTACCAGGAGGAGCTGAACCGGGCGTTCGTGCAGATGGCGGAGGGGGCGTTCAAGGGGCTGCGACGACAGCTGCCGATCACGAGGCAGAAGGTGGAGTGGGAGAAGGTGGGAGGATATCGGTTGGGACAGGATATTTCGGGGGGGAAGGGGCGGTAATCATCCATGGATTATGCGTATGCGTACATAGTAGTTCGAGATGCCTAAATGCGATTGCGTGCGAGAGGCTCAAGCGCACTAGTTCAATTAAATTAAAATTAAAATGACATCGGAGGAAACCAATAACCGGACTTCCCCCGACATGAACTAACGAACTAATGAACTACCGTAGGAATTACCATCCACCGCCCCAGATTATCTCGATCTCCATTTCTCCTCTTCTCTCCACCTCCACCTCCTGCTCTCCCAGCCCAACAATAAACCTCCCTACCCATATCCAAACGAAAAGAGAGAAAGAGAAAAAAAAAATATGTCGCTAATACAACCCCCCTCAAAAATCACCCAATTCGCCAATTTCACGCGCTCCTCCGCCGGACTCGAAAAAACCCTCCGTCTCATCCAAGCCGTCGCGCAGATCGTCGCCGACGTCGCGGCGGACCGCACCGTCGCGTCGCAATGGGGTCTTGCGAAGGGGCAGTTGGCGCTTTGTATGCCCTCCTCTTTACTTACCTTGTCTTTTCCAATGTGTTGGATTGGACTGGATGTTATACTGATTGATCGTTAGCCCGTCGCTTCTTCCGCTTCTTCAACTTCATCGACTGCTTTGATCGCGTGGCGGGGCTGTTAGGAGGGCGAGTTGGGGGGAATGAAGGCGCCTTGACGCTGCTGATCGAACTGGCCAGGTGGTCTTGTCTCGGCGGGTATTTTTTGTTGGAGGATTTGACTATCGTATGTCTTTTCCCCTGCTTTCTATTTTCTTTTTCTTTTTACGGTTGAGAGGAAGGGGAGGGAGAAAAGAAAGGCAAAGAAATGCTAATAACCGCAGCTCCACGCCATGAAAATCCACCCCCCCAAATGGACCTGGAACGTCACTGTCCTCGAAGAAGCATACAAGCTGTGGTTTTACGCGCTGTCGCTGTCGCTGGTCGGTGCGGTGTGGAGTTTACTGTTTACGGTGTCTGGGCCTAGCACTGGTCCTGGGAAAGGAGGGAAGAAAGGCGGAAAGAAGAATGGGAAGGTAGCAGGGACGAGTAATCAGGCTCTGCGCAGGACTCTGCTCAAGCGGATTGTGGTGGATGGCTGCGATCTGCTGATTCCCGGGGTGTTTCTGGGGTGGCTGGTGGTTGGGGATGCGGTGGTGGGGGCGGCGATGGTGGTCAGTACGTTGCTTGCGGGGAGGGATGTTTGGGGGAGGGTCAATTCTTGATATAGAATTATATTATTGGGGGTTGGGTAGAGGGAGAGGGTGGAGATGTGTATTTGGATTGGAGATATAGAAATAGAAATAGAAGTAGGATAGGATCAAATAAAGTAAATAAAGATGGCTGCCCCTGTGACATCACCGGTCGGAGTCTCGCCGAATCAACAACTAAACAACATCAATCAATGCAACCTCGTCTTAAGATCCATTCAATGTACAATGCCCCTTAACTGACCCTCCTCTCCAACAATCAACCCAATGATCTCCGGCCGCCAACGCAGCACCGGCTGCTCTCTCTGCCGACGCCGCAAAATCAAAGTACACCTCTCTCCATCCTAATCCCCAGTAATCAACATCCACTAATCAAATCCAGTGCGACGAGCGCAAACCCACCTGCCTGAACTGCCAATCCTACGGCCAGCCCTGTCCCGGCTACACGCGGTTCTCGTTCCCGATCATCTTCCGGAGCGAGAATCGCCGCGTCGAGGCTTTGGTGCGTAGGCGGAAGAAAGGTTCGAAGGAGTCCTTGGGTCTGGCAGTGGCGAGTGAACCTGGGACAGGGAAAGGGGCAGAGACCCCTGCAGACGCAGACGCAGACGCAGACGCGCATGCAGCTCCGACCCCGCGCAGTCCCCTAGACCGGGTCCAGGATAGATGCATGCAGAAGGACATGCAGAAGCCCGTGCCGAGGTACCTGGACACGCCGTGGGAGGTGCAGAGCCATTGTTTCTTCCGAGAGCAGTATACGATGCCACCCGAGGTGGACGGGAGTCCGGGGCCGTTGGACTCAGTGCCGTTGCTGTATCTGCTGTGTCAGGAGCAGGATCTGACCTCGAACAAGACCATGAAGGATGAAGGAGAAAATGCCCCCGTATCGTGTCTCCGCGCAGCCCTGGACGCCGCTGCGTTTGCGGCTCTCGCGAACAAAGCCCGTCTGCCATCGTTGGGCATCCAAGCGAGGCGGAAATACGGCCTGGCGCTGCGGGAGCTGAATCGTGTGCTTGGCAGCGTGGACGACGCTGTGAAGACCGAGACCCTAGGCGCGATCGTCATGTTGATTATCTTCGAGGATATCAATAACGAGCGGGATAGGTTGCTCAGTACGCATATCACGGGGATTCAGTATTTGTTGAAGCTGCGCGGATTAAAGCAATTGCAGGACCCGGCCACGAGGTCGTTGTTTCATTTTGCGTTTACGCAGATGGTATGCTCTCTCTCTCGTGTATCTGTCTAATAAGTAGATTGGGCTAATGACCAGACAATTCAATTCCTTGGCTTTAACGATCCGCTTAAAATCGACCTCGACTGGCTTCTAGCCCTCTTGACCATCCCCCACCCAATCTATACCATGATGGCCGGGGTGTCGCGGATTGGGAAATTCTGCGCCACAGCGACACAGAAGCTGTTCTCCTCCCTGCCTCGCGAGCCGCTGACTTCGTTACTGGAGACCGGCGAGCGACTAGATCTTGAATTCAACCAGTGGTACAGGGGGATGCCGGATGAGTGGCTGCCACGACGCATTGCATCGCAATCTGGCGGTGGAAAAACACTGCTCATGTACCCAGACCAAACAGCCGCAGGGGTCTGGAATTACTATCGCGGCGCACGAATCGTCCTCCAGCGGTGTCTGGTGGAGGTTCATAAACGGCTGGATCCGTTTTATACCTCGTCCTCCCCACCACCCCCCTATCCTGATCTTGACCAAGATCGAGATTCTATGAACTTGGAATCCCCCAACGATATTATAACAACCATGGTCTCTGATATCTGCGATACTATTCCCTTCGCCATAGGCGACGTAGATGATATTGGTCTTCAGAGCAGGCGTAAAGAGGGGACAGGTCTTAAGGCGATCCAGGAGTTCGCGCTGCTGTGGCCGATCTGGAGTATTACACAGTGTGAGCAGGCGAGTGGGGAGCAGAAAGAGCTGGCGAGGCATACCCTGAGACGGCTGGGGTTGTCGAACGGGATTAAATTGGGGTTGGGGTTGGCTGATGGCGGTGATGGGTGAGTTCTAGGGGTTTGCTTGTACATAGAATGATGGTTTGTCGATATATTTGTAGCCTTGACTGGTTCAGTTGGAGTCTATTTATATGTTGTGAGCGTAAATTGGACATGATTAGTTTAAAAGTTGTTATAGATATATTTCTTCCGGAGGATTTAAGAAGATTATCTTCTGGTTTTACAGACCCATCAATTTGTCTGGCCTCAGGGTACTGGCAGAAGTACGGGATCGAGTTTTGAATGAGCATTTGTCTTGATTGAGTTTGATAAAGACGGGTTAATAATGTCATTGACTGATGATGATCGTGGCCTCTTCTGGCAAGATACGATCAGTCTAAGTATGGCATTTCTTATTTATCTGGAATATTCCCTTATTTGTCCTTCCATGAATTCCATTGGCTTGATATATCTTGAAAGCACAATGAATAATGAGAAAATTCAACCCGCCATGTCGACCGGAGACTCCCTTTATAACACCACCACATACCCTTATTTTCACCTTTCCACTGTCCTCTTTTCGGCTTGTTCCTGCCCAGCTACGCATTTCAGTCTATATAATAGCGCCTAGCCTCCTGTTTGGACCCTAAGATTCAATTCTAGGTCTTCTTGCACCATTACCTTTGTTTTCCACACACTGCAAAACACACACAATGTCCTGCGAATCAGTTCCTCTCGAGCTTTGGGAGATGATTCTCGATCATCTGGACTTGGAGTCAACCAAGGCACTGAGACTGACTAGCAAAACCGTGAGCCACTTATGTTCCGGCCGCCATTTCGAGCGACACTTTCGCGATCACAAAGTAATGCTGACAAGCCATGGCGTACAAGAGTTTCAAGCGTTGGCCACTCACTCACAATTTGGAAAGCTGGTCGAGAACTTGACGTTCGTGGTGGGCCCGGACTTGCGAAGCACAAGAGAACGGTCGGATACCATTAAGAGGTGGAGTTCGAAGAGCATAACGTGGGTGCTTGCGAGGCCAGACCAAGACGCCGTTCCGGAGGACACCGCTAGTCTACAGGAAGGTTCCGAAACTGAGAGCTCGGATTGTGATGCGAGTTCAATGGAGTGGTCGGCAACTGATGAACCGGTCTTGATACAGGATGACGGGAAAGATCGCGCTGCTAACAAGCAGTTCTTTATCAACGTACTCGAGGCATTCTGCGCTCTGAAGCCACTCCGGACGATAACGTTCTGGGGAGGGATGAGCACCCTAGGTATCGTCATGAAAGGCAACCAGTGGGATTACAAGGATGGCATTATTCGACGCTGGGAAGAGGTAGCTCGTGCTTACTACCTTGTCATGGCGGCATTGGTAGAAGCGAGGCTCGTTGTGGATCACTTCGAGCTCTACATCGATTCACCATATCCTACCTCTCTTCTACCGGCGCTCGTGTCTGCCCCGTTTATGGACTTCGGCTCCCCGGCTTCAATGACGGCTTTGGAGAAGCTTTTGGGGCATATCAGCTATTCAGAACCGCATCGGCTGGAATACAGATGGACCAACTTCCTGAAAAGTCTAACCACTGGGGCGGATGCATATATCATTCCGCTTGCCCTAAGACCGCGACAGGATCTATCACATATCCGAACACTGAGGCTCAACTTGTACTATGGATGGCACCCTGACCAAACGAACGCAACCTTGAGCAAACTGATGCAATGCCTGGAGAACATCACAGACCTTGAACATCTCAAAATATCCGATCAAGAAATCGAACTACCAGAGCTCTTGAAGCTTTTGAGGAAGATTCCGAGTGTAAAGCACCTTGAGCTCTCTCGTATTTTCTTCAACGTGGGAACATGGCGATGGGCATTAGGAACATCATGGGGATCATGGGAACCTGTATTGGATCTCCTCGCTACGGAAATGCCGCATTTGAAATTCCTAACGCTGGGTCACCTTGAGGATAGTGACCGTAACATCATTGCCCTGGTGCGTAGCTGGGAAGATCTTAAGGATTTTCCGGAAATTCAAAATGTTCGTTCTCCCTCTTACGGGCGAACGTTCAACGAAGAAGAGTTGGCCCAGGGTCTTGATTTGGTCACAACTCCGAGTCTCGCTGATCTGTTGCCTTGATTTCAATTTTATGTTACTTGATTGATGACTGTCTCAATTTACTTTTATTACTAACTTTGGTATCACGAGATGTATTCTACTGTAAAATCGTATATGTATTAATGTTTACTAAGTATATCTGTCATGCTGGTCTTGAAGACATCCAGGAAAGCATCTCGTTTCCTCGATCTTATTATCAGAGAGTAGCTCATCTTTTCTGTCTCTTTTTTCTTCCCTGTTGCATGCCATCCTCACCATCATTCCCTAGCTCATTCTCGTCTCCCTCAAAGTCCTCCCTCCATGAACCATCCTTCACACGAGCATCATCTCCGTGCAGTCCCACATCGTAAGCATGCTTCATGCTATCCAGACAAGTCTGCCTTCGTTCATCAAAATCGAACATAGGCTTCGGATATGCTTTCATTCCATCACTCTCGGACTGACTTCCGTCGCCCGTCACCCGACATCCCCATTTCTTCTGGTCAGCGATTGGAGCCTTCCAAGGCTCATAAATATACTTCTTGTCAAACTTGGCGAGTTCAGGAACGTAATGCCGGACCAGCTCACCCTCCGGATCCCATTTCTTGCCGAATGCAACGGGCGAATAACATCGATAGAACTGCGCGAAGAATGCTGTGCACGAAAGCCACATCCAGTTGCCGATGTTGCAAGCCTCCTCGTCTAGAATCATTAGATAGGTCGTTCCATAGACCACATCTGGTACTTACGGTCAATCAACCATTCCTGGAACACTTCGGCTCCTCGTTCCCAGCTCACGTAGCATCCTCCGCGGGTGAGAAAACAGGCAACGCTGTGTCGGCCCAGATGATGGATCCAGCCCTCCTGCTTTAGTTGTCGCATTAAGGCGTCGATCCATGGGAAGCCTGTACGTCCCTCCTTCCATCGGTGGAACCAGATCTCTGCTTCCTCGGAGTCCACCGTGTAGGTCTTCTCCCCTGGCTGTTTCTTTCCCGACGTTGCGATGTCTGTCGATTGCAAGTGCCAGTCGATGAACCTGACGATCTTGTTCCCGTACGTTCTGGAGAAAGCGTGCCCGATGGCAGCCTGTGCAGCGAAGTACATATCCCGGAAGAGAAGCTGGCCTGGCAGATTCGTGGGAATCGACGCATTGGGCTTCTTCCGCTTGGCTCGATCCTCCAGAACTCCCTGCACATCCCACCAGAACTTGCGAACCGACAAACTCCCGAAATGTAGATGCGGAGAAAGCAGCGTCGTCGATTGCGGCTGGAACGCCGCAGGCGATGTCTTCGGCTTCTCGAACCTCCCAACATACTCCTCGTCCTGTATACAGCCCTCCAGGATCCTCAACGCCTCCGTCTCGCCCCCCTTATGCGGCGTGCTCACCTGCGCTGAACCAATCCCAATCTCATCCAGCGTCGGCACGCCAAAGTCCTCCCCGGGCCCCATGATCTTCACATACTGCGCGTCCTCTTTCATCCGATACTCCCGATTCACATCCCCCGTCGAGTCAACACCCTCCTGCTCCACCGCACTCAAATCCATCCTCTCCTGATCCCACGGATCCGGAACCCTCTCCGGCGTCTCAACCACACCCCCAGGTCTCCCAGAGTTAATCCCCCCAACCGCCTTCTCAATCTGACTCATACTCATCGTCGGCTTCCCTCCATTCCTCTTCACCACCTCATCCGGATCGAACAGATTCCTCCCCATCTCCACAATAACCTGCACCCCTGCCTCCTTCGCCAACTCCATAACCGTCTCGTCTCGTTCGCGCGCATACGCATCCGTGTCCTTCTCAAACACCAAGTGCGTCACCGCCCATCTTTTCCATAACTTCGGGAGCACCGTGTGTGGCGCTTCTCGCACAACCCATAGCTTTTGTTTCGGGTTCAGCTTTGTATATGATGCTGAGAGGTCATTCTGGCATTGGAGGAGGAAGTTCCATCGGTTTGGGCCGACGCGCGCGCGATACACGTAGTGCGGATCCCAGGTCCAGATGGGGATGAAGATCGAGGGGTTTAGGCGAAGGGCGGAGTGGAGGGCTGGGGAGTCGTGCAGGCGTAGGTCGGTGCGGTGCCAGTAGAGGACTACGGGGGTTGAGGGCTTGGTTTTCATGGTGGGGATGTGGGAATTGAGGTTGGAGGGAAGGTAGATGTGGTGCAGGGTTGTGTGGTTTTGTCGAGGTGTAGTCGATGTATGACGTCATGGGATCTGCGTATGCAAGGGACAAACGAGTGACCTCATCGGCTTCGATGGGGATTCTGGATAGTTTCTGGTTTGGGAAGGGGATGGACGAGATATCCGGGGGATGCTTTATTGGTCGGTATTACTCAGCCTGATTTATACACCCTCGATAATAAGTATCCTGTCCATCGACACCAAACTCAAGATCCAGCACCCAAAGCCCTCAACCTCCTCTCCTCCCTCCACCGCGGCCCAAACTTCAAAACAACCACCACCGGCGCCGACGCCAGTAACATAACCAGCCCCAAAAATGTAAAGCACCACTGCCTCCCCATGCCATCAATCATCGGCACAATCAGCGCCGTCGCACCCGCCCCCAACCAGCACCGACAGAGATTATTTGCCGCGGTGGCCGTCGTCGCCTTCTCCGGATAATAATCCACCAGCAACGTTTTAATAGTATCAAACGCGATGCTGAGCAGCAAGCCGCAGAAGAACAGAATCACGAGTGGTACCGCCACGTGCATTTCATAGTGCATGGCCCAGCCGTACCCGATCACCGCTAGACAGCCCAGCACGAGCGGCGGGACCATGACCTGCACGCGGGCCTGTTCGATCGGGAAGGTCGTGAGATCGGTCTGCCGGTTGGCGACGAGCTCGATGTTCAGGGCGTGTGCGGTGCGTCGGAAATTCCAGTCCTGGAGGTAGCCTGTTAGGTAGGCGGCGATGAAGCAGCCCGCGCCGATGGGGATGTAGCACAGGCCGACCTGCATGTCGTTGTAGTTGTAGATTTGGGCGAGCAGGTACGGCATCGATGCGGTGAGATCGTAGTATCCGGCAAAGAGGATCGCGTTGATGAAGAGGAGCAGGGAGGTGTCTTTTTCGAAGAGGATGCGTAGGGCGGGGAGGGGGTTTGGGCTGTGGAATTTCGGGCGGGAGGATGCGTTTGTGTTCGGTTCTGGGGTGGGTGATGGGTCTTTGGAATTGTGGGCTTTCAAGGAATCGATGGCTGAGAGGTTCCATTTCTGGGGAGGGAGGGATCCGTTCCCGACGATGCGGCGGCTTGTTTCTGGGAAGAAGAGGAGGAATTGCACGAGGAAGACACCGCCCATGATGGTTAGGAACCAGAATATAGCGCGCCAGCCTAGGTATTGGGAAAGGAGGCCGCCGACGACAGGGCCGATGCTGGGTCCGAGGACGGTGCCGGCTGTGACGAACCCGATGTATGAGCCGCGCTTGTCGGCCGTCGCGATGTCGGAGACCACGCCGGATGAGAGGGCGACTGTGGCGCTACTGCCGGAGCTCTGCATGCACCGAAGAATGAACAGGGCTGCGTAGTTGTTTTGCAACGCCAGCCCGATGTTGGCTGCGGTGTAGAGGACGAAACAGAATATATAGGCTGGTCGACGACCGACTACATCCGCAAAGTCGCCCACGAACATTGGCGCGACGCCTTGGAAGATCTAATCATATCAGTAGTAGATCTGGCTATTGCAGTACGTAGCATACCATATACGACATGATGGTCAGATTTATCAGCGAGCTTGACACGTTCAGATCCTCAGCCAGACTGTTCAGAGCCGGCAAGTAGATGTTGTTCGAGATCGGCGAACAGAGACCGGCCCATGCTGCCGTGAACGCGATGTAATAAATCTGATACTTGGTGAAGCTGGTATGCGGCTCCGATTCTGTCTTTGATGCCGGAGACTGCTCTTTCTCACTTGGTATGGTTTTCTCCATTTTCGCAAGAACCCCTTCCTGCATCCCAATCCACTTTATAGGCAGTCCTCGGCTATCCCCATGAGAGGGGAAGTTAAAGAGCTGTTTCTGTCAATGTGTGGGTGAAGTTGTGTTGTAAAGCCGTTAGACCTAGAGCCCAGCGGCTTGCCTTGCTCTCCCAAGTCTGGTCTTAGCAAGGGATGCCGAGTTTCCCTGACGATAGCGGGACAACATAAGAGTAAACAATCTGATATCGCCGACCCACTTATGTCGATAAAAGAGCTAGTCGCGACCACCCCTGCATGAGGTCCAAATCAATCCGCGACGCTTTCTGGAAGGCGAACGAACGCTTATCTTCGCTTTATTCCTGGTGAAAGAACGGCACTCGGCGCGGGTAGTCGAGAAAGGGGTGTCGACTTTCAGGTATTTTAAAGTGACTGGCTCAAAATCAAACCTGTCGGGCATTCTCCCATGCGATTGGGGGGTAGGAAACGTTTCTCATCAGGAATGGAGCTGAGCACATGCAGTGAAACGTGAAAACGTGATATAGTTTGTCAGGACGTCCGATAGAGCATTTTCAGGTCGCGTTCGGGCTAGCGGCCGATAGGTGCAAATTATCATTCGACGTTGGAAGCCCCTTGCGTGGTAATAGCAGATTACTGTTCTTCCTATCATCTCTTGTTTCTCTGCCGTATTTAGTAAACCATGGGGGACAAAATACCATGATGATGCTGTCCCTCCGTCTTCAATCAACTCCATATCATGTTGGATATATTCTGCCAGGCATGGGAATGCGCTCGGTAAGTTGACCATTCCGGCCTTGAATGATGTGAAAGAAGATATATCGTCATAAACTTAATAACCAAAGGTATAAATGTTCTAGATAGCAGTGCTTAAGCAAAATCCAAACAAACCACACCCAAAGGTACAGGGGTATCAAGGAGACAAAAAAAAGGAAGAAAGAAAGAAAGAAAGAAAGCCGAGCCTAACCATGGCCGAAAAATATAAAACCGAAAGAAGATAATGATTCCACGACCGTTTATTGCATGTCGCATGTCGAAGTTGACATTATGACTGGGCGACTAAATCCGCGTCTAGCAGCCCGAGAGACGCAAGAAACTGGATATGCAAATGGCCCCTCTAGGAGCCAAGGAAGCGATGCGACTGCGTCAACTTCGCATCCGTGACTGAGGCATCCTTCACCTCGGACGGTCGGTGTCAATGCCGCCAATCGAAAGTCCCCTTGTTCTAGACCACAAGAATGGGTTCAACGGTCATAACAACTCTCAGTGTTTAAGACCAAATCTTGTATAAATTGGCGAGTCGTTCGGTGATGGCATGTTTAAGGCCACCAGAGCCCCATCTCAAGATACGAGCAATTCTTGAAACCACCTCGCGAGCACCAGCCTCACTGGTTGTTCGCCAAATGCCCATATTAGTCATGCAGTATCCCTTCCTCGTTGGGTCCCAGAAATGGGCCCAGATCTCACAAACAGGGCCCTCAGTAGTCATGGAAAAGGCTAGTAGGGGAAGGTCAACAGTCGAATGCGCCTCCTTCCCACCGTGGCGCTTGGGGTACTCCAATTCGTAAAGCTCGGTTACACCTTTTAGGATGTTTATCGCGGATGCTCCGCTGACAGCCGACTGGTTCTGTGCTTGGTACAGATTGCCGCCGGCGGCACCTGATTTGGCTTCGATGACAAAGAATGGGAAGCGTAGATGCAACCGGGCCAGACCGGGGTCGCTGATGAGGGCCTCGGTGTCTTGGAGGTCATTTAGGAAGAATCGCGCATTGTCGCCTCGGGCGGGCCGCAATACGGATGCGAGCGCTGCATCGGCGATTCCTACGGAAACATCTGGTCGAGAGTTTCTTAAGGAGAATGTCGCGCCTAAATGCTGTCCCGAAGATGAAGCCGGCGCGGATTCTCCCCACACGGGGAGAACTGTGTCGGCCGGCTGGTGGACTTCAGGTTTGACATCACCACGCCAATCTAAGAATAAATCATTAGCTCATGCCAGCATAGCGTATCATACGAGATGTTCACCTCTATTTCGGACGGACAGGAGGTCCGGGGACTTGAGGTCCTTGATCACATCATGGAAGATCTCCGTCCATTCAGCTTTCCCAGCTTGCAACGCCGCCAACTCGATCGATTCGCGCTGAAGCTTCGATGCTAGATCCGTGGTCTCCATGGGTGAAGAGTTCGAAACATCTAGCACACTACTGACCAGCTCTCGGACTGGCCTCGGCATCTCCGCATCGATGAAGATGCTGGCGCGAAACAGCGTATTGGTGCGATATGTCGAGTCATTTTGTTTCAAGAAGCCTCTTTGCTTCTGCGGAGACGGCGAAGACGACCTTGTGCTCGACAGTGATGATATCGATATCGGAATGTTGGGGACATGCCCGTCCAGCCTTGTCGCATTCCTAGCTGCCGTCGGGCTCCACGGGCCCCCCTGTCCGCGGTACCTTGCCTCGGGCCCCGAGAAGAGATTGATCTTCGGACCCCTTGTCTCGAGCTCTAGCAGGGACAGGTTTTCCTGAATCAGCGGAAGTGGAACGGTATCCCGCTCTGGGAAAGGTTGTTTTGCAGGATGCGTCTCCGATCCTAGCGGTTCATCCTCTGCTTTGCGCTTCATGCTGGCTGCATCTAGAGAGCAATCAGCATGGAGTGCAGATGCAAATAAAGTGAGGGAATATTTGTAGTACCCTTTGTGATATCACTATCATTCTTTCATGTCGTTTGCAGCCGTTCTTTGAGACTGTCGATCCCGATGAAAGAACCTCCTGAGCCACGTGATGGTGTTTGATGGGTCACATGGTCTACGGCGGAGCGCAGAGTCCGCAGACGCTTTCTGCCTCAGGCATCAGTCAGGAAAGTGGATGCCCCACAATTCAGGCACCAGTATCATTTCGATGGCGTGTGTCTCGAGGGAGAGACAAGTCAACGAAGACGCCGTACAAATATCACACCCATTTCCACCGTCTCAGCTTACCGGTACTTTGGTCTTTGTTACATCAGGGCCAGCCCACAAATCCAGCGGGTCCGGATTAATTGTCATCATTAATAACCGAAGAGGGGAAATTCAACGTTGCAGCCTTAGTGTTCGTCTTGTTATTCCCTCGGCTCTGTTAACGGGGAAATCTGAATCTACGAACTCTCGGAATGATCGGATGGTCGCCGGGCGTGGAGTCGGCGTGAACATGGACGGCGTAGGATGGTGTTAATTCGGCCTCTAGGGTTGGTCGTCTTTTCTCCTCTCATTTCTCACCGAACCAATCCACATGCTGGATTTGCACCCAACTGTGGGTCTATCTTCGATCCACTGAGCACGCCACGCTTATTGGTGGCTTAAGTGCGTGTTTCTGAGACTGAACCATCGTGCATTTTGCTGGTTGGGTGTTTAAGCGCCATATTTTGCGACCCTGTGCAGGGACCTCAACAGGAGAAAAGGTTGTTATTTTTATCACGATGTCGGGGGTAGGGAATGCCTGTCTGCCTCGCTGCGATGCAGACCTGCAGCCTTGGGAGTGTATCTGCACTCAAACAAGCGCCGACAACTGATCACTCAGGGGGGTGGGAGGCACAATTGCTGCAGTTTAATATAATCGAGGCCTGGGAGTGGCTGGATACAGGCACGTGAAGCGACAGGGTTCCAACAACCCCCAGGACCTTTTCTTGTTAATGAATCTTGACGGAGAGGCCTCGGGGTGCCGCCGGCCAAGACTAGGAGGCAGAAGGAGGGCATTCCCTGCCCCTCCGCGCGATAAGGCACGGTGACCTCGCATTTCTATTTCTCATAAGCACAGCATAGAGCATCCTGCGGGATATCGACGCTCGTTTCAGCCATCAAATCGAACGAATCTCCCAACACAGCAACCCCAGGCAACCCCCGGAACATGTGTGTTTCTATGATTTGCCATGCTGCGGACCTGATCAAAGAAAGAAAAACGGGGCTAAACCTCCAGTCTTCGGATCGAGTCGCCAGGTAATATTACATCTACCATACACTAGCGGTGGGGCGACACTGGGACCCCTGCTAGGGCTGGTGATGCTAATGGTCTATTGCCTCCAAGCCCAACGCTAGCGACTATCAGCTATGATGCGCCAAGATGAGACCAAACTGGGCCACGGCGCAATTAGGCCTTTGTATGAATCGGCGCGGGCTCTAATATGTCAGCTATGGCCGGCCAGGGACCACCCGATTTTTTAAAACTAGCGAGGGTGCTCTCCCCATAATCTTGTTATCTTCTGTTTAAATCTGCCCTGTATGAAAATCGATGCTACGTCGTTCGGAAAGCTGCTCCCATCTGGGTCCAGTGATGGCGAGTGTTCATCCCCCGCCATGAAGCAAGCTCGTTATCCTGTCCGCAACCGCCGCAGGAGGCTAAAGGCGGCCGCGCCGCTAATTCTGGCCCTGTTGGGCATTTTCTCGCTCCTTAGACTCTTCTCTATATACCGTATGTCATTTTCTCTACACCTACCCCGGTCGTTGGTTCAACTTGGTGACGACTAACGCCGCACAGCAAACCACCATGCACAAGAGATTGAACCACCTCAGCCGGTCGTGGGGAAAGTTTCAATGATATACGGCAACCACTCAATTTATGAGCGAGGCCTTGAAACGCATCGTGAACACAGCCGGCGGCATGGATATCCTCTTATCGTGCTGCGAAGGCCCATTCTCGATGGTGTGTGGAATAAATACGCCATCCTCTTGTCAGCTCTTTTGGAGGAACTCCAAAAGCCACCGCACAAGCGTCTCCAGTGGCTATTGTAAGTACCCAGCTACCCTTCCCTTCATAGTATTAACGAAAGATCAACCAGCTGGGCGGACGGCGACACAGTTCTCATGAACCCGAACATCCCCCTAGAGATATTCCTCCCACCACCACACATCAAGGACGTCCACATGCTCCTCACCAAAGACTGGAATGGAATGAACAACGGCGTCTTTCCGATCCGGGTGCATCCGTGGTCCGTCGAGCTGCTCTCATCAGCGATCGCCTACCCACGACTCCATCCCGAAGTCGACCTGTACTGGCCGGACCAGTCGGCATTGCAGAACGTGTTGGATGGCAGCCCTTACTTCTCCAGCTCTGTGGTGTATTGTCCCCTCCGGTGGTTCAACGCCTACATGGGCAAACCGGACGGATCGGGCCTGAACCCGGATTCTCCGAAATACCTCCAGATTCACCCGGGAGATCTGCTGGTGCATTTCCCAGGGACGCCGCCCGATCACCTGAATACGACGATCGGGCCGTATTTGGATATCGCGGAGTCGCATCGCGCGCATTGGGAGTTACCCCTAGAAAGTACAGGCTATGTAGAGGAGACACGGAGGTTCTGGGAAGATTTCCGACCGTCACCGCTGGGGGCATAGATTTCTATTTTTGGGTTTCTGTATAGTATATTATTTTATAGCGTATATATGGAGTCAAGTGATGATTATGATTCGGGCGTATTCGGAATAAACGAACTTATGCATTCATAGAGCACGGCGTTCGTTGAGAAAAGCAAGGTTCAAGCGTCAGAATCAATCTCCACTGATGAGCCCAGTTTGAGAAGGATCATTTCCGTCGACGATCACCAGTTGTGGGGGCCGTGAGGATTGATCGGCAGCTGCACCTGATGGCCCCGATGGCTCGTTTACTACAGATATGGTATGTTTGTCTCCGAATTTGGTCCACAGCTTTCGACCTGTCAGGATTTGAACACCGGGGTCATGCCGATTCTATACCAATAGGCCCAATAGAATACAAGTAGGGAAATATCCCGGAAATAAGGCTCCGCCTCAGGAGCACTCCCGGTTTCACGTTGACTCGCCAGTTCATAGTCATGCCTACCCTAATGTATAATGAAAATGATGGGAACACCGCATTCCAAATGTCGCACAATCCACGCACATCAAAGGAGTCCCCCGGCGCCACAGTATTACAGTCTACCGGGCTGCACCCAGTCAGGAGCAGGAACATCCGGCTTAGGCCAATTTGCTATTGCGAGTGGGTACCGGGGTTCACCCGAAAATCGCTCAGTGTCGGAGGCCATCAGGGATATTCGCCACTAAGCACCAAATGGCAGGTAATCCGCCGAAACCACTGATTTGAATTCATTTCTTGGCTGTCTGTGCCTCATTTCCGATATAATTTACTTGCGGTGCATTAGCCGTTGCGTATGCTTATGTTCCATCACATGATGCTTGGGGCATGACTTGAAAGCCCTAATTGTGAAGCGTCACGCCAGGATTCCCGGCCTGACGCGAGGAAGAAAAGCACTACCGAGGCGTTGGTTAGATTCCAACAGTTGGAAGGTTCTGAAGATTACCGGATGACTGATAGCATAATTGAAAGCGCTGTGTCTTACCGTTGGGAAGGGTCACTGCAGAGCTGGTTGCGAGCAGGTCGGGGCGAAAGAATTTGACAAAGGGAAGTGCGGCCATGGCCACCCCTCATATGTCCAGCCCAGCCTCGCACATGCAGTCGGCGAAACCTGGCCCCTAACCAGGTATACTAGGACAGACCCGATTAACCTCCGAGTGCAATTGGTCCCAATCTACCGGGTTCCCTCGTCCAGGCCAATGGCAAAACGACGAACCCTCAGTACCTGGTCGATACGCGCCGGACTATGAGAAGCTACTTTCGGGTAAGTCACCCCTGATCAATGGGAAGAGGACTCAACCGGGGCGAGGGCTTTCTCCTCTAATAATAAGCAAGAAAGAAGGCTCGGACCTTTCAGTCCACCGTGACTGAGCAGCCGAGTTCTCGTTGTTGCTACCCTCTGGCGGCTAACTCTGCCTCTATACATATTAACCGCCACCCTTTACAGCGGTGTCGCTCGCTATGTGATCACCCTTTCGTCTATAAACACTAAACAAGCTCTTTGTGATTGCAATCTCGACTGCATTCTTGTCTAACCTATTCATGCTTGCGTCCTTTGCATTGCATCTGAGCCCTGGATCCGCGAAGATCCTTAGTCTTTCAAGATGGCGGTGTCCCTTTTTTCGACAGAAACAGCGACCATGACAGAATCATCGCCCACCCAGACCATCTCAACACTGGCAATGACAACACGATTCACGCCCCCTACAGACTGTGCTACATCATGGACATACGAGCCGTATTCATACAACAGCGTCGCCCCTAGCGGACTAATAATGCAAAACTGCAACAGCATCGTGCGCTCGTGCTTCCCGTCCGGCTTCGCCGGGGAGGGCAGAAAGGCGCCTGGCCAAATATACAGCCCTGGGTATTGTCCCATGGGATACACGTCCGCAGACGTGGCAATCAAAGGTCCCGTTACCAGTGCTATTTGCTGTTTATCGTAAGTCTGCCCATACTTTCCCATGTCTAGCCAGGCGCTGATATCCCCGAAGCGATTACTCGTACACTGCCTCCGTCATGCACTACAGCAACCTGCCCTCAGCCACATACGCCGGCTGCACCAGCGAGCTTCACGAATCCAGCTCGACCATCGTCTCAGCCCGAGCGAAAGAAAACAACAGAGGCACGCAAGTCCAAGGCCCGATCGTCATGTGGGCGCAGCCTATCACTATCCAACTCGAGGCCTCAGACCTGAGTCTCTTTGTCCCCGTTACGAGCACAACCGAATCCTCGTCCGAACCTACCCCCACCCCAAAGCAGACTTCATCCGATACCACGCGTTCAACGGGCTCCGCTTCCAGTGCTGCTCAACCCTCTCAAGACGTCACTTCAACAGGAGACTCCGGGTCAAGCGGCCTGTCAACGGGAGCGAAAGCGGGTATCGGTATTGGGGCTGCGGTCGGCGGTGTTGCTATCCTTGGTGTTCTTGCGTTCTGGCTATTCCGTCGACGGAGTCCGAAAAAGGATGCTAATTTGACTTCGATGGAGACTCCTTATTATGATCCTAATAAGGCCGGGCCGCCGACCTACGTTGTTCCACGTAATGCTCGGGGACCACCGGTAGAGTTGGATAACTCGGAGTATGGGGCTAGGAAGTATATGCCTGAGCTTCAGGGGTGATTTGTTTGTTGGCAGTTTGAGTTTGATGTGTCATGTCTTAGATATCTTTGGCGGCATTTTTATTTATTGGCGTTTTAATTATGTATTTCTAATATCTGAAGACTATTGACATTGACAGAGACCTAGAGTCATTCGTTTGATTTCAGAAATGCCCCTCAGTATGTCATCATTCAAAAAGTAGGTCAGTTGTGTTTGATGGGTGCGGGCGCTTAAATACTGCATCACAAAAATATGAACAAAATAAATACCGACATAAATAAATCGTCTTTGCAAAGAAACAGGAACCAGCCTTGTCTCAACTATTTACAAAACATAATTGCGAGTATTTCATATCTCAGGCCGTCGTAAACTTCGGAAGCTCTGCCGACGCATCCTCAAACACGGCATCCCAGTGCTTCTGAACGCCTTCACAAAGTCCCGACTTCGACTTCCACGCATCAAACGCATGTTCCAACGTACAGCTCACAGTCTTCGCCTCCTCCCAAACCACCTTCTCAGCGTCATACCCGAAGCGTTCCAGCGCCTCTTTAGAATCCGTCCATAACCGAGTCGGATTCCCGTCCTTACTCCGTGACTTCTCTCCCAGTAAGTCCCCTCCAGCATTAAACTCCGGGCTATAAGAATGGATAAAAAAGCCGCGAGCGGCTTTAGCGACCTCTGGGTCTTTGACTCGCCACTTCCCGCGCCGCGTCAGCGCGTAGTCCTCCATCGGATCAGCCTGCAGCATCGCGGCGCCGATTATCCCCTGGTTCCAGCGGTCGGGGTGCCCTAGGTCCACGACTGGCTCGCTGACGGTGTAGAACTTCTCACCCAGAGCGGTCGCTGCTTGGATGAATGTGTCTTTGTCGCCTTCGCCGGGGGCGCCTTGATCGAGGAGAGGGTAGTAGTATGAAGGGCCGTGGTAGTTGTAGTAAGCTGATAGTAGGAGAGTCATGTAGTGGGTCTTTTTCGAAACGAGAAACACTCCTGCCTCTGTCGCTTGGCGTGCGTTAAGAGGAAGGTCTGGCTGACGAGACACATTGAAGTAGAGTGGCGAGGCGGTGTTGGACCAGAAATCGGGCCAAGTGACGAGGCCGGCGGAGGAGAAGGGCTCGGAGTTAAGCAGCTTGGCCGGGTCGTGAAGAGGGAGGATATCGGCGTCCATCCAGATGAGCTTCTCAAACGAGGAGAACAAGATAGCGAAGGACTTGATTTGGAAATGCTCGATCGGATACTCGGATCGAGACCCGTCCAGAGTCGACAGGACGTCGGACAGCACGATGCATTTGGCGTTCAGTTGCGGGAGCACGATCTCGCAGATATACGGCTCGTACTCGGCGTAATCCTTGACGAACAGCTCGACGGGTAATTTCGATTCTGTCCGCCGCAGCACGCGCAGTGTCACCAGGAACGTGGGCAAGTATGTTCCTCCCGCTGCCGAGACGATCCCTTTGGTGCGCGGGTTGTATGCGCGGTCGGACTTTAGCTCCTGCATGTCGTGCACGAACCCGTCGTGTGCGATCTGCAACGGCTGTTGAATGTCATCGGAGTTGACAATGTAGTTTCGTCGAGAGGACTCGTCGTTTGCGTCGAATCTGGGGGTTCCTGCGCTGGCGCCGCGCAGGTCGGGAGACGAGCACTGCGGTGCATGTTTCTCGAGTAAGGCGTGCAGGTTTCGCCAGAGTTTGCCCTGGCGGATGGGAAGTGGCGTGTGGGCGATGGGGCTGAACCATAGGAAATAGATGTTCAAGAGAAGAATGACGACTAGAACGAGGGGTAGGAATCTCTTGCGAGAGCGATATTTTGGTTGTTTCCACATGATGGAGTGTGACATGTCTGAGCACAAAAGTTGGGGAAACCAAAGCAGAAAAGTGGAAAGACGTCAGCTTCAAATGAGCATGTTGCTCCTGATGGGGTCAAAGAGGGCACCCCCTCCCCAATCACAGATCATTTAGAGCTACACAGAGCATACAAGGATCGACATCTAGCCTGGTTGCCATTGGCGGGGAGAGAGCCTGGAACCGCCGTAATTTGGAGGCCGCGGGGTTTGCTTACTGGCCCTAGCACTTGATTGCAACTTGGATCTTTTAATACTTCTTGTTTGTCTATTTATTCCTTTGGGCTGGCACGCAATTGGCTCTCTAGCCCCCCCGTCATGCGTGCAACATCAACCGTGCAATATCTATCCGGCCAGGCGTTTAAGGGGCATTGCTCCAGGCTATGTCCGCTCAGCTTCCCGGGCGCAGCCGATATCGTTTGGTGCCATCCATGCAGGTGCAATACCAGACTGGCGCTTTCGTTCCTAGTGGCGTTACAACGTGCAGGGACTGGCCTTGGCTACAGCGTTAGTTCGCGTATGCAAGGAGCAGCCGCTCCGAAATCCAGTCTCCCTCTTTCCACGGCCAAATTTCGTTGACGCCCAGTCTGTGGGACCTTCCATTCGCAGATCTTGACAAAAACTTGCGATAAAACCGAAATAGCATCCCATCCCACAGCCCTACCCCATGTCACTCAAATATATCTCCCACCAACCAAATCCGCCCGAAAAGGCCGGGTAATGATCGGCACGAATCGACCGCGCCGACTAACCGCCGTCTAATTGCCACAGAAATTAAAATACCCAAGCGTCTTGGCGAGCGCCGGGGCCGGGATCCTTCGACCCGATGCCGCAGTCAACATGCATATTTAGCGTGAACTCTGGCGTCTGGCCTTCTCGCTTGGTCTTACGGCCGAGGACCCGCGGAACGTGCCGCCGAACCAATGGTCGGACTGTGGCGGGGCGAGCCTTGACTTTAATTGCTCTGTTAAAGGTACCTGGCTGCCATGGTCGGAATGAGCCTCGCAGGGCGTTGGGGATCAAGATAAAAATAGCAGGCTTCAAGGAACTGTGCAGAGTGTTACGCGCCGTGGTTGAGGGGTTTTTATAATTAGAACTGTGTACCTGCGTGGGATTTTGAGCATCCAGCAAGGTCTGACCAAGACGGGCCAAGGATCTGGAGATCGCGGAGTTTTGGTCTTCAGTATCGTAATCAAAGATATCGCTCATGATCTCTCTCCGTGCTCGCCGTTGAGACTGGATTGTGGGTAGACTTTGATCGTCGGCGTCTAGGAGTAGTCACCTGCTCTATTACTGCGAGCTTCGGCCTGAGATATCGGGCGGATAATCCTGATCTTCCCATTAAACGGAATACGCCAAAGGTAACCAAACCAGCTCTCCAGGTCTGCTACTTGCGAGTCACGGTGCGTGATCCCTATGATTTACTGCCATCTTAGGCACGTTTTGTTCTGGCCAGAATTAGATACCAATCTCATAAGATCGCAAAAACCAGACAAATCAGGTCATGCGGAATATCAAAGGTTTCGTATGCTTTGGAACGATCATTGTTGAGCGCTAAACTTGCATATTTCACCATGTGACTATTAAGGACGCCTAGAAGCACTTTTCCACCAAGCCCTCGTCGCTCCAGCCGAGTCGTGACCGAGAGAATCTTGAGAGAAGCGTTCAAAGCAAGCCTTTCTGTCCGTAAACGACTGGCTACTGATATTGTCTTGCATAGGAATTCCTGGAAGATTCTAGAGGCTCCTTTCGATCGGACCGGAACCCGTTATATACATCGTTGAAAGATCTTTATATGACCGTCAACTCATTTGTGTGTTGGTACCACTTTTTCTGTGTACTTCCCGTCTTCATGGTTATTTATCTGTTCAAACTCCAAGTAGAGATTACCCTGTCGCACCCTCTTGAGCACTTGGCTTGTAAACCGGAGACTATGAATGGTGTCCAGGCTTCTATTAATGCGAAGTAGACCCGCGACATCGAAATGGGAATCTCGACATTCCAGTAATTCTATCGTGTGGCAGACTATCAAAACGAAAAAGCCTGACAACTATTCCTTAAATTTCGTCATCTACGTGAAGGGTAGTTTTTTGACGACCGGCACTGGACAGATGATAAGACTATATGAGCGCCCATCATATCGCCAGCAACATTGTGGCCGGTGTAAAGACCGACATAGATATTAAACCCGACTCGAGCAATACCATGCTCCATATGGGTTGGTCACAACTCACAAGTATACGTGTCCCATCCTATCCCCAGCATTTACAGATTTTCGTTATTCTTACGAATTCTATGTTAATCAATCAGTGAGTAGCACTAAGGACTAGTTCTTCGACTTTTGCATCATTCTTCAAGCATTGCTGTGGTAATGAAACGTTCGGGAGGTTGGGAATACATATTTCTGAGCTAGGGTTCTAGTCAGACCAACACTGTGATTTTGCAACAACATTTATCCATATTTAACTAGCACAGCGATGTATCGTCTCTCTGTTATTCCTCACACGAGGCTCTCACGCGTAGGTCATGACTACTAGTCGTCAGTGATAAGGCTTGATGCTAAGCAGAGTCAAAAGGGGGTCAGTAGATAAGAATAATCGTGTAGCTTCTCAATTTAGCATTTCGCTTCGGGATGCGCACGGTGGAGAGGGGCGATGGTTATCTAAACGACTCAAGCATCGAGAGGATACCGAGAGTAGTAGTAGTAGGGGTAGTAGTATTGATTAACGTCCAGTTGAAGGCTGCTTGATCAGCCTCTAGTGACCTTCCGAGGGGTATAGGGATGTGCATAGCTATGGAAGCTTTGTTTACAGAAGCAACACCGTAGAAGACAACTCCTGCCTGTAGGCGTCCTTGCCAAGCCAACCGACCACCATCTCGCCCCGGACGTGTAGGGCCCATGTTGGTGTGTGTTCGAGGGCTATTCAAGAGGATGCAGAGAGAGGATGGAGACGGAAAAAGAAAGGGGAGGGAGAGGAATGAAAACGGCTTTATAAGAGTTTTGATTGATACTCAAAAATGTGCTTGGCTCCAATATATACCTCGTATTATGGATTGCAAGATTAATGGCCCACTAGGTTGATGTTGAGATGATATATACCAGCCTTGAATAGTCTAATCACGAAAGCTTTAGTCGGGTCTATTCATTCAGAATGGGCATTTCTCGATAGGTTTGTCATTCTCTTTGATGTTGATTTATGTTTCTCTGCTTTCATTTCTCTCATCAATGCCGTTCTCTCTTTCTAGCCTATTATTTAGCATTTGCTTTTTTTCTCCTTTTGTTCTTGGCTTTAATTTCTCGCTAAAGTGTTCTAGACTCGGATTTGTTGGAATTAACGGACTTCCATGTCAGTCAAACAAATGAAATTGCAATGAACTAGGCAGCCATGCTAGCCAAAGTGTAGGCGCAGAAACTTCTCTGCAGTCCCTGAAACAGGGATCAAGGATACTCAGCGACATTTGTAAATTTATTCTTGATGGGTGGCCGAGAGGCTCATGCGTAAATGTACCTGGCTAGAAGGAGGATCGGATTATCGTAAGCACATCGCTGAATTTGGAAATCTTAATTAAACTCGAAGGCAATAAGACTCCGACCAGTACGGGGTAAAACACCGGAAAAAAGTCTGTTGATATGCAACGTGCCCGGATACGATAGACTACCCTATTGTTTTGACAGGGATGCCGCCCAGCCACACAGTTATCGCCCCCGGCGACGTGTCGTCGAATTTAGGCGTCCAGCTATCTTTCATTTTACTAGCTTTTTTTTCTCGAACAAAATGTTGGAAAGTAAAATAAATGGGGCAAAAATACTATTGTGTGAATAAACTGGAAGGACAAGAAGAGCGAAAGAGAGAGACAAGGGAGAAATAGAAAGAAGAGTAGTAGGAGAGGTATAATTACTACCATTCAGAATATCATTTTGATGTCTTGTTTTTATTACTTTCTTAGGATCGACGCGTTCCGTGACGCTTAATTTCTTATTCCCTCCATCTTCCCTCCATCTTCCCTCCATCCTTCATGTTCCTGCCAATATCCCGCCAAGTCCCCCGTAGTTTTCAGTCCACGTTCTCCTTCAAAGCCCGTTATGCCGTGAAGATCTTTTCAGCTAATATTATGGTAATTATGGCTTATATACAGACCAGACGACCAATCCATTGGCCGTGATCAAAACTACAGCTACTCCAGCATCGAGGAATTTACGATATGTACGTGTCAACAAATTCAATACTATCTGCTAGATGTGCTTTGACTACAATATAAGGAAATGGACCACGATAACACATTCTAGACCCCAAAAGCGAACATGCAAGATCGAGATAGCTCGGAAGGCTTTCGGCAAAAGTATAATCCAAAAGTACGATACGAAAGGTACCTGCGCATTCCGTACATTCGTTCATGGCCAATAATACCTTCGTGCCAGTAGTTCCCCAAGCCACTGATTCTGCGGTTCCGGACCCCATTCCCCGCTTTGATGGCAAACATCTAAAATCCGATATGATAGTAGATTTAGGTCATGACTCGATCAATCTATCACCAGACTGTCCCTCATCCGGATGGCAAAATTGTGATTGTCGGGGACTCGTGTTGGCATTGACCTCGAGGCATAGGCTGGCAGCCGTAGCCTTGTGGGATTTGCGGTGTAGGGAAGTGGCTGATCCAAATCTCCGGCGTAATGAAGAAATCTATTTTTCAGCACTACATTGACTACGACCCTAGCTGACCCCCAAGTACCTTCAAGGCGATGAAACCGGTATATTCTCCATCTGAAGCCATTTTGCGTAAGAGCCTGGACTAATCAAAAATACACAGACCATTTCTTCGGGGAAATCCATTAACAGGGGAAAATAGAAAACTAAGGATTATAGACTTACAGGTATGGAACGGCCGGTGGTGGCCTAGGACTGTTTTTTGACTTTTACCTTCGTCCTAAGAGGATAGATGCCACTATGGATTATTACAGGATTCTGGTCCCTTATCATGATGAACAGAGGAGACATATCTTGAAGGTTTGTGATCCACTGTGCTAGAGACGTCCTGCAAATCATCCGGCCGGTTACATTCTTTTTTTTACTTTTTACAACATTCGGCCAGGGAAATAGGTGGGATAGACGGTGAGCGACCCTAGTGTACCTTGATCAATAAATAACAATCGTCCTAAATGGAAATATACTAATTAGATACCACTAAATCACGAAAGAAAAGAGAATATACCGGAACTCAATGAGCATATGTACATTATTTGTATGATATTCATGACCTGTTCGGAATAGGTGCTGGAGCCTTGCGCTTGCCTCTGACTCTTCATCTTCGTAATTTTAATTTCATTTGTGTTTTCCTCGATTCCCCGATTCCCTCGATTCCCTCAATCTCCTCGAATCTCTCTCTGATGTATCCATGGTGAGTGTTCCTGTTTTTCTGTTTTTTCTTTTCTTTTTTCTTTCCCTCTGTCTTCTCCCCTGTCTCTACGTCCATGGCTTCTCCCTTTTTTGTTTTGTTTGATTTTTTTTCTCCGGATTTATTTTGCTCTTTCTCTCTTCGAGTGATCGCCCAAGTCTCATGGGCACCAGAATAGGCTAGGCGTGAGCTGTGACTTGAAGATATAAAACACACCTTTCCAGCCTTTGCGAAAAAGCCTTTCAAGAGCTGAAGTAACTTTCTTCTCTACTTCATTGACCAGATTCTGAGAAGTTCTTCCCCAAGATTTCTAACAGTCCAATTGCCATGCCACCTACCTCCTCCGACACATTTAACGAGGCTTGTCCTTCACCCTCATTCACCACCGAATCGCCACAATGGGACCCAGCGATTATCATAAGACTTGTCTTTGAGATCATCCATTTGCTGATGCAGGTCCCCGGCTTTTTGACGGATGTCTACGTTTTTCGCAACCGTGGAGGTCAGAGGCGCCAGTTTCAAGGTGAGTTGAAGATACCGTTACCCATCCGGCGTTGAAGATGAATCAGATAATAATGACTACTGTTTTTAATAGACCGAGACCAAATGCCTGGCGTATCAAGGAGAGCAACGACTTCAATTTAGACGATCGGACTGCCGGTACCAACCACGTTCTCGCTGAGGATTGGGCGATGTGTACACAATCGATGTTGAGGGCTCTTTTGTCTTCATATATAACGTCTTGCTTACTGTCTATCATGTATGAGATAAGGGGGTTTTCAGAGGTCAGGAAAAATGATATTTGGTAAAATTGACCCCTTGAATGAATGGGGAATTTCGAGAGCCGTTCATGAGCTGCCAATGCATCTAGAACACAATGATCAAGTGACTCATTGTAGCATAGATTAGCTATGTGCCTTTCCGGGGCTCAAAATGGATTTTTATTTTAATTTCTATCCAGTCAGTTTGCGCACCAAGCGTCGTACTACTAGGTAGGGCATCGTTTAGCACGTGATATTGAGCAGGATGGTTTGGCCTTTTCTCAAGTTTAGGAATCAAGAGCTCTTTGATTATACTGTTGGAAGGAGTCTCAATAGCAAGCATTTGTATCTGCGACCGATCGATAATTCTATTTTCAACAAAACTATCCCTCTATACAAACTGTTTCCAAAACTGTCAATTTTTGTACGGCCAATCCCCCCTCTACCAGCTAGAAACATTCCCTCAAATTGACACTGCCACAATCTTCGCAGGCTCAATGATATCGCCCAGGACAGGCTGGAACTGACCACCCGCAGTAGCCACATACAGAGTCTTTTGGTCCCGACTGAACGCCACAGAGGTAGCACCTGCCAGTTCGGTGGTGAACAAGTTACCCGCGACAAGCGTAACTCTGCCGGATGGCTCTACCTTCAGCAACCCATTCTCTGCATTTGTCGTCACGTATGCCGTGCCGTTGCTGGCCAAAACAAAATCATCCGGAGTGAAGCCGCCTGCCACGATCTCCACGGGGCCGGCAGGTGCGGCATGTCGGGTGAAGGGCACGCGGGCAAGATGCATACCGGTGCTGCTCGAATAATAGACGTGGGTTCCCAAGACTTTGATGCCGTTGACGCCTACCGGCTTGGGGCTGTTCCGGGGAGACTTCATGGTCGCAGGGTCAGACATGGCAATGGAGTAGTTGCCGCTGGGGATGTCCACGCGCCAGATGACGCCTTTGGCCGAGTCGGTGGTGAGAAGGGTGTCCTTATCGAACTTGGCCAAGCCATTGAGAAAATCGGCCTCGGGAATGTGCGCGATGATGGACGTGTGCGGCTTTGCTGAGGTGGAGAGATCGACCTTCCAGATGGAATAAGTGCCTGGGGTGGACAGTGTTTGGATAGAGAAGTTTCCTGCCACAAGGGCGTATATGTCCCTGTCGATCTCGGTGATGCCTAGCAGGCTGCGAACATTGGGGAAGGTTTGGAGCAACGAGGCATTGCGAGTTCCGGTAGGGTCCACAGCCCAGAGTTCGGGAACGTCCAGGCGCGTGGTGAGAATATCTCCGTTATTCCGAACCAAGATGTTCTCTAGCCAGGTTCCATTATTGCGATATTGGAACACGGTGTGGGTTTTGTTGACGGCTGCGGAGGGTACGGATGGCACGGCGAGCGCGGGTGCGAAGGCGAGCGCCAAAGCAAAGATCTTGGATAGCACCATTTTCAAGAGGTAACGATTGGCGTTGTATCCAGATGTTTTCAGGAGAAATTCAAAGCTTAAATATTCATTTGACTTTGAGACATTCTGTGGGTATTGGTCGCAGCTGGTAGTCTCGTAAGCACCTTTCCTGAATGAATTTTGGAGAAGTGTCAGCAGATTAGATTAACTTTTGGAGATGGCAATTTATGTCCGGTGACACAGGTATTGCAATATGTCTTAGTAGACGCGCTATCTCCATCTCCACTGACGAATTGCTGGTTATAGTCATTATGTGGCGTTCTTCTCGCAATCCACTTCGGTGACATTCGGATGAGGACATTCTGCCAGAGCAATTACCAAAGTTTTGGTTACCAATCGAAAGATTTAGGCCTCTTATCGAATAATATGGTACTTTTCTAGACGTCCACCTAGCATATGGCGGACAATCTCAGGGTTTAATATAATGTTATCCAACCTTTCAGCACAAGCATATAGACATGTTCTAGATTGAATGGTTGAAGAAGCCCCTTCTAGTACGTGGGAATTGCAGAATGACGTTGATTTGAAATCGCTTCTTACAATTTCGGTGAAGATTCAACCGATCCTGGTTCACGCGGCATGGTCGGATCCAAAAGTTCTTCTCCAAACAAGGACTCTCCTCTCCACTTCCCCAAATTTTGGGGATTCCCGTTTCCGCAATAAAAAGAGATCGAATTACTCGACATGGTCGTCAACCCTTCGAAGAGTTTATGACTCTTACTCATGGCTCCTAAAATATTTGTGTAAGTCTATCCACCCGCCACAACGGGGCTCAACTGAAAGATCCGCAGCACTGGCGCTACTGGCCTGATTGGAGGCGACTTTTTGGTCGTCGCCACGACTAAGCATCCAGACTGGGAAATTTCGGTTCTTGTCAGAGACATCGAGAAATGCAAAATTATTAACACGCATTTTCCGGGTGTTCGAGTCGTTCATGCATCGCTTGAAGATCTAGGCGTTTTGGAAAGAGAAAGTCGCGAGGCAGATGTGGTCCTGAGTACGCAACCCCTATCTCAACCTCTCCGAGGAATGGACCTTAGTATGTTCTAACTCGTCCGTAGACTTCGCCAATTGCGACCACCTTCCCGCAGCCGAAGCAATTATTCGCGGGTTGTCGCAGCGGGAGTATGTTGGCACTGTGATACACACGTCCGGCGCAAAGATCATCGCATGGGAGATGGAGTCCCAGCCTTCCACCTGGGGCAAATATATGCCTCGTCGCTACAATGACATGGAAGGCGTTGAAGAACTTACCCGAGGCCCATCCGACTCAAACCCAGAACCGACTGGGTACGATCACGTCCTCCCCAACTGGGCGGCGCATCGAGATGTTGATCTTGCAATCATGGATGGCTTTCGCAAACACAATAATATCCAAACGGCTATTGTGTGTCCACCGACTGTATACGGTCCATCTAGATTTCCGGGATTCACAAGATCGATCCAAATTCCCCGCCTGCTCAACGTGGTGCTTCAGGTTCGCCGGGCGTTTACGATAAATGGGAATCAGAACAGATGGAATATGATCCACACTCAGGATATATCTGAGATGTATGTTCTACTAGCCGAAGCGGCGGTAGACCAGAGACGGGAAGGGTTATGGAACGAAGAGGGCTATTACTTTGCAGAAAAAGGAGAGTTCGTTTGGGGCGACGTTATTAAACAGATTGCAACCCTTGGTTACCAAAAGGGTCTACTTGTTTCTGGGGAGCCCGTGGAGCTACAAAACGATCTTGTGCACCTGTTTTGGGGCGGTGGTCAGGTCAATATGAGCTCAACTAGCCTTGGAGAGGCTCGCCGAGCTAGAAAGCTTTTGGGTTGGAATCCGGTGAGAGATGACTTTATGGCCGACTTGGATCGAGTCATGGACGTAGAAGCAGAGCTTATCAAAGGGCGATTATTGAGTTGAGTATGGTAGCTGCATCTTTTTGTGACATCTGAACATTAGTTGACTTGCTTCTGCTCGGTCGCTCCAGTTGGGAACCCCTTGCCTCTATTGTCCCACTATCTTCTCCCTTTATGACACTCCCCGACATGTCCACATGTTTTTGTGAAGTCTTCTGAGAGCGCAGCCGCCATTTGCCAGGATGAGGTACGCATTTCCATTACATCCCAGAGGCAGCAGACTGCCTACTACGATAAGTACACAATGATATATAGCTATAGTTTAGCTGAATTGTGACTTCGTTGCTTCCGAAGGCTACTTCTGAAGGCTACTTCTGAAGGCTACTTCTTAAGGAAACAAATACATGCTAGACAGCATTGATATTTCTATGTCTTAGAAATTTCTCGTATATATAATTCCACTTCTTTCTCCAATCAGGACTTGCAAATCTCCAACAATATATCGGCTGTCTCCGTCGGCATGCTTTGGAATGGGGAATGACCGCTGTTCAGGCGGAAAACGCGCGGATGATTAAGTGATTTAATCATGGAGTCTTGAATCGTCGGTGGAAGCGCCACATCATCGTCGCAGACAATGTAGGCACTAGGTATAGTATGCCAGGGCTCTTCGGTAGCCCTTTCGGTGAACGAACGGAGACAAATATGTGGAAGCATATGCTTCGTTCTCGAAGCTTTGATTTCTGCAGGAACATCCTGCACCAGGTCCACATCAGAGTCTAGACGAACGTAGTCTCCCTGCGACTTGCGGTCAGCGAATATGTAAACCATGTAAGTAAAAGACCGACATACGTCAACTAGCATCCACGGCCACAATTGACCACCAACCATGTCTCTGAGATTCTTTCCTCGCTCGGCGACGAATGCGGCCACATAAACCAGACAAATCACACCTCCAGGCTTACCGGCCTTCTGTCTCTCTTGAAAGCCCAGGCCTGTGGCCGCTGCAGAGATGACCATTCCACCATATGAATGGCCGAGCAGTACGAGCTTTTCGCCCTGGTCCACCAGGTGGCAAACCAATTCCCGGAAGCGGTTCGAATCCTCTGTCAACCCCTTATTTGGGGGCTCTGCGCCGTTGGAAACATGGTCCACAGCCATCGAGCGAATTCCGCGCTTCTTCAATATGTCACCGAAGTCGTCATAGGCACTCCCACGGTTCCAAGCGCCAGGAGCGATGACGACGATTGGACTTTGCGATACACCCATGACGAAGGACAAAAGCTGCGCAAGAAGGGTCGGAAAGTTGCTTGATACGGCAGACGTGGATATATTCTGAGCTAGGCTTTGTTTATCCTGATGTGGACCGACCATATTTATGGACAGCTCCAGACCGAGAGCCGCAGCACATCATTCTCTTGCCAACTAAAAGTCTCCGAGAGTCTCCGCTGACTGGACTCGAGTTCGTCCGGTCCCTAGATAGAACAAATGTGGAATCAGATACTTGATCATGTAAGTAAGTACCATGCTACTGGTTTCTAAGCAAGTTTATACATTAGGGTTTGGAGAAGTGGAGGCGTGGGGACTGTACCGTGTTCCTTACTCTTACTAACTGCCGAGTTCTTGTCGTCGCTGTGCTTGCACTCAATTATTCACACCTCCTTGACGTCATGACTCGAACCAGAAAGATCTATACAGATTTTGCACTCACTGAACATTGGTACTGGTAGAGCTCACCTTTGGGTATTTAATGGCTCAATTATCCCAGGGAGACTCTGGATAGTACTTCATTCTCATCAACTTGTTTCTTCACTCTCAATTCCGATCTCAAACAACTCATCATGTCTCAGTCTGTTATTCGCGTCAATGGCCCGCGGAACTCTGTCCGGAACCTGAAGGACTTCAAAGAAGAGATTCCTGTGCCTAGCAAGCATGAGGTCTTGGTGAAGGTCCACTCGGTATCCATCAACTATCGCGACATTGGCGTCGCTAACTCGGCCTACCCATTCCCTGTCAAAGACAATGTTATCCCTTGCTCTGACGCTGCTGGCGTTGTTGTTGCCGTTGGCGAAGGTGTGAAGAGTCACTCCAAGGGCGACCGCGTTATCAGTACTTTCGACCCAACCAATCTCTACGGCCAGCAGATGGATTGGCTTAATGGTCACGGTGGCCCTGTGGATGGAGTTCTGCGTGAATACTTTACCATTCCTGCCGCTGCCGCTGTGAAGCTGCCCGAGAACTCTCCCCAGAGCTTTTCCGAATGGTCTACCTTGGTCTGCACTGGAGTGACCGCATGGAACGCACTTTATGCTCTTACTCCCCTGAAGCCGGGCCAGATCGTCCTCGCCCTCGGTAAGGACCTCTTTGCTTTTCCACTGAGGTAGTAAACCCCTGCTTACAAATGATGTCTGCGATCTAGGAACCGGTGGTGTGTCTATTACTGGTCTTCTGTTTGCCAAAGCGGCAGGCTGTACCACCATCATCACCTCTTCCAGTGATGAGAAGCTCAACGCTGTGAAGTCCAAGTTTGGCTTCGATTATACCGTCAACTACAAGACCAATCCCGAGTGGTCCAAGGAAGTCCTGCGCCTGACTAACGGCGAGGGTGTTGACTACGTTCTTGAGAACGGTGGATCCGGCACTATCGCCGAGAGCATTAATTCCGTGAAGATGGGCGGTAATGTGTCGGTTATTGGCTTCCTGTCCCAGGCTAATGAGATGCCTGACGTTGCTACCCTTGCTTTGGCTAAGGGTGCCGTCGTCCGTGGTGTTGTTGTTGGCTCTACTCAGCTTTTGCAGGAGGTCGTGAGGTTTGTTGCTCGCAAGGGAATCCGCCTCCCGGTGGAGAAGGAATTCGGTTTCTCTGCTGAGGAGACGTCCAAGGCTTATGAATATGTTCTATCGGGTTCTCATATTGGCAAGGTATGCATCAAGGTTTCTGAATGAGGGTTGTTCTTGACTCGGAGTTTATTATTTAGCGAGACGGGCAACGACGAAGGCAAGGGTTATCTTCGTGTGGAGCAGTCCCCTGGAATTTGTACAACATAGTGCATCTTTGTATCAATCAAATTTCCTTCATGTACCAGTATCGGGGCTTATGGCAGAACGACCCTGTTTGGCGACATGAGCTATATATCAATTGCCTCGGAAGCAACGTAATTTTTTATGTTTGCTTGCATCGCAGGGTAGTTCCAAGATACGCCGCCTAGCTCTGCCAACCGGGCATGGAAATTGATCGAAAACTTGCCCTCTAGGAACGTCCAGCCTAAAATACGTAAATAAGGTGTGCGGCCCTTTGTTAGTTCGAATCTGACTTGAACAAGGTCATCGACCCTTTTACCCTGCAGGTTACAATTGCGGACACTTGAGAGAAGGTGTGTTATGGGATTTATAGCCATCGCTACCTAGACTTCTCATTGATACAAGACAACAAGACACACGGTTCCTCTGTTAATCACTCAATTGAGGAGTGTGATCAAATTCTGCTTCGCAAATCTTTTGTCAGTACATATGAAAGGTAATCCGTTCTCTTTCCCCCCTCCCCGTCTGGAGCTCTTTTTGGCTTGATAGATCATCACTTTTCCTTCACTTTTATTTGAGACGCTAATGCAACTTTATTTTTAGTCTCGCTTTCACCAGGAATCCCATATTTCTGGTTAAGCTATTCTGAAGGTTTCTCTATTTGACTCAATCGCTCGGGTTTGATGTCGGCGTGTATACGGCATCGCATGTAGTATGTACTGTATAGGTGTAGAAGTGGGTCTATTTCTCCAAACATGTATCCACTTCTCCAAACTCAAAAAAGCTCCGCGTACTTTTCCCCTTTTCCGCCTGTGTACACTTATCTTTTTCGGAGCGTCACGATGCAATAATAATCTTGCCACTTTGTGAGAGGTTAGGGTACCATCTATCATTCGCCTTTTACTTCCGCCTTGTCTAAAGATAAATTGAGAATATAGTTTTCTCCAACCTCGCCGTAAGAAGTCGTGGAATCATGTTTTCGTTAAGAGTAATTAACCCAAGTCACTAATCATCTTTACGTCAAAGTTATACTGGGCGGTACATCTATAAATTGATACAGAATAATTCCCGTTTCACGACTACGAGAAGATTGAAAAACCAGAAAGCATTTGAGAAAGCAAGCACACAAGAAAGTTTGCATGGATAAGAAACAAAATACATAAAAATCAGTGGTCTAATCGTATCTCCAAAGCAGCAGAAAAATAATCCCAAAATTAAAAGTACCATTCAACAAATCATAACCCATTAAATCCCAATCAAGCGTGCGGCCCATCATACGCCGTATTCACCATCCTCTCATTCGACCCGATGCGATAACTCTCGTCATTACCCTCAAGCACAACCCCCTTATACCCACCCTTATCGCCCTTATCCGATCGCACACTCCAGACCGCATCATTCCACTGTCCCTTCCACACCCATCCCGGGTGATAGACCGTAAGCGCAATAACCGCCGCAGCAATCATCGCCCCCTCAAGCACCATGAACGTGATCTCATCATTGGCCAACTTGCCATCAAACCCCTCACTGAGCTCCGCGCACCGGAACACCGACCGCGTAATAATGGTTAGAGTCGCAACTCCCAAACTCAGCAGGAAACCTTGGAAGGGCTTCGTCTGGCGCAGGCCCTCGAAGAACGGGTTGAATTGGTGGGCGGCGGCACGGCGCGTGCGGAGGGCGAAATCCGTGCACAGTCCCACAAAGAGGAAGAGACTGAACACTTGCCACGAGACACCGGCGACCATGATGTTGATGCCGATGTCTGAGGTGTCTTTGTCGTCGGCGGTGGAGGCGATGGCGCCACCGGCGGCTTGCAGAATTAGGGCAATGATGTCGCACGTGATGAAGAGGATGGTGTAGGTGCGGGCGCGGAAGAATGGGATTTTTTCACCGTATGCGATGACGATCCGGGAGAGACAGAGATAGATGGCGGCGGAGAGGAAGGCAGGTCCGATTGTTAGGCAGACGAGGTACCTGGTTTTATTAGTATGCAGAATGTGTGGGGAGAGAAACAGGGTACATACATGAGAAAAGGGTCCGATGGAAAAGGGTTGTAATGCATCTGGATGCGAGCAACGTAGCCGATGATTTCTAGTGCTAGGCCGCCGATCATGGCGATCATGTAGCTCCACGTTTTGTATTTGATGCCGAAGCCGAGTTGGAAGGCAAGGACCAGGCCAAAGATTGCAACGAAGAAGATGTTACCCGCAAGGTTAGGGACATATTCGATGTTTGCTAGTTCCATGGGACATGTGTCCAGAGTACAAAGCTCCGGATTATGGAGTAGGGTGGTGTTTGTTGTAGGAGTTCCCGGCATTTTTGCGGTTAAGATATCAAGGTATGGACAAGAGTAAATGATGATTGTTGGTGCTGATTACCATCGAAGCCGGGGAACTGACACCCACTTTATAGACCTGCAACCTCGACTTTGGGTTCTGCCTTACTATAGGATTGTTCAGCCAAGGATTTAGCCCGGACCCCAGAGAAGCCATTGAACGAAGGGTCCATTCAGAGAGAACATAGATCAAACGCACAGCCATCTTCGTAGATTTTTACTTTCAAACTGATCGATCAGCTCCACTAGACACGAGAGAACGGAGCTCGGGGTCCTATGTCCGTCGGGCCCGGTTAGCCCAAGTCTGATACACCAAGTCTGACGGCCCCCAAATTCCGTTGAAGCTCTATAATTAGGGCTGATTAGCGGAACTGTGATTGGCCGGGCCGTAAATAAGAGCGGCTCGTCGCGAACGGCATTCCTGAAGTAGTAAGGATTGTCTCCATACAGACAAGTCCTTCGATTAGCCTTGTCGCCGGGAAATTTGGGATGCCTAAACAGTTGGTGATGGCGTCATAAGCGAACAGGCATCAACCATCCAAAATAGAAAGCCTCATTATTCAAGGGTCCTTGAAACATGCTGAGCCTGACTCGGTTATCACCGAAAACTGCAGCATAGCCTGGCTATTGCGCTCCCGGCACTGATGAGGGAACGGTCCAGAATTACCCCTATCAATCCACGAAGGACATATCCTCTAAAAGACGAGTCCACCGCTACTCTGACTGTCAGAATCTTCGGGGAGAATCCGAATCCTTTCTTGGCGGCTTCTACTCCGACTCCATGCGTTTTCCAGATCTGGTGAACCTTGCGGCCGCACTAATGGACAATAATATCCCAGGATTAACCTCGTATTCCTCTAAGTTCTACTCTATTTCATTCCCAGTGTACCCACTTAGTCTGACAGTGCCATTCCTTGTCCTGACCGTTCGGCCTGGTTAGGACGGTTATCTGACACGGACTTGCCTCCTTCTCATCCTTTCCCTTCGACTCGTACACCCGTTGCTGGTCGGTCGGAACCCTTTTTTCGATCGGCAGTGCCAACAAATCTTGCTCTTCTAGCTCTATTACCATCTCTGCCACTTTCAGGAATCGCTTTTGTCGCCAGAGGCCTTCTTGCTCCGGACTCCGAGATATGACGTCCAATGCTCTCCGCCGGACGAGCGGCTGACGACACTTGATTGCGCTCCAGTACAACATCGGAATGACTCCTGCTTCAAGAGTGAATCGTTTATTCAGGTTTCCAGCTTCAGGATCCCTGTCGTTGTTGTTTGCAACGAGGTGTTCCGCATCTCTTACAATCGCCTCGAATGTTTCGATTTGATCATCGTATATCATCTCGTCCATTGCTAGGCATGTTTCCGTCCATATTTGCGACACTCGACACTGAATCCACAGAAGTAGTGACGCTCGACAATCAGTGGACTTCATCGTTTGCTGGTCCGCTGCCAGGAACCTTTCGAAAGCATTCTTCCACGCTTCAAATTCTCGACATAATTCCTGTTGGCGTGGTAGGCAACCGTCTCTACCCCCGGCCACACTTTTCTTGAATGATGCTTCGCGAACGAACACTAATCCTATGTTCATCAGGCGATCTAACGAATGTCTGGCCTCAGATATTTGCGTGAAGGCAATTTCCCCCGTGGTGTGGTGTTTTGGTACTGGATCGTCCAGCTGGAACACCATCATCGATCGTTTGTGAAAAGACAGTTGGATGTTCAGTCGCAGGCTGAGATGTGACAGTTCCCGGTCCATATCCCTCGTCAGTGCCGAGTATTGACCGGTAGCATCGCGACGATGTAAAATCCGCATCCCCGACTCCAAGTGATTCAATGCTTGCGAATTATCCCCTTTCAGCATCTCCAGGCACATAAACAAATAACACGTGATAAGAGTCAGATCTATCGTCTGGTCTGGCGATGACATATACTCGATCAGATGCTTGATCGCCTTGTTATACTGCTGCAGCGCAAATTCCTCATTCGCCCTGTGCAACACCAGCCCGCGACACAGGAATTCCTCATGCGCCGCACTGACCGCCGCAACAGCATGTCTGACCAGCGGTACAGAATGACTGATTTGCGGCAGTAATCGGTCCCATAGCTCGCTTTGAAACACTCCCGACATGGCGCGCGCGGTCTGCGTGCAGAAGAAATGCACATATTTCTGCTCCTCGCGCGTCCCGGGGAGCAAGACAATATGGCCCGACGGATCGATCTGGGGAGCTGCGCGCGCTACAACTTGGTTCTGCGATTTCTTCGCGGGTGGTTTATCGTATCCATCGCATTTGCGCCCGGTCTTTCTGCACTGAGCACATTCCGGCTTCTCCTCGTCGCATTTGATATGGCGGATTCTGGTCTCGTCAGCGGACACTCTTATCACAAACAGCGCGCAACATACTTGCATGTAGAACATCCCGTTCTAGTCTTTGGCTTACTCGCGCGTTTCCATTTACCCGGCATGTTGACTTCGCATCTATCCCTGAATCACCAAGTTGTGGAAGAAAAAGCGGTGAAATGCAGTATTCAGGATTGGCATTTCCGCCCCCAAGAGCCTCACATTCCTTCGACATTAGTCAATACCTAAGAGGGAACAAGGCTAACCAATAGCAGTCCACGAGATCTAATTCGGTTAGAGTGATAATTATCCTTCTTGCCTAGTACCTATCAGTTTCAGATCATATTTTCCCCCAAAACGCAACACAGCCTCAAACTAGGCATCCCGCCAAGACCATGCATAGCCGTGACTTGACGAAGACGCTGCAGACAGAAGCATTTCGCCAGACTCTGCTTCGTCATATTTCTAAATTCAACACGTGGTTGCCTGGAACAGTATTCATTAAAGTCTGGCCCGTTGTCTGCGACGCGCGATGATTCTCCTCAGTGCAGCGGAGGCCGGATTAAAGTATTGCTACAGATTAAGGGTTGCCCCTATGGTGCCTGTCTCCAATGGCTGAAGGCCGCTGAAAGGATCGACCGCCCCCAGATCAGGCTTGGTTTAGTTCAATTGCTCTTTTCTGTGTCGCTTTGTGGGTCTTCCTTAGGGTCGTTATGTAAGTCGGGTCGGAGATCGCGGGCTTTGGCGCGTCGGATCGGAGTTGTTGTTGATCTCCATCTCCTATTTTGGACTTTAGCAATCGATACTAACTCAATGGATGTTGTATTTTCTTCGCTTAAAATCTCGATCTGTGCTATACAGTGTTTAATTTTAGGGAGGGTGTTCTCCTTTGCACAGTGAACGCGTAATTCTTAAGAGCATCGCCACACAATCATTCGGCTGGGATAAAGCGGTCCACAAAATGACATTTTCATTGCCGTCTCATGAAGTTCTTCAAAGAACCCAGAATTCATCCCATCCTGGGCAAGCTTCTGAATTGATCCATTTTCCTCCAGCATTAAAACATATTTAACCTTATCTGCTAGGTCCCAACCGACGGAATGGTTCGTCTTCTCTGCTATCATGTGCATGTCTCTACCACCTCGTTGCTTGTGAAGTAATACAGAAATTTTCAGGGCCCAAATTTCCTCACTTTCTGCCAGTATTGAAGTACAATCTTTCGTCTGTTCTCCATCATCATCGTGAACCACAGGCCTCTCCGGCTTATAACGAACTCAATATGAAACAGCAATTGAGTCGAGTTAAGAACAGAACATCAATCAAGTGGGATTCACAAGTCTCAATGCATGAAACTGTTGATATTCCATACACACATATCCTTCTACAGCTAACCGTCCGAGGGTGTCAGAAATTACTGTTAAGGATATACCTTCCCGTGAGATGACCCGCAGCTGCGTCAGCAGTATCCATAGTTAATGCCCTGTCTTTTCTCCGCTTGCTTGCTCGGTTCTTGATCTTGAAGCCTTTCAGATTGATTGTTTCCTGGGGCTCCACTGTTTATTACCGATGCTAACGGTGCTGGCATCGAACTTCACGCCGATTCCGGGCTTCTTGTCCTTATGCCAATCAAAATAGTTCCCGTAGCATCATGACCAAGGGTAGACTTTATGAAATTATCTTTGGTGTTGTTTTTGGCTGAAAGAAACGTCGATCTCGCGAGTTGGCCGTTTGCTTTCCAGCATAAACTCAGCGCAAGATTGGCGTTGGCTAGCCCGACCCAAAGCGACGGCGAGCAAGATCGATTTGTCTCGACGTTTGTTCGACTTCGCACCGGAACCCTTCGCATTTGGCGCCCCTTGAGAGCCCTAGGTCTTGATTCCTGATTCTTTATTCGCAGTTTTTAACCTGACGGTTGATTTGCCTCACCTGTTTCCAACCCCCACTGCCGTTCGTCTTCTTTCGTGACTGTGAATGGGGCCTTTATGGGACGAACCGAAACACAGCTTCTATCCACCAGTTTGGTACTGTCAATAGGAATGTGCTGTGTATGTTCCATAGTTTCTCGTTGCCTGCAGACATGAACTTGTCGACATCCATGTTCTGGTCACGTTCCTGGGCCCCAGTAAAGAACACGGCTTTCTCATATGTTGAGAGAAAACCGTACCTCAAGGATAAATCCTTGAGGTACGTGGCCATTTGTCCTAGGAGGACGTCAGTTGCTCAGTTCCGCTTCTATAGAAACTTGCTCACCGATCATGCGTCGCCAGTCCCCCTCGCCCTGGATCAGCTTTCCCAGGTTATGCGCCTCAACCACTTCCCGGTTCTTTCGTGCATGACATGTCCGCTCATACTTCTTTAAGATCGACCAGCCAAATGCTCCATGCGCACCCCTGTGGGCGTAATTCAGTGCAATATGCGAAATGCTTGTCCTTGGATATTGAACCCCATTGCGACGATTTATCCCAGGGCTTGATCTTTCCCATCTAGGGGGCATGGTGCAATGCAATGATACTTTGCAGGGTTCTTTTGTCGCTCGCCCGACTCAACGCGGAAGTGAAGAACATCCCAAAGATGGGACCCGAAGTCCACAGACCGTAACTATCAATGTATACCATAAAATGCTTCAAGAAACGCTGTAAACTGTCATATACTCGGGTGCGGTAGGGTTTCTTTGCGTTGCTATCTCTTTCGCGGCATCCCAATGGAAGACCCAAATGCGATAAAATGCCCTTGTATATTATCGCAAGGTTGAAGATATATGGTAAGACGGGTCTCTTAAATTCTCCTTTTTGACCGCCTCGGTGCGTTTGCGGTAAAGACGAAATCTAAACTGTAAGCTGATACTCCAATGGCTTGATATGTTGAATGTGATGATCCGGATAATCCTGCAGTACGCAAAATGACTTGCTCAAGTTGGACATGATGGAGATCAGTCGATTGAGTATGTTCAATGTGAGAAGTGGGCCAGGATTGAAAGAGCCCCGGGCTGTTTTCCCCACCCGAGTGCAAGTTATGTCTTCCCACAAATGCCATTAGTCCATTGCCTCTTCGTTTGAAAGGCCGACTTTAGACACCTCGCTCGTATGCAGGGATGGCTCATGTCCAGTCTGGGTGGAACCTGCATATTCCCGGAGGCGGCTCATGTACACTGACCACGCGTTGTCGATATCCGTGACATCCGCGTCGCTGGCCGTGGCACTCGCTCCCTCTAGACCCATGTGACTCGACAACTATGACAGGGCTTTTTGTCTTTTTGAACTCTGTATCACAGTGACCAATCTGCAGCCCGGACAATTGCGCTCTGGGCTTTTGCTTTCAGCAGTTGTTCGGTCTTTAGGCGCTTGCTGCCTGAATGTGTGATGGCCCAGAGCACAACCTTGCCTTGAAGTGTCTAGATCGATGTGTTGCCGGTCGTCAACGGCAATGATCGTGGCGTTGCCGATAATAACTGCCAGTGTGTGTTCTGTGCACAGAGCAGATCTCTCAACCGGGGTTCATTATCATCCAGGAATTGGGCTGAAATGGATTAGGAAGAACAAGGGGTCTGCGAAACACAGATCATTTTGCAGGTCATTGTAGTATACGAACGGCTGCGGATAGGTTGGGCGACGCGTCGTGTCGCATAGAGGGCAGGAGACGTTCAAAGTGGCTGTAATGGGTTTTCTGAACTTCCTGTCATGACAATACATGCGAAACTGAAGGATTTATTGTTTTCTAGGGCATGATTTGATGGAAGCGATGTTGTTGCGTCAAAGGCTCTGTCCGAACCACCTGGCTGCTGCGGTCGACGTCCGCTCTCTCGATAATATGCAGAGAGCATACAATGGCCAATTTGACGATTAATCGGATGGATTTCAATATAATTTTATGAACTTTGTTTTGAGTGTTAATGGCCATTGGTTAAAATATGATCGTTTCTTGCTCGTTGTGAAAGATGCAAATGTTGTTCCATGATGTCAGTCTCAAAGGGCTGTATCTCAATAGCGAGCTTCCTTTTGTGGCTGGTTATAATAGATATTGTTAGTTAAATGCCTACAACATAATCTCTGCAATACCTTTTTTCACATACCTTCGCTTGATCCAGGCTCGGCACCATATCACCAGAGAAAGTTTGACCCGTCCACTGGGATAACCAAGGTATCATGTACCAAGCTTATGAACGTTGTCACTCTGTATTCTCACGTGCGGCCTGCCAATCGAGCCTTTCGCCAGTATGTGGAAGTTTGAATCAGAGCTCTTAATGCTTTGCTGAGATCTGTGCCTTATTTTTGTTTATGCCGTCAGCAAGCAGAAATCTTCCCGGGAGCAATTACATCTCCGAAAGAAAATCTGACAACCAAAGTGTAACTTAGTCGTTTTTGGAGAAGAAGCGAGATCTTTCTTTCCTTGTTGGAGGAATGGCTGATGGAACTTTCTGCTGCGTTTGTGGATTGTCGAATCGCAACTGTCAATCGACCTGCCAAATGCATTGGACAGTAGGTATGATTCTTAAGTTACGACAGCAACGTCTGCGATTTTTATGACTCCTTTGAACCGTTAAATGGTCTGGGTTTATCTTGTGACACGCTCAGTGGTATTTTGGCTCTTTCACTAGAAAAGATCAGAATTATTCTTTGCTCGTGGAACAGGTATCTTTTACTTACTGATATTCTCCGGTTTTTTGCCACTTCTCGCACTCTTGTTCCTACTTTCTCCAGTGACACTACCGAGAAGTACCCATTCCCTGGTATAGCTCGTCTGTAGGACCTAGGGTAGCAGATTGTGTCGTCGGTTGTTTAGTCGGTGGGATTGTCCATATCTTGAGAACTTAACTGTCACCAGCTGATGCTATGTACCACGACAGTGTCAGGATGTTTAGAATTGCTGCCAGGAATGCTTTCGGCGGAATCCAAAACCCTGTTGTTTGAAACAGATTGTCTGATGATCGCGGCAGCTCGTAGAATTCCAGGCCTATGTAGTTGTAGGCAGCAGATCTAGAGAATCTGATTCCGACCCGCAATTACAACGTTTAGTCGCAGATTCGTATTCTTCCTTCACCACTGTAATAGCCTTTCGATTTTTATTCCAGCAGATTCAGCATGAACATAATCTACCAAGGTTGAAGTTATGGCTTTGGCTTTTTCCTTTTTTGGGGGCACATGGCGTCAAAATCGTAGGTCCATATTGACCCCCTTATGTCCTCGCCAAAATCGCGATGATCTGCCAGTCTGACAAATGTACAGGCTTGAGGGGGATTCTTGTGGGATTGGTAGGATGGTATAGTATGAGACTCATTTTGAATCCTAGGTTCAGGGATAACGGTGGAAGATTGAATCTCTGTAGTATCGGCCATATGCAGAAGTAACATAATTATCTTCGATTTATGCACGATGGGATGTTGAAGGTTCATCTGAAACAGGAGAAGAAAGATGACGATGACTTCAAGAAAGGTAGATGTAGGAGGAAGAAAGCTTTGGGCCAGGTGGTGGGAGGCTCCGGGTATATATATTAGAATAGTGAATGGCCAACGGTTCAGGATGTCCGACAATGAATGTTCAAATTGAAGTACCAGACTGATATATTCACTCCGAAAATCACTATGAAAGAAAGGACCGGTCTACTGAGCGTATTTGGGGAATATTGTAGGAGATTCACTAGTTAAATTCTAGGCAAACATAGGAAGCATGTTTTCGGAAGGATGTTTACAAGAAATGACTGGGTACAACGATCGCAGACAGTAAATGTAGAAATTCTAATTATTAGTTCTTGACGTCAGCCTTAGATAGAATGATTGAACTACAGCATTGGTAGACATAATGGTCCATCTAAGAATTCTTCGAACGCGAGGAAAATGTGATTTACTGGTTAATTGAGCCGCATGTGTTCGAGTGAGCGAACCATAACCAAGGAACCTATGGGCCATTCTTGGTACAGCGCGAATGACAGACTGGCGTGGTCTAGATCGATAGCAGCAGTCTAACTAAAGGAATCAGCACAATACTACCACAAGTGCAGTGGTGTAACCTGTATAAGGATGGCATGACGCATCCCCTCACGACTTTTCGGTCGCATGCATGGTGACCGGCATTATCAGGGACCACACCAGGAATCGGTGCAATGAGCACACCATCAGGATGTGACGTCGGGTAATTATACCCGGGCTTACCAACATCTGACCACATTAAGGTCAATGCAGGGATTCCACTCCGATCGACCAGCCGATGACCAAGAAAGTCATCTCCCGTTTAAGCTCAAATACGAACTCCGAATGATTCAACAAACAGCCCGTTGGGATCCACAACGAGAATCAGGCACGAGTCGGCTATACTCGGAAAGACCACGGCGCAAGAACCCTGCCCTATGAAACAGAGGCTGAAATGCAGTCCGACCCAACGCACGATCACTGCATCCATAACCGAACTTTTCGGGTATTCAATACATCAACGTGCATCACCGACCCATCGCCATTCTCGCAGGAAACAACGACTGGTCAATCAGGCCAGAGTCCCTCCACAAATCGCGCGTCAGAAGCGGCACGACGGAGTCGCATCTCCAACACCCCCAGGGCCTAAAGCAGCCTATTATTCATAGAAACTCACACTCAGACCACGATAGACCCACTCGTGCATTCAGACTCCGGAGAAAATGGGACTTCCCCAGAATTCCCCGTACTCGTGCTCCAACAGAATCGGAGGGTTGTGATGATCGGCTTAGAAAGGGAAATGCGACGCAATTCGTACGCAGTTGAAGTCATCGCAACATGTCGGTGACGACGAAAATGCCTCACTGTCGGGCGACGGGTGATGGACGGTCGGCAGGGATCTCCCCGAAGACGAGAGCGTGCTCACAAGTCTTCCGTGCTGGATGAGCTCTGGATGACGGCTGAGAGGCTATTACCTAACGGGTAATTAAACCGCCTCAACTGGCTCTGGGCGTGTTGGTGATGCATGGCTGGGCGAGACAAGATCTGGACTCGGACTTAGTCTAGACTGCCGGGCTGCATTCTCCGGATTTGGACGGTCCGCGTGCATTCCTGGCGGACCGTCGGCCATGGTCGCCGATGACACTCCGTGACCTCCGTGACGACCGGTGAGGTAGTATTGGTGTCCTGGTAGCACTGGTAGTATTAAGGCCACAGGACTTCCCAGCTGCAATCCCGAAGACGAATGCCAGGACATTTAACTAGAATTCAATTGGCAGCCTCCCGACCGGAGAAAGGCATGCGCGGAGGAATCACGGAGAAAACGCTCGGTCGAGGAGAACAATGCTCCGGTCTCAGACGGACGGCGACCGACCGCAAGCAACCTATGCGGAGGACGATCCCGGTTTAGGCTCGGGGCTTGATTGCGCCGCCTGCAACGGTGGATCTTCTTGAACCAATCACTGCAGCGGGAACTTACTTTTAGGTAATGCCAAGATCGTCAGGCGGGTACGCCACTGCAGGGAAGGATGCGAGCGGTGAGTCCGTTCAACCTGCTGTGTTCAATATTAGTAAATCTTTCGTCCTTATCTCGAGTCCCGCTAAATAAGGTGAATCCATGTGGTAATGGCAACGCCCTGATGGATTCGGACGGAGTACTACGGAGTACTACGGAGTAGCTGCATCCATCGTGACATGACTATGATGGCACAAACGACTCGGTCGGGTCCGGGGAAATAAACGAGGAAAGGGAAGTCAAATTCTATTTGCATTTGGCTACTGCGTACAACTCAATTTAAGGTCGATTTGGAGAATAGAACGGAGGGCAGTTGGAGTACTCTCCACAGGAATCTAGCCTCATCGGTATCACTTCATACTTGCAGCGTCTTATGAAGGATGCACTCCTTTCGGAGCACCTAGGACCATGCATGATATCAACGATCAACAGGGTAAGTCTCACGAGATGATAACCCCGGGGATTACCCGTTCGGTTGACACATTGGGGACGCATATCATTATCAGCAGGGTAATCTGGCTGTTCGATCGTGACCTCATGTGCAACGGATGCCATACCCTGCGCAGGTGGCACGTTGTGTTCACCTGTCCTGCTGGTTCCGCCGTATCCGCTCCGCAGCATCAGGCTAGAGTTCATCGACTGCCATCTCAGCACCACGTACTGAATCATGCGAGGACTCAGCACGGAGTACTCCGGAGTAGACAACCTCTTGCTAAATCAAGTTCAATTGAGAATGGCAAATCACAACGTAAAGGAAGGGCAGTAAAATCAGAGATTGTCGCCCTCGTGCCGGGCTCCGACTGACTCGAAAGGTGGCAATTCTCAGAATGTCCGCTTAACCCCGCAACATTTTTGCGGGGACTTTCTTTTCTTTTTTTTCCCTTTTTCTTTTTCCTCTTTTTCTTTTTCCTCTTTTTCTTTTTCTTTTTTTTTTTTTTTTTAGATGAAGACGGGGACAATCCGAGCTTGCCACACCAACAGAAGCCCCACGTCGCAGCGCGAGCAATGTCGTACCACCAATGGGCGGCCGCTGATTGGTGCAGCAGGTTTAAGCCTTTCCCCTAGGCCCGATTCGGATCTGGCCGGCCCACCAGTGCCTGGCTGGAATTGGCTGGAATTGGTTGAGCTTGGCCTGCAAGTGGTCCATGTGGTTCGTCGTCCAAGATAACGCCACGGAATCTTATTAGTCAAAAAAAATCGTTTGATTTGTCCCGCGCGGTCACCGATAGACGAGTCCCCTTGTGCCCAGCCGGCCCACTCCTCTAGTCGCTCTGCACGCTAACACTAGGGCTACTGCCTTCTTATTCCTTCTTCGCCTTCTACCGCCCACTCCGCTGCCCGGTTTTCATTTTTATATGTAACCGTCTGGTCTCCCGGTACCTGTTCTCTTTTCTTCTTCACTGCTCTGCTTGTCGACAGTCGCGCTCCTCGACCTCCCCTTCTCAGGAAACCGACTCGACTCGGGAGTAGCCAACCTCCTTCCTATTCCGTTTGCATCTACAACCCCACCCCACCTAATATTTCTCTCTACCCCCTCACAATGAACGACATCGCCGAGTATCCCGGCTACAACTCCAAGCCCATGGACAGCGAGAAGGGTGAGAAGTTCGCCGGCCTCCCTCAGTATGAGGGTGTCGCTGAGGGCGAGATGAAGATGACCGATGAGGAGCGCAACGTCTACGAGCATGGTGTGCAGAAGTTCAACCGTCTCGGCTGGAAACGCCTGACGATTGTCCTCATCGTGGAGGCCATTGCGCTGGGTAGTCTGTCCATTCCATCCTCCTTCGCCACCCTCGGTATGGTCGCCGGTATCATCTGTACCATCGGTCTCGGTCTCGTCGCCATCTACACCAGTCACGTTATTGGTCAGGTCAAACTGAAGTTCCCTCACATCGCCCACTACCCCGACGCCGGTCGCCTGCTCTTCGGTCGATTTGGCTACATCCTCGTGTACATCATGCTGGGTCTCGAACTTACCTTCCTGACCGGTTCGCACGCCCTCACCGGTACGATCGCGTTCACCACCATCACCGAGAGTGGAGTCTGCTCGGTCGTGTTTGCCGTCGTTTCCGCCATCATTCTCCTGCTCCTTGCCGTTCCGCCTAGTTTCACGGAGATGGCCGTCCTGGGTTACATCGATTTTGCCTCGATCATCATCGCTATCGGCATCACCATCATCGGCACCGGTATCGACAGCACGAACGCTCCCGGTGGTCTGGCGGCCGTGAACTGGTCCGCATGGCCCAAGGAAGGTATCACCTTCACCGACGCCTTCATCGCTCTCTCCAACATCATTTTCGCCTACAGCTTCGCGCTCTGCCAGTTCTCCTTCATGGACGAGATGCACACGCCTGCCGACTACGTCAAGTCCATCTGGGCCCTGGGTGCCACCGAAATCGTCATCTACACTCTGACCGGATCTCTCATCTACGCCTTCGTCGGCCAGGACGTCGGCAGCCCTGCTCTGCTGTCCGCCGGCCACACCCTCAGCAAGGTCGCTTTCGGCCTCGCTCTCCCCGTCATTTTCATTTCCGGATCCATCAACACCGTGGTCTGCGCTCGTATGATCCACGGCAAGATCTACGAGAACTCGCCCATCCGATTCATTAACACCAAGATGGGCTGGATGACGTGGCTGATTGCCATCACCATCATCACCGTGATCGCCTTCATCATCGCCGAAGTCATCCCCTTCTTCTCCGACCTGCTCTCCATCTGCTCGTCCCTGTTCGTCTCTGGCTTCACCTACTACTTCCCCGCGATCATGTGGTTCAAGCTCATCCGCGAGGGTTCGTGGACTTCGCCTAAGAACATCGTTCTCGGCCTAATGAACCTTCTCTCGCTGGCTATTGGCCTCATCACGCTGGTTGGAGGTACCTATGCCAGTATTGACGATATTGTAAGTTTTCTGCATTCAATCGTTCAGTATCCATATACTAATTCAATCCAGATTAACAACTACAACGCTGGCACTGTCCGCGGTGTTTTTACCTGCGCCAACCCCACATAATGGCATTGCATTCACGGTGTTTGAGCTTTTAATGGTTACGATATGTTGGGATCGGGTGTGGTTTGAGACTTTCCCCGTCCCATGATGATTTGATTTTCCGCGTGTAGATAGAGCTTTCAGATTCAGCGACATTGTATAGATCAATTGATGCGAACATTTATTTATTATCGGACCTGGAGTACAGTCTATAGGACAGACTTGAACTTAGCGGGTGAAATACGGTAGAAAGAACCCACATCGTCAAAATCTCCCAAGTTAGTATGGCCACCTTAACCTGAAACGGCAAGCTCGTGTCAAGAGACAGGTGAGTTTGCGCTAGAAAATTCCACCCGATGCGATCCATGGTTGGACGTGTCGGCATTTCACTTCTGTCGCCGATCTCTCGGGGTTGACTTTTTTTCCCGACTCGGTTGGGTTGGGGACTGTGTCAGCTAACGAATTCAGATACGACCATTTTTGAGCCACTTGAATCAACTAACCCGCCAGCCTAGAGTATCTCCGGAAAGGCGCAATACTCCGAGAATTGCCCACTGCACAGACCAGACCAGACATGAACATCGGAGTACATACGTGGTCTGAAACATCGCACAGGACAGCGACGATCACTACCCTCCTTGATACGCAGGTAGAGGGCGGTGCGGACGTTATTGCTAATTGCTAAGTTGTTATTTAAGTTCTGATAAGATAACCAACCCAACCCAGCCCAAGACACGGAATGATATTAATGGCTCGGGAGCTACCGATAGCCTTTAGACTACCTTCCTTTAGTTAAGGTACCCCATAGGTAGATATTATCAATAAGTGTATGTAAACTGCTCGGGTGGGATAGGATAGGATGGATCATGCCACGGACTAGGCTATATCTATTTTTCTTCCTTCGGGTGAGGTTTGTTTTCGTCTAGATTAGGATTCGGAGGACGCGTACCCCGTAAATAAAGATGAGCTGATAGTGATATCATATTTGAGACTAGGATAATGGCGACAGATGGTCATCGATTTGTTGTTTTGTTGTGTATGGTTTTGGCTAGGTCAAGCTGTACCTGCAGCTACCTACTGTAGGTATGATGAATGGGTATTGCGTCTGGAAATTGGATTGTCTGTGGGGCGGGTTTCTTTGTGGGATTTCACTGCAGTGTTTTTAGTGTTTAATAGGAATAATTTTATCGCTGATTGTTATCCTAGATTGATTTGTGATATGATTGTCGTTTTTCGCTCGGTAGGGTTGTCATCGTCAACCGCTATATACTATCGGAAGCATGGCTAGGATAAGATTCTATTTCATGATGTCCATCATCAAAGTCCCACAAGATTATAAAAAGAAAAAGAAAATATGTGACGATAAGGGATAACGGAAGGGCTTCTTGATAAGAAAAAAAAGAGAAAAAGAAAAAAAAGAACATGTGTCTGTTGCACTGCGTGCTGAGTGCATTGTTATGGAGGATTGGATAAATAAGTATTGAGTTATTTTGACGGACATATTCTAGCTATATCAGCGAAGAAAGAAGCAACAGAAGGTAATAATACTCGAAATAAAAGGGCATCGATCTAGGTTTGACCGTGTGAAGTTTACTGATATAAAGCTTGGTCCTGTTTTAATGCCATGTCTATTTCCAAGTTATTTCAAACCTTTGCAAGAACCAAACCCCAATGAAAATATACAGGTATAAACATGATGAATTGTAGATGTACAAGCACCAGCCCACTAAATAGGTACATATACAAACAGCAAGACTATGTTCGGATATAGTATAGTATATAAAAGAAACAGAACTAATCCAGCACCACCACCCCAACCCTCCCTCTCTCCAATCCCACCTGACCACTCTCATCCATCTTCTCTCGTAACCGCTCAAACTGCCTCCTCGTCTGAGCCCCCCTCGCCCTCCACGCCTCCATCAAGCTCTCCGACGAACAATACTCCCCCGCCAACCTCTCAATCTCCTCCACCCTCTCCCTCCCCCCCTCATCAAACGTAAGCGCCGCCCACGCCGCACTCAACGACATCGGCATATAATGCGACCCCAGCGGTCTCAGCTTCAACCCCCGTTCCCCCAACCCCTGAATCTCCTCAACCAGCACATCCAACTCCCGATCTAACACCCCCCTCTCAGATCCCAAAACCCAACACAACCGATTCAACATCGTCATCACCGCCAAAAACAGCCCATACGCCGTCTGGTAGTTGATCTGCGCGCGGATCGCCACTAACGACGCATTCGGACGCGCCACTAGTGTCGGGGAGCGGGCTATGGCGCGTAACTTGGGAAAATCGGACGCCATGTGCGAGTAGACGGTGAGGAGTTGCGTGGTGTGGGATTCTGGGTGGTGGATGAGGCGCGGGATGCGGGCGAAGTTGGGCACGGTGAGGGTTTCGAAGGGAGAGAGGAGTTGGTGGTTTGCGGGCAGGCGTGGGCCGTTTATTAGGAAGCGGTGGATTACGTGGGGATCGAGGTGGACGCGGGGGTCGAAGACGCTGTGGACGAGCTGGTTTTTGTTTTTGATTTAGTTAGTTGGAGGCTGTAGGGAATGGTAGTAGGGATGGGGACAGGAGGGAAGTACCACGGCCATGCAGAGGGTGCGAAGAAGCTGGATCTGGAAGTCATCGAGGTCCGGTTTTCGAGCGAGGTTCTTGAGGATCAGCGCGATGATGGCCGTGTGCATGAGATGGCCTTCGGAGTTGCCGGTGATCCAGTCCTACTCTCATCAGCAATAGTCTCGTCGACATTGGTGTATAGGTGCGCACCTCAGAAATCCACAACAGATAAATCGCACACAGCGTCTCAACTCCCAAGTCCACCTTCCCATCCTGCAACGACAACCGCAGCATATACAGCGCCCGCCCGTACTTCTCCAGCGCCAGCGACGAGCTCTCCTGCTTGAACAGACACGGCGCGGAATGCGTGACCGCCGCGACGGCCGCGTCCAGCGCCGGATGCACACCCACGCGACACGGCAACTGCGCAAAGAACACCCCGTAATACCCCAGATTATACCGTGCATCCTTGACCTCGAGCATATTGATCAGCGAGGCCTGCAGGCGGGCGGCGTCGCCGCAGAGGGCGCGCGCGGGTGCCACATACGCCACAGAGGGTGGGCGTCTGGCGCCACCCCCCTGCTGCTTCTGCAGGGCCGACGCCGAAGCATCGGGGGTGCGGTTTTCCGTGAACTTGAAGCGACGGGCGCCGCCGCCGATGCAGGGGATACCGAGCCGGGCGCAGCGACTGCAGGCGGGCTGTTCCTGGTCGCACTGGGTGGTTTAGCATGGCGGGATTTGCCACAAGAAGGGCTGACTTACTCGTTTCTTCTGCTTGCGACAGGCCTCGCAGCCTCGACTTGTCGGGACGCCGGGCATGGTGGCGGTTGAGTCATTGTGCGAGGGGCTCGATATGGCAGATCCCCCTTTGTGAGGAATTGGCGTGGTGGCCCCGGCTTGCTTGGCGGGCGGCCTGACCCCGCTTCGGGATTTATTGGAGTCAGTTCTGTCTGTGGGATTGATGAGGGGATTTCAAGGGAATATAGAGAATGCTCAGGGATGCATATTCCTTGGTTGGTCTGATTGCTGAGTTTCCGAATTCTTACCTCGCTGACGTTGGACTGCCTCGGATCAACTTGCTATTGGCAAAGGAGCATAACATTAGAAATAAAGTAAGAGAAAATAAATAAGATGACATGCAATGCTGATCGCATGAATCATGCAATCTAATCTTATCACACCCCCTGATTCAACATGTGATGAACCGGACATCCCGGCGCGTGACTCGGAGAACCCTCATGCTGAGGCAATGACCATCTCCAGTCCAGTATACAGCAGACAAAAAGTGCAGTCCTCCAGAATACTCCGCCAAGTATCCGAGAATTCTAGATTTAAGCTCAATCAGAATGTACAACCAATTGTTTCCGTGTTGCCACTAGGATTGTTGGTTCCACTCGGTCTGCGATGGACTATCTCCGGCTGCGGATGCCGGTCGGAGTTATGTATACTCCCAACTGTCAAGACATAAATACCCTCAACGCAACCAGAGTGCCATTGTCAAGCAAACAGCTTAAATCAATCTCTTGACTTCTCTTCAATCATATTGCAACACAAATCAACCCAAACCAACCAACCAAATGTCCCTCCCCAAAATCGCCATCTTCGGCGCCACCGGCCAACAAGGCCGCTCCATCGTCAACACCCTCCACACCCACTCCATCTTATCCAGACAATTCTCCCTGCGCGCCATAACCCGCAGCGCCTCCTCCCCAACCGCCCTCATCCTCGCCTCCCAAGGCATCGAAATCGTCGAAGCCGACCTCGACGACCCCTCCACCCTCCCGTCCGCCCTCGCAAACACCCACACCGTCGTCCTCATCACCCTCACCATCTACGACCCCCAGATCAAGACACGCGAATACGCCCAGACAAGAAACGTCGCCGACGCTGCCGTCGCCGCCGGCGCGCATCACATCATCTACTCCACCGCCGTGAACTGCCAGACCCTGTGGCCCGCGAACCTAACCCCCCGAGCTGTCCATGCGTTCGAGTCCAAGGCTGAGGCGGAGCTCTATCTGCGCACCTTGCCGATCAGGGTATCCTACTTCGCGCCGGGGTGCTTCATGCAGAATTTCACGACGTTCTTCGGGCCCAGACGACAGGGCGATGGGAGCTATGTTATGGTGAACGTCGTGGACAAGGATGCGAAGATCCCGTTGATTGATATTGAGGGGGATTCTGGGACGTTTGTGGCTAGTTTGTTGTTGAGAGGGGAGGCAGGGGAGACGATGTATGCGAGTGGGGGGTTGTATTCGTTTGAGGAGATTGTGGGGGTTATTTCGAAAGTGTCCGGGAAGGAGGTCAAGTATGTGCAGGTGCCGGAGGAGGTGTTTAAGGGGTTTATGAGTGAGGAGCAGGGTGGGAGGATCGTGAATATGATGAAGTGGTTTGAGGAGGTTGGGTATTTTGGGCCGAGGACGAGGGAGCTGGTGGAGGAGTCGAGTGCGAAGGTGCAGGGGAAGTTGACGAGTTTTGAGGAGTTTGCGGAGAGGAATTTTGTGGAGTTGGAATAGGATAATTGTCAAGTTGAGCTTGATTTAGATGTTGATCTAATTTTTGTGTATTGTTATATCTATTTCCTATTACTGTTCTTTACTACCAAACGGATAGGTAAATTGGGTACAGAGTGACTACTGCAGTTATAAAAAACCGTCCATACGCCAAGTGAAGCTGCGGGGAGTTTCTACCCCGTTGAAGCTAATATGTTCAATGCTTCTCGACGAGGAACCAAAGGGCCCATTCAGACTGGTCTTTTGGAGATGAACGATTTCGTGTCCAAGCTGTGGCCGGAGACGTGTCGCAATACGGGCGTAAACAAAGGAATTCCAACGAATGAGCCGCGAGAGGGGTTTAATCTAGGAGGGTATAATCGAGGTTATGTCACGCGCATTGCTTCGCTCGCTCGGTGTAGCTTCTGTTGAGCCTCTCAGTGCGTATCTGAATGACAACCGAGTCTAGAAGGCGTCTCACGGGACGATGGTCGAGATGGCGAAACAGTCTGTCGGAGCGCACTTTCATCTTGTTGGGATTGCGCTATGAGGCCACTTCGTAAGGGGGAGGGGCGTTTGGTGAATGAGAGGTTGGTGGGTTATGGCACGCAGAATCTGCAAGTTGTGGATGCGAGTGTTTCTCCGTTGCAGTGCCAGGGGAATATTCTGTTCTTCGTGTATGCTGTTGCGGAGAGAGCTGCAGATGTTGTACAGGAGGATTTTGTAATCGCAAAACATGGCGAGATTTGATGGCCAGATTGCGTTTGCCGTCATATGGACACCACTCTTTGTCTGTCATGCTATGCCAGGTACAAGATCTGCTAGTTGAATCAGACGTTGACCATTCGAGTCGTTGTATTATGTCAAGCTCAGACAGGATCTTCAAGTAAACGAGCTTATTTTGACTTAAGAATCTTAAACATCTGTCCACCTATAGGAACCCCTTTCCAAATATCCTAACTTTTCGATACTCCTAGTTCCTCACTGTACATCATTAGCTCGCTCTCTCCGCGAATCACAAACCAACCCTATCGCGAACCCTATCGGGCAGTCGGGCACTAACAGCACTAACAGCACTAACAGCACTAGAGGATTAGACAATCCACTAAGTCATGGCGAGCGGGGTTGACCACTTAAAACGGGACCCCTCGTCGTCTATAGCTTCTTCATCTTCGTTATCTCACCATCAGATAGCCAACATCGCCAAAATGGAGGAACTCTCGATGATCGACCCCCATGGCACTCAGCTGCCTCCTATGGACAGGGGCAAAGACGCCTGGCTCTTCTTGGCGGCCTGTTTTATCATCGAAGCGTTGATCTGGGGTGTGTCTCCTTCTAACAGACATGAAATGCCATCGCTAACAGCACCAGGATTTAGCTTCGCCTTCGGTATCTTCCAAGACTACTACAGCACGCACCCGCCCTTTGCAGGATCCGGGAATATCGCTGTCATCGGCACCTGCGCCATGGGAGTCACCTATATCCTGGAGCCGCTGACCTTCGGCATCCTGCTCACATACCCCCGTCTGCGTCGACTAGCCAGCCCCGTCGGCTTCGTGATCATGTGTCTAGCACTATCATTGAGCTCGTTCTCTACGACAACCACGCACTTGATCCTCTCGCAGGGCATCTTCTACGGCCTCGGCGCTAACATCGCCTACACGCCCACCATCATCTTCATGGACGAGTGGTTCGCGCGAAGGAAGGGCCTCGCATTCGGTATCATGTGGGTACGTCAACGCCCCAATCCTTCACGCCCCTAAATTCCTCCCCCTTCCATGCTGCTTTAACAAAAGAAACCAGGCCGGAACCGGCCTCTCCGGCGTCATCCTCCCCATCGTCTTCCAATGGCTCCTCAACAGCTACGGCTACCAAACGACCCTCCGCATCTGGGCCCTCACGCTCTTCATCCTCGGCGCACCCCTCCTCTACTTCATCAAGCCCCGAATCCCCATCTCCTCCAGCCTGCGCCCGCGTCCCCTAAACTGGTCCTTCCTCAAGGAACGCTCCTTCGCCATCTACCAACTTGGCAACACCCTCGAAGCCCTGGGCTACTTCCTCCCCACCATCTATCTCCCCTCGTACGCGCGCACTCTCGGTGCCTCGTCCCTCTACGCCTCCCTAACCGCCATCCTCTTCAACGTGGGTACGGTCATTGGGTGTGTGGCCATGGGCTCCCTGGTCGACCGCTATCACGCGACTACCTGTATCCTGATCTCAACGGTGGGTAGCACCCTCGCCGTCTTCGTCCTCTGGGGCGTATCGATGACCCTCCCACCGCTTTATGTGTTCTGCATCGCCTACGGGCTGTTCGCCGGGTCGTTTACGTCTACCTGGCCGGCTGTGTGGATGGCGGTGAGGCGCCATAATGCGTTTGCGGACGCGGGGCTGGTGTTTGGGTTCTTGTGTGCTGGGAGGGGCGTGGGTAATGTGCTTAGTGGGCCGTTGAGTGAGGCGTTGATGAAGGTCGATTGGAGGGGGGTTGGAGGGGCTTATGCCGGGTCGTATGGTTGTTTGGTGGTTTTTACGGGTGTGTCGGCGCTGTTGGGCGGTGTTAGTGTGTTGGGGAGGCCGTTGAAGTGGGTTTGATTTCTTGGGAGGGTTTAGAGGAATGAAAGGTGGGTGGTTGGATCTCGAGTTTGGGGTATAGGGAAGGCTGATGATGTAGTGGGAAGGATAAAGCTTTCGGGTTTATATCTGCGTTGCCTACTGGGTATTTATTGGGAATCGTTGTTGGAGGGTACCGGATCAAATTGGACATGTGAGAGTCAGTCTGTTGGAAAAGGAATAGAACAATATAATATACACATAGCAATAGATAAGGAACCAACTCCGCCACTCTCTTCTCAACCTGTCTTTAAGCTTACATATACAAGCTCATATCCGGAACTGCTGTGCTTTCTCCCTCCTCTCCCGAGTCTGCATGGCCGCCAACAACTCACTCACCACTCCCACGAAGAATCCATTTTCGTCGGTCCTCGACACAGGCGGCGTCCACTTTGTCCAGCCATATGAGTTCGCACGAGAGAAGATGCTCTCCTTTGGCAATCGCGGTCCCAACGGAACCAGTGAGAGAACAGCGGTAGGGCCGAGCGTGAGAATATAATCCAGCCATGCTCCTATAGACAATCAGTGATGCTCTTCAATAGTCCCATACCGAGGGAGGCAAAAGGTCCAAGGGACATACTTAAAGCCCGTCGTTCCAACATCCTATCACCCTCCAGGATCTCAAGTCCCTCGAAGACCCCGAACCGTCTCGCCAGCGCCGTCTCATCCCTCAGAAAATCCAATAACGATGCCATCGCCATCCATATCTCAATCATATCACGCAACTGCGTCTCCGAGAGCGGACCCCGATTCCCTGCCGCAAACCCGCTCGGCGGCGAAAACAGCACCGTGTTGAAATCCTTCGGGTCCGGCGTCGTCGCACACACCACTGGAAGATCACGATGCTCGTCTCCATCGCCGAAGCAATCCCCTCTCAACCATCTTACCTGTCCGATGTAGTCGTTCTCCCTATTCTTGTGGTTCCCGAAAAGATGGCAGAACGTCCACACCCGCCAGATCGCCTCGTCGATTTCCACAGCCCGGGCGGACCGCCCATCGCGCATCGCAGAGAGCGTGTCCTCCCGCAGAATGAACCGCGCATGGTCGTAGAGCAGGAATTTGATCTGCGCGTGATTGATCAGGTCCATGGTGCAGTGGCGGATGTAGAGTGTTGCAGCGAGAGATTGGCCCCCGGTGTAAGGTGCCTTGTCCCAGCGCACTTCGCTCAGTTCGCGCAGTTCCCATGCGGCGGGGGACATTTTCCACAGGGTGGATTTGATGAGCGGGAGTTCGTGGGATTTCAGCGCTTTGTAGGCTGCGCGGTTGACGACCGCTAGGGAGAAGAGGTCCACCAGGTTGTCGACTTCTTGGAGGATGCGGAGCATGACGGACACGTGGGCAGAGGTGGATGAGTTGGTGGGTGTGGATGCACCGGTGCGAGGGCGCGGAAGGGGCTTGCTGTCTAGTTCGTGCGTGCTGCGTCTTTGAGGGGGTTGGATGGGGAGGCATGGGACGGAGGCGATGGGGGAGACGGTGGTGGATTGGATGAAGGGGGATTCGGGTGCTTTGCTGTGGTATCGGGGCATGTCGCGAAGGCCTTCGAGGAGTTGCTGTTGGGTTCGTTGGAGGAGCTGGGTGAGGGCTCGCTCGTCTTCTGCGTTTGACTGGTTGCTGAGACAGAGCGAGATGCGCTCGTCCATGAGGGCTGAGAGAACGCGTTTCATGCGGGTGACTGAGTCGCGATGGAGACGGGGTTTGCGTGCGGTGGGCTCTGTTTGAGGCTGGGCTGGGAGAGAGTGTGGTGCTTCAGGAGGAGGGATTGATTTCTGCTCTTCTGGGTTTGAAGCCACGGTCGGTTTCTCGGTTTCAGAGGTTGAGATCGGTTGTTTCTTCAGAGCAGGAAGAGGGCCTGGCCAACGCAGCCTCTCCAGTGACCATGACGGGCGAAGCCATTGGACAGCTCGATCCAAGAGATTGGATTGCTTGCGGGGGGCGTACGTGCGCTTCGTCTCAGGCACCTTTTTCTCTTCGGCCTTGGTGTCTTCCAACACGGGGCTTTGCTCTTTCAGCAATGGCTGCAGCTCGACATCCTCGTCGACACTCTCCGGTATGGCAATCTGAGATCGTATCCTCGACGCATGGCTCACTTTTCTCACTCGCCCGTGCCGCAGTGCCCCTTCACTTCCACCCACCGGGCGTAAATCGACCCACCTCTGCTCCTGTTTAGCTCGCTCCAAGGCCCGATCAATGGCATTGAAATGCTTTTGCTGCGGTTCTGTAGGCAGCGCGTAGTGTTTGGCCCGTCGCTGGTAAGACCCATATGGCGACTCGTGTTCTTTTGAACGGGGCGGCAGGGCTCGATTACCCAATGACTTAGAGTACCCATGGCCCGTTTCCAAAGGCAATGGCGGTAAAGGTCGATCCTTCAATTCCTCCATGCTCGGGGATTTGATTTTGTGCTGATGAAGCGGTTTGGAGACATGCTCTCGGCGAGGTGACTGTGCCAATGTCTGCTTCACTTCTCGGGGTAGATGGGCTGCAGACGGCCGCTCCTTGAGAGGGCTTGCAGCGTTGCAGTAGATTCCGAGTCCGGCAAGAATAGGACTCGGTTCATCAGAGCTTGGGTCTGTTGGACTGTGCAAGCTGAATTCGGAGCTTGCACTGCTATGGAACCCTCGGTTAACCAAGGTTTTCCCGCTGAGGTCGTTGTCTTCGGGTTGTTTGGCAACACGCTGACCTTGGTCATTTGTTTCGCGGGGAATGAACAGAGGAGAAGGAGATAGAGGACCTCGAGAGGAGGTTGAAGAATATTGTGGGTGTGACATGTTGATGCCGAGTGGTTCAATGGAAGCGATAGGGTGTGTTGTTTTCCATTCTTTCATGGCATGTCGGTGCAGTATATATATACCAAAACCGGGTTATCTTTATTCTACTCCTGATAGCACTGTTCAGGGAATGATGTTTGCTTCGATCCTAGATCCCCAGCATTAATGGATTGGTAAGAATCAGAGTCAGCAAGCTACCCCTACCGCAAGGCAAATTCATATCGAGGACATCTTGCCAACATGTTTCCAGCCGAAGCTGAGTTCTGATTTGCCTCACAGCCACAAATTAATATCCAAATGTTGGCTCATAAAGGTTAGAAGCATATATTGGCAGGGTAGCGAGGTGAGAGGCCCCAAGCGTCGTGCTGCGCCGAAAAAATATAGACGAAATGAGATCAAGCTTGAGGAAAATATGGTGAGTAGTGCTCAATTTCAAACACACGCCAGCCAGGGTAACCCTCATTCCGATCTTCGATAGAGTCACATATTGGTCTTGCATTCAAATAAACAAGGCGCATTATCCCGCAGCTTATTTGATCGTGGTAGAAGCAGGAACGAGCCGTTTCATGTTGAGACAGCGGGCGCATGGTTCCTGCAGGTTCAGACGAAATGCTGATCGCATCTGAATGTACTGCCCCAACTATGGTCACTTTAATTATCAGCTCCCGCGTTTAGTAAGACCTGAGCGAAAACCTGCTTCATTCATGGCTGTGCGGGAGCGAAATGGGATTCTAAGAATAGGCGACGATGCACGTCATATTAGCTTGGCAGTGCTCGGGATCAACCGATGGTCTGTGGGCTGGTTCAGCAGCAGATTATTATTAGGTGGTGGATTAAGGCTTATGCGTGTGCTGCCGTAGTCACCATGCATTAGCGGCATCCGGGATGGCTCTACAGCGACGATATCCAGTCAGCTGCCAGGAAATATTGAGTCGCGTCTTGGCGCGGGCGAAGTTCTGCATATTCAGCGGGATACGCTAATGCTGCAGGGTTTATTGATATTGAAGCGTATATTATTCATTATTTCTGATGCTGACTCAAGGTTGAACTGTGCGATCATTCAACCTTAGCTGAATCGCATCAATGTCGTGTGCTGAACACCTGAAATACGGATATGACTAAGTCGGCCTATATTGTCTCACTCAGAAACCTGACTTGCAATTCCAGGGATGCAGTCTCTCAGCTATACAGACAGGTTTCCTGATTAGATCACTCATGTTGGCTTCGTCGTCTCCTTGATTGGGCTTCATTTGGGTGGCAAATATGCAGGAACTGTTTCAGCCATCGGGCCTTTACGTTCTACCCGTTATGCCAGGTTCCTCTGAACTCTCGGGTAGGGCGGCAGCATCATTCAGGGGAACTGAGCTGCGCTTGCTCGTGGTGGCAACCGGTATCCGGTCTATAGTCATCAAATGCAGGACGGATCCGATAGCTCGGTTACCAATCATCGAGTGCATCGGATGAACTGTTGGTATGCGCAGTTTCTTTCTTCATCTTGTGCGCGAAAAATGTCCCAACCGTTGAGAAGATCATGTTTCATCTACAGCATAGCCAATAGGCTATACGCGGCAGCTTTGTTGGATGAACTTACGCCTGGAACGCATGACAGACAAAATGAGATCCCGTCATCCAGGACCGAGAGCGTTCTTCGATGCTCAGTCTCGGGCTCGGTTCTCTCTTTCCTTGTACAATCTCATATTGCAAGGCGCATGTAAGTTGTGCGCATACATGGGGTCTGAGGTAGGATACCCTAGTTTTGAGCGGATGGTTGAACTCGGTCAGAATCGGTTGACCTAGATTTTGGTCTCTCAAATCATGTTGGATACCATGCAGTGTAACCGATGAAGTCATGTGTTGTCATGACTGGGATGTTTAACTCGACACGAGGATGAGCTGCTGACGCGTTCAAATGGACTCGTGGTCGAATACTATCACCAGAACAGGGCGGATCCTAAAAATGTCACTATCAAAGATATGTTGCTACTTGTTTGAGGTCTTTATGACGGTGCTGACGTAGATGGACCGGGTAAGCACTTCTCCGAGAGTGGAAGTTTGGTTTGAACATGAAACGAAGCGATCTATAGATGGATGGCAAGTCATTCTGCGAGTAGAGTGATGTTGAAGTTGGAGTTGACCTTTTGGAGACGCGGCATTGGGGCGGTCACGTGGAATATCACCATCGGGATCTGACTAACCCCTATTGGCCTAGTGTGTCTGTTCCATATCTGACCAATCATAAGTCGACCGATGCTATCACGTGCCCCACCAAGAACGCCTTCGGAGCGACCGCCGAGTCGCCGGCTGTACTAATGCATCACTTTGGTTGGAAAGCTAGGTTGATATTCAGGCTTTCTGGTAGGCTGTAGGCTCTGTTAAGAAGCTGCCTGTAACCAGTGTATAGCCGATTGGGGCAATGAAACGCCAAACTCGATGAACTGCTATGGCGCCGCGCACCAGGAATATAGACGCCGAGCGTCAGGCACCCAGGCAGCAACCGGTCACGGAGATGGTTACCTCACCCATTCGCCAGCTTCGAGAGGCTTTCGGTGACCCCAAGCCGCCCGATATAACTCGGAAAATAACGGCCTGTGTAGCCTGTCGGAAGCAGAAGGTGTGTTGAGCTCAAAGGGGCCGTGTCTCATCGATTGGAGTTCTGACATGACTAGATCAAATGCCATATGAACGATTCAGAGCCTCCATGTGCAAGGTGCAAGAAGAAGGGATTACCCTGCACTGTAAATCGGAGTTTACAGATGCTGTTGGAAAGTGACGCGTCGTAAGTGTTTTTGGCTCGACTGCGTAGGCTCTTGATTGACTTCTCTATTAGGTGGAAGGAAACCATGGAACGGAAGATGCAGAAACTGGAAGAGACAATAGAAACGATGGCTAAAGCTGGATCTCAGGGACATGGAGATCACCCAATTAATCAAGACACAAGGACAACAGGTCTTCCAGAGCCCAGTAAACGCGACGAGACAAGCGTGTCTGGCCAGGAAAATCACTGGGAAATTATCGTTGATTTGGAGTCCAACCCAGGTGCTCTTCCTGGGCAGTACCTTCACCAGACAGGCGCCACAAATTGCAGGTACACTGAGGACATCATCTCCCGCGGTGTCATAAATATCGATAATGCCCGGAAATACTTTACTGGGTACCAAAGCCGTCTCGACCATTTCGTCTATCGTATCCTGGGAAGCCACAGCACCTCGACAATGGAAAGCGTGCGCAAAGTCTCTCCTCTCCTCATGACCGCCGTGTGTACAGTTGGAGCCCTGCATCTTGCATCCCCGGACTTCGATCCTCTGTACCAGGCGTTCGTCGCTCTGAGTGCAGGATTGAGTTCCTCCAGAAAAAGCACTATAGATGACGTGCGAGCGCTATGCATCGGTGCTCTCTGGCTCAGTGACTTATCCTGGTCCCTAGCCGGGCTTGCAGTACGCATCGCCACTGAATTGCACCTCCACAGAAGCTTCCCCAAAGCCATCCAAGGTGATCGAGACCATTATTTCCGGGCTCGTCTCTATTATACGGTCTACGCATGTGACCATCACTTTTCAATTCCATATGGCAGACCGCCAATGACGCGCGAATGCCAAGCGGTGCGGAATGCGCGAGACTTCCTGGAATGCAAACATGCCACGGAGGATGACGCGCGACTAGTCAGCCAGGTCCTCCGTTGTAGTGCCTGTTCTAACATCTACGACACATTCGGAGCTGATGTCGACCGTCCTCTTACGGGTGCTGACATTCCCTATATTCGTCGTTTTGGCATTGCGTTAGACACTCTGCGCGCAGAGTGGATGGATAAGTTTAGTCCCAATGCCCACGTCGGGAACTATCCGCGTAAAGGCGTCGGGATACAACATCACTTTGCCAAGCTTTATCTCGGCTCCCATGCTCTCCGGGGAGCTGGGTCAGATGAATACAAGCTGCGTCCCCAGGATGTGGCCTTGGAATTTGATGAGATCGCTAATTCCGCCGTCCTGTCATCGATATCAATACTACGTGCCGTCGTTTCGGATGGTGAGGTACAGTCTTTTCTGAATGGACTACCGACATATTTTCACATCATGATAGCATTTGCTGTGGTGTTTTTATTGAAAGTCTCGACTCGATTCTCGGCTTCCATTCAGCTTGATAGGCAAGAAATACGCCGCTTGATGACCTCTTTAGTTACCACTTTGAATGAAGTGGTGGCTACGATGCATCCACAACACCTGCTTGTCAGCATTACGAAAGGAATCGAAGAGGTCCTCAGCCGTAATCCAATTTCTTCCGATGAGATCCGAAGCCATACAGCATCGGGCTCTGTAGGTCCATGTGACGCTTTTTCCAATATTGATGTCCTACCCGGAGAATTTAATTTAGCTGCCGATGGAATGTTTGATCAATACTTTTTGAACGAGTATGATTTTCTATTAGAACAAGAGCAAGGTTGAAACAATCATACCAAGGCACTATTTTGTTTGGCCATGGAAGGAATGACCAATTGCCCATCGCAGGCTTTTTGGACGGTCCAGTTAGCAAATCTTGGCATGCTGAGGTTTTCTGTACTGCAAGCAAATCCAACAGCTGCGGTTACGCCGACTATAGCTCACGGTAGTCGTCCAATATATATAAATCATAAATTTCAATCTCGAATTATATATTGAATCCTATCTTTGATTTCACTAAACAGCTTGGGATGTCCTGTAAAACTGGAGACATTCATCAGAATCAACCTCAGCCAGACTAGACGATCCATCGCTCTGCAGGAGACACCTGAATACTAAGTTGACTATTATCTCTCAAAACCATCCAATGTCTTGCGAGCATTCCATACGAGCTAACGATTTATGTCCATTGACCTTTTACTGCCTTCTGTGAAGCGAACCCGCCCGTGAACATGCACCGGGACGAAGACCGGTGTGGATCTCGGCATCTCGGTCCCCGCGCCGATATTCAAATCGTGTTTATATAGTGTTACAATCGGCTTTTTATCAGACTATCCCTGTTGTGACATTTGTCTCTACGACGAAGCTTCCAGGCTTTTCGAAATATCTTACTCAAACCTACTTCAGGCCTGGTGGTTAGTCCTTGGCTCTATCGGCATCGCCTTCTGTCGACATATGGGCGACCTCGCATTTGGGGATTGACAGATAAGATATTCGGACATTTTTTGTCAAAATGAGCCAGAAACTTGCTCATGATTCGGATTATGCCCCAATTGATGTGGCCGATCTCGAAAAAGCAGGCCCCATTATCCCGAATGAGCAAGACATTGAATCTGCATCCAATGCAGAACATGCATACTCCATATTTGAACGGCGAGAGAAGCTCACTATTGTAGTTATAACTGCCTTTACGACCGTGCTTCCCCCTCTTACTGCAAGCATCTACTACCCTGTTATCACGATGCTAGCGCAGGACCTGGATGTCTCGGTAAATGACATCAACCTGACAATTACAGCGTATTTGGTAAGAGACAAAAACCTATCCGTTAGACCAAAATCAAACTGAAGCTTTCATTCCAAAGATCGTCCAAGGTATTGCCCCATCATTGACAGGGAATCTGTCCGATGAAACTGGTCGCAGGCCCGCACTCATCATATGCTTTGTCCTTTACATTGCTGGAAGTATCGGAGCTGCTGTCAAAGGGAACTATGCAGTGTTAATGGCTATGCGTTGTCTTCAGGCTGCAGGGATCAGCGGAACTATGTCTCTGTCATTAGCAACGGTCTCGGATATTGTAACGTCGGCGGAAAGAGGGAAATACACCTCATATGTGCAGATGGGGTGGATGGTTGGACCGACGTTTGCACCGGTGAGTGTCAGCAGACTTTGGCAGTTGTTATCTGGTAGAGAAAAGCTCATTGGGACATTTTCTTCCAGGTTATTGGTGGTAGCTTGAGCCAGTATCTCGGATGGAGATCTATTTTCTGGTTCCTCACAATCTTCACGTCAGTCGTGTTTATTACTCTTCTGATTTTCCTCCCTGAAACAAGTCGCAATATTGTCGGAAATGGTTCCATCACCGCCCCGAGATGGAACATGTCGCTCCTCACCTACATCCAAAGCAGGCCAAAACGCCATGAAAACCATATCAACACACCCCCATCTCAGCCCAACACCCACTCTCGCAAGTTCCACCTATCAGAACTCAATCCCCTCCGATCTGTCAAGCTCTTCTTCACAGACAAAGAAACCTCGATCCTTCTGTTGTACAGCGGTTCGATCTACGCAAGCACCTACATGGTGCTATCCAGTATGTCCAGCCAACTCCAATCCAGATACAACCTTACAACTCTGCAGGCAAGCCTCTGCTACTTTTCCACTGGCTTCGGAACAATGGCCTCGGTGCTCCTCATCGGCCGTCTCCAAGACTGGAACTTCCATCGCCACGCACATCTCGCAGGCATACCCATATCCAAAGATAAACAACAAGACCTAAGCATCTTCCCCGTCGAGCTCGCTCGCCTTCAACTCGCTCTACCCTCTCTCCTTCTCTCCGGGATCACATTGATAATCTACACTTGGACACTGCAGAAGCAAACACATCTCGCTGTGCCATTGGTATTTCTATTCTTTCAGTCTTTTGGGGGATCTTGTGCGTATTCGTGTTTTAATAATCTGATCATGGACTTGAATCGAGAGAAGCCGGGGACTGCGTCTGCGGCACTGAATCTTTCGCGATGCTGGATGGGGGCCGGGGGTGTGGCTTTTGTGGGTCCGTTGAATCGGGTCGCTGGGGTCGGGTGGATGGGTGTTACGATTGCTGGGGCGTGGCTTGTTTTTAGTCCGTTTGTGGTATGGGTGGTTAGATCTGGTCCGAGGTGGAGGGCAGAAAAGGCGTTGAGGGAGGAGCATTGAAGCAAGGTGTGAGGTTGAGATTGACATCACTGGGGTGAACAGGTTTAATACGTGGATTTGGAAGGCTGAGTAATGTCCTTCGGTCTTTTTAGATGAATGCTGTGAGATTAGCAACCTCTCATGGCGTAGATTATCGATTGGGAGATGGTTTTCTAATAGTTTTAGGTGCTACAGCCGTTGTTACATTGGTGAAGTCAGAACACTCAAGATCATGGAAGCAATTATTTTCGGCATGCTACTCCAATCTATCGACTTTCTTTCATAATACACTTGTACCCACCCGCGACTATTCAACGATACTGTGCTCTTTAAAGTTTCCGATGTTGATTGCACATGACCATGACAGTCCTGACTCGAGACGCCGAAGGAGGGCGAATCGAAATAGCCAAGAGAATGCCACCCAGGAGGAGATACAGGATGACCATTGAGCACACAAGAAATTTCGGCTTGATTCCAGAATACAGGGGATAATCGAGAGGATGAGACACTCCCACCGCATGACATATAAGGCATCGGGATGATCTGAAATGGCGCACAATTTCGCCGAATAAGTAGATTAAACATTATGTCACATCGTCAAAATTTCCGGAGGCAGGGATATGAAACCAGCATCTTTTGAAAACGAATGATCAAGATCCAAACTCTTGGGGCTGAGCAGCGCGGCCACGGCATATCCGTCCCGACTGGACGCACCAGGGGTAGAGTACTCCATCACGGCGCCATGGCCATTGGGGCTCGAAGTAACAAGCATTTTAAAGTGGAACAATCAAAAACTATAGCGAATGACAGGACGATGTCTTGGACCCCACTGTAACATTTATCCAGCGACCCGCAGACCGCCCAAAGTGACAAGGCTTGAGTGGTTTTTGAGTTTCTGGAACGCGTGCTGGATATCAAGATTTCTCTTCGCTATGCTTGGAATGATGTTGCTTTGCATTGCTCTGTGATATATTCAGATGTTATAACATCTTTGCCCACATCCAGGATGAGCAGGAATATGTAATGACGGTATTATTGAGCCTTTAGACAGCGAAAAAAGCTTCGATTTCGGACCCCCAGAGAAGGTGTTTAGTCGAGCACAATCACAAAAGCAAAATGAAGCATTTTCCTTTAGTAGTTAGAATTAATTTCGCGAGAACGGTGCAAGTTTGCCATCCATAGTAATTGGCCATGGTTGCCAGAGGCTTAAACGAGTCAGGGGGATACGCATGCTAAGCGGGCTAAGCATGGGGGCTAAATTAGCAGGATCGGCAGGAAAGCCAATCCCATGGGGATTAAATTTGAGCTTAGCGAGAATAGTCCATGAGCGGGTTCTGCACTAATTGGGGTCCAAATGAATGTGTCGGTACTCCGCGGATGATATGTGCTGCCTGTTTTGATGCATTGACATGATGATATTGGAGGGAAAGGGAGTCGGAGTATTTCCCATTCATTAAACATGGAAAAATGAGAATAATAATTTTGGCATGAAATTTACAAGCATTCCCACCGACCTTGAACACGAAATTAGTTCCAAGGCTGGGTTACCTGCGCCGTCCACAGCTGACAGGGGCTGCAGTGGAGATAGAGCCGTCTAAATTATCGCGGACTCCATGTCAGCCCGCCGGGTTGGACCGTCAAATATCGTGGCAAGTGGGTACTGGGTCCAAATGGGCCCAAGTGCACGGAAGGGCCGACATAGCCATCATTCCAAGATCAATCATAGCCGAAAAGTATAAAGAGAGGCTTCTCCCACGGTCCTGTGCCACTCAATACTCCCAGCAGAAGCAAGATTCATTCACTCCTTTCTCCCAACTAAATTCTTTCTTTGAGAACACTATTCAAGATGCGCTTCTTGTCCGCTTTTTCTATCCTTGCTCTGTCTTCCATGGTCGTCGCAGACGGTGGCTACTCGGGCAGCTGCAAAGACCCCCTCTCTAACAACGAGTATATTTTGGACGTTGAATGCCGTGGAGTGGACGATGACGGCGATGAGTTCTACGAACGAACCACACTCGATTTGAACGACTGCTACGCTACCATCGACGACGGCACTATTGTGCCTCGCAAGAAGTATGTCCAATCTAGCTTATCAACCTTGGCATTTTCTAACTACGTCGGAAACAGTGGTGGCTTCTATGGCCGATGCAGACTTTGCGACGTTGACTGGAAGGGTTCCTTGAGCTGTTTCTGTCAGGACAGCTCGGGCGACTGGAGCTTGACGTCGGTTGATCTGAGTAAGTTGACTGTCGTATTTATAATTGTCTTGTGGAGAAACGTCGCTGATTGTGGATAGATGGCGCTATTCGTAACGTCAATGGACATCTTCACTGTGATGTTGAAGATGGAGGTGTTGACTCTGGGTGTGTTGGTGGATGGTCTGGGGACATTGAGTGCGACGATGTGCCCAGCTAGACTGCTCCGGGGAAATAATTACTGAGACGGCCATGTGGTTTGTTAATCTCCACGGTGGTTATTTTCGAGTGAAAGCGTGCGGTCCTGGTTCTTTCCCATGTCCTCGTTCTTTTCTTTTTCGCGTTTGAGTTTCGGCCGATACCCCGATTAAACGGGCTTATTTTGGAGATCAAATGAATCCAGATACGTTTAATACTACCGATTTTCTTATTTTTCTTGAAGTAAGGACTTGTCCATATCTTCATGGCTATCAAGCACATCCGCAGAACATTGTTACCCGACGAAGACAAAGTACAAAACAAATACATTTCATCTAGTACAACAGAGCCACGTCTCTCATAACTCATTGTGAGCTGGATTCTCGGTGGAACGCAGAGCGTCCAGCAATTTGGCGTAAGAAGAGTTAACACTGCCGCTTGTGTCGACCTAGAGGTGGTCAGCACGTTGAATCATTAAACAGCCACGGGGGATATCTTACCGTAACCAGCAAACCCTTCTCCTGGTAATGTGCGACTATTTGTACATTCTGACGCACATAGTGCGTGTATCTGGCATTAAAGGTATCGATATCATCTGATCTGCCAGGGAGGTGTCTGGTGAGGAATCTATGCTTGGCCAGTCCTTCGGGGCAATCGAAAAAAAGAACGAGGTCCGGAGAACCGACCTAGTTTCGGATTAGAAACAATTAATTTTTTATCAATGGACGAAAGCAAGAAAGAATAGAAACAGGACAGGGGAAAGGAAGAGTGCGGCTGTTAACGTACGGCACCCTCAATAGCCCCTATCTGCTGCACAGAACGGGGAACGCCGTCAATCAACAGTCGCTGTTTTCCAGCCTTGGACAGCTCTTCGATAGCATGTTCGATAATTGGAACCAGGTCTTCAGTCTCCAATAGAGCACTGTGCTGAATGGCTCTGATAATATCTGGTCTCAGGTCGCCAACTTCAGCTTGCTTTCTCAGCAGGTCGCCGATGGAAAGATGGTAGAATCCGTAGTCGGCTGCGAGCTTGGTGCAAAGAGAGCCTTTGCCTGCTCCAGGGGCTCCTAGATATTCTGATTCAGCAAGTCGAGTATCGTGGTGGGTGGGGAGTTGGAGTTCGACTCACCAATGATGTAGACACGAGACAGATGTTGGAACTCCATTGTGCTTCTTGAGGAACGCAGGAAATACCCCTTACTTTCAGAAGCCATTGGATAGATGAATGCTGTAGAGGTTTACCAGAGTATAGATGCACAAGAGACAAGAGAAAACAAAGGGAAACGCCCACGAGCGTTTGTTTTGGGGAAAACGTGGAAGAAGTCGGCAAGCTGCAAGTGAAGTGAATGCCTCGTTGCCTTCCCCTTGTCATGTTGTGCGGCTGACAGAAGTCTTGCCAACATACACTGAGATCAACGAGCCATTTCTACTTTGTTCTCTCTCTCCAACTATTTCATTGGAAACCACACGTGCCTCTATATCAAATTACTTTCCAGCTCGCCCAGATGTTGCTCCTCGAAGTCGAACGCAAGTTCCGCTGCCTCGCGGTCAAAAACCTCCTCCACTACCACGGAGTCCCAGCCTTCCAGAGCATAGAGTACCGCGGCAAGAAAACTTTTCATGACATCTACTACGACGATTCCAGCTTCCTCTCATCCAAAGGTGTCTGGGTACGGCAACGCGATGGCCACTGGCAAGCCAAGATCAGAAGGGGTGGCGACTTCAACAACTCCAAGTTCGAGGAACTCTCAGGACGCGCTGAAATCTCTCGCTATTTGGCCCAGCTCACTTGGTACAACACGAACATCCATGGAGATACTTTCGGCTTGAGCCAGATGGCTGCTTTTACGACCTTACGGGAGCGCTGGCTCGCAAACAAAGAATTCACCATCGTCCAGGATGTCACCGATTTCGGCCATACCGTCGGGGAGGTTGAGCTGGAATGTAAAGTGGATTACGATGGCCATGATCTTGAACGTTACAGGGACATGAGGATGGCACAGATGGATGCGAAGATCGATTTCTTCATGCAGCGATACGCGTGGGCTTTCTGTCCTGGCGTGCCGATGGGGAAGCTGACGGCTTACTTTGAGAAGTTCGGTAGAAGTTAGAGGGATTACGATGGAACGGTTTATCATGTATCTGCCATTCTGATCTTTCGATCAACAGAACTGTTTAGTCAAACTCCATGTGAATTAAGCAAAAGCTAGCCTTGGCCAAGCATCCCAATTTATCGTCCCCAATACATCAAATGATTTGCCACGATGTCGTCAAATTCCAGACCTGATAAGACCCTCGACAAACTGCACACGCCATTCCAGTTTCTCCAGGTCGGCAGGGATGGGCACGTATCTGATACCCTGCGCGTCGAGCCAGTCCTTGAAGGCGTTTCCGAGAGCTCTCCATTCCTCAAGATCGTGAAGGGCAACTCTCACGGGGTCAGTCGAGAGCCAGCAAGCATTGGTAGGTTCACAGAGGATGACGAGGCCGTCTTTCATCTTTGTGCGGAGGATGTCCCATTCTTCCATAGCAACGAGTCTGTCCGATGCCTCGCTTCCCAGGAAAAAGTGAGCGTAGACGATAGGGTCAATTCCGGATCTGTCAGAAAGCAACCAGAGCTCGTTGAACACGGTCTCGAACTGGAACTGGGTGCCAAGGGTGTGTGCCTGCAGCTTGAAGCCCTCGATCGGATCGCGGACCTGGTCGGCGGTGCGCTTTTCGAGCTCCATGATCAATCGGACGACCTCGTCGAGGAAGTAAGGGTGCATTGTCTTTGTGCCGAAAATCTCGGTGCAGAGAGCTGGGGTAAAGTGCTCCTTCAGGGCATCGATCAGGGTGGTCTTGCCTGTACAGTGGGCGCCAACAATGTAAACGTTCTTGGGCTTCAGGGGCTTTTCGGTCTCATACGCCATGATGTCAAGGAGTTTGCCTTCTGGCAGATGTTGAGGTGGTGGTCTTGAGATAGAACTTTGAATAGGTTTGAGGGGAGTCTTGTGAAGAGACTTGTAGATGATCAGAGGGGATTTGTCATGGGGAGAAAGATGAAGAGCAGGGAGATGAATGGCTTCACTAAAAGAAGTATCTAAGCTAACGACTAAGCGGTTGCTGCTTTCCACAATGGGACATTCCATCGCGGCCTACAACGATGCGATTGTTCCAGGCAACGATGCAATGGCTCTCCGCGTAACGCTACGTCTGCGATGGTTGATGAATATTTAAGGCCTTCCCTTTCACAGTCACTCACAGATTCTCACGCCGCCTACATCTTCCCACCCTTCATTGTTATTTTATTTCTGAGAAGTCCTACAAAGTCTGCAAGTCTACAGCAAATACTTTGTCCACAATGGAGGGAAACCTGGTCTTTGTGATCTCGTTCGGGGTCATGTTTTGCTCCGCCATGTTTCTCCTCTATCTGCTTCGTCCCATGGCCAAAGTCCCTCTATCTGTCAATTATCACTTCAGCAGGATGTGCAACAAGAGTTGCGGTTTCTGTTTCCATACTGCTTCAACTTCTTACATCGAGTCCGTGGAGAATGCCAAGCGTGGCCTCTCGTTGCTGAAAGCAGCCGGGATGAAGAAAATCAACTTCGCCGGCGGCGAACCGTTTCTACATCCGAAGTTCCTCGGCAAAATGATAGATCATTGCAAAGAGGTCCTGCATGTTGAGTCTGTTTCCATCGTCACCAACGGCAGTTTAGTCACTGAAAAGTTCCTCTCGAAACACGGAAATAATATTGATATCATCGCCGTTTCCTGCGACTCGTTTAAAGAAGTGACCAATATCAAGATTGGCAGAGGAATGGGGGATCAGGTCACCAAGCTCTATGGGATCCGCGATCTTTGCAACAAGTATGGGATTAAGTTCAAGTTGAATACCGTCGTCTGCAAGCTCAACTTCGAAGAGAACATGAATCATTTCATCGACGACCTTCGGCCTTTCCGCTGGAAGTGCTTCCAGGTTTTGATCGTCAAGGGAGAGAATGATTCTGATCAGACTCTGCGCGATGGTCGAAAGTTTACTATTACCGACGAACAATATGAAATTTTCTGCTCCAAGCATCGCCACCAGAAGTCTTTCGTTCCCGAGCCGAATAGCCTCATGTCGAAATCATATCTAATCCTCGACGAATATATGCGATTCCTCGACCGGACCGGAAAACAGCCATCGGAGTCTATTTTGAAAGTTGGAGTCAAAGAAGCCCTTGCGAGTGTCTTTTGGGATGAGGCCAGCTTTGGTGCCAGGGGAGGAGTGTATGATTGGACTCGTGAGAATACCCAAGCCAATTCCAGCCTCGAATGGTGACTTGTTTCTGGATTCTTTATTTTTATGTGTGGCATCGCGGCCCATGTGGCACCGTTGTTGCTAGTCTTGTATCCTTACTGTTGTCACCGAATATCAGAATTGGTTACTAGATAGTTACAATGACATATCTTTCCCGAACCTAGAGGGACCTTAGAAATGACTCGATGGCCAGGATTGCGTTACCTCACTTCACAGTTATCACAGGTAACTATAAACCACCCCTTCTCCAAAGAACAACATGGAACCTTGCAAGTTGACAACAAAGTATTATTCATACTCTGCTTCGAAATTCTCCGCGATCACTTCTTTTCGGTTTTCGAGAAAGCGGTAGGGGAACAAGCGAACAAGACAGGCCATGAGCATTTTCATTCCTTGCAACTGGTCTCAATCAATTCCTATCTTCAATTTGAGGGTATATATAGGCACAGTCTTGCAAATATGTCAACAGCTGCGCCATTTCGGTTTTGTTCCATTTTTGCGCCCATTCTAAAGCGGTATCGCCATTCGCGTCCTTGACGCCTGTGTCTATTCCAAGTTGGATCAGAAGACGGATCGCATTTGTCTTTCCTTGCTCCGTTGCTACGTGCAACGCCGTCCCCAGGCTCATAGGAAAGAATCGCCTCAAGGTTGGGCCATCCTGAAACATTGTCGCGTTCAAAGGGGCACCTCGTTCGACGAGCAGCGATATGACCTCTTCCAGCTCGCCGTCGCGAAGAACAGCATACTGAAGAAGCTGTCCTTTTTGCACATCCCCTCCACTATCCAGCAGTAGTTTGATGACACTCGGATGTGCATTTCGAACCGCATAGGATAACGGGGTGCAGTCTACCTCACATTGCGCATTCGGGTTCGCGCCATGTTCCAGAAACCAACTGGTCATGTCGGCGTCCGTTACTGCGTAACTATGACAATAGATCTTTTTTCATTGCAATGTCTTTTTGGGTAACGGAACTGACATACCAAAGCACAGGAGGCTTCAAAGCATCAAGCGGCTCGTTTATATCCCATCCAGCTTCGAGAAAGCGTTCCAGAACGCCCGTCGCCTTGCATACTATGGCTTTTCAGTGTAGGAAGGCTTTATTAAGAAGCCATGGAAGATAAGCGTGGAAACAAATTCGACTCGGTCCAATTGAATTGCTTCCATCATCACATCGTGAAGGTCCGCTATATCGAAGGTTTCAGAGTCCATCGCGGTCTCGAAATCTTGAAGATTGCCATCGGCACAGAGAGAGCGCAGCTTTTCAATCGTGGGTGCTGTAGTTCCACAGGGAATTGGGAATCCACCATGACTGGCGAGCCCCGCTTCTGGAAGAAGCTGGATGTCCATAGGGGACGAAGAAAGTTGGATGGGCTGCGTTCCCAGTGGGGTTGAAAGAAATGTAGGTCCCTATATTCTAGGTCTAACTGAAATCCAGAAACGGTCCGGTCAACAGCGTAGAGCCCTATAAGCCTTGCGCCACAGGGGCCGTGATAAACTCGCAGTGTATAGAACAAGAAGCAATTTGGTTCAATAATTCCAATAGGCCTGTGTTCCAAATAACACAGTCGACCAGGGCCTCGGCGAGAACAAATTGGTGGACTTTTCACGAAATTGGATGAATAGCAGCTTCACCTAAGAGAATGGGTGCATGCCGCTCTCACTCGCCATGTATGAGCAGTTTTTTGAAACTTGGAACAAAGCCAAGGAGATAGACATCACATGACTCTATCGGGGGACCACCTTATACAGAGGCTGTGGAAGATTACCACAACCCTATAAATAGTTTGTTTTGTTGTTATCTGAATTGGGATCAATAAGCTAATCCCAGGTAGGTTTAGATTTCGTATCACGTAGGTGATATGAAATCTAAACCTACCTGGGCTTAGCTTCATTTTATAATTGACAGCTTGATTGGCATTACCTGAGTAGGTATAGCTGGTGCTTTATTTGTTACTTTGCTTGCCAGATGTTCAGTGACACCCGCAACAAATACGAGTGTAAATTCCACCCGCAAAAGATTCCTCGGCCTCGGTGAATCACTTCACTCAGGCAAAAGGACACGTTTCTCCGGGGGTCGGGGGATTCGCAAACTAACCGTGTGGCACCATCTTCATCGACTCCAAGATTGCCCAGGAATAATCCAATGAATGCCTTCAAAGGGGAACTCATGGCGAGCTAATAGGCGACGGTCTTGCGCCGTGGGGGGTCTAGTTCGAGGTTAGCGTCTTGTCACGAACAGGGGTGGATGGCAGTGATAGGAATGATCAACCGCCATTTCCCCGCTCGATCGCAAATCTCTCGCTCATCATTCTTTCTTCGACACATCCGAAGCTCCGTTGCCATTAAGATGCCGTCCACCGATGATCGACAGACAGTCGCAATCGAGGCTGATGTACAGTTGCCGATCCTCTACGTCTCTGATCACTTCTTGCGTTTGCTGACTTCTATGAAAGGCCAATGAGACCGGCATTCCATTAAATGATGACGGCCTGGAATCTGATACGTTCGAAACCCTTTCACGAATGCTCCTCTTTCCAATCGACGTCTCTAATCCAGTCTTTCAATAGCGATTCTCTCGCGTCTTTGAGCTCCGAGGTCCTTGCATATGAGTACAAGAACGGCCGCCGGTATGCCACATATGGATCCAACCAATATTTCTTACCGAACGACGAGGTGGGCTTTTTATCTCTTTCGCCAAATCTCAATCTTCAACTCCTAATCTGGTATCCCAGCTTGAATGCGACCGAGCCAATTTGTTGCAGCATATCTATGGTTTGCTGTTTGACGGGCGACTAGTCTTCTCACCGATCGAGAACCCAAAGCGAATCTTGGATATTGGCACAGGATCTGGCATTTGGGCAATAGATGTTGCTTTGTAAGATATACTTTCCTCAGTATCGTCCCCATTAACTGATTGCTCTTGCAGGAAGTTCCCAGGTGCGCGGGTTACCGGTATGTGTACATCTGTGAAACCCGACGGATTGGGAGAGAGTTAACGATATCATGATAGCAACTGATATATCAGCACATCAGCCCTCATGGTCTGTCATCTCCGCAATTTCCCACCTTTTCATACAGACGAAGACAATTTTCCTAACATAAACTAGGGTTCCGACAAACCTCACTTTCCAGATCGATGACGCAGAACTCGACTGGAATTTCAGTCATTTATTCGATCTGGTTCACATGCAGAACTTGAACGGTGCTTTTCGCGACTGGCCACGTCTGTTCTGCCAGGCATATGAGTAACAACCACCTGACCTATTGGCCAAGTGCTAACTAACCTCCTCAACTAGTAACCTCAAACCAGGAGGATATTTTGAAGTCAAAGAGGCTGATGTTTACGCTACCTGTGATGACGGTACTGTCCCAGATGACTCGAGCCTTCGCGTCATAGAGAGAGAATGCATGGGAGCTTGTGTGCAGCTTGGCCAAACGCTATCGGCACCGGAGAACTTGAAGCGATGGATGGAAGAAGCCGGGTTTGTGGACGTGCAGGAACACCAGTTTAAACTCCCCATGAACACATGGCCTAAGGATCCTCACCTCAAAGAAATCGGCCGATTCCAATGCGCTCAGTACTTGGGGGCATTGTCACCTTATGGCCTTGGATTGCTTGTAGGGGTTCTCGGGTGGTCGAGAGAGGAGACGGAGCTGTTTCTGGTTGGAGTGAGAGAGAACATCCAGAACCGGAGTATACATGCGTATCATATTGTGTAAGTCCTCTTTTTCTCTTTCTGGTTTTCATACAGAAATGGGAGAAGCTAATTGGTTCTAGGCGAGTTGTGACTGGGCGTCGACCATGACCAGATCAGCAACATGTACATCCTGCATGACAGAATTACCTTACCCAGTTCTTGGTTGATCAAGAAAAGAGTGTTTACATAGGAAAGGAGTAGAGAACGGACTTATACCACCTTTGTAGAGTATATGATCTTATTTATGAATTGCAAACCTGAAACTGGAATATACTAGCTTCTTCTAAATATTTATGATCCTAAAAACATAATTAGATCATATCACCAACTTCAAACGCCAGTGAAAGCAAATGAAAATACTTTCCGCTTGATGGTCAAGTTCTAGGAACAATCAGATCTAGGGCTAGTAATGGGTCACGTGTAGGATGCTGCCTGGTGCTTCTCTATACTCCTTTCTATTGATATTACTGATTGTTTGTGCTAGGCCCTCTTCTCTCTTGCTAAAAACCTCGTTCGTTTGCTCATTTATTATGGAATATTCCTATTCAGCCTATCTGTCGAAATGGTATGTGCCTTTGTCCATGATATATCTTCTAGCGATTGAACGGAATTTCCCTGATTTAGAACGAGACACCTTCCCCAAGTAGCTAGCATAAATACAGATTAACCATCATTAAAAGCTCCATTCGGTCTCCCAACTTCCCATGTCATTGAAGTTCTCCCTTTGCCCAACTTCAACTCGGACGTCAAACCCGAATCAAACTCTACCAAATCCACTCTCAAAATGACCACACCTGGGCCCTACACATTTACACCAAGATACTGGTTCTTCCCACCTGACCAAGCAATCTGCTACAACCCGGCCACAATGCACGAGACGCCCGACAATACATCCAACTGGCACGAATGGGGCATCTACATTCCCATCTTGGGCGAGTATGCCACCGACCACGAAATGCTCAACGAGGCCTTGAATGTCATAGAGCAGGGAAAGGCTCAGCCGGCGCCAGGCAATGGCTCGTGTTTTCCAGGGGGCCTGTTCTATCGATTCTGGACCACTGATGCCGAGATTCAGGAGGGTTACACTCCGCTAGTTCGTCGCGCCAAACATGCGATCCAATGCGACTACTACACTTGGAAGACCAATTGCGATATTGCGCATCTGGAGCATCTATACGAGGTTGATCGGCGAGAGAGAGGTCCTGGGACCTTGAAGCCTGGTGAGCATCCTCGTCCAATCGCCCCGAAGGTGATGCCGCAGTATCGTCCGTCGCTGCATGTTGTGGCTTCGCGGCCGCAAGGTCCTTGGTATCTTCATGCTTGAAGCTGCCAAGTGGTTGATGCAATGATTTCTTCTGAGCCTCATCTCCAAGGCAGATCTGTCATAGTCGTTTGATAAGTTGACACTTCAGTCTGGGTCCCACGGGGAGCTTGTGAAAATGGAGAATAAGAAAATAGAAAATCATTCAAAACAGAAAATAAAAGAAGAAAGAAAATAGAAAAAATAGACGGAAAGAGAGAGAGCAGGTACAGTCACCGGCTTCCCAAAATAGGAAAAAAAAATAAAAGGAAAAAAAAGGCGTTCGAGCCGAAAAAGAAATTATATTTGCATTTCAAAGTGTAGTCAAGTAGCCATATCTGTCGATATACTCAAATGGTTTGAAAGAGCCAGAATCACTATCTGTAAGTAGGTAGTATTGAGATATCTTCCTGGACTCAATCAGGCTACAAGGCATCAACTCACTAGACCTAACCACAATAGGAAAGCACCTGATCTGGGGCGTGACTCTGGCGCTAAGCCGCAAAACGGAGACCGCCAAGATTCATCCCCACAACTTCTCCTTCCTCCAAACAACTGTCTTGTATTCATCCTGAGCACCGCATCGCCCAACAGATTCTCGTCGTTATCACCACACTGAATCTCAAATAATGCCTTGCGGATCCGGCTGTTGCAAGCCATCCGTTCCGCCCGACACGTCTGTCGTCCTTCCGTCCGAGACTGTCGTGGTGGGATCTTCTAGCACTGATGACCAGCTTGACCCGGAGCAAGACAGTTGCTGTGATGGCCCTCGACAGTCGATGGATCACTCTGTGAACTCAGAGAAAGAAAAGATAGATGATTGCTCTGGTGCCGAGGCGTCTACGGGTGATTCCTCTGACACTGCAGCGCATGGGTGCTGCGGAAACCCGCCTAACAGTAACAGGGGAAAGAGCATCAGTAAGTGTGGGGCAGTGGAAGCTCCTATCATTAATGATGACTGTGCTCTGAAGCAAGATAAAGCAGACTGTAACGAAGGCTGCTGTGGCGGACCCGGAGAGTCAGACACTCCCAAATCATGCCCGATCGGGGAGAAGGCCGTCGGTGATGATTGCTGCCCTCCAAAAGCGAGTCATGCTGAGAAACCGAAGGATCGCTCAACTGGATCGCCCGACAAAGGTCAACAAGAAGGCCCCTGTGCAGCGAAAGATCCATCATCTGTGGACAATTGCTCGGGTTCAAAATCGACCAAGCCTGGCTGTAAGAAGGCCTGTTGTTCTGCTCCAGAGCTGTATCCGCGGGGATCTAGTGACTTCCAAAGACCTGTTTGCTGTGAAGGGAAAGATTCACCTTGCTGTAATACCGACTGTCTCGACCGTCTCGCTCTTCGTGAATGTGAAGGTGGAAAGAAGCACGCTGGATTGAAAAGGCCAGGCTCCAGAGGTACGCACTCATCAATCAAAATAAATATAACTAGCTAATATCACTACACAGACTCCATTGGGTCCTGTAGCAACAACACTCGTGACTTCTGCGAAGGAAGCAAGAGCGGCAAGGCATGCGGCTACCATTCCCGCAAAACCCGAACAACGTACGCAACCACTTTGGATGCTCTCGGTTGTATATGTCGTGCCTTGTTAGCCCTTGGAAAAGAGTCTTGCTGTCTGCGTCCAGAACGACCGTCTATTGGAATAACGCGTTCCTAGAAGAAAATTCTTTCTCGGCGTAGCAGCGCTGACAGTTGCTGCGCCACAGCTACAAGTTCTGGCCTGAAAGCAGCGGATCCATGCTGCGTTGACGAGATAGTGCAGAAGCCAAAAGAGACCTTGACTGAAAACAATTCTGTCCCTGTTGATCCTGAAAAGGGCCTTTCGGGTCAGGAACATGTCATTCTCAGTATTTCTGGCATGACCTGTACCGGATGCGAAACAAAACTCAAACGAACTCTCGGTACGGTTCACTCGGTGAAGAACCTTAAAACAAGCTTGGTCCTGGCTCGCGCTGAATTTGACCTTGACCTTCGTCTTGGATCTCTTTCGGAGGTTATGAAGCACCTGGAAAAGACAACTGAGTTCAAGTGTGAGAAACTAAGCACCCAAGGTTCTACCATCGACCTAGTCGCTCCTCTTGGCTCACATGAGTTCATGAACCGCCCATGGCCCGATGGTGTCACTGAAATACGACAAGTCGACAAAAGTATTGTCAGTGTCGCCTTTGATCCAAAGATTATCGGTGCCAGAGACCTCGTCGAGAAGGGTTGGGACCTTCCCCTGGAACTGGCCCCTCTCCGTGGCGATCTAACTCTCGAAGCCGGCAGTAGGCATGTCCGACATGTTGGATTGATGACATTACTGTCTATTATCTTGACGATTCCAGTCCTTGTCATGGCTTGGGCTCCGCTCCCCAAGCGGGAGGTTGCGTATAGCTCAGCATCTTTGTGTCTAGCCACGATTGTTCAGCTCGCTATCGCTGGGCCGTTCTACCCCAAGGCCTTAAAGAGTTTGATCTTCTCTAGAATGGTTGAGATGGACCTCTTGATAGTGTTGAGTACAAGTGCGGCCTACGTATTTTCCGTCGTCTCTTTTGGTTACTTGGTTGCTGGTCGTCCTCTCTCAACTGATCAATTCTTCGAAACAAGCACGTTGCTGGTAACGTTGATCATGGTTGGTCGGTATGTCGGTGCCTTGGCTCGGCAGAAGGCCGTTGAATCCATATCAGTTCGCTCCTTACAGGAGTCTACTGCAGTACTAGTTGGCGAGTCCGAGGATGTTATCGACATCAGACTCCTACAGTACGGAGACATCTTCAAAGCTGCGCCTGACGCTAGAATACCGACAGACGGTACAGTCATTTCTGGGTCTTCGGATGTTGACGAGTCCATGATCACTGGCGAGTCCAGCCCTGTTCCAAAATACGTTCGTTCGTCGGTAATTGCCGGGTCTATAAATGGTTCCGGGATGCTTCACGTTCGGCTAACTCGTCTTGCTGGGGATAACACCGTGAGCACCATCGCTGATATGGTTGATGAAGCCAAGCTTTCCAAACCGAAGATCCAAGATATCGCCGACCGTGTTGCCAGTTATTTTGTTCCAGTTGTTGTCACTCTAACAATTATCACTTTTGTCATCTGGGTGGCCATTGGCGTGGGGGTCCGGAATCAAACCGGCGCTGAAGCAACGGTTCAGGCCATCACATACGCTATTACCGTTCTCATTGTCTCTTGTCCTTGTGCTATCGGCCTCGCAGTTCCAATGGTTATCGTCATCGCGAGCGGTGTTGCTGCCGAGCGAGGTGTTGTATTCAAGTCCGCGGACAGTATTGAGGTCGCCTACAAAACCTCACATGTCGTTTTCGACAAGACGGGCACATTGACCGAGGGAAAGCTATCTATCAACCAAGAAATCTATACTGACAATGATTCGTCGTCCGCCAGATCCTTACTTCTCGGACTCGTGACCGGCATCAAGCATCCCGTGTCCATGGCTGTGGCTACTCACCTGAAAGAACAGGCCGTGGTTTCATCCGTAATAGCAGATCAGAAGGCACTTACGGGCAAAGGCGTCGAAGGCACATCATCTGGCCTGATCCTTCGAGCAGGGAACTCCCACTGGCTAGACCTGGCGTCCGATCATCGAGTCCAAGCAGTCCTATCACAAGGGTATACCGCCTTCTGCTTTACCATTAACGACACCCTCGCTGCCATCTTTGCTCTCGAAGACCCCCTCCGGCCTGAATCTACCTCGACCGTCACAACCCTCCTCGAACGCGGGATATCAGTCCACATCGTCTCCGGTGACGACGAGGGTGCCGTCCGCTCCATCGCCAAGGCCTTACAAATCCCGTCCACAAACGTCCGCTCCCGCTCTACCCCAGCTGACAAACGCGCATACATCGAAGACCTTCTCTCCTCGGCCCCCACCAACCGTAACCAGAAAACCACCCGGCCAGTCGTTATCTTCTGCGGCGATGGAACCAACGACGCCGTTGCCCTCTCGGCAGCCACCATCGGAATCCACATGAACGAAGGTACCGAGGTCGCCAAGTCCGCCGCGGATGTTGTCCTGATGCGTTCTAGCATCGAAGGCATCTTGACAGTCATGGCTGTCAGCAGGAAGTCCATCCACCGTGTCTGGTTTAACTTCGGATGGAGCTTTGTGTACAACCTCTTCGCCATTCTACTTGGTGCGGGCGCGTTTGTGAATGCCAGAATTCCGCCTGAGTTTGCGGGTTTGGGTGAGCTTGTTAGCGTTGTGCCGGTGGTTATTGCGGCTGTTGCTTTGAGGCTTGAGAGGGTTTGAGGATACAGCTGTTGGCGTTGGTATATTCCTATTTAGTAGGAATCAGACGTGGAAACATCGCTGAGCATTCATTTATGGGACAGGTGAGTGAGGTTTGAAGATAACAGGAAATGGTCTCAGATTTCGCAGGGTGATGAAAAACGAAAACCCAAATGGCCAAAACAAAAACAGAAAAAAAAAAAAGAAAATAAGCAAAGCCAAAAAAAAAAAAAAAAAAAAAAAAACATCGAGAAAAAAAGGGAAAAAAAACAAACCAGGGTTCAATATCTTCCTAGGTATGTCATAAGTAGTGATAATAAATAATACTACTTTCATTAAGAATGTAGGAAATTGGCAGAGGTGGTCCACGATAGAACAATTCAATTGACTAGAAAACAGATAGATGAAAGGTTGTTGGTGATGAAGCTCTAAATACACGCAGAAAGGCCCTATTTATGCTGATCAAGGCGGTGATCAACTAGTGGAACCTCCCATAAAACATGATCGAATGACATCATCTTGGGATAGGTCAGCGGAACGCTCCGATAGGCATCCGGAGTTTCGCTGAATTCCTACAAAGAAAGAGGTTACGTAGGTCAATTGCGAAAGCCAACCGACTTTGTCCGTGATGATATATATATTGTCGTCGGATGTTCAACCCTCGCATCCAATCAGCAGACAATATTGAACAATGTTGGCTGCCATAATTACTCTAAATAAAAATACTCAAAGCTCTATAGCTAAATTATTTCTTGATAGAGGTCACGCCGCCTCAGTACTGGATTCTTTAGTGGTCATTTCCGGCTCGCCATATCACCATATGCCGCGGATACCCGTTTCGATCGCAGACCGGAAGACACAAATATACCTATTGTATAGTTTCTTGGTCTGTTAATTTCCAAGGATGTTTTGCTAGTCAGAAGCTCATAACAGCAGTGATGATGCTTAATTTGAAATGTAATAAGCCCTAAGGCGTATGTTTGTAGGCAAAAGCCACATTATTGACCTTGTAGAGTGATTGTCATGAAGGGTCAAGGACCAATAAATAAGGCCTTAGTAATAACTACTGCGTTGGTAGTGTAACGGTTATCATCCTTGCCTTCCAAGCAAGGGACCCGGGTTCGACTCCCGGCCGACGCATCGCGATTTCTTTTTTCTTTTTGCCGCCCGGGAATTTTCTCTTCCTAGTTTACTACTTGAATGAATAATGATAGCAGTAGAACAGGAACTAAAACTAACAGTGCGTCGATCATAGCCTTGTTATGTATCCTATCCTTTACTTCCAACATTGAAGCTCTTCCTGGTATAATTCAAAATCGCAACGATATATCTGTCTCCATGGTCACCTAGACTATCGTGAACCCTGAAAAAGAACAAATACACAACTTGCGCCAAACGAGGCTTGAAACAACGTGGAGAGAGAAGATTGAAATAACAAGCACCAGATGATCTGCACTCATACCTCCTGCCAGGTTAGTTCTCCATTTGCCTCTAGCGTCGGGCGATACCACTGTTGCTTCGTCCGGCTCCAAACCCGATTCGCGACAGTTACTTTGTATCTGGACGAGTAAAATCTCTGAGTGTAATCAGCAAGTTGCTTCCAGATTGATCTCGCGCGGCAGCGTCTGCCAAAAAAGAATGATCCTGAGCCTGGATGACCGTTGGTCGTGGCCCCTCAACCAACTGGGCACCCTCAGGCGGCTGCGGCGTCACTGCCCCAGTTGACAAGTGCAGAAACCCGCCCTGGGTTCTCATGCAGCTGTGCAGGTCATAGTCATAATGCGATTGTAAATCCGTGCAAACACCGAGTGCAGCAGCGAGCATACATATGCCCCATAGGGCGAGTCTGACCGTCAGTTTATCTGGCCCATTTGCTGAATATGGGATGTGCATTCGTTTCAGAGGCGCAAATTCGACATCAGCCATGTCCTCGTTGTAGCTGGTACCAGATAAGGACATTCGATCGACTCCCGAGCTGATAGGAGATAGGTCAGTTACATCCGACCAATTCCGCATATGAGCCCGAGTGGGTGGAGTCGTTGGTTCCCTCCGGGGCCGATGGGCACCTATGCCAGTCTCTATCTTCTCCGTGCGAAAGTGACAGATGACGACCTCTCGGGGTGTTATGATAAAGCCATACCGCGCCTGAGTCTGCGCGCCGTAATGCTGGATCTGTTGAAAAGGCTGTTTGTAACGGTTGAAGTTTGTTACTTCTACCTCCGGATTCCACTTTGTAGCCACTTTGAAATCTCCCGGGCAGAGGTTACGGTATTTCCGAGACAGGAACTGTTTCTCTGTAGCCCGAACTACCGCAATATCCGCAGAAAATCGAGAGTCGTCGGTCATTCACAACCGGAAACAGTGTGTTCGTAAAGAACCACTTCTCAGATCCCTCTCCCCAATCCTCTTTGTTTATGCCTCGAGGTTCTGGGGGCTCGGGGATATCCCTGGGAAGTTCTGCGTTTAATATGTGTCCGAACATTGTCATTAGATTGTTGTAGCTGAAGTCGCTCCATTCCTCTAAGCCAGAGACTATAGGATATCTCCTATGGGTGGTAAGTGAGCCACCGTCATGCAACATTTCTGTAATCTCTGGATTAGGCCTGGTGAGCACATTGAGTAGAGTAGGCATGCCTGGAACCTGGGGGAAAGATTTGAGAGAAGAACAGTTAGATATATGTAGTAAGCTCTGTAAGTCTGATATTCCTTCAGTAAGGGGTGGATTGCAGTTTAAATACCAGAAAAAATTAGGGCAACTCGAAAACATAATTATAATTCTAATTATTAATACAGTGTGCAACTGTATGCAACCATATGCAACCCCAAACCAACTAGTCCACTTGCGACTGTACGAGAAGCGGGGGTGAAGGGCTAGATTAACGTGACCCGATCAGCCAGACAATTGACCCTTAGCGCTTAACTGTCGATAGTTCGGTGTCCCTGCACGAATGATATTCCGCTGGTAGAGGTCAACTCGTTAGAGTTGTCTATTCTTTTGCAGATTGGCTGTATTCGCCGACCGTACGTGCAGCATTTTGTTAGTTGAGAACTCCAGCCAAGCAACAAGGCCTAGCGCTTCAGTATGAGATAAAATCTAGATCCAGACGTGATAAATGCGCCAACTAGTCTTTTTAAAAAAATTTCAAGTGAAACTAAATAGTGACATACAAAAGCTTTCATAAATGGATACAAGATCTAATGTAATGAAGAGAGCTGTTTTATAACGGCTGCAGAAAAGTCACATAAAGGGATATACATAGTCACTAATTCCTAGTCCCACATCGTTAACCCATGATTTTCCAAGCATTGGAAGAATCCATTGCGTTCAAATTCACTTGCATAGCGACGAAAGAATGGGTAGGTCAAAGTACATCCCAAATCCACCATTCGCTGCCCTCCATAGTTCTCCCTTTTGACATCGCGAGGTAGGATATTGCCGCGTTTTGGAATATTGAAAGTTGACGCAATGTCCTGTAGCCTTTCAACATCCATACTGGTTGGTGGCTTCTCCGTGATGAAGTCCTTTACAACAGCCCAACGAATGTACTCCCAATGCGGGTTCCTCTTTTGCCGTCCGCTTACTTTGCGAAGCTGGTGAAGCTGACGGTCATTTAGAAACATCCATCCGTGGTACTGCACCGCCCAGTTGCCATTCTCATGCAAGTCGCATAGACGGGCAAATGCACGGCATTCACTTCCAAAGGGGCTTAGCATATGCGCGGTGTTCTCGTGAACCCGCTCCACATGCTCGTATTTGAAGAACTGCCGTCCGAATTATTAAAATTCACCGAAGGGCTCGACAGACATACCAATTTCATGCAAAGATCTCTACCTTTGTGTTCGAACCGAAAAACAAAGCCCTGCTCTCCCTTGCCAATGTACTGAGGTTTGGAAATCTCATCCTTGTAACCGGTAAATCGTTGGAAAGGACAAAGTGAATATTCATTCTTTACTGACTGATCCCTGGAGTTGGTATGCCCCACGCGCAGTCTCAATTATCTATCGCTGCTACTCGAATACAAGTGCTGGCCAACTGAGATCTGGTCGGTACTGAGTTGGCCATCCGGTGCTTTCGGAGGCGGACCTCCTCCACGAATTCGATAACCATCGGTTACGAGGAAACAGACAACCGACTGCCTTGGTGTCTGTCACAAATCGTCCCCTTGAAGCCGTGAGCCGTGCTTTAGAAAAACATTACCACTCCAGCGAAGCCCCAGGAACAATCTGGATTGTCCTTATTCGAGTGCCTGGTGGTGGAAACAACAGCGGCATCTTACATTCTCAAAGGCTTGCGCGGCAGATGCAATGTGAAAATACCAACGTCTTCAAGCATGAGCATTTGTTTATGTGGGAGATCCCCCGTGACTACGTGGAGCATAATGTCTCGGTCGAAACACTACTAAACCGGAAAGTTGGACGGTTGCTGGACGACTCGAGGACTCATGACAAAGGCTTTCGAAGCTTCAGAGATATGAGAAACATGTTAGTCAAGAATATCCTCGTGTCCGACCCATATTACATAGGGTGTTGGCTAGGCAGTTTGACCCTGGCATTTGGTTCGAAAACATGCACCTATAAACTCGCACTTGACCTTTTATTACACTTCCTTGGTAATAATGTGGACGAAGATAACCAGATTGTCCGTCTCCGTGGCCAGAATTATGTGGGTTTCTGGAATTTAGTGATACATGCGAGATCGAACTCAGAATTCGCGATCAGCTTGATTCCTACTTTGGTATTTAAAATAGTACCTCAAAAAATACTATATTTTGTATGAGTGCCTTGCCTGCACTAATCCATCCGAGTTTTCCACCTAAATGTCGTAGAAATATTAACTGATAACGTAATTCCCGGGCGAGTCGCCCACCCCTACCGAGCCGCCCACCTGTGTATTCCATATAAAATGCTACTTTTTTATACTAGAATATCTACACCACTAAAGCCCTATTAGACTTAAAATTTAATATATAAAAAATAGAGGCTTCTATAAATACTGTATTCCCTTTTTAACTTTATAGCTTAAATAGATTTCTCAAATACACTGAGTATCAGTTGTATTATTTGTAAGATTAAATAATCTTGTATTATAAGTGATAAAGAAAGTTTTAAGATTTTAAAATTATTACACAGTATATAGTTAACATAGCTATTTATTATGATTAAATATAAATTGCTTTAAAGTTTTTGTGGTAAAGATATCTTGGTATAAAAAAGTAGCACTTAATATGGAATACAGAGGTGGGCGGCTCGGTAGGGGTGGGCGACTCGCCCGGGAATTACGTTAATGCCTGGCATGCTACTATTTTGATTATGAGGGCTATCAAAATTAGGTCATGCCTTGCTGTAAATAGAATATAATCCACGAATTCATTCATTGCGACAATTCAGTTGATTTTGCGCTCATTTAATTTTCTCGATATAACATTCAAGGATTTTGCATATCACTGCTGTAGAAAGGTATGTCTAAATGATAATAACATGGCCAGAAAAATAGATCACGGCTCCTGATGATGTCATACCGATTTACCCGAGCCTTATCAGATCCGACATCCCCGGGATATTAATAATGCCCCGGAAATATCCTCACCCCGCGACCATTTAAGACGTTATTTATCCTCGCCCCTTTCTCACATTCCGACCACCAATTACATATCCAACAACCCCGAAGCATCCTCAATCCACCAAAATGAAACTCGCCATCCTCGACGACTACCAATCCATCTCCCGGGCGTCCTTCGAGCCCCTCCGCCCCCGCCTCACCACAATATCCTACTACCCAGACACGCTCAACCCAGCCGACCCATCACAACAAGACGAACTGATCGCACGTCTCGAGCCCTACGACATCATCATGACCATGCGCGAACGCACCCCATTCGCAGCATCCACGCTCTCGCGCCTCCCAAACCTCAAGCTCCTCCTCACGACCGGCGCCCGCAACCTCGCCCTCGACGCCGAGTTCGCCGCCTCCCGCGGCGTCGCGGTCGCGGGGACCCTTGCGCGCCCCATTGGCGTGCACTCTACCGTGCAGCATACCTGGGCGCTGGTCCTGGCGCTGGCGAGGGGTGTTGCGCGCGACGACGCGGCGGTGAAGCGCGGGGAGTGGCAGGGAAATGAGTTGGGGATTTCGCTGGCGGGAAAGACGCTGGGGGTGCTTGGGTTGGGGAAGTTGGGGACGGGGGTGGTGAAGATTGCGAAGTTGGCGTTTGGGATGGATGTTATTGCTTGGTCGACGAATTTGACGCAGGAGAGGGCGGATGAGGTGGCTAGGGAGGAGGGGTTGGAGGGGGGAAGTATCAAGGTGGCGGGGAGTAAGAGGGAGTTCTTTGAGACGGCGGATGTGGTGAGTGTGCATAGTGTTTTGTCGGAGAGGAGTCGCGGGATTGTTGGGCCGGAGGAGCTGAAGGCGATGAAGAAGACTGCGCTGTTGGTGAATACGTCGAGGGGGCCGTTGGTGGATCAGGATGCGTTGTTGGAGACGCTGAATCGTGGTGGGATTCGCGGGGTGGCGCTGGATGTGTTTGAGACGGAGCCCTTGCCGAAGGATAGTCCGTGGAGGACTACAAGATGGGGAGAGGATGGTAGATCTCAGGTTTTATTGACACCGCATACTGGGTATCTGGATGAGCAGATTCATGGCTGGTACAAGGAAGCGGCGGAAAACCTGGAGAAGTGGTTAGACGGGAAGGAGCTGAGTGTTAGACTGAATTAGACCGAATGAGTCAGGTAGTCTACATATCAAATGTTAGGGGAAAACCAATACAATAAGGACTGCATTGCATGGGAGCGAGAACCGAGCCGACGATCTTCGAGCCAAGCATGCGTGATCCACCAACGGCCACGAACTCCGATTGTCATACCTCGGAGTTACACAAAGAGCTGGACCTAGCATGACAAGACACGTTATCTGGTGGAGCTCTGGGGTACCCCGCAGGCTATAAATATGAATGCGATTCAATTGAATTCATAGAACATGCCTGTTCAATCACCACTGAACTGCCTAATTCACAATGACCTCCCAAATCATCGCGTATGACATCAAACCAACAAAATTAATTCCCAACTCCCCCAAACCCCTCCTCCTTTACAAAAACTGCTTTCTCCGAGACGACCGAACAGTAGACGCGACCCTCGCCTACGATACATTCAAGAAAAACGGCTGGGACGCGCAATGGGTGACCACATACGGACACTACCAGCGATCCCACTACCACCCCGCCACCCACGAGGTGATGGTGGTATTATCCGGCCCGGGAAGAATTCGCTGGGGCACGGCAGACCTCGACGAGAATCCGCACAATCATACCTATGGCAAAGGCTCGGAGAATGGCGCCCTTTACGTGGATGTCAACGCGGGCGATCTATTCGTCATTCCGGCCGGGGTCACGCACAAATCGTTCGATGTGAATGCGAAGATACCGGATCCGACGTGTCTGACTGGAGGAGGGGCGCATAGGATTGAGGCGGAAGATCCGAGGACTTTTGTTGGAGAGCTGCAGGTCTCGGGGTTTACGATGATGGGGGCGTATCCGCGAGGGACGAGCTGGGGATGGGCGGAAGGAGGAGCACATGTCGGGCGATATGAGTCTGTCTGGAGTGTGAGAAATGAAGATCTGGATCCGGTGCTTGGTGAGAAGGGTGGGATTAATGATTATTGGAACCGAAGAAATGTATCTCTTTGAGAGGCAGGGATTTGAGACATTCAGTCGCAGAGAATTAGCGGATTGAATTTCGAATGCGTATTGATTGAGATGAAGAAGTCTTTGACTAAGGTGTGCCGTGGCTTCTGAAGTATACTGTCACATATCCTTCGTTAATGCTTGTCAGATAGCAATATTCAGAAAGCAGGATGCATTGTACAGAGAAATCAACGGAATGTGCTCATCGTTATTTTATTGGTACCGATAACCTTAGGGAAACATCCCCGCAACCCAAGTGTGTCGTCATTCTGATGGACAAGGGGAACGGGTTCCATGAGATTTTATATCCGAACTTTTCCTGTGCGAATCCCCTCCAGTTTCTATCCAACCCCTTCCACTATAAGTTCTAAGAAAGTGCTATTAGTCTTGCCGCATATACAGCGATGGACAGCCAATTTGCCAAGTAAGTCACCCGCAACAAAGCCTGATAATCTAGTCCAGAGCCAAATGTAGCAGATCGATCTCATCGGAACTCTTCACCTTTGTCGTTGGCCAAGCGAGGAAGGAATTCACCGTGCACTCTGGCCCCCTGGCTAGCTTGTCCTCGCCGCTAGACAGGCTCATGAACGGCCCAATGATGGAGGCAAAAGCTCGGAAAGTGGACTGGTCGCAGGTGGTCGACGAGGATACCTTTGTTCGCCTGTGCCAGTATGCCTATAGTTGCGATTACACGCCACCTGTGCGCTCGGTGAAAGAAAAGGCTGAAACGCGTCAGATGGCTTCCGTGTCAGGTAAGATTTCTGGAGTCACCCGTCAAGGCTACAAACTTATCGAGAGAAGCATCCAAGAATGAGCAGCAGGAACCTGCTTTGTCTTTCTACCCTAGGAGGCACAAAGTCCCGCCCATCCCCTCATCCATGTTGTCAAGGTTTAACAAGTCCTTCCCCTCGCCTAACGACTCGCACAACGAAAAAAGTATCTCGACACGGCAGCTTCAGGAAAAGTTTTGTGACCTCCGGGAGCGACACGCAAAATTGCATTCAAACGCCGTATCACAGCAGACAACAAAGTTCGCTTCCACAGGAAACTATTGCCACCCACAGGGTTTGAAGCCAGATTTCCTCGGCCATGTGAAGCTATACATTTTGGCTGATACATATGGCATCCTGCCGCTTGCGCACTTGGTTCTGTTTAGACTGGGGGCTGCGCTGGGAAGTCTCACCCCGTCTGAATCTAACATGGGCGAAATAGTTGCCCTGGTTCGATTTTCCTATCAACGCACACGGCCCAACGACCCTCTGAGAATATTGGTTGCAGCATATGTCGCCTCCGTTTCCAGCCAAATAGGCTTGTGCGGTGATTTGCAAGATCTGCTGGTCGAGGGTGGGGATTTTGTTTGTGACTTATGGAAGGCTATTTGGAATTGATTCTCTAGGATTTGGCATTTATTCCGTGCGCTCGTGCTTCACAAAGTCATAAACCGCAAACGACTACTTCAATTCAAACCCAGACAATCGGCTCTCCACACATTCACCCAAAAACTCTTGATACTGAGGCAATCCTCCGATGTAGTTCAGGGCTTCCCGTCGCTTGCCGGGAATGTTTCCACCCATATACCAAGAAGTCTTGTTATGGGACATCAGTGTCCGATAGCAAGCCTCATCTGTGAGTCTAGACCACTCCACCTCCGTTTCTGGCCTGGGGTCGATCCGCGAATAAGCATGCTGCCGCATATAATAAATCGTCGTGATAATCCACTCCGCCTGGATCTCCGAAATCAAGGGGCCGTTTGCGAATGCGGTCGGACTTTGCGGACCGTAGAGATAGAACAGGTTTGGGAATCCGGACGTTGCCATTCCAAGGGATGTTCGTGTCTGAATGGCCCATTCGTCGTTCAGAGTCTTATCATCCACCCCGTGGATGTTGACACGCGAGAAACTACCCGTCACAGCGTCAAAGCCAGTAGCAAGGATAAGCGCATCCAGCTCGACGGTCTTTCCATCCTGGAACTGAATCCCGTCGGGCAATATCTGCGCTATCGGATTTTTCTTCAGCGCAACAAGACGCACATTCTCCTGATTGAAGACCTCGTAGAACGTCTGCTCCAGCGACGGACACTTCGTTCCAAACGGATACGGCGGCTCCCAAGGCGCCAGATTCTCGATCAACTCCGGATCATCCTGCGTGAGACGTTGTCTGACCTTGTCTCGCCAGAATGCGTAGAACGCGTGGTTCGCGTCCAGATTCGTCATGAAGTCAGAGTAGTTCCCCTGCGCCGGCGCGAAGCCTCCTTCTTCCCAGAGCTTCTCATAAAGCGCCGTTCGCTGCTCGTGTGTATCGTCCATCGCCTTCCGGTCGATGCGTGGATAGTTGTTGCCCGTCTGTGAAAGTCGCATGTTTCGAAACATCTCCCCGTATTCTGTCTTGTCGACAGGAACCTTGTTGACTTTCTGGCGCATTGGCAGCGCACAGTTCGGTGATCGCTGAAACACCACCAGCTCGTCTACCTTCGGACCCAGCTCTTGAATGATCTGCACGCCTGTCGCGCCAGTGCCCATCACACCGACCCTCTTCCCCGACAAATCCACGGCTTGCTTCGGCCACTCGGCCGTATGGCACGCAAAGCCCCGGAAGGTATCCAACCCCTCCAGCCTCGGGGTGTACGTCTTCGCCGCAAACCCCATCGAGAGAAGCAGATGCCTGGCGGAAACAACATGTCCCCTATTCGTCTGCACCGTTCAGACTCTTTCCAAATCATCCCATTTCGCATCCGTCACCTTCGCCCCGAACACAATATCCCGACTCAGATCCCACTTGCGGTCCACGAACCGGAAATACTCCAGGATCTCCTGCTGGCCTGGATACAGCTCAGACCACTCCCACTCCCGCCAGAGCTCGGGGTCCGAGAACTCGTAGAACGGCGTGCGGTTGTCCACCCGCGCCCCGGGGTATCGGTTATGCCACCAGACGCCGCCGAGCCCGTGGCCTTCTTCGAAGGCTTGCACGCGGAACCCGAGCTGGCGTAGGTTGCGCAGGAGGTAGCAGCCGCCGAAGCCGGCGCCGACGATGATGGCGTCAAGGAGGCCGTCGTCTATGTAGGAACCCATGTTATAGGAATGGGAAGTATAGATAGTTTCAAAAGTTGCAAACGGGAGGAAAAGAGGCGAGGTATCAAATAGGTATAGATGGGAAAGTCCCTATGAAGTGATCCATATCCGCTTTATAAATCCAGCTTCCCCTCCTCCCTTGCGCTTGGTAATGACTCGGCCATTAGACGTCCTCTACGCCTCTGGAATCGTAACCCCGCGATCTCTCGACTCCCCATTCCTTGCTGCCCCGTTCTCCCGTATGCCCTTGCAACCCTCCATGACCGGTTTATTGGCCCCCACCCCCGGGCCGAGCCACGATAAGCCCCGATGTTCATCGTCGCACTACGGCCCTTTTCTCCGACTCCCCTCTTTTCACTTGATATCAGGATACTAACGATGCAGCTATGTACGTATCTATCTCGCTAAAAGGTCGGATCGGATGCGGACACCGATTCTAAACGCGTCATCGTGTTAGGCGAGTTATATAGACGAGTATTATTGAGCCGATTAATCACCGGAGTAGTACGCTGATGATCACAATTTACTGTCAGTGCGTTGTGATTCGAAAAAAGGAATTCACTATCTAAACCGCCAAATCATCCATCCCCGGAAGTGGCCAAGTCAAACTATCCACATCCAACGAATTCGCCAACTCCATCAACTGATCTGGACTAAGCTCATAGTGCTGTCCAAAGCCCTCAGCCAGCCCTAATTCCAGCGTGTGCTGGGCCTCTACACCTACTGGAGCCGCAGGCATCATTCCAACGGGATCGCCTCCCTGTGCAAGCCCGCATATCGAAGAGGGAGTGTGTAAGGTGGTTGCAGGGTTAACGTTCTGTCCGCTCAATAACTCCGCAAGTTCTCCCTCTAGCTGTCTGAGCTCGGACCGAATTAAGCGAGCAGAAATGTTGCCACGGCTGCTCATGTCTTCTAAGATGGCGTATGCGCGGTGGGTCCAGGGGCTGTGGTCGGGTAGTATGGATGGGTCAATGGCGGCGGCCATGAGGAGGGGGACGGTGGATGTGAAAGCGGCGTCCATGTAGATGGGGAGGAATGTTTCTAGACAGATCGGTTAGTGCTAGAGTTGAGGATTGTGGAGCAGAGATGGTGGTGTTACCTAGCAATCCTTGTTCTAGTAGATTGGATAGAATTCTCAGAGTCTGTTGTGCGGATTCCACGCATATCTGAAGCAGAGCTTTCACGGTCCCGGATTGCAGCCACCCCATTAGTGCGGGGTCCGATTGGCCGAGTTTAGATTGTAAAAAGATGTATAACAGGGGTCTGGTGGTTAATATAATACACTATATCGGATGATTAGCGCCCCGTGATGAATAAGTAGATGGGACTATACCTGATGCTCAAGCAGATGCAAATGAGCCGATATCCTCGACATGCCACTCATGGATCCGTTGACGTATAAATCAAAAGAGCCATTCAACTGCTCCGTCACCTTTGCAATATCCCGAAGAACAGACTGCGTGGCGCTTAGGTAGCGACTGTCAAGCTTTCCTTCGCTGCCATACACAGCTGACAAAATTAGCAACACGGGTTTGATCTTGAGGGGTGCCACTTACTTAAATCTACTTTAGCGAGAATCTGGCACAGCATCACATGCATTTCCAACACATTCGGACCGTGGATGCTTCGAGAAATCGGAGGAAATGACGCGCTGATGCTCTCCTCCGAAATCCCCATAGGCACGCCCAGAAGAGACGACATCCGCCGTTCAAGCACGTACACAGTCCACCACACGAGGCTACATCGCTGCACATAGACCTGGTCGAGATATATCCCGTGCATTTCAGTATACATTCCATGCTCTAGAGCCAGGCGAAGAGCGGTGCCGATCTAGAATCATCAGTAACAGCCACTATGTCGACGGAGGTTGATTTACCATGCGGTAGGCTGGCCCACGACTGTGAACACACTGTAAATAGAGTGCCGCACAGCATAGTACTTGCGTCTTCTCGATCGGATCACCGTCGAAGCATGTAAAATCCGGCATGCATTGCATTGCCTGGACGAAGTGATCTGCGCCGGGCGGACGATGCGACCGGGTCGATTGGACGACGAAGCTTTTCCCAAATGCAAGGATCAGGAGATAATGACAGAACCATAAAGGGGAGGAACGGGCTCGCTGGGAAGGGTTCTGGTGGAACGCTTCAAACTGCTGCATAAATCGATCTTCCTCGAAGAGGTAAAAAAGCTGCCCACAATGAAACTTGACCGTGTTAATTAGGAATCTGGCAAAGTCGGCTGTGGGGAGTTTGGAGACATCGAATATGTCTTGGGAATAGTTTGCCTTGTTGCCATCCCATTTGAGATCGTAGACACCGTCGTCGAATAGTAGACTGGTTGGGTCTGGACACAGCGAGGAGCCTGTTAGTTTCTCATGCGTCATTCCTAGTACTCGCCGACCGAAGGCCCAAGTAGACGATGCGCCCATAAAGACTGAAAAATGTTAGACAACCTTCGAGTTTACGATATCAGAGATACACACTTGGCTTTCCTCGGGGCCCTGGAACCCAGTCCGTGATGTGAAAAGCTAGTGGGTTGGTGAGTGGCGCTTTCGTTTCCCCGCCACCTGCTATAGTCGATATGTTCGGAGCACCATTCACAACGGCTTCATGATCGTCCAGGCCACATGCTGATACAGCTAGTGACCTGTCCGTACGCTCAGGAGGCTCCAGCTGTCTGGTATCAGCATTCATCCCACTGCCATCACGCTCACCAGCCTGATTGCTAAGAGACACAGGCGTAGACCTTGACGATGTGGCCTGATTTGCTCGATGCTGGAAGGTAGCCAGTCTCCCATGAAGATCATTGATATATCTGAACCAAAAGAATTATTGATTCATGCCCAAAATCCCAGACCACTTGACCTACCGTCGAGTAATCAGGACCTTCTGCGATGGGCTTTCAAAATGGCAGGTTGAACTTCGCTTACTGCATTGGTCGCATGGGTGCGAACCGGTACATCTGATCTTTTGATCGCGACATCTCTTACATCTATTCACAGTCAATGACCAAGCTCTTAGTGTACAAGGAGAAAACACACGCTTTAGTCACACGCTTGCTCGCTCTCAGCGAACGTCTTTCCGATGCATTTCTTGGCGACATTCAGCTGCAAAGAAATTGTGATATTGAGCTTCAGAATTGGCAATTCGAGCTGCAAAAAAAGGCTTTGGATGTTGTCACGATTTCCTATCACGGGCTGATTAAGCGGGGTAAACGCGAAGTTTGCGGGGAAGCAACAGGCGATGCTGATTGGTCGGTTCTGGGAGATACGAGCAGGCTAAGATGATAACCTCCAAGGCAGGTATCTCCGAGAATTCAACTGCGGCTGTCGAAGGACCAGCGTCCAAGAATCTGTTATCATGTTCACTGGGCCTATCAGAAATGATTTGCTCAATTGGAGACCCACAGATAGCCCTCCGATATCTCCTTGTCGGCCTATCTATGACGAGTGCCTCGAGGAGAGCAATCCCACCCAGATCCCGGCATATGTCGGATGCAGTGGCCGTAGTGTGGCCTGTGGACCCCCTCGGAGTGACACGAGCCAATAAGAAAGATTATGTTTTATGACCGGAGACTCCTGCCTGATATGTCTGTATCTGGAGTTCTTCGGCTGCGGATCTGGGGTAATTCTTTATACGACCCACAGCTAACATAGTGACACCGTATCCTACGTCTCAGAAAAGACTTATTGACATAGGAAAGATAACAGGAGTTGCCAAGTTCATTTCCAAGAAGAAAGTAATATCACTTTCCGCCCTGCTCTATAGAAATGCAGACGTTTTGTCCAATTAATGTACGGAACGGGAGCGTGGAGGGGATTCACCTGCGGCACGATGGGTTTATGGAAATGAGGGCCATTAATGATAACCACTCGCTGATGATAGCCCTTGGTCAACATAATTCTCCAATGTTATCCAGGATACGTCAGAGCGTGCTAGTTTGTCTCACCCCCGCATTATAAGAGTATCCACAGGTCATTCAGCATTAATTCCTTGGTCCCAATCCCAGTCTCTGCAAATTCCTTTTCCAATACTCACCTAAACAGTTCAATATCTTTCACTCCATATACTCTCTGTGATAACATCACATCATGTCGGAAATTGTCGAGGAAGTAGTAAGAAACAGCACGGAAAAATCCGAACCCATGGACCCTCCGCCCATAGCAGAAGATGCCGTATTTGGCGAGATCACAGAGGAAGGGCCGAACTACAGAGACGTGAGAATCCTCCAACTAACCCTATCCCGCAAGCTAAGTATATATAGGTCGGATGGCTAGGGACAGTGGCTCTCATGATGAAGACCCAGTTTGGCCTCGGCGTTCTTTCTATACCTCAGGTCTTCAACACCCTGGGCTTGATCCCGGGTATTGTGTGTCTCTGCGTCATTGCGTCCATGTGTACCTGGTCTACTTATATTATTGGACAATTTAAACTGCAGCATCCTGAGGTCTATGGCATCGATGATGCGGGCGAATTGATGTTTGGTCGCATAGGCCGTGAGGTCTTCGGTGTCAGTGTCTGTATTTGTGAGTCTCATATCCTGGCCTGGCTTCTGGAAGTTTCGTCTAACAAGTCACTACGCCAGACTGGATATTCTGTGCTGGTTCAGGTCTCTTAAGCACGTCTACCGGACTAAACGCTGTCTCCAGCCATGGGGCCTGCACCACTGTTTTTGTTGCGGTCGCTGCGATCGTTTCCTTCGGTCTCGCTAGCATCCGTACACTAGGAAAGATCAAGTGGACTGCTTGGGTTGGGCTGGGTTGTATTTTTACTGCTGGTGGGTAACACTTTGATGGGGTAATTCCTAATACTGACCTCGTGTTAGTGATTATGGTTACCATCGCGGTCGGTCTGCAGGATAGGCCTTCAGCGGCACCCAAGGGGAACGGCGCCTGGGTCTCGGATTATAAACTTGTCGGCAGTCCATCGTTCACGCAAGCAATATCCGCCGTGTCATCTCTCGTATATTCCTACTCTGGCACGCCTGGTTAGTCTTCATCTCGTAACCCACCACAGCCCCAAGTACGCTCCAATACTAAGATATGCATGATCCAGGATTCTTTCCCATCGCCGCCGAAATGCGCGACCCATCGCTCTACACACGAGCCCTCATAATCTGCCAGGGATCCGTAACTGCAATCTACAATGCCTCCGGGACTGTCATCTACTACTACTGCGGGTCCTACGTTTCATCGCCCGCCCTCGGCTCAGCCGGCGCCCTAATCAAGAAAGTCTCGTACGGAATCTCCCTCCCTGGCCTGATAGTCAGCACGATTGTCGTTCTACACGTAATTCCTCCCCCTCCCCTCCACGCTCTATTCTAACCCGCCCAGTTCCCAAGCAAATACATCTTCGTCCGCATCCTGCGCGGCTCAAAGCACCTGACTTCCAACTCCGTCATACACTGGGTGACCTGGCTCAGCTGCACCTTGGCGATCACAATAGCCTCGTATCTCATCGCCAGTGGGATTCCTATTTTTGGCGACCTTGTCTCCTTGATTGGTGCTCTTCTCGGAACGTTCATGTCCTTTCAACCAATGGGGTGCATGTGGCTCTACGATAATTGGAAAAGGGACCGAGAGCAGCCCACGGCTAAATGGATGCTTCTGGCCGCCTGGAGCATTGCGGTTGTTGCGCTGGGCTCGTTTCTAATGGTTGCCGGGACTTACGGGTCCATTACTAGCATTATCGCGTCTAGTAAGGCGGCGTCGGGAGCGTCGGCGTGGTCGTGTGCTGACAATTCGAACTCGTGAGAATGAAATGTGTTGTAGTTGAGGTAGGCAAGCGGACTTTGGCTTTGGGCTTTTCCTTTCTTTTGCGAACAGTCGGTGGCTCATGGTCAAGTAACACATAGAAACTCACCATCAATCGTTGCATCGCAAAGTGTGGAGCTCCAGCCACACACAAACAATGACCAACCATATAACAAAGCCACAATTACCTATCAATCCTCCTTGGCTTTATGATCCTTTTCGGTGCTCTAATAATAGGATGCTCTTTGATCTTACCAAATAACAAGCCATATAGACAATAACAATAGAACCATTACATATTGGAGAACTCATTGCGATATAAAAATAGTACCTACAGTTTCTGTTCACATGCGTCAGTTTTAGCCGATCAATGACTTGCTTGCCCAAGACTAGCCACTAGAACAAAACAAAACAGTCATCGGTTGGCCTCGGTTACAAATAGCCTCAAAGAGGGATTAATCTACGCGCAATGCTTCCACTGCCTGTGGGCCGGGACCTTATATGCTACGTTACAACGAGTGCGGCTTTTGTGGAGGCTGAAAATAGACTTAAATTGTGTTGGCGCTACTCCAGGGTGACAAGGCTGTGAAAAGGATTTAGCCCGTCCATAGTTCCCAACTCTCCATGCTTGTACGGAGTAGGATGTCCGGAGTAGCATCTGTCATGGAATCCACCAAAGTGGCCCGTCTAGAAGTTTTATTCATGCCCGAAATCATCCAGAGCAAGTACGTCATGGGTTTGAAATCTGTTATGCGAGAGCGACTAGGGGTAGCAAAATAGCGAGCGTGAACTACTGAACGGTGTGCATAAATCATAGTTACTAACCTAAAATCGTATTATCTACTCTAAAGAATAGTACTAAGGAAGACTACAGGCCTCAGGATTATCATAGGAAACCCAATTAGGAAGGTGCATATTTTTTAGGAAAGCATTCTAGAACATACGCTGCCTTAAATCCGCTTGGATGAAATACGACGTGACCAATCATACGAAAGACTTCAGTTGGAAATCGATATGATGGTTCTCTTCCCTTGTGGCCTCCACTATGTCCGTCCAAAAGACGGAGTATAACGGGAAATCCAACATCAACTAACCCCACAATACCCACAACGCTTAATTTTGGGCAAAGAATGAGGCTGGAGCCCGCGTACAGGATGCGCTAATTGCAACAGATTACCACCGAAAACAGTATCCTGTTTGTTTTACTGCATAATTATACACCGCTCTTCCGAATCATCGTACAGGTTATCATACTAACCGTGTTGCTAGGGCAGCACTGTCGCGATGGTTGAGGTGCCTAAAAACAGCTACAGCTATGCTCGTGGCTTGCGATCGGGATCGTGCATAGCATAGCCTCCGACTGCTATTCATACTCTTATTGACAGGGGGTCGTTCTTTGAGCCGTGAGCTATATCGACCGTGTCTTACTTTTACGGCGTCCAAATCAGATACATCACGTGTAGCACACCCACGGATGTAACCATATCCCGAGCCAAACACCACGATTCGTCCAGCCAGCACAGCCAGGCTCATGTACCACGAGCGATGAACACATGGATAAGCTAGCTAGCTGGTCATAATAATAGCATCAGGATTAACCGTACGCAGCCATGTGGAGCCGCCCTACCGGGTATGCCTGACTCCGCGGCTTCCCATAGGCGGCTCACCGGATCAGCACAGCCCTACTCCGCCGTCGGGGTCTTGGCTGCCAGCGAGATCCAGGCGCAGTGTTGGAAAATGCCCATTGGCTTGAATGCTCGGTTGTGAGCAAAAGCCGCACTCTAGCGAGCGGGCGTGGATCAGGACAAAGAAGTGGGTTCGCATTAGTCGATCTTGGCGGCTCCCAACATCTTTGTTGTGGTTCGGACGCGGCATTCAGAGCCTCATCTGCCGTCATGGCCTAATTCTGGGTCTTGGTTAGGCCTCTTTCTGGTGATGGCTTGGATGGAGACGAGATGGATGGGAGTGCGTCGTTGGGATGGATATAAATATGGCCTGGTCCTCGCTGTAGAATTGACTTTATCATCAGCATCACAAGCACACTTTCCAAGCATCTTTCCACACTCCAAACCATTCAAACAATCTTCCATACACTTCAATAGACTCTGCTTTCTTTCCCACTGCATTCAAACAGCCTTCACTATGTTGTTCCGCGCCCCCGTCCTTTGCATGGCTGCTAGCCTGCTCAGTGCTCCTCTCGCCGCTGCTCTGCCCACCACCGAGCGATCGACCTTGACTGCTCGCGATGACACTCAGTGCGACGTCAACACGAACTTCTACGTCTGCCACATCAACAACTTCCGCGGCTGCTGCTCCGTCGACCCCTGCGCTCTGAAGGACGGCTGCCCCGACAACAAGGACGACAGCTCCGATGACGACAACTCCAAGAGCGGCTCCGACGATGACAACGACGACGACTCCTCCGACGATGAGACCGAAGAGCCCGCGTCCTGTCCCTCCTCCGGCAAAACAACCAAGCTCTTCCAGCCTCACATGGAAACCCTCTTCGTCAAGCCCGCCGGCGCCTCCATCTCCACTCCCAACCTGAACATCAGCAAGTCGAACACCAGCGAATGGCAGCAGACGATCTCCTGGAAGCTCCCCTCCGCGGCCAAAGACTGCAAGCTTGGCTGGGACATCCCTGAGGAGCGCAACTTCAAGTCTGGCAACAACTCGCGGGTGGCTGTCTACGACGGCGACACGAAGATCACTTCTGCGGACTTCGCCTTCTGGCCCGATACCCCCGGTGCTCGGTCCAGCCCTGTCGGAGGGGTCGACTGCAAGGAGGACCTTGAGTTCCGTCTGGAGTTGGTTTACAACGGTGAATATGTCTTCCTGGAGCAGAATGAGGAGACGGGTTGGTGGGTTGAGTTCAGCTGCTAAGCGGCTCGTCTTTCGGTTTTGAGTTATGAGGGTTATGATCCTAATGGTAATTTGATAATTATTGTAGTTTCTGTGGTGCCACGATGCATTAGGTGGTGCAGAGGGGCTACAGATATGTGGAGGATACAACGATTTAAATGATCTAAATAGTTATAATTAGATAGAGATAATCGACTCTACTTGAGTTTGTCATTTGGTGTGGTTCAGCACGTACTAGAATAAGTAACTGGACTGTATCTTTTCTGTTAAGAAATGGTAGTCTGACCAAATCGATTATGATTAATCTGAATATTGAGGAGCAGTTAGCTGTATATATTTTTGCACAGCTATCTAAGACCATATAAACTCCTATAAGATAAAATGTTATGATTCAAGATCGAACATAATTTAGCATGGACAACACATGTTAATGTTCATCATCCCTGGATGGTCAGCAACCATTTAAAAAGTTATGTATACATGTTGTCGCTGATCTCCGTAATTCCGCCTAAGCTTTCTGCAATACTACATTATTAAATATCTACCTTCCTCATCGGGATAAATATATACCTCCCCGTAGCAGTCCAGCACGCGCTACCCCCACAACATCCCCACCAAAATATATATACCAGACTAGTCGCAGCGATCATACCACCACCTCCACATTCATCTACATAATCTACTTCCATACATCCGATGATAACATGTCCATGTTTCCGGGCGCACGGATCGTCGCGATAAAGGAGGGGTTCTGGAATGCGGAATGTCCGGGATTCCACGTGGGCACGTGGACTATCCGTGTCCATTTAAAATAGCCGGAATGCCTCGTGTCGAGCCTCAACTCTAATCTAGACGTAGATGATCATACCTGAGATAAGATTAATATTGTCTGTTCTGAGTTGGTTCGGCTCTCTCTTCCCTGGACATGTAATTTCGAAACCCTCACTGCGCCGGAGTTTGCAGTCACATTGACAGTGTTGGGTGAATGGCGTTGTGTAGGTATCTGACGTGTTGGTGGTGGATTGAGGAGATGCGGGATGTGGTGTGGTGTGGTGTGGGGGTGGATTTATCGGGCGAGCGGAGGACAAGGTCGGGGACGGGGTTTAGATATGCATTTGCATTAAGGACTGGTCGTAATTGATATACCATTAAACCTATTTCTTTAATTCATTGACATTTTTTGTACAACAGTATGACTGTCATCTATACACATAGGATTGTATGATCGTCTATCTCTATCATCATGCACCACACCATGCACCTCATAGACGCACATAAACAACAAAAACGCTCAGAACACCCCAACACAAACAGCAACCCTCTATGCATCTAAACCATAGAACATAATAAATGAATCTAAGCCGTCGCCGAACCCGACGCGTCAGCCCTCGCATCTCTCTCATCCAACAACTCCGTAATATGCGGATTCAACCAGTACCCCTTCAGCTGGTCCCTTGACATCTCCTTTGCGCCCTTGATAAATCCCTTACACGACTCCGCACCACACATGCATTCAAACGCCTGGTCCATCTCCCACTCGCTACTCGGATAGAAGAACGTAAGCGGATCGCCGACCTTGAGGTCCCGCCCGGCCACGACGCGTACCTGCATGGCGTGCATGTCGAAGTCCAGCGTGGGCGCGCACGAGTGGTTGCAGTAGACCAGGTCGGAGTTCAGCTCGATGTGGCTGTCGCGGCCGGTCTGGACCGAGGTGTAGGCCTTGTGCGAGGACGTGGTGCCGGTGATGGGCGTGAAGACGGACCCGGCGGGGAGGCTGGTCTGGGAGGTTGCGCCGGACGCGAAGGGTTTGGAGGAGCGGTGGACGTGCAGTTTGCCGGGGTGGGTGGGCGGAGGCAAGTCTTTGGGGTTGACAGTGGTTGTGGTGGTGGGAGGGTCTTCGAGGGCGATAGGAGGCATGTTGTTGGAGTATGTTTTAGTATTGTATGGTTCTGGAGAGAAAGTTGGAGATAGGAGGTCACAATTTGTGCAGAGGAAAGAAAGATGCGAGTCAGGAATTGAGATTTGGCAGCTCGAGCAAAGTCCAGCCAGCGCAACCCCTCAGTCCCCGTCTTTATATCCCCTCCATAGTGGGGTGAAGCGCGCAAAATGGCGCAGCGCTGGACCTCGGCTGACCGGCGTCATGCCGTCATTCGGTCGGGCCGCATGCGGCGTCCCGTGGCACGTGTAGCTGCCTCAGGTATTTAAATCTGATGCCTGAGGTATGTACCGGAGACATGTTACTCCGGTGACGTCCATGGTGCCCGATTCCTCAGGCAGACATTTCCACTCTCCCTCCAGAACCAATCTCCCAATCTCCCAATCACCGAATCTCCTCCCAAAATCAAACCAACCCCAAATCCTAATCTTCTCTAATCCTCACTAACGGCCTGTAGCGCGGGAACGGACAACCCCTGCAACTGGTAGTAAAATCGGCAGAACAGAGAACAAGGGTTGCCATTTAGGACCGCAGAATCCGCAACCACACCGCACCAAACTGAGGTGCGGGTTTGTTTTTTAAGAGTAACCCCCCCGTTGACCCCAGTGTCATGGGGCGTTGCTGATATCGGATTTATCTCGGTTCTTCACAACGTGCAGGAACGCACACCCAACTGCCGACCTTTCCGCAGGCTTCTGGAAAGTCTTTTTGCAAGGCTACAGATATTGAGATCGAACAAGACGGGCCGAAGTGGGACATGCCGATATGGGTCTTGGTAAATCTTTTTCTGCTCTTATTCAGTTGATAATTTACGGATCGGACGGCGTTGCCATGGTTCAACATGCAACTAGTGCAATCCTAAAGTTCATTCGCAGGTAAAGGCTTACATCATGACGAGTTAAATACCTTCTCTCATATATCGTGGCATTCCAGAGACTCTGAAGTGTTCTTACTGCGTACATTCCTTTTCAAAGTCTTTGCTACCTTTTCTTGCTCTTCTACATCATTTTGTTCCGGAACAAAGGCCATATTTTGATTTTGCCGTCACTGCCACTCCTTACTCCACATTCAGTCTCTGCCTTTAAAATTATCCCAAAGATTATACGAAATGATGCTCCCTGGACGGTTCTGGGTCGGCATCGCTGGAGCATTTATCGCCCTGCAGCTTCTCTTCCTGGCCAACATGTGCTATATCTACGGAACAGCGTTCCACGACTCGCAACGGTACAGCGCTATGCACGTACTCTACGTGGACTACGACCAGGGGGCAATTGGCCAGTCGGTGCTCGCCGCCTACAACACCATGCAGAGCCCGGCAGTCGTCACTCTCGAGCAACATCCTGTCAGCGAGTACCCGACGGAGCGGGAGATTGAGCAAGCCGTCTGCAAGGGCAAGTACTGGGGGGGCGATCTACGCTCGCACCAACGCCTCGACGCAGCTGACGGCGGCAGTGCAGTCGCCCGAGGCGGCGCAGGCCTACGATCGCTCGCAGGCGCTGCAGTACTACTGGAAAGGGACCAAATACTCGGCCTACGCGACGGGCGTCTACTCGCAGTTGACGGAGCTGGTGCAAATTACCGCAGCCGTGTACGCCCAGACGCACGGGGCAGGGCTGCTCGCAGCGGCAAGCAGCAGTAACCTCACCGACCCAGCCATCGCAGCGACGCTCCTGCTTCCCGTCGGGGGAACAGCGGTGGACGTGGCGCCGACGGACCAAGGCGTGCGGTTCTACTACAACAACGTGTCCATGGTGATGCCGATCATCCAGCAGTTCTTCTTCATCATGGCGCTGAACAGTCTCTCCGCTCAATTCGCCCTGGGAGACCGGCTCTCGACCCGCCAGCACCTCCTGCTGCGCATAGCCCTCTCCCTCGTCTACAGCTTTGTCGGCGCCCTCGTCATGACCGGCTACATCTGGGCCTTCCGCGAGAGCTGGGCCCTGACCGGCGGACAGTTCGCCCTCAGCTGGATGGCCATCTGGCTCGTCATGCACCTGCACTTCCTGTTCATCGACTTCGTTGCCGCATTCCTCCCTGCCGGTTTCCTGCCCTTCTTCGTGCTGACCTGGATCATCCTCAACGTCTCCAGCAGCATCATCCCCTTCGAGCTGTCGCCCGGCTTCTACCGCATCGGCTACGCCTTCCCCGCCTACGAGCTGTACGAGGTTCTGCTGCAGATCTGGACAGACGGATGCAACCCGTATCTCTACCGAGCGCTGCCGATCCTCTGGTCGGAGTGGCTCGTCGCTTTGGGCCTGTTTTTTGTCGGTATGCGACATCGTGGCAAGACGGTCACTCGAGCGAGCGTCTTGGATGACAAGAGTTCGCTCAGGTGAGTGGCAAATTGGAGGGACATGGGCGTTGCACGTTATCAGATTGTCTAGACAGTCAATTTTTCTCTCATATTCTTTTGTTTTTCTTTATTTTTTTCATATTTCTTTCTAATGCAACGGGAAAAAGACCAAAATGGAAGATCAAAGTGGAGCCGAAACGAGTGGAAGGCGAAATAGCGAATTCCCACCGGGACTATATTATACACACATCCACACTAATTATGTACTGCAGGAACAACCCTCAATTCTCTTGACACCGAAGACCAGCCAGCAGCTGTTCGTAGATAGCATTAATGCCCCAGCCGCGCAGGGATCTCATCCCCGACAAGGACTCTTCCAACAGTCTGGCCCGGCCCGTCGACGACATGAAGTTGCCAATACCGGCGAGTTTAAGACGACACGGAAACCCCGTCTCAACCCAGCGCGCCTGCGCCGCCGGATCCTGGTTCATGAACATCCCACCGCTTCCCCCGCCACAGCCAAGAACCACCGAAGGAGTGGCCGCGAAATCGGGCTCAGTCTCGGGTGGTGGGACAGGCGCCAGTGTGGAGAACAGCCAGAGCAGCAGGGTAGCGCGGAACAGGAGCACCGGGAACGAGAAGTGCTGCGCTGCACCGGCCCCAGACCCCACGGCGATGACCAGCGCCGAGTGTGTCTGCGCCGCATACACCACAGCCATACGGCCCTCGCGCGGAGCGGCTCTCCACTCCCTCGCCAGCCCCTGTCGTCCCGCCTCGTCGTACCGCCGATAGGCCAGCCGTAACGCCGTGCCCAGCAGCGGCATCCGCCCCGGTGCCTGCGACATCATTAACCCGCCTAGGATCCCGATCCGGTGCGCCGTGTTGGCTTTCACCTCCGACGGTGATGTCGATGGTAGCTCTGTGACGGTGAGAAGCGTGCGCAACCCCTGCTCCGCTGTTGCTTGGTCCAGGGGCTCGCCTCTTCCTGCTCCGCCTCGCGACGCTGAATCAGGGCTGCGCCCTGCCTGGTCGTAAATGCTGTTGATTAGGAGCTGAAGGATCGCCTGCTTTCCGAGAGTCCCTGTCGCGTTCCACGCGGCGATCCAGTCGCCGTCTCGGGCGAGTTGATGCAGTGTTTTAGAGGGGTGAGTCCCTAAAGCCCCCGGGGGTTGTGTATTAGCCAGGTGTTCACTTTCTTCACTCTGCTCACGCAGCGATGCATGGGAAATGTGTTCGTGAGAATAGCCAAACCAACCTAGATTTTGTGTAAGGCTCGCCCAGGCCTCGGTCGTCAACGCCTCCCAGAGCTCCTCCCGCTGAGGGAGAGTGTTTTGCATATCGCGATCACCCATGAGTCTCGTGAGATCGAAGTGAGTGCGAAAGGCCGAGTCCAGCAGCTTCATGCTTCCAAGGCTCCCGGAGGGCCCGGGAAGAGAAATAGTCAGCCACCGGCATACAGATAAACAGCGAGGGGGAGAGCAGCCTACCCAAACAGCAATTCCGGTCCTCCGGCGCTCCTCGTCGAGAATCCAGATCTGCCATCGCTGGTTCTGTGGTAACTCCAGCTCTGAAATCTTGCGAAGCGACATAGTTGTGGTACATAGCTGCTTTCGACGAGCCAAGGTGATGGGAAGAGCCTGGTAGATCTCGGCGATCTCCAAGGCGCGGCGTTCGCCGGAGTATCGAAAGGCGATCTGGTTCAGAAGGACGACCTGCGTTAGCCACAGCTCGCGGCCGTTTCGATTGTGGTGCTCGCATAGATGGATGGTGAATCGGCGGATGAGCTCTTGCATGGCGCGCGCACAGGTCTGCGACTCGGGGAGTCGTGAGAATTGCGCGCCGATGGCGGCGACGGCGAAGGTTAGGAGCCAGTGCGTGGCTGGACCGCCGAATGAGGGTTTGTGGAGTAAGGGGAAGATGGGATGGAAGTGTTCGAAGTAGAGCTGGACCCAGCTGTTGAGTATGGGCCGGGGTGGAAGCTGCCAGTTTAGAAACGGGGGAAAGCTGGGGGCGGTTTGCAGAGTGAGGGTGAGTCGCGTCGCTTCGTCCAGGACAGTCTGGCTGACCTCCGCAACGTGAGCCAGGTCTTCGCTGTCGATATCGTCGAAGCGGACTCCCCCAAGGTCTGGGAAGCTTAGTTGGGCGTCTACGCTGATGACGGTTGGATGATAGGCTCGGGGTCCCATCGCCTCTTGTTCAGGCCTCGGAGAGCATCGACCGTCGTATATCTCGCTCACCGCGGAGGGAGTCAGTGGCAGCGCCGGCTGTCGGCGCATGTTGTCCCCAGAGAACGACATATCCCGGGTCGGGGGAGTCTCGATCAAGGACGTTAGCCTCATATCCGTAAGGTCCTCCTGGAGACATGGTTGGAACATGTCCGACCAGACAGGCCCCAAGTCGGGCTCCACGAGGCCCTCCAGGTCTACCAGCTCTGAAAGCAGTGGCAGTTCACCATATAACTCCTGGGCAGTTTCAGCGGTAGTATCCAAGAGATCTGGTAGACCTGCACTAGGGTCTGGGGTTTCCAGATGTGGCGTGGTGACAGATACACTTCGATGGTCAATAGTGGAGGGAGTTTGCGCCGCATGATGATGTCCTACTTCCCTCCTGGGATTGGTCTTAGGTTCAGGAGTATGGCGAGACTGACGCTTAGCAGGCGGGAAAGTGGACGAGCTTCCAGCAGACGTTGGCGGCTCGATTCTGCGCTTCTGAGTTTGTTCGTAGTAGCAATCGGTGTCATGACTGATACATCGTTGACAGGGCTGTTGCCCATCACACCGCACTTTGGAGGCATTGCATGGCTTGCAGGCCTTCGCGACTCGACGTCGGCCATCAGCTCGATCTCTGACCTCCGCACCTTGGCCTTGACGATGAACGGTATTATAATGACGCGATAGGGAATCTCTACAGATGGAGTCGCGCACGACGGGAAGCCGCGGAGATGCCACGTCAGCAAATCCGCCGTCCGAGACATCTGTGGAAGGGATGGAGGGAGCCTACACGCGACTAAAGGGATAACCGCATTCGGTGCACGCCTGGATGGTACCCTGTATCAGCTATCGCATATCATTCCTTCCGCCGGTGTTGAACAGAGTTTCTTATCCGTACAAACGGTTTCTCCTTGGTGTGGATTCTTATATGCCGCTCGTAGTGCTCTCGTCGTTGAAACCAGGCAGTGCAACTGGCACAATACAGCTCTGTGGCCTGCATGCTCACGTTGCTCGCTGTCTCGGCCTTTGGTCGGTCTGGGAAGCCGTGCTGCTAATAATCTGAGGTGAATCGGGACTGCACGACAGTAGGCCAGTTGGTTTGGAACCCATTACGTAACAGATGGACGAGAACGAGGAAGACGGGGTGGCGATCAGCGGAGAAACTGCTCCAGAGACTAGTTTCATTTACATTCATTGGCTCTACGTAGTGTGGGTTGGTTTGGTTCCAACCATCATTGGGTCTCTCGGGTACCACTCGGCAACTGTACTGAGCCGTGTGGCACCCGAGTGCAACTCACAACCACGGGACAACACCCTGCTAACTTTTTCTTGTTCCCACGGACATGTGGGCCAGATGATACATAGAGGATTTCACTCCGCCCCGAGAAGAACCAGTGCCTCGCGGGCAGGGTAAGATGCCCAGGTGTAGGAAAACATGCTGTCGGGCAGTTCTGCATCCGGCACGTAGGCCCGGAGCTCCTCCAACATCTCGCTGCGGCGTTCATCATGAGTCTTGGACATGAACATCACGGTGAGGGCCCGCTTGTAGCGAACCGTATTATAAGCGTTCAACCGGTCTGCCACCTGCTCTGGGGAAACCTCTCCGGGGAAGACGGCTCCCAAGGCAGCGCCGTCCTCAAACGCCTGGGCGCCTCCTTGCCCTTGGTCTAATCCGGAATGTATCAGCCACAGCCCAATCGAGGTAGAGTAATAGGAGCAGTGTCGTCTTACGCGGTAGTGTTGGGTGGGCAGCATCTCCAACGAGGGCCAATTTGCCCTTGACGAAGGTCCTAGCAGGCTTGCGGGAAGCAAGGCTCCACAGTTTAACATCCTCTGCCATAGAGCACATTCGACGCAGCTCGGGCCCGAAGGACTGGTAAACCTCGAGGAGGTGATCAAGGCTTGCAGAGTCGAGCCAGGATGATTCCTTGACGGCGCCGGTGGGTTCGGAAGGGTGAATCGCCACAACGTTGAGTAAGTCTCCGTGACGGCAGGGGTAGATGACGAGACGACGGTCCTCGGCCGTAAAGGCGTGCACGCCATCTAAACCCATCCTTCCCAGCAAGGAGGCAGTCTCGGGGTCCTTCTGCATCTTGCTCACGGGAACGAGGAAGCGGAAGCAATTCTGCCCCGTGCTTTCTTTGCTAGATTCTTCGCCGATGACCTCTCGAACGGACCGGGACTGCCACGGGAGGCGTTAGATGGTGAGCACGGAATACACACGAGTAGGGAATTTCGACATTGACGTACGTGAATACCATCGGCGCCAATGATGAGATCACCCGTGAGTGTGGTGCCATTCTCGAGAACCACCACGCCGGCTTCAGCATCCTAATAATGTCACTTAGGGTCATTCCGTCACAAGAAGGGACAAAGGCCAACTCACCACAGACGCTACACGAGAGCCCAGCTTGATATCTACAGCACGACCGTCAACAGTTTGAGCAGCAGCTGTGCGCAAAGTATTGTGCAGGTCCACACGGTGGGTTAGAACCCAATCGTCCGTGATATCAAGCTTCTGTTGCAACTCCTTGGTCACCTGTGCGTGGGAGAAACCAATTCCATTAGCTTTGACCACCGGCTGAGAGAGTCTTGGTATAACTTATCACGCACAATCGGGGTCCAGCGCAGATTGCCTTGGGAGTCCCACACCTGCAGACCATTGCATTGAACCGACTGCATGCTTCCCATGTCACATCCCCAGGCCCGAAGAATGCGGGTGGCGTTAGGCGCTACATGGATAGCCGCACCCACTTCGTTCAGAAATCTGGACTGCTCGATGACCTGTATTCACGGGGTCAGCCTTGCTCGAAAAGCTATATCCCACTGGAGGTCGATTGAAAGATACCTGGACATTGTGACCAGCACGGTTAAGGGCAATTGCGGCACCAAGGCCAGCCAAGCCGGCTCCAACGACAATGACTTTCAATGGCATGTCGACAGAAAACTGAATCCTTGCTTTTCGAACTACCGGGAATAAAGGATCTCAGTCTATACCAGACTATTATATCAGCAACGGAACCAGCCGCACCGCACACAAATAAGGGGAGGATACCAGACCCCTTGACGGCGGCTGCCCACTCGGAACTTCCCTCTCTCACTCAGTCTCCACCGAGCCGGGGTCGTTCCACCCGGTTATCTTTGCTTTGTATCCCTCCCCTTCCCCTTGATAATATTGAATTTAGTCAATGATTGCCCTTTGAAAGTAGCCCCATTTCATGAATCAACTATTGACCATACTGTTCATTACGAGAAAGAATCCACTCTTATCACCGAACTTGAAGACTCGAGATGCCTACCACAGAGCAAGTCCGCGCTATTTTCGCCTCGTTCGAGGAAGGAAACGCCCCATCCTTCTTCCAGCATGTTGTGGATGATGTGGATTGGGAAGTGAAAGGTAGACATCTATAATCCACAAACAACCCCCATGGAAGTTTCATAGCACTTACACGGAGCCCACCTCATCCTGCTGCAGGGACGTTTTGCCCCATCGCAGGGCGGTACAAGTCCAAGGCGGAGTTCCACGAAGGAACCAAGAGCCTCAGCTCCACCTGGGCGAGTCCGTTGAAGTTGCAAGTCCGCAACGTCATCTGCGATGGCCACCAGGCCGTGGTTGAGATGCGCGCCATGGATACCAAGTGTTGGAATGGGCTGCCCTTCACAAACGAGTATGCCTGGGTGTGTGAGTTTAATGATCAGAATCAGATTATTCGCATCCGAGCCTACATGGACACGTGAGTATTGGTCGACTTGTGCGAATGGATTTGACAAGTTTCGTTATTGATTGCCTGTATCGTTTAGGGATTTGGTGTGTCGGGCGATCCGTGAGAACCAGGAGTGATCTTTCTTCTAACTACAAATTGAGAGTACGTGGTTAGATTAGTTAGACGTACATGGAAGTCTATATTCTATGTAATTAAGTACAGCTTATACCTATTTTACACAAACCGTGTAGGACATTGCAAGGAATATGATATCACTGAATTGACCATTTAACAATGAATAATTCAATCACCGCGGTGGGAGTATAAGAACAGAATAGACAACGACCGCATATAGTATACTTAAGAATTTGGATATATCAGACACATTTAGCTCATTTGAAATAGTAACCCCTCGCTCCTACTCACCCGAGCACATCGCTGACTCGTACGTAAAAACACTAGTGGAGAACCTGGAATGCCCCTGGAATGCCTTTGTCGCGGAGGGCCTCGCCTACAACAAACGGCTCGGAAGGTAGCAGGACGAAGATCACACGAGCGACTCGATCTGTGACATTGTGCCACTGATGCATAGTCTATTAACTCCCGGTTAAAAACATCCCTTCAACAGAAAGCAAGGGAAAGACTGACCGCCTGCTGTACGACAACGTCTCCAGCCTGGACCTTGGTCCTAGATCCATCATCCAGCTGCATCTCCATCTCCCCATCCATAATGATGGCATAGTCCAGAGACTGGGTGCGGTGGTTGTGACCGACTGAGTGTGGGGGGAAGTCCACTACGCGGATCAGAGAGCCCCTGCTGTACATCTGCCGACTGCGGGGATCGGTACTTGCATCGAGGCTCGTTAGCTCGGCTGGATACTGCCTGGTCATCCAGATAGTAGCAGCCTTTGCAGCAAAGCCCTCGGTTGGCTCGAGGTGGTTATCGAACAGAATCGCAGATCTGGAGTCCTGATGCGTGGTGACAATGCGACGAAGCGGTTCATCGCCTGATAGTCCCATGATGAGCAAAGGAGAGAGAGCGAAATAGAGAACGATGAGCTTGCAAAGAAGGCGGAGAGGGAAGGTGTGGATAGACTAGACTTGGCTATCCCCTGTTCTTTGTGATTCCTCGATAACACTGCTACCTTATATATACCTATCCTCCCTCTCGACCGGCTGCACAAACCTCATTTTTGTGAAGGCCATTCCGCAGCTACCACCGGTTCGTTTACCCTAGATTTGAGTCTTGTACGGAAGTAATTCCGTGCCCCACCCCCTGAGGGCAAACCACCTCCGCTTTTGACCCCGTGTCTGAGTATCCTTGATGCTGGACTGACGTGAACCTGGCCTTCCCTACCTGCACTCTTCGGCAATGGTTCGGCTTTGACTGGCTTTCCCCACTCGGTTGTTTCAACATATGAAATGTAGCATGGAAGGGGAATGAAGCGGGGGAGGAGGGGACTCGCGAAGTACATACTATAAAGGCCAGCAGGCAGGCAGTCGACTAGGGACTCGGCGAAAAGACTTACACCACTCAACGCATAATTATACATCTGTTTTCTACAAGTCGTCAATCCCATCATGACTCTTTCAATTGCCGGTTTTGAAGTATCCCTGGCACCGACCATGCGGCCGGAGGATAGCGCTGCAAGCCAATCGGCTCCCTTTCGCCCTTCCAAGACAGAGCTTCCCCAAGGATTCCAGAGGACTGCTAAAAGTGCCTCGTTTCCTGTCACCACGATCTTCGAACAGGATGTAGCCATTCCAATGCGCGATGGTGTCAAGCTCTATTGCGATATCTTCCGGCCCAAGGGGAAATCCAACATCCCTGCCATCCTCATTTGGAGTCCCTATGGCAAAGGCGGAAATGGTGAGTGAGCGAGACTGCACCCTCGAGGGTTCCAGCGCTGATATTGTTTCTATCCAAGGACCTCACGGATTGCATATGATCGAAGGACGATTTGGAGTACCCGAGGAGAGGCTAAGTGGGTTTGAGAAGTTCGAAGGACTCGACCCTGCCGACTGGGTGGGCCACGATTATGCCGTACTGAACGTTGACCTGCGCGGATGCTGGAACTCGGAAGGCACTATTCCCTGGCTGGGGTCTCAGGATGGCCGCGATGGCTATGATGCAATTGAGTACGTGGCTCAAACGGAATGGTGCAGTGGAAAGGTAGCCCTCGCCGGGAATAGCTGGCTTGCCATGTCTCAATGGTTTATTGCCGCGGAGCAGCCCCCCAGTTTGGCTGCATTTGCTCCCTGGGAAGGAGCAAATGATTTCTACCGGGATACCCTGTGCCGTGGGGGTACGCCCTACCCGTATCAGAGGTTCTGGAAAGTCCTGGAGTCGTCTATGGTAGGTCGAGGACAGGTGGAGGCGATCACCGAGATGCTGAACCGGTTTCCTCTGTACAACGATTATTGGGAGGACAAACGAGCCCGGCTCCACCGCGTGAAGGCACCATGCTATGTGCTTGCGAGCTACTCAACTTCCCTTCACACGAGTGGGTCCATTGGCGGATTCAATGCGTTGGGCTGCGAAACTAAATGGTTACGGGTGCATCCGAAGCAGGAGTGGTCCGACTTGTATTCAGAAGAGAGCACGCAGGATCTCCGAAGATTCTTTGACTACTTCACCAAGAATTTACAAAACGGTTGGCAGAAGACCCCCCGAGTCCGGGTATCCCTACTGCCCTATAATGAGGTACATTGCTTTTCCCTTTTTCCCCGGTCCATTCTTGATTGATGTTCGGCTGATCCCGAGTCTCGTTGTATAAACCAGCCTCCAATTGAAAACAAGCCGTTTTCAGCATACCCGGTTCCTCAAACAGTATACCAAAAGCTATACCTGACCGAGGGAGGCGAGCTGTCTCCCCAGCCACCGTCTTCCGCGTCTACGCTCTCCTACGCGGCCGACTTTGTCCCCACGCAACCCGATCACAACCCCGAGGAGTTGCAATTCCACTACCAATTCCAAAAGCCCACCTGGCTACTCGGTTACAGTAAGGTAGTCCTACACGTCTCCGCCAGTCTCCCGCAGGACCTGGACGTATTCGTCCAACTCAGGAAGATGGACCGATCGGGGGTCATCCTGCAGCACATGAACGTTTCCGTAGAGCAGCTGTCGCCGCCAAAGACTAGTCCCGAGGAGGTCAGCAACAGTTGTTTCCTCAAATATCTCGGACCCACAGGCGCGCTTCGAGCCACTCATGCGGGGACCAAGATCTCGTCCGCAGATCCCAACGCGTGGCCCGAGTATCGCCACGACAAAAAGGAAGCCGTCCTTGCCGCGGACGAGGTTCGTCGTCTCGACGTGCCTATCTGGCCGGCGGGGATGGTCTTTCAGCCGGGGGAGTCCTTGGTGCTCAAGGTAGCCGGTCACTATATGAGTATGATGGAGTTTGAATTGTTGAATGATCACCTCGGCTTGCCGAATAAGGGTCGGCATACGCTTCACCTGGGGCAAGATGACTGCAGTCATCTAGTTGTGCCTCTGGTTGAGCCGTTTTGAGTTGTTTGTTTCTTTGCGTTTTCGGTCTTCCCCATCTGTGATTTCTCAAATGAAGTGGGGCTCACCGGGAGGACCTTTTTGTATCTGACTACTTAGCTTTATAAGATGTAGTCCAAGCTGCGGTTATTATATATTCCCGATTCCCACCAAATTGGAACAAAGCTAGATGCTACGACGATTGCTAATAGTTTGCAGTGCCTGTGACACTGTTAAAGAAAACATATATTTCCTGAAAAGGTCAGGTAATGATGTGGCTACTCAGGAATTTGGAGATGAATTGCTTGAATTGCTGGAATGCTATGGCTCAGCTGCAGGTAACTCCACGGCGGAAGGTGAGGGTCCAACAGGCAATAACTACCCAGCGATCTTTCTCAATCGAAGCAAGCTCACACCGCAATATCAATGGCTAGAGTAATAGCATTTTTGAACCACATTTCTCTTATTAAAGGACTTAAAGAAGTATACTGAGCAAGGCTGTCCGAGTCTTTGGGCAAAACAACTCCAAGTGCCTAGGGCTCCGGGAAAATATAGAGGATGCATCCATGAGAAAGAACTAGAGCTGAGGCTATGATCTATAAACCGAGCAATAAAGAGAGAGAGAGAGGGGGGGGGGGGGGGGGGTAAAGTAGCAGTATAAGAACTCTCAAACCACCCCCGAAAAACTGGGATTAGGCTTTCGTCTACTTCAAAACCAATATTTCCAAGCCTTGAAAGCAGCAATCCCACTCCCAAGGAGCGCGAAGGCCGTCGCAGCCAACCCCACAATAAGACCCTGCTCGAAGTAGGACAGCCTACCACCGATAGGCTGTGCAATAGCCCTCAAGTCGGGACCGCGGTGGGAAGAGGAGCGTCCGACACGGTTAGACCATTGGTGGATGGCTTTGTTGCGCGAGAAATCGGCGGGCGAAAATGGCAGCCCGTAGGTGTCATGTCCGGAATTGGGTGCCATCATGACTAGCAGGGGGGAAGGAGTCAATTGGGAGAGTTCATTGGAAGTGAGTGAATCTATCCATTTGCTTACCGAACGATTCGGGTGGAATGTGGTTGATGAAACAATTCTCGGTATTGAGGAACTGGGCGAGATACGCGGTCTCTTTCCCTTCGCCAAAGACATAGGTTGCCGAGGCAGACTTGCCGTCGATCCTATGGGAAGAAGTTAATTCAAGTGCGTCCTAGGGCCGGAGAGACAGCATGGATTGGTAAACTCACACTTTGTTCCATAGGTCGATCGCATGGTCAAGGCTGGAGACGGGAACAAAGAGGATCCCAGAGTAAGACTTCGTGACCTTGGTAGCAACTTTGCCGATAGTCTCTGGTGTAATTGAACTAAACGAAACAGCGATGAACGTCAATATCATGCTTTGGCATTAGATGTGTGAAGAAGATTATGTCAAGCTTACTCGGTCGGTTGTAGCGCGATCAGAGGCGATAGAGCATTCGCGGTAGCCCATAGATCCTGTTGTTTCAGCGAGAGAAAAGAGGATGCCAGCAGATCACCTAGCTCTTTGGTGACGGATGGCTCTGGTACGGGCTGATTATTATTCTCCACTGGACCCAAGCGCTGCTGCAACAGAGACACCAGTCTCTCCAGAACGAACTCGTCGACAAAGCACAGTCGAGGTGTTCGTCCAACATGCCGGCGCGGGTCCTTGAGAATCGACTGTTGTAACCAGATGGCAACCGTGTTCAGATCTGGGGCGCTACGATCCACAAACACCGCAGGGAGCCCAGTCACTGGGGTGTAGATTCGCACAGCTGAATTGCTTTGTCGCAGAGCGCTGGCAAAATGATCTATGCCTTCCGGGTCTTGTAGCACCGCTGCTTCGCAGCGAATCCCGGTCAACGCTGCGGGAGAAATGAGACCGTCGACTGTAGCCACCGCTTCTTGGTCAAGACTAGTTCGAATGATGGCGGAAAGAGCTTCATTTATCGTGGGCGATGCATGGCACAGCTGGACCAGACAACAGCTGCCCGCAGCGACTGCGGCAGCTAATGGAAGGATCGTGGACGAAAGCGGGCAGGGCAATGCGGCTTGGATTAGGACAGGTCCAAGTGCGACTGGGTTTATGGGAGATGGCTGGCCGACCTGAATCAGCTTCTCCTGCGCGAGGACAGCAGCAAAGTCCAGTCCATGGTATAGCCTGTCCACCGCAGCCAGACACACATTGATCTCCAGGGACGCAGCAGTTTCGCTAATATCAATATCTTTTCAGCCGAATCACAAACTTTAGTAAATGAATTTGCGGTCCAACGAATACAGGCTCATACAAACCTTGTGCAAAGGCCGCAGTTAACCTCGATTCATGGTCTCTCAATGCGGCATGTAAGCCAGCGAGCTCTTTTTTCCTCTGAAGAACGTTCTCCAGTCGGCCCTCAATCCAGGCGGAGCGCACCGTATCGTATACTGCTGCCAACGACATATTGTCTTTTCGAAGTGGTGAAACTGACTAAGCGATGAATGAAACTGGAAAGTTCTCACTGGAAGTATAACATATCGTACAATACATACATTTGCTCAGCCCCGGACTTGTGATCCAGATCGGTTCGGCTCCACGAAGGTATACCCCACAGCAGCCCCCAATCCCCCTTGGCGCAGGCATCCACCAGATAATCGGTGAAGATCATTTAGCAGTTAACTGATGGCATAGCTATTGCCTTGTTGGATAACTAACCCTTGGATATCATATGCCCTGTGTCGGGGAAGATTTCTTTCCTGTGCCGGTAACAACCCCCCCCCCCCCCCCCCCTGGCTATCCAACGACAATGGAATCCCAAGGAAGTATGGCCGTGAGAGTCAAAGCCTGCATGTTCTTTATCTGAACCTTGAGCCCTAACTCATGCATCCTAGAACCAACTCCGGTGTTTTTGTTTGCACATGGCTCGACCATGATGCTGGGCGAGGAATCGGAGCCTGCGAGAATATGGGAGGAGGTGGGAAACGAAGCCCTCCGACGAGGAATTAAGAGAGTCGTCATGATGGTTATAACCCCCCTTCTTTGCATCAGACATACCTCCTATCGACTTCTACTGACCTGTCCACTTCCCCAGGGTGCCCACTGGGAAACTCTAGGAGACGCAGTCGAGGTCAGCATGAACCCTGACCCGAAGAAGCTCCCAATGGGTGGTGTTCGAAATGAACGCTACCTACCGTATAAGCTGGCCCCGGACTTGGATGGAGGGCAACGCGTATTGCATATGCTCCAGGCCGCGGGTTTTAACGCTCGAGCGGCGCCTCGATTCGATTGGATCCACGATACATTTCTAATCGTCATCCGGATGTTCCCCAATTGCGTGCCCCTGCCAACAACTCTCGTGTCGATGAACGCTCGCTACGATCCACACTTCCACGTCAAGATGGGTGCTGCCCTCCGTCCACTGCGGTACGAGGATACGTTGATCATCGGTAGTGGGGGGTCGGTGCATAATCTTTATCGTAACCACTGGGAGCATATGTTCCGGTTTAGTGATAACTTTGCGCAGCCGGTCGCTCCCGCGCCATGGGCATTGCAGTTCCGCCAGGCGGTTGAGGATGCTATCTTGCGGAATCGAGGTCCTGAGGTCCGTCGTGCGCTGTCTCGATTGATGAAACATCCGCGCTTCCGCGAAGCTCATGGCACCGATGACCACTGGATGGCATCCTTGTTCGTGGCTGGGGCGGCGGGAGCATTGGAAGACAAGGGTCCGAATACCATGATGGGAGAGTGCTGGGAACTGGTCAACATGTGTAACACGCAGTACCAGTTGGGATCATGGGACTAGGGGGCTGTTGGGAATTATGTCAACCTTTCTGTCGCGACAGTATGAATATAACTTGTCTCTACTTTCGAGCAACAGAGCCAGGGTTTGAGAGATGCTCATGAGAAATTTGTATTCATTGAATTGTACACAAAGAAAGGTTTATGGTTGAGAGACGTTTGTAATTTCATCCAAGTACTTGAGCATCATCTCCGTACATTAAATTACTGATTGGAGAACACCAAGCACAAGGAATCCATTGTCCATGGCCCTTGCTCGTCTCGATAAGAGAGTGAAAATACTGCGAATATGGAGATACAGTGGCGAGGTAGAATGTTTGGTTCATAATAAAAGGTTTGTCAGGGAATACGGGCGGCCATAAGAGAAAACAAAGTATAATTCGTCTTAAGACACCGAGTTGAATGGAGAAAAAACAATAGGCATTAGAAATGTAACCACCCCCCATACACCAGTTCGAATATTATTCTCCTGATCACCATTCACCGCCCACTTTCCCAATCCCATACTCAGTGACTCTCCCTGCCGTGACTCTCCACATTGACGACCAGTTCTGCCCAAATGGATTATATTAGTTCAAGTGTCCGAGGGATATACAAGCAGAGAGATGGTTCTTACTGCGATGAGTGAACAACCACCGATCATGAATATCCCTACAGCCGTGAACAATGGACCTTGTTGACGCTGTTCGCGGTCCAGATAGCGATTGACGGGACGATATTTCGGGACTGCACGATGTTGGGTTTCCCACCATAGGGGGTTCGAAACCAGGTACGGTACCAGAGGGTGCGGTGCTAACGTAGGATCAAATCCAGCCGGTTGAGCCTCGCGGCGTACACCCGCAACTGTCAACGTTCGAGGCTCGGATACTGAATCTTTGGCGTCTGCCTCAGGAGATCGGTGGATGTCGTAATCAGCAATCAAGTCGAAGGCCGTTTGGTTGGGTTCTGGCTCTTGTTTCTGGGCAGTGGATGTTGCCAATGATGTCGCCATGTCTGCTGCTGGGGACGGTTTGGTTTACCGGCTCAACGGATATGTTATTCTGTACTATTGAAGATATGGAGAAATATGATGTAGCAATAGCCTAGCCTTGTCCTCTGTTTCACCCCCGCAAAAGTAGTTGTCGGGTGAGTGGTGGAGACCCGAGGGAGCCGAAGGAGGGTAAAGCCAAGCCCGAGGAGGGGTTTACCACCAACTATATGTAAATAGTTTGACTGGGATCTTTCACCGCTAGTCTATTCTCTTGAGTGTACTTGTTACTGCACCTGATCAATCGACGTCTCTGTTCCTTCATGATGGCAGAAAATAGGTTTCTTGATGTGGAACGGGAAAAGTTTCCCTACATTTTCATGAAGAATGTGGACATCCCTCTCAAGACCTATGAGAAGGGTCTTCTAAGGTCCAACGTGTATCTCCCTAAAGATGCCAAGCCCTACGGTTCCAACGTATATCCGGTCATTGTGACCTATGGTCCCTGTGAGTGCGCGATCCTGATTGCTTCGATTGTGTCGAGTCCTAACGGAACCAGACGGAAAGGATGTGCCCTACGAAAGCTTCTTCAAGAAAAGCTGGGACCAAGTCAACCCGGAGATGAAGTCCGCTCATTCCTCCTGGGAAACCCCCGACCCAGGCTTCTGGACTCGTCAAGGTTACATTGTGGTCCGCACGGACGAGCGCGGTGCCGGTCAGAGCCCGGGCCAGCTTGATACGATGTCTCGGGGAACCAGCGAGGCATTCTTCGACGTGGTGGAATGGTGTGCGGAGCAGCAATGGTCATCTGGCCGTGTTGGACTGCTGGGAATTAGCTATTATGCTGGAACACAATGGAGGGTTGCTGCCCGTAAACCGAAAGGCCTTGCCGCCATCATTCCCTGGGAAGGCATGAGCGACTATTACCGGGATCGCGTTCGCCACGGAGGCATTCTATCCGATCGATTCATTGGTGAGTCCCATTTCATTCTATACCCGCCATACAGGAGGCAATATCCCTGACTTTGCAGACTTCTGGTGGCACAATGGCGTACAGCCCAACCAGTACGGTATGCCTGGTCGTGCGGCGCGCAAGTGGGGAGACGACACGTTGGAGGGTGATCTGACAGAGGAAGAGTTGGTGAAGAACCGGCGAAACCAGACACTCGACACGGCTGAGCACCGATTCATGGATGAAGATTACTACCAGAGTCGCACCTTTGACCTCGCCAACATTGAAGTGCCACTACTGAGTGTAGCCAATTGGGGAGGCATCCTCTTGCATTTGCGCGGCAATGTCATCGGCTGGACGCAGGCTTCTTCTTCTTACAAGTTTCTGCGTTTCATTGTTGGCCGCCATGACCTTCCCTTCTACTATCCGCACTCGGCCAAATTGCAGAAGTCCTTCCTCGACGCATTCCTCAAGAATGAAGACTATGATGGGTGGAAGTCCGGCCAACAACCTCGAGTGGAGTTGTGCTTACGCAAGGGCGACTGTGGCGTTGACGATCCAGAGCGTGAACTGAAGTTCCCATCGCGAGCTGAAGCCGACTGGCCTATTCCTGATACCCAGTATACGAAGTTTTATCTCACTCCGGAAAGCACGCTGTGGCCTGTGCCCTCATCTACCACCGCGACTCGGAGTTATGATGCCATGAACGGGGAACCCATCACCTTCCAATACAAAACCCCAACCCCCTTGGAGATCACCGGGCACATTGTTGCCCATCTCACCGTCTCAGCCTCGCGCAAGGAAGCCAACGCCCCGGCTCCCTCAGACATCGACGTGTTCGTCACCATTCGCAAACTGGATGCCCATGGCCGCGAGATCTTCTACACCGGCACCATGGGCGATCCCGTTCCGGTGGTTAAGGGATGGCTGCGTGCCTCCCTCAGGAAGGTCAACACCGAGAGCACCTTCCATTGGCCGTACCTCCCCTATCGTGATTACTTCTTGACCGATGTCCTGCCCGTGGTTGAGAACGAGAAGTACGAGCTGGACGTGGAGGTCTGGCCTACGAACACATTCCTGGAGCCAAACGAGTCACTCGTTCTCGAGATTGCGGGTCATGATACTCAGGGCGTGGGCAGGTTCTCGCACGAGCATCCTGATGATCGCGCGTCCCAGATCTTTGACGGGATCAACAATGTGGAGGTCGGAAAAGAGGCGAGTTGGCTTCTACTCCCTGTCATTCCTTCCCGGAATCTCTAGGATTATAAAGGGCATTGGAGAAGCGTAGATAGGGGTGGATTTTGGCGGCTTTCTTTGCTATGTTATCTGAATAACATTCAAGAAGAATAAAGTGCACATTTGACCGCCAATAGGAAACATTAAGATTTTTTACACCTGTGTAGTTGTCATCAACCTTCTGCCCAGCACGATAGAGTAGACATCGAACTGCCAAGCGTCAGAATCAGATCATCGAGCGCCACGTCACTCCACGTATAGTAGTTACGTAACCATAATTATTAGAAGGAGATGTTTGATCGGAGGAGAAGAACTAGTTTTTTAGCAGTTAGTGTAGTCAGCTGCCCCTCCTGAACTCGCTACCCAATACATGCATGCCGAGAAATGCCGAAGCTCGCTCGATGGCGTGGAGCCGAACCGGCGAAATCAAGCGGCCAGCTGCCGTGGAGAATGCCAAAGATACCTGGGATCTGCAACTGTGCCGTCAAGTGTGGTTTCTAATCTACCTCCTGGTCATCGTGGAGCCGGGCCGGCTTTCCCACGGAGTCCGACTCACATCAACAATGTATGAAGTGAGGTTTATCGGAGCCTAAGAGGTCAACGCGTCTACTACATTTTCCCGGTTACTCATGAGTGCCGGCAGGAGTAGGTCGGTTTCTAGAATCCCTTCGTCTCAACCGATTTGAGTACCAGTTGCACAGAAGGGTAATATATGCGTTCAATATTGGTGCGTCAATCGAGCACGGTTTCATTTCCGGTGCCGACTTCCCGATTACACCATTCCATAAAGCTTCGTTCTAAGTTTACGCCTTTTCTCTGGAACTTCCTGGGGTTGTTGGAAAACAATTGAGAAGGTTACAAGCGATTCTGAAAAAATTTTGGTCAACCTTATCATGGAAAGGACTACCAATGATGGGCCACCTACCATGACGTGCAACACCAGTGATAAGGGCCAACCGAGTTTTACTCTCACTATGGGTGCAGGAAAACCCATGCCCCCAGTCGTGCCAGACCTTGTGGCATATGTGGTCGAGTTAGAAGGTTCGAACGACCCAATGCACCCCCACAATTGGGCTATGAGAGCAAGGTGCTTCCTGAAGATCCCCTTCCATTTTTGTCCACAGAGTTCGGCATGCTGACAAGGTTCTCGTCAAGAGTGCTATATACCGCGCTACTCACATTCTGCGCCCTCACAACTTCGTATACAAGCGCTGTTTTCGCGACAACTACCCAGTCAGTCATGAAGGAGTTCGATTTTGGCCATGAAGTAGCATCTTTGGGCACTTCGCTATTTGTGTTGGGATTCGCGGCTGGCCCTATCATTTGGGCTCCCGCATCTGAGGTATATTACTCATTTCCAGCGCATTCGTTCATTTGAGCACTCTGACACCTCTCCATGGTAGCTAACCGGCCGGCGATGGCCGTTGACCATTGGAACTTTGGGATTCAGCATATTCACGATCGCCGATGCAACATGTAAAGATACACAGACATTGATGCTTGGGCGCTTCTTCGCTGGCTTATTTGCCGCCAGTCCTATTACCTTGGTCCCTGCCTGTCTCTCGGATCTGTTTAACGCTACCCACCGTGGGGCAGCAATTGCTCTGTACACATTGGCCATGTTCACTGGACCCTACACTGCCCCGTTCATTGGAGGCTACACTGTGACCAGCTATCTTGGTTGGCGTTGGGCCTTGTACACCCCGGCGATCGTCGGATTCTTTAATACCCTCATGCTGGTGTGTTTCGCCCGCGAGAGCTATGCTCCTATGGTCCTGGTAGAGAAAGCAAGGCTGCTGCGTCGGCAGACGGGTAACTGGGCCATCCATGCCACTCATGAGAGACTCGAGATTACCATCCATGACTTGATCACAAAGACAATCGCACGTCCTTTCCACCTACTGTTCACGGAGCCTCTGGCCTTCCTGGTGACTATTTACATGTCCTTCATCTATGGGTTGGCATACGGATTGCTACAGGCTTACCCCATTGTCTTTCAGCAGATCCATGGAATGCAAGGTGGAAACAGCGGACTTCCCTTTATCGGGTTGATCATCGGCCAAATGATTGCCACGGGCGTCATTATGCTTCTCCAGCGCTCCTATGTGGCTAAGCTGAAGGCAAACAATTATGTTCCTGTTCCGGAATGGCGCCTTCCCCCCTGTATCGCCGGGGGCATTGCCTTCTCCGCGGGCCTTTTTTGGTATGTTTCCTCTTGAGACTTCATCTCTCTCCTATACTAATTATATTCAGGTTCGGGTGGACGGGCTATACTTCCTCCATCCACTGGATGGCACCCACGGCTGCCAGCGTCTTCATCGGCTTCGGCATCATCTCGATCTTCATGCAATGCTTCAACTATCTTCTCGACTGCTACCTTCAATTGTACAAACCCCATCACATGATTGGTTTTCCGATTCGCATTCGTGCCCTTTTGTTCTGAACCACTGACCTAGTTCTTTAGTGCCGCAGCCGCTTTTGCGGCCAATACCATCATGCGCTCGCTAGTTGGGGCAGCATTCCCGCTCTTTTCCACACAGCTATTCAATTCTTTGGGCGTTCAGTGGGCGGGCACTCTACTTGGTTGCATCGCTGCTTTGCTGGTGCCAATCCCTTTCGCGTTTTTATATTGGGGCCCTACGCTTCGTCAGCGGAGTCGAATGGCACCGGCTAACTAACGTGGGAAAGTCGAGGATGGTTATATAGGCGCTGGGGTACTTGAAAACCGAACTATAGATCCATTTGTGTGATTCCGTTTTTTGTTTTCGATTTCTGGTTCTTCGATGGACTATTTAAGGAGACGTAGTAGTACATTCCTTAAATATATAGCAGCTCACCGGTTTTCAAGTTGCAATGCTAAACTAAAAGCTGTGTTCCTTCTTAACTACCGCAGTTGACTGAATTCTAGTAATTTCACGGAACCAAGAAGGATTAATCTAAAACAATAGATCCGATAGGGGAATAATGAATTGACTTGCGATAGCCTCATGACTTGGTTCGTCAGTGACTGGCTAGAAGAAAAAGATGATTCCGGGCATACACTCTCTACACCTGCGTCACTAAGTGTGGAAAGCGCTGAAACCATCCAGGATTGAAGAGAAACTGCTACTTTGAAGCCCGGCTTGCAGTTGATTAGTCAGGAGGGTAGACAGTGATATTCGTGTCAACAAACAGATGAATACATGTCACCTTCTATACGTTCTGCTACTTGCCGAGATCAAATATATAAGTGCAATCACAAGAGGATTGGTTGTCCCCGTCTACTCAGCTGGTTTTTGACGCTGCCCAATTGATTGAAGGCCTTTGTGTGATGATACAGACGCTTCAAGGTTCTTTGTCTGTTAGTAAAGCTGTGAGTGAGCTCATGGGATGATCGTCGATGCCGAACAGGAAAATCACATACTGGATACTTGGGGTTTTGGTTGTTTTTTTATCATTTTATTTGCAACGATGAATGGCACTAGTGGTATGTCCTGTATATTATGAGTCTGCAGACTTGTACAAGTCATGGTGAAGGATCCTGAGAAGACTGTGTATGGCAATCAGCGTGTTATATCGATAAAATAAAATATATGACATTAGACGAAGATTTTTAGGCTGTGAGAGCTTTTTATTTTATTTACCGAATCTATTAAATCCACCAGACCACGTATACTATTCAGCCTGAATATTCAAAAAACCACCAAAGAAATAGAGCACAGTCTTCCTGGTGTTATATTTTCTTATGCTAAATACTGTTGACCTGGTAGAAAGCCTGATTTATTTATTCCGACGGAAGAATGGAAGAACCGGCGGTGGAACGTGGCAGAATGGGGACTTGGAATGTTCATTTCTTCCTCTTCTTTTCCGTATCGAACAACTTACACCGAGCGCATTGATTCCATCGATTTCTTGGATTCCTTTGATCATCTTCATCCGTAAGGCTGACAGAGAGTCTACGGAGTGCTGCGAGAGTGTCGATATCGCTATATCAGCTGTTCTATCAAGCCGGCCTGCCCCAGTTACTCCAGCTCTACCACCGGCCCATCCATAAACTTAATCCGGCTCCATCTTTCAGTCTTCCACTAACTTTACTTTATTGCTCTGGCGCCCGTCCAAAGCCAATTTAACTGCTTTTTGAGTTTTTCACCCCCTCCAGCATGAATTGCCCTGATTTTGCGGGGATTCAAGAATGGGCTTTCTTCTCAAGCCATCGGCGCCCATTCTCGTGCCTGGCCTGGCCCAGACCCCGGTCGCACCATCTCACTTAGCATCCGACGATCGATCCCTATCTCGTCGAAGGGTCGATAATATCGCCCGGGTGGGTAAGCCGTCTGCGGGCACGCTGGAAGTGAGCCCAGCTAGCCATTCCCATTTCCTGGGTCTGCCTCGCCGCCATTGCCAATAGTCCCAAGGCTATCGGTCGCACGGTTTGGGTGTCATGGCTTGCATCGCATTTCTTTGTTGTAATTGTTCTTACTGCGGCGGGACCTGAATCCGCATTGATCTCACCCATAGCGCCACATAGGGCCACAAAGAATTGAACTGTCCCGGTACCGTACCACCCGGCTGGTGTGCAAATAGATTGGAAACGCTCCCTGCCGTTTGGACGTTGGAGTCGGAGAATTTGATGCAGGTGCTGCGCTGGTGGCTGATGGCTGATGGACTCCCTCGGTCGGATTCACGTGTTAGGCCTGCTCGCGATGCCCGGTCGCATCGTTCGTGCAGCTGTCTTGCCGATGGCAGCTGGCAGATGGCATGTGTCAGAGGCAGAGTCTAGGTCCTGCATGCGAGATGAGCGATTATTTCGATTCAGATTAATTTTGCGACTGGAGATTTCTCGGAAATTGCCCTAATTACACATGCGGCCCTCGCTAACACAGCAGGGAGCGACTCATGTGTCCCTGAAAATGGCAATGATGAAAGACAAAAGCTCAGATCAGGGGCAAGACGGACACGCAAGATTCAGCCCGCCATGGCTCGCGTGGTTCCCGATACCCTGGAAGCGTCGTCGCCATACCACTTGGTGATCCGTTCTTTGTCTTCACAATGGGCGACCAAAAAAGGACCACATCCTGGCATGATGTTTCCTACTGCGACCCGAAGATCACAGCCCGTGGCATCAGCACCAAGGTTTGCTAGCACGGTCCACCTTACCACGTTCAGGCCGCCGATCCCTGATCATGAATCGATAGTTTGAGATGATCGAGATTACTTGCCGAGAGATATTTCTAATTCCCAGCCCACTTGACTCGCTTGGGTATGGCCGACCCACCCTCAGACGGGCCTACACACCAACTATGCGGGTTTATCCTTCATCCAGATCTACATGGGAAATTGCTACCTGTGCCTGCCCGGCATTTTTGCGCTCGTTGGTATTAAGTGGGCTTGTCGCCCTAAACCGCCGCCGTCTGGCTGTCAACTTGTCTTTCTTTCGATTTTTTCGTTCCTTTTTTTTGGGCCGGTATTCCTTTTCTTAAATGGCCCGGGGTCGTCCTTCCCTCCGTTAACCTGGAAACGTTTTTTCTGAGTAGTTTTCCAACTTAAACCACTTTCCTTCACGCCTGTCTGCTAGGTGACACAAAAAGCAGGGTCATCATGGGGTCCGAACTCGGCATCACCCCCGACTCCAAGCCCCAGGCCGTTTACAGCCCCGTCAGTATCTGGTGGGCTGTATGGGCTGGCGTCTGGACTATCGCCGTCTCGTTAGGGATGGCCTATCTCATTGTGAACCGCCACTCGCCCGTCCTCCGAATCCGAGGCATCGCTCTGTCATTATCCGCTATCGTCTTGCTGCATCTTTATTTTGCGTCCGTCCAGTTTGGCGTCATGGTCGGGCCTTTGATGCCCGGGGATGTCCAGTTCTGGATCATGGGCACTTACCTTCCTTGCGGGATTGCACTTTTTCACGCGTCGAACACCCGCTTCTTGCATGTGGCTAAGCTTCAGAAGAAGTATGCCAGTCATGATAGTCGCGCGAGTGTTGATTCTCCTCCGCAGTTGGAGAAGGGGAAAGGAAAACAAGGATTGTTGGGGAAATTTTTCAGTCTGGACTATACAATCCGGATTATGATTGTTGTTGGTATCATGATGCTCACGCAGGTTAGTGGCTCGTTGAGTGGTTCTTGGGCTGGTCTAACACCATTTAGATATTCCTTCTCATCCTCATGTGGCTCATTTCTCGCAAATTCCATTCCTCTTGGGGCATTCCCGGCACTGAGGTTACCGGCACCCCGATGGAGCAGACAACGGAGCAGGGTCGCGGCTGGGAGTGGTAAGATCTGGAAATGACAGTTTCATCTGGCGACTGTGCTAATTTACTTAGGTGGCCGAGTGTGCTTTGGCAGTTCATTTGGGCTTGGATTGTCGCCCCGTACATTCTGTGGAAGTCTCGCAACATCCACGACACTCAGGGCTGGCGTGTCCAGACAATCGGATGCTGCTTGGCGAGGTGAGCACGATCCTGACTATAATCGAATTTTGCCTAACGTGTTTAGTCTCCACGCGACGCCCATGTGGCTGATCGCTCTCTACGTCGATGGCATGGCCCCGGTCAACGCGGTCTGGATCCCTCCGCAATGGTAAGCATAGCAAGATGGCAAGCAATCAACGCAAAACCCACTAACATCCACAGGATCTGCCTGTCTATCATCTTCATCGAAATATTCACCGTCTTCCTCCCCTGCTGGGAAGTCCTGCGCCACCAATCCCTGCGCAAAGAAACCCTCGACGCCATCGCCCAATGGGAAGCCAAAACCAAAGGCTCCGGCTCCGAGGCCAAATCAATCAGCTCCATCTCCACCGTCGTCGACTCGATGATGTCCGGCTGGAAGTCCGCCCACGGCTCCGTCTCCACGACCACCAGTAACCGCGACAGCATCCTAACCATGGGCGCGCTCGAGTACGTCCTCCAGCGCAACCCCGCCCCGCTGCAACAATTCTCTGCCCTGCACGACTTCTCCGGCGAGAACATCGCCTTCCTCACCAGCGTCGCCGAATGGAAAGGCTCCCTCCCGCGCCCCTCCCCCCCGGCCTCCACCAAAAACGCCACCATCGACTTCCTCTCCCCCGTCGACTCCTCGGCCCACGATAAGGACCGTGAACTCGTCCGCGAACGATTCAACCGCGCCCTGCACATCTATGCGAAATTCATCAGCGTCGCCCACGCCGAGTTCCCCGTCAACATCTCCTCGCAGGACCTGCGCCAGCTCGACGCCATCTTCGCCCGCCCCGCAGGCATCATGTACGGCGAGGAGCCGTCAAAGGTCGACCCTGCCACGCCGTTCGGCCCGCCCCCTGGCTTCGGGTCCTTCGAGCCCCCGCCGTCCCCGACGGCCACCGAGTCCTCGCAGAAAGCCTTCCGGTGCTCGGTCTCCATCATCGGCGACCGCGTCCAGTACTGGGGCGAGGTGCCGGAGGAGTTCGATGGGAATGTCTTTGACGCCGCGGAGAAGAGCATCAAGTATCTGGTTCTGACGAACACGTGGCCGAAGTTCATTAAGAGTCGGCGCGCGTCGAGCGAGACAGTCAGGTCTGGGGATGCGGATGTGGAGTTGGGCGAGATGAGAGCTGATGCCGGGCCGGGCAGGGACACGCCCGGCTTGTAACTGCTGGGCTTCGGCCCTGGCAGTGATGGTCTACACGCTCCTTCATGTATAGGTTTTCTTAATTGTCTGGCTGATCGGATCCGACCGGAACGGTTTCTTAATGTGCTTGGATGGCTACCTGTTTTTATTATTGTATATACCCTATGATGTATTAAGATAATGTCTTATTTACTGTTCTCGAGACGAGAGAATGAGAATTGAATCATTTTATCATTAACTGTTTTGGTTTAAAAATGTATTCACCATATCGCCCTTAGTAAGCAAATCTTTGGATACATGAAGTCTGCCAAGTATTTTGCTGTTTGTGTGAGAATTATGCAGTATGATCGGTAATCTTTGCATGGATTAATTTAATTCAATTAGTTGAAAGGAGAGGCATTGCACAAAGGTCTATTTACATAAAGAAATAGCTTTATTAGAATATTTTACTTTCCGCAGTATCTCTTTGTAATCAACCAGGCACAGTAACATCCTTGGACAGCCAGCGATAGCGAGAACAGAGAAGAACGGAAAAAGTGCAACGAGGAACTTGCAGCATAGTGGAGAGCATTCTAGCTCCTGGGATTGCCGACACTCGGGTATGTATCACCGCCTCCATTGACAGTGGAAAGCACAGTCCCGCCGTAGTTTGCCTCTTCATACAGACACAGCTTGGATAATCTGCCACCGTTGAATCGAGTGCAGCCCATCAAGTAATGTCGCGGGGTGCCTCAGATGTTCCGACAGCGGGGTTAGATTGATATAAGATTAATATGCATTATGTCTACCAAAGATCAAGCGTAGAGGCAGAAAAGACAGTATATTGGGTATTTCCAAAGACAAGAAACCCCAAATAGATATACAGGACAGAAGAAAAACGCAAGGAGGCTTTCGTTCTTGGATCAACATAGTGTAATTTGCTCACCACCACGATATCTGTTCATATTCACCTGTTGCACTGGTAATGGCTATCTCATTGAGTAGTTTCTTGACGACCATTTTGTGCTCGATGTAGTTTCTCAACAACCTTTCCGTGCCCCTTCTTCTCTGCCACTAACAGCACTGAGGAGGTAGATTGAGAGAGGCATTTTGACATATTTAGTAAGTTGATAGACAAGCGTTGATGGCTGGTTGGTCAATAGGGTTGATCGACGAAGAGAAGATAATGCGGATGATATCTTGTTATTCTTAAGGCAAGGCTGGTGCAGCAGAGCCTCACATGATTTGATTACCATGTGACGTGTCTTGCAAAAGAAAATATAGGAGAAGGACTCGTGACACAAGCTGACACACATCCCTGTACATGACCAATTATCTTGAGTGATTGTCGTTAGTCACATTAGGGTGGCTAAAAGCAAACACTAAAACCCGCCGACACATGCCCCGACGATCTGGTGGCTGGACCACCCCCCTCTTTGACGGTCCCCGGACTTCATCAACCAGGCACCTAGCCCGCTCAGGAGCTACTGCCTCGACACCGACATCGCAGCTCGGCCATAAGTAGGGCGTAGGCTTGCGGACGACAGGGCCCACCGGCACCAGTACCAGCAGGAATTGCTTTCTAGGACCCTGCCTGGAGTGCGGGGAGGAAACGCGTTAAGCGTGGATATTAAATGAATGGCTTGTCTTCATGTATAATAGGAAACTTTCTTAGCTTAGCGCGTGAGGCGATAGGATATCGCCGACCGCACGGACGCTAATCAATATCAATCAATGATTCAACCATTAGGGTGGCTGAGACCACTCTGTCGGCCTATAGAATAGCTCATAGCTCCCAACAGACAAGGCTTTGATCTAGCTTTAGTCTCGTTGAAGTGGAAACAGTTTCCATAGGTCTATTTAGGCGGCGGGGCATGCTTTCGACAAGCGAACGCATATGTAGCGGGTGTGAATTTGGTCGGGAAGGCTAGGTGATTTGTATTCATCAGTATCATTAGATAGTGTCAGGTTAGCTAATGGCGATAGTAAGCTGTGTGGAGGGCTGTATTATTTTCAAGTCTTGGACCTAGCTTTGATTATCTGAAGGCTTCAAGCCATAAATATTAATTGCATGACATCGATTTCAAAGACGCGGGAGCCCTGAAAGCTTCGAATAACATCCCCGGTATTTGCTACATTGGGAATTTCTTCTCCTGGTCAGAATACAGGAAGTGCTTTCTTTCTCCAAGGGTAATCCTGGAATGGTAGTCTTCTGTAGCCTAATTTAGCACGTTGTCTTCCGTATAAGGAGAGATCAGCAGTCAGTCAATGTAACCGAAGTTCGTATCGCACTTACTAGTCTGCGCGGCATTCTAAGCCACTGGCAAGGATGGGACTCTGAAATTCTGGATGCGTGCTACGCCAACTAAGCCTTTGCTTTTTTCAGTTTATCAATATTAGCTACTAGAAGTAATTTCTCATGTAAGACAAACTTTATGGCCTGCATATGCAGTACGACATTAGGAGCTTAGTGCGAGGGCAGTGCACTTTGTTACATTGAGTCAATTTGGTCTTTGTAGGGAGTCGCAATTTAGTTTATATCTGCTGAAGTCTGCTGCCAATAGCAGATTTGGCCATTCACCCCGAGAGATGCCTATTTATTATTTGGTTTGCATGAGAGATTTACACTATAAATTCACTACGCCACTTTAACCGCTTGCTTGAGGTACTTCTTTATTTCCCAGTCCTGCTTTGAAAACAGCCGAAATGCCATCTCCGCGGGATGGGATTGTTCCGGGCTTGCGCACAGAGCAATACCAGACAGGGCACGAGGAACGCGACGAGTCACCCTATTACTTCAATGAATCATCTTTTGGGGCACAAGAAAACAATGACAATAATCCAATGAGGCGATTCTACTGGCGCAGCCTTTGCCTTTGCCTCATTCCGCCGTTTGTCGCAGCCTACTTTCTCGTCATCTGGCTGGTATTCCTGCGCCGGAACTCCGAGACCTTGGCATATGGATCAATAAAGGAGTTTTGGATCTTTTACTCCTGGTTCATTATATCTGTTTTTGGCATTGGATGGTCAAAATATGGACTTGCTGGCGTGGAAGTGGCGATGATCCAAAGCGGTCATTTCATGGCCCCCGACAAGCCGACATTCAAAACACATAGCGGCTATAGCTGGAGTGGACCAGATGGCTGGCTGAAATCCCTTCGTGATCTAGTCCGAGGTCACCCAATCCATGCTCATCGCCTGTGGTATCTGCTGTCACTCATCAGCTTGCTCCCCTTTATCGCTTTTCCAATTTCCGGACTTTGCATGGAATTGTCCGATGGATACCTCTTCTCGGCTGCTCACCCCACGACAATCGGTTACAACTCGACAACCTTTAGCAGTAGACAGAACCTTCAGACTGTCAAACGGGGGAAGAGTCGTTGGGAAACAGGATCGTCGGATCGACTGCCTGGTATTGGGATCCTCTACACGCCTGATTATCTTTCGCGTGATCAGGTAAACGGTCTTGATGAGCTTCCGAATAGCTTCCCTGCGAATGGATCTGTTCCAGAGCTCTTTGTCGCACCGCAGGCTCAGGTCCCCATTGCAGGTCGTGTCTGGGGACTGCGTGTGGGATATAACTGCTCCGTGGTCGATAACGTATCACAGTTTACTATTGTCACGGATAAGAGGCGGATGTCGAACCAGAATGACGAGGCTGGGGGTCTTATATACGCCTATAACAGCAGTTCGAACGCAGAACTCAGCTCAAATCTCTTTGCTTACCTTGAGATGGGGATTAGCGACGCGTCTAACACGCTAGAATATGATGGGACAGAGCCAAACACCTTCAATCCTCGTGATATTTCCAAGACCGATATTCTCGAATTGATGATTTGGCAAGTGAGATGGTTAGTTGGCTATGAAGCTCAAACTTCAGAATTTATCTTTAACGATACAATCAACGAGCCAGTGGTGGGTGCAGCCCAACCTATCATCCGTCATTCCAACGGAACCTTCCAACCGAACTCGTCATTTTTCGATCCTAAGTTCAGCCAATTAAAAACCGAAGACTATGTGACCGATGTCCTACCGAGGGCCGTATCCCTCGCAGCCCCGATCGGCGTGCGTTGTACTCGGTTCTCAGCGCTCGGTTATGCAGACTTGGATGCAAAAGCCAGCACCTTCCACAACTTCACCATTGGTTATCCCTCCTTCAACCATAGTAGGCAAGAGGCCCTGGTCCAACGGTTTGGGTTTGTTGCCAACAAAATCCTCCTGCAGCAATATTCCAACATCTTCGATTCCATCAGCCTGCCGACTCGAACGACGTATTGGAACTCAGTGTTGTATCGCGGGTTCCTTCAGGCGCGGGAGCTACAGCAGTCGGTTATGTTGGCACACGCAATGGATGCTCTTCAGTTTATGTATGACGGCGTAACCAGTTTCGAGTACTCGAATCTTAATCCAGACCTGACTTCCTCCCGCCCCGGCAAGGTGCTTACCCCAGGAATTGTGCCTGCCATATGCCCGGCGATATTGTTTGTAGCATGGGCGATGGGATGTCTGACGCTCGGGTTGAGATATGGGTTTGTTCCACGGCGGTCGAATACATTGGACTTCGACAGTCTGCTCAGCTTTGGGGTGAACTTGACGGTTGCTGAGCTTCCAAGGAATGGTTTCTTGAAGGGATACAGAAGCCTCGAGACTTCTGCTAATGGGTCCGGAGATTCGGTTACTATGGCTAATTAGTGACTGGACATAGAAATAATCTTGCTTTGAATCACGGGTAGATCGACCAGTATCGGAACTCGTGACTGAACCCCTGGCTACCGATGTGCCAAATCTTTTGATGTTTTATTGAAATTCATTCCCAGCGATGTCTTGATGAACTATGATAGTAGAATCTAGAGTCTATCCCTTAGCATCCTAGACATCTATAGTCTTTAAGTCCAGAGTCTGCCAAGCTACGGTCGTGATCACGTTTTCTTCCCGATTCAGCAGTTTTGAAGCTTTACGTGCTCGCTGCCGCCCATTCGAACTCCATTCCGCCGGTTGATTACGAACTGGAGCGAGCTGATTAGGTAGGCGTAAGTTACGTGCGTGCGTCTATTGAGACTACGTATCTTTTGAAACAGCAGTGGCAGCAACTCGCCTTTTTCTTTTTCTTTCCTTTCGTCCTTTCTCCATTTATTTATATTTCTTTTATTAAGCGGGTTGCAGAATACAGAAATATGCCTGAACAAGCCCACGCGCCCGTGGGAAAGAAGAAGAAACTCCATGGATCTCACGCTTCGCTATCGTCGTTATCTGAATCATTGAAATCAAGTGTGCTCCGTATTTCATCAAGCATAGGAGAACACTCCCTTTATGGTGGATTATGTTCGGGATCGTAACTGACTAGCTCCCCCGACTAAGGCGAGGTTGCGATTATGGTCGGGGATTAGCTTGTGGAGCTAGCTCAATATCCCCAGTACTCCTACTTTGACTTTGCAAACTGATCACCGAAATAAGCGGTGGGTACTGATCATCGAGCGAATGCGCGCTACCAAGGAAGGTCTTCGGCTTCGGTTTCTTCTTCTCCTTCTCCGATATTCCCCCTTGACTCAGAGACGAAGAAGTTTGAGACCTCGATGCCGACGCCGACCACGAGGTAAGCCTGCTAAACGAGGCCTTCCAGCTTGAAACACGAGGCGTTTGCATCATGTGCTGGAAGAATCGGGGCACAGACGGGAGACAGCCTGCGATTATGCCGCCTGAAATCTCGGGGACGGTGCAGAGGCCTAGGAGGAAGAGCTGGTGGGCGGTGTTGTTGGTGGTGTTGTAGAGGCGGAGGCCGTAGAGGATTTTGAGGGCGGCGCCGGTGCAGGCTCTGGAGGCATCAAGACAAAGAATTAGTAGTGGTAAGGAGGTAGATAAGGTGAGGGGAGGTAGGGGCATACATAATACCAAACAAGAATACAATGGAAAGAGCCCTCTTCCGTCGTGACGACATTTGGAGTTTCCAGATCCGCAAGTGCGGAAGAACAAGGATGACCAGATCAGACAAGGTATTGATAATCCCTGCGACGACGAACTGTAACTCCGTGTTGAGGCATTTGCCGTCTGTGATCGTGACGTCCCAGGCCTTTGCGATCGGGCGACAGGAGAAGATCACGGTGAAGGTGAGGATGGTGTAGTAGATGAAATTCAGCAAAATAAAGCAGTGGCAGGTCCAGAAGAAGTAGTCTCGCGTTAGGCTGAAGACTTCCAGGAATTGCCGCAGGATGGAGAGTTTGATGAAGAAGATGCAGATGGAGTAGAGGATGAGGCCGATGTGGAACCACTATGGATGCAGGGATTAGTGGTGAGGTAGACTAGCATGGGTTTCGTCCTTACGTATAACATGGAGATAAGGTCCTTCAGTCGTAGGTTCCACTGGTCTATACCTGGGCCGATGTCTCCGACTTTCCAGGCTACTGGAAAGTAGGCGATGGATATGGCCTATAGATGCAGTATCAGCTCGACAATAGGATTGGACAGAGGAAGGAACGATATATACCCAAGCCAGAATCATCGCGTCTGGCACAGTATGTTAACGGCCTAGTTGATATATGTCAACGTGAAGACTCACAGTCAGATATGTTGAAGCGCCGAATAATAAAAGCCTTGGTGTAGATACGAATAACGAAACAGATGAACGCCAGACTCCAGCCGACCACGATCATCGACCGCCCGACGACCTGCAGATTGGGAGGATTAACAAAGTTGGGAATCACGCCCGGAGGAGGACGACCCGCTGGCCCTTCAAGAAGGGCTTCGCGCTGTTCAGGTGAGAGTGATGCCATTTCGTTGCTGACACGAAGAGGGCCGGTCGTGTCCGGAGAGAGTCCAAGAGACCGTCAAGGCGATATATAACAAGCCAGCTCCGGTCATGTTCAGAATTGCTAGCGACCGAAAGAATGTGCAAGGCTCTCTCAGGGGTAATGGCGGAAAGCTGACAAGGCTGAGGCCCAGCCAGGCCGTTTTGGAATGCTAGATTGAGCGAAGTACGGGGTACAGCCGACTGCTTGGAACATCATAGGCATCACGCAGCGAGGTGGTGGGCAACTCGGGCTGGATTGTGTTTCCAGTACGGAATTTGGGGCCAGGATGGGTGTTTGTCAGATAAAGCCAGAGCCCCGCATTTGGGGCGAAGCTGCATAGCGGACAGGGATGGATACAAGTATTTCTGCTTATTTGTCTGCAAATCTGTTGTCACTCCGGGGCAAATCTAACGGGCGGTTGCACTATCGGCTCTTAAATGTCGGCGCCACCATGAAGGAGGCTTCTAGTGACGGTAGAGACGGGAGGATCCGCTTCGAGGATCCGCTTTGGGTGGAGTTGTCATGCTCGTACTCCAGACCCAATTCCAGACTTACAGGCAAGTCCTCAGCCTCATGAGAGTCACGAGCGGGTTGCTGATCTGCAGATCCAAGACCAATCAGGCGGAATCTTACGCGATATTCTGTGCAACCTGCAGCAGCCAATGGTGATCTCCTTACATTATGCGGGGGATGCCAAATGCCAATGTTCCAGTGAAGGGGGGTGAGAATTTGTAACGACAGTGTCCTTGATCCGCAGCGCTAAATATAGTACAGTCGTGATAATTCAGAACCTCATATCCCTCGTAGGGAATGTGATAAGGCTGACAGGCGCTATCAAACGCAAACCAGTGGAGCTAAACCCATTCTAGACGTCTTTGTCTGCGTCTGCCGCGCGCGAGGTATTTTAACTCTCCACCCGACTCCTTCATCCTATCAACCTTTAACTTGTCCACCTCACCACCCGCAAACCCCGCCAGTGAAGAAACGCTACTATCAAACCATGGCGAAAACAATTCCCTTCGCACTCATCACCGGCTGCAGCAGCGGAATCGGAAAGGAGCTCGCCATCGCGTTCGCCGCCCGTGGTATCACTGTCCTCGCCACAGCTCGACGCGTCGAGTCCCTCAACGACCTGACCAGCAAATACAGCAACATTGAAGCCCTGTCGCTCGAGCTCGGCAATCCCAATGGCGACGCCGAGAGCATTGCCAAGCTGAAGGAGGCCGTGTCTAAGCGCACGGGCGGCAGGCTGGATTTTCTCGTCAATAACGCCGGCACCCATTATGCTTCGACGACGCTGGATGTGGAGATCAAGGAGGTCGAAACTCTCTTCCAGGTTAACGTTTTTGCTGTCATGCAGCTCTGTCAGACCTTCATGCCGCTCCTCCGCCGGTCGCCGCGCGGGCGCATCGTGCAGATCGGGAGCGTCACAAGGGACGTGCCGGTCGTTTGGCAAGGGGCTTATAACGCCTCCAAGGCTGCTCTTAGTCAATACTCTAAGACGCTTCGGTTGGTAAGTCTCCTCTCGTCTTGCACTGTTTATCTTCCACCCTTTATTTGCTGCCGCAGGGTCCATCCGGTCGGTGTTAACCGTATGCAGGAACTGAGACCCTTCGGCATCGAGGTCGTCGAGATCGTGACTGGCTTCGTGCGAAGCAATCTTCTTCACCACGGATTCTACGCACCAGAGACATCTCTCTATCTTCCCGTCAAAAAGACCATCGAGGACATCAAGTACCAAGGCAACGCGGATGGCATGCCGCCAGCTGCGTACGCCAGGGCGGTAGTCGAGCAGGTAACAAAGCCAGGGACTATTAGCTCTGAGATCTGGGAGGGTGGGATGGCGCGGTTGATTCGCTTCCTTGTGCTAGTTCTGCCGCTGACGATCCTGGTAAGTCGTTGGGTTTTATTTCATGCCTAAGTGGGAATCGTGACTGATTTTGTTGATTGTTCAGAATTTGATCTATTACCGGAAATTCAAGCTTAATCTGCTGGAGGGTCGTGGGAATGGGAGACGCTAGAGCGGTTTCAGAGCTGGGCAAGGACATAAGCTTGATCCCGGTTCGGTTCTTACCGGACCGGTAGTCTCGGCGTCGCTTTGGCTATGGGCCTAGAGAGGTGTATCTCTGATTGCAGATATGGAATTCATATTACAGCTGATGGTTAGACATGTCTGCCTTCTAATAATGGTTGGGCAGCATGTGCAGTCTTAGTCAACTCCTAGCCGCAAGTCGTACGGCTGGACTGAAGAGTCATACCTTTATTTTATTTCTTTTTTGATTACCCCATAAAAGCCATCTTAATCTATACTCACAAGGGGTCCAACATCACTGAACATGCTCCTTCTCCTCACTCTTCGGAATGCGTACAAACACCGCACAAATAACCGCGCCCAACAACGCCGCTGCCAAACTAAACCACCAGATCGCCCTCAACGCTTCCAGATCCAACGCATACCCTCCACTCTTCGTAACGTTCTCCCCGATGGTATCCCCTACTGCCGTGAACACCGCCGACGACAGATTCTGCATCGTAATTAACAAGCTCCCCGCCGCGCCCTGGAACGACCTGGGCACATTCGAGGTAATGAAGATCGATGCCGCCGCGAACGACATATCTGGACCAAAGGTCGCTAGAATGATCCCGGGGAAAGAAAGCGCCCAGTACGTTGTATTCGCCGTCTGGGGGAGGAAGAAGACGGGTCCCATGGTGAACGAAATCATGCTGGTGATGAGGATATAATGGCCCGGGAGGATATGGAGGGTTTTCGCGACGACCCACGTAGCGAGAGTCCCTGCGACTGCGATGGGGAGGAGATAGACCGCCGCCAGGATGGGTGGTTTGCTTTGGATGGTGAGGAAGAAGCGGACGGCGTAGAACATCCACGCGCCGACGAAGGCGCCGTAGCCGAGGAAGTAAGATACCATGAGGCCAATGAAGCCGGGGGTTCTCCAAACCCGGTTGTCGATCAGTGGGCGGGTGACCCATTGCTCGACGAAGTAGAATGCCACGAAGAAGAGTGCGCCCACGATCACTAGCGCGTAGGTGTATGGCGTCCAGTTCGTAGGGGCGCCTTGCGTCAGGCCGAAGATGAGCAGTCCGCAGCCACACGCGCAGACGGCTGCGCCGAGGAAATCGAAGTCCTTGATCGAGAGGAGTTGGTCGCTGCCTTGTTCGCGAGTCGATGGGGGAATGGACGGTACGACCCAATACGCTGCGGCTGCGCAAATAGCGCACAGGATAGCTGTGGACCCGAACACCCAGTGCAGATGGGCGCTGAAGGCCCCGCCCTGGAGGGCCCCGATCCCGAAACCCATGGGGATCATGGCGGACATCATCGCGAAGACTTTGTTCTTGCGCTGTCCCGGCTTGTACACGCGTCCGAGGATGCTCATGGCTGTGGACTCGAGAACCCCCACCGCGATGCCCTGCATGGCGCGGGCGAAGAAGTACAATACCATACGCGAGGGCTGGATGGAGAAGACACCGATCAAGTCCCAAATGGTGAGCCAGATGAAGGCCCCGACGGTTAGCCATTTAGGGTTCGTGAGGTCAGCTAGGGACCCTGAGATAACGACGGAGATGCCGTTGGCGAGGAGGAAGGAGCCGACGAGCCATGGCGACAGGGAACCGCTGATGCCGAGTGCTTCGACCAAAGTCACCTGGTTGACGAGGGTGTTGGAGAGGAGGATGGCGAAGAGCAGCTGGCCCATGGAGCAGACGATGATGAAGATGATTTCGGCGAAGAGGGTGGGCAGCTCGGGTGGTTTGGATTGGCTTTTGTGTGCGGTTGGAGGCTCTTCGGCCGGTGCAGGCTGAGTCTGCGCAGGTTGGCTTGCCTCATTGTGGCTTTTGAGAGCAAGTTGGGATTCATTGAGCGATATGATCTCCCCGTCGGAGCTAGCCGGGTTCTGACAGGGCTGAGGGACCGGAAGTTCGATACTCGGTCCAGCAAGAAACGGATGAATTATATTTGTGGTCATCCTGGTGAATACCGGCGGTAGGCACTCAATGAGAAATGTCAAGTTCCGACAGACAGAAGGCTGATATAGAATTCTGCAGAGTGACAGGTTCGAGAATCAAGTCGTGCAGATATACTCTCGTCTCCAAATCATCGATGTATCAGTCATCTCGCCATCTGAGATGGAGTATCTGGAAAGTTCTTCAGAGACAACTGAAGCTTGTCGACAGTGGGTCCTGGAAAAACCGAATTCTGGTGACATAATTGCAGAACAAGCAGAATCGTCTTTGGCATTTCTAATCCGAAGATGGAGAACAAGAAGGAGTTGGAGAATCGACGAAAGAAGCAGACCAGTTGGAGAAGACCGTAAACGGCTAGTGCCCCAACATGGCTTGGCGATCCGATGCGGCAAGTGCTCCATTTTGTCCAAGTATATGCACTGCCACTCAAGGTGGGCCATCCTGCCGCGGGAGTGAGTGAAGTGTACATGCTGTAGTTGCGGTGATGTTGTGCAGTCACTACAAGAGGATAACCAACGAATAAATTCAATAGAAGCGACACTTATATTTATACATTTGCTCCCGACGAAGGGACTTGGTGTACCGCTCCATCTTGACAGTTTACAACTTCCCGAAAAGGTTTCCAGCGTTCTGCTCCTCCTCCTGGCTATACAATACGTTAGCAAAGAGATTTCTTGATTATTATTAGCAAAGCGACCACGTACTACGACGACTGCTCTCCAATTGTCTGCAGCTTGTCACAGTCCTGCTTGATGGTTGTTCCGGCTTCGGCGATAGATTGAAGAATGTGACCGATGGCATCCTGTATCATCCTTAGCCAGACTAAAAAAAGCTAAAATATTGTTGACATCCATACCCTTGATGACCCCATCCAGGAGTCACCGTGCTGAGCGTACAGGTTCAGCAGTTCATCGATATTCTTCGCAGCGTCCCAGCACCTGTCCAATGAAGGAGGCTGCGTGTCCACCTTAATGGTCGCCGATGCGGCAAGAGTAGCAAAGAGGGAAGCGTAAATAAGCTTGAGGAAATGCATGTTTGGAATCAGAACGGTTAATTTTAGGGGGTCCAGGGATTTCTTCAGACGACTAAGTGGAGAGTTCCAGCTGCGGAGGTTGTGGGGAGGAATTTATATGTCCCCCCCTTTTTCGAGGCGCCCGCGATGAAAGCCACGATTTAAATTTAGGTGCTATGAATGGCGGTGTCCTAGCAGCATGGGAAATGAGATTGACTCCTGGACACCTGGGCGGGTGGCATCTAAGCCCTTCAGGGACCAGCGTTTCTTGGGGGTTCGTATTCAGCATAAAAGCCCCCACATGGCACCAATGATGCTCGCTCTTGTTTAGTGTCTGCAGGTCAGACGCCCAAACAGTCCTGAGCTCATGTTCCTGCTTATTCTGTGGTATCTTGGCGGTTGAACCCTTAGCCCCGTGTTTAAATGGTTGTGGCAGGCCGGAGTCGAGAGCCTCCATTTGTTTGCCATCTCTAACCGCCAACAAACATAATAGATTCCCGAACTACAGGTTGTAACAGGGCCGTTAAAATATAGTTAGGTGCCACATTTGAGCGCTAACATCACCCTTTTTTTCATTTTTTTCTTCCTATGCTAGAGGAATCCCATGATGAGATCATTCTTTCGGGGTCATGGCCGCTGAATTGACGAATGCCCCAGAAGAGTGTTTGAAATGAATTTCTGCATTTACAAAGGCTAGGATACTAACATCATTAGCCCCTTTACTTCGATCATATTACATCGCTCCCTGCGGGCGGAGAAAGTCTTACGCTTCTCTCCCTCCTAGTCAATAGCCAAACCTTTCTCCCACGATTCTCTCGCTCAGTTTCCATAGTCTCTCCGCCTCTATGCTATCTCTGGCCCAGCAACGGATGTCTTCCGGGGGTACGCCAGTCGAATCTAAAAGGAATCCGCCATTGCGTGCTGGAAGGACAATAATTGTTAGCATTTTGGAATGGAGCAAACACATAAAGATACTCACCAGTAGTTAAAATATCATCGTGGAATGCGGCAAAGACATGGGTTGCTACACCCTGTGACATAGTCTTCCATTTGAAGCCCCTCCAAAACGGCCGGTTTCCCAAGGCTTTGTCCCATTTCACTATGCCTCTGTTAGAAAACTCTCTACCTTCACAAGTTGATCTCGAGAGCAACTTACCTAGTGACTCGACAGATTCGTCCACGTCACCTTTCAGCAGGTTCGTGTTTATAACCCCAGGATGAAGGCTAACGGATATGAGGCCCCTTGTGCCGAGCTTCTGGGCCAAAGACAGTGAAAAGAGCATATTTGCCGTCTTGGCCTGTCCGTATCCCAGCCATGGGTCGTATGTATTTCCATCCTAGTTTTCAACGTTAATAGCTCACGAGTATTCGCGTGACTTTTCAGTGCTTCTTACATCGAAGTTCCAATCATCAAAACGAACAGGTCCCATCCGGTGCCCATCACTTGAAACATTGACCACGCGCGAGACTTTCCCAGGCGCGATCAACTTGCTCATAATAAGATTCGTGAACAAAAAATGACCAACATGATTAATGCCAAACTGGCTCTCCACGCCATCCTCGGTTAGCCGGAATGGCGGAGCCATAACACCGGCATTGTTAACGAGGACGTCGATGTGCTCGTCGTACGATAGCACTTCTTTCGCTGCTTTTCGGATCTGAGTTTGCGAATTGAGATCAAGCTCCAGGATGCGAGTGGCGACGGACCGAGCTACGTTTTCAATTTCTTGCGCTGTGATTTTGGCTTTGGACGTATCTCTTGCAGCAAGTATGATTAACGAGGGATTGTATGGGGCGATGATGGTTGCGAACCCGGCACCAAGTCCGCCAGGAGTAACACCGGTGATCAGGATGGTTTTGTTCATAATGGAAGGACGACAGTCAGAGGCGACTTGTTCGGCCGTTGTGTCCCAGTTATAATTCGACATGGTGTGGGAAATGATTGTTCAATCAAAATTAAATAAGGCTTGAGGAGTTGTAGTGCGATTGCGATCTTGTTTTCTCTTTGTTCAGTCATTTTCAATGGGAATGCTTCAAAATATATAGGTCACGGTCCCAGGCGTAAGTTCAGTGGAGAAGCTCTGACGGTGTAGACTGGCGGAAATATCACGGGAATAAGATAAAGGTCCAAGTTCTTCTGGTTTCAAATTGCCCTGTGATTCCTTGTTAATGAAGCTGTGGATAGCAAATTTAGAGTCGATTACCGGATTCGGACGATTTAATTGTTGACTGGCAGCCAGAAAGGGTTAGACTGGGACTCGGATTTAACACCGGGGGTCTCCGGACCTCCGACGCTAAACCCGATTTGCTTGATTTAATTTGTCGACCGATTACTCTTTCTGCTCTTTTTCCCGATCTTCCCATCAACAACCTAACAAGTTACACTTTCTTCATCATGAGTGGGCACTCAAGTGAAATAGTATTCTCAGTCTCATCGTCATCCAATGAGGCTGCTTACGTGATCCCCTACGTCAATGGGCTCATGAAAGTTCCTGGACCAAGGAGACGAGGGAGGCCTGCAGGATGTAAGTATCTCGTGCTGTGGCGAGGACAGCGCTGATAGTATGACAGCAACCAAACGGGTAACGCAGTCAAATGGCAGGCAGAAGCAAAAGTATAATCGAGATCTCACTTCCCAGGGTGTTGGTCAATTTCAGTTCATCAATCTCAGTGCGCAAACAAGTCGGATTGACGCTGTGGCGCGGAGAACGATTAGACGAAAGGCAATGTTCAATCACATACAAGTGAGATCGACTAAGGTAGAGAAAGCCTCGAAAATGAACACAAAAGACGTCACCCGAGCTGAAGGACTCTTGTCACCCCAAAGTCTACCGTTATTGCTCGGAAGCGTGGACCCGTTTAACACCATGCCGATACGGTTTGAGCCGTACATGCATGACCTGCTAGTCTTCTGTATGTATATAGTTCTTCACGTTGCAGTTTGAATATTGCTAATGCACGACTGCAGACAGCACTACCGTTTGGAAGACTCTGTACTCGATTGAAGAGAAAGCAGGTTGCAACCCCATGGTAGAATACTGGCTACCACTAGCATTTAATGATACGGCCCTGCTCAATATCCTCATCGGATGTGCTGCTGCTTTCAAACTCGAATCCATCTTTCAACCAGGATGTCCAACTTTTGTCAGGCACCTGAACGAGGCGATGAATATTGTGAATAACAAATTGTCGTCTATGTCCAGGGGCGAGCATGTATCAGACGAGATATTGGCTGTCATTGCCACATTGGCCATAATCCAGGTCTGCACACAAAGGATACTAGAAAATGCCCTCACTTCAAAACTGACAAATGTGCAGAGAACGGTTGGGTCCAGCAGTCAATGGAACATGCATATGGGCGGACTGCAAAGACTTGTTGATCTTCGCGGTGGGATGAGCAGTCTAGATGCCAAGCCACTCATCAAAAGTAAGATATATCGGTAAGCGTCTTCCATCAACGAAATGAATAATTTCGTGAAGTCTAATACACCTTCGCCAGTGCCGATCTATGCGGCTCCCTGGACATCACGCGACAACCTTATTTCAACCCCCACTACGACCAGCTACCATTGAACAATTTCCAAGACCTACGTCTCCCGCGAGGATTCAGTGATTTGGATGAGATATTGTCGCTTGATCCACTGGTAAAGAATACAATTTTGAATGTGCAAGCTAGTCTGCAAGGCTTGTCAATTCTTCACGTGAAGAAACATCACAGTCATGCTGCGCAGATCAGATTTTCCTTGACATCTGCTCAGTATACTCTTTTGTCTTTTCCATGTGACAGCTCGAGCAACGCAAGAATTCGAGCACAGGAGACATGTCGCTTGGCTATTTTACTGTTCACAGCTACGGTGTTTCATGAGTTACCGCCGGGCGCGTCAATCGCTGATGGGACAGTGGGAAGAATGATAGAACTTCTCAGTGATATTGCGACATGCCGCTATCTAACCCCGGCCTTTCAGACGTGGGCCTTGTGTCTCGCTGTAACCGCCGCACCGCCAGGGGATAGGGAACAAGCTCTTGTTCTCCTGTCCGGTATCCTTGCCAGGATACACGTTGATACCGAAGAACAGTTCGCCATATTGATATCATCGTTCCTTGGAGAAGGAACATTGCATCAGATGCATTGCCGTGTGATGACGGATATATTGTCGCAATCTAATTTTATTGGAACTTCTAGCCTGCCCCGCGGGCACGCCTAATTTGCTCCAATTCTGCATTAATGGCGCATTGGATACTTTTGACAAAGAGATTGAAAGTCGCTTGGCGCGAGGAAGTGTTGTCGAATATTTTCCATGGCCAACGTCTCAAATGCGATCTCAGTATCGATTGTCCCCTCCGCCGTGTGCGAAGTCAGCCTGTTGCATTTGGATAAGTTTATCAACAATTTATAGCAGCCGTTGACCGTGAGGAGAGGTTATGGGTGGGAACATACGTAACATTACGCATAACGGCCAGCTTTGGATGAACATAAGGCTCTTTTTCTTGAACGTCCAATCCAGCAGCTGACAGATGACCGGTCTCTAGTGCACCCACGAGTGCCTCTTCGTCTACTGACGATCCATGCGCGATATTCACAAGTCGGGAGCCTTTCTTGAACCGCCATAATGTTGCCTTGGTGATTATCGGCGTTGGGAGGACTGGGGTGGCGACCACGACACAGTCGACAATTTCAAGCATGCCCTCCAGCCTCTCACAGAATTCGACTTTGAGCGCTTCTTCTTCGTTCTTGCGCTTGCGTTTGATGTCGTGATAGTAGATCTTCATACCGAAACAGCCGAATGCTTTACGCGCAATAGTGCTGGCAATGACAATCACTATAAAGGAAAATAACCGGAATGAGAGAAGAAAACCTACGATCCGACCTGACCCAGTCCAATGATTCCAAGAGCTTTTCCAGAGGGATTATATGCCGTGCGAGCTGCGTTTCGATGGGCATCCTTCCAGCGATTTGGATCAATAGACAGTGCGCCTTCAATGGACCACTGCATATTCCGGAAAACGGGTATGATATGAAAGATCGCCTGAATGGATCGCATTAGACCGATATGATTGGGTTAGCTCAAAGACATACCATATCCCCCGTTGCTTCGCTTGCAGCAGCAGCTCCATTGTAATACTCAATCCCTGTGTGACGGTAAGATGTTCGAGCCCGACTATCCAACGAGGGCAGGAATACCTTGCATTTTCATGACTTTCAAGTCAATCCCTTCATTTCCTGATCCTGCACTTGCGAAAGCCGAGCAACGGTCTGGTAACAGATGAATAAGCGCGGTATTCCACTTCCCCATCTCCCAGCCACTATCGCAGAAAGGACGAAGGATAGCGCTAAATTCACACCATCGCTTCTCCTTCAGGGCTTTTATGAACTCATCCCTTTCTCGCTCCTTCTTGGACGGTCGGAGGATGATGAATTCTTTCTCGAGCTTGGCATAGAGCTCCGTGTTATAGCAGATGGGATCGCCTAAGTAGAGAATGATATCTCTGTCATCATCCATTTTAGCGGTTCACCTACTTGTCCTTGTGTGCATGATCTGCTGGATTAGGTGCAGCTTACCCTTGACGGGTCCCTTCTCTTCGCGTTGTTCTGGCCCCTGGCGCTAACACTCAGGCCGCCCGGCATGGGCAAGGCGGCAGCGAATTGGGAAACAGAGCCAATGGACCCTCGCCGCGTTGGGATTCAGCTAATTAATGTTGCTTAAGACGGCTTCATTCTCCATCTGATTGGCCGGATTCACAGCTGGAACACTAGACTGTGCTAGCCACGGAGCCAACACCCTAAGAAGCCTTGTATTGGCCGACAAATTGTCCTCATGGAATGACACATCACAATTTACGGGAAAATTGATACTTTGTTATGTGTGGCAGTCTTTCAAACACACAAACTGTTCAAATCTTAGTTCTCGTCCAGAGTCGCCGCGCCTCTTCTACCATTGATCTTTCTGGGTTTGGTACCTATGCCGATGAATCGCAAAACATGTCGAATAAATTCGAAATAACTAAGAGAGCTACCGATATCGAGTGTTGACATCCCTGGGGTACAGCTCAATACAGAGCCCATGCAAGAGACAGAATTCGACATGGAGGACACAGCTGAAGGAGGTCACCCATTTCCAACCATCCAATCAAGCCGACAGACACATATATTAATAATGTCATTCAGAAAAACCTGACTTGCACGCCAGAACAGAAACCAACCCATCCACCTCACTCCTATTCAGGCAAAGCAGCCACGACATCCAACCCCATGGGTGCATGCTTCGGAAGCTCCAAAACCTTCATGGTAGCCCGCGCCGGACTATGATCCCCCAAGTACTCCGCAGAGACCTTGTTAAAAGCCTCGAATTGCTCAAAGTCGGTCAGATAGACGTTTTGCTTGATGATACGATCCAGCGTCGTGCCAGACTCCTCGAGGATGATTTTGAGGTTATCAAAGATGCGGCGAAGTTGGTTTTCGGGCCCGCCTCCCACAATCGTCATCATGGCAGGGTCTAGAGGAATACAGGCCGTGGTAAAGACGAGGTTGCCGTGGACCACAGCGTGGACATAGGGGCCGATGGTGCGCGGCGCGCGGTCGGGACAGACTGTTTTCATGGTGTTGGATAGTAATTCTTCTGGGATAGTTGAGTGAAGTGAGTGGAGCATTCTGTCTACGTCTACATCTTTGAATGATAGTTAAATACCCGCGTGTTGCTCATCTCAATTGCTTGCGTTGTCCACGGCACCGCCATCCGCGCTGATCCACCGAGGCGGAATCGCTACCCGTCTCCACAGCACTGGTGGCATCGCCAAGGATTAAGAAGTGCATTGCATTTCCATGTAGTGATAACGATTCGCCATCGCGACGGATATCCTTGCCGTTGGAGACCAATGCTGACCATGTCCTGATATCGTGCTACTGGCCAGAAATCAAATCATATCTGTGACACTGGTCTTCGTGTACAGTTAAAAAGGGAGAACGCACTAACCTGCGCACCCTATGTTGTCCATGCCCACCATCTAAACTGGATCCGATACCTTGGAAATGCCCCTGGCTATGAGACATAGAACCGTCCTGCCATCACGGCTCGCTCTGATGGCAGCCCGACAGCAGTCGATTCGGTTAACATCAACGTCAGCACCAAAAGCCATAGCCCTGTGGAGAACCGCTGCTTCCAGGTGGAAGAGCCTTCCAAAGACGGAAAGGAAAGTCGCATTCCTTGCTGGTGGCACAAGTACTGCCATCATTGGTTTGCTCTTGGTGAACGGTAGCAGTGACAAGGAGCCTGCCGATGCGCATGATGTGCAAACGCTTTCGAGGATTCCTCTCGGGAAGCTTATCACAGGCTGGACGTAAGTTGATAGACTCCTCTTATTAAGATTGCTTGCTTAACCAATCATAGGGCCTTTGCATTCTGCTCTTCGCCAACATGGGTTGATATGAGTGAGAATCTCTACAACATCCTATCAAGAATCCCCATCGTTTCGTCCATCACACATTTGTTCGTGATGAATGTCTTCTTCAATCAGTTTCTTGGCGGAGAGACCACAGAGGATGCTATCCCCAAGATCAAAGCTCTTCGTAGGGAGCATATTGGGACTCTCCTTGGTTACAACATCGAAGCCGAACTGGATGGGACAAGTAAAGATCCCGAGTTGATCCGCGTCCAGGTGGGGCATGTTCTGGAGTCAATTAAGGCTCAAGGACAGCTAGGCAGAAAGTTCTACCCCGACACCAGCGCAACTAGCGGTGATAACCGCTCGTGGGTAAGAATTAAGGTGACTGGACTTCTGCCACATCCTGTCGCCTTGCTCCATGGTTCGGATGCAATTCTTGAATCAAGGGAGGCAAGGGGTCTAGACAGAGATGTGCCCTACCCTGGTCTACCTCACGACGGCGATTGGGAAGCCGCACTAAACGGAAAGCAAGTCACGTCTTCCGATCGCCAGCAGCTACAGGATCTGTATGGGATACTCGACACGATTATGAAACTCGGACGCGAAGAGAATGTGCGCGTTATTATCGATGCTGAACAAACCTGGTATCAACCTATTATCGACAGCTTAACGGATGCTCTCATGCAAAAGTATAACGCCCTAGATGGACCTGCCCCGTGTGTCGCCTCATTTCAAGCCTACCTTCGTCGCTATCCTCAGCTCCTTGACCAGCAGATTGTCCGAGCTCAAGAGAAAGGGTACAAACTTCTGTTCAAGCAGGTCAGGGGAGCATATATCAAGACCGAGGGTGAGAGGTGGGCCAAAGAAGGTCGCCAGGGCCCGGGGCCCGTCTGGGGAACGAAGGCAGAGACCGACGCCAGTTTTAACTACGGCATTGAGAAAACGCTTGCAACCGTGCACAAAGACATTCAAGGGACCGGGCATTCGAAGATCGGTGCTATTTTTGCGACACACAACTCCCAGAGCATTGATCTCGGGATCAAACTGTTAGAGACGTACGGGTTGGCAAATCGTAGAAGGGACGATGAAAAACTCGTCGTTTCGAACGAGGCTGCCGGAAGCATTGCTTTCGGTCAGCTTTATGGTAGGTTATGCTACTCGAGTATCGGACCAAAACCGTGACCTTGTGCTAACACTATCTCAGGAATGAAAGACGACCTCACGAATTGGATTGCGGGATCTATAGTCACTGAAGATGAATTCCCTCTTGTTATCAAGGTGAGATTACATGCTTTCCAGAGTAATATATCCTGTCCTGTCACAGCTAACATGTCTATCTTGACAGTCAATGAGCTATGGTGATTTGAAAGAATGTTTGCCCTTCTTGGCCAGAAGAGCTACTGAAAACAAGGCAGTTCTCGAAGGGAGGGGTGGTGCAAGTGCCGAGAGAATTAGGCTTGGTCGCGAAATCCGTAGACGTTTCCTGCCCTGGACTTCATACTAGTCCACTCACTGGAGCCTTCAATAAAGCGGAGTCATTTGACGGAATACAGCCTTTTTCAAATAACGGTTTTTTGTCATGGAAAGCGTGGTCAATATTTTTAGGTTCTTCATGTCACGACCAGTCGTCCGTTCTGGGGAGCAGGGACTCAAGATCACGACCATATTGCTACCTACATACGTGAGATTGTATTAAAAAGGAGCCATACGTACAAAAATAGACAATGGTGTAGCAAATCTTGCCTTGCATGACAACGAGGTGTCAAGATACACCATGTTCGTCCTTGACATCCCGTCAAAGCAAGAGGATACGCCACTCAGTAAATAGTTCTGTAGAACTCTTTCAGTCGACGATTTAATTCAGGAAAGTCCCCTCGCTCGGCACATATTTCTCATAATTAGGAAATGGTCCAGGTTTACTCTGAGCTTACTATTTGCCCGCTGTATCTGACCGAGTACCGCTTTCATGGTCATCGCAGCAAAAGGTAGGAGTCAAAAACCATAACCCAGCTCTTCGATGGTCTAAGTCCTGACAAATCATATTGTAATATTATTTGCTAACCATGGGTTACATGAGGGGTTACCTTGTCTCAAGTTGATAAACAGTTCAGGAAAGTTCGCGGAGTAAATATCACGTCAAATCGATGGCTTAGATACTAGTCTCCAAATGTCACAAAGTTTTAGTAGGCTAGTTAGGCATATACGGCCGATAAATTCCGGTTTATTGGCAGCAGGAACCCAACCAACACCGGACCGGGATGGAGTTGCAAGTCTCCAGCTTTATCGGCTTGCTTTCCCGCGACGGATTGCCCTGCCGACAGACATCACCCTCGTGGCGAAACGCTAAGACCTCGACAGATAAGCTGGAGACCCCGGATCGCCCCAGATAACCCCATATCTAGTTGAATTTTCATTACTAAGTAGAAACCCCAATCGGCTCTAGAGCGTTATATAGACTGAGGCCGGCTTTCCTCTTCTCATGGCTCAATCTACGACCCGTCCTCAAGCCGAGTTTCATCATCTCGTCAAACGACATCTCTTGATATACGATGCCACCAAAAGAAGGCAAAATCACAGCGCCTAACAATGGGCTGGGCAACAATCAAATGCCCACGAAGGAGGAGGGGCTGGAAGAGGGGACTGTCGAGGAGGAGCCCCAACAAGAACTGAAGAGAGGGTTCAAGAGTCGCCATGTTAATATGTTCGCGATCGCAGGTTCCATTGGTACAGGCCTCATAATCGGAAGTGGTGAGGCTTTGGCCTCAGGAGGGCCAGCTAGCATATTGATTGCATACCTTCTCATGGGCACGTGTGTGTATACCATCATGACTGCATTCGCTGAGATGGCCATCTTTGCCCCCATGAGCAAAGGCTTCAGTGGATATGCTACCAGATTTGTTGACCCTGCATTAGGGTAAGTATTTGGTCTTTTGATATGCCAATATTGGATTCAAAGCATGACAGCAATAACTGTTATAGATTCGCAACTGGCTGGAACTACTTCTTTAAGTACTGCGTGCTCCTTGCCAATAACCTCACAGCTACCGGTCTCGTCCTCAGATACTGGAGAGAGGATATAAATGTTGGTGTTTGGATTGCCGTTTTTGGAGTCTTTGTCGTTAGTCTCAATGTAAGTGCTACTACGGTTTTTAAACATCACCCCCGCAAATTATACTGATATCCTCTGGTTTCAGTATCTCCCCGTTGAGAGGTTTGGCGAATCTCTCCAGATCATCAACGGCTCTTTGGCAATAATTTGCTGTTGCTATGTTTTGCTGACCCAACGTGCCCTGATGGGAGTTTCAATTCAGCTCTATAGTTTCACAACCACCACGTAAGACTGCAATCCTAAGAGTGAGCAGCACGTTTCGGGCGGCATTGGAGTGGTCATAAATCGCCCCGTTGAATAAGGATGTGGCGTCTTTTCCTATAGCCGAACGGATCATAACCGCACCGCCAGGGTGATCATCAACAAAGCTTGAAACATCGTGAACAACCCCCTCGATAACAGTTAACAGTTGACCCCGGTTGTTCATCGCTCCTGGTACTCATTCCACTGAACGATTGGCAGTTGGTTGAGCGGCTTGCCCCAGTCGAGCCTACTGCTTCGCTTGTCGAGTATCTTATAAGTCTGTTGAATGCGACCCTTCTCGATCTCGGATTCTCGAAAGCGTTTCAGATTGGACGCTAGTCCGAGAATTTCAAATGTCCTGATCATCCACTTCGTGATGTCTACTTGGTGCCAGTCAGTCCCATTGCGATAGTCCGACGGAAATTGATGATGAAAGTTATGATATCCCTCTCCAAGCGTAATGAGCGCAGTCAGAAGGTGATCTCGAGGGGATCGATGGTCATCAAATGGCTGGTCGCCAATATAGTGGGCCAGAGAGTTCACACAGAAGGTTGCTTGATTGACCAAGAACGAGCGTAAAATGCCTGACATGCGATGTTAGTATGTATATATCTCCTTTCAATGGCTCGCGTCGCACCAGCGTATATGAATCCTCCGTACCAATCGCCCCATCCAAGACCAGCCACTATAGCCGGTAATGCCCACCCCATAAACAGCGCAATAGGGAAGTAGTACTCGTGTTGGTACATAACGCTAGCATCACTGTGTAGATCCGAAATATCCACTCTATTGTTCTTCTTTGGCTGCTCAGTCAGAACCCATAAGATGTGAGCATGGAGAAGGCCTTCTTTGATGTTATAAGGGTCGCGATCGGTATCCGTATAGCGATGGTGAGCTCGATGCTCTCTCGCCCAGAACTTGATAGACCCTTGCACGGCTCCCGCTCCAAAAGCTGCCAGTAAATATTTGAGTGGTTTCGATGCAGCGTAAGATCGATGGGTCCATAACCGATGGTATCCAGCAGTCACAGACCCTGCCGTCATAAAGTAGTACAAAGTTGCCCATCTAAGGGTATTCCCGTACAACGGAAGCCATAGAGCTTGGAGAAATGCTGCGAGAGGGATCGTAACGAGCATAGTGAAATTGAACCATCGAATCCGTTTCAGCCATCGAGGGACCAATGTTTCTGTTCTATTTTGACGTTTATTTGGTTTGCGAGGCCTGTCATCATCGGAAGGGAATAACGCCTCTGTCGCCTTTGCCATAGTCATGTTGTATATGGATGGTCTGGAATATTGATGTGATCTTGAGTATTTGCGACCGTTACGCTGCTCCCACGACGCAATGTATATGATTATGGGTTTGTTGATCACACTGTTCCGTAGCTACGTCATACAGAATAGTCTTTTCCTCATCCACGCAGAATATAGCTGCAAGGAAACGCAGTATAGATCCATAGAATAGAATGGAAATAGCATGGTCAGGTGAAAGAAAAACGGACTCTCGTTTTGGATTTTGATCTTCGTCAACAACTGCCTTATCCTGTGCGCCTTCCTCTATTGGTCATGATGCTGCGTTAATGTAATGACTGCATGTACAGATGCTTAATCGTGAGCCAATAATATCAGGATGAGGATACGTCCACATGGAGCATACAACCAGATACTGCAAAAAATGACCCTCGGGCGTGTGGTTTGAAAGTTTCAAACTACAGGCTCAAAGGTAGGTTTTGGAAGTCTGAGAATTGGCTGGCACTGAATCTCCTTGCTTAGCATTGCGGAGCTGTTTCCTTCCTATTGCGACGCTTAAGCACACCTAATTAGTTAGTTTGCCATTTGGTATTCTCTCAATGGAACATGGTTTATCAGGTAAGGCAACGTGCATATGCGCGGCCCCTGTCAGGTCAATGCCATTATTAAGCTTACTCTACACAACGGAACACTATTATTCAGCTTTTGCTTCTCTTGAGAACCTAATGGAATGTGGTTAAGGGCAATTACTAAGCCCGTAAAGCACTCATAGCCCCATTATTAACCCGTCGGGTCGGAGTTGCGAGGGGCCGAGATGCGAGTTGCGGAGTAGGGCGGCTATTAATATATCCATGGCGTCGATAAATGTATATAACTCGTTTCGTTGATCAGTTGAAGGTCTATCTGAAGTATTAACCTACTCTCCTGTCATTACTCCACCGTGCATGCCATGGACTCGCAAAGTATCCTTGTTCTTGGCGCAACAGGTAAGGGGTTCTGGAATGCCAGAAAATTGCCGATCCACTGAGTGGGTATTTCAGCAAAAACTAACTCAGTCTGGCGCTCTGCAGGTGGATCGGGTATTGCCTTCATTGAGGAGGCCCTAGAACTTCCCAACCCACCTCATTTGGTTCTCTACATTCGATCGCCATCCAAACTTCCACAGCACGTCAAATCGAACCAAGATGTGACGGTAGTTACAGGAGGTCTCTCGGATTACACCGCATTGGATTCAGCGATGAAGGCCCACCGTGTCAGCACAGTTGTCTCCTTCCTTGGCGCATACGTCTCCGCGTCAGCCCTTGTCACTCGGAACATGGATACGCCTATCGCCGACTCATTCCCCACGGTCATCCAGGCAATGGAGAACAACAAGGTTACACGACTCCTTGCTCTGTCGACGCCGTCATACTGGGTCGAAGATCAAGATGTTGGAAGTTGGAAGTTGACAATCTACGGCATGATGCCTAAACTCTTTGCTCCACAGGGAAACGCAGAAATGGTTCGGATAGCCGAGACGGTGGCCCAGGAAGCTTCGCACCTAGATTGGACGATCTTTCGCATTCCTCATCTGACTGATGGACCGGCTGGGCTTCCCGTCTGGGCTGGTTATGCAGGGCCGAGTCATAAGGGCGGCCTTAACCTTTCGCGCAAGAGCCTGGCACGCTGGGTTTTGGGAGAAATCTTGGAAGAAGAATGGGTGAAAGGTGCGCCATTTCTGGGTAACTACTGAAGTAATCTTCTCAGACATTACCTCATGAAAAATAGCAAGTGACACAGCTTCATGAAATTTCAATCTTAGACGTTCTTCTCTAACTTAGTTGTGCATCGCGCTTAAAGTCTATGTTGCGACTATGATCACAGTATGTGCCTCGGCCAATTCTTCTTCCGGGTGAGTAGTGGTGTTTTGAATCGAGGGAAAACTGCGTAATTTACATAGAGAACACCTAGCTATATGCGTGGCTTGAATTTATACAAAACGACACATCTTATCTATTTCACACCTCTGGATAGCGCTATATATTCTCTTTGCTGTGATGGGTGTCGAAATGCCTTCAACAGACAGCCGCCCGGTCGCGAACACCAACTCTATCCCAGATCCTATATTCTACCCATGCAGGGTAAAACATACCAGACTGTTTCCCTCGGTCCATTCCTTTGATTACTCATATCTCTGGGTAGCAATTCCAGTTAGGTGGAATGGCAAGCCTTCATGCCGGGGGCGTGTCATTAATCTAGGACTCACTGGGATAAGAGTCAACGCAGCTGACTATCTACACCGTAATCACGATCTATCCTTGGATCGGAAGCTGGAGTCGTATTTGAATGAACAGGTGCGCGTTTCCTTATAAAAAGCCTGCAAGATCATTCTAAGTCCCTATTATAGGGCCTTGGCTCCCATGTCTATCCTCATACTATATTATTGACAGTCCCAAGAGTCCTTGGTTATTCGTTTAACCCAGTCTCGTTTTGGTATCTTTATTCGGACCAATTCACACTATCTGCTGCTATCTTGGAGGTTAACAACACATTCGATGAGCGCCATATGTACTTCTTGGAACCATGCCGCCGCCAGCGCTCATCTAACACATCGAAGAAAGGAGAATCGATTGAATTCGGGAAGTTGGAGAAACAATTCCCTGTTTTACCTTTCAATGACAGATCTGGTACATATTCGCTAACAACAATCGATCCTTTGGATACCGCCTATGATCAACGCATAAACACTAGGATCAGTCTCACTACATCCGATGGACAAGCAAAATTAACCGCCAGTATCCGATCGGTAAATAATGGCATCAGTGTCTCTTTGCTTGGAGGCCGCATCCAAAAGACTGTCTTTCTTCTTTTTCATGGATGGATTGGTTTCTTCACCATCCCTCGCATTCTTTACGAAGCTGCCAAGTTGTATTTCCTAAAGAAACTCACAGTCTGGACTCTACCAAAACCGCTTCCAGGTACAATATGTCGCCAAGCCAATGTGATCGAGATGCTGTTCGAGTCCGCCTTTCGACAATATCTGCACGCAGTTGTTAGCGAGGTATCAATGCCACTGAGCCTACAGTATCATGGAGCCGGAACCACTGAGCCTTCTATTCTGATGATGAATCCCCCGGCAACAGCAGTTGACAGTGAGAGGTGTTCGCATGTCAGTATTCGCGTCATTGATCCAAAGTTCTATACGCTATCGGCTTTAAACAGTTCCGGTGGGGATGTGTCATTCCTGGAGTCGCTCTCCATGAATCCTTTGGTCGAGGTGACAAACATGGCTGAACTCGCCACAAGCATCCAATACAGTCGGATGAAAGACCAGATATCAGCAGAAGATCTCCAGTCTCGTTCCTCTGGCAGATTCCTCTTTTACCTGTTGGGCTGGTTGCGCAAGACGCAAAAGTCAGACCCAATCCCAACGCAGTCTATATCCGACATTTGCGTGATTGATCAGTGTGTTTTATTGAATTGGCCTACGAATCTCCAACTGAAATATGGAATAGCCATTCTCAGAATCATAGCAGCTCGGACTTTTGCATGGGGCAGCGTGCGGTTACTTGATGTGGAAATCATGCTTTTGCTAGGATCACTCTTTGCGGTCCTGCTGAGGAACCTATAAACAGCATTACAGACTTATGAGCAAGTATTCTGTGATGTATAATTTGAAAGATTAGGCTTATTATCCTGCATTAAGATAGTTTGTTATTCGAGATCCGTATTCGGGATTCCCTCCATAGTAATATTTCTCGTAAGACAGCTTTTATCATTATTCCATGTAGCACTGAGTTTCCCAATCACACCATGAATGTGACAATCATTCATCCCTCGCCTCTACGTGTGTGGGTACATGGTAGCAGTGGCGAGAAACGCTTACGATTCGGTTCTGATAGCCATCTTGCACATGTATCGGTGTCATCAGATCTGCTACCCCTTACTTCTCTGGGCATTTTGGAAAGTGAACCGACGCCCTTTGTAATGCAAAGGCCTGCATGACAACTGTAAGAAATATTATCTTACCTATTGAGGGAGACACAGGGTTAACCTTCTTCCATTATCAGAAGGATATGCATGTTTTCCCTTAACAACCAAACTACACCCATATCTTGACAACAGCGAGGGCTTCATAAGTTACAACGTATTGAATCACTTACAAATCTCGATCACCAAGCCTGCGGTACGGCTTTCCAAAACTATCTAAGGTTTCTTCCCGGTTGCTGATTTACATGTATCCAAACCTGCCATTTTCCATAGAATGACGTAATCTCTCGCCATTTCGCCGGAGCCAATATTTATGAAATTTGCCAGATATCGACCCAAATCTCCGCCCTCGAGAAGTTGATATCTCTATTTTCATCTTCCCAGCTCGTCTTCGACAGTTATCATCATGCAGGCAACTTTTAATACTCTTGGGAGTTACGCAGCTCCGTACATCAGAGATACTTTGCTACGGATGCTTCAGAGTAACATCCAGAATGGAGCAATTGATATTCATCTGAAAGGCGCTTGTAGTCAACAAAGGTCGGGAGCACTCAAGGTCGGAAATATAGAGTGTACAGACTCGGGGGTGCTCAAGGCCTCGTTGGTTGTGCATGACGACCCTACTCTTTGGCTAAAGCTGTGTCAAAACCTCGATATTGTGCGCATTTTTATTCCATTTGACGAACATTTCCTAATGAGCTCTTTCACCTAGGGAGTCGCTGAAGCATACATGCTTCAGCAAATTGAATGTTCTGACTTGGTGTCGCTGTTCAGGGTAAGCTTGCCCTTGAGGTTTCAAATGTCTACTAACATTGCATACTTAGATTTATATCCGTAATTGGACATCGATGGCAACTGTGAATTCCTTGGTCCAGTTGCCACTCCGCTTGTGGAACCAAGTAACAAGAAAGATCAACAATACAGCCAATGCTTTCCAAAATGCCAGTTTCCACTATGATACCTCAAAAGCGCTATTTAAGGCTTTTCTCTCGGAGGATATGTGTTACTCATGCCCCATATGGGAATCTCCGGATGAGCCGCTTGAAGCAGCCCAAAGGCGAAAAGCACAAACTATCATCGACAAAGCGAATATTCGTTCGACGGACCATGTACTGGATATCGGAGGAGGGTGGGCGTTCATCGCCATGGAGGCTGTCCGTTTGACCGGCTGTCGAGTGACAGTCGTGACTCTTTCAATTGAGTAGAAGATCCTTGGAGAGGAGCTGATTAAAGGAAGGTCCTACGAAGACAACATTGACTATGTCTTATGTGACTACCAAAATATTAGGAAGCCAGAGAGAGGCTTTGATAGAATTATCTCTGTTGAAATGATTGAAGCCGTCGGGAAGGAGTACATTGACGAATTTTTCGGCACTTTGCACAACCTACTGAATCCGATTGAGGGACGGATTGTCATACAATCCATTACCTTTATCGAGAAGGTATGCTGCTCATACACTGAATAGTTAACTCGTTCTAAGTCAGCTCCAGCTCCATTCCCAACCAAAGTCTCTCGATAATTTCCTTGACAAATACATCTTCCCAGGGGGTTATCTCCCTTGCAATACAGAGCTCATCAACTCGATGAGCCGTGGCTCTGAGCAGTGTATGGAGCTTGACAGTCTGGATGAAATCGGGGAGAACTACGTGAAAGCTCTTCGGCTGTGGCGGGAAAAGTTCGTTTCCAACTGGGAGACAATCAAATCGTCAATTCTTCGTGAACACGGCGAAAGATCAGACGCTGAAATGGAGGCCTTCAAGCGGATATGGATTGTAAGTCTTGTCCTTGCAATTTTTCGTCTCCCGTTACTAACACCCCGTGTCCGTAGTATTATTTTAGCTATTGTCAAGCTGGATTTCACGAGGGTATCCTTGGGGACGTCATACTCGCAGCCAGTCGAAGACCCCGTGTTATGTCTCATTCCCCCATAATGTGATAAACCTTCTTCTTCCCTGTTTGGAAAGAATCAGTTTTTTCTTTTTCTTTTTCTTTTTCTTTTTTTTTTTTTTTTAGTTCCTTCCGGATAGTTTAAATATGCTCGAGGTCTAATTTGTAGGAATTACGCTTTCTCCTTTCCTCGAGTATAAATTCATTCCAAGTTACAGATTACCATGATTCTTTGCCACCTGGAGCTTCAAAGGTGAATGATAAACTTCAGAAGCTAGGAGGTCTTTCCGAAAGTAGATAAAGTACCTGTCGATGTCTCTTGTATGAATGCAAGGCGTCCAGCAGTCGTCATCTTTGAAAAGGGCAGAGCTTTGTATCGCGCTTTCGAATGGTGGGGTAACTCATGCGTCGAGATACACTTCAGTCTGCAGGGCATATTTAATCCATAGACAAACGGGTCTGAGAATCAATGGTCGCTGCCATAGTACTTTCGCAAATATTAATAAAAGTTCCGCCCCTCATATCCACAGTGTGTCTGTTTACCAGTCCAGGCTACACAAACTACTTCCAATATGAAAAGTCGCAAAAGGTACTTGCTGGCAAGTGAAACACATCATGACCATGAGTTAACAAATACTTGTGCCAGCAAAAATGTTGCTATTGTAGGCAGTGGTGCGGCTGGCATGGCTGCGCTATGGGCACTAAAAAGCCATTCACCGCACCAGGTGGACCTATATGAGGCCGATAGTCGACTGGGGGGACATACCAACACTGTTAGATTCAAGAAAGGAAAAGAGCATACGTACGTCGATACTGGGTTTATAGTGCTAAACACAGCTACCTACCGTAAGTTGCTGATCCTGTCTATCCGTTCTTGTGGTTTGTTGACGCGGGTCATAGCAAATTTCATATCATTTCTGAACGAGATCAACATTCCCACACAGAAGTCAGAAATGACCTTCAGTGTGTCGCGGAACTGGGGCCTCTTTGAGTGGGCCGGTAATTCTCTCCAAACCGTCTTTGCGCAGAGATACAACCTCTTCTCCTGGCAAATGTGGCGCATGCTCTTTGATATAGTCAGATTCAATGTTTTTGCACTTGACGTCTTACGGAGCGATCACGCATCTCGCATTGACGAGGTCAGTGTTGGGGAGTATCTAGACGAAGAAGGCTACTCGACATTCTTCAGGGAGAGTTACCTCATTCCAATGACTGCAGCTATTTGGAGTACGAGTCCCCATAAATGCTCCTTGGAGTTTCCAATTATCACATTGGTCCTTTTTATGTATGACCTCGTATGGATTTCCCTTGCCAGTTTCACTCATGCTAACACTAGGTGGAACCACCACTTGATCGACACGATCTCTCAGCGCCCGGAGTGGCGCACACTTAAATACAGAGCACAGTCTTATATTGAAGCTATGATGGCCAATTTTCTCTCCAACCGGGTGCATCTCAGCACCCCGATTCGATCTCTTACCAACGATTTGTCCGGTCGCGTATCGCTCATCACCGCGCATGGAGTTAAAAGAACATATGATCATGTTATCCTAGCGACCCATGCACTCCAAGCGCTGTCGATTATATCACCTTCGTGTACTGACAAGGAATACAACATTTTGTCGCAGTTCGAGACCTCTCGGAACACCGCATTCCTGCACTCAGACACCGCTTTAATGCCACGGAATCGCAAAACATGGTCGTCATGGAACTATCAAACAACAAGACACGCCACGCAGGTGTCTCTTACGTACAACTCTAACATTCTGCAGGGCATTCCAGCCTCCAAATATGGCGATGTGCTTGTTACCTTAAATCCGCTCCATCCTCCAGACTCAGCTACCATCCAGGGAGTTTATTCCTATCTACATCCCCTTCTTACTATTGGTGCTATGAAAGCTCAATCCCGACTGTCTGAGATTCAAGGGACCCGTGGAATCAGCTATGCAGGGGCTTGGACGAAGTTTGGGTTTCATGAAGATGCGTTCACTAGCGGCTTCAAGGTTGCTGTCGAACAACTTGGTGCTAATCTCCCTTTTGAAGTCGCGGACAGTGAGTTCAGCAGAGGGAAGGTCCCAGACTTGACCTGGCCGGTGGTTTTACCCAGGTTGTGCCTTCAAGGGTTGCATTTGGTGTTGACCTGGGTCGAGTGGACCTTTGCCACATTTCTTTCGGTTCGGAACAATGGAGGGAAATCGGCTATGATGAACTAATGACTTCTTATGCCCAGAATACATGAATATCATGTTTTATTCCTTCATATGAGCTCGGACACAAAGTTGAAAAATGAAAAATGGCCCTCAATTGCCTCCACTGCTTTACTTCTCGAACAAATAATGGCTGATTCCCCAAGTATCACCGTTCTCATATGCAAAAAGCTCCGCGCAGGCCATGAAAAATACCTGCCACCGATAATACCATTTTTGAAGCATCTTCCTTTCCATATGTCTCAATTAAATGTGGCCATAGCTTGTCGACATCACATAGCCAGTTTTTCAGCCAGTCCTAGGTCGCAGTCAGTTAGAAGCGGTCCGGAATGCGAGGGAACATAAGTTTCAGGCAGAGCCTCTTACTTCGCATGTCCTGGCATAATTATTGCCAGATACCCACCACTGCTGTTTCACCCGCAAATCATCCTGGAAATATAAAAACATATCTGCCGATGGCATTGTTCCTCCGGTAAAAAAGTACTTGCTCATCCAGCCATCGTCCAGTTCGAAGTGATAGGGCGAGTCTTTGTGCGAGAAGGTCTGAACGAATAGTTTCCCTGATACCTTTAGGGCGCCTGAGAGCTTTTTTAGCAATTCCTGGTAGTTCTTCATGTGCTCAAAGGACTATACATCGTTAGCTCTGAGTCGCTTCCAAATTCAAAATCCAACCCCTCGGTATACTAACTTCAATCGCCACTATACGATCAAAAGAACTTGCAATAAACTCGTGATCGATCACGTTTGCAAGGACAATGGCGATGTTTTCAAGTCCGAGCCCCTCAGCTTGTCGCTTGATAAACTCTGCTTGTGTTTTCGAATTTGAAAGAGCCGTGATCATAGATGTTGGGAACTTTTGGGCTAGGTAAATGGAAACACTTCCCCATCCACAACTGCAATTTAAAAAGTTAATGCTATGGCTGAGGAGCTCATTAAAATATCAGAACTTACCCCATGTCCAAAACCGACATCCCATCCTTAATATCCGCCTTCTCAACATAGGATTCCAGCATGGCCTCTTCAGCCTCGGCTAAAGTAGTTGATGCTTCAGGATACAAGCCGCATGAGTATTTTAACCTTGGACCAAGATAATGCTCTAGGACTCCAGGCCTGACCTCGTAGTGTTGAGAGTTCGCAGCATCGGTGTCAATGGCTATAGGCATCTCGCGCAAATCTGCCACGAATTTCATCTTCTTTTCATAAGCACCCCCGCGAGACGGTGCCGTTATCTCCGCAGATCGTTGAGCTAGTTGCTTTCGTATTCCTACTCGTAGGATAGGTCGTGGGAGATAGCCGCCGTCGATGATCCAATCTGAGTTTTCGGTTGTTAGCACGAGGACTGTCATAACGAAGGACAGAGTACCAACCGTATGACATTGTGGTTATCATATATATTGGTCAGATTCAAAGGTTTAGTCTCACATATATTGTGTACGGATTCAACTTCGAGGATCAGTCAATATAAAGCTGTCTACCTACCGCTGAAGAGCCACATATTGATCGAGACCACCAGGGCTGAAGACCCCGATACCCACTATCTCCGACTAGAACTGATGTCATCTGTCTAGAGCAGACTCCTTAGAGGAAATAACATGCCGAAATTCCAATTTTTTCACCGCTCCGCTCTACTTACTCCAAAGACAAACCCCGCACGTGGCCTCCAGTGTCCTCCTGCCTGATAAGGTGTGGCACAGTCTTGACATCATAAAGTCAAAGTTGTCTATATCAAGAAACGCGCTTCTGTTGTGAATCATATCTTCGCATACTGAATTCGGTAGTGTGCAGGTAAACTCTTTCCGCACATGCCAAACATGTTCCTCGATGACTGGGTGGCTTTTGTCGCATGGTGCCAATCGTTCTATCCCCTGCGCATAGGTCAAGTCGCTTACTGGTTTTGAAAAGAAGCATGACCATGCGCTAAACAAACTTCAATCCAAGACATTCAATCCCATGTAATGTAAGGCATGAGGTCTCATGATAGTTGCCATCTGCAGCCACCTTTTTCGGGAACAAAATGCCGAGCCCTGTCGGCAGTGACGCGGAGTGGGTCCTCCCTTGCCGAAGGAGGTATGGGTCCGTATTGAACTTTTGTTTTTGCAATCCCGTTTACAAGAAAAATACTTGGCTCAATGATGCTCAAGTTCATGCATTGTGGATGTACAGATTACCTGTTACATCATTTAGATCAATTGCACGGTCAGGGATTATGACTTCTGTGGTCAGAAAAGCCATGATGTCGCGTAACGCCTTCCTCCAAAGCATCTTGTACTTTGTTATGTTTTTTCAAATCTAACGTCCAATCACGACCATTGTCGCGGAGCTCTACTTGTTTTGCACGATGGGTGACAATAAAACACCTGTTAACGACCTTCCTCATATGAATTTTCGTTCCTATATTGGCTCTTTGCGAAATGACAATGACCTAGTCGAAATCGACACCGAAGTTGACCCCTACCTCGAAGTCGGTGCGATCATCCGCAAAGTTTGCGAGACAGACGGCAAAGCACCTCTTTTTAAAAACCCCAAAGGTAAAAGAGGCCATCTGTTTCAGATACTCGGAGCACCGAACTCCCTTCGCTCTGATTCGACTCAGCGATATGGACGTCTCGCACGCCATCTCGGGCTACTGCCAACGTGCGGTATGAAAGAAATAATCGATAAGATGCTTTCAGCAAAGCTCTCCTCTCCGATTCCGCCTAACATTGTCTCGTCGGGCCCATGCAAAGAGAACATTCTAAGGAAGGGGGAATTTGATCTTACCGATTTGCCTGCACCGTGGCTACATAGGTCTGACGGCGGCAAGTACATCCAGACGTACGGAATGCATATCTTTTGATCCCCAGATGCATCCTGGACAAATTGGTCTATAGCACGAGGCATGAATACCGGGCCTGATCAGCTTGGTGTTCTTATAGCAAAGCCCCAGCACATCTGGCAGATCCAGCAACAGTGGAAAGCCGAGGGAAAGGACATGCCGTGGGCTCTTGCGATGGGTGTTCCTCCCGCAGCTACCATGGCTGCGGGAATGCCTCTTCCAGATGGTTGTAGCGAGGGCGAATATGTGGGAGCTATGACTGGTCATGCTATTGATGTCGTGAAGTGCGAGACGAATGAGCTGTTGGTCCCTGCAAACTCGGAGATAGTGTTTGAAGGGACTATCTCTTCTGATGCGGAGGACTGCGTATTAGAAGGGCCATTCGGAGAGATGCATGGGTGAGCTCTGACCTAGCACAACCTTCTCGGACTACTCTAATGATATCAGATATGTGTACCCGGGAGAGAGACATAAAAGTCCCAGCGTGAGAATAGATACTATCACGTTTCGGGACAATGCAATATTGCCGGTTTCATGTCCCGGTCGACTTACAGATGAAACCGTTTGTTAAATCCCATATTTGGCATTATTTTAGCTAACGACAATCTTTTAGCAAACTATGGTCGGTCCACTGGCAGCAGCTGAGATCCGCCAACGATGTCAGGATCACGGGTATCCTGTTGTTGAAGCAATGACCCCCTTCGAGTCTCAGGTTACTTGGGTTGCTCTCCAAATCGACACGGTCAGGCTCCGACAAATGAAGACGACGGCTGCAAAGCTCTGCAAATCTTTTGGGGAGTTGATATTTCATCACAAATGTGGCCTTACGATTCATCGAGTAGTCCTTGTGGGCGATGATATAGATGTTTACAACTTCCAGGACGTCATGTGGGCTTTCTGCACGAGATGCTGCCCTATCAAAGATGAGTATCTCTTCGACGATTGTCAGGCATTTCTTCTAATTCCCTATATGGCTCATGGTAATTGGAATCCTTTGAAAGGGGGCAAGGTCATCTCCAATGCTCTCCTGGCTAGTGAGTACATGGACGGGCCGGACTGGGAGACTGGGGACTTTGAGCATGGATACCCAGATAACGTTAAAGATAGGGTTATTGCGCGTTGGGATGAAATGGGGCTTCATACATAAACTAAATGTGGATTATACTTTATTTCATTCTCTCTGATTAACGCTCTAGTCCATTATTTCATTTGAATAACATCGCTGGATGTGTTTCCATTGTCATTCACCTCGGATGCTCTGCTCACTGCTATTCTGTGAATCTGCTATCATATGTTCTTCCCAGCATTTCGATGTATAGTGAATGACCTTCGTAGACCAATATTCACAGTATACTTTAATTGGCATTCCTCTCTCAATCTCTCTTCGTCTCTCTCTCTCTCTGGAACTTCTCCCTCTGCCATCTCTACCATCTACGATGGACCATATCTTAAACTTTCATCTGGAGAGAGCCCCTGACTCATTCTATTGAAACCTTCATACAGTTATCATCCAGCATTCTATCCAATCCTGATCCCAGCAAGCTTATGGGGCTTCAGGTCCAACAAAATGTCTCTTCAGTTGACCTCGTTCACACTACCCGCCGGGTTAATCGGTCTACAAACAAACGAAAGTGATCTATCTAGCTCTTGGACTCCGGCCTTGCGTCGGAGAATCTCTCCAATTGAAAAGCTTATGTCAACAACAAAGTCCAGTTCGATCTTTTTTCGACCCAGGACTTCGGGGTCGGAGCTCTCATCTGACAAAGCCATTGCAACACAGCTGGGTTCATATGTCTTAGTGAGCCCGGAAAAAGCCAGGACCATACAACATGAATTGATTTGCTAGAGCTGTAAAGACTGTAAGTCCTTGGTTTGCAACGCTACCCCGTCCTAATCTTCCATGTCATTGACATGAGCATGAGCACAGGACCGGGAATACCGCACGTCATTGCTAAGTTTCTGGCCAATGCATTGTTCTCTTACAAACATCTCGCAGGCCCTACCTCATTGCAAAGCTCAAAAAGGTAGCAACTTAAGCCCTGCAAGAAAAGTCCCGGATATGTGGATGACAATACTCCAACATTGCTTCCCTATCAACATGGCATGACATCTGCCAAAACAATCGAGCACATCCCAATGATTTCATGAGAGCCGGACAGGATTACATATGATTCATAAAAGCAAAATGCCAACAGGAATCACGCACCTGATGAGACATTGTTGAAGAAGCCCTCCAGACTTTTCTCGCGGACCCAGATCGACAATCAATACAGAATTGCGTCTGCTATTTTGGCTTCGGCTACGCATGTTCAGCTCTTCATCCTATCCAATAACACGTCATGAATTCGACCTGTCCTTCCCTTTTGAATTGACCGTTGCAAGAAGGTACAGCGTCTTACCATATCGAAGCAAGATACATATCTATCTGCTCCCACTCGAATGCAGTGAAACATTCGGTGGCTAGGTGGAGCTGCAACCAGAAACGCGGCACACCTGGGTTACATTTGGTATTACATGTGCACACTGCATTTTATCAATCTTAAAGAAGGACTTAAAACGAGTCGTGGCCTTGCGGTAATCCAAGGCAGTATCTGGCTTGATGATGAGCGATCTTATAACTGCACACAGATCGTTCCACGAATAGGGGGATAGACAATGTGCTAGTCGCTCGCAAGTCTCTCGAACAGAAACTGTTGCATTCCACATACGGCTCTTATTGACGACTGATTGTGATTCATCACAGCTACATAACCGATCACACTCTCCCGAACGTTCGCTGGGATCTGAGGCGAACAACCCGGACTACTAGTGGTTTCATAATGCTAATATTCAACATACCGCACTGAGCATACTGCTTCTCGCTTATGTGCAGCCCAACAGTGCTTTCTTCTATAGCACCACCAATACAACGTTAAAGCTGAGTAGAGGTTTAGGAAGCTTGGTTATCACCAACTGGGCAATAGACTATGCTACAGTCTTGTACTCGAAATGCCTGGTTCACGACATATCCAAGCTAGAAGCCTCCCGTAGCAAAGTGGTTGCTTCAGTTCCTAGAGACCTATTACCCAAATGACATGGACTTTGGTGTACTTCTTCAGTCAGACGTTTTCCCGGATAATTTTGCTTCCAACGGGTCCGGAAGGATATCTGGGAATAACATGTAAGTGCTTTCTTTGATTTATTTTTTCCGAGGACCATAAGACTGGTAACTAACGAGCCAGAATAGGCCACGAAATGAAGAACTCTTCTCTCGTGTTGTCTTTTCTCGGTGATAGTCTAAACTACTAGACTAAACGGAAGAACTCGGGTTGTCAGCGCTTTTCTGGCTCGAATGTTCTCCAGAAACATTTTCAGTATCCACAAAGTGATACCGTTGTCACCGCATCGCTGGAATGGACATAATGCCATTTAAGTTCAAGAAACCAACATATGCTCCGTTCCGACTGCCAACTCTCTGAAACCTCGATCAATACCTGCTTGTCTGGCAAAGAAGAACCTAGATCAACCTGAACAGGACAAGGCCTTGGCACTTCCATTCATCTGACAGCGGATCTACACAGATCCCGCTTCAAATGGCCATCATACATCTATCAGAGCCTTGGGGCTGCTATTTCAATTCCGATACTCCATCGAAGTGCCGGTTCCCATTGCCTTAGACGATCCTGCCCTACATCGAGAATACGGTGATCCGAAACATATTCATCTTGAGCCTATAGCCTTTGGTAGCCATCGGTAGGCGATAGCTTTGATCCACTATTCCATTATTACCTTGGGTGGCAAGACCCTCTCTGTGCTCTGATATTTGTGGTGTTTCTCGAGACTTTCTGGGCGTTCTGTCAAATACGGCTGTGCGTCCCTTCCTGTTACCACGCAAAGTCTCTCTGGCTTAGGATCCAGGCACCAATTCCGAGAGAAAGATACAGGGCTAGAGAAAGCAATTCTGCCTATCCCGATGCCTATGGACAGCCGGATTCGTCAACGACATCGTTATATACATGAATTGGTTTAGAATATGCTGGATCGGGTCTAAGACAACTGTTCGTACCGACTTACTCTTTACTCTTTCATGCAACCGCTGTCAAATGTTGCTGTTACTTCTACACCGAGCTCCCTGGGAGATTCTGCCCTAAGCTCTGGTCCGTTAATCACGATTTGACCAAGCAACAAACGACGAATTTATCTATTATCTTTGCCGCAGCTGCTGAAAAGCGCTGATACAGAATTACAAAAGAAGGACATGACACGGAAGACAGCTGACGAAGCTGTTAGTGTGCCACAAAAGAACGAGGTCGATATGGTCTTGCGCGAAGCCATCGAGGCAGAGTGTACTTCTAGTACTGAATTGATATCTGACTTTGAGAATTCCGCGACAGTCTATCTAGGAATCCGGCTGCCCCTTGTGTTTGCAAGGTAGACTTTCAAAATACTAGTGCGTTCACTCTTATTGCAAATGTGCTCCTCGAGTTGAACTTGAGGGTACTCTCGAGCCGGTCCGTGGGGTTGACCACGCAATACCATACATTGCATTATGAAGACCAAAGAAAGAATACTTATACGTGCAAGATGGATAAGGAAAGAAACTTGTCTCCCCGACTCAATCATTCCTGGTTCAAGGTGGTATTTCCCAACATGCGTTCACGACAGCCTAATGACGCGGCGGGGAATTCTATCCAATAAGAAGTCAACTAGCATTCACAACAGAACACCAGGAAATCTCGCAATACAGTTCTGGTCTTTCTCGTCTGGCCAATAAATAGTGGGAAAACTTGCAGAAACTCAAATATTCAGAAAAAGGAGAAGTAACAAAAATCAGTGATTCGAACCAAAAGAAAGTATAGAGTGCCTGCCATTTTAGAGCCGGGAAAATTAACACAGGAGATCTTAGGATCTACTATTCCCTTACCCTAAGAAAAAATCTGATCTAAGAATCTCAGCACTTAAAAATCCTGATTTACTATCTGGCAGCCGCAAAAAACAGAGAACACCTGGAGATACCCGAGATAAAAACTCGCGCTGATATCCGAGCCCAAAACTAGGGTCTTATTTCACCTACCACTGATCTGTTTAGGCGATATCAGAAAGACCAGATATTACAAAAATAGCCCAGAAATTTCTGATTCCAACCCTGCTCGAGGATCAGAGAAGCCCTTTTAAGGTTTAAAAACAAAAATAAACTAGAGATCTAACAAAAGCTATCCATTCTCTTTAAAGCTCCCGTCCAGGAAGCTCGAAATTTCTTCTTAAAAATAGAAAAAGAGACAACCTACAGGGTCCGTAAAAGTATTAAGCAATTTAAGTTGCTGGAGAGGCGAATCTTTAGGGAAAATTCAGCCTATGCAAACTATAAGACCAGAAAAAGCATCAATAAACATAAGTCGGAGTACACCCCCCTGAGGAAGATAACGCCTAGAAAGATTAAGAAAAAATTACTAAAAAAGGCTAAGGCCCCAAGGGCCCCATCGTCAATTCAAACCCTCACAACCCCTCCTCGATCTCCTTCAACCCCTGCACCTGTCGAACAATCCAGTCTCTCTTCCCCTCGTCCACAAACTTTGGATACGGCCTCCGACACCAACAATCCTCCTCGTCGTAGCCCAGATACTTCCCAACCACCCATTTCGTCCCGTTGATTCCTCCCTTCGCAAATCCCCATTCCGCGACGGCCAGTTTCTGCTGCAGCTGTTCCGCTGCGTCGCGCTGGCCGGATGTATACAGGTTGTAGATCTCGACACATGTCTGCTTTCATCAGCCTTCCTTTCCCAGGTCCAACCAACAGATGAAAGGGTAAATCTCACCTTCGGAAACAAATTCGCCAGTCCCGTAATACACCCAGCTCCACCAACACTCAAACACGGAACAAGCCAATCACTCTGACCCGCGAGAGCCACAAACCCTGGCACATCCTCATCCCCCTTCCCATCTCCACCACCAGAAGACGAAGCAATAAACCTCCTCGCAGACCCAAACCTCGCCGCCGTCCTCGTCACCGACGCAATACTCCCACACGTCAACTTGACCGCCACGATATTGCGATGCTCACCCAACCGCTCCAACATCTGCGACGAAACATTCAACCCGCCCACCACACCGGGGAAGTTATACACCACCACCGGCACGGGCACGTTGTCCGCTACTTCCTCGAAGAACTGCACGATTGCGTCGTCATCCATCGCGAACGCGAAATACCCCGGCACGAGGACAAGCACATAGTCAGCCCCCGCTTCTGCGGCGCTCTTTGCGTCGTCAATGATAGCGTGGGTACTGCCGCCGAATGTGCCCACTGTGATTGGGGTTTTCGGGCGGTTCAGGCGGTGTGCGATCGATCGGGTGAGTTTTATGAGGTGGGACTTTTCAGAGGGCGTGAGGGTTGCGGCTTCGCCGTTGGTGCCGGCGAGGACGATGCCGTGGAGGGGGGAAGAGAGGAGGTAGTTGAGGTGGGCTTCTTGGAGGGGGAGGTTGAGGGTTTGAGTTGGGGAGGGGGAGAAGAAGGTGAGACTGGGGACGTGGATTCCTGGGGGGAAGGGGAGGTTGGAAGGCATTTTGGAGAGATGGTTAAGTGGTGGATGGGATGATTTCGAGAGAGATGAGATGAGGATGCGGTGGTGTTTTTATGAGGCGAGACGTCGGCGTTGCTCCGCCTGAGATCATTGCCTGATGGGGAAGGCATCGGCGGTTTTCCGAGTACTCCATATATAGCATTTCTAGAGGCTCGTCCATTGAGGGAAGCAAATTCTCCTATTCCCATTTATCTTGGTAGGCGTGATAAACCCATAGGCCCGCTCATCGTTTGACGTCAGGAATTTCTTTCACACCGTAATAATATCTTGGGGCTTCCCTTGTCAGTGACAAGTGACAAGGATTCTCTCAACCTTGTAAGGAAATTGTGGTCAAAATATGTATACACCATATCATCGCAGTCACTGCTCACTCGCCAGTATCAAAACACACCGTGCATTTTCCGCGTGTGTTAATGATTCCCCGCGACCTCGTAGACCCTCGGCTCCTGCCCCAACTCCGCGGGGAAAGCCATTCTACGTCTTTCAGAACCAACTGGACCAGCTTCATACTGCTGTACAGCTGCCGAGCCCTGCGACATGATTATCACGTCCTTGTTTCGCATGTTCTTCGTGTAAATTCGCCGTTGCATGAAGATTGTGCCCAATGCAATGAGCAGGCATGTGCCCAGTCCTGCCCCTAACCCGGCTGCGACCGCCGTGGTCTTCTTGGACTCGGAAGGGTTTGCTTCCGGAGAGCACGTCGCTGATGCTGTAGATTCTGGAATATCGGACACGGTGGCGGATGGGAGGGAGGCGGACGTCGATCCCGATAACGGCGTGACGGTCACATTTAACATCTCTCCCATGTCTAGCCTCGCAGCATCGCGGCAGCAGTCGGTCCCGTTACTGGCGCACCAGAATCCGTAGCCCTGGAGCGGACAGGGTTTGATGTATGGTGTGGCATCGGAGGCTGTGCGTTAAAGTCAAGGTTTGCGAGGTTGAACATCAGTAAAGAGTGGCTTAAATCCGTTGCGAATCATCATCTTCAGGTCATACTAACCTGCACGGTTCATACTAGGACACAGGCCACTTTTCCACGTCGAGTCGGTACAGGCGCCCTGTCTCAAAAGGCCCCTGTAATATGAACTCTGAACATAACAAGCGCCTCCGGTGAGACATATATCGTTGGGCACCTCGTTACTTTTCGCGATGGCGCAACAGGCACTTTCCTCCTGATCAGGGAAGCATGGTTGAAAGCTCGAGTCTGTTTTCTCCCCGTTGGTGTAATAGCACGTTCGCGCCTGGACTACAGCAAGGACAGAGGACTGCAGGGCGAGGAATTGCAGTAAGCTTTGAGCTGAAGCTATACGGCGCATTTTTCAAGTCTTCCAGCCTTGAACGAAATGATATGAGGTGTTGAATAGAGAAACATGCAATGGAAACCAATGGACTATTTACCCCGAGGCGCCACCCCCTTGATTTATGCAGGCCATCAGCCTCGCGGACCCCGCATCAGCCTCGTTAGACCGGGAAACCCTGATGGTATAGCAAGTGATGCGGGTCTCCTTCGATTAGCATTCTGCGTTAAGACTGTCAGACAACGGCATATCACAGCGGGTTTTGAGGATGGTGGATACGCTTGCTGGTGCTTTGACAGGCCCAGAGTGGGCTTCCCTTGGTAAAGCAATGTGCTTTGGCTCACAGTGATTCAGCCGCCGACTTGGCCTCGCCCATGTCCGTGGAGACGGGTTTAACCGACCCATCCCTATTTCTCGGCGGGTTTGGGGTCCAAAGTTCAGATCCAGTGTCGGGTATGGGTTTGACATAGACCCGTTGATAAACAATGCAAGCATCAAAGATCTCGAGAACTAGTAGACTAACTGCGGAATCGATCATAATCTAACATGATTCGTCATATATACATCGCCGTATTCACTCCACATCCAACACTCTAAATCTTCCGTCGCATCTCCATCCCCTTCCTAAAGAAATCCCTCAGCTGCAGGCTCGTCATCGTCAACCACAACGCAACCTGCAACAGCGTCATCGCCGTCGCCACCCACCCGATCGCCACGGAGCTCAGCGCAGACGAGATCTTCGCCGTAGCCAACACGAACCCCGTATTCGGAAACACCATGCACCACCACAACAATCCGAAACTAGTAGATCGTTTGAACAGCGCATGCAGCAAGCTGATCATCGACAGGCAGAAAAGGAAGAACGCCAGCGTCCAGAGCAGAATCCCCGTGAAGACAGCCACGATGAGAAGCACGTCGGCGGTGCGCACGGACGTCGCCTCGGAGATGTAATGGTCCGGAAACTTCTCCACCGCCGCGGTGGCCATACCGATAAAAGCGATGATCGTGAAGCTGGGCGGGCCGACGGTGATGAACATTTCCGGGCGGAAGTATGGCTCGGGCAGGCCTTCCGAGTTCAGCTCGAGGAAGCATTGTGCGAGGACCATGAGGAACATTAAGAAGCCGAATCCCTGCATCGTGGTGCCGCCGATGAGCATGGGGATTGCGCGCGATGGAGGCTGGCTGGTGGCCATGACGCCGGCCATGGTGCCAGAGAGCATCGGAGGGAAGAAGGGCATGATGCGAACGATGCAGAAGTGTTTGTCCGTGCTGGTGCCGGACGAGGGCAGACGCCAGCCCAGCAGGATCGATATGGCCAGCGAGATGCCGGTGTAGATCCAGAAGAAGATGTTCATGAGGATCGGGAGCCATTCACCGACATGTGGTGTGGCGTAGCTGGTGGTATTCATGAGGATGGTCGCGAACGCCAGCAGACATGACGGAACGAGAAATAGTTCCTGCGGCGTTTTGTAGCGGAAGAACTCCGCTGAGATTGCGGGATGTGTCACTTTAGTCGACGTCTTAAGAGCCATGAGAGACTCGAACACCATGCTTAATGACACGAGGACGAAGATCACAATCGAGATCATGAAAACAATGATCCCGATGACATCCAGACCGGTGAATCGGTTAGGTGTCTGCTTGAGAAGAACAGCAATCCCCCCGAAGCTGAGTGCAACCGTGTAACAAGGCCATGTTATCGAATTCGTCACTGTCCTCAGGGATGTGCGGGTATCTTTTTCGTCGCCGTTCAAAGGGCCGTCCATTGCGCCTGCCCGGTGCCTCTTGGATATCCTATGGCGTGGGATGGGTATCGGAACGAAGATATCGCTGGTAAAAAGCAAGGGATGCAGGAAGAATGTGGACCGAATACTCAAAGTCGATAAAGTTTGCTCGTTTCCTTCGCTCCCGTCGACAGAAATAAAATATTTAAGCAAGGGAATCCGCCGAGATTCAGTCCCCTGAAGACCCCAGTCCAGCAGGATATTTGGCTTGGCATTCGGCCGCAAATCGCACCAACGTCACGGCCCGGAAATTGAGCGATTCATGCGAGCGTGTGTGGCAGGCATAAAGCCGACTTTCACTTTCGACATTTTGCGCGTTGAGATCGACCGGTGGAATCGATGATGCTGGGGCCCACTTGGCTCCACCGGGTAGAGTATGAGGTCATAATTGCGCAACAAACAAGGAACAGGAAGGGCATTTGGCAGTGGAGAACAATTTCTGATTGATTGCTTCCAGCTGGTCCCTGACCATGCCAAAATCGCATGGAGATCCGTTAGCCCTATCGCTTGCCCTATCGGTTCCTGTGAGAGGTTAGACTTGGTATGCGATACGAACCACAGAAATCCGTCGTGCCAGTTCTTGGCGAACCTCAAGAATATCCACCGACCATCTTGTTACTGAGATGCAGCAGAACCCCTCACTCAAATTCTCGAACGGCACAGACCTTGAAACCGGAGCGAGCAAATGTCAACAGAAGTCTGCCTATCCAAACTTTGGCGACAGGCAATAACAAATTGTCGTGCATGTAGGAATATTAACAGAAACGAGCGCGTTGCAGTCTGGTTCTAAACAGCGATTAGCAGAAGCATCACGTGTCGTCGAGCAACTGCCAGCTACCTAAGGACTTTTCGATACTATATGCAAGAACATTCCGATGACCCGCATCGATGATCCATCAAGCAACATGCAAAACAGCCGCCCTCAGTCCGAACCGCCCAACAATCCATCGAACCTGAATGCCCCTCCCAGTTTCTGTATCAGAGCCATCGCCTCCTCCTGCTGTTTTGGGTTTGAGCTATACAAAAGCACGGCCTTCAACGGCGCAATCGAAGAACCGAAACAATACACATCCTGGAACTCGACGATCGACGTCGTGGCACCGATGATGACTTGGCAATGGTGCTGGATGCCATCACAGAGGCGGACCTTGGGGTCTTGGGAGTGAGCAAGTGTCAGGATACAGGCGAGACTCCAGAGGGTCATGATCATGAAAGTGTCCGAACAGGTGACATCGTCGGTGAGCGGAATTGCATATAGGATGTCATTTGGCGGGCAGTAATGGGGATAATGGAAATGAACGGAAGGGAATTCCAAGAGCAAGGTATCCGCCAGTCGGCTCAGTTGCCGTCTAATGTGATCGGTGGGCTCTTCCTCATCTTCCGTTTCAAAAGGACTCACGCGGGAGGACAGAAGCTCGGGGATTTCGGTCAGGACATCGACAAACTCGTCATGCGTGTCCTTGTCGCTGACTTGCAGTGACGGAATGGGGTAGCGTGCGGGAGACCCGTCCATGAATTGGTCAATGTTATAGGTAATCTGGACACCACCGGTTAGTGGCGAAACTCTCCCAAGAATGACGACGGGCTTACCAATAATCGTTGGATCACCTGGAACAGCTCACGCAGATGCCCACTCTGGTACGTCCTCGGGTGTAGACTACTCAGCAGCGTTGCTGCTGCACTAAGATGCTGGTAACAGGCATTGGGGTTCGTCGACAGCATCATCTCGGCATAGGCGAGGATGACGAAATTGGTGATTTCCTCGGGTCGATCGGGCTGGATGGACGCCAGACGGGGGGCCCGCAGCAGCTTCTGTCGCTGATGCTGGATGCTCACGCCGTACCACTTGCGGGCCTCGACCATGGCAGCCTTGTCTTTGTTGAAGGTGCCAAAGAACGCCAAGGACACCGCACGGACGCTGGATTGCCAATCAGAGCGGCCCTCGGGTTCGCCCATTCCACGACACAGGTAAATCCACAGGCTACGCCGCGTTTTGTACATGCCGGATTTCTCGAAGAAGGATAGAAAGCGGTCGACCATATGCAGCTGCAGGGTCAGGCTGACGTTCGGTTGGAGGGCGGCGGGCGTCGTGCATGAGGGCGGCGTCTTCCGCGGCACCTGGCGCTGACGTTTCGCCGGCACGATGGCAGAGTTGGGAGGACAGTTGGGGTTCGACTGATCGGTCACATTCTCGCCGATGCGTTTATACTTGCTCGATTTATCGGAACTGGTGGCCTCCAGGAAGATGGATCCCTGGGTAGGACCCGGGCACTTAAGAGTGCGACGTATACACTGGGAGCATTGTGGCCATGTCTCGTCACACTAGGCTGAAATAAGCGGGACAAATCTCCAGATTTAAGTGGGTAGGCCGAAGGGGAGAACCGGGGAAGAGACAAAGGAGGAACCGACCTTGACTTTCCGCTCGCGACAGGTCTTGCAGCCTTTGCTTAGCCCGGGATAGCGGGCCATGATGGCTGCGGGTCATTCAGGATGGGAATGAATTTTCAGGGGAAGGAGTTCACAGCCACCAAAGGATGGGAATTCGACGTGGCCTGCCAATGCAGCCCCAGGCAGCCAATCACGCGTGGCTGACTAAGGGTCACCTGACGCCGCCTGCTGCACCTCCGCAAAAGTTGCCCAATGCGGCCTAGTCGCTTTTCCAGCGTATAGCCGCTGCGTTTATAGGGAGTGCCCTCTCCTGCCACACATTGGCTGGCTGGGATCGAATACCTCGTCCTTGGCGGTGCTTGGTGTGCTCGCTGTCAGAAGTATATCTCCTCGTGGTCCATGCTCCGACGATCTCAGGTCAGCACATTATTTTGTCCAAGCCTCATCTATATTGTATCCAGCAAGTGTCCGCGGACCGCGGAGAAGTCCTATTATTCTTATCAGTCGATCCCCCTCGGACACCGGATAATATTCCCCCCCACCACACATTTTCCATTGACAATAATGCCGACTAAAGTGCAAATGACACTTCGGGTTAAGCTCCGAGGAAAAACGCCCGGGATCCACCAGCAAAATGCTTGACCCGAGCTCCCTCCCGTCCCGAGCGGGTCTCTTATCAAGATCCGAGTGATAAGCGCACAATGTTTTTATCTAATTGTCGCTGGTGGTGCCATCGAGGGGTATATATACTGTGGCAGCCAAGCAATCCATCTGCTGGATTTGACAGGAAGACCCCAGCGGAACAATGTTGGAACAGGATCACGGCGTGGATACTGCCACGCATCAGCAGCCGCTGAACCACGAGTCCAAAGGGCAAGACACGGTGGTCGTTGACAATGAGCTCGAACATGGCCGTAGAATCTACCGCCCGACCCGATGGCAAAGTAATCTGACGATTCTCAGCTGTGTGAGTAAGACATTTCCGCTGCTTCTACCAGTCGCTAACCCAGTCAGTACATTGCCAACTTCAGCGATGGCTTCCAGAACTCACTGGCGAACCCTACCAATGTCATTTTCAAGCAGCTGCTCGGCACGTCTGGTTACCCGTCCGAGATGCAGACGCGAATCAGTAACGCCCTCCTCATCGGTGCGATTCTTGGTGTGGTGGCTCTTGGGTACATTTCCGACATGACCTCTCGCCGTGCGGGTCTATTATTCACCTCCGGACTAGTGACCATCGCCACGTTAATGTCTGCTCTGGCACTGCAGGTGCATCCAACATATAACATGCTGTGGTACTTCGTGGTGGTTCGCGGAATCTGTGGATTCGGTGTTGGTGGTGAATATCCTCCCAGTGCCGCAGCGGGAATCGAGGAGTCCGACGATGTAAGCCGAGCCCCTTGACTGTCGGAGGCCATGTACTGACAACCCAGTTCAAACGTCGCTACCGCGGACCGATATTCGTGTCCTTCACTACGTTGATGGCCACCTCGGCCGCACCAATCCAGATGATCGTGTACCTCGTCTGCCTGAAAGCCAGCAACAACAACCTCCCGGTCACCTTCCATGCCATCTACTCCATCGCCACCATTCTCCCGGCCATCATCCTGGTGCTGCGATTCTTCATGACCGACTCCACCCTCTTCCATTATTCCAACTTCAAGCGACAGAAGAAACCCCCGAGACTCTACTGGCTCCTCGCCAAGCGATACTGGCGGCGTCTCTTCACCACCTCCCTGGCCTTTTTCCTCTACGACTTCATCAACTTCCCCAACAGCATCATGTCCAGCACCATCATCTCCTCCCTCGTGCAAGACCACAACATCCAAACCACCGCCATCTGGCAGGTGATTCTGGCCGCGCTGCCCGTCCCCGGTGTCCTCGTCGGCGCGTGGCTCACCAACGTCATCGGCCGGCGCAACACCGGCCTCGTCGGTTTCGCCGGCTACGTCGTCCTCGGGTTCATCATCGGAGGGACCTTCCCCAAACTCTCGCAGCACATGGGCGCCTTCGTGGTGTTGTACGGCCTGCTGCAGGCCTTCGGGCACCTCGGCCCCGGTGCAACCATCGGGCTAATCTCCACCGAGTCGTTCCCCACCGCGTTGCGCGGCATGGGGTACAGCGTGGCCACGGCGTTCGGTCGGACAGGTGCGGCGGTGGGGACGCAGTGCTTCACGCCGCTGCAGGAGGCGGCGGGCAAGAGTGCGACATTTTATCTAGCGGGCGGGGTGGCTATTCTGGGGATGATCGTGTATTGGTTTCTGCCGGAGAGCGGAGAGTTGAATCTCGAGGAGGAGGATCGCGCGTTGGAGGAGTATCTGGCGCAGCGTGGGTTTGGGATGGAGAGGAAGGCTTGAGGGACTTGTTAGGTCTCGTGTTCGTATAATGTCTCGTAATCTGATCATTACTAGGTTATGTAGGTGGTTTGCAGTAGGTAAGCGAACAGGCAGCCATCACTCCATTGCATCTTCCATGCACGAATATCCAGCGTCCACAACTTATATCCTACCCCGTTCGGACGGTCTAGACCGCGTCCGGCCAAGTGGCTGTTCGGCCCCGCCCTTCACTCGGGAGCAGCCAATAAGAGACTTTACAACGCACGGACACCCACCAACTGGAGAAGCCGAGAAGCTTGAAACATCTCGACTTGGATGTCCCTGGTAGCAGCCCTGGAGGTCAGGTATGGGCAAAAGGAACAGTGAACAGGATTGTCCCTGGCAATAACGAAAACCAGTATGAGGGATATTTCCCCGCTATCGTTGAATCGGGCATTTCCACGACCAGGAAATTACCATTTCCCTCCTTCTGCTGCGGGAATAATCAGCCAAAACATCTACACCCGCTATCCGCATCGAGTACAGCTCCCGTTAGGCATTTACGGCCGCAAATGGCCACCCACGGTTGAACGAGGAGCAGCCGCAAGCGAGCTGACGGCCGCTCTAAGCTGTGGCTGCCATAATTCACGCACCTATCATCCACGCGACGCCATGCGCCCGGCTGCACGATCACCGCAGCTGGCAGAAATCTATAAGAATCCGAACCCGGGCATGATGGTCGTTTTCCTTGTTACCTTCAGTCTCTTTGTCTCTGTGGCGCAAACGCTCTGTCCCTGTTGAACCACTTGCGCAATGGAAGATACGATAGAGGAGACAGATCTCAAGGCCGATCGCGCGCGTCTTCGTTGGCAGGCGGTCGACGAAGAGAATGCCACTGATGCGGCCAGAGCGCAGGCCCAGTCGAGGCCGGCGAATCTCAAGAGGAAGTCTTCCGCTGCTTCAATGGGCTCGCAGTTCTCGATTCGCAGTATGAATCGGAGGGCTACGGTTGATCCGTCGATCACTCTTCCCATCCATTATCGCACGATGTGAGTGGCTTATAGTGAGAGACGCTAGATTCTTCTCTGACATGAACACAGCTCGTTTGAGATTGATGAAGGAAAGGAACGTCAGCGCGCAGAGGCTGTCGAAGCCAAAAACATCATCGCGGATGGTAAGCTCGTCACCCAATAAATTGAATGACAAGACCTGATCACGATAGACCTGTCAAACCTCGACTGGCACCTCCTCTCCTCGACCGACCTACAGAAGCGATGGCAAGTCGACATCTCTCAAGGTCTCTCTCCGGAACAAGTCGATCATCGCCTGAGCCAGCACGGCAAGAATACGCTGTCGCACCTCCCACACCCTTGGTTCTCCCAGATCTTCGGGTACTTCTTCAAAGGCTTTGGTGCTATCCTGCTGACGGGATGTATCTTGGTCTTTGTCTCGTGGAAGCCGTTAGGGCACCCACCTGCGATCGCCAACCTAGCCCTAGCGATCGTCCTTTTGGCGGTCTTTTTCATCCAGGCGGCCTTCAATGCGTGGCAGGACTGGTCGTCCTCTCGCGTGATGGCTTCGATCACGGCCATGCTTCCCGAAAGTTGTCTTGTCTTGAGAGATGGGTCCCAGACGATGGTCCCGGCTCCGGAGATTGTTCCCGGTGATGTCGTCTACATCAAGGCGGGTAACAAGCTTCCGGCAGATATTCGCTTTCTGGAGGTCTCAAATGATGCCTCTTTGGATCGCTCCATCCTGACTGGTATGGTATTTCCCCAATGGCTTTTACGGCAGCTAACATCGTCAGGTGAATCACTTCCGATCAACGCGACCGTCGATTCGACGGATAACAACTACCTTGAAACGCATTGCATTGGCCTCCAAGGCACTCACTGCGTTTCGGGAACTATTCTCGGCCTGGTCGTCTCGACAGGAGATTCAACGGTCTTCGGCAAAATTGCCAAACTGACAAATGAACCAAAGAAGGGTCTCAGCACGCTGGAAAAGGAAATCCTGCGCTTCGTTGTCTTCATTGTCCTGATTATGTTGTTCATGGTGATTATCGTGATCATCGTCTGGTATTTATCCCCACCCGTTTCTTTGATCTATCACTGACAATGGCAGGGCTACATGGCTAAGAGTCAAACATCCCGATTGGATCAACGTGCCGACTTTGATTGTGGACTGCGTCAGCATCGCTATTGCCTTCATCCCAGAGGGTCTTCCGATCGCCCTGACAGCCAGCTTAACAATCACGGCAGCCCTGATGAGCAAGAACAAGATCCTGTGCAAGTCGCTCAAAACGGTGGAAACTCTCGGTGCTGTCTCTGTCATCTGTTCGGATAAGACGGGCACACTGACAAGGGTATTTGGCCTTCTATTCAGATGCGTGATGGGGACTAATATCGCGTTAGAACAAAATGTTCGTGACGGACAGCGCGGTCTCGACGAATCGCTTCGACCCGGGAACGGTCAGGGATGTTCTGGGCGTGCAACACCTCCGATCTATCGCCGCTCTCTGCAATGCGGCCGAGTTTGACGCCTCATCCGCAAATCTGCCCGTCTCGGCAAGACATGTATACGGCGATGCGACCGACCAAGCTGTCCTGCGGTTTTCGGAAACTCTTGGCCCCACGGAGGAGCTCCGTCAGAAGTGGAAAAAGACCTTTGAGTTACCCTTCAATAGCAAGAACAAATTCATGATACGGACGTTCACTGCCGTCGACCCTGGGGCAGTGTCGCTGGCTTTGTCTCCAGATGAGACGTCGCGGTTTCAGAGAGAGGACTCGTAAGTGGCCTTCATCCGCTTGCATTCAGCCACTAACACATGCAGGATCCTCACCATCAAAGGCGCACCGGATATTCTGATAGAGCGCTGTACCAAAACTGCCAGTGCGGATGGGAGCGTGAAACCCCTGGACGAATCGACCTTGGCTGCTGTCAAAGATCTCAAAGACCGCTGGTCTAGCGAAGGCAAGCGTGTCATCCTATTAGCTCGGAAGGTTCTCCCTGCAGCAGAGATCGGAATTTCTCCGTCCTCACGAGATTTCGAGTCTGAGGCTTTTCGCCAGGCCAGCACGGATTTGACCCTAGTCGGCCTGCTTGGTATTGTTGACCCTCCCAGAGAGGAGATTCCCGACGTCGTCAAGACATTGAGGGGAGCAGGTATTCGGATATTTATGGTTTGTCACTCTCAGATGATTCACTAGGATACGAATTAACTCGTGAAGGTCACTGGCGACTTTGGCCTGACGGCTCTGTCAATCGCGCGGCAGTGCGGAATTGTAACTGCGACAGAGGTCGACAATGACAAAGCCCTCCAACGGTTCCCGGGTTCCAATGTAACCGAGAAAGGCCTAGCCACATCCTCAGCCATCGTCCTCACCGGCACCGAGCTGATGAGTCTCAACGACCACCAATGGGACCAACTCTGCCAGTACAAGGAGATTGTTTTTTCGCGCACCACCCCCGAGCAGAAACTGCGCATCGTGCGTGAGTTCCGCGCCAGAGACGAAATCGTCGGTATGACCGGTGACGGTGTCAATGATGCTCCATCTCTCAAGGCAGCCGACATCGGTATCGCATTGGGAAGCGGCTCCGACATTGCGATCGAGGCGTCTGATATGGTCCTAATGGACTCGTTCTCCGCCATCGTGGAGGCCGTGCAATACGGCCGGGTGGTCTTTGACAACCTCAAGAAGACAATCATCTACCTGCTCCCTGCTGGCTCTTTCTCGGAGTTCTGGCCCGTCATGACTAGCGTCGTGTTCGGATTGCCGCAGGTGTTGTCTTCGTTCCTGATGATCATTATCTGGTAAGCTTTCCCCCTTGGCTCTCCCATTGACAAACAACATTAACCCGGATAGCTGCTTCACCGACTGCGCAGCCGCCACCGTCCTCGCGTACGAAAAACCCGAAGCCGACGTCCTGCTGCGTCCTCCCCGCAAGCCCAAGAAGGACCGCCTCGTCAACTGGAAACTGATCCTGCACGCATACTGCGTCCTCGGGCTGCTGGAAACACTGACCTCCTTTTCCATGGCCTACTGGTACCTTCAGCGCAACGGCATCCCGTTCTCCGCGCTGTGGTTCAAGTTCGGCGAGGTCCCAGTCGATATTGATCCGGATTGGTATACTGCGCATCTGAACGAGGCCAGCTCGGTATACTTTATCAATCTGGTTGTGATGTAAGCCAGCCCCTCCCCTTTCCCCTCTTCCTTCCTTCGCTCCCTAGCCAGAACTAATTGTTAATGTGAATAAAGGCAATGGTTCAACCTCATGGCCGTGCGCACCCGCCGTCTCTCCATCTTCGAGCACCCGCCCGCGTTCAACAAACAGACGCAGAACCTGCTGCTCTTTCCGGCGATTGTCTTCGCGCTAGCCATGGCGGTTCTGTGGTTGTATATTCCGCCGCTGCAGGATGTGCTGAATACCACTACTGTACCGGCGGAGCATTACTTCCTTCCTGCGGCGTTTGGGCTAGGGATTTTGTCTCTGGACGAACTGAGGAAGGCGGGGGTGAGGAGATGGCCTGGGGGTTTTTTGGCCAGGTGCGCTTGGTAGGATCGGTGTTTTGGATTTGTGGGGAGACTTTTGAAGTTAGAACAGTTGGGTTTAATTGTGATATGGTGTAAAATGACAAACATCTGCTGAGCCTTTCGCGGTTTGATATATATAGTTCCATTTTGGATACCATTCGAAACTCCCATATTATATATGAAACCTGATCTGGTTATTTCGAATGGCACACAAGCATCAGCATGGATAGATGGTCAATCGGATATCAATCAGAAACATCAAGTGAGCAAGTCGGCAGGCAAATGCACCAGAACACTACCAACCGAAGACCGACTTGTCCAGACCGGCCCAGACTTGCCTTCGGTGCCTGGAATTGTGGGCCACATTCTGCTGCGACTCACCGCCCGCCCCTCTTTCTCCCCGAGAATTAATTTGCCTCCTCTTGTTCCCTCTTCGCCACCCGCCATGGGAGCTGCTTCGCGCGATGCATTATCAATGAACCATCATTGCTTAGTCTCCGCATGCCTGCTTATCATGGACCGAACAACGACTATCAATGCCAAGCAGATGCCGGTAACGCCTTGGCTTCGATATCTACTCGTGGATGGCCGGGAAATTGGCTCCAGTGGGGACTATTAGATAATCGACTCGGATGAGGATTGCCTGAGGAGCCAATAAAGTCCACCGGCACACGATATGAGCCAATCGATTGGCGGAATCCTTGCCGTCAAGACTTTGGGATATGGGTAAACCAAAGCCCGACCTAATCAAAATATGAACTGGACGTGCGAGCTGCCGCCACCGGGACGCACGTGCAGTGCTTCAGATGTCGCGGATGCTGCCCAGCACCGCTGCACTCATCCCTCGCAGCCCATGCCAGCTCGCCGACCACAGCTGCCATGTCATGTCCGCCGCCATTGCAGTCCCCGAAGCGCCAAGTTAGCTTTGGCACCACGCGCGAGCGGGAGTTTTGCAAGTGGGTCTATTCTTCCCTGTCGCGCTTCGGCCACTCGAATCGCATGCATCCTATACTAACCCATGCGCCCGGAATAGGTATCTGCCCTCGTATCATCTCAGCCTGCCACTCAGCCAGCATGTTTCGGCCGATTCTCCGTGTCCTCAACTTACTCGACCCTGCCCCGATACCGTCCTCACGGCTTTTGCCCAGCTGGGCGCCTTGCGCTTGAACGCCGAACGAGTGTTCATTTCCCTTTTCGGAAAGCATAACCAGCACATCCTTGCGGAAGCATCGCGGACACTGAGTCTGCAAGACGACAATGAGTTTGACGAGGATGATGAGCTATGGATGGGGTGCTGTACCGTCGCCTACGAGCGCAGCTTTTGCAAGAATGTGTGCGAACTTTATTGCGCTCCTCGGTGCTGGGAAGAAAAGGCCTTTGTCGTCCCGGACCTTCAGAAAGACGATCGATTCTCGGAGGCGGTTGATGTGAAGTACTTCCCACATCTCCGATTTCTCGCTTGCGTGCCGATCGTCAGTCCGAAGGGGGTAGTGATTGGCGCCTATACCGTTATGGACACGAAACCCCGTCCGCCTTTGGACAAAAGGACGATCAAATTCTTATGTGACATGTCAGTCACGGTTATGAGCCATCTTGATACAAATCGGTCCAAGACTCGACACCTACGCAGCGAGCGCATGGTGGTCGGACTGGGCAGTTTCCTTGAAGGGAAGGCTAGCCTACGCAGTTCGTGGTTGGAAAGCAGCGAGCATCCCTGCAGTGGCGACCTTGGCGAACCCTTGGAAGGACATATCAACGCAAGGCAGCAAGCAAAGCAAGCATTGGCTGATTCTGAGAGGGCGTTGCATGAGGCAGGTTTCACACGGCGCTTGCCGCTCCGCTCGCGGAACCCTCGGCCTTCGGACGACCAGGACATTCGGCCCTGCGGAAAGCTCCTCTCGAACGGTGTGACGACAGCAGAGAATGCCACGAGGAGTCAGTCAGTGCCGAAATGGTCGTCGGTGAAAGAGCTTCCCGAGCAGAACGCGACGACCGGTGCCGGGCGGCATGATACGTACGACATTGAAGTAAGGCAGACTTTCTCCCGCGCGGCCAATATTGTGCGCGAGTCTCTTGCTGTGGAGGGTGCTGCTTTCTTCGACGCTAATTTCGCCTCTCACGGTGGCTTGGTCAATAATGCAAAGTCCGAGACGGACTACAGCGACACAGACAGCGCCATGACTAGCGACGACAATGGGACGATATGCGGGGGGTCCTCGGCTCCAAATGACGGGCATGCCACTAATCTGATGGATGAATCTAATCCCTGCAATATCCTTGGATTTTCTACCACATCGGCCTCTAGTATCAACTACCAGCCCGTTGGCGATAAGCGAATGACTGTTTCCGAGTCATTTATGAAAGGGCTACTGCATCGATACCCCCGAGGCAAAATATTCAACTTCGCGGAAGATGGAACGCTATCATCCGGTGATACGAGCGATGCACTGTTCCAAAACTTCAAAGCCGACAGTCTTGGTGCTAGCTTGGGGGATAACCGGCGAAAGCGAGGGCGCAAATATAAAAAGACCGGGAAGACAATGGTTCGCCAAGACGTCTACACTTTGCGCCAATTTGCCCCTGGGTCCCGCAGCATCATATTCGTCCCGTTGTGGGATTCGCACAAGGGAAGATGGTACTCGGGCTGTCTGGTCTGGACTAAAACCCCCCTTCGCGTTTTCACCCGTGACGATGAACTCACATTTCTTTTTGCCTTTGGACACAGCGTCATGGCAGAGGTTCATCGACTTGGCTACGATCTCGCCGAGCGGGCGAAGTCAGATTTGCTCGCGAGTATCAGTCATGAGCTGCGATCGCCGCTACATGGGGTTTTTGGCACGGCGGAGTTGTTGGCGGAGACAAGTATGAACGCTTTTCAATTGGGAATGGTGCACACGATTGAGTCCTGCGCCAGCACATTGTTCGACTCCATCAACCACCTGCTTGAGTATGCAAACATCAACAATATGCGCAAGGGTCGTCCTCTCGGGGGATCATCGTCCAATGGTGACTATTTCAACTTGCCGCCAGACAAGGGACAGTTTAGGTATTTGCAGGGCCAAGAGGGCCCGCCAAATCTGAACCCCAGCATTCAGCTCGATGCCGTGCTGGAGGAGGTTGTGGAGAGTGTCTTCGCGGGTTACGCCTTCCTGAATGGATCGCGGTCGCCGCTGCGTAAACCATCTACTCCGGGCGGGGTTCTGTCCGTGATTCCGACGCTTTCCAACCAGGCATCGGGTCGGGTGAAGTTGGTCTTGGACATCAACCATTCCATAAATTGGAAGTTCGTAACCCAGGCAGGTGCCTGGCGGCTTATCCTGATGAACATTCTTGGGAACGCCCTGAAATTCACCCAGGAGGGACTGATATATGTGACACTAGACGCGTCGCCGATTGATGCCGAAAGCTCTTCTGCCGACGCCATGTCACAGGTCACGTTAACCGTCAAAGACACGGGGACTGGTATCAGTCAGAAATACTTGCAAGATGACATCTTCGGTGCATTTTCAAAAGAGAACCCGCTTACCCCAGGAACTGGGCTCGGCCTGAATATCACCTACCGAACGGTAGCTGCTCTCGGTGGTGATATACAAGTGTATTCCCAGAACGGACTGGGCACCGAGGTTATCACCCGAGTTTCTCTTCCACAGTCGCTTGAGATTGAGCCGGATGGTATCGATCAGCTGTGCCCTGTGGTTGAGACAAAAGAGCTTGTACGGGGCACATCTATCGGGATCTTGGGATTTGGCGAGTCCGAACAGGATATAAGGCTACGGTCGTCCACAATCCAGTTGTGTCAAGGATGGTTTGACATGAATGTTGTTGAATTGGATGTCCTCCAAAACAATACTCGACACTGCGATTTCTATATCACAACGCAGGAATACATGGAGCTGGACGACCAACGAATCAGGTCTATACCCCCGGGCCCGACTCGGAAATTTGCCTCTTCGGTGGTAGTAATCTGTCCATCGCCGGGAGCTGCACGGGCCATGTTCACTGCGGCCAGGGCACGAGGCGACCTGGAAGTTATCGAGTTCATCAGTCAGCCTTGCGGACCGAGAAAACTGGCCAAGACACTGAAAACATGCTGTCTGCGTCAGCGCGGTCGACAGAGACTCTCGACAGCGGAGACTAGACTTCTCGTCCCTTTCCAGCAAGATGGAAAATATCATATCCCACCGATACCGGAGGAAGCCCACGATTCAGATTTCACGCTCAAAGGAATGAGTGTGAGGGTAAAAGATGCTAGTCCGCTAGAATCGTCAAATCAGTCTGATGCTTCTACGACCGACCCGGATCAAGATTCCTCGCCTGCCACTTCCGCCCAAGTACCCGGGTCATTATCACCGGAAACAACCCCTTCCCCGACCAGCCCCCCTAGGGTTTTGATTGTTGATGACAACGAGATCAACGTCAAGCTCTTAGAGGCATTCATGAGGAAGCTAGGTTGCGAATCTTCCATCGCACGGAACGGTCTCGAAGCAGTCGAGTCTTTCAAGGCGCAGCCGAAGACGTTCAGCATAATCTTGATGGGTAAGCACCTGTCCCCTGTTATCGAATTACAACTCACATTATGATAGATATTTCGATGCCAGTCATGGACGGTCTGGAATCGACGCGACAAATCCGGGAGTTTGAAAAACAGCTGAATCGGGTGACGCCAGTGACGATCGCCGCTTTGACTGGCCTAGCACAGGCGGAAGTCCGTCGGGATGCGATTGCATCGGGGATGGATATCTTTCTCACGAAGCCCGTGAGGTTAAAGAGCTTACAGCCGATTTTCGAGGGGAGGGGGTTGTTACGTTCGCCTAGCAACTCTGATGATTGATTTTGCCCTAATGCACCTTACGACAACCGAGACAACCGAGTGATACTGTTACTGAACACGACTGGACATATTAGCGAGGTTGATCTCGTGTATAATTTGATGATACCAATATGAACTAATGGAAATATCAATATCACTTACCGGATTTATGAGACGAAATGCTTGTAGCCCTAATATCTTGGATATTCACGCCTGTCCTCGGAATACATCTTTCCTGGAGTCAGTGTGGCCGAGTGGTTAAGGCGATAGACTAGAATGGATCTCATCTATCTCATCTATTGGGTTCGCCCGCACAGGTTCGAGTCCTGTCGCTGACGATTTCTTTCTTTTTTTTTTCCAGCGGCGAGCGAGGGTTCGACTCCCCCTGTTTCTGGTGGAATGCCTGTATGGATAGCTACTAGATAGGAAAATAAAAAGGAACGTACGTCGTAATACATCTTCCCTTGGTGCAGACTTCGTAGACAAAGCTGAGGAGAATGGACTTCCACATTCGTTAGAAATATTGTGGTGAAGAAGAGACCGAGGGAGTCCTAAGGGAAGGTGATGTCAGGGGTTGCTTGTTTACTTCATTGGTCATTCGGAGTCCAGACCGCGACGGCCATTTTATACCTCAGGCTCTTTCCTCATCTCTCTTCTGCCTCCAACGAATCCCCATCTCACTATCCATCCATTCATCCATCAGCCCCAAACACAAAACAGAAACCAAACCCCCAAGACAAGAACAAAATGCCCACCCTCGTCCTCACAAACTCCACCTCCCACCAATCCACCTCCATCATCTCCGCCATCCAATCCTCCCCAGCCTTACGCACCCAATACTCCATCCGCGGCCTCACACGCGACCCCTCGCCCCCAAATGCGCCCCCCTCATCTCCTCCGGCATCACCCTATTCAAAGCCTCCCCCAAAGACCCCTCCTCTCTACGCCTCGCCTTCCAAAACGCAGACATCATCTTCGCCACAATCCTCACCCTCTACGACGGCCATACCTACGAGCATGAGCTCACACACGGGAAAGCCATCGCCGACGCCGCCGTCGCCATGGCTGTTCCATTCCTCATATACAGCACATTGCCAAGTATCAGGGAGATTTCCGGCGGACGGCTAACGAGGGGAGGACACTTCGACGCGAAGAAGGAGGTCGAGATGTATATTCGTGGCTTGCCGATAAGAGCGGCGTTCGTGAGCCCGGGTTCGTTCATGGAGAATTTCCATGCCGCGTTGGCGCCGAGACGTGTCCCTGCTCCTGCTCCTGCTCCTTCCATCTCTACTCCTGAGTCAGGGGCTGAGAAGAATGCGGAAGGGGATGAGGTGTATGCACTCACGTGCTTCATCGCCCCCGAGACCAAAGTCCCTCTCATCGATGTGACGGATGACTTCGGGAAGTGGGTGGTCGCTATTCTTTCGGATTTTGAGCGTTTCGAGGATCGGGTCGTTTGTGCGGCGACGAGGATGTATTCGATGCGCGAGATTGTCGAGATTATGAGTAAGGTGTCGGGGAAGAGGGTGGTGTATAAGCAGCTGGGGAAGGAGGTTTGGGGTGGGTTTCTACCACAGGAGAGGAGGGAGTTCATGCTGGATATGATGCAGTGTTTTCAGGATTATGGGTATTTTGGCGAGAGAACCGAGGAGAAGGTTAGAGTGGGACGGGCCGAGGCGAAGGGGGAGGTTACGGAGTTGGAGGGGTTTTTGAGGAGGTATCCTTTGGTTCTGGGTTAGGCTCTATGGGGTGAATTGAGATGGAGGGATGGTGGTAATAGTCTGATTAGCATTCATGATTGAGATGGAAAAGTAAGAAGATATGCAGATTGCCTCAAGTGTACGGCTATCATTCTTATCAAAAGATTGAACAATTCCAACTATCCAAGATGACACCAAATGAAGCTCAACGCATCGCTTCCTCCAAAAACATCCCAAATCTCTTCATATGCTCTCCTCTCTCCACCATCGAGAAATGATTCACCCCCTCCAGCACCGTGACATGCAAATTCTCTCGTCCCACTAGACTCGCCCACCCATCACCGCTAAAGTCCGTCCGATCCGTCATCAACCAAACCATCTCTCTCGGGTCATCCGCTCGGAGCTCCATCTTCGGCGCATCCCCATGACACACCCCGTCCGTCGCATAGACAAGATACGTCTGCACTTTAAACCCCAGTTCCGAAATCCGATACCCATCCAGCAACCTAATGAACGCATCAAAATGCGGCCGCAGCCAATCCGGCGCTGTGCCACGTCCAAAGAGCCCGATCTGCTCGAAGAAATCATACATGCGGGCTGGCGGGTTCTGGAGCCCGATTGGATTCGGGGCGTCGATTAGAATGATGCGGCTTGTTTCTTGGCCCGCGGAGTGTAGCTGGCGCGCTGCTTCGTAGGCGCAGATCCCGCCGGCGGACCAGCCGGCTAGATTGTATGGTCCTGTTGGTTGGCGGCGGCGGATCTCGAGGATGTATTTTGCCGTTAGGGATTCGAGGCTGGGCGTCATTTGGTGGGGTGTTTTCATGTAGGGGCAGTTGAGGGCGTAGGCGGCTGTGTTTGGGATTTTAGGAATGTGGGCGTAGGATGTTGCAGAGCCGGAGCCGTCGGGGAAGAAGAATATGGTCTTTTTGCTGGTTTTGGGGTTGCCCCAGAGTAGGATGGAGGTGGATTGGGGGTCTGAGCTGGCGGAGGGAGTGGTTGGGGGTTGCGGGGATGAGTCGGGGGTTTTGCTAAGGCCGAGCTGTTTGTTCAGTTCGGAGAGATTGCGACAGTCCATTAGGGCTGTGGATGAGATGTCGATTTCGAGGGTCTCAGCGAGCGTGCTTGCGATGGTAAGGGCAAGCAGTGAGTCCACGCCGAGGCTACTGAACTCTGTGGTAGGAGTGATTTCGCTGATTGATGCTCCTGTTTCAGATGCGATGGTCGAGCGTATTAATTCCATGGCGGAGGTAGAATCAGCGCTTGGCTCTGTAATGCCAGTTGAGTATCCGGACATGCTTTCACTGGAGGACGGGGTGACAATAGGCGAACCGCTCAAGGCGAGGTAGGCGATTAGGTCCTTTGGCGTTGGGTACTCTGCAAATAGTGACGATGGCACCTCAATGCCCACTTCCTCTAGGATTCGGCCGCATATTGTCAGTGATAGCAGAGAGTCGATACCGTGATTTGCAAACTCGTCGGTTGGAGAGAGGTCGGCTGGGTTGACTCCTGCCTCTGCTGCGATGATACTCATGACACGGCCTGTGGTGTCCGGTTTTGCAGCGCGTACCGGCGAGTGTTTCGGAGCTCGAGGCTGTGAAGGACGCTCCGCAGCGCCACCGGAAAGGACTCTCTCCAGAACACGACGAGGAATCCCTTGGAACTGTAAACGTTAATACAAATATAGGCCCAGGACCAGTATGCTGACATACCCGTATACCCTCGTATATGCCAATGATAGCACCCTCCTCTAGAATATATGTATCCCCCACATACGTTGTCCCATTTTCAACCTGCATTTTATTGTACACCTGGTAGGTTTTGTCTTTTGAGAGTGGTACCGGACAGCGCATTCTATCCCATCCCTGGTTGATAAACACCTGTGCTTTACCCGGAGAAACATCATTGTTCATCACAAACCCGGCGATGTGACCAAGACTATCAATCCAGCAGGGGTTGAACGTGAACCCGTTCTCGCCTGTTTGGAAGCACACTGCTACAGTAGCCTCATGATCCTCGGCGTCGAAAATAACATCCTGCATTCCTTGGTAATCCGATCCGTATTCAACCGTCGGCGCGAACACCTGGTATGCGAGTTTCTGTTTCAGGCGGTGCGCATTGCCGGACCGTGCACTTTCTTGCAAGGCGCGTATTCGGCTTTGAATTAGATAGGTGTTGCGCTTCCACTCGTTTAGCCAGGTGTGGGAATATATGATCCGGACGCGAAACGTAGCATGTTCCGTTTCCTTATCTTTGGGGCCGCTGAATAACCGAAATGATATCGCCTGAGCTGACCAGTCAGCCTTCGCAGAAACATGGTAGAGCTGAGGTGCTTTATCCTGAGAAATAAGAGGATTCTGAACCCTCATTTCTGCTACGTCGAAGCCAGCTGTGTCGGCTACTTGGGCAACCTGTGCCATATGCCTCGCCACGGTGAGAGCAATATCGGCATATAGAGACTATTCCGTTAGTCACTCCTAAGCAGGGGTCGAGGTACCTACAGAAGGACAAAGCACTGCGCCATGAACGACATGGCCGGTAAATATAGGCCTTAGTCTGGCATCGTGGATATCAGACGCAGCCAGCAGAGTAGACCTATCCTCTCCGTGGAATTCATCCAGGATCTGCTGAACGGACGGACTCAAGTAAAGCGGCTCTTTCTTCTCCACAGAAACCTGGCCCTCGCCCTTAGTCAGACAGAAGTTGTTGCGGTACTGAATCCAATAATTCTTCAAATCCCACGCATACCGCGGCAGACTCAAGACTTCCTGTTGATGCTCCCATGGTCGATGGTATTCATTCCAGTTGATCTCGATACCGCTATTATACAAGAGCTCTAGGGATCCCGTCAAGACAGTCCAAGCATCCGTGTCTTTGCGAAGTGACGGCGCCGTTAGCGTATCTTGACCTAGGATCCCCTTGATCATTCCGGAGCAGACCGAGTGCGAGCCCACTTCTATCCAGATAGTATTTTCGTTGACGAGGTCTGCCCTCGCAGCTTGGATAGCACCTTGGAAGTTGACGGGCTGTCGACAGGCCCTGGTCAAGTATGCGGCATTCAAAGTCCTGGTATCCCCTGCCGGGACAACTGAAGCGAGTAGTGGCGAAATGTACGCAACACGTGGCGGGCGATACTTGATTCGACTTGCAGCTATCTCAAACTCCTCCATGATAGGATCCACTTGGGCAGAGTGAAAGGCGAAAGGGACGTCGACCATGGTACAAGGAAACCGCCGGTTGTCCAGTCTTCTCTTTAACGCGGAGAGCTGTTCCAGAGAGCCACTGACGACATTGCTCCCGGGTTGGTTGAAGCAAGCGATTGCGCAATCATCCAGTTCCGGCTGTATCTCCTCGACTGATTGCTTTACGGCTAGCATTCCATGCGTCCCTGGAATCGTCTTCTCGGCGAGCAGCATTGCCCGTGCCCCTACCAGGTAGATCACATCTGCCGCAGTTAGTACACCTGCAGCGTATAACGCCGGATATTCGCCCAGACTGTGGCCAATCGTGGCTATGGGTGAGATTCCGAGGGAGGTCCAAAAGTTGTACAGGGCCATTTGGAGGCAAACCAGAGCTAATTGACCTGTTGCTGGAGAAGGGTCTTCCGAGGCTCCCTGGATTATGGGAAAGAAGCTTCCAAAGCCCTGGCTTTTAGCAATGGAGTTAAACCGTACCAGGCAATCGTGGAACGAAGGGACTGTGTCGAAGAGCTGCTGCCCCATGCCGGTGTACAATGTGCCTTGTCCAGTGAATACCATGACAGTACGCCTCTTCAGAGGAACTGTGTGCGTACTGGAAATAACCTCCTGGAGCTGATTCCGAACGGAGGCTACGTCAGAGCCTGATACAAGCAACCGATAGCTGTGATGCATCCGCCTGGCAGTGGTAGTGTATGATAGGCTTGAGAGTGACACACTTGGATAGTCAGTCAAATATTGCACCATGTTCTCGACATTCCACTGTAATGACTTGACTGTCTTTGCTGTGACAGTCACTAGATGTCGAGACCTTTTATCATCACCCGATCTCCTTCTTTCCGGTGCATCCTCTACCAGAACCGCTGTATTCCCCCCAGCCGCACTAAAATTGTTCAGAAAGGCGAGCCTCTTCTCCCCGTTCTCTCTCTGCCACTCCGTTACTCTCATGGGAATGTGCACATTTCTCTCATCCCAGTCGGTTGGGTACGTGTGATTGATTTTTGTCTTAATGCCACAGTGCGGTGGAATCTTGTTGCACTTGAACATCAACAACAATTTGATCAGGGATGCCACGCCGCTTGCAGATTCGGCGTGGCCAATGTTTGCTTTCGCCGTACCTAAATACAAACGCTTCTTTCTCGGCTTCTCCGGCGCAAACACACCCAGGACGGACTTCATCTCAGTCGCGTCGCCCGCCTGGGTGCCGGTGCCGTGCATCTCCACGTATCCAATTTCTCTCGGATTAACGCCAGTATACCGAAGAATGCGGTTGAACACAGCGACTTGGTCGCCTTCGAATGGCCTCGTTATGGAGTCCGTGCGGCCGCAATGGTTTGTGTAGGTGCCTCGGATCACCCCGAAAATTGGGTCATTGTCAGAGAGAGCGTCATCGAGCCGTTTCAGCAGAACACTGCCGACAGAGTCGGATCGGCAATACCCGTCTGCACCATCGTCAAACGCGTTGCAGTTTCCTTGAACCGTTAACACGCGACAACGTTGGGTTAGGAAAGGATGTACCCTTTGCCGTATGAAAATGTCCTCGATCTAGACCCGCCCAGTTATCCGGGTTCGTTAGCACATTAACACCGCCGGCAAGAGCTGTATCGCACTCCCCGCGCCAGAGATATGCACATGCTGTCTGAATGGCAGCGAAGCTGGATGAGCAAGCCGTATCAATACTGAGGCTCGGTCCACAGAATCGGAAGAAGTAACTATAAGTCTATCGTTACTGGTCATTCAATGAAGGGCAAGAGAACAGTCGGACCTGATTCTCCCAGGCACGAAAGCCCTGTTCCCTCCCGGAATGAAATAGGTATCCACGTTTTGACCACTGTTTACTTCCCTCCAGTCGTCACTAGTCATACCGTAGAAGACACCAATCCGATCCTGCTGGGTGCTCGGTGTCGTGTTTGTGACCAGCCCAGCCATTTCCATCGCTTCGTAGGCTGTTGTGATAGCTAGTCGCTGGGAGGGGTCTGTATTCTCGGCTTCCCGAGCGGACATGTTGAAGAATCGGGCGTCAAACACGCCAGGCTCCTTGATGAAGCAGCCATATTTGACTCGGCTCGTATTTTTGGTTTTTCCTGTCGCATCGTAGTGCTTTTCCCAGGAAAATCTATCTTCGGGAATTGTCCGATGCACATCGCGGCCTGCCAAGAGAAGAGACCAAAATTCGTCATTGGATGCGGCGTCGGGGAAGCGGCCGGAATATCCTATGATAGCTAATTTTGCATGGGCAAATTTTCCTGTAGGTTGAGCTGTGGGTAGAGATGGCGGGCAAGCTTTGGAGATCGAGATTGTAGTGATGTTCAAGGAGGGAATCTGCTGGGCAATTCCAGTAGCCAGAAAGGAACCTCGGTACTGGAAATGATAGAGGTTGCAGTTTGTAAATCCACGGTTGGATACCTCCCTGGAAAGACCTGATATGAGGAGGTTCCATTGGATAGGCAATGAGAGAGTCTCCCTCACTGCTCTGCAGAGGAGCTCCTCAAAGGTCCGAGAGACTAAGACCTCTCCAGACGCAGCCGACACTATTGGTAGCAGCTGCGCATCTACTTGTAGGGATGGACTGTGCAGCTCCCCTGCATCATCACCGCAAAATAAATGCGGTGCATGGAAAGGCATTTCTATCTGTAGCACAGAATGCTTTAACGCTGATGCCAACAAAAACTGAGGCAATAATCCGGGCGGGCCGCTTATGGTGACACAGTTGCTGATTGAGCTGACATACAGTTGCATGACACGAGGAAGAGACTACCCTGTCAGTATGTGCATTTTAGCAAAGGATGTTCTCACCTTTTCCGCGTTGAACTTCTCAACCAGATCCTTGGCTACGGACTCATCAGTTCCAACCACAGCTGACCATGCCTTGTGCTCATCTTCGGGGATGAGATCGTCTCGCAGGATCAATGCATGTACTGCCGTCCGCAGCGCAGCTAAGACGGCCTCAACCGCGGGGGTAACTAGCCCGGTCAGAGTGTGCGAAGTACTGATCGCTGCGGCAGCAAAGCACCCCGTGCAAGCACCAATAACATAGGTGTTGTCCGTCGGATAAGGGCGAGAACCATCACCAAAGTGCCTACAATATCAGATATTTATCAGTGGTTATATGAGGAAGGAACTGCCTACTTGATGAACAACGCAATCTGTGTGGCAACCACGAAAGCGAACTTCAAAGCCGGGCACGCATGAGCCTTCTCATGCTGGGCAAAGAGGTCCACCAGAGTGGTGAAGCACGGGAACCAGTTCTGCTGAGAGACAGAAAGGCTGGCAACATAGCGTCGAAGATGGTATCCCAGTCTGTCGATGAAATCGAGCAAGATGGGATTATCCTTGACCTGGAGGAGGGCATGGAGAGAAGACTCGAAAGGAAGCGTTTGGTCGCCGAAGACGAAGACGTTGACGGACATGTTTGCGTCGTTTGTTTTGTTTGATGCCTGAGGTTTCGATGGTGCATACACCTTGTCGATGGATGGGGTTGTAAGTGATACGTTTGGGGATGGCGGATTTGCCTTGCTCTGTTGCTCTGTCTGCTCTTTCCTGCTCTCCCTTGCAGTCTAATCTTCCGGAGTCCGGGGATTTCTCGATCAGAAGCAATATATTGCCATGTCCGCCTTTCGGGACATAGAGCCCGTGAGCCTAGGACGTCGGAATTTAATGTTGGACAGGGCTTATTTAACATGTGAGTATACAGATGACCGAATGTATGCATGGCCTTTTCATAATCATGATCCTGTAGATTCTCAATGACTATGCCTTTTGAATGGAATGCTATGTGGATGCTATTTCACTGAGAAAAGTTATAAAGCAATGAATGCAGTTAACCATAGCCTAGTTATAGTATTTGGAGTTACCTTCTTGTTATAATCTGTGATCCATGTAAGATAAGGGCTCTGTCAGCAACCAAAGTGCTGGTCATGAAAGACTAGAGAGCAGTTAGCTTGACAGACTAGAGCTTGCAGACAGCACAACTTATTGATTATTCAACTCAAAAAATTCTTATTTTAATACATAGTAATTCTTACAAATTTCAGACCAAAAAACTAGGAGATCCAGAATTCTCCTTCAATAGTCCCGAGGGAAATTATCGAAAATGGTTTTACATTCGACAATCTTCCTTTCTACTTTGAAAACAACAAAAGACAGGAATCAATCCGGTATTCATTATCAGCAATAAACCCCCCCCCTTTACTAGGCACTAATCAATCAACTACACAACAGCCGCATCAACAATAAATTTCTCGACCCAACCAGCCAAAAACACCGTCCTCTCGCTATCAGCAAAATGCGCATGATCAGGGACAATCACCTCCTGAAAGAACGGATCATCCCTGGCCTTCAGATAATCCTGGACGTCATGAAACATAACCTGCACCACGCAGTCATAATCAGCGATGAATTCCTCGCCCCCGGGTCTCGTTTCTAGAAGCTTGGCTGCCATCGATTTGGTCTCGGATGTGTTGTGGGTCTTGCGTGTCGCCATCAGAATATTTATGCTATTCAAGTGTGGAATGTGAGATGCGAAGGGTGCATACCATTGTGTAGCTGACAATCCCGAATTTCATGAGGTGGTTTTTGACCACGTTGGAGTGGTGAGTGCTGAGGTACGCGTGGTAATCCTCTTCGGACATGCCTTTTTTGCGGTAGGCAAGGATTGTCCAGGCGTAGAGGCGAGACATTTTGGCGATTGTTTGAGTAGCGATTGTTTGAGTAGCGATTGTTTGTCTGAGTGCTATGATCTTACAGGTGCTTTATGGGCTTTGGGTTTGCGGAGTCCGGAGGCCGAGACCACCTTTGTAGGCGTAAACTGCTAGGTCGACATAGGTGGATTCCAGGGTCTATTATTTGGCTACAGTTAGCTTGTTTGATGGCAGGTTTGTAGTTTGAAAGAATTTCCACAAATAATGAAGTAAATGTATAATTTATCTCGGTCTTCATTGTACTCATGATATGTAGCAGAAGGCCAAATGTCCTAAATCTAATCGACCGCATCCTTCGGCTGCATCCCCTCATGTCTCTCATGATCATGTCCATCTATAGGCCTGAACCCCTTCTTAAACACCGGACTCTCTCGCACCTTCTCCCAATCATGTAGCATGTACCCATTCTCAACGGAACAAGTAACCTCCTCTCTACCACGAGGGACCATTTCCGCCTCATAAGCCGTGATCACATCTTTGAGCGATAACCTACCATCAACAACGTTTTTGATGCCTTCCGTCAAATGCGACACATCACAAATACAGTGGTTCAAGCCCTGGCCGCGGTCTAACCAATCAGTTCTGCAATTGTGTTCCTGAAATAATAAACTCACAAGGAGGCATTGGATGTGCGGCATCCCCAACTAGCGTTATCCTTCCGTCTCGATTATCCCACGGCTGGCTGACCCAGAAGCTAATGTCCGCTTTATTGACCCGCGTGTCATCTGGGATCCAGGTGAACGCGGAGCGAGCGGGTTCGGCTAACGTTTCGGCTTTCTCACGAATCATGGTAAGTCTTTCGGCGTAGGACGATGGTTCATCTGCGTCAGCGAACCAGGCCATTGCGAGGTGAAAGATCCATGATTCAGGGTTATCCGGCCCGTCCGGCATGCTTGAGACTGCTCATGTCAGATATTTCAAACCGCATAGTGATGGAGACATACTAGACTGAAAAGCATGAAACGATCGATCGCTCAAAGCGAGATAGCTGGTAGGGAACCGCTCCCGCAAGTACCGCGCTTTATCGGCATCAAAGGACACGGTCATATTTGTATGGAAGATCGGAAATCGACTAACGGCCGCCTTTTCGATGCTCTTCATTGCAAACTCCCTTACCGTCGAACGAGGCCCGTCTGCGCCAATCAAAATCGTTCCGGTCACCATGCTTCCGTCTTCAAACAGGGCCACGACTCCTGCTCGCTCGGCGAATGCAATGTCGACGAGCTTTTTCCCGTATTCGACTGGAATACCCTCTGCGCATAAGGCGCGCATTCTACTCCGGGGTACGCGTAGTCCTCTTTCGTATGGAACTCCGGCTAGAAGGTTCCCTGTCTCTCCGTGAATAATGGGATAGTGTCCGCCCGCGTCGATGGGGATCGCAGGATTGCAGGAGACGTCGGTCATGGCGCGATATCGGTCCTCGGGGAGTAAGGCTTCCAGACGGTCGAGAGCCCAGTGGATGGCCATAGTCCATTCATTGCTGCGGTAGTTCAAGGCGACTTCTTTCTCGAAGATAGAGTAATGGATCCCGGCCTGTTGCTTGTTAGTATTGCCCGTGTCGTCAGAGAACGTACTTTTTTGAGTGCCTGCGCCAGGATGAGACCGGTGATTCCGGCTCCAATGATGAGAATGTGAATTTCTGGATTGGCTGTCATGCTGATACTGGATTTGAACGTTTGTTGACTATCTGGTTTTTCTGGGTGTGCGAGCTGGCCGTGTTGCATGGTGTTTGGTTATGTTCGGGGCTCGGAATCCGAGAATCGACGCTACATCCCCGTCGAACTGGACGAATATCCCAGTCACTTGGCAAGGGGAATCAGAATTTGCTCACTATGCAAATCACGATGGACGGTCTAGCGAGTCTAGTGATTCTAGTCATTCTCGCCACAGTAGGTGTCCTTCCCCTCATCAAGCAAAGCTAACTGTTCAGCCGTGTGCCCTACTTCTCCATGTGCTCTTTAACGTATACCTTCATCCACTCCGGGGATATCCCGGTCCATGGTTATGGGCAGCTACTCGGCTTCCTTGGTGCTGGTATCAATTCCACGGCACCCTCAACCAGAAACTTCTTGCGTTGCATGAACAATACGGACAGGTTGTTCGAGTAGCCCCGAATGAACTCTCCTTTACGACCGCCACGGCATGGAAAGCCATCTACGGTCCACGTTCCGACGAGATGCCTAAAGACCCGGTGTTCTCGCTGCTTACCCCCACGGGTGTGCCGAGTGAGTTCTTCTGGTTCAGAATAGCAGCTCAGCTAACCCATCCAGATATCCTGACCGCTGATCGAGCGACACATACCAGACATAGACGGCTTCTCTCTCACGCGTTCTCAGAGAAGGCTCTCCGTGAGCAGAATGGCATCATCGAGGGATACGTCAAACAACTAATAACTCAACTCTCGAGACGAGCAAACGACGGCCCTCTCAACCTTTCCCAATGGTTCACTTACTTCGGTACGTCTCCTCCATCATCCCAATCCCAAACTAACAAGACCAGCCTACGACGTAATCCGGGACCTCTCCTTCGGCGAGCCCTGCACCTGCCTCGAAACCGGGACCCCAGACGCATTCGTGTCCTCCCTCCCCTCCATATCCAAAGAACTCATTCTTTTCCAAATGCTCAAATACTACAGACTCACCTGGCTCCGACGTCTCTTCATGCCCACATCTGTCTCCGGCGCTCGCGCCCGAAACATCGCCCGAGTAGTCGACACCGTCACCCGACGCACCGAGCGCCGCACCGACCGCAAAGACTTCCTGCACTATATCCTCGCAGCCATGGAGACGGAGAAAAGCATCAGCCGCGAGGAAATCAACGTGAATGCGTTCTCTTTCAGTATCGCTGGTTCCGAGGCGACTGCCACTGCGCTGGCCGCGCTGGTGTTTTACATCTGCACTCATCCGCGGGTCTATCGCGTCCTGGTGGCTGAGATTCGAGATAGGTTTGCGCACAATGCAAAAGTTACCTTAGCGACTGTGAATGAACTCCCGTACTTGAACGCCGTTCTAACTGAGGTTCTTCGCATCCACCCCCCTGTCGCGATTACCCTTCCGCGTGTGGTGCCTAGCACAGGTGTCTTTTTGAATGGTCGATTCATTCCGCCCGGAACTACCGTGGGAGTAAACCACTTCTCGACGTACCGTGCTTCTCGGAATTTCCATCGTCCTGGGGACTTCGTGCCTGAGAGATGGTTAGTTGATCGGCCTGCTGAGTTTGAGAATGATGCCAGGGACGCGTTCCAGCCGTTTTCATTCGGGCCACGGAACTGTCTGGGGAGGAATCTAGCGTGGGCGGAGATGCGCATGGTGGCTGTGAGGTTGTTGCTGGGGTTTGACCTGTCCTTGGTTGGATGCGAGAGGTGGGATGAGCAGCGGATTTGGGGGTTTTGGGTGAAGACGCCGCTGTGGGTGCAGTTGAGGGAGGTTTCGTGTGTGGAGTGATATAGCATTCAATGTACCCGTCCTGATCGCTTTCCCATTTACATTTCTTGTGGATGTCCATGTAGTAACGTACGTTCAGCCACAAATCGCCCTTTAGCTTTATTGGCATTTTCTTGCGAGATGCACAGTAATTCAGCAAGCGAGATAGTGGACCTCAATAGCCGACAGCGAAGAACACAAGCACTTCTAGGCATCAATCGAATGTAGCTTCATCTCCACCATCATGCTAAGAATATCTCTGATCCACTCGCGAGATCGGCAGGCACCTTGATTTCCTCGGAGGTTTACTACCAAGGAAATGTAGAATTAGGTTCTTTCAATCCAGTGTTTCTTCAGCCTTTACGCAGAAGGGCTTTGTTCCGTGTTTGTGCTTCACGGCTGCCACGATACTGAAAGCCAATAATATATAGCAGCTCAATTATACATGATTATTATTCCAGACAATCAATCAAATTCTCTAAATCACTTCAATAACTGCTGATAATCACAAAAATCTCACGCGTTACACCTGTCTAACATATCCGCCAATCTACTACCCTATCACAACATCGTATTACTAATCTCTCGCCGGGGTCAAATGGCGTAAAAAGCAAAAGAAAAAGCTGCAGAACGACAGCGACTGCATCCCCATGACCTCATCCTCATCCTATCCAAACCTGTCTTTCTCTGCATCGGAAATATTTCTAGAGAATCCAAATCGTTCTGCCTGATAAAGCGGGGTTTTGGTTCCCGCGGTGGGTCTCGGCAAGTCTTCAGTCACCATCACCAGCACTACTGGAGCATAGCATTCCATAATATCAGCATTCAACAAGGTCCGATGATGATCAGGTCCTCGATATAAATAGTACTCCATCTTAACAGCTTAGCAGGTTAATTGAAAGACCCTTCCTGCAGGGCTCTCCAGGCACCCATTTTCCCCATCACCTCACTACGGGAATGGTTGGGCCAGAGCAACTAAAGGCCAAGTCTGACCGAACCAAGAGTCTAAAACTGCCGGACGGGATGGTCGTCTTGTCGGGCCAATGGGATGGTCTGTAGGAGGGTGTTTTGTTGTTGCCTTTGACCTATATATAGACCCTTGCCAAAGGGTTCTGGTTTTGGGTGATAGTATTATGATTCATGAAGAATGTTGCCTGAGTTATGGTAGACTGAGTGCTGAGGTGATCGTCAGATACAGTCGGTGGATTTATCAGAAGTACCTTGATAGGCAATGTAGTCAGGATGACATCCTCCGATGTCACCGCATCCTGAGTCTTGGCGAGCTTGGCGGGAGGAGATGGATTTCCTAACTTCATCTGTACTTTCTTTGTTTGACATAACTCTGGGAAATCCAGTCGAATTCAATGACCAGACCAGGTGGATCAACTGCCTTAGTCCAACTAGTCTAACCCACTCCTGAGTCCCTAAGTGTATGTAATCCCTCATTCTGGTTGACTTCATCTTGGCCAGGACTCCAATCTCCGCCCACCGCAGTAATGCATCCGTCGATCTCTCACTAATCGAGTCTGGATGCATATGTCCTGCTCCGCCACAGACGTAGGGACTTAGGGTCCGACCTAGTGACCGGGGTTAGACACTAATCAGGATAGAAGAGTTGACTGATTCGGTGATTCCGACCCGGATTAATACAGCGGACACCCAGGATGGCTGGGCGGAATTGCAATCACATATCTAGCTTGCTTGGGCCCCTTCAGCTGGGTTTTGTTTTTTCTGCTGTTTTTCTGGGATTTGCGTTTCGATTTCAGGCTCGGTTTCAATTTCAATTTCAACTCGGACTGTCAATCTGTCCTGCCTGCTGAACTCAGTCCTTTGAATACTCCGTACTCCGTGCACCGTCCATCTTCTAAATCTGTCATCGGCTGTCTGCCAGTTCGAATGTAATGCCACCCGAATGATCCCCCTCTCCTGGTTCTGGTTCTCTCTGGCTACCCTGCATCTGAATCCAGGCGTAGCCAGAGCAGACGATAGTCCGAGTCCGAACTGTATGTCCTCTCATATTTTACCCATCCATGCGTTCATCTCCAGTCCTAACCATCCAATCTCCCCCTACCACCTCAATAACTAAAAGAAATTCAAAGGCACCGGTGAAATCAAAATAACCACACAATCCGACGCGGACAGCCTCTCCTCCTGCGACACCATCTCCGGCACGCTGCTCATTTCCCCCTCCGCCAGCGGCACCATCACGATCCCGAACGTCGAGGAAATCAAAGGCCCGCTGACGATCAAAGACGCGGATGACTTGAGTGCCGTGAAGGCGGAGGATCTGGAGACCGTGACGGGCCCGCTGACGGTGGAGAATAATCAGCGGTTGACGAGCTTGGAGTTCGGGGAGTTGGGGACCGTCGGCGGCGAGTTGAAGATTAAGGGGAATAAACAGCTGAGGGAGGTCGGGTTGGATGATTTGGAGAGTGTGAATGGTGGGGTTGAGATTGAGGGCGGGTTTGAGGGGTGAGTTCTTTTCCCTTCTCCTCTTGTTTTGATCGGTTTGGGATGGTTGGGGTTGGGGTTTATGAGGCTGGGTTGAGATGTGATGTATCATCTGTTCCATCTCCCTTCACAGCACCCATAACATCGCACGAGCAAGTCAACTCAACTCACTAACAACACCAGACTCTCCCTCTCCAACCTCGAAGAAGTCACCGGCGCCACGACCATCGTCTCCTCCGCCCGCAACTTCTCCTGCTCGAGCCTCGACAGCCTCAGATCCGAAGGCGCCTTCAACAGCGACTTCAACTGCTCCGAAGACGCCGACTCCGACTCCGACTCCTCTGAGTCCAACTCCTCGTCCTCCGGACTCAGCGCCGGCGCAAAAGCCGGGATCGCAATAGGCGTGATCGCTGGCGTGGTGATCATCCTGCTGATTATTTGGCTCTGTGTGCGACGGCATCGACGGCAGAGGGTCGCGCAGAAAGAGGCCATGGCTGCGCTCGGTGGAGGTGCTGCAGGCGCTGCAGCGATGAAAGGACCCGGAGGACCAGAAGGAGGACCAGGAGGAGGAGGGAGAATCAGCGATGAGGAAAAAGGCGAAGGACAAACGACGACATCATCGTCTGTGAGTCCTGTTTCGCCGGACGAAACCACCGTCAATGCGCTCGCCATACCGCGCAAACCGCTGTCGCCGGCGCCGCAGGAGACGGGGATTGTGTCGATAACGGGGACGAATTCAGGAAGCGGGACAGGGTCAGGGTCAGGGCCGACGTCGCTGCCGTCGTCGTTGGTCGCGGGCGATAACCGGTTCTCGACGGTGTCGGCGCTGGGGACGAGCGAGTCGGAGTCGTTGTTTCTGCGGGCGATGCCGAGACGCAGACCGTCGGAGTCGGACGTGCCGATGCTGGATAGCGGCGACGTTCACGAGGCGCCGGTGCAGTCGGGCAGGGAGCTGGATCCGCCGTTCGAGTTGGATGCAGGGCCGGTGCGAGGGACGCATCAGCAGGCGATCAACCATGAATAAAGCACGCCTGGTTTGGTGCCTGGGATTGCAGATGATTATGTGTGACGTGATACCATGCCAGTTTATATACCCGATGAATCAAGTCGTATGCAAGTCGATTAGATAGATAAAACAGTTGCTATCTCGTAACCACTTTATATGCCCATCCCGTTCCCATGCCCATTGCCATGATATGATATTATACATCAACAAACATTAAAAAACCATCTATGAAGTCGTGACGATGGTCTATACCGTCAGTCCCGACTTGTGCTTGCCGGGCTGGACTCGCACTGCCTGCAGTGTCTCGCCCGATGCCAGCGGTCCACACCATCCGTACGTATCGCACCGGCATTGTTCGAAGCGGGGGCAGCTACACCAGTTAGTATCCACCAATTGTGTGGGTAGGAGTAAGGGTGGGAAACGTACTAGATATCCTCCATGCCAAAAACAAGATGCCACACCTTCTCAAACACCCACCCAACGCCAAAGCTATCCGTCAACTCCGTATCCGAAGCCCATTTCAACATGCGCTCGTAATCATGTCGCGGTCGCTGCAGGATACGCGCCCGACTGACGGCGAACTGCCCGCAGCAGACATTCCCAATGTGGTCGGGCACCTTCTCCTTGCCGACGTTGAACAGCGTCTGGTAGACCTGCGGGAAGAAGGCGCGGATGTCGTTCTTATCGATGTCGATCTGCGTGGGACTCCACGGATGCACGTTGGTCGGACAGCCGGGATCGTGCTCGCAGCGCAGGTTAACGTAGCCTTGCGCGTCGACCGCCTCGAGACGCAGATGGCGCAGGGCGGAGCTGGTGCGCGGCCCGAACAGGTCATTGTGCCACTGATCGCGGTTCGAGTGGATGAAGATCGTGTAGTCCGGTAGATGATCGTAATAGTCGACGACGAAGGAGAGGTAGGCGGCGGCTTCGCGACCGCGCGTGGTTCGGGGGACGAGGAGGTGCGGTTCGGGCGTAGCGTCGGTGGTGTAGACGAAGGGGGTGGTTCCGCTAGAGTGCGACGTTAGGATTATCGACACAAGAAATAAATCAAGAAGTCAGGGCGTCATACTAGTCCCTGCAGTAGTTCAGTAGCCAGTTCAAATCCTCCGACTGCGTGGCGGCCAGAACGAGGCCGACGCCGGTGGCATTGCTGTAGTTGGTGGTGATTTCGGAAAGTTGTCGCATGACCTCGCCATACACGGGTCCCGCGTCTGTAATTTTCATCAGTCTCTATCAGCAGTCGGTCCTGATCGCGTGGGAGTCGGACGTACCAGGCGAAGGCTCAAACGAGCGGCTCGTGTACATCATCAGCGACAGAATCGAGGTGAAGATCAAGGCGACACATCCCAGCCCAGCAGTCCGGCGGGCAGGCCAACGGAATACCCGCCGTTTCGACATGGTAACGACAGGAAGCGACCCTCAGTGGAGGGAGTGGGAGCTGCAAGAAAGAGAAGAGAGGGGGGATGGAGAAAAGGGGGAGGTCGACAGAAGACGAACGACAGGCGGAGGGGACAGGTGTTATGATAAGGATAGGGCCGATAATTGATGCATAGGAGAAAGGAAGAGAGAGAAGTCGAGGTCAAGTCAGCCCGCGTTATCGGCCATTTTGCCAGAGAGCACGAATGAATAATAAGAATGGAATATTCATCAGCCTCATTGGGAATGGGAGGGCAGGAAATGGAAAAAAGGGAACAGCAAAAAAAAAAAAAAAAAACCGGGCCAAGAGGTAAAGTGGAGCACGACAACGCCATGGCCTCGCGTAAGGGGCAAATGGCGGCACGATTTGCTGCCCTGCGGTTGGTCTGGATTCGTCCATGATGCGGCACCCGCCCACTGATCGCCCGAATCCGGCTTAGCGGGCAGGACCTCATTGGCCGGGAGAGGACGCTATCCCACGCTAATCCCAGCCCCCCTCGCCCTTAGTGCGACGGGCTAAGCCGCTCGGGGATTAGCGGCAGATAAATGGCCTTGAAAGATCTGGAGGTGCTCGATGCGTAAGATTAAAACGGGGAAAACCTGCCCTGCGCGGCGTTTCTTGGGCACGACGTCCGCGAGACTACGTAATCCTCCGCCGCCAGGTAACATCCCCGATGGAGTTATTGAATGGGAGGATTCAATGGAGGACGTCGTGGAAAAGGGGCAATCACTCACAACTTGCTGAGCCAAGAGCCTAGCCGTCACCAGCGAAGCATCGGTCGGTTGCCGACGCATGCGGTACTCGTACGCACCACGCAGGAGTAAGGGATGACCGTGAATAATATTAAGATCGGGATCCTGGACAGCTTACGCCCTACGCCGTAGGTCATGTCTGCTGTCAGGTCGTGCGTATGCTGGCTCGGCAGGAGATGGCCAGAATATGAGATCGTCCCGAATAAAGTTTGCAACCCTATCTATATATAGCACACCCGATGCGAGATTCAGAGAAGGTTCTGACTGTCATACTTGTGAATGCCATCGAAGAAAGATAATCTTCTATTCAGGCCATGTCTCGCCTTAAGAATTATATGCATTATGGCAGGTATAATCAATTGTGTATTGATGACATAATCGCGTTGGTCAGATCCGGCGGGGTGCATCCTCATGTTGAGTGCTTTAGTGCAGTTTCCCTACATCGATATTCTGCTAATACTTTGCTGTAAATCCTAATTGCAACTAGGATCATGGAGCTCTATGGGGTGGAGTAAGAATGGTATCGCGTAAGGCTCATTGAGATGCCCCTGTGGATATTGCGATATATATTATCCGCCTACGGGGAAAGGAGGACTTAAAACAATACCAGACTGTACGTCACTCTTGCAGTCTGGGCCGGATAAGTGGATATCCATATTTTGAACAAGATAAGGATATGAATCGGATTATCTATGATATATAATGCGTTTAATAATTTGTCTAGACCTATGGTGTCATCACATAAGTAGATCGTGCCATAATGCACTAAAAGGCCTTTGAAAGGAATCATCTAAAAGGGTAGATGAGTAAATGAGACGTGCAAGCTCGTTTCCTTAGGTGGCGTAGCTGTTTGAGCGATTCGCTAACAGTTAGCCATTTGATAAGAGACCATACCGATAGCCAAGGAAGTGCATCCGTCGCGGCGCATTGGACAAGAGCGTTAATCGATTGCTTGTGGATCAGGCGGGTGTCTAGCTTGGTCGCCATGCCGGCAAGATGCCAAACCCTGCTCGAAAAGCGTGACGGTGACGTTGACCAGTTGATACTCGATCCTGCGACCAGACATTGTCGACTGACTCCAACATGACGGCGGATAAAGAGCGGAAACGGGTCGGATAATGGTCCACCCTGACACCCCAATAAATTCGGACGTCAAATCGAATCGCTGTATCTAGGCTTCAGTATTCCGAAAAGGTGTATGAACTGAAACCAAGGGGTTGTCCAAATTGAAAACCCGGACCTTCACGCCCTTCGTGTGAAGTCACTGTACGTCTCCCTGACATAAGCGCCATTCCCATCTGTAACTTCCATGTGGATATCGGTCTTCAGCGTGATGCCATCCGGCTCTCGCTCGTTCAGCACGATCGCATCCTGACTACCCAGCCCCGTCGTCTCTTCTAAACGTCGGTGTCGACTGGTTTTGGGCAGTTTATTAGCGAGGTTGTGTCCGGGAGTGGGCGTGCCGCTGGCGTAGTTTTGAGCTTTGGAGGTACCGAAGACGCGCGGTGCGTAGGTTTTGATCAGGACGGAGAGGGATGGGGCCGAGCCGCAGAAAATTGCTGTCTCGTTAGAATTGTGGCAGGACAACGGATCTTGGAACATACCGACGTAGACCTCGATAGTGCACCAATTGAGCGAATCAGCTAGAGGATAGAATTGATCTTTATTGCCTTCCAGGTCGAGCACAAAATTGTAGCGAACACATGCAGCTGCATATCATTAGCGGTTGATGGAAGTCGAAAGCACAAGAGGCATTACCTGAAAGAGCTAGAATACCTATTGAAAACACACCAAAAATGGCAGCTTTCTTGCGCTATACAAGTGTCAGATAGGCAGTCTTATCCAGGGTCATGAACCTACCAGGGTGATGTGAAGCTGCCACAGCATCGGGATGGGCAAGAGCCAGATGAGGATATCCGTTACAATGTTCAAGATGCCGTTGACCTCATAAAAGTCCTGCTGTGGCCCGGGTGACATGCAATGCCCCGGCCTTTCACCCGTCACATCCCAAAACTTCGACGGCGGAGTACAGGAGACAATGGACCCCACAAAGCTTGCGAAGGATAATCCCACCACAATGAACATCACAAAAAACACCGACCATCTCATCCACCAACGCTGGTCAAGACGGAGGAAGAACCAAAGCAGAGACATTTTCACAAATCCCATGCCCACAGTGTAAAGAATACGAGTGGCCCAGACCGACTAGTTGTTGGTTAGAAGAGTTTATCAGCGGTGGACTGTCAACTTGCCTTGAACAAGGCCTCGTAGTCCTCCAGGTTGATATCAGAAACTAGATCTGTTGTCAGCTATAGAAGCTATGAATGATATAGGTTTTGGAGACCGTACGATGTTTTCCGATGCCATATTGAGTTCCTGTGGTCTGTTAACACGAGAAAAGGATAAAACACGGAATTCCGGACATACCAATCATAGTGGTAATTGTTAACCCAAAAGTGAGGAGCTGGATAGAATGAGCATAGCGATACATCAATCAACCACGCAAAACTGACAGTTCCCACTACCATCAACACTGCCGGCTAATTAGCAGTGATACACTTGCTGCACGTTCGCCACGCTAGGTCTTACCGTCATCTGTCCCCATTGCACGCAACATGAAGATGCGGACCCATAAGCGCAGAGCTATCACAATCGAAATAAACGCCATGAAGCCAATGCCAACGCCGTAGACGGCAGCCTTCCGGGTAGGAAGGTCGTCTCCCCGGGAAAGCAAAAGGCGCGGATGCATGATGACATGCGTGGCGGCAGGCGAAAATCGATGGAGGACAAAGAGAAAATACGGAGTAGAAGACAGATAAGATGGGAGGCTCCCCCCTAAGTAAGCACTATGTCGCTTGGTGGACGACTTGGATAAATTTGAAATAACCTTGCAGAAGGCTCGAATCGCCGTCTCATCCCTGTCGAGCCCAGCCGCAGGATTCCAAGGTGCGCCAGGAATTGAATTCCATCAAGGTATCTAGCCGAGTCAGATCCGTGGACTCCGCACCGAAGAAGCAAAAAGCGGTTTAAACTACCGCCAATGGCATGATGTCTCGCACGTTGGGGGCTAAGAGCGTAGATGCAGCAAATTAGCCAGATCGTGCTGGAGACGATGCAGGCATATTCCGTCTAGTTTTGGCCACCCCGCTCGCTCGAGACTTGCCCTTGATAGCGAGGATCAGCAGAGTCCTGACCAGCGCATGCTCCGTCCATAACCATCGCGACCAACGTCGGCAGTGGTGATATTGTGCTCGATCGGCGGGTTGATCTACCTGAAATCCATGGAAATGAAGACGCCGCGACGGATTCCGCTAGACCGCATCGGGATAGCTGGGCGAGTCAGGTGTGCGCTAGCCCGATTGGGCTCGTCCGTCGTTCTTTTGCTCTTTTGTTCTTCTTCGCTTCTCTTTGTCTCTTCTTCATCTCATCGACTGCTGGGGAATATGCCTCAACTCATCAAACCCAGGTTGGTCAATCGCATCATGGCACACATCCAGACCAACCCAGCTCGCCCCTGGCCCGTCAATGAGGGGATTCTCGTTAGACTTTCACAGTGGAACAGTCCTTGGGGGCCGAATTGATCCCTACCACTTAGCGGAGGGCTCGACCCCACGGCTCCGATAGATCGTGCCTAGCGTCCTGCTCCCCCGGCGCTGAGACGCCCGGCTCGTCGGATCAGTTCCTATTCCTCCACCATGACAGGGATTAAACGGACGACATGCCTGCTTCGGACTGGTCAGGACAACTGACTCTCGTCTTTACTGTCTGCAGACTCGATACGACCTTGAATGATTCAGTTGGATGGCTAGTCTGGTCTAGCTCGTGGACAGACAAGCGAGACGTTAATTGAAACTGCCCGCTCGCATTCCATCGGCAGTGCAACATTGGCCAATGGTACGACTGAGGGGCTGTCATGGAGGGGTGGATATCTGTCATGCCTCTGCATATAAATATGGCCCCGCCGTTTTGTGGAGGGTGCGTGACAGTTCGCTGAACCCTTGCTGGATGATTAGCAGACAATCTCAACCACACAGCACTCCCTCGCCATGTCTGATTCGAAAAACGTCGCGCTCGTCTTCGGTGCCAGCGGTATCTCCGGATGGGCCGTAACCAAGAATGTTCTCTCATATCCCACGCCCACCACATTTTCGCGCGTGATCGGGTTGACGAATCGCCCAAAGACCGTCGAGGAGAGCGGCCTTCCGCAAGACCCCCGATTGGAGTTGCACTCTGGAATCAACCTGCAGGCAGACCTGGACAGCGTGCTCACGCAGCTGCAAGAGAAGGTCCCGAATTTGGATGAGGTCACACATGTTTACTATTTGGGTGAGCAGACAGAGTACAAGCAACCGGATGATTTGGCGATACTGACCATTCAGCCTACTCCAATGCCACCGCATACAGCGAAAACGTGATGGATATCCGCAACATCAACGTTGCCATGACTTATAACGCCGTTCACGCCGTGGACCGCCTCTGCAAGAACATGAAGTTTTTCGTTTTGCAGACTGGTACCAATGTACGCTTCCTGTTAGTTTAGGTGACAACGGCTCCAATCTAACTGCTGCAGAACTATGGCGTTGCCGTCTTCCGCTTCCAGGACAAGATCGAAATCAACCCGCCCTTGAAGGAGGATAACCCCCGCATCCCTTCGCCGTGGGGTGATGAGATCTTTTACTATGCACAGGTGGACTTGATCAAGGAGGCCAATGAGGGCAAAACCTGGAAATGGTGTGAAGTCCGCCCGGACCAGATTGTTGGTAAGTAAGAAAACAAAACTCGGGTGTTTTCCCAGTCGGCCTCCGGCTAATGAGTCTCGTGCTAGGACACGTTCCTAGTCCCACGAGCATGACTTACGTGGAACCCATGGCCCTCTTTCTGTCCCTGTACCGATATGTCAACGGCCCGGGCGCCACCGTCACCTTCTTCGGCACGGAAAAGAACTTCCGACACACCTACACAGCTTCGTCTCAGGATATTATCGCTCGATCGGAAATTTACCTCTCGATCGAAAAGCCCGACGAGGCTCACGGAGAAGGCTTCAACACCGCCGATACGGCGACCCCGGGCCCGTGGAGTGTCAAGTGGCCGAAGATCTGTGAATTCTTCGGACTCCAGGGTGGTGGTCCGGGTGACAAGCCTTGGAACGACGCCGACAAGTGGTGGTACGACCACCAGGACGACTACGAAAAGATGTGCAAGGAGTATGGCCTGCGGAAACGAGAGATCCCCGAGGCCACCTGGATCTTCATGAGAGCTGGATTTACCATGCTGGAGCGGAATCGCGAATTGAGTCTGGATAAGATCCGCAGCTTAGGATTCACGGAAGAGTACCCGGTCGGACACGGATATTTCCGCGTGTTTGACCATCTTGTCAGCGAGAATATCGTTCCGCCGAAGGAGAAACTGCAATAAGTCATTTGCTCGACAGAATATCTTCAGACCAGATCGAACAATTTAATATCAATTTGAATTTGGCCCAAACGAACGTCGGTAGCATGACATGGTACAGAAGATCGCTCAATTCCAAAGCTTCAATAAAGCTTTTGTCTTGCATCAATATCAGTTTAACTTGCAGTCTACATGTGAGGCATCTGCTGTCACCAGCTAATTTATGCATAGGGCTATTAAACCACCCTTGCGTCGCCCTGCATTAATAGCGCCGCCAAGACGCTCGTCTTACGAATCCCCAGCCACCAATCCCTGCTGGCGCATCCACTCGGTCAAGATCTCGTTCACCTCGGCCGGCTTCTGCCACGGGACCCAGTGTCCCGCCGTGACTTCCTTCATCGTCAGGTTGGGCACCGTCTTCTCCATCATGCTCACCATCTGGTCGGAGACGACGGCATCGGCCGACGCGCGCACAAAGAGAGTCGGACACTTGAGCACCACGGCAGCCGGAGTATCTCTGAAGCACTCCTCGTCGTCGAAGTTCGCCCGGCGAGTCCGGTAGTAGTTGCCTGTCGCTGCAATTAGTTCGTCCTTGTCATAAGGAATAGGGAGACTTACAAGGTCCCCGCAACCCATTCCGAGAGTACACCTCAACATAATAGTCCAGCTCCTCGGGAGCCAGCAAAGGTGTATGCTCCAACTGGGTCGCCAACTCCAGATCCACGCCCCTGTTGACATTGATGCCGTATTTCCCGTCCGCGGTCTTACCGCCGTACAACGTGTTCAAGAAAGCGCGGATGCCCGCCTTATCCTTGGCAAAGGACTCGATGATGCCCTCCTCGCTACCAAATTGCATCTGGTAGCCGAGCGACGGGAACATTTTCAGCATGTCCTCGGTCTCGATCCATTTCGGAGACGGCGCGATGTACGGAATCGCAAAGGTGAACAGATGAGTGACGAAAATGGGGTGCCAGAGAGCGACACGGTAAGCGATCACAGCGCCCCTGTGCTACCTCGTTAGGAAAACATTGCACATGTACAGCGAGAGAAAGCAGAGCGGGAGAGGGGACCCACCAGTCGTGGCCACCGACAACGAGGCTCTCGCTGCCGAGCTGCTTCGCCAGCTCGACGAAGTCGTCCGCCTGCGACTTGTAGGTGTACGGCGCAAGCGAGTCGGTCGGGGCGTCCTATTTGAATTAGCTCGGAAGACAACGGATGGCATGCCCAGCAGCGGCATAAACATACCGTCCTTCCATATCCCACACAATCAGGACAAATGACCCGGAACCCGAACTTTAGGAACAGCGGAATCACACTCTTCCAGGTAACAGCGAGATCCGGGAAACCGTGAATCTGCAAACCATCAGACCACGCGACACAAAGGGTCCGTCAGAGATAGAATGAACAAACCAGCAAAACCGTCCGAGTAAATCCCCCCTCCGGCTCAGCCAGCAGATATCCTAAACCAACATTAACACCACCACCAAACACAACCCAACCCAACACCCATCAAATCATACCATAAGTCTTCCCATTAATAACGGCCTCACGACGCTGCACCCTCTCATCCTGCACGATATTAATCTTCTCCACAGCCTGGGGGCCCGTAGCAGTGAACATCTTGAATCGTAGTAAGTTCCCTAAAGCCGTCAAACAAAGGTCAAGCAGATAAAACCGAACTCAAGACCAGCGCAAGAACAGGTGATGATACGATCGCAGCAGCGGCGCAGGCTGGAGATAATAATCTCTCTCTCTGTCCTTGTTGGTTAGTTGTGGGTCTCTGCAGAAACAACACTGAACAAGAGTGGACCCCACTAGCTAGAATGGAGCAAAGTGGACGAAGATACCTCGGCGCGTTGCAACTTGCGAGCGGGCTCGAATTCTTATTTATAATCATGCCGGGCGAAAAATGTCGCAGTCCAGTCGTACAATCAAATCCACTGACTTTTCTGGACTGGGCTTGGTTTGTTTGCTGGGCTTGGTTTGATCATGGCGTACGGAGACATGGTTCAGGTCAGGGTCTGACGATTTGATCGGAGGGCGTTTTTAAGGCTGTGGCTTTGGGTTTAGTGTGGTGCCTGAGGCAGGAACTACTCACCGATGGTTTTGATTTCTTTTTCTACGGGTCATATGTAAGTAATATGCATGTAGAAGTTTGGCTATTGCCTCATGGCGTGGAAATGATCAGAAATTGAATATTGGTACATAGTTATGTGATCTGACAAAGAAACAGAACAAAGACATCCAAAAGAAATACTCCCTTCAAGCCCAAAAAACGCCCCCAAAAAAAAGAAAGAAAAAAGAAAAATCACCCAAAAAGAAATATACAATCTAGACATGCCAAACCAGAGCACGATAAACCCAAGATGGCATGAAATACCAGCCCAGATCAAGCCGGACTCAACCGATCAAATGCAGCCTGAGAAGTATTCCCCAGCGGCTCAGCAAGAAAGACCCGCGCCATCGTCCTGATGAAAGTAGGGCTCCCTTCACGATACAACTGCTCGATGGTTTTGCGCACAGTGAGCGTCTTTCCGTCAAAGTACGCTTCAATCACGCGCGCATGCGAGTCTTCCATCACGATGAGCAGAACCTAGATAGACGTGGATTAGCTCCTGCTTTTGCGGGTGGGAACGGGCGGATCTTACCGGCACGATCATGTGGTTGTTGAACCGTGGATCATGCATTTGCATAAGCATGAGGTTGATGGCCATGAGGACCTCGTTGGAAGATACTCGGTCGTTCTGTACTCGTTGGTTGTTGGACATGATGCATTTGATGTGTGGTCTGGAGGAGTGCTGATGGTATGTGATCCAGTAAGGGCCGAATCTTCCCTGTTGATGGGGAAGTTGGCTGAAGCGCTCGTCTGTAGCTCTGTGGCAGTGTTAGCACGAAGAAGGCAAAGAGGGATAGGAAAGCAGTTACTCAAGCGTTGTCCATGGGTACTGGCCGTGTGAGAGGGCTTGCGGGATGATCGCATCCAGAGCGGCCTTGACATGATCGCACATAGCCTCTGTCCTGATAGGCTCTGGCAGATTGGGGAAATCAGTGTCGTATTCACACGCAATAAACTCCGGGGTGAGCGCTTGCAGGAGTGGGCAGGCGGAGGGCAAGGGTGCGAAGAACCTGGGCTTGAGGGAATTTCCGCCGTCTAGAGATAGATACGAGATGTGGATTTGGAATTGCCCGAGTTCTCTGGTTTCGGCATAGGGGATGGGGAACCGCCACCGGGTACTTTCGATGCATCTTTGAAGGGTAAGAAGTGACTCTCGCAGCCTTGAGTGGTCCATCGTCTCTGGCATTTCGATGTTGTTCGTTTTCAGCGTAGAAGTTAGGTTGTAGATGGAATGGTCCACTGAGTAACTGATATCAAGGGTGATTGTGGTGGCAACGGATGGGTAGATTAGCGCTGAGGTAGGATTTGGGGAGGGAAGAAAAATGGAAAGAGAGGCAGATGGAGTGTGATGGACTATTAGTAGTCAATAAGTTAGCGATGCCGATGAAAGAATCCATTGTTTGACGCATAAACGGCTATTGAATTCGCTGTTTGCCTGGCTTCATGTCAGCAACCCTAGGAACTCTTTGTTAGGATAACTTGCCTTAGTGCTCAATGCCAGCATTTTTCAGTGACTTCATCGACCATGCATTAATGACATATACAGTATATGAGACCCAAAGTTTTCAAGTAAATAATCTTATATATGCTGGCTTCCATAAAAGATCTATCCTTCAATCACGTCTATTCTCCCATGTATCCAAATTTCGTAGCTCGCCCCATTGTTCTTCCAGGTCGCGAACGACCCATGCCGTCCGCCACCCAACGACCTTCTCTGCTCGGGTGAGAAAATCCACAGAACCCCGCTGCTCGACAGGATTACGAAGGCAATATCCATCTAAACAGGTGAGTGAATGAAGAAAAGGGGAGACGAAGGGCGTACATCGAACTAGTAGATGGCAAGCCATGAAGTATGCATTCTCAACTGTTTCATTGGACATGGATAGACCTATCACTTGAATGATGTGGGATGCGATTGTGCTCTGGTCCATGTTAATGGGAGATCAAACGGGCAGTTCGTAAAAGCCAATAATACAGAGGGACAGGTGTAGTGACAAACCTCTTCAATCCGACGCTGCCGTGCGATGCCAAAATTGCTCACAGTTCCCCAGTGACGATCTGCGGAGGCGAGGAGAATACAACAGGTGTGATAGTATTGCAGCCCGACCACTGTATCATTAGCTTGAATCTATTGTCCAGTGACAGGTACTACCAACCTGCCGAAGGTGACATCATCCATAGCTCGGGGAACGGCCGATTCTCTGCTGTATTCGCATCCTTGTACTGCAACGGCTGCCAGCTGATCGGCCTCGTGCGGTACCAATGTTCGACGCTCTCAGACAAGCGATGCCACTCGCCCTCATCGACAAGACTTCCCGGTCCGCGGGAATAGAGTTGGATAATGCGCGCGCACAGGAAAATAATCACGTTAGCGTAAGCTGCATCATCCCGGCGTTGAAAGACGGCAGAGCGCTCATAATTGCCCAAGTCGAGTTGAATGGGTTGAAACTGAACAATAGACGCGTAGATCGCCTGACGCAGAAACTGCCAACTGACAGCCTCGGCAAGCCCACCGGATGAGGCGGACTTTGTCATCGTGTTAAGGAGTCGGTTGGATCCAAGGAAATGGCAATTCTCGTCGTTCTCTCGTTCGAGTTCCTCGTAAATACGGAGAATGACCACTGTGATGAGCAGGTTATCATCGTACGTCTCTTCTGGCTGGGCCAGAGCATCGATCAGGAGTTCGAGACATTGACCATGATACTCTGATGCTTCCCAGTCACTTGCGTCGTTCATGATCGCATCGAGACGCGCCGAGAGAGATAAGACGGCTTTGAGGACCATGGGGAACTGAAGAGCTCGGCGCGGGACTTCGGTAGTGAAATGGGATCGGAGGTCGCATATATCAGCCTGCAACGGTTAGCCTGCGACGATACACGGGTGTTGGGTCATACCCATGGTGCTATCTTGTGTATGAACAGTCGAAGCAAAAAAGCTTCGCGGGAGTTCATAGACACCGAACTCGTTGACCGCGGCGTGGACGGGCTCATTGGCGATGTTGCACTAGTCCATGCACTTGTTGATGGCAACGGGGAGATCATGCTGGCGACACCGTTGGGCGAAATGGCAGATGCTGTCGCGCGATGCTCATCCGGCAAGGATGCCGTGGAGGGAACTGGAGGATCAGCGACGCCATTTTCGCCAGGTGAGCTCATCATCGGTGGAGGCTGAAACTGAGGCTGTACTGGAAATACGGTGACAGGCTCCGGAGCATTCTCACGAGAGGAATGCTCATCATCCACTGATTCGGGAGCATCGCTCGTTCCGTCTGTTGATTCTTCCGCTGATTCATGAACGAATGTTACTGCAATCGTCAGCGAGCCCGTCGTGCTCAGAATAGACAGGATTCTCACATGATTGGGGAACCTTCACCCATGTCTGCGCCGAATCCCAGTCCAGCTCGAACCTTGACGCAGTGCCCTGGCTCTTCTGATAGACATGACGAACAGTCTTGAAACGGAAGGGCGGATCAAGTCGGCAGATCCTCCCTAGCCGTGTGCATCCATTGCATGACGAAGCTCCGGGTCGGATAGTACAACGAATATGACGAAGGCGACAACGCTCACATCCCCGTCCGATTCTCATGGCAGTTTGCGAGGCAAATGACGCAGAGCGTTTTGCGCGGCGGGAGAATTATGAATGGCACGCAACGGCATGGGTATAGAGGGGTTCGATTGGTAGGAACTTGGACAAAGATACCAAAAATGAGATACAAGAAGGAGGGAGGGATGGGCGAGGGGAAGAAGGGAAAAGAACGCGAGAAAGAGGACTGGAAGTATGGGGAAATTGGAGATGGAGCCTTCCCCGCAGTATGGGGCTGACTCAGCGCCGCTTGGCCGTCGGTGATTGGCCGCCTGCATCTGAGCCCTTACAGCCATCTCGTGCCGACGCTTCTGGATGATGTCGATGAAGTGTATCCAGGTAGGAGGAGGATCTGCAGGTTTGGATCAATCAAGTACTTTTTTTGTCGCGATTGGATTGGTGTTGGTGCATGAATTCATCACTGGAAGCATATCCGCGGCTATCTCGGCGGCGATTGAATGTCAATTGCCGACGAGATCGGCGTCACCAGGGCTCTAGATCCTGGTTCATTAACCAATTGGCTGCGGGGGGATTCAGCCACGCTTGTTACCAGTTTCTGCGATGAAGTCATGCGGGGTGATCTTATCGGAATTGCGGTCTTCAAGATCGCCCTCATTTATGCCGGGATTTCCGAAATATATACTCCAGTGTGTCGTGGGTATGCCCCAAGTGTTTCTAGTTCAAGACAATGAACGACCAGGTAAACAACGATTTCCGCTAGTTATTAAACATGAGAAGACTAAGAGACCTCAGAATAATAGACCGGAAAAAAATTATTTAATTACCTTCCCAGTGTTTTTGTAATGAATATTGGATGACCCAAGTCCCGAGTGTTATGGCGAAGCTTCTAACCTGATATATCAACTGGAATATGACATATTTTCAGTGATTGGCTTCTTTCCTTGGTTTCTTTTTCACTCGGTATCTGTCTGTTGGGCCAGCAGGGGCTGATGGGTATACGTGACTACCGGGAACGAGGCTCGGATGTTCTTGACCGAATCAAATATACAAGTTGCATGAGAAAGGCGGCTGATGGGGGTTCGCTAGATAGGGAGTGACATCGAACTTTAGACTCTAGATGCATATTCGTTCTAATATCGAGATCGTTTAATCTTATCATTATGTTCATTCAAAAAAGTTGCTTTTAATCTAAACGCTAATGGTCTTGAAGATACTGCAGATATCGTTAGCATGTCGCATTCGAAAGAAAAGGGGAAAGGAAAAACATACCCAAATCCAGATCCACCCGTTGCCATGACTGTACCAGGCATCTGGGCTTGCCAGTGCACCTCCTTGACCGACTCGGTGTAGTGCACGAACAGCAATTGCGGCGGCACCTCCGACATACCAGCCTCGCGGCTCTCTTCCTCGTCCAGCTCGACAGCCAGATCCCAGAGGGTGACCGTGTTGTCGGCGGATCCCACGGCAACGACACTGTCGTCCGTCGGGTGCCACTCGATACTCGTGACGGGCTCGCGGTGGAAGTCGAAGGCGGCCACGGGAGACGCCGTGGTCTGGGTGGACGGGGCGGAAGGCTTCCAGTGTCTCAGATCCCACACCGCCCATTGTCCGTCGTCGGCACCGGTGGCCAGCAGATGGAAGGTCTGGTTCGACCAGGTCATCACGTTGACGTCGGTGTTGGACACCTGGACGTCCACCGCGGGCTTGCGGGACTTGGATCGCACGTCCCAAACCTTGACGCTGCCGTCACTGCTGGCGGAAGCGAACACATTCCGCTCGTTGGGCGACCACTGCAGCTCTTCAATGGAGGAGGTGTGGCCGGTGAATGGCCGGGTATCCGTCACCCAGCCGCCTCCTTCGGTGCGCGTCGTCGCGTAGATCAATCCATCGTTGTCACCCGTCAACAGTTTACCCAGAGGCTGCAGCGGAGACCAGTCCAGGGCGTAACCTTCCGACTTGTGCATGCGAAGGGTCGAGAGCGGCTTGGAGGCCGACGGGGGTATCACGGTGCCAGGGACGTCGAAGCTGGCCAGATGTTGGGTGACGTCGTGGATCACGACCTGCGAGTTCTCCAGCATGGTGGCGGTGAGGGTCTGCGGCGGCTTGTTGTAGTCGCCCGACTGGGACGGAGTCTGGTGCGCCCGGATGCGGTTCGTCGTGGAGCCGAGGGGAATACTCTTGGACTCGAGGATGGGCTCGCCCACGTCGTCGTCGTCATCGTCACTCTCGGAATCCGTCTCGTTCTCCTTCTCCATCTTGCTCAGCCCACTCATCTTCAGCACCATCAGTTCGTTCTCCTTCGCCCGACCGCCGTCGGCCTGGGTACCGGCGACCGCGTAGACCGTACCCGGGTACGTCTTTCGGTTATCGCCCAAGGAATCGCGCACGATATCGAACGACAGACAGGGCCAGGGGGTGCTGAGGGTGTGTAGCATATCGTAGGTCGAGGGATCGGGCGAGAGGACCTCTCCGGGGGCCAGCTTCGTTCTTCCGGGGATAAATGTCTGTTGGTCTACCTCCATCGCCTCTGAAACGGGGTCGCATCAGCATCCCGTCGGGACAACCCAGTAACGGACCTACCCTTTTGTTCCTCCTCCAGCTCAGCATCGGGGCGTCCATCAACACCGGCCTCCAGAATCTCATCCTCGCTCTCGAATTCATCCTCAAACTCGTCCTCGAACTCCCCCACTTCGTCGGGAGGGGCCTGAGTAACGGGGCGGTCGCCAGCCTTCAGAGCGGCGGATTGCTCGTCGGAGACGTCGGCCGATCGTTTCGACATGATGGAGATATGTGGTCGAAGAGAAAGTGAAGTTCCCAGGGCTGTCGACGAACCAGTCGTGCGGCAGAAAAGACAGGCCGAGAGAGAAGAAAAGAACTGATTAGGGTTCCGCCGCTTTTTTTTTTTTCCCTTTTTTCTTTTTTCTTTTTTTTTTCCTGCCATTTTTTCCCGAGGAACGGGGCATTTCGGCGCTAAACCTATCGGGGGGTCGGGGCGATCGGCAGCCACCAATCACGACGGGGTGTGGCTGTGTTGACCTCAGGCACCTGCGAAAGTCTCCTGTTCTTCCTCAAAGGGGCTCTTTTGCTCTGTTTGTCTCCTTCTTCTCCCGTCGCATCTTTACGCCGGATTCTCCTCTTATTCGCTCTGCTGCGTGTCTGTACCGGCTGGAGGTGGACTCGATTCGACTCGTCTGCCCTTGAAGTGGCTTTGCCTGCCCCTCCGTTTTGTCTCCCTTGGCGCCTGTCGTCACATGTCACATCCTTTTTTCCCTGAGGTGCATACAAACAATCTTCCTGCTGCCCCCCAACCCCGTCTCGGCGGCTAGACGGCTGTGCTTGATCCCCCCTCCGGGTTTTCTGCAGACAACGCTAACACCCAAGACCCTAGTTTCCTGTCATTCTTCACTTTCCTTAATTGTTGATGAGCTCTGGTGAGCCGTCGCGCTGAATTCCAAATCCTGCATTTCGGTTGGTTCGGCCTCCCCCCCGCTCCACCGTACCACCGGGAGCTGACCATGTTTACAATCTCCATTAGGTCCCGATCGAACCTTCATTCCCTCCCTCCTTTTGGACGTTTCTTCGAAATTCGACTGCCGTCAAGATGGATCCGACGCATATTCCTCCCGTCGGCCCTGCGGAGGGCACGGAGCTGCCCCACGAGAATCAGCCTGCCTTCGAAATGCCCACCCACGCCACCGACCTGGTGGCTCCGGACGAGATGGTCAGCCCGGCGGCATATAACAACAACGGTTACAGCAGCGACTCTCGCGCCAACTATTCCTCTCATACCTACGAATTCAACTCGCCCACTCGGGACGTGCAGTCAGTAGATGGTGATCAGCCTCGTCCGGCCCTGTCGCCCACGTTGACCCATCAGCCGCTAGCCCCGTCGTCGTCACGACCCAGCTCGGGATTGTCCCATAACCATGACCGACCGGGTAACTCGCAGCTCACCCAGGAGGTGGGCGGGAAGCAGTCGCAGCAGTCGAAGAACAGCGTGGTGATCAAGGTCGGAATGGTGGGCGATGCGCAGATCGGAAAGACGAGTTTGATGGTGAAATACGTGGAGGGAAGCTGGGATGAGGACTATATTCAAACGCTGGGTATGTACGGACGTGGGACTTATCCTGTGCAGAGGTGCTGACTGATCAGGCGTCAACTTCATGGAGAAGACGATTTCCATCCGCAATACGGAGATCACCTTTTCGATCTGGGATCTTGGTGGTCAGCGCGAATTCGTCAACATGCTGCCGCTGGTGTGCAACGACGCCGTGGCGATCCTGTTCATGTTCGATCTCACCCGCAAGAGCACGCTGAATTCGATTAAAGAGTGGTATCGTCAGGGCCGGGGGTTCAACAAGACGGCCATTCCGTTCCTAATCGGCACCAAGTACGATCATTTCGTCAACTTCCCGCGCGAGGACCAAGAGGAGATCTCTATCCAGGTAGGTGGATCGAGCCGGGTGGCGATCGGTGCTAATTCGGTGTAGGCGAGGCGATTCGCCCGGGCCATGAAAGCTAGCTTGATCTTCAGCAGTACCAGCCACTCGATCAACGTGCAAAAGGTTGGTGGTCCTCCCGATGCCTACAGGGCTATACTGACGGCGTAGATCTTCAAAATCGTCCTCGCGAAAGCCTTCGACCTGAAGTGCACAATCCCCGAGATCGAGAACGTCGGCGAGCCGCTGCTGCTGTACAAGAATGTCTAATCACGATGACAACGGAGGAGTGGATAACGATTATGTACATTGGGACGAAGTCATGTTGACGATCGATCGAACTTCTCTCCCTCGAGCCGAGTTGGAGACGGTGATCAATCATGCAGAAAGTGGTCACAGATGGGGTGCTTCCGTGCATTCTCTCTTTTTGTCTTTCCTTCTTCCTTTCTTTAGCATTGGGATGCGTCCAGGGTTTTTCCTCTTTCTTTTCTTGTTATTATTCTCTTCTACCTTTCTCCTTCGCCTTCCATCTTCACCTACCATTCTTTCCGTTCAATTCCCCACCTGTTTTCTAATCTCTTTGCCCGATCGCCCATCTGTTGTGTCTTACTGTGGACGGGAGACTCAAATGATGGCGTGCTAGAAGTCTGTCTAATACTGTTTCCTCTGTGAAAATTAGGTTACATTGTCATGAGCAATGTGATATGTTCATTTACTTGAATCAAGTTATTTTGGAGTGTATCCTTGGGACTCAGTTAATGGGGTCGAACTGTTACACCACGATTGATCTGTAGGTTCTTATATAAATCGGCCTCCGTCCTATCTTCTGGGGTAAACTATTCTTTTCCAAGAAATTCGATAATCTAATGCCTCCGGAATCCGTCATTCTCATGTCAATGCCAAGCCATTCCTCTCAACCAAGTTCAATTCGCTGTTCCGTCCTTCCTGTCCGTGACTCATTTTCATGCTCCAAGCCTTGGAAACTACCACGGTTTGTCTCCGCGCTAAGGCTTTAGGCAAATTGCCAGAACCAAGGTCTACGTCATTGGATAGTCTCCCCGATGGTTGATAGGGTCTCTTGTCTATCTCCCGGGTTTCTCCAGTAGCATCATATAGGAGTCTGTCTTTGTTGGTAATCAATACCATATGTTTAGGCTAACCAGGCACTAGATTGCATCCTTGCAGGAATATCATACTAGAATATGACCTGTGAGTCACTTTTAACTGCTTTGAGCTTCCAATGATATCGTGTTAAACACATTTGCCTACTGCTGGCTTATCAATCAATCCAGATACTAGTTTGTAGTCCGAGTATACATACCCCGCATCTTGACCCCATTCCGAGATGGGAAGGGATGACATAAAGTAGATCAAAAGTATTGATAAAGCCATAAATCCCCCTCACTTCCATCCACCAACTCCTATCTACTCCCCATCGCAAGCACCTATCCAAACGAATCCCAAAATCTCACCAGATCTACCCACCAGGAAACACAAAATGCCCAAGCACATCGTCTTCGACGTCGTCGGCACCCTAATCACCTACCCATCCCTCATCTCAACCCTGACCAACCGCCTGGGCCCCCAACTCCTCGCCCAAAACATAACCCCCAGCCACCTGATCGCAACATGGTTCGAAGTCGCCGAGCGCGAATACGCATACCTCAGCATCAGCAACGCCTACCTCCCCTTCGACACCTGCTTCGAGAACCTCTTCTACCGCACCCTCTTCATCGCAGGGATCCGGGATCCGAAGGCGTTCGCGTCGCGAGAGGATCTCGATGCCGTGTTGCAGGCGTATAAGAGTCTGACGGCGCGTGAGGGCGCGGCGGAATGTGTCAGATTGCTTACAGAGGCAGGGTTTACGGTCTGGGGACTCACGGCGGGGAGTAAGGTTAGGGTGAGTGGGTATTTGGATGCTGGGGAGGTGGGCATTCCCGAGGGGAGGTTGTTGAGTTGTGACGAGGGGGGTGTGGGGAAGCCGGATTTGAGGGCTTATCGGCCGTTGTGGGAGAGGTTGACGACGGATGAACGAGGAGAGGACGAAGGGGTGTGGTTTGCAGCCGCGCATGCGTGGGATGTTTCGGCTGCGAGGAGGGTTGGGTGAGTTTTTCCTTTTTCCTGTTCTCGCTGATTGAGGATGGTGCTAATTGTGTTCTAGGTTCAAGGCGGCGTATTGTACGGCGTTGGAGGGAGAGCCCATTCCTGAGTTGTTTGGCGAGATGGATGTGGTTGGGGAGTCGCTGGTGGAGATGGCGAAGGGTATTATTACGGCACAGGGAGGTAGATGAGCTGGTGGATATAGGACCTGAACTTCAACCCAGGCACAAAGATGTGTCCCCTGATGGATCAGGCCAACTCCATATCCAGGGTTGAATAGCGACAAAAAGCTTAAACTATGACGACAGACATACGGATTGTGAAGAAAATTCATCAAATTGTGATCTCATTATTGCACGTTCCTGGTCATGAGAACCCCAGAATGACTCCTTCCTGACTACGACCTCTGGAGATCTCCCTGAAGAACTAGAATCCATCATCTATCATTTCACAACGCACGATAACATATTCGATATTGTTGAATAACAAACAGAAACGATGGACGAGAGACGATTCTACACCCCTGACGACGAGTTCGTATATCCAGAGCTTACGATTCCGCGACCTCCTAGCACGATGTCCACCGCGGACCCCATTCCCGTGGAATACCGGCAATCGCTATACCCCGATCTCCCTGACCTTGAGTCACGGTCCTCCTCATGCATCTCCGTCCCCTCGACCCCCTACGCCGAGTCCGTCAAGAACGAGAGCTTCGTCAACGAGCCAGACCATAGCCAGGAGATCGCAGATCCCAGTACTTCCGACGAACAACAGGCCCTGCACTTCCAGGCTACCTACCGATTTCTCAAGCAAATGACCCTGAGTGCCTCCCACATCGACTACGACACGACCATCCTAGAAGACATCCCCAGAGAGCATGGGTACCAATATGCAGGACAGCTAGCCCTCGACCTATTGGAAGACCCAAACGTAGACAAAAGCCAGATACATATCCACTACAACTCGTACACGCAGTGCTTCGAACTCAGAAAGCTGACGCCAATTCTGGCGTCCACTGAAACGTGGTTCAGGCGACAATTTGACCGATTTATTTGCAATGGGGTGTGGACGACAGCCGAACGTAACAATGTTGACTTGTCTGTTGGGCGGTGTGAGTATTCCTTCCATTTCTCATCCTTACTTTCCATATTCAGTTTGTTTAGAGCTTGGAAATGATACTAGACAATGACTGACAATTTCACAGGGACCGACGGATTCGCAGCGCCTTACAACCAATCCGCCAAAGAGCCAGCTTTGCAAATTATCCCGCGCCAGGGAGCAATGCCCACCGTGGTCTTCGAAGCAGGCTGGAAAAAGAGCTTCGAACAGATGAACCGGGACGTGGATCTATGGTTCCACGGAAGCGCTGGGCACGTGCGAGTAGTGATTTTGATCAAATGGGCCATTGAGAGCAATGGGGTCAATGGCAGAATGGAGGTGTATAGGGCAGACAGTCCACTGGTGCAAGTTGAGGTATGTGTTCTATATCCCTGCAGCAGGGAAAGCAGTTGAAGGTGGCTAACTGCCCAGAATCTGTTTCCACCACCGCTCTCAAACGAACGACATAATGTTATTTGCCTGACGAGGGGCGAGCTTTTCGGTGAGGCTCTCGCGCCAGGAAGAAATCCGTCGGAGCTGCTTCCCTTCTACTTGATTGAGTTTAGAGATATTGCGAAAGAGGCCGCAAAGGAGGCTGGGTCGGAATAGAGTTGGATCAAGACTGAACTGATAGATTTATTTGCTTGGTTACGGAAGAGAGGAGTTTGCTGGGATTTAGATTGGACATGTATACCCCTCTAAGGCAATGTACGAGGTCACATTACACAAAGATAAAAGACCTTTTCTTTTTTCATTTACTCTACATCCGCTTCTGACTACCTAGGTAATACCTAGCACCCAAAATATCAAGAATTGCGACAATCCACTTTTCAATAGACCAATGGCAGCGCGTCGCTGGACGTGTGGAAACACACTATAAGATTCTAGAAACTCCAGAAAGCCTAGGGATCCTGGTCTTACTAGAACTCGACTGGAGGCTATTCACAATGGATCTCCCACGGACCAGTCAGAACCCTCCCTGACCTGGGCGTCGTAAGAATCGCGAAAATCCACCCTCGAGGGGCCAATGGGAGGATGTGCTGGGGACGCGTCGGGGTGCTTTTGGATCGGATCGAGTGAATAGATGGCTGGTGGCGTTGAGGAAGGGGTGTACAGATCTCTATGGCTGGGGAAGGCTACGGAGAACCTGGGCCTAGACCTGAATCTGGTACGTGCAGGACATTAAACTGACATATCACATCCCAGATGAGCTTCTAAAGCAGACCTGTACAATAATCCAGAACGACAGCATAAATCATTTCCCCCGCCATGACTCAATAACCTCCGACACAGTCGTCAACTTCAGGTCCGGAAAGTGCTTATTCAAAGGATCGTCCGTCGGCACCAACGCCACATTCATCCCCGCAAGATGATGGATCCCCGCGAGCGCCTTCTCCCACTGCTCCGTGGACAGCCCATAGTCTGCCTCCGGGAACTCAGGGAACGAGATCTTCCCGTCCGCCAGATTCTCCATACTCTCGTAGATAACGCGGAATTTCTCGCCTATCCCCATTAGCACACTCTCCACATCCAACAACCCAACCAATGTAAGAAGAATCCAATGCACTCACCTCGAACCCTCTCCGCTGCCTCGACAATCTGCAAAAACGTAAGTTCCTCGCCCACAATCGTCGTCAGCTTATTCCACCTCGGCAGATCCATCATCCGCGCCACGAATCGGCCCAGATCCTGACTCGTGATGAAATTCCCCTTCGACGTCCCGTCGCCCGGAATCACGGCCCATTTGCCCGCCACGGAGACAGAGTTCGTCCACGGCTTGAGATGCGTCTTCCAGTGCGGCATGCCGTAGTAGTCGAGGAAGAAGCCGTTGACGACCCGGGTGTATTCGAGGTCTGTTTTGGCGAGGGCGTCCAGGGCGTCGTACTGCCATTTTGCGGCGGGGACGGTGGATATGTGTCTGTTTGGTTGTTAGGTTGGGGGTCTTGAGTTCTTGGGGAGAGAGAGGAGAGGAGGGAGGGGACGTACTGCTCGTTGAAGTAGATGTCAAAGGAAGAGACTACGAAGCGGCGGGTGGGTGTTGAGCTGGCGCATGCGGAGATGAGCTTGTGCTGGACTGCGCTGGATTCTTCGGATAGCATGCTGATGGCGCAGATCACGGTGTCGATGTTGGCGGATTCCAGCGCGGCGGAGGTGGATGGGACATCGTCGTAGTTTACGGCGAGGTACGTGATGTCTGCGGTGTTTGGGCGAGGCTGCGTATAGTATCAGTACAGCTATAGGACTGGTGTGTACCTAGTGGTGGAGTGCCTACGGTGCGTGTGAGTACTATCACACTGTGTTTGGTTGCAGTTAAGGCGTCGACGATGGCTTGGCCGACACTTCCTGTGCCTCCTGCCACAGCGATGATGGCCATTTTGCGCTGAGTACTAGGATCTGGTGTTATGTAGATTGAGATTCAGACAGAGGCAGGATGATAACACCTCGTCTCCAGACAATGGGCGATGATGGAGTGCTGCCTGAGTTGCCCAAATAGGCAAGCGTCGCCGCAGACCCACCCTCGTGATTTCCACCAATGAGACAGCAGAGTTACATAAGCAATCTCGATTCGATCTCACCTTCCTAATCGGGACATCCACAACTCGCCTGCTTCATCTGGACATCTTGAAAATTTCCCTGGATTCTCACCGATAAATGGATGCTCCGGCTCACATTAAAACTGACTATACTAGGGGAACTGAGACATGCTGCCATGACCAGCCATTGAAAATCTCGGGTTCTGGGGACGTGGGCAATAGCTTGTTTATATCAAGCTATCCAACCCACTTTCCTACCGGGGCAGTCGAGAGATGACAGCTAGGGCTGAGACTGGAACCGAAGGCCCTTTTGTGCTTTGATCTCTTAATAGCAAAGGACAAGACGGAAGATGGAAAATCTCAGGAAAATCGGTGAAGCAACATTGGCAAAGAAAACAAGATGTTTATAGCCATCGTTAAGCTATGTCAAGTGCCGAAATTTACAGACGAGAACCTACCGATGGGTTTCTAGGCATCAGTGATCAGACAATCATCGGCTGTGTCCACTCATGAGCTGTCCTTCTGCACCATTGTGGGACTATAAGCACCTCGCCCCGAAATTGTAGGGACACTATTTTCAGGGGAAGGATCCCTCCCAGTGATGCGAGACAAAGGGGTCTTCAAATAATCTTCGCGATGCCGTGACCATTTCTTCTGACAGGCTGGTGTCCTTGCTCGAAAACTGTGGTTTTATTCTTGCGATTGTATACCGGACCTTCTGACGAACTTCTACAACATGGATCCAGAAGCGCGACCTGTTGGAAAGAGAAAACCTGGAATGACAGCCAAATTTGACGTCGCCGAACCGCCAATAGATGATGAATCCGAGGAAATCTCGCAGTCTCGACTGTTTATCGCACGCCCAACGTGGACTGTCGCGCCGCACAATCCCAATGGAGGCCACCAAAATTGGAACAAGCCACGGTCGAACATATGGAAAACTCTCGCAACCTTCTGGAGTTTCTTTGTGATGGGAGCTAATGACTCCTCGTCTGGTGTGAGTGCATATTGCTGTTATCTGTATTCACGTCTGCTAATTGTGAAACCATAGCCATTGCTTCCCTCTGTAGGTCTGCTGTTTCATCTGCAGTTGCCATCCTAACGGTCTACAGCTCCAAAGCTACTACGGTCTGTCCTACATTGTTGTCTCGCTTATTTTCCTCTCGCCACTAGGCGGGTATATCATTGCAGGTGTGATAGACGGCAAGATATACACCGTAATGGGCCGCCGGGGAGTGGCGTTGATCTGCCCGTTGTGTCGCATTCTCGCCTATGTCATCAACTCGTTTCATCCGCCATACCACGCTCTTGTCGTGGCTTTCATTTTCGCTGGAATCGCCAACGGCCTTTCCGACTCTGCTTGGAATGCTTGGGCTGGTAGCCTGGATAACGCCAGCCAGGTGTTGGGCATCCTTCATGCCTTCTTCGGCTTAGGGGCCGTATTTGGCCCTCTCATCATCGGTTCGCTAGTTGCACACTCGGGATATCCTTGGTATTACTTTTATTATGTGATGGTATGCTGCAAGTAGTTCACGGACTCGGCCCAGGTACTAACTAGATGTGATGTTAGAGTGCATTCGCGGCTGTCGAGCTGATCACCTCTCTTGCCGCTTTCTGGGATATGAGAGGCGAGCTGTCCCAATATGTGGCCCCCGGACAAACAGGAAAGAGCCAGAACAGTGGTGGTACAAGAAAGGCTATGTTTCAGCGCCCATATGCTAGGATTACTTGGCTCTGTTCGTTTTTCTTTCTTGCCTACGTCGGTATCGAACTAGCTCTCGGAGGATGGGTCACGACTTTCATGCAGGAAGTCCGAGATGCTGCCGACTACGCAAGCAGCATGGCGTCGACTGGGTTCTGGTTGGGTTTATCAGTCGGACGACTCGTGCTTGGATTCGTGACTCCTCTTATCGGCGAGAAGGTCGCGATCATCGTATGTTCATTTTTCGTCTTCTGCTTTCTCCTGTGCAGCCTCGTCATTGCATGACAGCCTTCATGCTAACCGGGTACCCAAGATCTACATCGCCCTACAAATGGTCTTCTCTATCGTCGTTCACGTGGTCCCGAACTTCTACGTTGCCGCGGTCAGCGTGGCAATGCAGGGATTCTTCCTCGGCCCTCTCTTTCCCGCCGTGGTTTATGCTTGCGTGAAGTTATTGCCCGAAGACTTGCATGTCACGGTTGTCGGAATCACCACGGGGTTTGCCAGTCTTGGTTCTGCTCTGTTGCCCTTCTTGGTCGGTGCCATTGCGGATACTGAGGGCATCAAGTTCCTTCAGCCATTCATATTGGGTCTGTCTGGTGCGATTATGATTCTGTGGGGATGTCTCCCGAAGATTCCGAGGACGTTGAAATCGTCGAAGCGAAAGTCGGTTCGTTTTGAGGGGTACTAACTGAGATTGTTGTATAATATTGCAGATAGATTTCTTTCCTTTGCCCAGGGCTTGTTGTTTTAGAGGATTTGTTCACAGCACCGATAGATTTGATATTGTTTTAATTTTAGCGGCCTTTTTTGCAGCAGGTGTTTCCACTGCCATTTCCGAATACTCGCCAGAGCCTCTAACATCTTATTTTCATTCTACATTTGAAATCTGCCTATATTCTTGCTTGCTGACACGATGCTATGGTTGACTCATACAATCCCTGTTATTTGTCGCACTAGGCTTCCTTCGGGAAGGCTCGCACGCCTATACGCAATACGACATATTAGAATTCCGAAGGAATGGACATATATAGATCCCGATTCCGACGTCGTCGCTGTCGATAAACCGGCAACATCATATTACCAGATTACCAGCAGAAGGAATCATTAAATCAAAACAAAACTTGAACACCATAAGCACACCCGCCTGATCACCCACCATCCAACATGATCTCTCCGTCACCATCTCTCGCTTCTCAATGCCGCCTCGACCCCATCAACCTCACCGACCCCGATCAATTCCACGAACTCCACCGCCAACGCCTCCTCTGCGGCTGGGACCACTCCCCCTCGACCCTCGAACAATGGTCCCTCAAGCAATCTGAAGGCCTCAAGAACTTCTTCTGGATCACCATCCCCTCCCCCAACCCCAACCAAAACCCTACCACCTCAATAATCCGCGCCGGGCACATCTCCCTCGACGCCTACAGCGACCCGCCAGACCCCGAACTCTCGCGAGAGGATAAATCAATCCTCGCCGTGCAGACCTTCTTCGTCCTCCCTGAGTACCAGTCTCTGAGGCTGGGTTCGCGCGCAATGGACCTGATCGAGGAAATTGCTGCGAGTGAGCCGAAGTGTCGGGTGATTGCGTTGACGGCGCTGAGTAAGCGGTATATGTATGAGGAGGGGCTGCAGGGGAGGGGCCTTTGGGAGAGGATTGGGATGGAGATGCCCAGGGGGAGTATTCAGGAGTGGTATGAGAAGAGAGGGTATGTGGGGTGGAAGGAGGAGGAGAGGTATGAGGAGAGTTTGAAGGATGGGGGGACGGTGTGGTTGTGGGAGGTTTTTATGCGGAAGGTGTTGCGGTGATGTTTTCTTGTATTAGTAGTACTGGAGGTTTAGGTGGGGTCGAGACATATGTCAAGGGATGAGGTTATGTATGGAGTAGTGGGGGTGGAGGTGTATGTAGAAAAGGATCTAGAATAGAAAGAGAAATTATCTGGAAATTGGTTCATAGTGAGAGGGAATACATACTCCGGAGTAAACCAGAAAAACAAGGCAGGAATAAGGATGGTGACCTTGTGGCCTTGGTGCCTCAGTGCCCTGTGGCCTTGGTGCCTCAGTGCCCTGTTGCCTTGATGCCCTGTTGCCTGCCCCTACCCGGTCGCCTGATCGCCGTATCGCCGGGGCACTGGATTTTTTCGGTGGTTCCAAACCTCACAGGCCAATCTCCCGGCATCATTCCGCGGTGGATCAACACCCATCCAATTGTGGCCAAATGGGACCTAGAGATCCAGTTACATTTATTGCCCGGTTCACGCACTATCTTTGGATGAGAGATGCTCGAAATGTCAACAGTAGCGTTCCTGCGCTGGATTGTTTTCTCAATACTATGAACCTATCCTACATGTCGCCTCCAATTCTGTCAATTTTCTTTATCGAAAAATTCAATCCAGCCCCCATTTCAACCCAGGTTCGCGAATGGATGAAATCGCTAGTCTTGCCGCTAAAATGGTCCAGCCCAGTCAACCAGCTAGGAACCAGTTCATCCGATTGGAATCTCAGTTCCCATCCATTCCGGCCCCGGCCTAAGCTCATGTTCATTAAACTAGTCCTCGCTCTAGACTGTTCATGGCACAACCAAACCCTGCTGATCCGGTGCCTGTCGGCCTAGTTTAGGCAAACAGCCAGGGCGCGAGAATTAAATCACACTCGCGTCCGGTCTTCTCAACCTGGCATCCTGCAACGCAATCATGATCGGGTACTCGTATATGGTTCCTGCGACGGAGGTGGTGGGGAGCGTGGTGACCAAGGCGCATATCGAAGACCAGGATTTGGCAATTGGTACTTATGCCTGAACCCGATGATGCGAAAAGCGCTAATCAGCTCATGCGATGCAGTCGATCGAATCCTCGAACCGCAGACCATCGCGCATTTCCTGGAGTTCTGTTCCTGGGGAACACTCCCGACCGGCAAACAAACTTCCCTACCGAAACTCCTCCCCGAGGATATCCCCTTCATTGATGGCCCGCCGCCGACAAGCGACAATGTCGGTAACTCGGAATCCATCATGAGCCGCGTCGCAGAGCGAATCGGCTCCTTCAGCGATTCGTCCCGTCTCTGCCTGGTCGGCAAGAATATTAACTCGCTGAAGTCGCGGCTCTGGGAGGGTATCGTGCCATTGTCGGAGCAGCGATGGCGCGAGAAGCGCCTAGATCGTGAGGAGAACTTTGACGTCGCGGCGCAGCATATCTCCGCTGTCGTGGCGGTGTTCGAGTACTTGAACCAGCCGGCCGTGGTGGCCAACCTGCGCGACACGTTCAATCTCATCTGGGATTTGTGGGAGGAGGCTGACGTCCTGGTGAATAGGAACCGAGAGGCGATAGGAAAAGAGAAGATCAGTCTCACGAAACTGTGGACGGAGTACATGGCTGCCAAATACGAGGTTATGACGGGGCGAGCGCATCGCTGGGTCATTCTACATGTGGAGGCGCTGCGAGCGCCCCTGCTTCGGACGTTGCGATTACATCGCCCGATTAACGAGGATGTCGTCGATCGGATACAGTGGAAAACCACGGATCAGCTGCACATGTTGAACGAGATCGCGTCGGTGGCTGACTATACGATTCTCATGCCCATGCAAGGGTATAAGGGGTGGAGTGGGAATGTGCCGATAGGGGCACAGGGGCCCTTGGCGGAGCGCAGTAAAAGGTATGGGCCACGGTTGAAGCAATTGACACGAGAGGGCATTTACGAGAGAGCATTGAATGGAACTAGAGCGCCTGGTCGTGTTGCGTCGCCTGGGCCGTTGGTTCAGCTGGCCTTGGATCAGATCGATTGTCAGAGTAGGCTAAGACGGGAGATTCGGGGCGAGGCTATCACAATGCCGAAAGAGCCGTGGATCACAAATGCATTGCAGAAGCTCGAGAAAAAGCCGGAGCCGATGCATGAGAGTCAGGGGCTTATGATCTATCGCATCACGTATGGGCAGACGGACGAGGAGTGGGACAGGTTTCTGCAGAGGTTCCAGGCCCATGTGGATGATTGGGGACGGGGCCATACGGGGAGTAGCTTCATCAAGCCATATCTGAAGCTGCATTGGTTCGACGGCAAGGAACTAGGCATCCCAGAGGGAGACGTGGCGGCGGCGAGAAAGTAAGTGCCCGTATCACCGGTGATGGAAGGTGGCTAACGAATAAGACACTTCAAGGAGCAGCCAGTCTCTCAATTCGGGGACAAGGTTCAAGTGAACAGACACGTGTTCCTGGCCGTGGACGATATCAGCTTCGGGTCTTACACAACAGACGACTACGCCGTCGCAACAGCCCTGCCTTTGCGCGGCGACTTTACAGGCTTTGTACTAGCCGTCGACGCCGACTACGATCCGAAAGAACCCCTTGAACGTCCCGACGAGTCTCCAGGGCATCACGGTCAGATGCGAATCCTGGGCAGTTTGATCTGGAGCGATCTCTTCTCCGGACTCTCGTCCCAATCTGCATATCCAGAAGACCTCTGGCCTCTAGCCCTGGACCATCCCAACCAGGTCTACGTCGGCCCCACCGTTCCACTGACAATTAGTGATTGGCGAATGCAGAACGGCATACGAAACCTCCTCCTCCGCCAGATCGTCGACTACGTGAAAGCCAAAATGGATGGAACCGCCCCGGAACTACCGTCCCAGCCAGAAAACGGGTCTCGGGATCCCCTTAATGGAGAACATGATCCGCTGCGGCAGCATCTGATGAGAAATTTTGTCAATTGGCTAAGAGATAACAACCACACCCGGGAGGGGATCATGGCCGAAGAGGTGATGCGAGCGCGACCAGGACAGGATGCCGATATGGAGCGGATACGGCAGCGAATGGATGCGTTGGAGAACGGGGATGAGGACGAGGTAAATCCGCCGAGACTTGAGGATCCGGATGATCCATGCCCGATGCAGTGAGCTGGTCAGAGATTCGAAAACTTGCATACTGTTAATCAAATACCCTAATTGGATTTTATTTTGGCTATTCAGCTTCTGTCATCATAGAACCTCAACGTTGTTGTACATACCACCCCGGTAAAGTTCCGGTGGCCATAAATAGCCGATAGGGGATGGCAGTGAGGCGTGCACGATCTTGTATCCCCTAGGAATGTGCTGATCATATCACTTCACACGAAGACACAGGATGCATGTGTTTTTCATCATGGTCGATGCAACGGTGACCTTGTCAACCGGGGAACCAGAAACCAAGCACAACCTCTACAACCCAACAGTATGGCCGCTTGGACAAGAAAAGACTGGGAAGAACCCTTGCCACCATGACCTTTAGGTCAATAATATGATGTTCAAGTCGTACAAGCTATGATTCTGAAGATAATGCGGCAGCGTCACATCATGCTTGATATACGGAATCTGATGTGCTACAAGGAAAGACTAGCACCGTGCACAGTGGGACAAATCTCACTTGTATGATCTGAAACATCCATGGGAACCTATCAACATATGGAAGGCTTCGGTATTATGGATGCCTATTTGCAGCCTATGCACAGGCGTGCCAGTTCAGAGAATGAGGTATACGATAATTGCGCTGAACATCCATTCAGATTCATATGGCGGAGAAGTGACCTGATTCCCGAATTTACCGAGGTGATGATTTGCAGTCTACGCCCCGAGTTCTGCCTCATCCATCTCTGTGAATGTCATTATTTAGCTGCGACAGACAACACGGCGATTTCGCCTTCTGACAAACGATGAATATGGGGCCTGACAAACAGGTGCGACCCTCCCAGGATTCGCGGACCTGCTAACTCTCAGTAGAACTCCGACATGTCTGACCTCGCGTGCACCCGCTGTCGTGAGCGCAAAATCCGCTGTGGACGAGAACGTCCGCATTGTCGCAGCTGCGAGCGGGAAGAAGGCGTCGTCTGCGTGTATCAGAATCCCGTGAAACGAGTGAACCATCTGAAACTACTGTGAGCCTGCGACCTACATCTAGTGGAGTATATTCTCATCCGCGCAGGTGTGACAGCGTCGAATTGCTCCAGCAGCGGTTGACCTCGATCGAGTCGCATTTCAGCCGCCTCCATCGCCGAGCGGACTCTGCCGATCCCGCCGAGTTGTCGGAATTCCGCTCCGCCGCGGCGGAGAACAGTTCCGCCCCGCGACCCGCAGTCCATCGACGGGGTCTCCCATCCCTGGCGTCGTTGTGCCGGGACTTTCAAACCCGAGTCCTCCGGGCTGGTCATACTGTAGCGTCAGGTCCGCTGCAGCAGCTGTGCGACCGATCCACCCAACTGGAGCCCTTTCCCCCGTACGCGGACGTGACGGTCCCGCTGCTTCCAAAGGCCCACGTGGCCACGGCTATCGAGCACTTTTTACAGCATGTCGACTGTCAGACGGATGTATTTGACCCACAACATCTTCGCGAGCAGCTGGACCGCGTTTACGCGGAACATGATGACGTCTGGGCTATTTGCTTCAAGACTATCACGCTTATCGTGCTAGGTCTAGAGATTACCCAAGCCGGCGCGTTGATTGGCGATTTTGCGCGCTCGCTGCTTCCTAATCGGGCTGCGTTGGTTAGTTCACGGCTTCTGACGACGTTGAGGCTTGTGAATGTGCAGACTCTAATCCTTCTCGTAAGCGCCCTGACCGCATTTGAGGATACAGCACTGACAAAATTAGAGTGTGGCCGCACAACAGTTTGATCCCCCTGGATGGGCGGAGTTAATGTTTGCAAATGCGTGTCTGCTCGCTAGGACAATGGGTCTTCATAATCCGTCGGTCATGACGGACGAGAGCACACAAGAGCGCAAGAGGGTGCTGCAGGCGTTGTATATCCGAGACAGACGCTTGTGCATTTCCCGAGGAACTCCATCCTGGCTTCCTGGTACGGAACATGAGTTGACCTTGCAGATGGCTAACATTGCCGATGATTCGCCCCATACAGACTATGTCCGCCTGGCCATGATTCAGGATGAGGTATATACTCAGGCCCACACAAGTGCAGTCGATCATAAGGCCCTGGAGTGGCTGGCCCAGTATGCCAGTCAATCCGGATTGTTTAATGCGCCCATTTCGTCTGTAAATTCTCAATCTGTTCGCGTGCTAGAGTTCCTGGCCACTCGTATCCTTGCCTCGAAGCATGATACCGCACAGGCGCGGTTAGATGCCCAAGCAAGCTGTCTGCTTGTGCTGATAATGCATGGAGATAAAGGACAAGATGTGGCTGAAGCCTTTCAAACCCTGCTTCCAGGTGCAACGGGGAGCCCTGGGTCAGATACGCCTAGCTCATTTTTCAGCGCACTTGATGCTTTTTCGCTGCCTGGTATATTCCTCCTCGTCGACGGAATTTTACAAAGCAATGCCCAGTCTTCGATTCCGATATCCGACCTTGACCTGCTTCATCGATTGTCAGCATGCTACACTGAACAGACCGCAAGGATGCCATCCACACATTACCATCGCAAGGTATCCTGGATCCTGGACCAGCTGCTCCTGGTGATTGACATGATCCGGAATCCGCAGGATCCGTCCCTAGATTGTTTAGGGGAAGAGCTTCACCCGTCCTCTCATAACTCCGAGCTGCCCAGAGTCGCTGACACAACCGATCTAACTACCCCGTGGCCCCCAAGAGCACCGTCCTCCACGTCCCTGACCTGGGACACATGGTTATCGTCAACATCTCCGCTCGGCCCGTCTCCCCTAGGGCCGCCAACACCGATGGACCCGACACGTGCAGCATCGCCTGACCTGTTGACGCAAATGCTAGCGGTGTCACAGGGGCTAGACGGATCGGAGGAGTTGCATTGGACGAGCATGCTTGAGACATCTGGGCGTAAACGCCGGCGGACAGACGGCGATGCGCTAGCACCAGGCAGCGGCATATTCGACTAACGCATGATCTGGAAGTGCGTGAGACAGGAAATCTTGTTTTGGCCGGCGCCGGAATCCATCGTTTGTCTATACTTCGGTCCTCGGAGGCCGAGCCCGGGATACACCGGTGCTACGGAGCCCGAAATCAACCATAAGATATTTGCGTCCGAGACAATACTACGAGAGTGTGAAGGGCAGGACAGGAAGCTGAAGACAGCTATTTCGAACAAACACAAACCGGATGGCCAACACCCAAATTCCCCAGGGTCACTGGCAGCCCGGCCCTCTCCCTAAAGACATCTACTACGGCAGTGGCTGTGTGGCCCGGCACCTCCTGTTTTGTCTAGCGCCATCAAGCAGGGTCTTCGTCATCACGAACACATCCCTAAGCAAAACACCCCTCCTCCCACAGCTAGAAAGCATCCTGGGAGCCCAGCACGCCGGCACAATCTCGTCCATCAAACAACACGTCTCCTTGTCAGATATCGAAGACGCTTTATCAACCATCCTATCGACCACCCACACACCAACACCTATCACTCTCCTCTCTCTAGGCGGAGGCTCCGCCATCGACGCCACCAAAATCATCTCTTACAAGTACCACTCCGCCACCAGATCCTTCCTCCCACACATCGCCATCCCGACAACCCTCAGCGGCGCAGAATGCACTCCAGGCGGCAGCTACACCATCACCGAACAATCCCCCACCACCCCAGTAACCACCAAGAAGGCAATCATCCACCCGGACCTCGCCATCTCCACCATCTTCTACGACCCCATCTACGCCGCCCACACGCCCCCAACCCTCTGGCTAAGCACGGGCATCCGAGCCCTCGACCACGCAACCGAATGCATGTACCATCCTCTCGCAGCCGAAGTACCCTGGAAAGCCCTCGCCTTGTTCGCATTCAGCGAGCTCCTCACTTGCTTACCCCTATCCAAGGCCCATCCAACCGATGACAATCTCACGGTGAGGTTAATGCTCGCTGCGTACGCCAGCTCGGGATTCAAGGGTTCCAATATCGGGGGAGAACTCGGTCTCTCGCATCGACTGGGCCATGTGCTGGGCTCGGCGTATGGTATTCCGCATGGTATTACGTCGTGCATGACGCTAGGACGGGTGGTGTGTGTTAAGGCGAGGGATAGGGATGCTGCGGCGCAGATTGTGAGGTTGATTCCGGGGATAGAGGCTGGGGATGGGGATGGGAGGCTTAGGACGGGGGATGACTATGCGGATGCGGTGCAAGTTGGGAAGAGGATTCAGGGATTGGCGAGGGAGTTGGGGCTCGAGGGGAAGTTGGGGGATTATGGGGTGGAAAGGGACGAGGTGGAGAGGATTGTGAGGAGGGTTGTTGGGGATGAGGGTGATGAGAGGGAAATGAAGGAGGTGGAGGAGGTGGTTATGAGGCTTTTTTGATGTATATGGGTTGGGTATAGCTCTTGGGTCAAGTACTTGTAGTCAACTGCGATATTTCGTTATTCTAACGGTCGTAGAAGGGTAGCAATAATCTTTGCATCCTTGTACCCTTAAGACTGCAGTAGAGTACTATCGGATTTGACAAGGGGTTGTTCGTCTGACATTAGTCTGTTCTACATTGATTAGGGATAATTCCCGAAACGCAGCACAGCCCGGAAGAGAACACACTGTCCTCCATCCTCGCATGCCGGATCCCGAGTACCGCATGTCCCCAGATGACAGAATCTACAGCTCCCATATCTTAAGAACATCTCCAAACAAACACCTCAACCTCCAACACCGAACGCACTACCCAAGACATGGACCCCCTCCACCAAGAATACGCCCGAACCCTAACCATCCACCACTACCGACCCAAGCAGAATCCATGGCGCCCCCTCGGACAATGTAAGCTCCAACCTCTCCTCCCAATGCCCATATTCCGGTAAAGAAAGCTAAATCTACAGACTTCTACCGCATCATCGAAGATGGCACGCACACGCAGTACCGCCTCTCCGTAATCGAAAGCCTCATCCCGGCTCACGCCGAAGGCCCGGTCTATCATTTCCACGAGATGCATGATGAGGGGTTTTACGTTACTGTATTTCCCTGTTCCTCCGTTCATCCCATTTAACCGCTTGGAACATAATAATAACATATGACTCCGTGAGTAAAGAAGGGAAAGCTACGCTTCCACACCCCCATCCAACCACCCATCGACGCCTCGGCCGGCGACTTCGTGGTGATTCCGATCCGCATGCCGCATAAATTCAGCAACCCGTTTGATGAGGAGGCGGTGTTTGTGAATACGATCTCGCCGGGGTTCTTTGTGCGGTACTTTGAGCACTTGGAGCGGGCGATTGCCGGGGGAGAGGTCCTGACCAGGGAGGTGAATTGTGAGGCTTTGAGACGGTTTGCCACGGTTCCGTTGACTGGGCAGGATATTGAGGAGATGGAGAAGATGGGGAGTATGCAGGAGAGACAGGGGGGAGCCAAGGAGAGGGAGAAGGAGAAGGGAGCTGGGGTTGGAGCTGGGGATGGGTGTTAGGTGTATCTGGAACATGATATGGTACTTGTAGTGTTTCTCTGGGTTGAAGAGGAGTTTTATTATTTGGGCATGGAAGTATAGTTGTTGCTTGCTTACTGGCAGACTGCAACAGACGCCCTTGTTCTATTCTCCATTTAATGTCAAACGACATGGTAGGTAGTGTAAAGATGTACAATGTCCCGCCAGCTCATCCAGAACCAGATTGAAGAGCGCAGTTGCCGCATATGCTATTCCCTTAGCCATAAATTCTCGGTTATGGTCAGTGTACCAGAATGGGACTGGCATAAACATGGTCGCAGACTTCGGGACGCTTGAAGCAAACAAAGGGGCTTCTGAGAATAGTCAGCGCACTATTCACATAGCGAGGACATCCCAGACCAGACATCACAAGTAGCATACCAGAGGGGAAATAGACTTTGTATGTGGACCCATGATTGATGTGGCGTTTTCGAAGTAACCTCAGGCTTGCGGCGCCTAGACGCATGCAGCCAAGCCAAAGGGAATGCACTCAAAGGGACCAATTGTTTGGTACAGAGTGCCGGGTTACTCTGTGAAGTGACATACAGCCTGGGAGGCGAAGGTTCCTGCACTCGTTGTGTCATTGACGAAGACTCTGTGCCCAATGCCACCTCATGCATTCGTTGGTTGCGTCCATGCATGATGACAGAACGCGAGAATCCGGCTATCCCTCCCGCTGAGAATGGAGGTATAAATGATTTCTCCCTGTCCGACATGGCAAGTTTACATGCAGCAAGGCCGAGCAAGCTCACGACGCAAGAATAACACTTCTCCAATACCTAGCCACAATGGGTGACGACAAAAAGCTGCAAGAGGTAATTATACCTCAAATGCCTCGCGATTTGGCTTCTGACAATTCATCTAGCAAGTCTTTTACTCGCGTGGGATAATCATTGCCATCATGGGTTATTTCTTCAGTCTGGTAAGGCCCCATTCCTGGAAAGGCACTACGGTGATGACCACGTATCCCTTGGCTGAACAGACCCTTGGTGAAACGACAGAACAAGGATAAAGAGTGTAAGTTGCCGACGAGATACGTAACCTAGTGGTCTGCTAAAGCGATCCGCCGCACAGCAACCCTCAGCGTCAAGGAGTATGTCGAAAGCAACATGGCCGACGACCCGAAATTAAAGGCTTTAGATCTGCACAAGGAGTTCAAAGACCTTGATCTAAATAGAGACAACAAGGTCGATCTTGCCGGTGAGCACCTTCGACTGAAAATGGCTCGCCTTGGTGGCTTGTCCAGGGCGATCTGGGACATGGATGGCTAATTTCGTTCGTAAGAATTCCTCGTTGCGTTTTTCAAAGAAGACGCCGAGGACAATTACAGTGATGCCCTTATATTTAAGGAGGCTCGAGACCACGTTGGAGTGCTCGAATAATCTGATCTACTTGGGCTTGTCATGATTGACATACCAGTCAGTGCAGGTGGTGTCGGCTTATATAGTGAGATGATCTGGAATGTCAAATCGGTTTCTGTTACGTTCTACAGTTTCAACTAAGTGTGGTAGGCACAGGAGATATTTTTTCGAGGGTCCAAATAGACCAGATCTCTTTCATTCTCTTTCTACTCGCTAGAACAGAGTGTAGGAAATTTCTTCATGTATCTTCAACATCCCACTATCACTCATCTTCTTTCGAGCTTCCTGGGTTCTTGTCGTCTTTCTTCTCGGCTTTCTTCTGACATTTATGAGCTTTTTTAGCATCTGCCTTTGCCTGCGAAGCATCGATATAGTCACCCAAGCTCGCAGTATTACACCCGCAATTCTGGACCACGGGGTAAATAATCGGAGCATCAGGGTTTCGAGGACCCGTCGGAGCGTCAGGAGGAGGAGTATTATCGTGACTCTGGTCTCGAGAACCCGTTGGAGTTTCCTGGGGATCAGTCTTGTCGCCCTCTTCCGTCTGAGGAGTCGGAGTTTCAGTGCGAGAGGCAGTCGTACCTGGGGCTCGGGAAGGAATGTTGCTCCGAGGACCGGTAGGAGTTCCCTCGGGAATCGCCCTATCAACCCCACGGCCCTGGGGAGTCGTTACCCGATGAGCACCATGACCGAGGGGAGATGGAACGTACCCTCGAGAACGAAGCGGCATATGATTAACACGAGGAGCGATGGAGTGCGTGCGGGGAGAAAGGCATGGAAAGGGAGTGCGCTGAGGGCCGTACGGAGGGCCGTGGACAGGGGGCCTCATCTGGCGAAGGTGAGAGTTACCATGAGGAGTCGGGACTGGTCCGCCGGGGGTAACGATAGGAGGATTGGGGTACGGATTGGCGGTTCGAGGCATAGCCCTGTTGAAGGGGGAAGAAGCACCATATGGAAAGCCACCGGGGGGAATGCCGGGGGCAGGAGGCGGATGGAGGCCGCGTTGAGGACCCATGTTGACGGCGGGAGGACCAATTGGAAAGCGCCTGGCAGTACCAGGGCCAGGAGGTGGAGTAATAGTGACAGGCGGGATATGGACCGCGTTAGGAGGCACAGGCGCGACGCCAACTCGAGCCGCACCATGAGGGTTACCCGAATAAGCATCCCGGATGGGAGGAGGGGGACGCGGAGGCAAGGCATGGCGAGGAGTGCTAGTGACAGCAGTATGAGCCTGGCTAGTTTTGGTGTTAGTGTCAGTAGCAGGCAAAGTGATGGTATTGGCGGTGCGACTTACAGAAGCTTGGGGAGCTTTGTCAGGGACATCAGCAGGATTCACAATGGGGATAGCTTTAGACGGACGTCGTGGAGGGACGCCCTGAGCAGCCTTCGGCTGGCTCGCAGAGCTACCTTTTTCAGTCTTCTTATCAGGTCCCTTGGTAGCGCTGCTACCATCGGCTTTAGAAGACGCCGCTTTGCTGCTCTCTGCAACGGGTTTAGAGTCCTTCGCAGATTCACTGCTTTCACCGTCCTTAGAACTGTCTTTCTGAACGGTTCGGGGATCAATGATTGGAATAGCCCTGGAAGGCCTATTACTAGAACGGCGAGGAAGCGGAGGAGCTGATGATTCCGAATCCGATGCAGATGAATTACCCGGCCCAGTATATAGGCCTTTTTGGCTTCTCTCACGCATCCAGTCTTGAAATCCATCCTCCACTTCTTCCTGGATCCGAACTTTCTCGTCCGCGGGGAACCGCTCCTTCTTCAGCACCTCCTCGATCTCAGATCGAGCCCTGTTCATGATCCCAGGGAGACCATCCCTCCAGTCCCTCTTAGTCAAATCCATGATCCAATAGATGCCACTGTTGTACTGGGGCATCTTATTGACCTTTTGGTTCACAAGGACACACAAATCTGTATCCATCACCACAAGCATCATCTTGAGAAGGTCTGCGGCGTAGTAGGAGCCCATGGGCAGGGGGCACCAGAGATACCAATCCTCCCAGTCCTTGAGTGGATCGCTGGGAACGAGAGCATTGTACTGCTCAGAGGGCCCCGTGCCAATGGTAAAAACCCTAGCAACTGAGGGATCCTTGGGAATCTTTCGGTGTTCCATTTTGAGATAGAGAAACTTCTCGAGTTGTAATGTCATTAGCGTTCGAAGTGTAAGAGGTATAGTAGAGGCTTTAGCACTTGAATGCTAGTTGATGAGGAAACCACTTCTCTAAGGGTGTAACTCGGGATATTTATAGTTGGAGACTGGGGTATCCTAAAAAGGCATACAGACAACTTCCATCTCTTCTGGAATATACAAAGAAACAACCGCGAGGAGCCGAGCGACGGTCTATACGACCGGCGAATCCCACTTCGGGTACGAGTAGACAAAGAACAAGGGGATTGCCGCTTTATCCTCGGACCGTGAAAGGCTTTGTTAAGCTGAGTGCTGAAAGATTCCATAGTTTCGAACTTATCAAACGATCACTGCCGTGGTGGTTTGCAGGACAAAGCAATAATCCGGGAGGACTCTGTACTGGTCTCCGAACTCTCTGCCGCCATGTTGACCTTTTCCCAATGGGGTGCATTTCTCAAGGTTTGCAATATGTGGATTGGTGTCGACGACATTATGTGTCGTATCTTGGGAATGACTAAGTATCGGGTATCAAAGTTGGCGTCTGAAGAAGCAAATTTAAGCAACCATGGTCGTATTTAAGTGTATTGTATCTTGGAGGTCAAATAAAAGCACGCGGTATCCCCTCACTTAACAGAATATTGCACAAATCCGGATCCATAAAGTCAACTGTCGACGGTGGATCGGCAATGGGGGAATATTCATTCTCGGGGCCAAGGCCATCGACACCCGCGTCGAAGGTAGGTGTAATATGTTGATTGGCAAGAGAGTTCTGATCGGAGGCAAAGTGTCCATGGGTACCGTTTGCATGCCAGCCCATGGACCTGGATTCACTAGCGCCATAGCCATTGACTTTACTTTTCCGATGCTGCCGACGGGTCTGCCACTGTCGCTGCAATGTACCTAGGAAAGTGCTCGTTCTCCGGGCGTTCTCAAAGCAGCTACCCATTTCGTCGAGTGCACGAAAACATGTGCTCAGATGGGCGAGAAGCTCTTGGTTGCATGGTCGAGATTTCGTAGGGACGGTCGTGAAGATCAGAATGAGTGCGGCCGAGAAGATGAATGAGATAAATTGTACGTTTGCCTTGTGAAACCCATAGGCCTGCTCGTAAATATTGAGGACTTTGACGATGGAAACGGCAGATTCGATGCACATCCTTCGGGCATGGTTGGGGCCTGGGCCTTGTGGTGGTTGGGGCTGGATGTAATGTCTCGAGATATATGGGCGATGACATTGGATCATGAATTGGTGGTATTGCATACTGAGACTTTCTTAGCAGGCACTTCAAATCGACAAGGTAGCCTTACTGGAGGGTTAATGTATGTGGTAAGGGCTGTCTGAACCCCTGAGTAGAGTGTTCATCGATGCTGAGCTCCGCGGGGAGAGTTGCCTTCCACAATGTTAACTTCTCAACGGTGTCAACTGCGAGCTCCTGCAGTGCATGTTTGGATATTTCAATGCAGCCGTATCTTCACCACTAGTCAGTCCTCCTCCTTGGTAGCGTGGAAAAGCGATGTCACTCACAGCACATCAGTCAGATGAAGCATGGTTTCATACAATGAAACCCATGCCTTGAACAACATGTTCTCGGGAACAGGCGAAAGACTCATTGTCGCGGCGCTGGGATACGGTCTCCATTTCATTGTTGGTAAGGTGTTTTGAGACGGAGGTCTCTGAACAGTGACAATATCCATACGAACCTGGGCTGACCGGCCTAAATAGAACCCCCAAAACCTAATGGTTTAGCATTGACCAGAGGGTCGTCTGGGATCGCTTACTGTTCGTTTAAGAAAACTCCCCAAAAGACCTTTCGACGCAATTCAGCATCTGAGTAAGGAATTATGCCTCTCTGAACATAAACTGTCATGTCCAGGTGCAACCCCAGATCAAGAGTCAGGCGCATTGCCATTCCTTCATATGTCACCATGATGCTACCTGACACGGACGCGTCTAGATGCTTACCACTATATAGCCAGCCCCTCGTGTCTCTTGTACACAGCGCTTCATGATTGCTCAGAATAACAAGTGCTTGAATAGTCGCAATAGAAGGACTCTCAAGTTCCAACTCCAACAAAATCTTCGCACGATCGCCGAAGAACTCGGCCAACGACCGCGGAAACGTCACTATCTCGGGATGGTACCTCGGCTCATATGCAGCACCTAAAGCACACATCGCATCCACCAAGGTCCGAGAGTAATATGACGTCGCTATACCTTCGTACTTGCTCTGTGCTCGGGACCGCCAGAAGGTCTCCGCATCAACAACATGCAGACATGGATCTTGCCATGCAAAGAACAGCTCGAGAAGATGTTTTTCGAATATTTCATCGATCTCCCTGTCAAGACTCGCGCTCTCAAGTAGCTCCGAGGCGTCTTTTGTCACACTTATTGGGGGCGTTACGTCCACCAAGGCGTCTAATAAGGTTAGATTCGAAGTCGAGCCGAAATAGCGCAGTTGTCCGTCGTGGGTCAGTTGCAATCGCCCCAGACGGCATGAGAGCTGGTCAGTCACTTCATCATCGCTCTCATCATCTGTGCCATTGTCCTGGTCTTGCGGATGTGGGCTCTGGCCTAAATCCCCACGTGGTGCATGGTGTTTGTCAGACGCTGCATTACGATCTTCGGACGAGAAGATGCCGTCTGATATGGCGGATGACATGCTCTTGGATTTATAGACCGAAGATTCTGCGTTCGTCTTCACACTACTTTCCGCACTCGTCCCCTGTGCGTCTGTCGTTCCGCTCTCAGCCAGTGAAAGAACTTCCCTCTCCCCTCCTGCATCGTCCAACATCTCGATTTCATCATCGCGCCCCGGGTTAGCATCCAAGTCATCACAGGTGAGCTCCAAAGCTTCAAAAATGCTCTTCAAGACCAGGTAATCATGTTCCTCGATCTTCGGAACAGGCAGTCCCGAATTCTCGATATATCGGGCTAAAGTGTCGACCCGCCGTGCTAGCAACCCAACTGCTACTCGCACCTGCACTTTGCGCTTGTCGTTGCTCTGTCTGTATTTACATAGGCGTCCTTTACTCGAGCAGTTTCGACACGTTGGCGTTGTGCCGTCGCACTGCAATTGGTGAGATTATTGGATCTTGGCGGGTGGGGATGAATCCCATGCCTACCTTGACCTTCCCATCTCGACATGGGATGCATGCCGTTGTGACGTGCTTTCGAATAGACGGACGCCTGTATTTTGCTGGCATTTTTGAGATTGAATTCCAGAATTGATGACTGCAGGAAAATGGTTTTGTTTGAATCTGGCGGTAGAAATTGGAGGTTGACGGGAAATGAATCCCGGTGATTACGAAATCGAGTTCCACCGTATTGAGCCCTAATTTTCAGGCAGTATAGTCAACCCTATCACCTGCAACGTCATGAATGTTTCGCTGATACAGATATATGTCTTTTTTTGAATTGGCCGCCATCTGATGTCTCTTAGCCCATTCCAATAACTCCATTTCCGCAGTATGCCTCTCAATACAACCCAACCCTTTCATGGTTGTTCTTCTCTAGAGCAAAAGACCCATGTCCCTTATTTTCGAATGAGAAGATGATACGCAGATGATGCTGTGCAGAAAGATGAAATTAATCCCGGCCAAGTACATGATGTAACAACGCATACGAGTGCCACGAATCAGGAGTTCAATCCACAGTAATTGCTGCGGAAGTAAAGTTCCCCTAAGATGATCCGGTTTAAATAAAGCAGGTTGCTGGCTTCAGACACTACTTACTCTTTTGAGCTTAAAGTACAAACATTTCATAAGCGTCAGTACGGTAAACAACAGTCTTCAGCATGGCTGCTTCTTACTCCCCGAATGCAATCATTATCGGTGCAGGCCCTGGTGGTATCTCTCTTGCTTACAGGCTGCGGTATGAGCTTGGGTTTGAAGACTTCCTTGTGTGTCTTACCTGGGTTACTTGTTCTCATGCACTAGACTGATAGAAGTGCCAGATATACGACAAGCTTGATGGTGTTGGGGGGACTTGGAGAACAAACACATATCCAGGATGGTAAGTTATTTTCACTGCTGGAGTAACAACAATCGAAGGAATAACAAGCTCTATAGTGGATGTGACCTTCCATCGCACCTGTACTCGTTTAGCTTCAATCTCAACCCAAACTGGTCCAAAGAGCTATGTGAGCAGCCGGAGATCCTACAGTGTAAGCGTTTACATCCCCTCTACTATCCAGCCTTTCCATTCTAAACAAAATTCCAGACATCGAGGATACGGTCGACAGGTTTGATCTCCGCAAACACGTCATTACTTCGGTCGAATGTACAGGAGCGTCCTGGGACGAAGAATGCCAGGAATGGGCTGTCGCCTTGAGGGACAATAAAACTGGACTTGAATTTGTTAGACGGGCAACGATCCTTGTTTCTGCTGTCGGAGCAATCTCGTTCCCTCGGGATATTCAGTTTCCCGGCATGCACCGGTTTCAGGGTCCAATGATGCACACCGCGCGGTGGGATCATTCGATCGATTACACTGGAAAGAGAGTGGTGGGTAGAGTTCCATAATGCGATTATGCTCAATGTTGATATTCAAATCAAACAGGCTGTCATTGGAAACGGCTGCAGTGCCGCTCAAGTTGTGCCCGCGATGGCCCAGAAAGCCGGATTCGTCCAACAGTACGCACGAAGCGCATAGTGGTATCATGCTCGAGTATAGACACTTTCTGTACCGATAAAATTCACATCCGTTGACTAACTATTTCTCAGCCCAATCATCAGTTCTCGGCCTTCGAAAAATGGTCGTTGCGCTGGATTCCTCTCCTGCAACGATGGCTGCGACTGCGTATATTTCTTCAAGCAGAGGCTGAATCCGATACATACTTTCCCTCTCCCGAGGGCATCCAGGCACGCTTGGAAGCGGAAGAAGAGTCAAAGAAATATATCCATTCCCGAACACCAGGCAAATATTGGAAGTTCATTGTACCGGACTTCCCTCTCGGTATGGCCCTCATTTGGCACTTCGCATGATATATCAGCTAATTGGATCTGCAGGCTGCAAGAGAAGAATCTTCGATCCAGATTACTTGGACTCCCTTCATCGCAAGAACGTGGAGCTCCGTAATGAGGGCATCCAGGAGTTCACTGAGCGAGGCATCATCGGGACGTCGGGTGATGAATTCGGTACGCTTTTCCTCACTGCCAGCATTTTCCAGGGAAGAGTACTCATAAATCTTTACAGAAGCCGATATTATTATTCTTGCAACGGGCTTCCAAGTCTCGCAGTTTCTAACCCCGATGGAAATCACGGGACGACGTGGCGCTTCGCTGAACAGGCAGTGGGAGGAGTCGCGAGGCGCCCAAGCATACTTCGGCACATACGTCCACAATTTCCCGAATATGGCTATTATGTAGGTCCACTTCTTTGTTTCTTCTTCGCCTTTGCAAGCTCCATATGCTGAAATGCTGACGGTGATAGCTTCGGACCCAACACCTTCCCAGCAAACAACTCCGCCCTCTTCGCGTGCGAGACTCAAGTCGCATACGCCGTGAAATCGCTCTTCACTCCGATCCTAGACCGTTGCGCTTCTATGGTCGAAGTGAAGCAGTCGGCCGAAGAAAAGCACACCAATCTCATACAGCTGCGTCTGAAAGATACAGTCTTTGCGGGTGACTGCTCGAATTGGTATATCGGGAAGCATGGGAGGAATGCGGCGTCCTGGCCCGGTAGGGCTGCGTCGCTGTGGATGGAAACTTATTTTCCCGATTGGAGCGCTTTCACCTTGACTGGAGGGCTTTGGACTTGGCCGCTCTATCGACTGCGTAGGTGGTTGAGGGTAAGGTGGTCGGTTAGGTTGGGTGTTTTGCTGGCGGGATTGGCACTGTTGAGTGCCCGCAAGGGGTATGGGTGGGTGTTTGCGAGGAGGGTCTTGGAAGATAGGATTAAGTGGCTGGGACTTTGAATTTCTTTGGGTTTGCATTTACTAGCCTGAAGAAATTATGTTATTGACCCTCTATCTCCGACTTTCAGACATCTAAATTCAAAATTGATGTCTATTTCAAATGTATACATCCGCAGCAGAGTATTATACCTACTCTATGACATTCAATTCATGACTTTGAACAAATATTGTGTTGATGGTATTATCCTTTATCCGAAAATGAGCGTTATAGTGGTTCTCGGGCTGCCGGGATTCATTTCCCGGGATACGAAAATAGCTGAGAGCATTTGTTGAACATCAGTGTCCGGGAATCATTCCGCGGTTGCATTACATCAGCCATCACACAAAAAAAAAATACAATTCTCCAATAGTATTGAAAATATCCCGATACTCGGTACTTCATCTGGTAGTAGTAGTATGCAATCATATAACCGGAAAGTTTGTGATGCCGGCACACAGGCTGAGGGAGGATGGATATATACTTCCATAAATTGATAGCGCTACTAGTATACACGATGGTCTCTTCTGGTCTGTATGTAACGTGAAGATAATAATGAATAGAAGCAATTTGCTCTATATAGGAGCAACACATACATCACAGACCTTACGACGCTTGCCAATAGAGTAAATCGCAGGAATTGCCTGAGGTCACCAAAGCCTAGCGCACAGACCAACTCCATGGCCTGAGGCCACGGCCCAAACCTACCGACCAGTCTGAGAACATGCGACCCTCAGAGTGGTAAAAACTATCGAGGCAGCTGCGCGATGTAAAAGCGATCGGAATCGATCGTAAAGATTACAGTGTAGTGTATACAGTCGGCCTATCCTACTATGAAAATTTCAGATTTTTTACCCATGATTTGAAGGCGTAGGAATTATGCAAAGATTGCCAGTCGCAGCGATGTTGGCGACCTCTTGACGGACTGGTCGCGGAGGGCTGAGACGGGCGGTGGTGGCCCTGGTGCCTGGCTTGCCGGTGGAAATGCGGCAGAAAAAAAAACCATAGAATTCACGTGACCAGACCTTGCCGACCAGTCGGAAAAGATGCGACCCTCAGAGTGGTAGGATTCGTCGGGAACGTCTATGCGCTGCAAAAGCGAACAGAATTGGTTGAAGGAATTATGTCCTACTCTATACATGCTAAAGACCCTACTGTCTAACTCACTACGTGATACAACATATTTTGAAGGCGTGGGGATTATGCAAAGTTTGTCGATGATGTCCATTTTTCGAGGCCGAGACACAGCTCTGAGGGCGGTGGACATCCCATACAGTCGGAAAATGTGCGACCGTGGGAGTGGTAATTCTCTACGGCAGCCCCTCGCAGTAGGAGCGATTTAGATTGATTGAAAAAATTGTCGTATAATATTGAAAGCAGAATAAAATCTCATGCTTTGAAGATATATGGATTAAGCAAAATTTAGAGCTACTTCCATACAATCGATCTCTAAATACTGACAAATGTCGAAATAGCTCAACGGGCGAATTGCTGTTGATTAAACAGCCCTCCCTGCCAGCTGTTCGGCCATAGCTAGCAGCCCCTAAGCCTGCCATACTCTGTCTGTCCGTGGCCCAGTCTATCCCTACAGCCGCCCCTTTCGAGCACACAGCACGTCAAATGTGGTCTGAAGCTCTGCCTAGAACCCCGTGGGATGCCAAATGGACAACAGGTGGAATGCTGAGGCGTGAAGCATCATGAAATCACTGGAAGACTTCTTTCTGGGTGTGGCCACGGTGCCCGGAGTCGGTTGACACCGGGTTAGGCGCTATATGAGGGTACAGCCTCAAATCTGACTTGCGCCTCCACGCATTTCCAACTTCCCTATACATCGAGAATTCACCATATATGCGGAGTCTCGTGTTTTCAAGATCAATTGGCGCGTGTAGAGAACGGACTTTGATCAGAGAATGCTTTCAGAGGCACCACGGGCCACCCGATCATCTCGATTTCCATGTTGGTCTGCCATATGTATTGGATATTGTCGGGAGTGAGCCAGTCTCTTCGATATCCGAGCGCCTTCCAGAGCTTCGTCCGTAAGATAGTACCGACACAATCCTTGTCGATAGACGTCTTCATCTCCTTTTCTGCCCGCACTAGGACCTCATCTTCAAGATCATCTCGCCTCAAATCTATTCCCATCAAAGCTACTTCCTCCCAAGGTTCAGCTTCATAATCATCATGGCATGGCATCACTGGTTTCAGCTTTGGGAATATCCTGCGCCACTCAGTTACAATGCTCTGGATTCTGTCACAGTGCATCATGCGGCATGGATTCTGGAAAAATATTCCCAATAATATCATGCTTTCTAGCTGTTGAAATGGGTTGACCTCCGTCATCTTGGCAAGCGCCATGGATAGCTCAACACTGGGCAGACAAAGAATGGAGAGTTGCGGGCACAGACGCGCCAAGTCTTGAAGCATTTCATTGCTCATTTGGAATTTCAGGCCCAGGCGAAGAAACTCTACCCGCGGTAGGGCATGTATCAGACGCGAAAACAGGATTTCCGCTTGATATTCTTCCACCGAGTAGATGCAGTCCATTAAGACAAACTCTTGTAAAAGCGGGCAGTCACGAACGATATCCGGAATAGCTGCTAGTGTCTCAATATCCTCGAAACCGATATTGAGGGCCCTAAGATGTTTGCACCTCCCGATAGTTTCGACTAGAGTATGGCCAATATCCAGCATTTCGGAAAGCTGATGTATTCTAAGGATTTGAAGGTCTTCGAAAGTTGGTAATAGTTCCAGCGATTGTTCGTCCCCTTGGCCAAGGGACAGTGCCTTCAATTTAGGCCATGGGTTTCTAAGTCCCTCTTGTGTTAAAGTTGATGATTCCGATATCAAAGACCCCCCCAAAAAGGGCATGTTAAGTGCCAAGGCCATGAGGTTCCGCTGCTGCTGAAGATACGGCAGGATTCTCTCGATGTCGAATCCACGCCTGCCAAGGAATGTTGTTTCAAGATTAAAAAACTGCAAATCACAAGCTTCAAGAAACTCGGAAATGGCATCGACGGAATCATCTTCCCCATTTTGTTCGTAAATTGTAAGGGCTTTAAGATTTCCGAGCTTCGCCTGCGGTATTCAGAGGCCTTTCTTTGAGATAGTGGTAACTTCGGGGATAATACTTACCCGATGTTGATTGCGAAGAAAGTCTTCACAGAAGACAGCAGCAATGGCCAAGAATTCCACAGTTGGGGGAAGAAAAAGGTGTTCAACGTCAGACGTATATGGGCGTGCAATATCGAAAGGAATTGCAAAACTGGTAAGCCCCTTTCCTGGTGGCTGTAGGAGGTTCTCGGTATCTTGGGGATGACGCAATGCCCGACAATTTTCAAAATGACCAGATTTTGGAAGATGAGCATAGTACACTGTGTGTGACGCTGGGGAAATCAGAAGATGCTTCACAAAGGACATGTTGCGCCAGAAGCGCTTTCTTGATGCTACAAAGAGACAATTAAGCGACCCAATGTCCGGTGTGCGGAACCGCATGTCATGTATGGAGCCTTCGTACAGCTTCTTTAAGGCCTCAGAATTCCAAATGCTGTTGACACAGGCGCAGTTCAGAAGGTCTGGAACGCTGTCAACATTGTCAATGACAAGGCCGACAACTTCCTGGGGCAACTGTGGGCTAAACATGTTGGATGCTGCGGCTATCACTGTGATGCGAATTGAGGGGAGCAAATTGCCCTGTTCAAAGACCAGGCACGAAATGGTTTCTTGTTCTCATCTGCACCTTTTTTTCTTCTTTACAATTAGCACAGTGGAACCCCGAGAAGAAAGGAGAAAAGGGATTTATCGGCCAATTAAAAGACCAAATCCCGTGACGCGGATCTGCAGACTGCGCTAACCCGAAACAGATCCGTTATTTCCCCTTCACTGGAACTACACACGTCTCAATCCTGCGGACAGTGGAATACATGGCAAAGGAGCACAAATTCCGCGCCACATCTTGCCTGCTTCCACTCCGCCTGTGGATCGGCAAAAGGCTCTTTGCGGCTGTCGGACCACGTGGAGTCCGAGTCAGTCCTAGCAGATTCATCAAAGGGCCTTGTCCCAGATCAGAGCTAGCAGCCTTGAAATTCGTCGCCGAGCACACAACAGTCCCTGTCCCTAGAATTTTCAATTCTCACCTCTATGATGGGATTTTCTATATTGAAATGGGATATGTCCGTGGGATGAACCTCGAAGAAGCATGGTACTACGGTATCCTGTCGGAGGACCAGAAGAAAAGCATCATTACTGAGGTTTCGGACTACATCAGCCAGCTGCGGAAACTAAACCCCCCACCCCCAAGAAGGAATTTTTGCATCGGCAGAACTTGACAGTGTCTTAGATCACCGAGTTGGATCCCATCCTTTCGGGCCTTTTACCAGTCACGAAGCGTTCCACTCATGCATTCGAGCGGCTGTTCCGATTGAGAACTGCAGCGAAGTAATCGGTACAGAAGTCACCAAATGCCACTCTCGTCATTATCAAAGCTGTTTCACCCATGCAGATATAGCCCCCCGAAATATCATGGTCGATAACGGTAAGGTCTCTGCGATCGTTGATTGGCAATTTGGCGGCTGGTACCCAGAATATTGGGAGTATACGAAGGCACACTACGCTCAGATAGATCGGCCAGAGTGGTTTAACAGATTAGAAAATGCCATGGAGAGGTATGATGACGAGCTTAACGCGGAAAGGATTCTCTGGAGCCGATTGGACGAGCCACAACTTCTTTTGCGAGGGAAAGAGCATCTGATCCTGAGCCCGGATCGTGTCTGACAGCGTCGAGAAATTGAGATCTGAGGTGTTTCGCAAGCCACAAACGCCGACCGGTGTGATCGATCCTGGCGGGCGTAGTCGTGGCTCTTTTCACGCGCTCATCCGCGTAAGCAACCGACTCGTCCATGAACCGATCGATGTCGACTGCTCTGGGGGACCGTTCCCCGGAAACTTGCAATGGCAGCTTTTGTCTACATGACACTGTTTTTCTCCAATAAAGCACCTATTGGGAAATTGTAATCGCTATAAAAAGGTCGTGAATGCCCGGGAGGCAAGGTTTCATCGTTCACTTAGTCAAGGGAAAAGGCTTAGGCATGTTGATTGGTCGTTATTATTCCGAGACCAGCCACTTCTACGTACCCCTGCCCCAACCACCTCTTTCACTTGTCTTTATGTTTTAAAGCAGTTTCTCGGTGTTCTGTATACCATAATCTAATTCTGAAAAAGATGTTGGGCCCAGATGTTGCTTCCAGTAAACCAACATGCCGTCTCGAGCTCAAATCATACTCCGAGAACCAGGACTATCTGGCAGAAGGGAAGACGGAGCCCCATAGTCGCTCGCAGACTTTAATCTACCACGTTGAAGACAACATATGGTGGGTAAAAGTGACTCTGCTGGGTACCATCTCTGGCCTCGGAAATCTCGAAAAGCAACCTGCTTCAAAGCGGGAGCGACGTGAGGTATTCCAAAGCTTCATTAAACGAATTCACTACAAATCACTGCCTCTCTTCGCCGACACCGTGACCGAGATTATACTGGGAGAATGTGCAGAAACGACGGACCTACAAGTCGAGTTCATATTAGATGAAACCACTAAATCGGCCAAAAAGACGGGCCCACCCTTAAGATGCAGGGTGCGAGAAGATCCTCTCCGAATTGTCTATCATTTGTGCAAGTAGTTCCCCTCTTTTCAGAAAATCAACAACGATGAATTAACAGGAGTTACGGAAATCAAAGATGGAGTGTTCTGGGTAAACAACAACGGGATGCGATATGTTCCCAAGATCGTAAACCGTCCTTTTTACCAACCTCGCGACACGGAAGTCATTCGAAGGGAGCAGGAGAACCTCAAGGAATTTACGGGTGTGCCAAATATTGTGCAGGCAACGGGGGTTGCAGTATCTACAAACCCCTACAAGACTTCAAGGGGGAGCGATGGCCCACTATTCATAACTGGGATTCTACTCGAGGCCTATGCCGGAGGGTCGTTGCAGCAAGTGCTCAACGAGCACCGTCTTGCTGAGTATCCTTGGAAGCAGTGGGCCGTTCAGATCGGAACTGCTATAAATAGCCTTCATGAGGCAAAGAAAGCACATATGGATATAAAATGTCGTTCTTGACGCCGAGGGAAATGCAGTGCTGATCGACATCAGTGGCATTGGCGGGATCACCCATGAATGGTGTGCACCGGAAATCCGAAATGAGATATCTCCCTTTGATCTTCCATTTGAGCAGCGCTGGCTAAATGATGTTTGGGCCTATGGAAAACTTCTATCTGCGATCGCATCCCAAGCAGGAGATGGCTCATATGCCAAAGCTCTGAGCCAGGTTGCGGACTGTTTAATGAGCGATTTCGAGACACGCATGAGTTTATTAAGTGCAATCTCGCGTCTCGAAGAGGCCGTGGATTAGACAGGATTTGATTTAGCAGAGCTTGATGTAGAACTTAATTATCATCTTGATCAATATCGTCTTTGTTACATCCGCTGTAAAGCCTAGCGCCTGATTGCACTGTCAGGACCTGGCCAAACGAGACGAATGTTACAGCACATACCTGGTCCCTCCACGTTCGCCCCTCCAGGCGTTAATTTGGGTTTTTTTTGCGCGTAGCATCTGCTGTATCCTGACTCTTTAAGAATCCGGGAAATTGTCCGACGGGATAGAGGGGTATGAATCGTTTGACGTAGCTGGTCGTAGGTAATAGAAGGATCTTTCTTAATCAAGCGTATAATCAATCGCTTATCTCGATCGCTTGAAAGTTCCGGACGTCCCGATCGCCTGCGTGACTTGAAATTTTGCTTTTCATCAGCTCTTCGAATTGTCGTCTAGATTGTTTGAAGAGGTCGCTGTAACTCTTTGGCAATTTGAGCGACTTTGGCGCCGTTGTTGAAGGCTTCTTGTATGTAGGCTCTTTCTTCTGATTTCAGTTCACACTTGCGTCTTGTATTATTGCTGGATGGCTTCGTTGGGGGCTTCTTTGGAGACATGGTGGGTGATTGAAAGAACGAGGTTTTTTGACGCGTTGCGGGAAGTTAGCGTGTTTATTCAGACTTTTGGCTTCAACAACCTTGGCAGAGTTTTTGATACTATTTATTCGAGGAAGTATTGATCATTTCTCATAATCTCAAATTATGCCATTAAGTATTTGCGGAGCCATTGGATGAGTTGATGTCAGAAATACACAATCATAATTCAAGCAGCTTATCAATTGGATAATTGTCGTCGAAGCTGTCTTTATCCTCGCTGCAATGGTCGTTCTTGAGCCTTACGAGATCGTCCATTTCGCGCCGCTGTTCTTGGTCCAAAAGCTGGATGTGTTCTTCCAGTGAAGTAAAGGCTCCAGAATACCGCTTGTTGATGAATGTCCAATAGATTTCATCGAACATGGAACTGTATCTCGCCGCTAGGCATACCCAAAATAGCCCAGATTCCATGGAATGTTCCATCCGGTGGGAAAGACGCTGCGTTTCAGAGAGGACGCCTTGTTCTATCAATCTATCTTCCCGATCACTCAAGACTTCCAAAAAGACCCGAAGCCTGGGCATATAACGAGCAAGGAACTCGTTGAGACCGCCCTCCCAGTCCTCTGGGCTTTGCAACAGGAGCCACCAAGGAGCCACATATGTAAACTCAGCAGGCGCAGCATATGTGAACTCCCAGTCAATAGCTCCTGAGACACGCAAGGCACGAGAGGCGGTATCAAGGTGTATAAGGATGTTTGAAGGACGAAAGTCGTCGCAATATAACCGAAACGGGCCTTGAGAATTTTCGGTGCAAAGTCTCTTCGTAATATCAAGAAATAAACAGCGAGCGGTGAATTTCTTCCGGCAGTCCTCTTCGCTGCTAACGGCATCTCGTTGCTGTAACCGAGGATGAGAGAAATGTTGCATAGCAAGCGCTTCAAAATAGTCCGCGGCCGACCTGAAGGTGTGCGAGGGAAATGCTTCTTCAGGTAAATTTGCAGATGCCATCAACTCGTTCATGTTGAAGGTGAGGGGTCGCCTAGTAATAGAAAAGCGTCCTTCGTTTTCTTCGAGAGCACCAACAGCCTCAAATTCACACTTGGATAATTCGAGAATAAGTACGGCGATTTCGCCATACGCCTGCTTCAAGCTCCGATCCCTTATTTGCGGGTTCAAGACTGGCCTTCCTTCTGTCGAGGGATCTGCAAGGAGTTGTGATAGTGGCATTCCTTCGAGAAATGACATAACGATATAAGGACCCGCCCAGCAGATACCAGAACCTAACACCTCAGGAACAGGTATCGATTTGAGATTGAGGACCTGTATCGACGTAATATTTTCCCCAGTGTCGCCGGCCTTGGTCCACTTGGGCCCGTCATTACCAGATGCTGGACGTCGGACTTTCACCAGATGAGTGAGGTCACTGAATGTATTAAAGGCATAGGTAAGTTACCATGTATCATGTGTCCCTCAATATCGCTAACTATCAAAGGGCGAAACCATTGCCAGTAGAATACAGTGGCTCTTTCTTAACTTCATGAATGCCCGTCGATCCAGAGGATACCATACCAGCCCCAAAAGTAAGCTTTAATTGAGTCTGGCATAGTATATGACAGAAACCCCCAGGACCTGTAGATACGCAGATTTATCTTGATAGTACGGGTACGATAAAGCAACTTTCACGTTCCTCAACGATGGTTGCATACAAAGTCGGGACTACCCGGGCAGTTCATCTAGCTTTATCCTTCAATCTCGGGGTAGATACTGCGAACACTAGCTCGAAATCTATCTACTTCGGTGATTCAATACCCCGAGTTGTGCACAGCAGGGGGTTCAACTGAGTTTAACCGCAGCAGTCGTCCTTGCTCGGGGCCTTATGAGGCGACTGTCTTCTGACGGCTGCATCGCTCGGTATAAAATTAGATTAAGCTCGCGGCATCTGAACCTTAGGGTGTTGTCTATTTGCACTATGCTTTTGACGTCCTATCTAGTGTAGTAGATATGTATTCACTGATTCTAGTCGTTTCTTAGCCAAAATTCGTAGGGTAGTGGTACTATATATTTGGGCCGAGTAAGTGGGTGAGGTATTTGTATGTGAATCTCTGGCTATATTCTAATGTAGCACATGGCAGTGTTAATCCAATTCACCCTTGAGCTATCAACTTGAGTGTCAACCCGCACAATGTAGAGGACCTTGACAATTATAGATCATTCCCAAACAGGACGCCGACGGGTATGCACGGGCCGCCAGAACCGGGATGGTTGCCAGGGTATGCAGGCGCCCCGAAAGGTCGGCCTGCAAGGTTTCAGGCTTGGTTTGAGGCGATCTTTCGAAAACCGAAGCCATTTATCCGTTCCTGGGAGTCGTGCACCTTCCACCATGGAACCGATCGATCCCCTGAATCAATCCCAGATATCCATCCAGCTCACCCGTGGAAACGAACCGAAGAATCAACCCCAGATTGTGAATTAGCCGGTCGGAGCAAAACCGACTGGGAAATTACCCGTGCGGGTAAATGGGTGGGCCGCGGCTGTGATTGGTCGACGGCTGACGTAAGAGAGGGGGTGGGGCAGAACGGCCAACGGAGGAATGTCGGCCGACATGACATCATCTAATTCCACCAGTCAGCGTGCGCCATTCGAGTACAGGAGGCCTTGCATGCAGCTGCAAGATGTACGCAGTATGGCAAGACATAGGGAAGGCAACATAGGAATATAGATGTGGTCGAATGGCGGAGAACTGGTCCGTCAATGTGGACAGCTGTCAAGATCAATGTCCACCCCCAACAGAAGCGTCAAGAGAATCGGGAATCTGGACCCCCGGGGAACGCTCTCCAAACGGGCAATCCCACGCACTGCCCCACCGAGGGGTACCTGGCGGGGTAGAATCATCGAGATGGGGGTCACCCTGAGAGCGAAGGGAACTATTGGCACGCGTTGCATTGCGTCTTTTAGACCCCGCCGGAGAAATTGACTCCAGACTGTTATTTTTATTGCTGCTCTTTTCCTCCTGCTCGGTTCTTTTCCTCTTCTCTTTTTTCCTCATCTCCCTCTGCTCTTCATCTGTCCCCTTTCCATCCTCCATCCATCTCCATCAACATGTCTCTCGGCAAGACCTTCACTCTCAACACCGGTGCTAAGATCCCGTATGTAACCCGGGGACTTCAATTGAGCCAGACTAACGTCGTATAGCACCCTGGGATTCGGCACCTGGCAGTCCGCCCCCGGTGAGGTCGGTGAGGCCGTCTACCACGCCCTGAAGGCTGGTTACCGTCATCTGGTAAGTCGATCACGTCAATTTGACTTTGAACACCCGCTAACAGACCTAGGATCTGGCTACTATGTAGGTCACAACATCGCCTGCCACCCGACTCCGTACTGACCCTCCAAAGCTATCAGAACCAGCGCGAAGTCGCCGAGGGTATCAAGCGTGCCTACAAGGACGTTCCCGGCCTCAAGCGTGAGGACATCTTCATCGTATGCAACCGTTAGCCCAGTCCAATACTCGTTCTAATCAGCTGCAGACCTCCAAGCTGTGGAACAGCCAGCACCACCCCGACGATGTCGAGAAGGCTCTTGACGAGTGTCTTGCCGAGCTCGAGCTGGACTACCTCGACGTATGCGTCCCAATCCTGTCTGACAGACTCGGTCTAACCTATGTAGCTCTACCTCGTCCACTGGCCCGTCACCTTCAAGCGCGGCGACAACTACTTCCCCCTGATTGCCAACAGCACCGTCAAGGGCGGGGACGTCGACATCGAAGATGGCGTCTCCATCGTCGACACCTGGAAGGCCATGACCAAGCTGCCCAAGTCCAAGGCCCGCGCCGTCGGTGTCTCCAACCACCGCAAGGAGCACGTACGTCGCCTGCCACCCTCCCATTGGATCCAATACTGACCACCACCAGATCGAGGCCCTCATCCAGGCCACCGGCGTCGTCCCCGCCGCCAACCAGATCGAGCGTCACCCCGTTCTCCAGAGCAACGACCTGATCGAGTACTGCAAGGAGAAGGGCATCCACATCACCGCCTACTCTGTAAGCCCATCCCCTCTCCTATCTTCCCAACCCTCAAAAAACAAAGCTAACGAACCAGGCCTTCGGTAACAACGGCTTCGGCGTCCCCCTCCTCATCAACCGCCCCGAGATCAAGGAAGTCGCCGAGTCCGCGGCCAAGCGTCTCGGCCAGCCCGTCAGCGGCGCGCACGTCATCCTCGCCTGGTCCCAGGTTGGCGGCCACAGTGTCATCCCCAAGTCCGTCACGCCGTCGCGTATCGCCGACAACTTCAAGGAGATCGAGCTCACTGCCGAGGAGGTCGCCAAGGTGTCGGAGCTGGGCAAGGACCGTCGTCGCTACAACACCCCGTACGTTGCCAACGTGCCTCGCTGGGATGTGGACATCTTCGGCGAGGACGATGAGAAGCCTGCCACCCACAAGGTGGTGGTTTAGGTCTAGTGCTGGTCACTTGGATGTGTTATGATAGTGGGGATGGTTGTTTTGTCTATATAGCGGGATGTGATAAAATACATGAGAGATGATTAATATCATGGTTCTTGATTGGTTGTAGCTGAATGTGCTAGTATGTACATGACAGCTCGGTGTGTAGAGCTTCCGATGAGATGTGCCCCCATTATATCCCGGGTGTAGGTCGAAATGGCAACATGAGTAAGCCACAAGAACCACCAGGGACAATCATAAAATCATACGAGTCGGAATAGGACGCGTTCTGCATCCTGCTGGATTCCGATTTGTAATAACGATTCGTAATACAGGATGCGGAAGCCTGTTCCGCCCCATCCATCTGTCACCTATATAGCTGCATCCTCTTCCCAATGGATACCTGCCATCTACCCCGGATTCTACACTCCACACCTCCATCAGTTGTACACTCCAGCAACACCAACTATCAAAATGTCTCCCCAGTCCACCAAACAATGGCTCCTCACCCACAAACCCCTCTCAACCCCAATTGTCCCCAACACCTCCACCACCAACACCAAGAACGAACCCCAAACCTTCACCCTAACCACCACTCCCCTCCCCACTCTAACCAAATCTCAAGCCCTGATCAAAACAATCTACATCTCCAACGACCCCGCCCAGCGCGGCTGGATCTCCGCCACCGCTGATCCTCTCCGTCTCTACGTCCCCCCCATCGAGCTCAACGCCGTGATGGCCTCCACCGGCATCGGGGAAGTCATTGCCTCAGGCAACGAAAAGGCCCTACCCCCCGGGAAACGGGTCTTCGCGCGCACAGGCTGGAGCGAGTACACCGTTGTCGAGATCGCCGAGTGTGCGGTGATCGAGAGTCTGCCGGGGCTCAGGGATAGTCATTTTCTGGGGGCGTTTGGGTTGCCTGGCCTTACGGCTTATTATGGGTTGTTTGAGGTGGTGAAGGTGAAGGGGGAGGATAGTGTGGTTGTTAGTGGGGCGGCGGGCGCGGTGGGGAGTATGGTGGTGCAGATTGCGAAGAGGGTCGTTGGGTGTAAGAGGGTGAGTTTTTATTTCCCTTATTTTATTTTGGTGAATGGCGGGAGGTGGGATGAGTTAGAATGGGATGTGCTAATGGGTTTGGGATGGTAGGTGATTGGAATTGCAGGGTCCGATGAGAAATGTCGTTGGGTCGAGAAGCTCGGCGCAGATGTGTGTATCAATTATCGGAAGGAGTCGTTCGAGGAGGATCTGATCCGCGAGACAGACGGGTTTGTGGAGGTTTACTTCGGTGAGTTAGATACCATGCCGCAGATGAACTATAGGTGGAAAGGGCTAATGCGTGATCTAGATAATGTTGGCGGGAAGATCCTGGACCTCATGCTCTTGAGGGTTAAGCGATATGGACGCATCGCGGCTTGGTATGTTCTTCCTGGTCCTGTCTGAATGCCGAAATTGACGGTTATAGCGGCACGATTGCGAACTACAACAGAGACGATGATCCTGTGGGATTGAAGAACTTCTACGTATGTATTCCTTCCGCCTTCTATAACCAGTCTCCGGATCTTGAATTAAAGCTAACAAGACTAGGAGGTGATATCCAACCGCATCAGCATCCATGGCTTCCTGATCTTCGACTACTTCCACAAAATTACCGAGGCAAGGGAGGCACTGGTGCAGGCGTGGAAAGACGGGAAGATCGAGGTCGACGATGCTACGGAGACGGTCGTGCAGGCGAAAATCGAAGACGTCCCGGCGGTGTGGATGCGGTTGTTCGACGGCCGGAATACGGGCAAGTTGACGACTGAGATTGTCTAGTACGGTTATGATTTATGCCGAATGATTGAGTGACAGCACGTGTTGGATGTGTGGATATGGCAATGTCTTCTAGTTGGGCTAAGAGGTAAATGCATATATAGCAGCTCTTTCAAGACGGCAAGAAATAGTTCATTATCCATTTCCATAGAAACCAAACCTATCACCGAATAGTATACCCCCCATCAACACGAATATCAGCCCCATTAATCATCCCACTCGAGTCCTATCAACATTAGCAAAACCATCCCATACTAAAACCATAAACACAACTTACCTGGCACAAGAAAACCGCCGCATCCGCCACCTCCTCCGGCAACGCAAACTTCCCCGTCGGGATATTCTTCAAGAATGCCTCTCGAACCGAGTCCTCGCCCCAGGCCTTCTTCCCCAGCGCCGTCCACGCCACCGTCGGCGAAACACTATTCGTCGTAATCCCGCGACCTCCCCACTCAGAGGCCATGCTGCGCGTGAGACCAAGCAAAGCCGCCTTGGATGCACAGTACGCGCCATGCCGATGTAATGCAACATGGGCAGCCTGGGACGCAATGTTAACGATCCGTCCAGGAGCAGGCGGGCTGGTCGAGGACTCCGCGGCTTTCGAGGCAGCAAAGTAGAGTTTCGCAAATGCTTGAGAGCAGAGCATAGGCCCTAGGACGTTCGTGGTGAGATGTTTCGTGGTTTCGTCGGGCGGGGTGAGTTCCATGTCGCTGAGAGAGACGTAGCCAGCGGTGTTGACGAGGATGCTGGGGAAGACGCGATCGGAGACAGAGGATGAAGACGGCGATATCATTTCTGTCTCGAGCGTGGTGAAGGCCGATTGCACGGACTCTGGTGACGTGATGTCGCATTCGTAGGCGCGGATCTCATCGCGGTTGTGAGTGGCGCCGTAGCCTTCTGAGAGGAGCTGGTCTCGCCGAGAGGCCTCGAATGGCGCGTACAGAACGGCCAGGCGGGCTCCTTGTTCGCGGAGTCGCTTGCCGATGCTGGAGCCGAGGCCGCCTAATGGTTTGTGAGCGATTGGACTGTTAGATCTGTTTGGGACATACCTAGACCTCCAGGGAGGATCGCTAATCTACGAGCAAAGGCCATTGCACGAGATCTGGGAGGGATGTGAGGGGAAGTTGAGGAGTTGACGAGAATCCGGGGTTGTGTTGGGGCCTCGGCGCCTGAGGATGACGTCAGACCAGCCCGCGGTGTCCTCAGGCAGCAACAGAGTACTATTTCTGGTATCGAAGGTTCTCGCAGCCATTAGTATAGTCAACATTGATGATTCCGCTCGCAAGGGATGAGATAAGGATAAGGATCCTTTCCAGCACGTCAAGTCACTTCGTGTAACTACTCCACAAATTACTACCGAAACTAAGGGTAGAAAGCGCGTCACTATATCTTATGTCCTTTTTTAACCGCCCGAGAAAAGCTGTCCTGAATAGCCGAGCTTATTATATACCGAATCAGTCGGCTAAACAGGCTTGTTGGGGTATCATAAGCAGGATGACGGTTCTTGAGCTGCACATTTGAGCTGAAATTGGTCTTGATGCCACCCGGGGCAACCACCAAAAGTTTGATTCCCCAGCTGGGGTCCACCTCTTGGGCAAATATCCACCGAGCGCAAACTTGCTATGTTCAGATCAGTACGCGATCACTACCTAAGCGACAGGATGTGACGTACCCAGCGTGATAGAATGAGCTGCCTGGGAATGTCAAGTAACCGCCAATGGAGGAAGCTTGAACGATACACTTCTCTAAAAATACAACCGCCTCTTGGGTGATTTGGACTAGGAGAGTTTCCATTTAAACCTGAGCATCCGATTTAGATATAGCTTCGGTGTCTCTTATAAGGGCGTATCCTGTGTTGTTGATCACCACGTCAAGCAGACCAAACTTCGCCACGGTAGCGGAGAGGGCGTCCAGAATAGCCTGTCTATATATAACATCAAGTCTGAGTTTCAGAACGTTTACATCATTGGGAAGATAGGAGAGTGTGTCAACATTGCGGGTAGTGGCCACAATACTATAGCCGGCCACATAGATAGTGCTAGCTAGGGACTTCCCTACTCCAGAGGAGAAGCCAGTAACTACATGTAATTAGCCTCAATGTGTATCGCCTTCTTTCTTTGCATGCACGTACCAAACCAAGCAATACCCGAGTCTAATATTTCGGATCAGGTGGATGATATCAGTCCTTTGACAGTTTTCGCAAGAGAAGGGATTAAGCAGTTTGAAAATCTGTTAGAAACCCGACAAAGTCTCGGTTTCACGTATCGGTGGTGAGGCCCGGCTGTTCGGCCGATGAAGTCGTCGGCCGAAAGTTGGAAATAGCACCAGCGGAGTTAGGCGGATATAACAGGCCTTCGCCATATCAGCAACTTCCCGAGGCTTAGGGCCGTGCATAGATTTATGTTCTTTATTGAATTACCAAACGAAGAGTCATGAATAGGCCGTGGGACTTTAAACAAAGTCTGGGGATGCAATTACAGGAGATGGATCCCCTCTGCTATCTGCAGCAAGTTGGCCTCACATTGAGCCTGTTACCTGCGAAAGGCTCAACCGTCCAGTGGACTGCAGTTCAAGGATAGTTTAACACGCCCCCTAATGGGCGTGCACACCCAAGTCCATCGTTGTGTCCCATGACTCGATCTTTTAGTGAATGATGGGGATTATCTAGCAGCATTATGCATTCAGCTACTTTGTATATAAAGTTGGGAAAAGCGCTTTAGGCTGGACTGTACAACTGAATAAACACCACCATGACTATATCCAAACCTGTGTTGCCTTGTCTCCGCTGATAGAGCCGTGTCAATCTTTAATATGTTTACCCGATCTTTCACGAGAACTAGACTCTGGATTGTGAGCGTGCTAGCAATGAAGTATGTGTATTCCTATCTGCGAGAACAAGATATCCCTAGCTATAAAAAAGCCACTATAGGCGGCACTAAACTATATTAGATAATAGAAGCAAGGGAAGAGCGCTAAGTATAATTAACACCCCTTATACTCAGAGTAATGAAGTCCGAGTAATTATTAAAATAAGAAATAAAATATCAAAATTTGTGATAAAAATTAATAAAATAATTACTATAAAAAATAATATATAAAAAGTAATTAAATAAACAGAAAAAGCAACTTTTAAATATAAAATTTAATAAATAATTTGATAAAAGCTAATTATTTCTCTAAATTAATAAAAAACTATTTTTAATAATAGTTTTATAAAGCTATCAGCGGCCTGATAATTAGTCTTTATATAAGAAAATTTAATAGTACCGGATTAAACTTATTCATATAAAAAATAATATTAAATATTAATATACTTTAAATAAACATAAAATTTAAAATTCTTTATAAAAATAATAATACTCTAATTATCCGCATAAATTATTATAAAAATAAAGATAAAAATATTAATAATATTATAATAATAAATATCTATTTCAGAAAAAAAAATAAATCTAGATAAGTTCCTAAACTATATAAAATTAAAAAATATACTTAAATTTAATAAAAAAGAGAAATATAATTATTGTCACGGTGCAGACCTGAAGGCACCGCCAAACCCACCAGAACCAGATAGAACTGCCAAGCCGGAAGAACCTGTCCCCAACCCTAAGCCCCTGACTGTTTAAAAACCTGAATACTAGAGATTTTATTATAGCTCCCTGAGCTATATCTTGTTTATTATCCTATATATAATTTAATTATAATAATAATTAAAGATTTTATAAACTTAGCTTATTTAATCTAGCTAGATTACTTGCCCTATCTGTCTTTACTATATTAACTTTATTAACCTGCTAGCCCGCGCCTTAATATTATATAGCTTTTATTTATAAAGCTAGTACTTATCTAATATACCTAAAATTTTAAAGCCTTTATTTTTCCTTAAGAATCTTAAACTATTTATTTAATATATTATTAAATATATTAAGAAATAATATACTTATTATAACTAGATTTATATATTTATAATAAATATTAATATTAACTAAAAATATTTCCGCCAGGAAATCTCCTATCTTTAATAAAATATAAATATTACTACACGAATTATTATTCTTTAAGTAGATTATAAAAAAAATTTAAATTTTAAATTTATCCAGGCCCTAGCTGATAAAAATATAATAATCTAAAAATAAAACCGCGCGATCTGTCAAGGCGCGGGCTGGCGGGTTGGTAGAGTTGGTACAGCAGGGGCAGGCAGGGCAGGTGGTCTGGCTAGATCAGGCGGGCTAGGTTCATAAGGTCTTTAATTATTACTATAGTTAGACTATATATAAGATAATAAATAAAATATAGTTTAAAGAGCTATAATAAAATCTCTAATATTTAAATTTTTAAATAATTAGGGGCTTAAGATTAAAAACAAGTTTTTCTGGCTTAATAATTTTATTTAGTTCTGGTAGATTTAGTGGTATCTTTAGATTTATATTATAATAATATATCCTTTTTTTATAACTAAGCTCTATTAAGGCTAAAAAAGGCCAGACTTATTAGAGTACTAGTAATAATAATTCTAGATAATTTATTTAATATATTCTAGATAACTAGCAGGCTCAGTAGTAAAATCTATATATTTAACCTACTTTATAATATATATTAGGCGAGGGCAGCCACGGCCGTGATAGTCCCAGAATAAGTTAAAAATATCTTTAATCTCTTACTCCTCAAGTTTATTAACTGTCACGGTGCAGACCTGAAGGCAACGCCAAACCCACCAGAACCAGATGGAACTGCTAAGCCGGAAGAACCTGTCCCCGACCCTAAGCCCCTGATTACTTAAAAATCTAAATACTAAAGATCTTATTATAGCTTCTTAAGCTATATTTTATTTATTATCCTGTATATAGTCTGATTATAGTAATAATTAAAGACCTTATAAATCTAGCCTGCCTAATCTAGCCAGACTGCCTATCCTGCCTGCCCCTATTATATTAATTTTATTAATCTATTAATTTATACCTTAATACTATATAACTCCTACTTATAAAGCTAGTATTTATTTAATATATTTAAAATTCTAAAGCCTCTGTCTCTTTCTAAAAATCCTAAATTATTTGCCTAGTATATTATTAAATATATTAAAAAATAATATACTTATTATAACTAGATTTATATATTTATAATAAATATTAATACTAATTAAGAATATTTCTGCCAGGAAATCTCCCGTCTTTAATAAAATATAAATATTATTATATAAATTATTATTTTTTAAGTAAATTATAAAAAAAATTTAAATTTTAAATTTATTTAGGCCCTAGCTAATAAAAGTATAATAATCTAAAAATAAAATTATATAATCTAAGCTACTATATTTATAATTAGTATCCCGGACTAGACCCCTGAACCTACTACTAAAGAACCCTTAGTTATTGTCAGATGGGGTAGGTAGGTCACGTGGGTTGAATAGAAATTTCAAATGGCTAGATAGAATAAGGGAAATCGATCAGTCAGATGAAGTAAACAGTTCACCTGGACCACCTAGATCTGAAATAGATAGACCAGAGGTCCTACCATTCGCTATGCATGTAGATAGGTGAAATTGATTGAATGAATGAATGAAATTCAATTGAATGAATTGAGTGGGTAAATCAACTTGATGAAAAGAATGAATCAATGCAGGTCATTGACTGCATATTTATAGACAATTGAATCAGGGCTAATTTAATCTGGCCTTAAGCAAACATTGTAAACATGAAATCATCAGATCCTTCTAGGCCTTCAGCTGTGAGTCTTATTATTAATCTAGGCCTTCAAGATCAACCTCATAGATCATTATTAGATCAATATTTAATCATTTAAATGATTAAATGATCAAGATTTCATGATCAGAATAATCAGAACAATCGAGATTCAACACATAAATCATAATGAAATCATTTAAATAATATCAGAATAACCAGGGTAGCAATATTCACTTTATGGCTTATAAAATGAATAGGCGAGACATTCTGGACCCTTTGTATTAATCATCTGAACAAAGCCATTGACTGCAGTAGTTGAAATAAACTTTTAATTTCCTAAATAAAAAATTCATCAAATTATGTTTTCTGACTTCCATAGGATTCTAGCAACCGGTGATTTCCTAATTAGGAAGGTATGCTAGTCCAAAATAGGAAACTCTTCAGAAATTTTTCTTTTTTTCATTTTCCGCTCACATTGAGCTCAGTTTCACCTCACTTTTCCCATACAATTTGGTGGTGGAAGTGAGAGTTCAATAAAGTGAGAATAAAGCCGCAGTAAATTTCGGTTGTGGGGCTAAATCAGGTGATTCTGATGAATCAGGTGATGTCAGGTGACCCCAATTGACAAGTATCATCTTTAAGCAGAAATTAATAATTATTACCACCTTAAGAGCCTATAAAGACAGCATATCTTTGTCTGTTTTAGGGACTTTAAGTCTCGTGTTATTTATTAGTATCATGGTAAATTAATAGCCCAGATAATAATCCTGAGCTGGTTTAAAATACGGCTTTAGTATGTTATTAATAACAAGAATTCTAAGTTTTTTTATAAAGAGTATAATAAAGCTCTGGTAATACTCTAATTATATAAAGTTATTTATAGCAATAGTAAATAGCGCAATATATTGTAGGATAACCTGGGGGGGCTATTTAGTTATTATTAACTTAGAGGAGATAAAATAGTTAAAGCACCCTCAGACCCTTAAATCAACATCTGGAAATATATATGGTTATAACACAAAAGCTGGAAAATCCGGGCAAAAACTGCTTTCCAGCTCAACTATTATCCGTATATAACACTGTTAGTGCTATACCTTATTTGACTTAATTTACATCCGCGTTTTTTAAATATAATAATCTACCTGTTAGGTGAGAAGGCTACTATGGTAACTGGGCATTTGTGACCTTTAATTAATGGCACCCTAAAGTTCTATCTAAATTAAATTAGCATCCTT